GGGGTTTAAGTAGGCTAGAGATTCGCCCGCGGAGGCAGGTGCGCGCACGCGTCTTCACATGAACTCCGTTTGCACGGTGAGATTCAGAGTGAAGGAGAGCGTGTTTACAATGCCGTTGTGGTGAGGGGAAAGTGGTGGCAGTTGGAACTGCGGGCTGATATGGCACGTACCTGATGTGCAGCGCGTAGCTGTCGGTGCAGTGGTGGTGTGGAAGGGTGGTTGACTGTTGATGGATGTGAGAAGGTGTTTTTGTTGGTTGTTGTTGGAGGATGGAAGATGGTGGTCGAGGGAAGAGGTGGTTGTGTGTGGGTGCAGTGGTCTGAGTTGGAGTGGAAGAAAGGCCGTCTTAAGTACCTGGCCCCGTGGCAAGGGATGACGCGTCAAGGTGCAGATTTGCTTGTGATAGGGACGTACCTGATGATCCGGTGTGCTTTCTGAGCGCTCAGATGAGTTCAGAAGGATGTGTGTCGAGGTTGGTGGTGTTCGGCAGGAGGAAGGAGCCAGCAGTCCGCTGAATTCTGAAAAGCTGAGCGTGAGCCAGGCGCCCGGGCTTGGCACCCGGAGCGACGGCGAGCTCTCAGATGCCTGAGGAAGCGCGTGGTGGCGGTGACGTGATGTTTGAAACGATTGGCAAAGACACTTGGGCATTGGAAGATGAGATCAGGACAAACAAGGGCAAACAGACAGTAGAGTTCTTGGACAAGTCCTGAAAGAAGACCTCCTTTGAACCAGCTACGACTGCTCTCCTATGCTGTCCCATACTTCATCTCTCTGGTCCTGCTCGATTCAAACCCCTACAGTCTCTCCACCGTAGATCCCCGCCCCTTCGGTCACCCCCAGCCCAGCAGCAACCAGTCTACCTTCTAAGTAGTCCTCGTCGGGACGCGAGTATCAACCAGTAACGAACACAGCAGCAGCGCAATAAACCTTCATGGCCGACCCCGACGATTCAAAACGATCTACGAACCACGACGGCACGTCCGAGATCCCTTGTCAAGAGGAGGATCTTCTGCGCGGTGAGCCTGGGAGGCTGGGACGTTGGAGGATATTCGCTCGGAGCTCATCTTTCGAGAGAACCGTCTATGGCGCGCTGCATTTCGCGGCGTTGTTGCTCTATAATACTCCTGAGACAAGAAATCCGAATCGTCTGATCGCGGTCCCCACCCGGACGGCGACATTGTTTCTCGAATGCACACGCGTCTGCCATGCCAACGAAGGCAGAGAAAGAGGACGGGTGTCCACATTGCGCATGAGATGGTGGTTGAAGCGATACCGAAGTCTCGAGGAAAGACTCATCGATACGTCGACTACCTAGATGGTCGTTGCTCCAGCGGCTGACTCCTGATCGAGAACCCTCAACCATGGACGTGTATGCTGGAAAAGAGCAGCACTACCTTGTCGCATGCTTCTGCGGCCACGACTATACTCAGGTTCAGATCGAGTGCGGATGGCGACGCGTCTCATGGTTCTCGTATCCACGGACTCCATCGTTTTCCCAAGCCTAGCTGTCGAAAGCTACTATGTGTCCCTAGACGCGTTTTGGAACAGCATGGTAATCAAGAGGTGATGCAGCTGGGACAGTAGAGGTTTGCTGCACCTGTTGCAGTGATGACAATGATTCAAAGCACTTGAGCTCAACTGTGCCAGCAAACGGAACAGAAACCTTCGTTGCACCGGTGAGGCACTGGTTGAGTACGCCGAAAAATGAGGGTGCATCAGATGGCTCAGCGTCAGTGAGCTCGTGGTCAGGCGCCATTCTCCGTTCAATGCTGTCCTGAAGAGGGTTTTCCTGCAGTATCCAAAGCTCTTGTGATCAAGGGAGAGGCCAGAGACACCCGGCGCTCTCCTGGCGCCTGCTGCTCGAATAGAGGTTGCGAGGCCTCCGCTAGCACAGCCTTGGATTGAGTGTGTGGGATGGATTTTGTTTGAAGTACAGCAATGTTCCGAGGAGACCGCACACAGCTCAACTGATCCATGGCATAGTCTCTCCAGGAGTTCAGGTTGGATGTCGAACGGGAGAGCCAGAGAACATCCTCCCACTTGATTTGGCCTGCATATCCGGAATGTTTGACCCAAAGGACTGCGACAGAGCCATGACAAAAAGAGTGAAGGTGCTTTGAACAACGAGACGAGCACATCCGTTGTTGAACCTCCAGACGATTGACAGTCAGGAAACGAAAGACGAAAGAAGATTCAAGGAAAACGCATATCTCCAGCTCGTACATGCAGGATAAAGAGCACAGAGCGAACAAGGTCACAGAATCCAACGCTCTCCGTGAGAGGAGCGAGAGACGTAGCCCATCCTCGCGCGAAGCTGACGGAAATAACGGACGCCCATTCAAGTTGGCCGTCAATGTTGCCGCCATCTCTGCTTCTGCATGGGATCCAATACGCCGAGAAATGCCATCGATGGAGATCGTTGATCCGAAAAGAAGAACCAGAGCCGCAGAGTCAAAGCCTCAATGATGCATAGCATGACGGAGGTGGTTCCGCCATCTGCTGCCTTGGAGGGCCGGGAATTCTGAGACAGTGTTCGCGCCATCCGTCGAAGACGCATTTCCATTGTCGAGTCCCTGCCTTTTAGGTGTCTCCTCGCGGTTTTCCAGATGGCCTCATCGAACATGTCGCCTGCAGCAAATGCCTGCATCGTCTGCACACAACCCTGGAGGCTCTGCGAGGTGTCGTTTCCCGCGCGTGACCACGGTCAACTATTTGGCGAGGAGCATGACTGCTCATATCCTCCGAAGGTGCTATTTCGTGCTCTTGTTCGAACTCTGAGGCGCAGCATCGTCCTTTGCTTCCATCTCATCCTCAGCCAGTGGTCGTGGTGGAGCTCGCAGGCGTAGCAGCTCGTGGCCTCTGCTTGTACTTCGTCATGGCGTTTGCGGAGGCCGTACGGCGGCGCTCGTCATCTCAGACGCAGTTCCTTCCAAGAACATCGATATCGTGTGCGTAGAGACGCTGGAAGACCCGATTGTCGTTGACTAGCACACGAGAAGATGTTGGTTTTGGCTCGTGGACAAGCTCTGGCTAGCGCGCCAGTTTTGGCTTCAACATTTCGGGCCCGATGGTGACGACTGTCTTGCCCTTCTTCCTCTCTTGCATTGCCATTAGCATCGTGTCAATGCCATCGGCGTATACATCATAGCTGAAACGACAACAAGCGCTGGCATCCAGTACGATGAGGACGTTCGAGATGCGAAGCAGAGGGACGTTGGGCAGATGCTACGCACGGCAGTAAGCTGCCTGCATACAGCACATCCGCACGCCAATGCCAGACGTGACGAACTCGTGGAAGCGCCGGAATCGCCAGAGGTCAAGACCAGAACTCCGCCAGGCGAGAGAGATGCAGACGAAGAGGTTGATTTTTCCTGGTGCTCAAAGAATGTATCTTCAGAGACGGGCAGAATTTGGCAGCGAGAGCTTCCCTCGCGAGACTGAGAATTGCACGCCCTTTTGGAGCTTTCTCATGGGCGTGGCCCTCAAGACACTCGCCGAGACTCCTGGTGAAGGAGGACTTAGCAGGACCGCGGTATTGCATTTAATTCTACATTTGACAATTTGACTAGATCAAACGAATCTGAACCGATACTCCCTGCGTTTACGGAATCCTTTGGCTACGTTTTGCCTCGAGATTCAAGACGAAGCTTTGATGACCATTCCTTTCCCAAACAATGTCCAATGGCTACTAACGAGTACACGTCGCGCTCGATTGCCTTACCTTGGTCCCGAAGGAGCTATTTCCTCTACATGGGAGTGTAATGCATCTGCTCATTGAGGGATTTGGACAATAATGGCGATGCATTTTGAACAACCCGAGCAATACTGTCCCCGTCCCACCAGAATTAATGCCATGGCCACTGACTGGCTGACCTGGAGCTGTAGGCCATCCTCCCTTCATGATTGATTCAGATATCCGGACAATCCTAGAGCTCATCAGGTGAGGTCAACTTTCCTACTTTCATGCTACGCTCTTAGTTCTGATATATTCGTGACGGCAGCACCTCTGCCCACTCTCTGACGGGTTGGAAACTCCGAGGAGTGCGACTGAAGCCTACCAACCAGATTCCATCCCGCTCAAGGTCCTACCAAGACCCCTAACAATGACATCAACCAATTTGTTAAACAGGTTCCCAACACCTCCCCAATTCGACGTATCCGACCTCCTATCGAATCCCCGTGAAGATAAATTGTTGAAATCTCAAGAAACTCGGAGTTTGGAAAACAACGACGGTCCCACATCTCCAAGCCATACATTTCTATGTCGACTACGCCACGTAAAAAGCATCCCGATCTCGTAAACGGTTGCTCTAATGGAGAGGGAACCACATCTGCCACCACAAGGATAGTTGGGAGTTATGTCTTCGACGTATCCATCTTCATCTCTCGGGACGAAGTTCTTTGGGCCTTGCTTTGGTATATTAGCAAGATACGGTAACGATCGGTCGTTAATGCCAGACTTTCGGACATGCAATCTTTGAAAACATCAAGGGAATACTTATCAAATACTGAAGAACGTTCTGCGTCCTACATTCCATTTTGCCATATCATCGAATTTAAGTGAGACTGCAATGTTTGCGGGATAGTAATGAATCAGGCAGTACGGAACACTCTGAGGCTTAAGAACTCCAAGACAAAACTTTCAAACGACTGGCGAACGTGATATAGAAAGAAAGGAAGACTGCATCAGAGAAATCGCATCAGACAATTGGTACGCTACCTAAAGGAGTCCCGATGCCGCTAATGTACAAAATCAAAAAGCCTGCCTGCCTGCCTGCCCTTATTCATCGATGAATCCCGCAGAACCAACCAGTAACATCCCAGGGCGGCCGCAATTCAAAACAACCATGCATGCTCACCCAGACTTAATCAACTCGCTCGTCGAAAAAGTAATATCCTCATAGTCTCATCCTTCAACACGAAATGCCCAAGCCGGAAAGGTAGGCGAACAAGGAAGGTAGATCCTGTCGACCGCCTTGCCACACGGGCCGCGGACCATCCTATCGCCTCGCGTTCTGCGGGTTGACGGTCGGCATGAACTGCACCAACTTGCCCGGGTCGAAGCGGACGCCGTTGTAGGCAGCCGCGTTTGGCAGGATGCGCAAGAACCAGTCGATGATGGGTGGTAGCGGACTAGGAGGCGCGGGAGCTTGTGCGGCGGCGACGTTGGCTGGCACGAAGGTCTTGGTCGCGAAACCACCGCTCGCGCCGCCAGTGGTAGTGGCCTTGCCTTGCATGCGTACGCCAGCGGCACCTTTGAGGGGCGACTCGGCGCGCATGAACTTGCGTTGAGGCGTGTCTGTGTCGGAGTCTTCGAGAGGGCGCTTGGGGCTGGCGACGTAAGGACCATTTGGTCCAAGGAGAATCTCGGGTGCTTTTGGACTCATTCGCTCTTCAATCGACGCCATGGCCTCAGGAGGTGCAACGATGATGGGCACCTCGGTCTTGGGCTGCGCTTGAGTTGGGCTGAGAAGGATTTGGGCGTGCATTGCGTCGAACGTAGGAAGCGAGAAGCGGTTGCTGAAGCGCATGACATCGGGCTCTTCTGGGTACATGTCTGCCATGCGCTTCTCCAGGCGGTGGATCTGAGCAAGGTCACCATACTTGCTCTCGTAGTCGTGCATGAACACGAGGAGCAGCCGGCACTTGTCTCTCTTCTGTTCTTGAGTGAAGTCGGCAGAATTGGTGATTTTGGAGATGGTGGACTCAAACACGACCCGAGCATTCGTGATATCACCTTCGGCTACCAGATGCTTCACGTATTCGAGAATGAAGATCTCATCGGTTGGGAAGAGCTTCAAGCCTCGGTCAAAGATCTTCCCTGCCGAAGTGTCTCGGTAGGTGTTCCACTCGATCAACGCCGATGCAATGTAGACATCGCTGGAGATGAAGCCACGCGGACGAGCTTCCTGGAAGATTCCTCTCAAACCCTTGACCGCCGGCGGTCCACCCTTCTTTTGCGGTTGGCCTTGACCCTGCACACGGCGAAAGGCTCGCATCTTTGCGACCCACACGTATGAGATGGTGCGCTTGAGTATGTCCAGCTGGCTTGTTGAGGCGGCTTTGACAGCATCAAGCTGAGCCCTCTTCTGCTCGTCGCGTGTCTGCGCCCTCTGCTCTGATGCGTCTTCATCGTCACCATCCTCCTGAGTCTGCATCGCATCGTCTTCTGCTGGTAAAGAGGCAAAGTAGTCGTGAATCTGTGCCACAGCTTTCTTGTCCTTCTCCAGCATCTTATTCCTAACAGCGTACAGTGCGGTGTGCAGGGCTTCGTATGGAACATCGAGCCTGTCACCGTTTCGTAAGAGGATCTCGTCTGTGTTTCCGGAGTCCAGACTACTCTCCACACGATCCGCTTTCATCATCGCAAGTAGAACCGACTCTGGGTTTGCAAGAATGCCCTGCTCGAGGAATTGTTCGCCTGACTTTGACAACGAGCCGACGTCACCTTGCGCAAAGCACCAAGACGCTGCTTCAAACCAAATGTCTGGGTAGAAGTACAACGACATCGTGGCTTGTTGGTAGGCGTACAGGACACGCTGTCGCCATACAGCGTCTTCTGTGCCTTTCAGAACCAGTGGATCCTCGTCTCTCTCCCATGCAATCCAACCTCGCCACTTCTCCACCTGCGTGCCAAATTCCTCCTCGCCAGCACAGCCGTAGATCGGAGGCAAGCGAGGGAGAGATTGGCGATCGAGGCCTTCAATCTTCTGGTCAAGTTGGACCTTCGCCTTGCGTGATTCGACATAGAAGGGGCTCTGCTCTTGAATGTGCTTTCGTCCGGTAGCCTTGTGTAGTCCCATTTCGAAAGCCTCGTACTCTTTCCACGACTTGACAGACTCTGAATGAGGTACTCGAATGGCGCGCTGGTATGCTGCACGGAGACGATCGACCTTTTGTCCATCCTTGACCGATGAGCCGCCGACAGTGCCAGGTGTCTCTTGCAAGAACTCGATGTAGTCGTGATAGATGATACCGGCGTCTGGGTCGGTCCCGATGTTCTCGAATGCCAGACTGAAAGCCTGGTCAATGGTGGCGAGGTTGTTGCCATCATCATTCAGAAGTGGCATGACTCGGCGCACATGATCGAGGTAGATTTTGAAGAGGTCGACGTTCGGGACTGTTGTGACACAAGCCGCGAGCAGCGAGACCACTTTGTCACGCTCATCCAGCTCTCTCTCCATCAGGATACGCTTCTTCCAAATCGAAGCCTGCAATACGTCAGCAATTTGACTCGGAAAGCCGAGCTAGAGCGGTAGCTAGCTGCTGAAGCCGTTGCCTGAGTTAGTCAAGGTAGGAATTGTAAGACGTACCGATTTTCGAAAGACTGAGACAAAGCGATCGTACACATTTCTGACCTGGTCATACTGGCCCTTGTCGGTGTAATGGTCGATGAGAGTCATCCAGGCATCAGTATCGCCCTTGGGGTCGTCCTTGATACGATCCTCGAGCTGTCCGACTTTGTCATGTGGGAGTCTCGCCGGTGGTTGTGAAGTGGCGCCATTCGTCTGGGTTGTGGGCGGAGCAGGAGCTGCAGCAACTGCGGATACTGGAGGTTGCGGAGTTGGAGCGATAGACGCCTGAGCCGATGCGACTGGCGAAATGGTCTTACCCTGTTCTGGAAGAGGTTGCTGAATTGAGGGATCAGGAAGTGATGGAGAAGTAGATGCAGGGACATGAACAGTGGTGGACCCATTGAGACTTGTGCTAGAAGTAGCAGTGTCTTGTGGTGCACTACTTAACGATACATCCTGCGCCTCAGAGGCTGCCACCGCGCCGAGACCAGAGTGCGCACCAGCCGTGCCGTTGAGTTGCGACGGTGGTGGCGCGCTCTCGTCTTGCTCATCATCACTCTCTTCCACTATGAATCCGGCGACTTTTTGCTGTGGCTTTGGGGCCTTCTCGACTGGGGCGGGAGATTCCTGAGCTGCGGGGGCTGGCTCTGTGGGGGTGGGTTGCTGGTCTGAGCCGTCGCCGCCGAAGTTGAAGCTCGAGGGGTCGTAGTCATCGTCTTCGTCGCCGGCGTCTTGCTGTTCGTAGTTCTCATACTCGGTCGGGTCGTAGGCTTCTTCGTCCTCGGCGGCTGCGTCAAAGGTCGGCGGGTCGAGCGGGTCATACTCGTCTGCCATGATGGCGACCGGCGCCCGAGGCGCACTCAAGGGCTGAGTGCGGTTGACAGCTGGCGAGCTGTGGTATGACACCGGAGCTGCAGTCTGCGAACACGTGAAGTCACACGCGGAGCACGGTGTGGACAATGCCGTCGGCGCTGGTAAGTGGGAATGAGTCGCAAGCACTGTTTGTGAGATTGGCAGAGGGGTATTGGATGGAGAAGGAAGAAGTCGCGGATCGGTGGTGGTGTTGTTGGTAGTTGCAGAGCAGCTGGCGGAGGGAGCAAAGAAGTCATGTTCGGCTCGGAAGCTCGGACCTCGTCGCTTGGCAAGCCAATCACAGCACACCGGCCAGACAAGTCCGCTGCCTGCAAACCTCACGTCAAAGAAGATGCCACATCATACTTTGGGGTGACATTTGCTGCTTGCGAGGTAACCGAGACGATAAACTTGAGGTCGGAAGCATCATCGACACGAAACCGCTGTCTTTATTCCATCAGAACCAAGGAATCCGGACCAGGGAAATCGCATAAGGGATGCTCCTGTGACCACGCGACATCAGCAATTCCCATCTCCTCGTCCCTTCAGCAGACATTGCAAGCCTCTAGCGATTCTCTGAGATGTCGTCAACGCAACGAAGAGGTCACAGCATGCGGATACCGCCCTTCTTCCGCAGACTATTCAAGTTCACATCCATGGACTTTGAAACAGTAAGCCCCCCGTTCGACCGCAGAATGACAATTACCTGACCATAGCTATAGGCAGTCTGGGAAATGACATATCTTATAATCGCTCCGAAGAAAGTCTTCAGGAATATCTATTACCACGTAAGGAGACTACTACTTCCTACCACGAAACCCAGCATATTGACATCGCCACGCAGAAACAAACCAAAAACACCTACCATCGGGCAGATCCGGCTTTCTCATATCTGCTCTCCCTTTTTCTGGCACTGACTGGACTCGCCTGGGGATTGGCATACGCGAATGGCTTCGGCAGGACCATCTCAGTTGCATTCGCCTTTGTACTCGGCCACTTTCTCGGCACTTCACTCCTGGTCTCAACAGCAATGTTCTTCCTCGTTGGCCGAGTCCTGGGCAAAAAGAGGCAAGGCCTGTTTGGGCCACCAGTGGGCGGTGAAGATGGCCTGGAGTTTGGCTATTGCTTCGACGTGAGTGACTGCAGAACTGTTGGGACTTTCCTCACATACTGACAATATCCAAGGTCTCAATCCGCGCCTTCCTCCCCGTCTGGGTCTTCCTCTACGTCCTCCAATTCCTCCTCATGCCACTCATCAAACAAGACTACTGGGTCTCCAACTTCTTCGGCAACACGATGTACCTGCTCGCGCTGAGCTACTACTTCGTCATCACATTCTTGGGCTACAACGGCATGTCATTCGATAGATACTCGTCATGCACCACTTCCGCTAACTCGCTTCACAGCTCTGCCCTTCCTCATTCGAACCGAGATCCTCCTCGCACCCATACCCGTCCTCGTCGTGCTCTGGTTCATCAGCCTCTTCACCTTCGACTGCGCGACAAATCTCGCGCCCGTCTTGTGGTGTGGCGTCAGACTCCGAAAGCCAGTATAATCCTTTACGCACTGTGGTGTATTGTACAATAGCCTATAGTATGCCAAAAGTCTTGATACATCCACCAAGATTTCGTTTACCATCTGGTCGTCCTGCGAGTTTGCGAGGTGCACGATGACAAACGGTCATCAAGAATTGTCATGTGGAGTATTAACATTACTTTCCAATTCATGGACTGCATCTCACCAGCCTATCTACTCCACCAATACCCATTCGCCCCTTTCAACTTCCCACTCCCACCCTTCTTACCAGGAGGCAAAGACGCAACATGGCCGTTCGTATGCGCAAAGGCGCCAACTCCCTCAGACTTCCTCTCCCGCGTCAATAACTGCCACAACTCTCCAATCGTGGCCCTCTGTACAGGTAGCATGCTATACTGCAGGCTGTACAGATTCTTCCTATGAATTGGAGGGATGAATTGCCCGGAGACGAGGCAGAGAAAGACTCGTGGCGAGATATAGTGTTTGCGGAGACGGTGGCCGAGTTGGGCGTATTGGGAGAAGGTTTGTGAAAGAGGTAACGGAATGGACTAGATACGAAGTCAGTAAGAGTCCAACGTTGGCAGGGCAGTATGTGACTAACCTTCAGCTTGATGTACGAGACTGGTGCCGAAGCCAGTTGTCGAGAAGATGATGACGCAGAAATCAATGCAGCAGGGGTATCTTGCAGTTCAAATCGAATCCCGCCTGGTAAACGCCGAGAGTCCTTGATCCGTAACATGAGTGCGAAGAGCGGAAAGTGGTTCAAACAAGCGAGCCATGTGTCCAGAGCGGCCTTGAGAGCGATGATTGCCATCCTAGCTCCAGCAAATGTCGCATAGAAGACCGCGACTGTAGGGAGCAGGAAGAACAGCAGAGTAAACAAGATCGTGCCCAAGAGCAGTTGGTCCAGATCGTAGTCGCAGCTGTCGATGCGGTTCCGCAAAACATTTCGCTTCTTCCCTCGGAACAGGTGGAAGAGCGAAATTATAATCGTGAGCTGCCAGTTGTATATCCGAGCTGATGCGATATAGAAAGAGTAGACGTGGATGGTGAGCAGCGACAAGAGGTCCGAAAACATCGATATCGGAAGACTGGCGCCAGCAAAGCTCGACATTCCAATGAGGCGGATCACGAATGGCAAGAACGGTCGGAGCTGGGACATACAACCATTCCAGTAGTCGATGACCCACAGGAACAGATCTCCGAGGAATTGCGCCAGTTCGTTGTTGAGCTTCAGCCCAGCAGGATAGTCCATGAGCCATGTGAGCGTCCGCTGCAACCCTTCAATCGAGTACGTGCTCATGATACTGTCCATGCGGGTAGCCACAAAGTCCACATTCTCAATGATGTAGGAACCCAGCGCAATGCCTATAATGACATCGTTCGCCACGAGCCACAAGCTGTTGAAAAAGCGGATGTAATCAGGATGGCTGTTCGTGATGCTCTCCCAGTCACTTCGTCTTTTGTTAAGGGTGATGTATTGGTCTGGCCAATAGCAGAATTGCTGCAGTCGTATGTCCAGCTGCTGTGCTGTAGCTGAGACGTCCTTGAGCGCAGCGCTTCCCAGTGGTCTCCAATCCAAGAACAAAAGTAGGCCTTCGGCTGCTATTCGAATGCCCATCAAGTAGATGATAAGGACCTGAGATGCAAACGGCCAGACATGTTCTTTCAGTGTTTGCTTCGACCAGAGTATGATGAAATCCCAGATGTTGGTCGCCGACTCTACAACTCTTTCACTGACACTTAATGTTCGCTTCGTCCGTTGCCCGACCAGGTGAATGTTCTGTTGCATCAGAGCATCAAGCTCAGCCGAGCAATTGATCTGCACGACGATATCTTGAAGTGCCAGCTCCTTTTGGGTCCGCGGGTAGTGTATGACTGTGTGTTGCTTCAGCTTCTCCACCAGCTTCTCCCTCCTCTTCTTTTCGCGCTCCTCTTCCTTGTCGATGGTATCGAAAGGTGGTACGCTGCCAAAAGCACCTGGCTTGTCTTCGAGGGCAAGTGAGATCGGCGTGAGCGAGAAATATTGCATTCGCTTTGGATCTGGCCTATCGAACATGATCATCTGGAAGGTGATGGCGGTATCTGGAGGGCAGTCGACTTGAGGAGTGGTGCTTCTGAGCACTGTGTGCAGCGAGAGGAGCTTGGGATCGAACGCTGCAACCGTGTAGTTGGCATTCAACGTGCCCAGCACCTGCAATGGCTTGCCACCACAGTGCTGAACGATCTTCTCGACAGAGTAAGGGCTGCCTCGAAAGAGGTGTTGCACGCGCAACGCATGCTCAACATTTCGCGCCTGAATTGTGTCAGCCTGTGGGCTAGAAGTTACATGAGTACCCACCTCTACTCCCTGCAGGACACCCACTACGAGGATATCCAGATCTGAATTCCTCCATCCCACCAGAACCCCAGGTATTGTATCCCTCGGCGCATCAGAAGGCCAGAATATGCGCATCAGACCATGGTTGCGGGTGGTCATGCTCCCATCGCGGAGAGCTTCTTGCTAGAACGAGCCGCGTCGCCTCAACTGTTCTCGAGCGGATATGCCAGCGTCTCGCGTGCGTGGGTGCTGGCGCCTGTTAGACCAAATGCTCTTCGTCGCGAACGCACTTCGCAAACTGACAAGCTCGGCTTCGCGCGCAGCTATGCGCTCAATGGGGATGCAGACGATGAGGAAGAAGATGGATAGAACGGCGCAACCCTTAGCAGCGCGCGTCTGGTCATATCAGTGAGCGATTCCGCTGTGGGATTGAAGATGAGCATACAATGACACCGTGATCCCAGGCGAAGATGGCTAGCTCGTACAGCCGAGTAACCAGATCCCAGCGCGCAGTGATGTAGCCAGCTAGAAAGATGCCAAAAGTGAGGACGGAGACGGGGTGCATGAAGCGATTTGATCATGTCCCGCGCGCAGTCGCAGATGGAGGACGGAGGAGGCTCTCGCAAGAAGGAGGCGGGCAGCGGAGGTGCGATTGGGGGCGGCAGAGCAGCGTGGCCGTCTGGAGAGAGAATGTCGTTTTAGGCGATGGAGAAATCGGTCGTTCGCTGCGGAGAGTAGATGACGATGGCTAGCAACCTGTCGGCCATGATGCCGGTGTTGAATGGCTTCGCTTCGTCCCAACATCTTCTTAGGAGGTAGGTCGTCGCATCAGGCCAAGCTCAATGCGAGTGGCACGTGCGCGTGAACCACATTTCCCTGCCGAGACGAGACGAACCATGCCGACAACCCACACCTTCACCAACTGCTCTCGCCTGCAACACAAGTGAATGCACGTCATTCAAAAGCACATCGGCCCTGACATGTCCTGACGCGCTCGTCTTTCTTTGTTCCCCAACGGATCCCGCTCCTGTCGACACCTCAAAGCGCCACGCGCAGACAAGTACTGGTCTAGAACGGAGAGCGTCGACGTCAAAGCAGGAATCTGGACATCTCTCCAAAGAGTCTGTCGAGCGCATGGTCACGACTTACCGGATGATGCGGTAGAACGTAGCAGCAACCTCTCCGCTAACAAGATGGTTGTTTGCAAGTTCTTCCTGCAGGGAAACTGCAGATTTGGAGGTACGGCGGCGATGGGCGATGTATGTAGCAGGATACTAAGTCGAGAATAGATAACTGCAAGAATGAACATCCCAGAAACCAGCCAGCTTCAAATCGCTTCGCGCCGCTTCAGAATGGCGGGAGAGGTAGATCAGATGCTTTTGGTGAGTGATCCTTTCTTCACGGGCTGCGGCAGCAAAGCCGCGAACGCCTTGTCTCAAACAGCACTTCAAAAACACTTTTCGACAGTGTCACCCCATCATAACCTCAAACATCTTCCACATCATGGCGTACCGCAACAGCAGATGGCCAAATACTTACGTGAAGGCAGGCCAATCCAATTCGAAAGGAGATCAGTGAGTTCAAGTGTCCTATTCGAACTCGCACTTCCTGCTGATGACATTCGAGATACGGCAACATCACGACCGATGAAATCAGACTCGACCTCACGCACATCAATCACGATGGCAATCGCCCCCAATGGCCGCTTTCATCATACGCACCCGGCAGGAACCCTCCACGGCAGCTGATCGAAGGACCGCTCGAGATCAGTCCTGAAGAGATGCGAGTCCAATGTTATCTGGCTCGAGCAAACGGCAAGGGGGACGAATACGTGCGTCAAAGCCGACACTGCGAACGGTCATTCGCTAACAGTCATGTAGATCAGCCAGGAGAATCAGCTCATCAGCCAATCCCAGCAACAAGCCCAAACCATTCTCAGTGGTCTCGAGGCAGCCAGAAACTATGTGATAGATGGACAGAACCACCACCCTAACCGTACCGACATGGAGATCAAGCCGACGCAGAACTTCCCCTGGGTCAACAAGCCCGGTCTCTCTCAGATATCGCAATCGCAGTCCCAGACGGGTGGTTTTGGACAGACTTCAGCATTTGGCGGCGGGGGCACGAACACGACGAGTGCCTTTGGACAGCCTTCTTCACTGAGCACACCCAAACTGGCATTTGGAGCACCTACACCAGCCGGTCAAGGCTCAGCCTTTGGGCAAAGCTCAAGTCTTGGAAGTGGCTCAGCCTTCGGGCAAAGCTCAAGCCTTGGGAGTGGCTCTGCGTTTGGCCAGGCGTCTCAGATGGGAGGCGCTGGTGGATTTGGACAGGCCTCTAAGCTGGGAGGTGGCAGTCCTGCTTTCGGTCAGGCCTCGACACCTGCAGCAAGTAGTCCTTTTGGAGGTGCTCAGAAGCCAGCAGCATTTGGGCAGGCATCTCAACCTGGTCAGTCTTTGCAGCCGGCGTTCGGACAGTCAGACTTTGGTTCAGCGGCGAAGCCAGCATTTGGGGCACCGAGTCAACCAGGAGCGTTTGGACAACCAGCACAGACGTCTTCGCCATTCGGCCAGCCATCGCAACCATCACAAACAACTTCAACATTCGGCCAACCGTCGCAAGCAACACCTCCAACACAACCATCAGCATTCGGCGGTGGACAAACAGGTGGCTCAGCATTTGGTCAACCCTCGGCTTTCGGTGCTGCCAAACCATCACCCTTCGCTCAAGCTGCACAGAACGCGCCACCACAATCAGGAGGCTCAGCATTCGGTGCCAGCAAGCCCTCCCCCTTCGCTACAGCAACCCAACCCACCACTTCAAGTCCTTTCGCCATAGCAAACAAACCCACGACCTCCAGTCCATTCGGCACCGCATCCAACCAGCCAGCGACATCAAGTTCCTTCGGCGCTCCAAGCAAACCCACAACATCAAGCCCCTTCGGCGCCCCATCACAACCCACAGGACCATCAACCGGCTTCGGCGCCGCATCAAATCCCACAGGAGATTTTGGCACATCCTCCAACACCACAGGAGGTTTCGGCACAACAACCAACAACACAGGCGGATTCGGCACCGCCGCAGCCCAACCCAGCGGCCAAAAGTCCATCCCCCAAACCTGGAAAGGCCACCGTGTCCTCCAAGAAGGCAACAACCTCACCTACTACCTAGTCCCCGCGCCCACCCCAAAAGACCCCTCCGCGACCAAGAAAATCCGCATCTGGTTCCCCACAGGCGCCCCCGAAGCCAAGGACGCTTCGTACGCGGAAGCTGCGTCGCCGGACGTGTACGAGGGCCAGCTGGGCGAGACGCTGAAGAGTCTGTATGAGTTTGTGGCGATGAATGCGACGTTCAAGGATGGGATTATGCCGGAGGTTCCGCCGAAGAGGGAATGGATTACTTGGGACTTTTAGAGAGGAGAAAGTGGATGGACGTTGGAAATGGAAGTGTTATAAGAGAAAGACGAGACTCGTACTCTTGTACTTTGTACTATCATGACCTTTGGAAGGGAATGCATCTCTCGCGCATTGCCTATACAACAAAATTCCTCGACGTATGGGTATGGGTACTTTGAACGTGATACCCTCTTGACCATCGTGGTCGAAGTAGGAAGGGTAGAAGTGTGATTCAAACAATCAACGCAGCACATTAGCGACATGCGCACATTCCCCATCACTCAGTAAACAAGAAACGCCACGATAACTCCATGCCCAGTTCATTGCCCCATGTGTCCCGTACCATAACCATAATCGCTCTCAAACGCTAGTCTCAGGCCGCTCATTCTCGGCGACGACCGCAACGCCCAGTCCTCGATCGGGCGATGATCGTACAAGCGCCTCTTGCCTCCGAGCTTTCATAAAGTCTGAAACTGCTCGAATCAATATGAACCAGCCAACAATCATCAAAACATATGAGAGCCACTCGCTCGTGGATATGCCGCCGACGGCCGCTGCTGCAGCGTCACCACCGGCTACTTCGCTGGGGTCGAAGTCGTGTGAATTGGGGTCATCGGGTATGCCGTCCATTGGTGCGCCGTTTCCAGGTCCTGCTGGTTCCCCTGGTCCGGGCATGGAAGCAGCATATCTCATCTGAAAGCCGTACTGAACGAGAGTAATCCCCAAGCCTGCTCGAGAACCATGCTTTGCGGCGTGGGTCGTGTGTAAAAGGTAAGTGAGCAGGAAACCGATCAGCTGGAAGGACATCGAGATCAGTGCGTTCCAGATGAACGAGAAGAGTGAGCCAACGAGCAGGCCATCAACGAACACATCGTCTGGGTTGCCTATTGTGGCGTATGGCGACAGGACGGTCGTCTCCCAGTATGGTGGTGTCGCATCTGCCGCAGCCTGTTCGTAGGTCGGTGGCTTCTCGTCAACGTCCTCTCCAGCCCGCGGCTTTGCACTCAGGTTCGCCCACACTCCATCGTTCGCGCTGTTCCCGATAACTCTTCCACTTGATGCTTGGGGCGTGAAATCAGGCAATTGCGTGACTTGTCGTTGTGGTCCATCTGGCCTCAGCGCACTGCTGGCCTGCGCTGCATCTTGTGTACCCGTGGTATTGTCGCTGGTCACAATTAATCGCCTCCGGTCTCGAACATCGTCGTCGTCATCGTCGTCGGAGGGAGCGTCAAATGCATCGTCAAGATCTCGTTCTTCCTCGTTCTGCTGAGCTTCATCCCGCGATGGTCGGCGCGACGAGGCTCGGGAGCGGAAGGAGGGCGGTGGCGAGTTGGGGATGGCGGCCGGCGATGGGCCTGTTACATGATCGTCGCTATCATCTGTCGTGATCTGAGTTTATGCCATGTCAGCTGTCTGCCATATGTTTGCGGACATTCCACCGCTCGAGGAGTCCATGGTCAGGCGGCGGCTATTACGTACCCGCTCGTAGCGCTGAGAGCTCATGGCTCTGGCGACGGAGTGTAGTGGGTGTGCCAGTCGTGATGTATGCTCTGTTCAAATGCGCGGGGCCGTAAAGGTGGTTGTGGTCGGCGTGAAGAGGGGGTGTTGGTGTGGCGGTCGCAGGATGTAGTCAGTTGGAGGTGGCCATCACGGAAGTCGTCAACTCTGGAGACGGAGGCTAAACGCCGGAATCACGTGGGTCTTACTCAGCCACCAGACTAAATTTGAGTCGCGATTCCATTGTGCTTCGACCTGCCTCGCAGCAAAGATCAGAAAATCGTCACTACGTCACGGACGCTGTCGATGCCCTCAGAGCGGGAACTTGTGAGGGTGCACATCATCAAAAATGCAAGCAGAGGACGATGACATGTACGCTGGACGGCTTGAGAGTTTCGACATTCGACTTACCATCATAGACGACTGCCCGCGGACACGTTAGCCTTGCTGGAAGAGTTCAACCGTGAGAAAGACGCCAGAGCAAAGCAGTTCGAAGACTTGAAGACGCAGTCAGAGGACGTGTTCAAAGCCACCGGCGACGGGAAGCTCAGCATGGACTTATTTGGCGAGGACTGGAACGTCTCCCAGTTCTGGTACACTGAATCGACTGCCAACCTCCTCGCGCGGCAGCTCTTGAAAGGTTGTACCAAGGATTCGGCGATCGCTGTTGTGTCTGCTCCCAGCGCATACGTGGCGTTGCGAAACATTCTGGCAGACCAAGACCCAACGACCACGCCACAGCTGTGCTTGTTGGAGTACGACAGGCGGTTCGAAGTGGTAGGCTCCGATTTTCAGTTCTACGACTTTCAGCAACCTCTGCGCCTGCCGAATGAACTCAAGGGAAAGTTTGATCGCATCATATGTGACCCACCGTTCTTGTCTGAAGACTGTCAGACGAAAGCGGCCCTCACAGTACGATTTCTTGCGAAGAAGTGGTCCAATGAAGGTGATGACGGCCTTCGCTTCATCTCTTGCACCGGTGAGCGCATGGAGTCGACCATACTCAGGCTGTACAGCAAGATCGGAACTCGGACGACAGATTTCGACCCAGAACACAGCAAAGGATTGAGCAACGAGTTCAGGTGCTATGCCAACTTCGAGTGCGAGGAGTGGGCATGGCGGAAACCCTGAAGACATAGTAGATGTCGTCGCTCGCCACAATCCAACTTTCTCGTTACCTGCTCTACTACACATGCGAAGTCTAGTCTGTGCCGCGTCTCTCCCGAATGTCGGATGCTGTACAACATCGCGAAGCTGTTGTTCTACGCCTTCGAGACCCTTTCACAGCGAGAGCGTTCTTTGGCGGAAATGAATTACTCCTTTGCAGCTTCACATGAACGAAAGCTGTTTCGGTGCTGATCCAGCTCATCTAGATGTCGACTCCGCATTGACTTATCGTCCGCTACCAGTCGTTTGAGGGGAAAGGATGGTCTCACGATATGCATTACCGCAGCAATAGCAAATCTGGTTCTGTGCGACGATGGGCTGCGCAACCCGTGGCAAACTAATGCCGATTCTCCAGACCAGGTTGAAGAGCTCGTCAATCCAGCATATGCATGCAAATGTGCGCATCCATACTGTACCGGCGAGCATTGCAAGCACCCGCTTGCCATCATCATCATGACCACCAAAATGCTGCACTGGCTGAAGGAAGGCAGGGCACCAATTGAGGGCTTCACATGGCCGTCCTGCAGTATCGTTCATGGTCCTGTTCAGACAGCATCAAGAATGTCCACCCCGTTCACCTCGTGCGATCCAGGCTATCGATAACTTGCAGCACGACTACCGGCAATGCAACACGGCACGTTCTCTTCGCTCTTGTCACCTTCCCTTTTTGTCACAGTCTTTCAAAAAATCTACGGCGGTTGGCCGCTTTCAATCAACGGCTTTCACGCCTAAGAGGGTAGATGCTATAGCGACTGCATTGCGGCCGTTCTGGACTCGCACTACGTGCCGACACGTCGTGCGGCGTGAGGGCTCGAGACTGGCGCAACACCCCTACAAAAATCCAGGCGCCATACATGCCGATACGCCGCCACCCTCATGCAGACCCAGCAGCATCTATGTGAGATCGATTGGCTGAACCTCCGCCAGGATACCGGCCAACAGAGCAGCGGTTTTGGCTTGACCACTGACAATGCACGTACGCCAGCGATTCCTGTCCGATGCGGAAGTTGTATTCTGCATGTTCCTCAACGCGCCAACACTGCGCTACAGTATACGTACGTATCCGCCCTGCGACTTCTTTTTCGTCGCTTCCAAGCAGTTGGAACATTCATCTCGGTTCCGTGCAAACCAAAGTTAAAAACAACCACCATCGAAGGCCCAGACCCTGCGTCCCGAGCAACCGGCCCTTTTCTTGTTGATGCCAGGTCTTCCAGGGTGCTAGGTGGACACCTCACAAGCGCGAGACGGGCCACCTGTAGTCCACGGACATCGATAGTGAACCACATACGCCAATGCGATCAGTAACATTTCCAACCTCCGCATCCAAAGCACGTGGCAAGCCCATCGATTAGGAAAGAGTAACCGGAGAAAGTGTGCACGAGCAATCTCATCTCATCACACGCCCCAAACGACGCAGGTGTGCGAATGCGACAAGATTTCATATATCTCGCCCGCCCACTGGAACAGGTTTCACGTATCGGGCGACGAGCAGACAGAACTAAGCGGATGGATCAGAAGGGCCGGACAGCCTGTGGTACGCAGACGCCACCGACACAGTCCCATTCCCTTGTCGCGTGCGGCAGCAGAGACAGAGAGGCGCCACGGTGCCATGGGGAGGCGGGCTAGAACAATGTGTTTTCAGGGATGAAGCTCGTCGAGTGCGGGCATATGCGGCTAGTAGTGCTGTATCCTGTCCCAGCAGAGCAACCCGACCCATGCAGTATATCAGACAACGACCCATGTTCAGCCAAGAAGTAATCAATTCGAACGTCGCTCTGGATGCGAGATAAGTCTATGATTGCGGAGAGCTTGCAGCAAGCCGATTACAAGACTCCAAAAGGCATGGCATCGATAACCATCGTCTCGAGGAGAAAGCGAAGCCTCTCTATTACACGGAAATGTGTCCCCGAAGCGAGAGATGGAGCTCTCATCGACGTTGGCGACTTGTCTGGACCAGGTGCTCATAACGCGCTAGCTCGTGAGCGCCGCGTGGTGGCGGCTAACTCCGCGTAACCAGGGCGTCGGTAACAACATGTATTCCAATCGCTGGCTGGCTTTTTATTTTCCACTTCGTCCTTGGATTGCCTGTTCTGGTGGCAGGGAGGAGGAACTCCGCCGAGGTGCGTTTGGCTGGCGGAGGAGCTCGGTGGCCGTCAGTTGCCGTGCGATGAAATAGATTGCAAGGCCGAGACGGAGAAAGCAGCTGGAAGAAACGGAGAGACGGAGTTGTCTGCTCCAGTCTGGGGAGGCGGGGAAACCTCTGCAGCGATGCAGAAAGACGTGGGCCTTTTGGAGCAGTGGCATGATCACGACCTCGGGTTGCACGAAGGGGGTGGACTTTTGACAGCGGGTAGCTACGTTCACGATAAGCACAAGCACAAGAATAATGAACGAACATGACATGAGACATATTTTCGTCAGTGAGCATTACCATTACAACTTTTGGTTGGTGTATGTACGTTCCCAACACCACCCTTCCTCCCTTGACGCCATATTCATGTTCTCGACAACCCTCCCGATAGCTAGCCGTCCAGACCCCAGACGCCTGTGCATCACAAGCATGCATGTCCTCAACGCCACTGCCGCCAAAATCAAGAACCCCCAAACCAGTGATTCGCTGCCAGCATGCAGGAGAATGAGCTGTCGGTCCGCCGTCGTGCTGTGTGCTCACTGCACAGCGCCCTCCAGGTTGTATGTATGTAGCAGCACGCTCGAAAGCGGTCGTGTGAGCGGGGTGGGTGAGCGGACGGGCGTGGTTGTTGAGCATGTGCTGCGTGCATGCTGACCGACGACGGCGTTTTGCATGCATGGATCAACCACATGTCGAGATGACGCTGTCCTTGCGGGCCTTTTCGTGCACCTAGCACTCAGTAGCTGTTCCTCTTTGAACGACGCAACGCTGAAAGCACTTCTCATTGTGACACATGGAAAGGGAGGAAGGACTGGGCACAAGGAGGAACATCACGCTTCTTGACGCACCTGTGCGCTCCCGTTCACAATCGTCGGTTCGTTGCTGCTGCGAGCCGGTTGGCTGCTAGTACCTGCAGCAGGCGGGGATGTGATCGGCGTCTGATCCTTGTCGAAACGGACGTGGAGCGTCATTTGCATGAAAGGAGTGCCATCAAAAGTTCGAAGGGCCCTTTGCGCTGCTTCGGCGGAGGCGTATTTGATCGTGGCGTTGCCTTTGGATTTGCCGGTCTGGGGGTCCTTTTGGACTTCGCACTTGACGATGTCGCCGACTTTGCTGAAGTAGGCTTCGACGTCGCGGGTGCGGGCTTTGAAGTTTAGGCCAGAGACGAATATCCCTCGTGCCTCGACTCTTACCACGCCGTTGGCGGTGTTGATGGGTGGGCCGGTAGCAGCGTTTCTGGTGTAGACGGGGTATTGCATTGCTTGTTGCTGCTGTTGCATCTGTGCTGCTTGCGCTTGGCGGGCGTAATAGTGCCGGAATTGTTCAACGTGGGTTTGGTTTTCTGGGTTTAGATTCATTGCAGCCATGGCTGCCATGAGCTGCTGTTGTGGCGACTGTATCGGTTGTTGAGGTGGTTGCGGGATAGGCATGGGCGCAGCTGGAGGCATAGCAGCCATTGGCGGCGATGGGTACGGGTAGAAGCTTTGCCATCCAGGTCGCAGTGCCATCTGTGCAATCTGTGTGCTCGGAGGATGTAATTGTGGGCTGAGGCCACAGTTGCATTGCACAAACATGGCCGGGCCGTTGCTGATGTCCCATAGGTGGACTCTGAGGTTTCGATTCTCGACCACGTTCTCCGTGAGCCATCCTGTTCAACGTTAGAAACCTGCCCTCTCATCTTCTCCAGATACCGTAGCGTACTGTAGAGCTTGTATGCCTCATCTTGCCTCTGCACCCGCGCATGACCTTTGCCACTTGGCTGACCGTTTGGCCAGAGCGTTATCTCTGTCCAAATGCCGTGGTTTGCTTTGCAGCGAATGAGATCCTTGAGGTCTTGCCATGTGTACCGCTTGGGAAGCTGATTCTCATTAGCTTGCGTTCCACCGTCGCATGTGTATAGCTCACGCCTTCAATGACAAGGAAATATTGTCCGTTGCTTCTATTCGAGGCAGAAGTTGCAGACATGTTGAGCAGATATCCACCACAAGTGAAAAGACAGCGGCCACTCCCAAGCAGAAACGATGGTAGATGCTGTGTCGATAGCAAAGAAAGATGCAGCACAGAGGTTTGAAGGAAGCGACTGAACGGCAATGCAATTAGAAGACCTCACCCCGAGGAGCGTTGCGGTTTGAGAGGAGCACATGGGACACATCGCTCTTTTGAATGTTTGCCACGAGCCCGGAAATGGCGTTGCTCGGGAGCTTCAACGCATCAAGCTGATACGTTGGTGCATAGATGGCCGCCATGCATATGCTTTGAATCTGTCCCAAGCACGGTTGACAATTGAACGGCTCCGTGCTGTACATGTCTGTTAGCGCGAAATCATACTGCCTCTTGATCCCGTCTTTATCGTGGCGAGCACCCCGGCAAGCAAACGCAACAACTGGCACACTGCATTACTTGAACGGTGAGAGCTCCCGTTTGATAGGATAGGCGCTTGAAAAGCGTGGATGTCCCTGCAGAGCCACCTCCAAGCCCACAGTGACAGTACTATGTGTGGTCAAGGGATGTGGTGAGCAGCTGTCTCGAGGGACCTCCCAGCAGATGCTGGCAGTGGCGTCGCCGTCTACAGACGTGCATGAGCAAAGTCCCACATGGAGAACTAGGGTCTCAAAATCGATAGGCACGTGGGTCCTGGATCGTTACAATATTGCTCGTCAAATGATCTGACCAGACATGACAAGTGACTTGTCGAAAATTATCAAAGTGGCTGTCCGCTCGCGTGCGTAGAGTGTGATGGCGCGGTCCAGCCATCGATCAGTCGTAAACACACCGGAGATGCGCATCGCGGCGTTCCGGGGTAGATCGGGGCTTGGAGGAGAGCAGTGAGCCCGACCGAGTTCTCGGGCCGCCGTCAACAAAAGTCGCTGTGGTGGCCGGCTGTGCGTCAGGCTCGCTGGTCAGAGCTGGCACCCTGCGGGCGGCTGTGAAGAACCCAGAACCGGATCATTATCCATTCGCGGCGACGCCTCTTTTCGAACATCATGTCGTGCAACGGTGTCTTGAAGGCCATGGCAGATTGAGAGTAGCGTCTGTGATCGAGACTCATGGCTCGTTCGCTCTAGATCGCATGGCTTCGGAGGAGAGACCGGCGTGGCTCATCGGCCAAGTGATGAAGGCGTGAAGTCGAAACAGGACAGAGCATGAAGTCGTCTTTAGCTTTTTGAGTTTCGGGCTCTTCATCCGGTTGCTGGCCCGAGCACATCAGAGAGGGTTGGTTTTGGGTTGACTCCTGTGACTCGGGGTGAAGAAGCTGTGACGAGATCGTGGGGGTAGCCTTGGTGCGCCTGTGACTGGGTGTAGACTGACAATCGGATCAGACTGTACTGCATTCGTCCTCTTCTGTAGCTGTCCTCGTTGTATCTGCGCCAAAGTATCGCCATATTGACAGCCATCGTCATACTGGAAAGTCGTGGGGAAGAAAGGCAACGCCTCCCACTCGTCTTCTGATCACCTCCATATACATATTGTCCATGGGCGAACCGCCGGAGGTATGACACGCGGGTACAAGGCGTCTTGCGATACAATACTACCATTCCCTTGACGATAGACCACATGACGAGGTTGTAGAGGATCACCGCATGAGACAGCTTCGAGGCTTGGCAACTCGACCTCATTCACCCACGCATGTCCGGAGCGTCAGGAGCGATTCGGCGAGGCTCGTAACCGGATTGACCCCAGCACGCCCGCCATGGACGATGCGTGGTTCCATACCCTCACCTCGGTGTCCGCCACCACAGCGACGAGAGACAAGCCCCAGCATCAGCGGCGAGCATCGCTGCTGCAACAGCCCGTAAGCCGGCCCTGCGCCCCTTGCCCATACTGTTCTGATCGTGTCCCAGGCGGAGGAGAAGGCTGATGTGGCGATAGAGCCCATTCAGGAGGTCGCTGAGGATGAGGATGCATGGAGCGGTCCACCCACAGCCACGGTGGCCAGGCGTGCGCAGAGCTACAGCGACTTCTATCACGCCGTGAATACGTACACGAAGGAGGCAGCATTGGAGAGGAAGAAGAGCTTGGATCTACGACAGGATACACAGCATGTTGGTAGCGCTGAGTTGGAATTCGAGAGCGAGTTTGAGGCTCTTGAGGATGAATTGTTGGATCAGAGCCATTGGGGATACCAGACCTACCAGGAACAGCTGGAGCTTTCCGACTCTCATCTCGAGGGCTTGCTCACTTCGACCACAGACACCCTGTCAGTGTTGTCGGCGTTGTCAAGCTCTTTCAAAGCTGTTGAGGCACAAACAGACGCTTTCCGGCAGCAATGCGAATCGCTCATAAATGAGCAGAGGCGCCTGACCTCTCTTGCAGATGCCCTGGACGAGAATGTCCAGTACTATAAGTATCTTGAGCCAATGACCCGACGACTCAATGCTCCAGGTGCCGCAAACCTGGTCAAGGGCAAAGACTTTCCGGAGATGCTCTCCAATCTCGACAACTGCTTGGCGTACATGGAATCGCATCCAAAACACAAAGAGTCCGCCACTTATCGCAGCCGATATCGATTGCTTTTGACACGAGGATTGACTCTGATTCGTCATCACTTTACCAAGTCTCTTGGTGAGATTGCTGCAGATATTAGCAAGCGTATCCAAAGTGGCCAGCTCAAGGACACGACTCATTCAGCATTGCTGTACGCCAAGTTTCGAGTACCCGCCCCTGAGCTGAAGGCACTTGGTCTGGAAATACAAAAGCGAGCCGTACCTACACCGGAGGATGTCGATGCTGGACGAGAGCCAGAATATCTCAGTCTACTCCGCGAACTGTACCAATCCTATGCTGCTACCCGAGGTCGACTCATCTTACCCCTGGTGGCCAAGAAGATGGCCGAGCTTGCGGCAACACCACGACAAGCAGATGTGGTAGCTTTTGCGAAGACAAGTTTAAGCTTCGTTCGAGGCATTGCTCTGGATGAGTATGACCTGTGGTTCGAATGGTTCGAAACTGATGGCGCGCTATACGAGTTCCTCGAGAGCCTACTTGATCCGATGTTCGACTACCTCCGACCGCGCATCATTCATGAGACCAAACTTGAAAAGCTCTGTGATTTGTGTGCAATGATTCAAGGTCGATACATGGAGCTTGATTCTGAAGAGGAAGACGACCCTGAGAATGCGCTGATGAGTCCATCGATCAACGGACGGTCTCTTGGCAGGAAGCTGGACTTTGCGAGTTTAGTGCAGCCTGCACTAGAAGATGCCCAGACAAGGCTTGTATTTCTGGCTCTCAATGTGCTGAGAGACGGTATCGAGAACTACAAGCCGAAAGCTGAGGATCTTCACTTCTCGCCAAAGGCTGCTACGACAGGCGCAAATGGAGCCAAGAAAGGGCCAGTGCTCTCAGGCAAGCGGAATCCTTCACTGCCCAGTACACCCGTGCCCAAGACACCAGCAGTCGAAGACGACGCCGACGACGGCGAGAGTATGTTCAGCAAGCAGCTCACCGCCGAGACAACAACCCCAGCAAGCCGGCATTGGTACCCCACCCTACGCAAAGCCATCTGGCTACTGCGTAGGATCTACCGTCTGGTCAACAGCACTGTCTTCGATGATCTGGCACATCGAATCGTGCATTCTACGATCGCGTCTCTGATCTATGCAAGCCAACAAGTCGGGTCCAAAAAGAGCACGGAAGACGGTCAACTGTTCCTCATCATCCATTTGCTACACCTCAAGCAGCAGATTGTTGCCTTTGACATTGAGTTCATTCCGCCAGAGGTGGAGTTTGACTTCTCTTCAGTGACGAATACGTTCTACGAACTGCGCGATCGTGGCAATCTCTGGAACCCTGCATCTTGGATGCGCCTCGTAAGCGGTGCTGTTGGAGGTGGCCTGCTTCCTAAAGTTGTGGAGAACATGCTTGATGCCAAAGCTGAGCTTGACGGGCGTCTCAGGACAGTTATCAACGACTTCGTCAACGGCTATGCCAGTCACATTACCGCGCCTGTGGAGCCCGTCACGGTCGCCCAACAAAAGACTGAATTCGACCCATTGAAAGCGGTCCGAACGGTGCGTGGTCTGGCCGAGAAGGACGTGCCTGCCCTTCGTGCCAAGCTGGAGGAGTTCGTCGACGATGTGAGGACAAGAGAGACCCTCGTCGCTGCCGTCAGAGATCAAGTGATCATGACGTATGAAGAGTTTTTCGACAATTACAGTGAGGGCAAGGGCAAAAAGCTGAGCCGTAAAGGCAAGGCCAGGGAGGACGAGGTTTGGGGGCCGCTGCTTTTCAATGATTCGATGGAAAGAGTATTTCAGGTTGGTGAGGTGGACGACAGTGAGGGAAGCGGCAATGTGAGCGATTAGGTAGGTACATATTGCTGCAATACTGATCGCTTTCGGTGCCTTCCTACATGTATGAATGCAGTCTGATGTTGGCAGTATGATCCGATAACTTCACACAACATCGTTTTCTCGGCACATTTACTCGCAGGGTCAAATGGCAGACGCCAGAGATTACCGTGTAGATTGGAACGTAGGCTTCAAGTGAGGCAACCCATGATATCCCACGCGCCGAAACTGACACGACTACTAGCATCGGCAACCAACCTCACATGGTCAAGTTCGTCGTTGAGGATGGACAGTTCATTCACCATATGGAACTTTCGATGCTCCATAGACGGTCACATCGTTTCAAGCAGCATGTGGCAGGAGGGATTATGTTACCCCATCGACTGGTTTTACACATGCCACCTGTTTCGTCGACGACATTCTTGACATATTTGAGATGGGTCTACCGCAGAGAAGTCGGCTGCAAAGATTCAGGAACAACGCCATCTTTCGCGAGGGAGCTTCATCGCCTGATCAAACTATACCAGTTCGCAGAAGAGCTACGAGACCTCGACGCCAAGGATGCTGCAACTAATAGCATCATGACCGCCTACATTGACTCTGTGTCGCGTGGCGAAGGCACCATCCCGTCGTACGTACTGCTCCAGAGGCTTTGCGCTGGTTACAACTTCAACGAAGCTTACAGACCAGGAGCGATTTCCACCTGGGCCAAGGCCGAGAGAGACCGGCTGGATACCAGCACGCTCGAGCTGCTGCTGGGCGGTCTTTGCTTCTTCGAAGGAAAGCCACCGCCGCACAGAGGACCGACTTTCACGGGGCCGTCGAAACCCTTTCTGTTCCGAATGGTATGTCTCAACCCAACGAGAGTACAGATGTTTGTTCCATGCATCTCACGAGTTGCTAATGCATCTGTTTCCATCCAGCTTGCGTCTGTAACTGAGAACCCAAGACTGGTAGGCCCAGGTGGGTTTCGCCACGTCAGCGTCTGCAAGTATCATTGCCACCCGCCGGATTATCCGTGTCCGCACAAGAAGAGCGCGGAAGAGATGAAGGAAGAAGAAGAGCACGACGCACTGCCAACCCAAGGCGAGGATCAATCTCAGCCGAATGTGCGGGAAGAGCAAGGCAACGGCAACGATCGCTCCACATCCCAGCAAATTCAGGGGGACGATGGCCCTCTGGTGCAGCAAGATCAAGACATTGATGCGTTTACGCGGCAACAGGGTCAAAGCGGTGGTGGCTTTGACATTCAACAATATCCAAGCATCGACGGCCCTCTCGTCCAACAAGGCCAGAATAGTGCTGGCCCCATGATACAGCAAGATCCAGGGAACAACGCTGCCACTATTTCACACGCGGAGAGCAACCACCACGCCGCAGCCTGGGCAAGCGACGGGCACGATCTCTTCCACCATGTACAATCTCACGGCGTCGCGCTGAGACTGCTCCTCCAGGGCAATCATGACTCCCAAGTGCAGGAAAGCCACAGAAACGTCAGTGCCATTCCACTTGAGATGGACAAGGATGACCACGCTGCAGCTTCGGGGCCCAAAAAGCCCAGGCCTGTACAGGAGCACATACAATCTCACGGAACCGCGCCCGAACAGCAACCTCAGAGCAACGGTGGCACCCTGGGGCAACAAGGTCAGAGCGACGACAGTGCCATTGCAACTGGAACAGACAACAGCAATTACGCCGCAGCTTTTGAAGGCATCGATTACGTGCCTCCTGATGGATGGGACAGAACCGTTCCGGATGTAGACGTCGATTTGGAAGAGTTTATGTTCGGTTCGGATGGACCAGATGCATGAGGTCTTGGTCGACATCACAATCGCTATGAGGACAATGATACTGAAGAGCATTGTTTGAATGATCACACTTTCTCAATTATGAGATAAGACTATGGCAGGCCAGTCTGTGGCTGCTGTCGCGGTAGTAAGTAGCCAAAAGCACATGTGAAGGTTTGCATGTGAGTGTTCAAGCGTTCAATCACATGCTTCACTTACCTTATTAGTGCTCAAGGCTGCCCTACAAGCATATGATGGTGCACTATAAAGGAAGTCATTCCTCGTAGGCATCTTCTCCTCTTCACCAACACAACTTGCGCTCGGCCTTCCTCGACATGGCAGACGTCGTCGACCCAAGGACAACGCCGAGAGACTACATCTTCATCATCGCTCACGACGACCAGACACCAATGGCATTTCACCGGCGATTGGTCTCTGAGAGATCACCGTTCCTCAAAGCCGCCTGCAAAGACAGCAAAGACAAGAATTGGCCCCTCGTCATCAAACTCCCCACAGCCGAAACCAGCTTTCAGTTCAAGTGGATTACACTCACCCTGTACGCCGAGTACATCAAGACCAACCGCATCAGAACCGAACACATATGCGCGGAGAACCAGCCAATTCCATTCGACCAGTACTCTTGCTTCTTTGCTATGTACCTATTGGGAGAATATTTGGAAGACTCGACGTTCCAAGACGACGTTTTGGACGCAATCCTGGCCCGATACAACGATGGCGAAGCGAACAGCAACGCATGGGTGCCTACCAACGGCACGATTCACTTCGCATACGCTCACACGCCCGCCGGTTCGCCGCTCAGGAAGTTCCTCGTCGACGTGCACGTCTGGGCAAAAGCGGTAGGGCTCAAATCAGAGAGGACTCACAAGGTCTTTCTCGGTGAACTGCTCTCTGCGTTGGTGCTTCGGAGGACCAATGGCAAGGTGGAGGATCTTTTTGAAGCTGCTGCTGCTCTCGTTGACATCGACCGGCCATCGACGCAGCGCGTGCCGCGCTTGAGGCCCAGATGTGCGCCTCAAGCGACGCAGGTCTCTCGCAAGATTCCCACTGGTGTCAGCTGCTGCGACTACCACAAGCATGAGGTTGGAGTCATCTGCGGCAACAAGAAGCGGAAGAGGGAGCTCAAGGAGGAAACGGAGCGCGCGGCGAAGCGTAGCTCAGGACGAGATCGAGAGGACTCCAGTAGCCGCGTCATGCGACTTGTGAGTATCTCGGATGATTGAACGGACGAGAAAATGCTGGCGTTCCAGGTCCAGCAATTTGTTCTAACGCAGCCATGGTGTTACGATTCACGTCCGAATGCAAGGAGAGCATCTGCCTTTCAATGTCCCTCACGGAAGAACCCCTGAAGAAAAGAATGACACACGGGAGGCGATGTAGCTAAGCAAAGCTCCATCATCCCAGCAACAAATCAACAGACTCATCACCAGGGGATTGTGCGTAGGTACCCAGCAGAGACGTTAGGAACAGACGAGGAGCTGAGCCATATCACAGACTGACAACTTCAACTTCACGACGGACTTCTTCAAAGCATGAATTCAAGAACGGAGGAGGCTCTCAAAATGCTCTACAGCGATTCAGGAAGCATCTGTATCTTCAAAACCAAAAAGCAATGCCATCCACATCTCATAAGCCAATGCGTTCTTACTGTCGTAACTCCATCGCTCATAACACATTCGCCATTCAAACGCCATCTCATATGCTGCTACAAACGGCCGTTCTCACGCACCCTCACTACCGAATTCCTTGGTCCATTCCTCGTTCCTCTTGAGATCCTCTCCGCTGACCGTCGGTCGTGCGCCCTTGATGGCTTTGATGAAGTCCTTTACTTGCAAAGGTGGCTCGAGGAGTTGGTCGGTTTCGACTTGTGTCCAGTTCATTTCCATGGCGCCTTCGTCGCCGGGTGAGCAAGGGGTGAGCATTTCTTTGCCATCAACTTCGACCTGTGAAGGATGTCAGTATTGCAGGTGGAAGTCTCATACATCTCCTTCCACATACCTTTTTGTAGTGTGTCGCCGTCTGAATCTTCCGCACAGGCTGCATCAACGCATCTTGTACCGCAATGGAGATGTCGCTTCCGGAGTAGCCTTCCGAGTATTTTGCTAGTGTTCTGTAATCATCCGCTTTAAGCTCGCAAGGTGTCGATCCAACCGCAAGTTCAAACATCTTCATTCGCGCAGGCTGGTCAGGGAGCGAGATGTGCACTCTTCGTTGGAAACGTCTTCGAATGGCTGCGTCGAGTTGCCAAGGGATGTTCGTTGCGCCGAGAATGAGCACGCCTTTGCTGTCCCTACCCACACCGTCCATTTGTACAAGCAATTCGGTCTTGATACGTCTTGACGCTTCTGATTCGCCTTCGCCTCGAGGTCCACACAGCGCGTCGATTTCGTCGATGAAGATGATCGAGGGTTTGTTCTCGCGGGCCAGGTTGAAGAGTTGCTTGACGAGTCTGCACCATGTCAGCACATATCCTTACCAGACAATGATATCAACACATACCGTTCTGATTCACCCATCCACTTCGACACCAGATCCGACGAACTGACACTGAAGAACGTGCTGTTCGCCTCGGTCGCAACCGCCTTCGCCAAGTATGATTTCCCTGTTCCAGGCGGTCCATACAGCAATATCCCCTTCCACGGCTGCCGCTTGCCAGTAAACAAATGCGGGAACTTGATGGGTAATATAACCGCCTCCTTCAGCGCCTCTTTCGCTCCCTCCAAACCCGCCACATCCTCCCACTTGATATTCGGCTTATCCGTCAGAATCGCACCCGCCAGCGCCCCCCTCAGCTTCTTACTCTCCGGATCTTGATCGTCGTCCTTATCTTCGCCCTTCCCCGCTCCGTTCGATGCCTTGCCGTTAGCACCCATCGCCGCGGGTTTCCGCTTGCCTTCCTGTTCTGATAGATGGTTTTTCAGCTTCTCCGCTCGCTCCATGTATTCGCCTGCTTTCTGCCGTATCATCTCCTTTGACTTGGCGTTCTTCTCCCATTTGAGCGCCAGCATGAACAGCTCGAGTGCTGCGTAGTAGCCCTGGTACGCTTTTTCATAGTCGCCGTTTGTGTCGAATTCGATTGCTTTCTTGACGGACTCGATTGCGCGTCCTAGGAAGTCGGTGTTCGACATGGCGGCGATTACAGGCTGCTATCAGGTAGCAGCGTGGGGTGAGAGCGGTCTCGGTGTGGGTATTCGCAGTGTCTGGATTGAAGCTGAGTCGTCGCGTTCGACGCTCGTTCGTAGATCTCGTGGTTCTGGGGATTCGTAGAGGCAAAGTCGGTGGAGATGCACAGTATGTGGGAATTGTGTGATGCAAGAGTCTCGACCACGCAGTACTGAGTTTGGCGTAGCTAGGCCCGTGCAATTGGCGGGGGAACTGCCGCAGGCGGCGTGAAACAAGTCGTGGTCAAGGTTCACGTGCTAGCGCCTTCCGCACTTTTCGACCTCACCTCGTCCAGACTGGGCACGAGACATCTTCAAATCGCAATTTGCCAGAAGACTGAGCATATCTGGACTCCTCAGAGCTCTTAGTTCATCCACGAAACAACAACTTCCATTTCGACCAACAAAATGGGCGACCGAGCCAAACTCCAAGGCCTCTCAGATGAATACCAGACCCTTCAGACCGGTAAGCAAAGAACCAGCTCCAGTCTCGCCGTATATGCTAACTTTCCGCCAGAACTAAGCAGCCTCGTCTCCGCCCGCCAAAAGCTCGAATCCCAACAACAAGAAAACGAGTCCGTTCAAAAAGTACGAATTCGCTCCCCTTCTCCCAACCCCATTTCGACACGCAACAACTAACGTTTCACCCAGGAATTCAAAACCATCGATGACGACGCCAAAATCTACAAACTCGTCGGACCCGTTCTGTTGAAGCAAGAGCCCTCCGAGGCGAAGAGCACGGTGGAGGGAAGGTTGGAGTTTATTGAGAAGGAGATGTATGTTCTTATTCCTCTCATTGCTCTTTTCGCGGCTCCGTTACTGACGTATATTCGTAGCAAGAGAATCGAAGGCAGCATCAAGGAGATCCAGGATAAGAGTGAGGGGAAGAAGATGGAGGTAAAGATCTACTTTTATCACGACACTACAAGAATATCTGATACTAATGACGTCCCTCGCAGATTCTCCAGATCCAATCTCAAATGCAACAAGCTCAGGCTTGATTGAAGTTCGGCATTGCGGTTCCTCTCGGAAGCCTGACGATGACAGAGACTGGGAAGCCGATGGATGGCTCATACCGCAGACTAGACCTGCGATTGCGGACCAACGCTGTCGAAGGTCTTGCTGGGAGGATTCGCCCACATCGTCGCAGTGAAGGTCCTCTACACGACCACAGGATATGCGAACTGTGGTTTGGGCTGGCTCGCAAGAAAATCATCCGCGCCGGAGCAGAGAGTTGCGGATAGCAAGGCCTCAAGTCAGTCAGCAGCCATGTCTGAGAACACTCCATTGAAGATAGAAGTGACGCAAGCGAACCTGAGAATCCCGTCTCTGGTTCCCATATGGACTCAACGAAATCCTTCGTCGCGAACAGACATTCCTTCCACGCAAGAAATGCACTCGGTGCGATCTTCTGTCCAACCCATTCCTCGGCCAACAGACAATCACTGCCCTTCCCAATCTCCATCATCATCATCGACGCGCCCACTTCCCCCGCCCATCTCCTACTACTCGTCCCTCCCCACCCCCCTCAACAACAACCCCTCAAACTCCTCCGCCCACCTCCGATTCCGATGCGCATCCCCCTTGTTCCCCTTCGCATGCACCGGCTTCGGCCCCACCACAACCTGCACCCCCTCCAACACTCCCTTCGGCACAGCCGGCAAGACGGGAACCCCCCACCCCTTATAATAATCCGCCACACTGAGCCCAAAGAACCTCAAATCCGTACACTCCAGAACACTCCCGCTACTCACCGCCGCGAACGGATCCCGATACCGCGTCGTCTCGCAGTGCAAGTATAACCTCCGAATCCAGAGGCGTTGAGTCGGGGAGAGCGCGATGGAGAGGAAGAGATCCATATCCTCGGGCGTTTTGAACGAAAAGGTATTATCCGCGTACAGATACCCGACCGCCTCGTCATACACCTGCCGACACGTCTTCAGCAGTCCCAAATCGACTTTCCTCCGCCCGGCCGTGCGCGCGGGGCGGAGACACGCCGCATGGCGGTCCTCGTAGTGCGCGACAGAACTCTCTTCGCGGCTGGCGAGCAGGGTCTGGGCGTGCGCTTCCGCGTCCGTGGTGGCAGCTGTGCAGACGGTCGCGGAGATTCCCCAGGGTTTGCCAGCGACGATGTAGACGTTTAGGCGCTCGGAGGGGTGCACGACGGCGTTGGAGAGGAAGCGGCAGTCGATGTGGATGTTGCTGCCGGTGAGGATGTATTGGTAGATTTGGTTGCGGATTTCGGCGGGGAGTTTGGTGAGGAAGGGGGAGGTTTGGGGGATGGTTTTGTTGGTGGTGGTTCTGGGGATGGGGTTAGTTTGGAAGGCATTGTGTCTCGTTGAGAAGGGGAGGGAATGCGAACCGTGACCCTCCTCCCATATTCGATTTCATACTCTGCATCTTGCCGATCTCTGCCTCAGACTCCGTGACGTCAAATATAGTAATGACTTCGAGGCTTGTTTGTAGTCTTACAAAGGTACCATGGATTGAACAAGTAGTTGCCGAGATGGAGCTCTGGAGTTCAAGTACCGACGCGGATGTCGTTTAAGAAAACGCCATCAGAATTTCCCCCTGAAACTCTAATCTCACACGTGTGAAACACGAGGATCCTAGACTCAACGGCTATACACTTGGCAATCCGACTTTGCCGGGGTGGAGAAGAGACGCCCAAAGGCCAACGTTGAAAGTAAAGGTCTTCGAAGCCATTTGCCAGATTGCCAGAGAGAGAGTCAAACGACTTGGTAGAAGTGCAATCCCAGTTTCATTGTATTCTGGTATACCTCCCCCAAACCCAGACCGGACGACTCCCAGCGAGTATTGTATAAGCCGAGCCCTTGATGCTGATGAACAAACGAGCCTTCGCTATACAACCAGCCTCCCACGCAAAATGCTCATCACTCGGCAAAGCACAGAACGCCGCGCTAAACAACCCATCGAAATCAGAAAAGCAGAGATGCCAATGCTACATGACAACCTGTGTCACTGTTAGCGTACGTTCACATTGGTAGGTGGTTTCCACGACTTACACAATCCTTTTCCTTCTCCTGCGCAGGCACGCCCATCTCGTCGAAAGTCTTTGGTCCTTTGCCGGGCGGTCTCGCAGGAGTGGGTGTGGAAGTTGGCTTGGGTGCATGCGCAGGGGTGTCTTTGCCTGGAGGCTTCGGTGCCGTGGAGGGTTGGCCTCCAGATGGTGTTGACTGCCTGTTGTCCGGTGGTGGTCGTGAGCCTGGCCTCGAAAGCGGCTGTTGATTGAAATTTGGCATGCTGTTCTCTCGAGAGTTTGGCATACTGTTTTCTCGATGATCTGACCCTCTCCTCCGTCGAGGCTGCTTCTCTTGATATGTGGGATCTACGGTTGGCGCTCGTGGTTCAAGAGGAGCAGCAAAGCCAAAGTCAGGAGGCCTGCTCTGCCCAGGAGGACCAAGTCCAGCGCCAAGTGCTGCTGGGGGAGCTGTTGGCTGATGAGAAAGATGACCAGGACCTGGAGGTGGTGGCCCTGGTGAAGGTCGGCCGTTCTGCACTCCTGCAGGGCCTGATGCGACTCGGCCACCCATACCAGGTCTCGCACGTGGATCGTTTGGATTCAGAGGACGGCCATCGAATGCGTAAGCGGGCGCAGAGGACTGGCGCTGATCGTACGGCTGAGCAGTCTGTGGTCGATATCCTGGTCCTGGAGGTGCAGGTCCGCCAGAATATGGGCGACCTTGTGCAGGCACAGTTGCAGTAGAGTTCGGGCGGATGTCAGGATGCAGTTGGAAAGCAGATGAAGGGCGTTGCTCTGGGTTCATAGTAGTGGCAGGTCGAGGTGCTTGAGACACATTGAAGAAACCTCCAACGGGGCCTTGCTGACCACCCGGTCTTGGAGGTCCATCCTCAAGCGGATACGGAGCAACTGATGCTGGCCTTGCTTCAATCTTGGGAGGGCCGTTATCTTCAGGGTATGGTGTCCTTGAGGATGCGCGCGAAGGCGGTGCTCCAGAGCCATTCCCATAAGCGGCATACGGCGCTTCTTCGACTGTCCCCATTTGCGGCACTGCCGGTTTTTGTGAGAATCTGCCTGGTCGTTGGCCCCTCATTGAGCCATGCTGAGACTTGATTCGGTTGATTGCGACGTTCTCGTGATCGCTCTTGTTCAAGACCTGCTTCCTCGCGAGTCCTTCCAAACGAGCCTGAGCATCGGTGTTGCCATGCTTCGAGGCTTTGTTGTACCATTCTTCTGCTTTCTCAAGATTCACTGGGACGTGCATGCCGATCTCGTTGAAGTAGCCAAGCGCGAACTCCGCGGTGGGAAGTCCAGAGGCTGCAGCTCGCTCGGCGTAGGTGTATGCCAGTTCTTCGTTCTTGGGGAAGAGACCTTCAGACCCAACCAAAAACCACTTGCTAAGAGCCATGTCAGCATCAGCCTCGCCTTGCTTGGAGGCTAATGCGTTGTAGTGCATCGAAAGAGCTGGGTGAAACTCGCATCCGAGCGAGCCAAGTTCATATAATGACCCCATCTTTGCCTGTGCCTTGGCGAACTTCATGTATGCCGCCTTTTCAATATTGAGCTTCGCAAGTTGCTCGTTGTATTGCAAGAACGTTTCCGGTACGTCGATTTGTGGTAGTTGTCGAGCGAGCAGCATGCCGTAAACGTATGCACCTTGAGCGGCGTTCTCATCAGCCGCTTCAGCCGACCGCTTGATAAGGTCAATACCCCTCGCAAAGTCTTGCTGCTGGCCATGCTGTCCTCGTAGGGTCATCATTCCGAGTCGGTAGCACGAAGCGGCATCACCAGCATCCACGCCTCGATGGTAGTGTCTCAAAGCCTTGATCGGATCGTTGTACGACTCGTAGAGCATGCCTATCCTATACTCTGCCCTCGCGTACCCTCTATCCGCAGCTCTTGAGTAACATCTGAACGCCTCTTTCTTGTCTTCGCGCTGTCCGAATCGACCCCACTCCAACCACATACCGCGAATGAACTCGGCTCGCGGATGGTGCTGGTCTGAGAGGAATGTGACGATGTTCATAGCATCCTGCTTTAGCTGATGCTCTACCCTGGGCGTCGCTGACCGCGCCTGTAGAGGCTTCAACGCTGCCAGTCGCTCTGCCTCATCGGCGCATACCCCACAGTATACCAACGCATCCTGAGCCCACGCCAGCTGCATTTCCGGGTCGTTGGAGTTGAGGACCGGTTGCCGCGCATTTTCGAGTCGCGTTTCGAGGTCATCGTCGGACGGAGGTACGTTCGGCGGTGGGTTGCTAAGCTTGGGGAAGGGCGAAAGGTGAGGCTGGTCTGGAGTGTTGGAATAGGCGCGATTCCGGCTGTTCAAGTCCATGTGCTGGAGGCCGTCGGCGATCTGGTTGGGCATCTCTGGATTTATCCTGCATCTGTGTTAAATCGTTTTCGGAGGGTTATATTATTCATGGTTCGCTTAGAGCTTACTGACCTCTGAGGCTCCGGAGCAACCAGTGGGGGGCTCGCGACGGGCATGTAGTAGTCATCGTCGAATGCGCCGGGGACGAAGGTGGCACTCATGCTGTCGGGCTGGTAGTGGTGGTTGTGGTAGGCCATGGTCGGGGGTCAGCACTACTCTGTGCGCCGTTATATTGGCATGAGAGGGCGTGTGGGGGCCTGCTGATGAGGACGAGGATGGGCTATTTTAACTAGAATGTTGGTTAGAGCGCTTGCTAAAAACGGCAGGCCATCACCCAGCGTCCCAGTCCAGCAGCGACTGTCTCGTGCGCCGCTCGAACAGCAGCATCGAGGAGGGCGGGAGATTGGGCGTGTTGGGGTGGACAATGAAAGGCGCCTGTCCTGTCTTCGCCCAGCTCCACCGACAATGTCGCTGCTTCTCGGCGGAGCGCTTGGACCGGGTGCGTGACGAATGCGGTGACGAACGACGCACCTGGATCAGGCAATAATTTCACCCTCAATATCCGCCTCCTGTTCTCCTGTCTATACGACGTGTCCGGTGGATTGTTGGTGCTGGAAGAACGGCACCCGCGGATGGAGCAGTGGGCGAGGATAATATGGCGGTGCGAGCAATGAGCATGCGCGTACGCGGAAGGTGAAGGATTTGGAGCCCAAGGCTGGGAGAGGTCGCCAGCAACAACACAGCCTCCTCGCCCTCGTCTTATGAGAACACATGTGGGAGACTGCTACGCTACCGGTCATGCCTGTCATCCCATGCGACACGACGAAGCTTGATTCCACCTCTCGCCAATCTGCATCGCCCGTGTCTCGTGGCCGCAGATCCAGCTACAAGAAATGTCCTTGCTTACCGCATCCTCCCTACGCCTTTCGCCCTCAGCCTCCTCGCATTCGTCGGGCTATGGCAACAGCGCGACTGCGAATCTCGCTGATTAGTCTGTCTGACGGGCCGCATGCTGCATGCAAGTCTCGGGCGTGCGTTCCGTCAGCGGCAACGTGCATGCACTGGCATTGCTCGCCGTGGCTGAAGTCGACACTAGACACGGAAATATCTTGAAACAGGCACCAAAGTCAAGGCGTCCAGGAACGACTTCAAAGCTTTCGTGAGCATTGACTGTGTCTGAAGACTTGCTGCCACGAGGTCTCACGTGCGAGCCGCGATGGGCAGAAAGTGTCACATTCACAAAATCGCAGTCGACCACGCTGGAACTAAACGAGTGTCACGACAACGAGATTTGCACCGCAGCAGCCCAAGACTTCATGTCTGGCAACGAATCATAACAATGTTGATTCAGCAAAGTCCAAGGAGCCGGGTCGTCTGTATAAGCTACCCAGAGCCATGGTCTTGAGCTTCACTATCCAACCCACACTCTGCTCAACTGGAAGAGAATGGCTTTTTTAATTTGCGCTTTCTTGACCCCCGAGTCGAAGACGTCCACCTCCCCAAGAACACGCCACTTGCCGTGGCCTCCTCAGCACCTCATTCCAGATCGACGAAGATGTCGATACTCACTTACTTGCTCACAGCGCTGTGGCCGCTACATTCGGCCGCGCTTCCCTCGCAGGCGAGTGCTGTGCCCTCTATACCGCACAATAGCTTGTCTCGAGGTTGGTGCATACTTCCACGAGACAGAACCGCCGCTAACATACTCATAGCAACGAACGAGACAACAATTTTCTGGTCAAATTGTACAGGGTTGAAGACAAAACTAAATCTCGAATGTGCGAACATCACCGTGCCTCTCGATTGGGATCGTCGCTCTTCGCATGAGAACATCACACTTGCCCTTGCCCGTATTCCTTGCACAGAGCCAGCCTCCCGCGTTGGTACTCTTGTGTTCAATCCAGGTGGTCCAGGGGAAGGGGCTATTGGCAGTCTAGGAGTCTTTTCCGATAACATAAAGAAATATTTCGACCTTGGTATGTTGAGTCCAATCTGCGAGCGCCGCGTAGCCGCTGCTAACGATTACGCAGTCGCTATGGATCCTCGAGGTACAGGAAGGAGCGATAAATTCAAATGCCCGCGTAGACAGTTCTTCTGTCCCAAAGGTTTCCCGCAGACAGAGACGGAATACGAAGCTCTTGCTAAGTACAACCGAGACTACGCAGAAAATTGCTACAAATTCGAGCGGCGATATCCTCAAGTATATGGACACTGCCAGCGTCGCTCGAGATCTGGAAGCGGTTCGAATCGCTCTCGGCGAGGGAAAGCTGAACTTCGTGGGTTTCTCATACGGCGCACAACTGGCAGTCACATATGCGGAACTCTTCCCAACGAATTTCCGAGCGATGATGATCGATGGCGTCTCCGACAATACTGTCAGCCAACTAGAAACGTCAATGAGACACGTCAACGGCTATCGAGAGGGCTTTGAGCGATTCGCTACGTGGTGTGACTCCAGCCTTGCTTGCATGCTCCACGGCCGCCATGTCCACAAGATACTCGACCAAGCTCTCGTCAAAGCTGGCGACGATGCGAACTGTCTATCAGACAACCTAGCCATGTGGATAATCGAAGGATGGTGGGGAGCATTGGCAGAACGCCTGGCCATTGCAGCTGGCGAAGACGACATCGTAGCAAGGTACTCCAGTCGCCTGATGGCCACCTTTTCGGATCTTCCGAAGCGGCCTTCCTACACTTACAACTACACCGAACTCTCACCGCCTTGTGAGTCGCACGTGCAGTCTGAGCGCGCACGCATGGCTCACATCGCTGTCCACTGCCTCGATGCGCCCCTCACCAGCCCCAGCCTGTCCGACTTCACCCAACAGCAGCGCATCATCGACGCTTCCAACTCCTCGCTGAAAGATTTTGGCGCCGACAAAGAACTCGCTGCGACCTGCATCGGCTGGCCATTTCCCCCCAGGAATCCTTCCCATCGGCTGAACTTCTCGGTTGAGATCCCACCGATCTTGGTCGTCAACTCTTTGCACGACTATCGAACGCCCTATGCAGGCGCTGTGAATATACAGAACCAGCTGCCCAGTTCTGTGTTGTTGACCACGAAGGTGAATAGTCACTGCTCGTATGATTATGAAGGTAGTCCGGCAACAAGTGTCATGGAGGAGTATATGATTAACGGGAAGTTGCCTGTTCCAGGGACGGTGTTGGATACCTGATCAAAGGCGACGACTGAAATGATAAGTAGAAGATCTTGTACTGATTTGGAAAGACATCTCCCTTTTCTCCTCCCAACTGCTTCACAATCTCACCTCAAAGCGCTGCTTCGGCCGCATAAGGAACATGACACCCCTCACAAACGATCAAAAACTAAACCCTCTCCCACTCTTCCTCACCCACAAACCCCCGGCAAAGACCCTCCCCCACCACTCAGCATCGCCCCACCACCCTGCACCCTAACACTCTCCACCCCAAGCCCATCTTCGCCTCCCCAGCACCCTCCACCTCTCCACTACTCCCACTCTCCCCATCCTCCCCCGCCAACCACCAAATCCGTCCCGACAACCCCCTCCTGCACCCACAACGTCCTCAACCTCCAACTCCTCCCCAAATGATACTCATACCCCTCACCCACGCAGACCTCCTCTCGAAAAATCTCCTCCACACACACCTTCCTCGCGGCAGGTTGCTCTCGACGCCCGTAGACGAGCCGCTTCATCTCCCGACGGGCTTCTTGCAGGCTGAGAAAGACTGCGCGGACGGTGGCGGGGCGGAGGAGGGTTGGTGGGGTTGTGGAGGTGGAGTGGAGCTCTTCGAGGATGGAGAAGAGGGTGTCTGGAGATGAGGGCGATGTTGAGTGGGGTGAGTCGTTCGACGCTGAAGTTTTGGAGAGGGGGATGTCGATTTGCGGAGAGGTGGGAGTTGTTGGGGTCCAGGGGAGGGATTCGTCTTGGAGGAGGGTTTGTTCATTTTCAGTGGCTGCGGAGGAGGTTTGCTGGTTTCCGTTGGTGGTGGTGGAAGAGGAGGACCTCGACTGTGTCTCGGCCATGGTGGCGATGTCCGAAGATGCGAAGTTGTTCATGGTTGCGATGAGTTGGAGTGGCGGTATGGAGTAGGAGTGTCACATTGGAGAGGGCTTGAACATAAATGTTATGGCAGATGTTTGCTCAATTCCTTGTCAGTGTTGCGTTTGGTCCTGCATCTCTTGTTTAACTTGCATCAAAGGAACAACCGTTTCATGCTCATCGAGAATGTCAGACAAACATGCAGTTCATGAGAGTAGGAGACATCGCTTGGAGCACTGAGTTGGCAGGGAGGCGAGATATCAACTCAGGAGAAAAGGAGAATTGAGATGGAAGTTTGAGAGAGGCATAGAGAACTGGATCATGGCATACAGACTTAACATTGGTTTCGCGAGAGACGAACAGCTTGATCATGCCGAGCATGAGTATCGGCACCTAGTCCACCATGTAGAACGTAAACGCTTCGATCTCGCCTACCGTCTCCTCGAAAGTAATAATCATGCTCTTAGTCCTTGATATCGGACATGCTTCCAGACTTAGAAGTTTGAAGGAAGTCTCCCCTTATTCTTCTTCTTCTTCCCCGAGCCTGGCCGGGGTTTCTCGTCGCTCTTGGGAACAACACGGCCTGGCTTGCGTGATGGAGTCGTCTCCGGAGCACCGCCGCTGCTGTCCACGTTCCCGGCGTTCGTGGGCTGTGAATTGCTGGTACTTGGCTGCAATGGCCGCAATGTTGTCGTGACCGGCGCCGTTGGTGCTGTCGGTTGCGTGTTGCTTGCTGCGTTTTCTTGATTCTGCTGATTGACAGCCACGCCTTCATCCCAGTTCGTCAACCACGGAGGCAAGACAAGCTCCCACGGCACGACCTGCATCCAGGACATCCTCGTCCACCCATCGACCGTGATCAACTCATACCCATCGCCCAAGTATTCGCCAGCCGGTGAATAGATCTCCCCGAGAGCGTTGAGCGCTAGATAGTCAACACCGCTCCTGTATCCCACAGGACTGGTAGTTTTGATGAGTTTGCTGAGGTGTTCGATGGCGTCGATGCGAAGCAAGAAGATCGCGCTGAGCCACGTGTGACTGTCGAGGGCGTTGTCAGGGGAGACAGTTTTGACTACGACGGCCCAGAAGTGGTAGTGGGGAAGGTTGCTGAGGGGAAGGGAGGAGACGAGGCGGATTGTAGGCTCAAATTCGTCCATAATTCGATGTTGTGGGCGTCGTGATTTCGTGGTCTTGTGGTTGATGTACTGGGCATGTTGAAGGGTCGACGGGTCTATGAATGATCGCAATGTCTTGGCGTCTGCATCAAAAGACTTGCGACCAGATTACTCGACGTAGCTGGTTTCGTCTGGAACTCGCCTTGTTGTAGAAATTACGGGGAAGTAGTCGCATAACGTCTTACTAGGGATTTCTCCTCGATGTGGAAAGTCTGACATGCTTTGTTCAGTGAGACCTTGATGTTTGGGGCTAGTCGCCATTCACTGCGTACGATCATGCTCGAAGTGAAAAGAGACAGCCAGCAGCTACTGTAGCTATTGTAAATGTAAGCTGAAACTCATCCACTTCCTCTGGGTACAAAACGTAGAACGATTCAAGTAGTAAGGAATTCTCCAACTTATCGATCAGCCTACCAGCGTGCTCTCCATCAATAAGCAATACCCAGGCTCTCCTGAATCCAAAGCATCCTCTCATGGCCGCTTCCAGATACTCGATAATGATACCCTAATCCGATGTACTTTCCACCAGAGAAGATCGCATCCAGAGACTCCTTGTCCTCCAAGAAATCATTGATGCTAGCGTAAGACTTTCGTGGCTTCAGCTCTGATGTCAAGTCGATGATTTGGCCGTGTGGCTTTGCTAGACACGGGTCCTGGGTTATTAGTCGCTTGAGGTAGTTGACAGCATCGACTTCGTCCCGGTAAGCGCCGCAGTAGTCGCTGTGCTTCTGAAGGGCATCCTGTGTGTTGGGATCGTGGGTGTGTAGAAGGACAGCGCATTCTGTGACGCGTACGCCTGGATTGCGACGCGGTTGCTTAGCAGAACTCGATGTCTTGCTATCCATAGCAGATAGTTCACACTTCCTGTCGACCGTTGTTCCTGTGGGAGAAGCTGTTGCCGAACAGTAAGTCATATATACAGTGTATCGCAAACAGATCTGCATCGCATCTAAGGAGCATGGCATTGATCAATTCTCACAAGCGAATGTCTAAGAAAGTGATTCATTCCTTGAAGCCTTTCGGCTTCTAGCAAACCTTTTTGGATCGATCGATGACATCTCCAGCCTGTTGAGCGTCTGAGTTGTGCACACTGCAATCATACGCTGGATAGGTGTCTGCAAGCTCTATCGCGAAGTGAGGTACGATGTCGATGGCTCTCCTGCTGGACATTTGCTGAGTGGATGTTGTTGGCGATGAAGTGGTACTTTCAAAACACGAAGCGACGTCGAGCTGAAATTAGGCGCACGGATCACTAGTCCCGGGCCGGCCGGGTAGATCCTTGCACTTATCGCCAGCCTCCCCTCCATCCAGCCACCGCGAACCACATAACGCGATGTCAGGACGACTTTCACCCACCACCCGCTCTCTTTCGCTCTCTGCTCGACGCACTCACCTCCTCGTCGTCAGCTTAGGCTGCCACCATTCTTTTCACTGTACATTTTGCATCGCGGTGCCTGAAGCCCAACTCAAGCAACGAATCCATCGCCAACGACTTCCCCACACAAGCTTCGATCTACAGCTCCGAGATTCGTGGCCTCGTGCGATTGAACGCCAGTACATGCAACACAGTCAACGCTTGGGCTTCGGTACAACGCCATAGCATTCGTATACACAACATCGACAACGCAATCGCAGCCAAGAACGAATTCAGGCCGCTCCGATCGCTCCACAAAACCCGGCGCATCGCAACCCCAAATCCATCTCCATCCCGCAGCCGACCGAACGCGAATTCAAGGGCAGAAAGAGGCGAACAGCAGCACAGAAAGCTGAAAGCTCTGCAAAGCAGTATCAGCAGGCCATACAACCCGCCAAGTCAAAATGGCGCGCAGCAGCGTGACCCGTGAGAGGGTCATCGTCCGACAGTCCTACTACTGGCCGGATTGGCAACTCAATGTCTGGATCATTATCATGCTTGCAACAGGTGGTGTGCTGGTAGGAGTATTTGCGAACTTCATCGTGGTTCAGTCGCATCTGGGTGGACTTGGGATACCATGGTAAGTTACTGCTTCTAACCAGCCACCGATCCACTGCTAAGGTCTGCGCACAGGATCATGCCTTTCGGAATCACAGTCGGCTCCCTCACGATCATCTTCATAATCCTCATGCTACTCCTCATCATCCAACGACGGCTACTTCCGGGTATACTCATAATAGGATCATTCATCCTGCTTGTACTATACATCACAGGCCTGATCGAAACCGCCATTCAACTCTTCGGTCCGTCCGGCGACATCTCCTCGAAATGCCAGAACTATGTTTTCGACCAGCCACAGAATAGCTTGACCATCAACACCTTGGCGTGGCTGGAACAGAACAGCATATGCCAGAGTTGGCTGGCCGTGTTCTCGTTTTGGATAATCGGAGCCGTGTTCTTGGTGTATCTGATTGTACTGGCGAGTATAGTGGCTCAGGGAGGATATGGAGACTGAAAGTCGTCTCAAGAATGAGAAGGATGTTTTTGAGAACGAGCACAACGAACATGGAATGGCTAGGACTGTACAACCATGGAATGTGGATACAACGGGACATACGGCGGCGTTCACTTGGTAGATACCCAGATCTGTATGGTTCACAGGACATTATTGCTGTGACTTCAAGCGTGTGCAGACAGAGTTCGAACATTGTAGTTCCGCGACTCAAAGCTACAGTACGAGCGAATCTTGGTGCCTCAGGCACTAGCTACTAGGGTTTCCGGCGGTGAGCTTTTGACCTTCTTGCTTCTGGGCGTGTGCTTTTTTCCATCGACATCACACAAGCCGACCACAGCATTTGCCCACGAGAATGGCGTCCCGCACGCCCAATGAAATGCAGCTTAGCGCATGCACAAGCAAACGCCAGCAGGGCTGATGATCGTGGCACTGCTTTCACCTCAGCTCTGCCACCGAGCAGCTGCTTGTGGTGTCGCAGCGGGCGGCCTCAAATTGTGCTATTAGACACGATGGCACTCCGTCCCAGGATTGAAGAGCGTTGAGCCTCTGAACCTTGTCGAATATAATCTCTATTTGAACGAGACTGAAAGCAGAGATGGCTTCCCTGCACTGGGAACCTGCCGATGGGGTCGAAGTCTTGCGAAGGGGTGGGTTCCCTTTCCCATGTGATTTCGGAGTGGTTGTCACTGACGGTCCAAGTGTCTGGAGGCATAGCGAAGGATCGTCCTCCGTTGATAGACGCTACTACACTTCAAGCTAATAATCGGGACCCGGCTGTCCTGTGAGTCTGCAGAATCTGCTGTTCCATACGTTTGTTGACAAGAGCCAACAGTTTCCTCCAGGCGTACAAGTCTGAGCAGCCTACCAACTTGGACGCCACTACAGAATTGTCGTCTGCCTTTGGAATTCCAAGATGGCTCTGGATGACCAAGGAACAAGATTCCAATGGCTACTTCTACGGACGGACGTTGGCGCCGAGAGGACAAACCTCCACGAAAAGACATGTCACGGTGTTCCGCTTCATGATCAAATATGTCACCAAGGTCTTTCCTAAAGAGTTCCGACCGATCCCAGACATATCCTACGACTGGCACATTCTGACATTCGTCACGTACTGGGAAGAAGGCGAAGTCGCTCGGCTGCTCTGCTTCAACAGCCCGCTTCAACTGAAGCAGATGATCGAGCACTCGCTGCGCGAGGCAATCATTGACGATCTACTAGCCCACCCCTTCGCTTTCCATGCCATTGTGATGGAGCACGTTGCGGAACTGTACGATCAAGCCATTTGGCAATTTCGCGACTTCGTACGCGACACAGAGAAACAGCGCATGCTCATCGAGGACCCTCAGCCGGACTACGCAGCCATGCACGAGCTGTCAAGGCATGTAATGCACTGCAGTGAAGTTCTCTCCACGGCACTCAACGTCACGGATCACATTCTGGGGGAGCTTGCCAGATGGCAACATGCGAACGTCCTGCAACCCGCCCAAGACGATCCAGCGCCCGCTATTCGACATCAGAAGTCCATGCTGCAGTTCATGCACAACAGATCAATCGCAGTGGAGGACAGACTGAAGAATGAGATCAATCTCGCCTTCCACATCACCTCGCAACACTCCAACCTCATATCCGCGAAGATCGCCCACGCCGCGCAGGTCGACAGCAGGGCCATGAGAACCATCAGCATCCTCGGGCTTGTCTTCTTACCCGGCACCTTCATCAGTGCCATCTTCAGCATGTCCTTCTTCAATTTCACGCCCGGGAACCAGGAGCAAGCTGCAAGGTGGACAGTCTCCGAGAGGTTCTGGTTATATTGGGTCGTTGCGATCCCCGTCACGGCGTTGACGGTTCTCGTTTGGTGGACTTGGCAGAAATGGGGAGTGCCGCCGACGCCAGAGGTGAAGTTTGTTCAGAAGGAGAAGAAAGAGAACTGTTAGTACAGTATGACGTGACGAACAAGCGTGGAGTTTCACAGGAGAGGATTTCTTCGGTATAATGATCGGAATTTATCAACACATCAGATAACAAAATAAGTTATTGCTATCTCACCAACGAACTACTCAATATGTACACTAATAATGTATCCCTCCAACCCCCCAACCCTATCCCGCATCTGCACCCAGACCTTCCAAACATCCCGTCCCCGAGCCGTCTCCTCGTCTCATCCCGTCCCAAACCACAAACCCCAAACACTCCAATCGCACACCTAGTACGCTAGTGGAAGTACATCGGCCTCGTCCCGCGAGGTACACTTGCTTGGACAGGCTCGCATCCTACCACGGGACGATATGTACGAGCACCATAAGCCGTGCGTGTATATGTCGTAGCAGGGGTGGTGGGGAAGGAAGAGAGTGTGTGACGCGGGACGGGACGGGACACGGAAAGTTGTGCAGACGCGGCTGGGCTTTTTGTGCAGGGGCGGGACGGGATAGATGAGATTGTTTGATGTGGTGTGGAATCGTTGCGGTTGCTCTGGTTAGATATTGTTGTTCACTGCCGTTGGAATCGGATCTTTTATTGCTGGGTGCATCAAAATGAAAAGTCGGGCAAGAGAAGATGCGAGTGACAAATGCATGCCAGGTACACGTAAGGTTGAAGTGGGCTTAATTATATCGAGCCATCGTCGAAGCAAGACGGCAACCGACTCTAGAACGATCCGAAGGCTGCTCATCCATAAAGATAGTACATCTCAAACCTAGTGCCATGCGTTTGCGTGTATCCTCTGCTCTATGCGTTTCCTCAGGGTATACATCCTGCACCGGCATCTACTCATCCACATCCTCTTCACACCAACATTCCCTACCTCGCCTGTTCCGGCTGGCTCATCGTCTTGCTCCTCATGAACTCCTCCACATTCTTACTCTCCATGCCATCGATCCGCGGGTCTTCTGGCTTGCTTTCCTCGGCTTTCGCTTCCTCCTTCTTACCGCCCATTCCAACTGCATTCAGCGCCATAGCAGGCACGGCTTTCGCGGTTTCCACAGCCTGTCCGGCCAACTGCTGTGCTTGCTCAACCATCGTCGGCGCACTGTCGTCTTCCCTCGTCAGGGGCGTCTCTTTGGGAGCTTGGCCCACGGTCCGTGGCTCCATGACTGCGTGTCCGCTTCCCTGGCCGTCTTGTCGGACTGCGGGTGTGCCTTCTGCGAGTGTGCCATCCGCGTGAGTGTTGCTCTGCTGCTCGAAGCGCGTGCTCGAGGTCCCTTCTCTGGCGCCTATCGGTGGTGACGCCACTTCATTCTCGTGGTCCCGGTAGGGAACCGTAAATGTGCCCGCACGCGAGGTGTCTTGTACAGTAGCATTCGGCGACTTGCCAACATTCAGATCTGCGTCTGTCACTCCCATGGCTGCAGCTGGATTCGCCGAACCGTTCGCTGCTGTGCCCTTCTTGCCGCCGGCGGTCGCGTCTTTGCTCAGTGTCTGTTGCAGCGTCGTCGCCCCAGCGCCACTGACACTCGCGAATAGTGCAGAATGAGGATTTCTTCCAGGTGATAACGCAAGCCTTGCTACGTCAGCTTCAGGATGAAGCCCCGCAATAACCTTCTGACGTGGGGTACCGTTCTGCGTTCCAATCGCTACCGCCACGAGGTCGCCGTCGCCGTCGTACTGCCATTTGATTGGTCCTATGGGGAAGGTGCGGTGCCCTTTTTGTCGAATGTCTTCTTTCCAGCGTAGCGAGTCTGCAATCGCTGGCTCGAGAGCGGGCATGTCGCCAAAGGACCATTCGAGATTGCCGCCGTATTTTTTGGGGATGTTGTCAGTATCGACGAATTTCTGGAGTGTGCTGAGCGTGTTGGCTTGAGACAGGATCGAGATTTTTTGCTACTGGAAGTCAGTACACACTTCCAGAACCAACTCTGAGCAATACGTACCACCGTGATTGGATCGAACCATCGTTTCGCCCATTCCCACACAGTAGGGAAGAAGCTAGGTGCTCCCACGACGAAGATACGATCCAGCGTTTCTGGATAATGAGCAGTGGCCAGACGACTGGAATCTTGAAGATGCGCCCTCAAGTTCCAGAACTGCTTGAATCCGACTTTGCTGATATCGACCACGTTGCTGCTCTGGCTCACGGGTGTTTCTGCGCTTGGGCGGTTGGGTATGGCAGAGCACAATGGCAGCACGAACCTGCAGAGGTTCTCATACAGAGCGAACAGCCGCAGCATCTTTCGCGGTACTTTCGACCTGATATCCGGCCCTCCTCCATCCTTCTTTCTGTCTTTGTCGTTTTGATACGCCGTGACCTCCTTAGGGTCAAGGTGTGCGACCTCGAAGACGTAGAAGGGGATTCCACGCTTGTCTCTTCTGCCGGTCCATTGTGGATAAAGTCTCCGCGTCTGCTCGTACTCGTCTATATCTATTGTCTCGTAGAGGTTGTCGAGATCGTTTTCTTGCCGCCAATCCTCGGTGTCTTTGAACTGTCCGAAGGCGTCTTGTGGGATGAACTTGCGCGCACGCAGGTATCGGAGGAGAGTCTCGTCGTCGTGAGAAGGAGGAGTCTTCCCCTCGCCAGGATGGTAATATCCCTTCTGTTTACACAACTCTTTAAATTTGTCGAGCGCGCCCTGCTGGCCCTCGCTCAAATGCCCGACGTGTCCTGAGGGCCACTATACAAGGTCGTCAATATCACATCCGCAGCACAGGAGCGTGTCGCGAGATGTCGGCGCACCTACTTGGAAGGAGTCAACCCGCTTAAGGTCACCACCGTCGATCTGGTCGCTCTTGGAGGAACTCATGGCTAACAGCGATATCCCAGCAGAACGAGTGGATGCCAAGAGTGGAGTTCGTGGGAGGGGGAAAGAGAAGGATCTGGAGAGCAAAGGACGCAGGGAAGCACTTTGTACTTGATCAATTCCTCGGGCCAACTATGTAAGACTGTAATAGCGTGAGGAGGGTTCTGCGGGAGTGTGGTAAGAGCTGATATGACGGCATCACATGTCCGCTCCTGTCCGCCCGCCATGCCTCGTGCTTCTGCGATCGCTGTCAGTTGCGGATCGAGCGATTCCGAAGCGCCGGATTCGAGGCACTTGTGCTGGAGTAGGCAAGGGTTGATGGTGTCGGTGTGAAGAGTGAACTGAACGCGGCCGTTTAGAAGCCAACAGGATGTCTAGTCCCGCAGCGGTGAGGCAACTAAATATTGATTAGATCTTTTTGATGAATGTCAGAGCCACGGCGCGGTGAAGCTCACATCATTCCACGCGGAACCAGGTCCGTTCTTCGCGAACGTCATCGCCGACCATTACTGTCCCCAGTCGCATGCCACTGTACACCTGACATCGACACACGACCCAACGCAATGGCGTCCTCCACAAACGATATGACCGAGACGCCCAACCGTTTATTCGCTCTGCCCGATGAGCTGCTTGAAGCAATTGTTTCATACTTACCACCGACGGCCACACTCTGCTTCGGCACGACATCCCGCCGAGCGAACAAAATCACATACGAACCTTTGGTATGGCGTCGCCACTGCACCAGCACATGGCGGTACTGGGAAAAGAGCCATGTGCTAGAAGAGAGGCTCGAGCTTCCACCGACCCGGACTAAATGGCGGCACTTGTTCAATGAGCGACGGAGGATTGATCGAGAGGCGCAAGAGCTATTCGATCAGATGCTTACGACACAGCAATGGCGATTCGAACGAATGGAGAAGATCGCCTCCTGGGGATACGATGTCAAAGACTTGCTACTACAGCTAAGAGATGCAACGCCGGACGATGCAGAAGATGCCTTGTGCCGACGATACTATGCCAATGCGATCTTGGGGCAAGTACATCGAGCAACGGCTTTGGAGAAGTGGACGCGCTTGCAGAAGAGACAGATGGTGCGGCTGGAGGAGATACTAGGCGCATACGATCTTTTCGTTCTGAGTGGCGAGAAGGGAGACTTGGATGATATGGATCGCGAGTTCGACAGGCTCGCAGCAGCTATCAGGGCACGGGATGATGAATTCGACGATCTCCCAATTCGAAGAAAGGCAGTACAAATTGCCAAATTCTTGAGAAGTGAGAACCTGGTGGGCAACCCAAGCGAGGACGACTATCACGCATTGAGGAATAACTTCATCAGCATGGCCTTGTTTGATGAGGTACATACTTCATTACCTCTGCAGAGTGTCGCCATCTACTGTGCAGTGGCGAGAAGACTGGGCGTCAACGCAAAGCCATCGAACTACCCTCAACACGTTCACGCAGTCATTGAAGCTCCCGCAGATCAAACTCTTGATGGCAGACCCAAGATACCCACGCAAGGCGACGAGCCAGAGCTGATGCATATGGATCCGTGGCGTACCTCTGAAGAGGTTCCAAATGAACACCTCACGCTGCGACTCCTACAAATGGGGGCTCCTGCACAGCAGCACCATCACCATCTCGGTGCCACATCTACTCTCGAAATCGCCATGCGGACCAGTCGCAACATTATGCATTCTGTACAAGAATCTCGCGAACGCCAACGAGGCATCTCAAGACGTGTTACACATCCTGACATTGAAGCAGCCTGGTACAGCATGCTCTGGTCCATGCTTGTGCTAGGCGACTCCAACTCAGCCACGACCCTGCACCGCCGTCGCCAATGTCTCCCGTACCTCGTCGACCACTTCCAAGCACACTTCCCGGAGGACATCGGTCTGATTGAGAAATTTATACCACCCATGTTTGAATCTGAACGAGAACACAACATCCTGATGCACCTCATCACGACAGCACGCACCGCCGATAGAAATCGCAAAGCACCCAGCGAAAGAAACGAGCGAACCGAAAGCGTGAGGCTCAAGATCGGCACACACTTCAAACACCGCCGCTACGGCTACGAAGGCGTCATCGTGGGCTGGGACATCAAGTGCGGAGCGGAGCAGCGATGGATGGAGCAAATGCGCGTGGATGACCTGCCGCGAGGAAGGGAGCAGCCATTCTACAACTCTGTGTATGCCTCCCCGCCGAAACGCTCGACACGAGCGTACTACTACGTCGTTGGCAGTTCAGACGCTAACGCTTCTTCTCCTAGCGCGGACGACAAGTCGGTGCGGTATGTAGCGGAGGAGAACATCGAGGTGGATGAGAGTGAGCCGAGTCCGGTTTTGATGCAGTTGGCGGGCAGGTACTTCAAGCGGTGGGATAAGGAGGGGAGGACATTCGTGTCGAATATCAAAGATGAGTATCCCGATGATTAGATCCCGTACAGCATACTCGACAACCAAATACACTACAGCATCTGCGCAGCTTCCGTATGCGTCACAACCCCCTGATCCCTCTCCTGCTCCCTCCTCCTCGCCTCCATCCTCTCCCGATTCCTCCTCCTCACGCCCTCGGTCCTCTCACGCACAAGCCTCGCCACGTCCTCGACCGGAATCTCCCCTCGCGCCCTGTACTCCTCGATCCTCCTCAGAATCTCCTGACAGTCCATCCAGATCCTCTCGCGGTTTCGCAGACCCCTCAGAGATCTATACTTTTCATCGTTCTCCCGTTCCTTGAGGAGGAGATAGAGGCGATGCCAGTTCGTCCGCGTGGGATCTAGAGTGTTTGGCACGGGGACGGGGTTGCGGTTTTCGGGGGCGACGGGGTGGGATTTTAGGTCTTTTTCGGATTTCGTGGTCCAGAAGGAGTATGTTGGGAGGGGGGTTGAGGGGTGGGCTTCCCAGAACCAGGGCATTTCTTTCAGGAGGAGGTGGTGCCATAAAGAGATGGGGAGTTGGCGGAAGGCGCGGGAGGAGAGGCGGAGGGAGGCGATGGATTGCGAGGGGAGGTCTTGGAGGATCATGAGGCGGAGTTCTGCGGGGAGGGTTGTGAAGGGGTCGGTTTCTTGGGTTGATGTTGGGGGTGTGAGTTGGGAGGATGGGATGTCGAAGGCGCCTTGGCCGACGTCGAAAGACGGGTCTGAGCTGATGGTGGTTTGCAGCTCGTCGGAGAGTGTCGGCATGAAGAGCGGGTTGCACACGATCCATTCGCTCCCCACGGCGTGATCCCACCACTGTTCACGCAGTCCGGTGGTTGGACCCGCCCGAGGGAAGGCAAAGAACATTTCAAAGTCCGCTTCGTTCTCATACCATCCCCACAGCCCGGCGATATCGACTTCGCCGCTCTTCGCGTGCGACGCCCGCTTGAAGACCTCGAGACACCAGGGGTGGAACGGCATGCAGGCTGCCTTGGCGTCGGTGTACACGCTATCGATCATGCCGTTCGTCACGTTGGGTTTGCGGACGCCGTGGCGGGCGGGGTGAGTTTCGGCTGATCCGCCGTCCATCGTCTCGGGCATGTCGTCGGAGATGCCGCTGAGGAAGACGTCTTCGGTGCGTTCGAAGGCTTCGTCGTCTGGGGCGGATTGAAAGGTCTCGGTTTTGCGGATCAGGGTCTGCCAGACGCGGCAGTGTTGCATTTCTTGCAGGGAGATGCGGTGGCCGATGTAGCCGTTGCCGTTCGTGCAGTTGGGGCCGGCGATGTGTTCTGCACCTGAAGGTTTCCCGCGTCAATACTCATGTCGAAGGAGAAGCGGATTGGGAGGTACTTACTCATCAGCTCAACAAACTGTTCCAGCAGCGGCGGCTCGTCATCGTCCTCGTCGTCTTCAGCGTTAGGAGCAAACTCCTCCCCCTCTCCATTTCCATCTCCGCCTCCCTCGTCATCTTCCCCCTCGACAACTCTCCTCTTCCAGGGATCCTGAAGCACATCCTCATCGAGATCCCGATCAACGATCATACATCCTGACTTTCGACCACAGTTCTGGATCGTGCCCTCCGCGTCCACAAAGTCGGAGCCGTAGTAGATCCAGGCGGCGGATCTGGGCTCGTCCGGGCGGCGGATGCGGGCGATGTTGAAGGAGACGCCGCAGATTTGGCAGAGTTGCTGAAGTGTATCTCAGCAAATAGATGTATCAGTGACGTACGCAGGAAATTTCGCGTACCTCTGAATAGCCCATGATGTCCACGCGAAAGACCGCCGTCAAAAAAGCTCAATCCGCCACAGGGGTCGTCGTGGAGTTGGAGTTGTAGTAGAGGGCGCCTATGAAAGTATTTTCTCCCTTCTAATCTCAAAAGAGTATGTCAATGAATCGGAGACTTGGCTTCATAGTTTCGTATTCCAAGGCCTCAGCTCCTTTGCCACGACGGTGCAACGTGCCGGGCCCAAGGCAGACATCGCCCGAACGAGCATCACAGTGGAGGCTTGGGTTTGAGTTCTAGGCCATCATGCCAATGAAATGTTCGACTTATCTGTGAGCTTGACATGAATATTGCTCTGCAAACATTGCATGTCTTTGCCTTCTCAAAAGAAGGGCGTTGATGGCAAGAAGTGATGTTCCGTCTTGAGAAGTAACGCGCTGATTGGCTCGCTTGGCTAATCCTCGGTCCAGTACTATAAGCCTATATATCCTGGTTTGCGTTCTCATCCAATTGACGGCGCGGTTGGGTTAATCAGCATTCACCTTGCCTTTTACCAGATGAATCCTTGGTCCACCGCGATAAGCCGCATTGTCAATCTTTGGAATTCTCAGTTCGATCAACCGAACTTTTTGTTTTTCTATTGAACCTTTTTGGCGCTTTGGCTATCGATGAGGGTGGATGTGCGGTTTTTTGTAATTCTTTTTTGGTGCGGTGGAGGGCGGGACTCGAACTGAGTGTCGAGGTCGCGAAATTCGATCATTTTGACTTCAATGTTTGCATCACATGTAATCTTGTAAGGATTGAGTGGAATTGTGCAAGTTTGTAGTAAGCATTTGGTTGCACGCTTCATTCTCATCACTACGAACCGGTATGTTTGCAAATATTCCATCATGGTGCGCTGTAATAATTCAATCTTTGAATGTGATGCGCAGGGCAATCGCTCAAGTTAAGCCTCCACCAAAGCTATTGAGACTAAAGACATGTCCCATTGATGATTACTGAATCCAACCCTATCACACCTCACCGTCGCCATGCCGAATCCCCAACAAAGACCGAATCTTGAGAATCCCAAGCATATGAAGAACATACCACACCGCCCATACAATAAAGAGTATGCCAAATAAGACAAGCAACGCAATAAACATGGCGATACCCCCAGTCCTCAAAATCAACACCGACAGCGCAGCTTGCTCCAGCATCGAGCCCTGGGCGAACGAGATGAGATAGCCAAGCACAAGGTATATCGAGTACTTGTCCGGCATCTGGGTGCACGACATAGTGGCTTCATCTCCAGTGTAGTCCGGGTCTCCGAGTCTGTTCCAGGGTTGGCCGTAGGTACAGGTCGTGAAGACGACGCCCCCGAAGTCTGGATCTTTGTAGGCTGTGTATGTCCTCGGATCGCCCACGAGTTCTTCTTCGAAGAGGAATGTGACGATGCGACTGGCGCTGAAGTCGTATTCCATTCGCTTGACTCGGCTGTTGGCGGTGGAGATGTTCTTGGATGCTCGTCGATCGATGTTGAACTGGACCGCTTTGTAAATTGACGTCCTGCTTCCCGAATGGCTGGCCGAAGCATCGTGACGCTCAAGTCTTTCGTGGGTGCAGTCGACGGGGGTACCTCTTGCCTGCCTTATTGAACGTGTATCAGCGACCATGTCTGCCGGCCGTGAGCTGTTCTTCTTTTGGCCGAATCCAGCAATGAGTTGGCCTACTGGAATCTGACTCCAATCAATGCGGTGACAGTGTTCCTCCTCTGTCCAGCTGTTTCCTTTTTGCTGCACATGACTGACGCACTTCTGAAAGTCGAAGTCGTGCGGCGTATCCATCACAGCCATGTAAGAAACTGTGTCTTTCGTCCACGGAGTATGAGGTGTAGTGATGTTGGGAGATGTGACTTCGAGCTGCCGACCACGATGAGGCTCTCTCCTCTTGATCAAATCTTGGCCGTTGAGAAGGTCTTTCGGAATGAAGTCATTTGACAGTGGCTTTCTGTCTTTGCTCTTCCGTCCAAAGCCTTCAATTCTCTTTCTCGCTGGCACGTCGGCCCATTCGACATCAACACAGGTGGGACCACATGCTTTGAAGATTTCGCACCCGTTGTTGTCTATCAACATCAGGAATTTGCGGTCGTCGCGATGTGGATGGTGTCGATTCTTCAACTGAGTGTTGGTTTCGCTGCTGCTACGCTCGTAGTCTGTGTTCGTCTGCTTCGAGTCATAGGATTTGATGAAGATGTCCTCTTCCGCTCGTTCGAAATCACCGAAGATAGGTCCAGCAACGTATGCGCCCCGAGGAACGACTCCACCACTTGCAGGCTCGCATCTGGCCTCCTTCATGTCGATGTTGGCCAGGTAGAACCAGGAGCATCTATCGTAGTCGCCGCCTCCGACCGCTTCGTACTAGGAATCATTGTCGCTTGCGGGTGGGTCTGACACCTCACAATCTGCTGAATGTAACGGTGCGGCTGTAGCTAGCAGTATCACGGCCGCGAAGGTCACGGTAGTCCATTGTGAAATAGTCATGTTCAAGCACGCCAAGGAAGGAAAACTCAACAGTGTTGTACGTGAAATGCATGCATTTATCGGGGGAAAGAAATCAAGTGAAGAGGAGAAAGGCTGGATAGGCGTGCCTGCTCCTAACTTGTGGGAAGGCGATGTCCTGTCTGCTAGAGTCTGGGGTAGCAGCAAAATGTGCTTATGTTTGTTGGCAAGTGCGATGGAAGTGAATCGTGATGTGTATTCTCTGCCCGGATGATCTTTCTACCAAGATCACATACGCTAAACAGGCAAGGTGTACGAGATCAATCCGAGCAACGACCCCACGTCTTCCAGCACCTCTTCTGCCGCTTCCATCTCCTCTTCGATAACTTTGCCCAATTCATCGTAGTCACAATTTCTGGAGAATCCCCCTCAGCTATGCAAATGGGGCAAGTGGTCATGCTGGTCGACTGCAGCACGCCGGGACGCCGCAGCTCTGACCAGGGCGACCGAGGACCGGTGAGGCTGAGGCGGGTCCTCCATCGCGTTGGTGATGCGCATTTGACTACACGCTTGCCGTCTTGCGCAGTGTTTGTGTCGAATTAGAGGGGTAAGTAGTCTCAAGAATGAATGAATGATGGGGGGATCGGCGGTGTCCGAAAAGAGTCGCCTTCGCAATGACTGGTCAATGATTGTTGCCTTGGCGGGTGAGTACAGCGATTGACTCAAACGGGCTCGAATGGCATATATATTATTGTGCAGCTGAGCAGGCAGCTTGCCGACACGAGCACCAGCCACAACGTCAGCTCGACTAGCAAACAGTCATCGCCTCGTTTGACTTCCATTACTTCCACTACGACTCCTCCACTACAACTACCACCACCTATATCGCACGTCTACACTCGCATGCACCCAGCCATAACTCGTTAACACACACACCACGCTTTCAATCACCGAGAGCGTACCATATACTCTCCTAACCCCCAGCATGGCGGCCGAACAACAGGCCAACACGGCCAAGCACTCCTTCCTCGACACCACCTTTCCTGTCGACCTTCCAGAGATCGATGAGCTCACATTCTCCAAGGAGCAGTTCAACACATACTTGAAGTCTCTCAAGGCCGACAGAGCCGCCGCCGCCACCTCGACTCCACTCGCCGTCCGCGCCAAGCCAAACGATGATGCCGAGCAGAAGGATGTCAAGCAAGAAGATGTCGCTAACAACACGTCCAGCCAGGACAAGTCCGCCTTCATGGATGGCCTACTGGCTGATAAGGCCACTGCACCAAGTTTCGATGAGCGGGATGGCAAGATGCTCACCGAGAACGCCGACGTAGCCCACAGCACCTCGGGTGAGCCTCTGGTCGATCTCTTCTACGAGCTGGAGGGTGTCGTCGGTGGCGACCGCCTTCGCCATGTTCTCGAGAAGGCCTGGGCTACCGACGCTGAGTCAACTCTCAAGATCATCTGGAACGCTCGCTCTATCCACCTCGGCAAGAGCAGCCGCAACGTCTTCTACCAAGCTGTTGGCTGGCTGTACACCAACCACCCAGCTACCCTCATCATCAATCTCCCTTGGCTGGTGCGCCCACTCATCCCCAAGAAGGCACCACAACAGGAGCAGAAGGGAGAAGAGAAGGGAGAGGCCAAGCAGGAGGCCAAGGATGTCGATAGTGACTTTGAGATGATCGATGAGAAGGAGCTTCCAGGCCAGCCCGAGACTAAGAAGATCAAGCTTGACGAGGATGCCGCTCTATCGGAGTTCGATGTCAAGTACGGAGTGGCCCACGGTTACTGGAAGGACCTGCTCAACATTCTGGCTCTTGCTGCCAACGACGAGCTCAAGTTTGATGGCCAGCCACGCACCATCCTCAACGTGGAGAAGCCAAAGGGCAAGCCTCGCGACCGTGACTGGACAGAGGGCCGCAAGAAGGCCATCACGCAAGCGCGCCACGACAAGATTGTCAACAAGCTCAAGACCGACCCCATCTACAAGGCACTACACGTCAGCGTAGCACGCCTCTTCGCCGACCAGCTCAAGCTCGACTTTGATCGCCTCCAGTCTAGCGCCAAGCAGGATGTGAAGGCCATCACTCTTTGCGGAAAGTGGGCACCAACCCACAAGGCCATGCACGACCAGCACACCTGCATCGTCACCTCGATCGCTGAGTTGCTCTTCTCTTTCGAGGATGTCTGTCCCGACGCCGACCCAGGCGACCGCACTCTCTACATCAAGCATCTTCGCCAGCGGTACCACTTCACCATCCCCAAGCTTCGCAAGCATCTTCAGATCGTTGAACGCTCCATCACCGCTGAGAAGTTCGACGAGATCAAGTACAACCGTGTGCCATCTCTCGCCATGAAGCAGTACACACCACTCTTCGCCAAGAAGGACTTCGATCGCTTCGACAAGTACATTGAGGATGTCGCTCAGGGCAAGGCTACAATCTCTGGTGCCACTCTCCTCCCTTCCACTCTGGTGCGAGACGTTCTTGGTGGTCCTAGGATGACGCACGGCCGTGGTTCTGTGACGACTACCCAGCTTGTTGAGAAGAAGATGCATGACATCAAGCTGAAGAGTCTGGGAGGGCAATGGTCGACTCTTGTCCAGCGCATCAAGGACTCGGGCACTTTGGAGTCTTCCATCGCCATTGCCGACGTGTCAGGCTCCATGCACTCTCCAGTCTTCCCTGACTCTACCCGTCCCATCGACTCGTCCGTTGGCTTGGCTCTCCTCATCGCCGAAGTCACCAAGCCTCCATTCGGCGGCGCTTTCATCACCTTCTCTGATCAACCTCAAGTCATGCGTGTTGGAGGTGACTCAGACAAGCGTTCGTTCAAGGAGAAAGTCGACTACATCGAGCGCTCGAACTGGAGCATGAACACCAATTTCGTGTCCGTCTTTGAAGACCTCATCCTCCCCATGGCCATTGAGAACAAGCTCACTCAGGAGGACATGGTCAAGCAGGTCTTCGTGTTCAGCGACATGCAGTTCGATGGTTGCGGCGGCGGCCAGCGCTGGACCACCTCGTTCGAGCGCATTCAGAAGAAGTACAAGGATGCTGGCTATGAGATGCCACAGATCGTCTTCTGGAACCTGGCTGGCGGTCGAAATGGCACCGCTCCCAAGCCTGTCACTGCCACTGAAGAGGGCACGGCGCTTGTCAGCGGATACAGCCAGGGTCAGCTGAAGATGTTCCTTGAGAACGGTCAGTTCGAGGACCCAGAGGAGGAGGACGTGATCGGGCAGACGGAGGATGGCGACGAGGTTGTGATTGAGAAGAAGACGGAGAAGAAGAAGCAGGACCCTCTGGCGCAGGTGAAGCGGGCCATCTCTCACGATGCGTACCGCATGCTCAAGGTGGTTGATTAGATTTGGAGTCTTTTCGCACTGGGATAGCGAGGCGTTTGGAGGCGTAGGAGACATGACGCATTTTGGGGATACTGACGACATTATGAGTGCATGGTGCAGCGAGTCTGCATAGGACATAGTAGTCCATACTTGGAATGAAGCCATAACTTCAATCTTCCTTCATCGTCTGCAGCGATAGCCTCACTTCACTTGACCGTTACTTCTCGCCGGATCTGCAACAACCCCCCTCTCAAATGAACAAAATCACGGCACCCCCCTCCCCGTCCTCGTCGCCTTCGCCAACTCACTCTGCGCCGTATCATCCGCATACCTCTGATAAATCGGCAAATAAAACTCCCGCTCACTCGTCGTGTCCCTTATACTCGGCCTTTCCTCCAAGGCCTTCTTCCACTTCCTGAACCGCGCCCAGAGAGCTTCGTCTTCGCCGCCTTGGCCTTCGGGTGGGATGCCGAGGCCGCCTTTGAAGTGGTCGAAGATCCAGAGGCGGATCTACCCATACACAAAACAATATTGTTAGCGTGTCATGAACGAGGTATCGAGAGGGAGGGGGAGGGGGTAGGAATAGTGCAGGGGGACATACAATCCAAGGCGCCACGACAAAATCAATCAAACTCGGCTCCTGGCCCCCAAAGAAAAAAGGCCCCTCCCCATGCTCCATCATCTCCTGGGTAAGTTCCTTCAAAACCCCCAAAAACTCCCCCCTCACCCTCTCCAACCCCCCCTCCTCCCCATCCCCACCCCCATCAGAAGACTTATTAGAAGGCTGCCACTGCAAAAACCGATGAAAACCCGTCACAACCCTCCCCGTACAGAACCCCACCCAAATCCTCGTCTTCGCCCTCGCATAAACATCCTCCGGCATCAACCGCGGTGCACACCCCGGGTACGCTTCCTCGAGGAACTCGCAGATCACGGCGGATTCGTAGAGCGGTCGGGAGTCGTACTGTAGGGTGGGGACGAGGCCGCGCGGGTTGAGGGCGAGGAGGGAGGGCGGTTTGTCGTAGGGGTTGACTTCGATGTATTGGTAGGGGATGTTTTTCTCTTCGAGGAGGGCCCAGACGCGTTGGACGAAGGGGCAGAACCAGCCGGAGTAGAGCTTTAGGGGTTGGGGGGCTTGATGGGCGTCGACGAGGGCTTTGGCGGGGCCGGTGGCCACGGGGTGGAGGTTGGAGTCTGGGTGGGAGCCCATGGTGGATGTCTTTTGATGCAGATCGAATGTCAGTCAGTTGTAGAACTGGTGGGAAAGGTGATATTGAACCGTTGATTTGATGCTGTCTGTCATTAAGTATTAAAGAGAATACTGTATCTCAAATGCTAATCATCGTGTCGCATGACGTTTGCAGTGGGGTATCATCACACAATGTCAAATACCAGTACCTGCCCCTCCCAATCCATCCCATCCTTGAGCTCCAGCCCGGTATACTTTTCAAACGCCGACTTCTATTCATTAATAATCGCAGTTGCAGAAAGTCATTCCTGTCGTTATTCACATTACTGTGCAGCCCGGCTTGATGAATTCGTCGCCGTAGTCCCTCGCTAGCTGTGCCATTTCGTTCTCCTTCTGTCGTTTCTTCACTTCCATCGGAAAGTAGATTTCTAAGAATTCCATCGTGTCCATGTCGAGGTTCTTGCCGTTCGCTTGCATGACCGTCTCTGCGTTGCACATTGGGCATTTCGTCATTCCCTTTGCTTGCAAGTCGATTACGCATCGGATGCAAAGAACTGCCCGGCAACAGCCCAGGTTCACCGGACGCCAGGCCATCTCGCAGCACACCGGGCAGATCCAGTCGTCGAGCTGTGGCACAATTGCGAGGACTTTCGTCCCCATCTCAGCTTGGAGATCGCGTCCGATTGAATCGGCAAAACCGCTCTTGTTGGACTTGATCTCCGGATACTTGACGATGAGGTTCTTTGCAAACTTATCTCCTTGCAAGTGTGTTCGCTTGTCAAACTTCTTGAGAATCTTCCTCATAGCCCTGGCATTCATCTCCTGGAAATGCATCACTTTCAAGATTTGCAAGTTCAGGTCGAGGAATTGTTGTGCTGCAGCTTTGGCTTTTGGCGTCTTCATCTTGGCAAGCAAACCCGTCTCGCGAAGTGTTTGATCATAGTTCTCGAGATTCTTCTTGGCCTCATCGAATGTGATGGCGCCCCGCTTCTGTTCTGTCTCGCTGTAGAAGATTGGCTTTTCGAGGTACAGTCGGAACATCTCCCTCCAGAAGTACAGGTCGCGGTAGCTGATCGATCGCTTGGCCTCATATCCTTCTCTAACAGGCTGAACGACGTCTTCAACCAGGTCGCCAAGATCGAGTATCTTCTCCTCCAGATTGCGTGTCTCGGCGTCGCGCAAAGCATCGAGCTCGGCCAGCTTGGGTTCAAGCATCTCGAAGAAGTCTTGTGCAGACGCGAGTGGTACGTACACCCATCGAGCATCCTCCACATCCGGCGTTACCGACTCTTTGCGCTCAGAGCCGTCGTGAACAGGTGCTGTCTCACCGAGTACCTGTGGTTGTTTTGGGCGTGCTTGTGCTTGTGCTTGCTCCAGACGCTTCTTTCGACCCTCGACGACCATCTCATGCCTCGCGAGCTTTTGCAGAGAAGCCTTGGTTTCGGGCGCAAGTCTCGCGTCAAGCGCCCTACCCGTCTTACTGTCGACCAGTACCTTGAGTTGAGGAGCGAACTCTTCTTGGATTGGAGAGAGATCTGGGTTGGCAGCCGAGAGATAGTCTTTGGAATCGGTCGCTGCTGGGTTGGGAGTCTGAGGCTGAGCCACGAGGTCGTTCATGGCGGCCAAGGTGTGCTCGTCCAGTCCCAGGCTCTCCAGCTCTTTGTGTACCCGCTTGATGCATTTCTTCAGATGCTTGTAGTCGATGGCGCTGTTGACCCATTGCTCGGGGTAGCCCTCGCTGGCCAGGGCCGTCTCATATTCGTGTCCGAACTTCATGGTGGGCGTGTCATGTGATATCGGGTGGTTGATATGGTACTCAGGTGGGGTGCTTTCCAAGTAGGTTTTATGGAATGCTGATCGGTAAAGTTAGATGCTCCTAGGTGGCGAGCAAGGGGGCGCGAGGTTGTTAAATAGACGGAGGGAGGAAGAAAGAGTGAGAGATTTTCGTGCGAACTTGAACCTTAGTTGAGGCGGGTAGTGTCTTCGGCGGGCGCTCTCAGGCCAAACTCGACGCAGTGGGAAGGAAGGCACGAGACCTTTTGCTCGCCAGGCAGCAAATGAGCGTGCAAGCGCGTGCATGTGCAGGCTGAGGCGAAAAGCACGCACGCTGTGTGGTCAATGGAGCCTGGTTATCCTGCAAACTCTGCAAGGATGACGGACGAGGTCGGCGCCAAGATGACTGATAGAGTTATTAGAGTTCGACGACGTCTCTGACAGGGCTTAGCGCTGCCGAGACCGGTGGCTGTGCGTCACCCTCCTCACGTGGCGGTCCAGAATGCTAAACCTTCGGCGTTCGTGCCGCACCGTGGTGGTGGAAGGCACGAGACTGTCTGGATTCTGCGTGCTGCGCATGTGAAGATGGGCCAGAGCCAGTCGTCGGGCGGGGGCAGCACCGCCACGGGAGGCTCCCAAGATGTCAAGACCAGCTACTACGTCCTCCTCGGGGTAGAGCGAACGGCGACAGAGGACGAGATCAAGAAGGCGTACCGAAGAAAAGCACTCGAACTCCACCCCGACAGGAACTATGGCAACGAAGAGGACGCGACGAGACTCTTCGCAGAGATCCAGTCTGCGTACGAGGTACTGTCAGACCCTCAGGAGCGGGCTTGGTACGACAGCCACGAAAGCGCCATCCTGCGAGGTGATGACGGCGGAGAGGCCGGTGCCCCAACGTACGAGGACGTACGCGTAACCACGGCCGATGACTTGGCTCGCATGGTGAGCAAGTTCAACCGCAATGTGGAGTTTTCCGATTCCCCATCTGGATTCTTTGGATACGTGAGGGAGACATTCGAACAGCTGGCCAAAGAGGAAGATATCGCAGCAAGTTGGGAGGATGTCGAGATTCGAGACTATCCCAGTTTCGGTCACAAGGACGATGACTATGGCGATGTCGTCAAGCACTTCTATGCCGCGTGGTCAAGTTTCTCAACGGTCAAGCCGTTTTCCTGGAGGGACAAGTACCGGTTATCAGAAGCACCCGATAGGTGGTACCGACGACGTATGGAGCAAGAGAACTTGAGATTACGAAAAGAAGGCAAGCAAGAATTCAACGAAGCTGTACGGTCTTTGGTAGCATTCATCAGGAAGCGGGACCCTCGATATGTACCCAACACGCAAACGGAGGCTGAGCGAGCCAAGATTTTGCGTGACGCTGCAGCTGCACAGGCTGCTCGAGCACGGGCGGCGAATGCTGAAAAATTGGCCGCTGAAGATATCCCAGAATGGACCAAGGTTCGGGAACCCGAGGAGCTGGAGGAGAGCGAGGAGGAAGAAGTCGAGGAAGAGATCTTCGAGTGTGTCGCATGCAACAAGACTTTCAAGAGTGAGCGGCAATGGGAAGCTCACGAGAAGAGCAAGAAGCATCAGAAAGCTGTGAAGACGCTTCAGCACAAGATGAGGAAGCAGAACGCACATCTCAATCTGGATGAAAGCGGCACTGAAAGCGGCGTGGCGACTCCTGATGTAGACGACGAAGAGGAGGAGGTTCTCGACGATCTCGCCGTCGAAGTAGAAGACCATGAAGCCCAGATGAATGGAAAGGAAGACGATGACGACGAACATATCGACGACCTCGAAAAGGCCGATGACGACGACGAAGATACAGGTAGCGACAAGGATTTCCCCAAAGACAACACTCCCGACACAAACGACGCCGAAGTAAAAGAAAAATCAGCATCACAAAGCGACGACCCCTCCAACTCCGAGGACGAAGACGAAGATTACGCCCCTCGCGAAACCATCCAAGCCCGCATGGCCTCCGCCAGCCTCGACCCCTCACCCAAAGAACCTTCCGAAGAAGACGACTCACAAGCCTCCAAACCGAAGATCGGCAAGGCGGCGCAGAAACGAGCAAAGAAGGCTGCTGCGGCGGCGGCTTCGGGTCAGCAGGCAGAGGCGGCGGGACATCGGTGTCAGGTCTGTAATGAGGAGTTTTCGTCTAGGACGAAGTTGTTTCAGCATGTTGAGCTGGAGGGGCATGCTGCGCTGAAGACTGTGGGTGGGGGTGGGGGGAAGTGGAAGAAGGGAAAGGGGAAGCGGTGATGATCCAGTAGCTTTGCATGCTGCATGAGGTGGCGTTGAGAGAGAAGGAGAGCATGATAAACGCATAGCGAACGGCGTTGAGATAGAGATGAAGATACCCCATACACATAAAACATCACATCAATCATAAAAAAGCCTCAAAACTTTTCACTACAACACCCACCGAAACCTCTCATTCTTCGGCCCCTCCTTCAACTGCTCCGTCGGCACATCCCTCGCCGTCAACCGCACCCCCTGCTTAGAATTCCTCCTACGATTATCGAGCACCATCCAAAACCCGAGTCCCAACGTCAACAAAATCCCCGCGCCCCCAAACGCCGCCGTCGTCGCCAACGCGGGGATATAATTCGGCGCGTCCTGCGTGCGGAAAATGTTCGACGAGACCACGCCCATCATATTCGCGACGGGGACGCCGATGGAGGTGAGCATGACGCGGCGGTTCTCGTCGGCGATGTTGTTGTTGTACCAGACGTCCAGGATGACGGAGGGGGCCGACGTGCCCCAGGTCATCATGAAGCAGGCGAAGTAGGCGACCTGGAGGTTGTGTTCGACGTCGATGGCGGCGTAGATGATGAAGCCGCAGAAGGTGAAGAAGAAGCCCGCGGCGATGTACGGGAAGCGCAGGCGCGTGTAGTCCGAGGAGTACGCGAGGACGAGCAGCATCGCAGCGCCGGTGACGTTGGGGGCGACGGTGTAGAGGTTCGTTTTGATGGTGGAGTAGCCCAGGCGTCCGACGATTTGGGGCAGGAAGAGGGAGACGGACTGCAGCGGGATGCCGAGGCAGATCTCGATGGCGAGGATGACCCAGGAGGTGGGTTGGTGCAGGATCTTGAGGGCCTCGCGGAGGTTGAATTTCTCCTCGACCACGGCCGAGGAGTCGACTTGGATGCGGTAGAAGGCGAGTTTCTTTTCGTCTGCGTTGAGAAATTTGGCGTGTTGGGCTGAGTAGGGGAGGAAGGTGAAGGCTATGATGGCGCCTAGCACTGTGAGGCCGCCCTCTAGAGCGAAAAGGTATTTCCAGCTTGGGAGAGCGCCGCCGTGGAGTTGGAACATCCCGAAGGCTAGGAGGCCGCCGAAAGCGTAGGCGATGTTGCTGGCGGCGTAGAAGATGGCCAACCTACGTGCCAGCTCTCCACGACGGTAGAATTGCGTCTGATAATAGATAACCAGAGGAAAGAAGGCACTTTCAGCCATTCCAAGGAACCAGCGCAGAGCCATCAGACCGCTCCAGTTGTATGCCGTGGTGGTGAGGAGGGTCATGGAACCGAAGCAGAACATCATGCAAGGCAGCACGCGCGATGGGCCCCAGATTTTACCTGCCATGCCCAAGAACGGTGCTGTGAGAACGTAGGGCACGAAGAAGATGGAGAGGAGGATGTTGTCTGCTTTCACGTTAGTCGTCCACTCTCTGTCAAGAAATCGATATACCTCATACTAACATTTATTAGTCCCAGCGAACCCCAGATCCTTCTCCAACCCCGCCGTCTTCGCATTGCCTAGATTTGCTTTGTCCAGACTGTTGAAGAGGTACATCATCGTGAGGAGTGGCAGTATCCGTAGGTCAAACTTCCAGAGCAGCGCACGCTCGGCCTTCTTGTCGATGGTGAAGCTATCGCCATCCTCGGTGACGATGACCGTGTCACCTTTGGCATCGGTCGTGACGCTCTTGGTTCGCTCCAGGCTGTCTTTGCTGCCGTCTTCGACTTCGGGGAGTTTGCTAATGTCGGCCATGTTGGCAGTCCCTTTTCCACGAGCCTCCCGAGTAGACGAGTTCAGAAGTCGGCGAGCGCAAGAGAAACGCGTTCAGGTTTATGAAAGACAGAGAAATAATAAAACGCCATGCCTACCTTATCACCCGCCGGCCGGCGAGGTCTGCACCCAAGGCCTTGCCCGATCGGCGCATCCTGCATGCAAGTGTGGCAGCGGTGCTAAATCAAAACGTCGCACAATCGTCAGAGGAATAGGTAACATTGATAGAGTAGCATTGATAAGAAAGCTTCTTGGGGAGCGAGTGCTGCAGTTGCCGAGGAGATGCCGTCAGTTGCCTTCCACGGCCCCCCGTCTCGGGGCCGATAGATATCAACGACATTTACTTCGCGGTTGAAGTCAAGATATCTTCTTCACAATCAAGTCCTCTGACAGAATTGGCGTGTTTTCATCGGCGAGGCTTCGATTCCGGAAAAATCGAGACGTCCATTCGCCTGCACATCGGCGGCTCGCTCACGGTGTCAACAATGGCCTCCAGATCTATCACTTCCTTACGCACCCGAAGCCACATCAATATCAGCTCCTCGCAGTTCTGAGTCCAGACGAGCAGCTTCCGGTTGAGCTTCTCATCCTCCTCCTCATCTTCGTACCGGAAAAGCTTCCACGTCACCTTCCAAAACGGCCGGTTGTCCGTCCTCTCCACGACGACATGCATCCAGATCAACTTGGCCTCACCCACGCTCGGCCGACACCAGAAACTGACTTTCGAAAGCCACCGCGCATGCATCTTCAATACAGAAGGAACGCCGTACGGCGTGTAGAAGATGAAGCGATTTCGACGAAAGAACATCTCTTGCGCTTCGTCATTGGTCTGTCTGCAAAGCTGCACCATCTTCATGAGGTGTTGATAGCAATCCGTAACACCGAAGACTTCGATGCCTGGAGGTGGTCCAAATCTTCTGCCCATCCGTCCTAGGCCGTAGGTGAAGGAGACCCTCGTGGCTCTGTCGTAGCCATGTGTCGATTTAGAGTTGTAGACGAGCATGACTCCTGGTGGTTCGACGAGGAGGTAGGAGAGGATGTGATCTCGCAGTTCTCGTGGTAGGTTCAGTAATGGTGAGTCTTGTATGATCGTCGGCTTGTTGATGGGACTATTGTCGGTGCGGCTGGAGATCAGGGCACTGACGGTCGCAGCCATCAAGTTCATGAAGTAGTCCATGGCGTTGTCTCGTTTCTGGATTCGTAGATGTCGTTGGTTTTAACGGACGCAGTCGAGGGTGTCGTCGCTGGCGCTGCCGTCTTCCTCGCTCGGCCAAAGTCCTCGGCCGGTATGGTATGAAGTCTGGATTTGCCCACGAATGCCTGTTCTGGCTCAATTCGTCTGCATGAAGTCGTTGGCTTGCAAGACGATGCCTTGATGGACGAGTCGAAACTCAGATGCAGACGAAGTATCACAGCAAGGAAGGAGCGACCCAGCGAATTCTGTAGCCTGAGGAAGGCACGCCGGTGTGATCATTGCAGATGCCTGTGAACCTGCAAGCCAGCTGTATACAATCAATGATGCCTTGAATTAGCGATAGCCAAACGATGTTCAATGGAATATTGCTTACCAGCTTACTGCCCTTGATTCTACTAGCGCGTTCACATGCGAGCCTCAACTGGCGCTACCACGAACATCTCGCAAGCTCCGTCACTACCACGGTGCTGGATGTAAAGCTTGTAGCCTTTTGCACGCACAAGTAAAATGGCAGGGAAACTCCTCTTCCACACTGCATTCGTTTCCCTCTCCCATATCACCACCGCCATGCGCTTCTCAACCCTCCTAACGGCCCTCCTAGCCAGCGCATCAACAAGCCTCGCCTTCCCAACACCCCCAGACGAAGACCTCTCCCTCACAAACACCACCCTCACCGGCCCCACCCCACGCGGCGACCGCAGCGAAGAAGACCGCAAATGGGACAAGAAGAAAATCGTCATCTGGACCTACACCAAAGACGGCAATTCCTGCGCCGGCCACGCCGCGCAGTCCAAGCACAAGCTCAAGCCGTTCAAGTGCAAGAACTTCGGGTGGTTTGATAGGTTTTCGGAGGTCCAGTTTGAGTTGCCCAAGGAGGTCCACAAGGAGGGTGTCAACTGCGAGTTGACGTTCTATGATGGTGACGGGTGTAAGGAGGGGAGGGAGACTGGGAGTAAGTTTGTTGTGTTAGTGTGCTTTTCTGCTTCTTTGTCTCAGGCAGGGAATGGGTGGACTTGTGCTAATTGTCGTGTGCAGAGGTGCAAAACGAGGACGAGAGACCAGAGTGCCAAAACGAAGTGGGCAATATGATCGAAAAGAGATCTTGCATGCCCAGGTGTTGGAAGGATTAGCTGGAGGTGGTAGAAGTGAAAGGGGTCTGACATGTTCAATCGTCGTTTCTCATCCAAAACCAATACTGCTAAGCTTGCTTGGTTGTATCGTACAATTAGCAATATCTACTCCTTTTAGTTGTTTGGGATATACCTCTTATCATCGTGTCGTGTCGTAATCGTAGCATGCAGTGTAATGCAATCATGGAAGCCATAGTAGTCGCTGTCGTTAGACGACTGCCCAGAGCGTACCGCCGGCGTTGCTCTTGACTTTGCCCTTGCCCTCCATTTCGTCAAGAAGCCACTTCACATCATCATCGCTGTGGACGAAGCCTGGAAGGACCATCCTCATCATGCCCGTGATGCCTAACATGCCTGAAATCTCCTTCGGGCCTTGGTTGCGCAGCATGCCCTCGATGAAGTTCTGATACATCAGAGCGTTCTCGCGAAGCAGCTTCGTCTCTGGATCGATTTCTTCGAACATCTCGAGATCGGCCTGGGTGTCTTCAACCTGTTCGATGTGCATATCCAGTCGCTCCAGCACCGCGAACTTGCCTGGAGACTTCTCGTACAGCACTTTCTTGCCGATCCAGTAGCTGAGGGCGCTAAGAACAAGATCTTCATCCATCTGCAGTGAGCTCTGGAGCTCTGCAACGGATGCACCCATGGTGTTGTCGTAAGTGGGCAGTCCAAATGCATCCACCAAGGTAGCCTTCCATTCCTCGATGCCGTTCTCCTCAACCACGCGATCTTCGAACTCCAGCTTGATATCGGCGCTTCCAGCACCGTGCTTCCACTCCAGCTTTCTTTGCCCGCTGATGGCTGTGAAAGCTTGTTCATAGTGTGCCATGTGCTGCTTGATCTGGTCGGGAACGGCGAAGTTGAGGTCTCTGAGTTGCGGCCAGAAACAACCAGAGACAATCTTGGCCCCAAAGTGAAGGCCAATTTCTTCAGAGGCTGCAGCTGGTGAGTCTCGCATAGCTTCAGCAGAAAGTCTGGCACGCTTTGGAAAGTAGAGGCCGTTGCGGTGTCGCGCGACAAGGTGCAACGCAGCAGAAAATTCCTGCCGCTCCATACGACCTCGAAACCTCTCCCAAAGAGAGACCACGGTGATGCCGTCTTCTGGTAAGGCTGCTTGAACATCTTTAGGTGTTGGCTTCGGTGCTCCCTGCGGCATGTGATGCGTAGGGTTGATGCGTCTGTTCAGGTTGACAGAGTCGCGCATGTCTTTCAGCATGACTTCAGCCTGTTGAAGCTTCGACGCATCCAGCCTGGACTTGAGAAGTTCAACCAGGCGTAGCTCCTTCACAAGCTCTGTGTCGGACGAGCGAATGAGATGTTCTCCGAAAGCTGCAGCGAGAGCCTTGATGAAGTCGTCGGCGTCGAAGAGGCCAAGGATGTATCCGACAATGTCGTCCGACCGCGAGGACTTGTAGTTTGGCCCAGCATCGATAGGATCGGGGACCCATTCCATATCATCCCAGTTCAACAATCTGTCATCTTGGGCATCGACTGTCGAATTTGCGATCTCGATGGTAATGTCGGAGCAGATCTTCTCGAGATCATGAGCGTGGACTTCTCCATTCTCGTCGACCTCAGCAAGAAGACTAGCGGCGATGACCTGCACCGTATCTTCTCGATTGCGGAGGTAGCTTCGAATAGGAATCGCGACCTTTTCGAGAAGGACGCCACGAGCGTCCAAGAGCTTGAAGACGCTGATGACATTCATGTAGACGCTCAATATCTCCGTCGTGCTTGCACCTGCATGCAGGAGCCTGCTTTGTATCTGATCAGTGAAGCTGGAACACAGCTGTACCTTTTCGCCGGGGCCGTTGGCGTTGATGTACTCTCGAATATCAAGAATGGCTCCTTCGCTTGCTGGCCAGCTGTTCACGTAGTCGAAGAGGGCGCTGACCCGCTGTCGACCGAAGCTGGATACAGCCGCTGACATGAACTGTTCGAGAGGTAGTTCGATGGTCGACTCGCCAGTCAGAGTGGCGACAGCCTGCTGAACGGATGGCATGAATTGGTCCTCAACCCAGGTGCGGAGCTTTGCGATGACGGAGGTATGGTGATTCCAGTCCACTTGGAAACATCTACGCTCAGTAGCAGGCCCTTCGATGAACTTGTGCAAAGCGTGAGCGAAGGCGCGCTGGCCATGACTGCCACCGAGTCCGATGTGGTGCAGTTCTGTCAAAGCGTCCAAGTCTAGGTTGATGTGGCACTGGCAGCGACCAGATTTCGTGCATTTCTCTGGATTACTCGAGTCCTTAAGACTCGACTTCATCGACTGGAAAAGGTAGCTTGCCAGAGTCTTCTGTATCCTCTGACGTGGTAGGGAGTTCAGGACCAGCACATGAAAGTCTTGCTTGATGTGCGTCATGAACTCTTGTAGGTCATGTCGATCTTCGTAGTCGTCGCCGGTGTTCAAGTAAACATCTTGTGCCTTTCTGAGGACTTGCACAGTCTTCGAAAAGACGTCGTGTGTCTTGTCCACAGGTATCGCCTGCTGCCAGAATGAAAGCCCCGGCAAGATGAAGTGTCGAAAGTGAGTGCTGACCTCGTGCATGTACCAGTCGAGGAGATCCTTGCGGGCCGAGGGAGAGTCGAGGAGGAAGTGAAGGGCATGATCGACGTCGGGTGAGTGTGTTGAGTTTCTTGATTGCTCAGTCAGCCCAGCTGAGAGAGTCAAGAATCTGGTCGCGATGCTCCAGGCTCGATTGAGCTTTGCAGCCTCATCTGCTGCGTTGTTGGGGATGTCGAAGCCGCCGAATGCCCCTCCAGGCGAGGCAAGCGTGCCAATGTTTGGTGTGGCTTCTGGTGTCGGCGTGGTGTGGTCTTTGGGCGGAAAAACGGAACTGAAGATGTCATCGCCATGGGCGGGTCGAAGTGCGGTAGCAGCCATGGCTCATTCTGCTGGCTGTTGTCGTGTTTGTTGTAGATTTCTTTCTAGTGGTGGTTGAGTTGCAAGAGACATTGAATTGGAAGTCGCGAAGACGTGACACAGAAAATGCGCCACTGCGCGCTGTCACGAGGCAGGCACGAGCCACAAAAGCACATGCCGCGTGGCTGTGCTTTGTACGTCACCGCCCAGGCGAGACAAATGAAACCAAGTATTTAGCAGGGCAAGCAACAAACACTCACGTCCTATATCTAGGTACCTACTGCAAACACCTGTGGAAACTCGCCCTCTACTCTTCAAGCCCTCCTGACCTTGGAGGTATCTCGCCCACGAATCTGAGTCGGCGTCAATTCTGCTTCTCTAACCAAAAGCTCCAAATTCACGCAACCCAAACGCCAGCATGTCGAAGCGCTCTGGACTGCCCAATGGCGTCGACAAGGCCGCCAAAGAGGTCACCCAGGAGCCCAGTGAGTAGCAGAGGATAGACACGTTATAACTGATATGCTGACTGCGTCAACAGCGGAAGACAAGCAGTCCCGCCTGCTCAACGACCCCAACCCAGGCCACTTCAGTCTGGTCCGAGCCTACCACCTCGCCGACCTCATCACCCTCATGAACGGCTTCTGTGGAGTCATGTCGATCCTGTCCTCCTTGCGCTACGCCATGGGCTCGCCTCAGGACACTGGCAACGCGTGGGCTGCCCTCGCCTTCATGCCATTTGGCCTGTTCTTCGACTTCTTCGACGGCAAGGTTGCAAGATGGAGGAAGAAGAGCAGCTTGATGGGTGCGGAGCTCGATTCGCTGGCAGATCTGGTACGTGACACAGAGAAGAGAATGTAATGTTCGCAGGCTAATGGATAATACAGATATCCTTCGGAGTTGCACCCGCTGCCTGCGCTTTCTCGCTCGGCATGCACACGCCTCTGGACCAGCTCCTCTTGACGTGCTTCGTCCTGGCTGGACTCGCACGACTGGCTCGCTTCAACGTCACTACGGGCAACGTTCCAAAGGACGCCTCCGGCAAAGCCAAGTACTTCGAAGGACTTCCAATCCCCACCAGCTTGACCATTGCTGGTTTGATGGCGTTCTGGGTGTCGCGAGGCTGGATACAGCAGGATATCCCATACGGAACGATTGGTGCGGGCTCGATCTTCGAGTTTCACCCAATCGTCGGACTGTTCCTCGGACACGCATGTTGCATGACGTCTAAGACCCTGCGCATCCCCAAGCCTTAAGCACGACTCAGCCTACATTTTGGCTGGACGAACGATTGAAAGCATGAAAAGAAAGCGAGATTGATTGAAAGTCTTGAAATACGAGAGCGGGTACGGCGGGTGTTTTGGCTGAAGATACCCTTCATAGTGTCTCCATTCAACATGAAAAAAGTATACATAAATTCAGATCCAAACTTTCTATATCTGGTCAATTTACGTCGCGCTTGACAGCAGCTCTACTGTCTCGCTGCCAACGCCTCGCTCTTGGTCGTGCTGTTCGGGTCCAAGTATGGTGCCTCGCCAATGCCCACGGCTCGGTTACCAAACCTCTCGCCAAGACCCTCGTAGTCGAAAGTAGCAGTGTGGAAAGCGCTGCGATTGTCCCAGATTGCTGTGCAAATCATTAGTCACGATCAAGTTTCGTTTGATGGTACTTCCACTCACCAATATCATTCTCATTCCTCCACTTGAACCTCACAGTAATATCATGATTCTCATAGATGACATTCTTAAACGAAGCCAACAACTTCTCCGACTCATCTTGGTGCAGCTCGTTGATCTGCTTGGGGAAAGGACCGATCGCGAAAAGGGTCTTCCATCCAGTCACGGGGTTCGTCCGCACGATGGGGTGCACTGTGGTAAGTCCACCTCCAACGTTCTTGGAGCTGCCTCGAGGTTCAGTGTAGATCTTCACGCGCTCGGGATCCGCCTCGGCGGCTTTGATGAAGCCGTCGCCGGAGAACGTCGCGGTCAAGCCTTCGAAGAATTTCTGATAGGGCTTGGAGAAGCGGTCGAAGATGTCGTAGCCCGACGCCCAGAGGGTGTCGCCCCCTGTCTTGGGGAGCTTCGATAGGCGCAGGGAGGTGTAGTCTGCCGGGACTGGCTCGAACTGGATGTCGCTGTGCCATTGAGCGGCGTCGTAGCGGCGCTTGTTCTTTTGCAACTCGTGCTTGAACAGCTGCTTGCGCTGCTCGGAGCTGATGGTGCTGATCTGGGCGTCGCCAACGCCAAACTCAGAGGTATTGTTCAAGACTGGGTGGATATGGAGGCTGCTGTCTGCGGGCTTGCCAGTGAGCTGACCGAGGCGATGGACGAAGTCTTTCTGCAGGTCGTTGGTCAGGTTGTCTTGGGCGCGGAAGAAGACGACGCCTCGCTCGGAGATGGTGATAGCGAGATCTCGAAGGAGCTCGTCTGCGTTGGCGGCGTGCAAGAGGTCGTCAACGATGTTGACGTTGAAGAACTCACGTCCGATAACAGGAGTGGTATCTTCATACTTGAAGCTCTCCAGAGCGCCAGACTGTCTCAATGGCTTGGGATAACTCTTGTCGCCATTGTCGGCGGCTCCAGAGCGGAGAGGAATATCGTCTGAAAGAATACCAGGTGCCATTTTTAATGATAAGAAATGCTGGAGAGACAGAATCAAGACGAAGGAGAGGGGTAGACTATATGGACGAACTTGCCTTTATCATCACTGCTGCCGAACTATGCGGTGCTCGCAACTCATCCACGCCGTCCTTTGAGCATGTGGCCGTCTGGCGTGTGGGGCAAAGCACGCGATGAGAGCACGCCATATCGACAGCTTCTGGAGCTCTTCCTATTGCACATGCTCGACACGATACGAGGGCGAATAGCGTGATAACGATGATGTGGTGGATGATGTGTGGGGGGTGGCGGCGAAGACAACGACTTGCCTTGTTGCGACGCCGAAGAGGAGGTGTCGTCAACCGGGCTGTCGGTTTCGGCACGTCGGGCTGAACCCGGAGAGGAACATCACCTCTCATGACAGTCGTCTTCTTACCACACTTCGCTACCATTACAAAGGCGCTTGATATTGCTGTGCCTTGCAAAAGATCGTCACATGAGGCTCTCGCCACGTGCTGGCTCTCCTAAAGGAGTTGATAGAGTTTGGCTGGACCAGAATGGCATGCGCTCCTTTTCTGTGCGCGCTATTCGGTGAAGGTCCCGGGAAAATGCAGGCTTCGCAGATACACAGTGGCCGATGATACTGCATTGCATGTCATGGCCGTCTCCAGAGACGCCACGGCTGTGGTGACAGCGACTGCGAGGAGACTCACGCCTGCGACCTACTGCGAGGGATGTCACGAAGTGGCCTATCTGCAGCTCACCGTCCCTTCGAACTTCGCCAGAGTCACGAGAATCACCGTCAATGTGACCTCCCATGATCAAGGTACTCACACAAAAGGGCAGGTCCAGAAGGGCAGACTCTAGTCCGGGAACTAACTTCAGCAGGCTTCAGTAGCCACGAAAACCCAGTATGCGGGAGCTTCTTCCATGTTGCAATCGTTGCACCAGAAGGTCATTTTCGCCAGCGATGGCACGCGTTTCAAAACAGGATTGCCAACCCCAAGCCATTCACCCAAACTCGGACGTGGCCCGGTGATGCCTTGGAGAAGTTTGCCGTTCGCACTATCAGAGTGAATGATACTATTCAAATCCTGCCGCAAACTCATTTCGTTGCTTGGAGAAACAACGTCTTGAAAGCGAATATCGAGATTTTTGGCGAGGTATCAGCATCTTCGAGAGGTCCTGTCAGTCCTTTGGAAAGCTACGCCAACTATATGCCCCAGGCGCTATATGCACCTTTGAAAGAAAAGGAGATTCGTGTTCTGCGACTACTTGACGGAGAGCCAGGAAGCACAATTGGCTGTACCTTGGAACACATGCAACTTGTCTCGGTCGAACATCTGCAATTCGAGGCTCTGTCCTATTGCTGGGGCGATGCTTTAGACCTCAGAACGATTGAAGTCTCCGGTCGGCCATTTCAGGTCACGGCGAACTTGCACAGAGCTCTACTGCGACTGAGATCAAGCACAAAGATGTTTCCTCGGGTTTTGTGGATTGATGCTATCTGCATCAACCAGAGCGACGAACAAGAGCGCTCTGTGCAAGTGGAGATGATGAAAGAAATATATTCTGCGGCATCGCAAGTCATCGTGTGGCTGTCAGACTTGATGCTCTCGCCTGACGACATGTCGAACATGCGAGAGATATTCGACGTCAACAACGATGAATCGTCATCCGGCTACCCAGAGCCTTCATTAGATAAGATGTCTCCTCTCGATCGGGAGACGCTGTGGAAAGGATTGCCTCAAGTATACGGTCAGGCCTCCTCTGCCCTCTTCAAGAATGAATGGTTCAACAGGGTCTGGGTGCTCCAAGAGGTCTTCAACGCGAAGAAAGCCATTGTATTCTGTGGTGATCGAGCCCTCTCTTGGACTTCAGTACTTCAGGCGGACGAGGGCGTACACCGCTCGCAGTCCTCTATGCATGACTACCAAACGATGATGTCGACTTTGTTCTCAGACGTTTTCGAATTGACAATGTCAGATAATGCTTCGGCACCGAAACGCTTTGGCTACCGGCGAAAGCCACCGACGGCGGATGTGCTGGACATCGTCATCGCCGGTCTCGAGCTTGATGCAACAGATCCGCGCGACAAGCTATACGCCCTGTTGAGCTTGATCCCATCATCTTCAAACACTGCCCTGCGTCCAGACTACACCAAAGCCGTAGGCGACGTACTTCGCGAATTCACCCGGTGGTGGATCTCTTCAAGACGGTCATTGCGCATCTTTTCTGCGATTCATTGCTCTGTAGGACGAACCTGGCAAAAGCTGTCGCCACTTCCTCCTAGCAGCTCCAGCTCGGAACGATCATCGTGGTCTCTGTGGTATGACGGCAAGAGTATTTGGGGCCAGGCTACACTAGGCTTGTCGCCAACAACCACCTATCGCGCATCAAGGGAAACAATCCCTGACGAGACATTGCTGTCGCAGACCAACAACGCGTCGAAAAGTATATTCTTGAGAGGCTTCACAATCGACATTCTCGACAGCATCGTACCGTTTCCGTACTATAGCGCTATCCAGCCTACATCGCCACACGCGACCCTTCGCAGACCATACGAGAGACTCTTCGATCCTGTAGGGCATGTAGCCGTCTTCCATACTGGCTCGCCCAGTCGAGTGCACGGCATAGGGACATACTTGGATGCGCCAGAGACGGAAATGCCAGGTCTCGTAGACCATCTGCGTACGCACGAGGGATATGCGCAGATCACTGGAGGTGCAATCAAATGCCATCCTCCCTGTTTCTTCACCACAACAACTGGTATCAAAGGATTGTGTCCTCACACTGCGCGAGAAGGCGACCTGGTTGCTGTGTTGAATGGTGGTAAGGTACCATATCTTCTTCGGCGTTGCGAAGACGATGGCCCTGGTGATGGTTCATCTTCGCCCGAGATTGCTCAACGACAGCCATTTCAACTGGTTGGCGAATGCTATCTGCAAGGGTATATGGACGGCGAAGCAATGGACGATCCAAAGGCTGGGACCGAGATCTTCGAGCTGATCTAATGGCTGCGGTCTGCCCAATGGTTTCTCAAGCCACGATACCCCCTACCAAGGATTTTCTTTCTCAATGCTTACTACTGAGTCCTGTTTCATACTCTCCGGCTACGGCGTACGGTTTGTCATTTTTGTCCATAACAGTCGGTGTTAAGGTTAGCTGCCATGGAAGAGATCCCGAACGTTGCAAAGATCCGATCAAACCTCATGAACTTAGTCGATATGACGGCGCAGATCGAACGAAACGCGTCGATGCGGCTATCTTTGTTGTTGTTGTCTCGCCACGACCAAATGTCCTTCGGCACTCTCTATATCAACACAAACCTCGACAGCCGGACCCAGCGACGTCCGCTATCGCAACGCACACAAGCCCATCATCAGCAACGAGAAGCATGCAATACTCTGAGACGCCCCCGGTCATGGGACTGCCAAACGGAGTCCTTATGCGGATGTTTTCACTACTTCCCAAGAGACAGGATGTCGCTGCCTGTCGTTTGGTCTCTCGAGACTTCAAAGAACTTAGCTCACCTCATCGGCTTCACATGGGAATATTCACTTTCACTCATGGTCTGTGTGCTTCTTTCCGCTTAAAGCTTCACTGTTCCATCTCTTCAGTTTCTCTCCTCCATCTCCACCTCGACATCGACATCAACACCAGCATCAACATCCACAATGGCACCGCCATTGACGACGGCAGTGCAGCCAAAGCTGCAACCTATCGTCAAAAACACGGCGTCATCCTCCAAATCCAAGCCCAAGCCAAAGACGACCTTCCTCTCTCTTCCTCAGGGGTTGCGAGATCATGTGGGTGCGACCCAATACCCACCACGGTGAAGCCTCTGCTGACATATACTCACAGGTGTACTCCTACCTACCTTTTCAAGCCAAGCAGCGCATCTGCATCGTGCACAGCATAGGCAGGCATGACGAGGTCCTGGAACTTGCTATGCGCCTCTCCCAGACCTGCCGCACAGTCAGCAAGGACATGCAACAAGAGTTCTGGGCGTGTAACAAGTTCTACTGGTACGTAAAACCGGGCGCAGAGCCAGGTAAGTTTCGGGGTCCGTGGACGGCGGCAACGGTGGCTCGTATCAGGGACTTGGAGATGGCACTTGTGGGCTGTTTCTGGGTGAGCGGAAGACGCTATGTTGGTTGGATCCATTTGGTCGAAGAGGATGGGGTCTGGGTTGCGCGGCTGTTGTCCCGCAATCGGGGTCAAGGGGGTCCGGGCGTGTATGCATCTGACGAGGAGAAGGCGAAGTGGGACAAGAGAGCCAATGCGATACGAGACAAGATGGAGGCGAAGGCAAAGCCGTATCTTGCTCAGGCAGAGCTTGAGCTCAACAAGCGTGGCTGCATCACCGTGAAGGTGCTCCAGATCTTGGACGACATGCGAATACCTCCAATCCAGAGCTCCTGGCGCTGAATTGAAGACGATCATGCCATCGGAGGAACAACGGGTGGGATTGCTGCAGCCATTGAGAGGCGATAGGAACGTAGCTATCGGAGACAAACGAAGTCAGCCCAATCCCTTCAACCATTTCATTATCGACTTGCCCAATTCCCATAGGTCCAGCCTAATCACAGCAACTGGCAAGCGCATACCTCTCTAACCCAAGTCTCATGTCATTTCAATCCCCAGGCGGCGCATCCGTAAGCGGCACATACTGCACACCATACTCCTTCTTCTTCGTCACATTCCCCTGCTCATCCTTATCCACCACATAGATATGTTGATTATACGCCTCTTCCACAGGGATGAACAGCCTGAGAATCCACATCAGCACTCCCACCACTGCCAATATATGTATCACCCCGAAACTCACCTCCCCGGACTCCTCAACTGCTCAATCAATTTCTCCTGATGCCCCGCCGCAGCAGCCCCAACATGAATAGCATCATAAGGCGCCTCCTGCGGCCACCCCAACCTTCCATCCGCCTTCCGATACTCCAAAGCCCCACTAGCCAACAGCTCCCTCCCCTCTGCACTCTTCCCCGTATTCCTCTGCCCCATCTCCACCAACGCCTGGATATGTTCGACCCCGACAACCTTCCCGCCGGGTTTCACGAGCTCCGCGAGCACGTGCGTGAGGTACCCGGAGCCGGACCCCACGTCGAGGACTTTGGCGCCCGGGAAAAGGTACGGGAGGAGGGATTCGGCGGCGGAGGCGTGCATGTGCGGGGCGGAGATTGTGGCGCGGTGGCCGATGGATTGGGGGGAGTCTTGGTAGGGGGATGTGGGAGCGTAGTGCGCTCTGTCGACCTTTGGGTACAAGAATCAGCATGCAAGCCTTTCAAGGGAAGTGGTTTTGATGGACGTACGCCTTTCATGGCATTCTTCACTCTCTCGGAAGTGATGAGGCCATTCTGGGAGAGATTACCGATCAAGGCTTCGTTCGTCGCTCCGCTAGAGCGCCAGGCCATGTTTCGAGTGGTCTTCGTGGAGAGGGCCCGCACGGCCTTGGATGCTGAGGTGCCAATCCTCGCGAAGGTGTTGAGGTTCGTGAGATGGGATATGAGAGGCGGTGCGGCAATGGCTGCAGCGAGAGCGAGCACAAGGAGTGTGAAGTGTAGTCTTGGGAACGTCGTGGTGGGAAGTGGTGTGTTGCGGTCGGTAGGAAGATGTTGGTTTCGTTCGATCTATCAAGGTCAGGAAGTGAGGTTGATATCATAGTTTGGAAGCTTCGTTGTGGAGCTGGAGCTCGCCCCAGGTGGAGACCCCAGCCATTACACATGATCGACGTTGGACCGCACTTCATCTTCTAACAATCCATCATCAGTGAAAGGGAGAATTGAATGTAAAATGTCTAGTGCTATGAAGGCATCTAGTGTACAGAAGGCATTGCACATGGCCAGCAGATGCACCTTCGGGATGAAGCCAAACGTCGGTAAGCCCACTTCACCCCATTTATCTTGAAAAGAGGATTCCAGATAATCGGTACATCTCGAGAGCCTGCACATTTTTCCAGTCGAAAAACGCCTTCCCGCCTATGCAAATGCTCCCAGAATGCCGGAGACCTTTGTACACTCGGCCGCACTCATAACCGTGTCGAAGGAAAAGTAAGCTCGTCAGGTTCGTCTACTGGAGGAAACCCCAGTACTTTTCGCAGTTGAAGCTGCCCGCGAAGTCGCTCTTCCACATGTCGTCGAAGGCGGTGTAAAGAATGATGTCCTTGTCAAAGTTCTCCTTCAATCCGCTGAGAGCGGCCTGCTGGTTCTCCCGGCTTGGAACAGCAGCGCCGTTGGTCTCTCCCTGCCATGGCCAGCCACTCTCGGTGATGACAGTCCTCTTGCCACCACAAGCCTGCTTGACGCGCTCGGCCTGGTCCTTGACGAAGCTTCCAGCCTCCTGTGCAGTCTTACCACCGTCGAAGAAAGCGTGGCAGTTGGCGGCGGCGTAGTCGGAGGCCTCGCAAAGCGATGGGTTGGCGATCATGGCGACGAAGGTGTCGACGGTGACGACATTGCCGCTGTAGCCGGCTGACTTCAGCTGGCCTCGGACCGAGTTGATGGCACTCACGACCTGGTCAGCGCTGCCCTTGCCGCCGTTGACCCACTCGTTGCCGACGGACACGGTATCAATGCTGCTCCAGTCGCCATTGACAGCGTCAATGAGAGTCTGGGCCTCCTTCCCGGCATTGGTAACATCGAAGATGCCAACGAAAAGCTTGATGCCCTTTGGCTTGGCCGCGGCGAGAACATTGGTGACCTGCTCGCAGTCGACGCCATACAGACGGATCAAGTCATAGCCGCTGATCTTCTCAATGTCGCTCTTGACCTGATCTTGCGACTTGCAACCACCACCAGCTACGTAAGGGGAGTAGGTGATTCCGCGACCGGAGCCAGAGTCGCCGGAGCCGGAGCCGCTGCTGTACGAAGGTGCAGCTGGCGCGGATGAAGAAGCTGGCTTGGGCTGTTCAGCGGGGGCTGAGGAGGTGGTTTCAGGCTTTGGTGCTGGGGCCGGAGCGCTGTAAGGTGCTGGAGCTGGTGCGCTGTAAGGAGCAGGTGCTGGAGCCGAAGAGGATTCCTCCTTCTCTGGAGCTGGCGCAGGTGCCTTGTAAGGAGTGGCAGCTGGGGCAGGGCTGCCATCATATGCGGTGGAGATTGGCTTGCCATTGCCGTCGACGTAGACAACTGCGTGAGGAGCCGTCGCGGTCACGTACTCGACGTGGGTCTCGACAGCCTGGTCGCGCTTTGGGTGCACGTGGCGGTGGTGACGCTCACCACGGCGGACCTGGGCGCTGGCAGAGGCAGCCAGCGCCAACACGGTAACGATTCCAGCCTTCATGTTGGTGGATTGTTATGCTGGGTTGGGGGGATGTACTGCCGGCCAGCCAGTCAGTATCAGTCGGTGAATGGATTGTCGCGATGATGTTGTCGTTCGAGTGTCAAAGGGGGTCCACTGTCGAGAAATGCGACAGCTGAAAGCGGCAATGCGACTGAAAAGGACTATTGAAAGAAGTCCATTGCAAGACCGATCATGTGGACATTCGGTGGGGTATTCACGGCTTCGTGATAAGATGTCGAAGCGAAGGACTAGACTTACGGTCGTGTGAGCGAGCAAACGTCAGGTGAGTTGTTGCTTGCCGAGCGAGGTGGAATGCTGCGACGACGGGGTCAAGGAATGTGGTGTGTGTAACGAACGTGGTAGCCGGGGGTCAAAGAGCGTGGTGGATGGAGCCAATCGTCGCTGCTTCCAGAGCGCAGAGGAGACGTACTTCTCGAGGATGTTGTTGATGTAGAGGGGAGAAGAAGAGGACGAGGATTAGGAGGACGTTTTACCGCGCTCGTATTGCAGGAGCGCTTCTTCCAAACGGCGTTCGCGCCTTCCTGTTCCGCTGCTGTACCTGCAGCCGGTTGTGGGACCCACACATGGCGCTCTCATCTAACTTAAATTTCACCAATAGCAGCGCTTCGTCTGGGTAAATATAGCGCCCGATCGCTGGGCGTTAAGAAACGGTCGTCGATGCCTTTTGCCAACGGCGAACAAGCCGCTTGCCGCCTTCACACTTCGATCGCATCTCTCAACAGATTCCAACACCTTTGCTTCTTCTTGCTATGCTGACCACAAGCCATGCGTCGCACGATGGATGTTTCTGATATGCAAGGTCTCACTACACCCACTCTTCCTGGCCAATAATTTGTGCCGAGGACAAGTCTGGACCATGGCCTCCAAGACCAGGAACACCCCCTCCAAACCGACCGTTCTCTGTGGCATTGCTTGGTACTCTGCCGGTCCGTCTTTGACCCTTAATTCTATCCGTTCACAGCGTGCGCCGTTGAGGCTGTGAAATGCCTCTTACGTAGCATGCGATACTCACAATTTGCTAATGGGGGATATTCTCCCCTACTTTCTCCATATTCATCACACAGACGAGCAGCTTCCACTATCATACAACAAGCCGCTAGCTGGTCGAGAAGCCCTATAGACGGCAGCGAATACCTATTCAGATGGGGAAGAAAAATTCAAGAAAACTCACCCGCATAAGACTCCACAACCCGCACATGTTGAGAGTCCTGGCAGCTCCTTCACATGCTCGGCGCTCACTTGCAGCTTGTCTGTTTCAGCCCACCCCGATGCAGGTCAGCAGCGAGCATGACCTCCGCCATCTGCAGCATTCAATGGAAGATCGAAGACATGTGGGAGTTTAGGTGTTGCGGTGCCGGCTGTATGGCGAACTCTAGCTACCTGTCGAAAACTCTTCGGCTGGCCTTCCAAACTAGATTTGCCTCGTTCGCAACAGTTCCAGCCTCGGTCTCCATGAACGAGAAACATTCTGGATCCCACGTCTGCAGGCACATTTGCGGTGCCGATACTCTACCTTATGCGGCGACCGAAACCTCTGGAGAGTCGCCGAAGCACCGGGCCATCATCGCAGCCGGGTATCTGGCACCCTTACTGCCGCCCACGCTCTCGACTGCCTTCCTGAACTCTTGCTCCTCCTCTTTGCTCAGCTTCACGTCAACCGCCGCGGCGTTCTCCTCGAGATACTTGACCCGTTTGGTGCCGGGGATTGGGATGAAATCGTCGCTGCACTTCATCAGCCACGAAACCTTCAGCCAGACACGAAGGAAGACGTCTTACCCTTGAGCCAGGACCCAGGCAATGCACAACTGCCCAGTCGTGCATCCTTTCCTCTTCGCCAGCTCGGTCAGTTTCTCCACCAACTTGAGGTTGCTACCAAAGTTCTCCTCTGAGAATCTCGGATGGTTCCTCCGGTTGTCCCCCTCATCCAAGTCATCCCTGCTCTTCATCGTTCCAGTCAGGAACCCTCTGCCCAATGGCGAGTATGCTACAATCTTGACACCCAACTCCCTCGCTGTCTTTAGAAACTCCGTCTGATCCGACTCAATCTCGAGCGCGAAAGGCGAGAACTCCATCTGCGCGGCGGCAATTGGGTGCACTTTGTGAGCTCTCCTCAGCGTCGCCGCAGAGCATTCAGACAAGCCCAAGTATCGAATCTTTCCTTGATCTTTCAACTCCACCATCGCTTTGACAGTCTCTTCGATGGGAACTTTCCCATCAACACGATGCTGATAGTACAGATCCACCTGATCAACACCCAGCCTCTCCAAACTCTCCTTGCACGCCTGGTGGACCCACTCGCGGTCTCCTCTCACTGTGGGTGAACCATCTGGTCCTCTCAAGTTTCCAAACTTGGTTGCAAGGAAGATCTCCTTACGACGGCCAGTCTCTTTGAACCAGTGTCCCAACAATTTTTCATTGGTGGCCGGGCCGTATATATCTGAGGTATCCCAGAAGGTGATGCCCAAGTCAGCCGCCTTGGTGAGGACTTTGAGGGACTCGGCGTCGTCGTAGCCGCCGTAGGAAGTGTATGCGAAGGACATGCCCATGCAGCCGAGGCCTTGGGCGGAGACGTTATCCTCGCCGATTTTGCGTTGTGGGTAGGATGGTGCCATTGTGCTGATTGCTAATCGCTTGGTCGGCTAGGGTTGGAGTTGGAGATTGAGTCGATTTTGCTGAAAGCCAGAGAGGTACGTCGAAGATATCCCTTCCCTTTTAATTATTCTCGAAAACAAGGCAAACACACGTCGACACTTGGTCTTCCCTGTGTCGATGTTTCAACCCATTAAGTCCTATCGCCGCTCCAAACTTCCAGTTGACCTCCCCCATTGCTACCCCTCCTCGAGCAGTGGGGCAGGCTGGATGGACTTCTGACGGCTTACGTCTCGGGCCAAAATGACGGCATGGGGGCCATTGGTATAGGGTATTGTTGCAAAAATACCATAGGGCTCGGAGACATTCTTCAACGCATGTCTATGTGCTATCAACAACGCGCGGTCATCGCCGCCACAGTGATGATGAAGCAGGAAGCGAGAGAATGCATACTGTACGATGCTCGTGGCTTTGCGATTGACTCTTCGAACTTGATCACAAGACACCGCCGTGGCGTCGAGTTGCGTTCCTCGTAGGTCGTTGAAAACTATCCACCGGAGGTAGTGAGGATATAACTTTCGCAGCGGTGGTGTTGTTGCGTGCAAAGCGTCGACGGCAAGTGCGGGAGAAGTGGAAGGTGAATGGCATTGCAAATCAACGGCGATAGCGTGATAGCGGGTTGGAGAGAAAAGACTGATGCACTCCCGGGGACCATATTGTAGCAAGGACCGCTTGGGGATATGATTGAGTGGACGCGGTCGAGAGAAGGCAGTGCAGACTTGACCGCATTCACTACGACTAGCAACGCCCCAGACATCGGGCTGGCCTTGCAACTATTCTATGCTCTACCTTATCCAACATCGACGATACAGAAGGGACGTCTCATGGACATTCTCTACGACTGCTGGGATGAGAAGCAGGTCGGTCTTCGGGTGGTCACTGACCATGCTGAGGCGACACGCCTGTCGGTGAAGAGATGGTCAACTGAGTACTCGGGAGAGCAGGAGCAAAACTTGAATACGACCTCACCTTCTCTCCTTCGACCTACTATTCGTTGCTGGACATCGAGGCTCGAGTACAAACAAGACGGCTACAAGAACGAGGACGATGAATTATATATCAAAGTCTTGGGCGCCAATACTCCAGGCCTAACTTCCTTCTACGGGTCGTTATGATTGCACTGCTTGATTCCTGTTGGAGCCTCCGGAAACGTTTCGGCATCGACACAAGTCGCTCTCGACATATTGATCGTTCGAGCACCACAACCGCGACCCGGATGAGGAGTTGCAAGTTTTGATTGTCCACTTCAATATCTACTGCGGTTTCGATTGGTTCGTCTCAGGATTTGAGGGTATTAGAAGAATCTTTTCCTTACCTTACTTTCGCAGTCTTGATCGCCATTGTCCTTACTCTAAACTGATATATCTCTACAGCCAATGAAAGTCCTCGAAGCAAAAGTCAATTGAGTCTTAACTCCGAGAATACGAGCCTTGTTGCCGTGGGGGGTGAGAGCGACTCCAATACAGTCATTTCAGCGATGCCTACCTTACCAACAAACTCTTGATTGTAGATACTTGAGGGGGCTGAGACACATCCTTCCTCTCGCGTCCTTGGTGTACGCGACTGTACCCAGGAAAATTGTCCCCTTCTGCAGCCAACATGGAAGAAGCAGGAGCATTTCCAACGCCAGAGGCTGACATCCAGGCCGAAGAGAGCACCAAACTAGAACCACAAGAATATATCAAACCACGCACTTGCGCCGAAATACGCTCGCACATCGAATGGGTAATCCACTCCGTCACACAATCCGTCAACGACCGCACCTTCGACGCCGCGCCTGGATGGAAATATATCGCGGACGACTTCATCGTGGCGGGCTCCTCACAGCCTCGTCTGCCCTCCAACACCAAAGCAGACCTCGCCGAAGGCTTCAGGAGCACCGCCGCCGAGAATCCCGATTTCCAGCTGGGCGTACCGGTCGTTGAGACGGAGATCGATTTGTCCTCCGGAGTGGCGCGAGCGTTTGCGAATTCGCAAGGGACGGCGGGGTCTGTGACGAGGAAGCATACGGTTGTTTTTACGTTTGTGAGGGATAAGGCTGGGCGATGGATGGCGAGGAATGAGACGACGGTTTTTGGTAAGATTGTGAATTTTGCTTGTTTGGAGAAATGCTCACGGTGGTAGGCGTCCTCTGAGGTCGACATGGGTGTTCGAGCTGTCATCATCAGCTTCAGCTACCGACCATTCTCCATCTGCATCTCCATCATCGAGGTCCTCTGGCATCATCAAAGACTGTCCTTGATGATAGAACAGAAGGATAAAGGAGGATCAGGTCCACCTGACCCATTTCGAGTCGAAGCGGGCGTTTTCAAAGATGACGATTTCGGCCGTCACTCCGGGCGTGACGGCATGGCAACGCCAGAAACCGTCAAGTCCAATATTCGATCAAACAGACCTGGAAGCTACTTCCATTGAACAAACAGCTCACACACAAATTTCCTCAACTGCCACCATCTTCCCTTCAACAACCTCGATCACCGCCACCACATCACGACTTCCTCGCCACCAGCTTCCAACCCAACAAGATGCACTCACAACGAATGGCCATCCGAGCCACACGCGGTGTACGCGTGAATGCACCAGCTGCCCGCCGTAATGTTCGCCGCTACGCAGACACACCTCGACCACAAGAGCAGCGACCCGGCCAGCCCAACCTCAATGGCGGCTCATCCAGCAGCGGTAGCAGCTCCGGTGGCAGCAGTGGTAGCAGTACCTCCACTCTCGCCTCTGGCGCAGCTGGTGGTGCCATTGCCTCAGTCCTTGTCTTCACTGCCTGGTACCAATTCAGTGGCGTGGGCAAAGCCGCACGATCTGTCAAGCAGACCAAAGCCTACCTGGACAGCACTGCCGAGCAGTTGAAAGTACAGTTCAAAGAGAACACCCCGGAACCCAGTGAAGCGATCGAGACCCTCAAGCAACAAGCTTACAAGTACGCCGTCTGGATACCTGGCGGCAGAGAGTACGTGGATAAGGTGTTCAAGGACCTGGACATCATCCGCAACAAACACGGCGAGGAGGTAGACAACATCGTCAAGGATGCTTACGGCGAGCTGCGGTCTGCTACCAGCAAAGGCCTCAACACGGAAGCCGCTTCAGACGTCTGGAAAATCCTCTCCAAGTACGCCTCCAAACTCGCCTCTCTGTCTGTGGACGCAGGTCAAGATATCCTCAACAACCATCCTTCACTCAAATCATCACTCGGCGGCTCCTTCGACCAACTTAAGCAATTCGGCGACAACCTTGGCCCTGAAGCCAAGAAGCAGGTCGAAGATACTTACAACGAGATTCGTGATGTGATCAACCAGGGTATCAAATGGGACACTGTGGATCGAGTGCGGAAGCTTACTCAGGAAAAGGTGAAGGAATTGCAGAAGCTGGGCGAGCAGGCGTGGAATCAGGGCTACGAACAGGTGAAGCCTCTGCTTGAGAAGAACCCACAAGTCAAGCAGCTGGTAGAGCAGAACATCGATACGTTCAAGAAGGGCAACATCATCGAAGCAATCGACAAAGTGAAGAATGCGGCGCAGTCGGGTAATGTGGGCGATCTCCAATCCTACATCGACAGGTTCGTAGATCCTCCCCAAGGTTGATGAAAACATACTGACAAGAAGTCGCAGCGCGAAATCAAAGGCTGGCAACACCTCCTTTGGCAACCTCAGCAAGTGGATCGAACAAGTGCCAGGTGGTTCGCAGATTCTTCCTCAACTCCAGAAGCTACAAGAAGTCGCTCAGTCACAAGGTCCAGAAGCAGAGAAGCTGGCCAAGGACACCTTCGCGGATATCCAGAAGGTGTTGGAGAAGCGTAGTGGACAAGTCGAGGAGCTGTACAACAATGCGAAGAAGGAGGCTGAGAGTCGGTGATTGTGGAGAGAAGGATGAGATTGTAAGAGTATGACGAAGTCGGAGGACGATGAATGAGAAGAAGATGACGATCATTCATGGATGTACTTGTAGCTCCTGAAGCTCAAGCCTCGTTGCAGCTAGCTATGCGAGGGCTGACAACACTTCAAACGGCAAGTATCTCACCAGATTGGCATTGTCCATCCCGTCTTCGTTTACGGTTTCCTCTCCGCGTATATAATCGGTTTGGCTGGTGAATGACTAAGTCAGCAGGATGGAGAGGGTGAGGTACGTACATATATGACTTCAGTCTCACAGCACTGCTTCCAAGGTGCAGTCTGTATTCTTGAGCCTACTTGTGGATATCTCCCAGCTCGACCTATCAAACCAGATTCCGGTGCCAGGCAACTTGATCACCAAACAAGAAAAAGCAAAACAAAAAAGAAAGGGGAAAGGAGAAAAATGCCACCAACCCAAGAATCCAACGCCCTCGCCACCCTCTTCAACACACTCAAACCCAACATCACGCCCACCACCACGCCAGCTATCCGCCGCCTCCTCGGCGACCAAACCTGGCAAGTCGGCGCGGAGCCCACAAACGTAACCTACGAAGAAACCACCCTCGGCGGCTCTCCCTGCCTGAAAATCCATCCCCTCCAAGCCTCTCCCACCCACGCACTACTCTACTTCCACGGCGGAGGATACCACCTCGCGTCGGCCTTCAGCGGGCACAGGAAGTTGATAGCACATCTGGCGAAGAGCTGCAACGTCCAAGGCTACGCGATCGACTACCGTCTCGCGCCCGAGAACGTCTACCCGGCCGCGCACGAGGACTGTTTCGCCGCCTACCAAGCCCTCCTCGAGAAGGAAGGCTTCGAAGCGAAAAACGTCGTCCTAGCGGGCGATTCGGCGGGCGGGGGACTCGTGGCTACGACGGCGTTGACGGCTCGTGAGGATACGAAGCCAGCGGCGTGTGTATTCCTCAGTCCATGGTTCGATCTCGCGTGCGAGAGTCCGAGTTTCCAGAGCAATGTAGGCAAGGACGCCCTCAGCTCGCACGAGTCCGTGACGCGCATGGCGGAGATGTACACGGCGGGGAAGATCGACGTCAAGGATCCGAGGGTGAATGCTTTGTATGCGGATTTGGAAGGTTTTGCGCCTTGTTGGGTTAGTGTGGCCGGGTGGGACAGTTTGGCGGAGGATGGGAGGAGGTTTAAGGAGGTGATGGAGGGGGCGGGAGGGGAGGTTGTGTTGGAGGTGGGGGAGGGAATGCAGCATATTTATGAGTTTATGGTGGGGAAGGCGCCGGAGGCGGATGGGAGTGTGCGGAGGATTGGGGAGTAGGTTAGGGGGAAGATTGGGAGTTGAAGGGAGATGAGCTTGTTACTTAGAAACCTGGAAGTAGTTGAGCTGTAGTGGCGGAATTCGTCTTGGATCAGACACGTCCGGAAGTAATGTGTACTTGCCTCTTCCGTCTTGACTGCTGTGTTGCTTAGCTTCCGTCTACCATGATTCTCCGCCGCCAAGACCTTCCCTACTCACGTCCAAGCGGCGATGGCGGCCAAGAGTCAAACTCGGTCTCCAAAACCCGGAGCCGCTTTTTCATCTTTCCCTCTGGGATCTGCCACGCATCCAACACCTCCTGGCACGGCGAATACCCGTAGAACGAGTACAATTCCAGCACCCATTTATTTCCCCTGCACTTCAATTCCAGATCCTGGGTATCTCCCTCCTCCCACGACAGCAGCAGACTCGTTATCTTCGGCATTTTCTGCGCGGCGTACCCGGCGCTGGCGTACAGATCGTCGAAGAATCCAGGCACGATGGAGAAGCTGGAATCTCCATTCTCGACGTACTCGAGCCGTTTCGGTCCGGGTTGCTGCCAGGATGTGAGGGGCATGGCGCCGCCGTCTTCTCCGTCGGGCCAGTATTCGTAGATCAGAGGCTGACCGGTCGGGGTTGCGGTGGGGTTGAATGTCAGTCGAAGGGTTTCGAGGTGGGGCCATAGGACGGTGGATTGGTGTTCGTCTTTGGAAAGACGGAAGAAGTCGGATGTCATGTCCAACTGCACGATGTACAGTTCGCATAATTGCATAGATACGCTGTGCAAGGCCCGCGAGAGCGCGTCAGATCGTACGGCCAACTGATATTGCGGCTGCGTCCGCTGCTCGAACACATGAGGTGAGATCTCGTCGCACCATTCCAAGTGCAGCGTTTGGATCCGTTTGGGAAGGAGGTGCAGGACTTTGGCCGTGTCGTTGCGCTTCTGGGTTAGGAGTGAAATTTGATTGCCCATGTAGTAGGATCCGAAGAGATTGGCTTCTACAAGAGCGTCGCAGTCGCCACACGCCGATAGGATCCGTACTTGTGCAGGCAATGAAATCATGTTCTGCTCTCCATTAGCGGTAGCGTAGACTCTAGGGAATTCGACTGCTCGAACGCAGCTGACTGGTTTTAAAGTAGTTCCGCTCCTCAATGTCCCCGTGTACCATGCAAGAGGCAATTTGTTGAGCTCGATGAGACCCGTTCCAGGCTCAACCTTCATGTCTGTAGTATGTACTTTCTCCGCCTGAAGCACAACACTCAACGTCAACAACGCAGATCTCTCCGCCCACGACGGCGACGACAAGTACTCGAACAAGGCTTGCACACCCGTCGAGAACGCCTCATCATTCTCGCGACGCAACGGATTGTCGTACGAATGCTGCTCCGAATTCCTATCGGGACTTTGACGCTCCCTAGTGCGGTCCTCCAGCCAATGCGGCACCGCAACCCAGTAGAAAATATGGCGAATCGCCGCCCGGCGGGCCTGTCGCCATGGTTGTGGTCCGGTGGTGATCTCGTCCAGCTGCTCTTGGGTCAATCCAACTTTCTTTCGGGGCTCTGAATCACGGCCGATGAAGACGCTGTCGCTTTCGGATGGGCTTTGGACCCATACGGTCGAGTAGATTTCCTCTTCGAACGCGGCTTGTCAGGCTTTGTTGACGAGGGCGTACCGGCCCAGTTTGACACGGGGGTGGTGTTCAGTTTCCCTTACAGAGACGGACTTGGCAAAGAGAGAGAGGATCTCGTGGGGCAGTTCTGGAGCCGTCATGGTGAGTGCGTTCTAAGGTTGTTCGAGGTTTTGTTGAGGACGAGGAAGTAAGTGGGAGATTTTGTTTGTATCGGTTTAGACAGAACGTATTAGATCTTTTAGCTAGTCCTTTTCTGGTTAAGATCTGTGGCTGCGGTGCACGTGTATATGCCTAGCGCATCTTCCACTTGTCCACCATCTTTCTGCTCTCAACTACAAACAGATGAGCCCGATCAGAACTCGAGTCAAATCGTGCGAACACTGTCGACAGCACCGCCTCAGATGCGACCGTATCTCGAGGGAGCCTGAGCCATGCACCGCCTGCTGGAAGCGAAGCATCGATTGCGTTTTCAACTATGGCAACGGCAGGCCCCCAACGAGGCGTGTGCAATCCACAGGACATTCTACTGTCCAGCACGATGAGCCATTGCAACATGTGCCGCCCTTTCAAGCTGCCATTGAGGACGAAACCACCCCGTCTTTGCGGCCCTACGACGGCGCAGACGTGCACGCTGACAATGGTTTCACCATGACCGCCTCGCAAATCAACAACTGCTTCTCGTCCTTCATCAAGGCTCTGCATCCCCATTTTCCTCTTTTGTCGCTTCCCCTGGACGTCCAAAACACCCTCGAGGCGTCTCCGCTGCTTTTCTGGACCATCATCACCGTAGCCAGTCGCCATGACCGGGCATCATATCGAGCGCTGCAGCCCTTTGTGCGCAAATCCATTGCCGGCGTGCTTCATCCATCCGGCCACGGCCTGCAATCCTGTCAAGCTTTGTGTCTCGTATGTCTATGGCCGTTCGACGCCGAAGACCCCAACGATGACCCATCCTATCTCTATGCGGGTATGGTCAGTCACCTGGCCTTGAAGATGGGATTGCATCGACCAGAGTTTGCCCATGAATTCAAGGACATCAATGATGCCTTCGACCGGGCACAACATAATCATGAGAGGTGGCCTACATGGTTAGCTTGCCAATTCGTCGAGCATATGCTGGCGAGCAAAAATGGTGTTCCCAGCGGTATCAGATCGGACTGGTCGTCGAACTATAAATTGCGCAACCAAGACAGTCCTGCCCAAAGGAGGATATCACCAATCCTGAGACATCATGTACAGCTATGTGCGATCCGAGATCGTCATCTCACTGCCATTGCATATCAGGGCCAGACACTTTCGGGACTGAGACCGCCCAAGGACCGCGAAGGCTATTTGAAATTGTACCACGCCGAGCTGGACGACTTCGAAGCCGCTACCTCGCCGCTTGACCCTCTGAGTGCAGTCTTCTTGAACATGAGTAGGGTGACCATTGCTGGCTTTTGCTTGGCCCGGGACATGATGCCATGTGATCATCAGCTTCGCCTGCTCCTCCGGTCTGGTCTGTACTCGGCGACAGCCATTCTCGACCTCGTAGCACCTTTGGCTTGGGAAACCTTACCTGTGCATGTTCTACGATCGCTCCTTTACGCTGGCGTGTTTGCTTCACATCTCGCGAGATGCGACATGGACACCTTCTCGACCGAGCCGATGATCGTCTTGGAACGAGCCACGGATATCCTCAGACACCTAGCTCACGGGCAAGACTTTGCGACTCGGGCTAAAATCGTCCTCGAGACCGAACTACATCGGCATGCGAAAGGGGCTTCTTCAGTCCAGAAGAGGCAGGCCGGCGTGGAATTCCATGCGCGGATGGAGGCTAATATGTATTGGGATCTTGTCGAGAGTGATAAGTCGAGGCACAACTGGAATCAGACAGCAAACGACATCTACTGGAAACTCATTCTATCCGAGGCGAATCCAATATCGCCAACGAGGCGGGGTGCCCCATCTGCAATTGATTAAACAAGGGATACACTCATGGCAAACGCGCATTCCTCGCTTTTGAATTTCGCAAGTACATCAGCTACCTACAGATCCATCATGTCTATGCAACCAGCTTTACAAGGTGAAGAGGAATTCCGGATGATTCGTCCCCAGTTCGTCAAACGACTTCTCGCAATCCGCCGCCCATTGCTCTGAACCACGCAGTGCATGCTTGTGTCGATTTTGTCGGAGAAAGTAAAAGTCGAGACCGGCAATAATGATGCATAGAGCAACGAGGCAACCTATCGTTGCCATTGTTCCCTGGAAGTATCGAGGACCGTCCGTGAAAGTGTAGCTCACCGCGAGGCCCCCGAATTGTCCGCATGCATTCTGGAGTGGAATGGACAATGCACGCCTTGATAGCCCCACGGTGTTGGTGAACAAAAACGCCAGCGTCAGCGGAATCAACGGCTGGACGCTGAAGCTGATCAGACAAAGAGCGAACATGCGTGGACCTTTACCGTGGACTACACCAGCCAGAATCGAGAAACCCGCAGCGCACACAACAGCGAGCCCGATGATGAGGGGCCCGCGTAGCTGGAATCGATCGCTGTACCAACACCAGAAGTTGACAGACAAGAATCCCAGGAAACAGATCGGAACCGTGAGCAATTGGCTTTCTGCCTCGTCAAAACCCAGGCCGTTGACAATAGAGGGTAAGAAGTTCCCATAGCCGGACGACGTCCAGATCACGCAGAAGTATGCAAGCCACATGGCGTAAGTCTCGGGGCTCTTGAAGATGCTCAGCATTCCTGAGAAGGTGATCTGGCCGCCCGCGGTGTTGCGTGCCCGCTGGGTTCTGGTGATGCACAACGCCTTTTCTTCAGCGGAGAAGTACTTGGTCAACTTCTCAGGGGACGAAGGATAGAAGTAGATCAATATGGGGCCGAAGACGATGGGCAAAATGCCCTCAATGAGGAACAGCAGTTGCCAGGGTTTGAGACTCGAGGCGGCATGTTCCTGGATCCCATAGGCGATGATGCCATTGAAGCTGCCCGCAAGAACACCGCAAGAGTACCAGATACCAGTCCGTGTCGCGATCTCGTGCTGGGTATACCACATGGTCAAGAAGACATTGTTGATCTGCGTCAGACCTTCCGCGGCACCGATGAATACGCGCAACGTTGCAGGCAGTGCGAAACCTCTGGAGAAGAGCAGCATGATGGTCATAATACCCCAGGAGATATTCGCCAGGCCAAGCAAGAGATATTTCTCGACCCGACGGATCGCCAGACTGCCCACCGGCTGGCAGATGATGTAGCCGATGTAAAAGAACGAGATCACACTGGAGAATTGTGTCGGTGTGAGATGGTTGTCTCGAGCGAACCCGGCCACCTACGGAAGAACGATTAGTCTATCTCTCGTCCAAAAGCAAGGAAAGGTGGGAAATACTTTTGCATTGCCAACGTCAGCGCGATCCATGGATGAGAAAAAGTAGTTGAGGGCGCACAAGGGCAGGATGAGCAAATCGATCTTCCTGAGAATCTTCTTGTCGAGCGCGCGTTCCTCGGCGTTGAGTTCTGGTATGGCCGACTGCATGGGTTGCATCTTCTCGACATGATCTTCATCGTTGTCGCGGACGGCCAGGACATCTGCTGGCGCTGTATTCTTGTTGATGTTCACGTCCATACTGGTGTTCAGACAATGTCGGGCTGGGAATCGTCAGATCAGTCGCAAATCTTTGGACGCGGGAAGGGACGTACTCGTTGGAAACTGGCGGCCGATGTCTTTGCTATATACCATTGCTGTTCCATATCGGATATGTGGCCACGTGAGAGTCCTTGAACAAAAGTGGCTTTTTCTCCATGGGACTCACTGATACCATGTGGTTTTGGTTGAACTCTATCCCCGGAATTCCGAGTCTCAAGGGTCTGTACGATCCTCAGGAATACCCAATGTGGTGAAGGATTCATCGGAATTCCAGCTGGCTCAAATTGGAGATTCCTGGCTCCGCGAAACGATTTACTCGACTTGTCTCAATGAGGAGCTTTGTGCAGACTCGAACGTGGATTTACGGTTCATTCGGTAGTAGGAGAGGCCCACGACGGCCACTTCTTCGACGGCCAACTTTCCCTTCGATTTGCATTCTCGCCTGGTTTCCTTCCTCTCTCACCCTAATCAACCATTGTGTTCGAACCTCCCTTAAAGATGGCAAGTCTCTCTATGATCACCCCCGTCGACAACTTGTCACCAGACGTCGCCCAAGAACTAGGCCTACTGGGTTGCGTCCCCGCATTGTCCTGTGTTTCCGATCCCAGATTCTCCTACTATCTCTACGCCCCGTCGACCTACCACCGCCAAACGACGGCACCACCTCGCGTGCTCGTCCTCATCCACCACAGCCTCCGCAACGCCTACGCCCTCCGCGAAGCCTTCCGGGCGTTCGCCTTAGACCACAACCTCTTCCTACTCTGCCCGCTCTTCCCCATCGGCTTCCTCGACCCCGGCGACACAGACAACTACAAGAATCTCCACTACCGCGGCGTTCACTACGACCGCGTGCTCCTGTCCATGGTCGATGAGGTCCAAGCCCGCTACCCCAAGATCCCCGCCGACACCACATTCGGCCTGTACGGCTTCAGCGGCGGTGCACAGTTCGTCCATCGCTTCGCCTACCTGCATGCGGAGCGCCTGTGGGGCCTGGTCGTCGCCGCACCAGGCGCGCAAACCCCGTGGGACCACACCCGCGACTATCCCGCCGGCGTGAGGGATCTGCAAACTGTGTTTCCCGGGACCGCAGACGGGTGGGAGGGGCCTTTGAGGCTGCTCCCCACGGCGTTCATGTGTGGGGCGCAGGACACGGATGTGAGCTGGGCGAGGCTGAGAGGACGTGAAACGCCCGCGGAGGGGGGACGGCTCGCGGCCGCGAGGCGGTTGCGGGAGGATTGGGTTAAGCAGGGGGCCTTGCGGACGAGGTTCGTTGCTGTTGAGGGGGCGGCGCATGAGGAGAGTAAGATTTTGGAGTGCGTGCAGGGGTTTTTTGATGAGGTGCTGGCGGAGGGGCAGGGGCAGGAGGGGAAGGAGCAGCAGGAGGGGAAGGAGTTAACTACTCGGGCAAAGACGACGACGACGCAACAGCAGCAGCAGCATTCTTACACTGCCCATGTTAATCCAACTCCGAAGTTGGATGCCCATGGCGTGAGCATCGTTGTTGGGTAGGGAGGTACTGAGGAAATGAAACGAAATTTCGTTTTTCAATAATCAAAGATAGAGAAGGGTTAGCAAGGGCATGCATGCATATCAAGAAGATAGATAGATAAGATGGACGACATGACGAATAATGGGATGTGAAGTAGAACAAAATGTCATTTAACGTCTATCCCTTTGTCGAGGGACGCACCGTGTGCCGGGACAGCTGAGGCACGATTGCACATCAATCGTCCCTTCCCCCACTTTTCCGATCGGAGACACTCGGATATAATTTGGTATCTAATTCTCCTTCGAGAGACATCAAGCTTACGGGCTTTCTGATTTGTGTTTGACTCCGCGAGTCGATCTTTTATCAACTTTAGCTCTATGGTCGACATTTCAAGTCAGCCTAGTCGTCGCTGCTTCCTTTGCTTGCCCTAAACATAGGCAGACGACGTAGCGTCAGGTAGTTAGATGCTGTTTGTAGGCTATGAAAAGTGTTTGAGTTTCGTAGCGTCTGTGATTCCAGAACGAGTGCGAAAAACAGTGCGAAATGGTATCTGTGAAAGTGGCGTCATTTGTGGCGCATGGCGCCTCTAGTGGCGTATGGTCTTAGAATTTCTTTGTCCTGCCAAGTGGGCTGGGGCGAGCCTCTCCACGAAAGCTGTAAGTATATATAATCGCGGGCGCAGACATCTGCCGAGATCGCTCAAAATGCAGAAAATGATGCAGAGTAATGTCCACGTCTTCATCTCGCGCGAAACTTTGACAAATTCTTCCTAGATGATATGTATCTTCGTACGACTTGAGTTTCCGCTCCACTGCTCCCCGTACATAATACCATGCACATAGCAGGCACCAACCAAAGTATACATCCCTTTCTTAATATGAGGTCGAAGCAGGTAAGGTACATCGCATCCTGCAATAACAGAAATTATGTCACCGATTTCTGCCTGGTAAGGCACATGGCAAATGTAGCCTTTGTCAGTACGGCCTCGACTTCCTGCCGCGAATAGGCTGAATGCCTGCACCACGTAATGTTCGTACAATGGTGCTTCGGCGTTCAAGGGCGGGCCTAGCGTTTCGGCAACCAGCATCACATTTTCGCAATGTTTTCTTTCATCTCTTTCCGCAAGAGGCGTGATCCTTTCGCGCTCTGCATCAACCCAGTGTCTCAAGTGTTCCAGCAGGTCTGTTAGGGCGTTTGCTGATTCGTCCCACTGATCACAAATGCCGAGTCTGTAGAGAACTTCGGCCTTCGACTCGCCGCTAGGGTATCTATCCAGGACGTGCAGTAGTCTTAGCGCGTCGGCGAAGCAAGCCATAACATACTTGAAGTGGTAGCCAAGCTCAGCCTTGAGTGCGAGCTCAGGATTGCCAATCCGCTCGATTCTGTCAAAAAGCCTACCATTTACGACTAGTGCTCGATCCTCGTCTAATTTGAACATTTGCTCTGACTTTTTGGCCGTACAGTAGACCTGTTGGGAACCTGACATAGCACGTGGCTTGTGCGGAAGCAAATGTCTACGATAGCTCCAATCGGGAACCCAAGATGGAAGACCTGCGTGCTGTCTTGCCACGCAGCGCAAAATGTCGGGTCCGAATCCATTCGAGATCATATATGTTGCTACACGCAAGCAAGTTTGAGGAAATGTCCTTTGATAATCCGGTTGAAGCTCTAGCACATTTGACTCTTTCGAAATGCCAACAAGTGCAAAGAGGTGGTCTCGGAGATCTGTTGCCGCGTCATGTTCTGTGAATTGCAACAAATTCATCAGATGAGCACGGTGCCAGTATAGATTTTGTACAACGATCTTCGTGCCAACAAGCGCTACTCCTCCTGACTGGAGCGTGTTTATTAGGCGGCAGCGGAATATTGCTTGAACCATAGGGCTCCGGGTTTGCAGTCGAGGTTCTCGGTCAACAGCGTTCGGAAGAAAAGGATATCGACTCAACGTATCCAGCATAAACACTAATGCCTGTAGATCGATCTCCCCTTTGCCGTAGAACATCAACGCGTTCTTCGCAACAACACTCTCTTGGATCGTCCAAATCCTACGAAACCAAGGGTGTTCCAAAAAACGTACGAAGTATTTCCACTTAGGATCTAGAATGTCGGGCAGGCCATAAAGTACGTATTCCCTAGGGTCCAGTGTTTTTGGCATCTCTCCTTTCCTAGCACGATAACAGAACATGCTGAGTGCATCGAACAGGGAGCCTATCTCTTCAACGAAATAGTGTTCAAACTCGCCCAGATGTACTGCAACTCGTGTAGCCGACTCATAGATTTTAACCATCATCTTGACTTGGTTGGTACGCTCTTTATCGTCGTCCTGGTTGATGCACACAGCATCAGCCCACACTCTCAGTATCCCGCGCTTTCGAAGTCTCCAGAGTGCACTAGACAAGTTTGGTCGAATTCTGAGAACATCGTCACCAATGGAAAGCTCTGAATCTGGTTCTCCGTCTCCCCAAGCATACGATAGAGCCACATACTTTAGCTCCTTTCTAAGGCAGTGAGTGGTGAGGTGCGCCTGGAGAGGAGCCTTATCGGAGGCTTTCTTAAGGTAGAGCAAACGGATGTATTGACCGGTTGGCAGGGTCTGGTACTCGTAGTCTTTTTTTGCCATTATTCCTACGGCGATTCTTTGACAGTAAATCGCAGGGTGTGATTCAGGACCTCAGCCGTCTTTTTTAGGCTGCAGCCCGAGATACGTTTCAAGGTTTATAAGGTTCGATCAGTGATACTGACCGACGGTACGGTTGTAATCCGATCAACGGCAAGCGATATGTTTAGGACCGTTCAATAAAGTTGATGATAGGCAGACAAGTAGTGTCGGAAGAAAAGTTGCACTCCGTTGTACGACGATGCAGAAGTGTGCAGATGTCATGCTATGCTACGCTGGCTGCAGAAATTTCCCCACATCCGGCTCTTCGGCACACCCGGAGGCACACTAGGAAGCAAGAGTCTGTGTGTCTCATAGTAATTAGACGATACCGCAGTAGGCTGAAACATTATATCGCATCCGGCATTGCAACTTTGACACTTCCGATCGTGTTTGTCGAGAGGCAACGTCTCAGATGCGCCACAATTGAAGCCAAATTGCCACAGGTCAAGCCACGACAGCTGAAAGAAACGCTCCGTAGCCACAGTGGCTTGCTGTCCCGCGACACAGTGCGTCCCTGGACAAAGGGTAACACGTTACCGTCTTGAAAAGTGGACATGCAGTTCTTCAATCGATCGATAAATCCCTCGACAGTTCTATTTCCCGCCCAACCCTACTCTATACAAAACCTCCCAATTCAGCACATCTCATTCCCTCAACCCATTCAAAGGAAACACGCAACAGGGTAAAAACCAGGACTCCGAAAGGGAAAGAAAGAAAAGTGAGGCCCTTCAAGAAGTAAATCAATTTTCTCCACTCGGGCGATGGACGTATCCTACTCTGTACAAAGAAAAATCCACAATGTTCAGCAGTCTCATTCATTCAAATCATTCAAAGGAAATAAGCAATCAGGAACAACGTACCTGCGATAGCCAACCAGCCTCCGACTTCCAACGTCTCAGCATCCGACGTCGAAGTCGATGAACGCTCCTGGAGATGTAGACGGCCATATCCACTGTTATGCTTGTGATAGTGACGGGTGGTGCGTACCCTCCGAGCAATTCCGCGCCTGCGAAACATTCGAAGCATTCCCGATCGAATACGGCGTCGCCAAACGTCCCCCCGTCACCAACGTAGACGTAGGCATCTCATGGCCCTCATGTCTCTTGGACTTGACACTCTGTCCATTATTCGAATAAAACCTGACCCCCGCAATATCGAAATACGCCTCCCGAAACGCCTGCGGATGATTCGCCACATACTCGTTACAAGTCTCAACACCCGTCCGCTGCGCCGCGCCGTCTACGGCCCAGGTTTTTCCCGCCCAGTCTCCGCAAAAATCGATATTGATTATTAACGCCATCTCCGTGAAAGCAGAAGTGAAATCGCACTCCCCCTGGGACTTGGCGAGGGGTTTCTGCGTCCAGCTCGAAGGGTTGGGCGAGCCGGCGACGAGGTCTTTCGGCAGACCGCCGTGCGGGAACATCCAGACCGTGATGCCGTCGGGCTGCCAGTTGTGGACGTAGACGCCGCCGTTTTGCTTGTTGAAAGCAAACCCGGCCGTCGCGACACGGGTCTGCGAGTTTCCAATGCGATTCTGACCGTACGCGGCGATGGAACACCCCGTCGCGGCGTTGCCGGCATTACAGTCGGCGTTCTTGAGCTCGCCCTGGAAGGACTCGCTGGCGTTGCGGATCGCACACCCGGGCGCGGTGTGCAGCGTCATGGCGTTGTAGCGCGTCTCGTGGACGTACTCGAGGATGTCGCTCTCGCCGGAGGCGGGCCAGGTGCCCTGGGAGCCGAGCAGCCAGATGGCGGGCCAGGCGCCGTCGGCGACGGGGATGTGGTTCGTGTCGATGACGGCCAGGGAGCCCGCGTTGAAGGTGTCCTTGGAGATCAGGCGGACGGAGTTGCGGCCGGTCGGGGCTTTGTTTGTGTGGTCGACGCCGATGTAGGCGGAGGTGGCGTTGGAGGTGGCGTTGAAGACGTGGCCGATGAGGTTGTTCGAGGCGGCGAAGTCGCGGGATTGGTATTTGACGTGGCCGTTGGTGGGGTCTGCGTCCGTGAAGAAGGTGAAGTGGTCGAAGAAGTTGGCGCCGGAGTAGTCGGCGATGAGCTTGTAGGTGGTGTTGCTGCCCGTTGCGCGAGGCAGGGAGGCGGCGTTGGCGATGGGGCTTGAGGCGACCAGTGCCAGGGAGAGAAGGGTGTTGAGAGACATCTTTCCGGAAGATGTGGTGTTGTGGTTGGGCTTGCTGGTATGCGGTGTGATTGTTCTCGTCCAGGAGAACGTTGATAGAGGGTTGTTCGTGGACCAGCTGTCTCAGGCAGATAGTAAAGTGTTCTTGCAGGCGAGGTAGAGAGAGTTTGTGTTTGTGTGTGGGTAAAACTTGGAAAGCAAGCAATAAAAGCACATTCAAGGTCGAAGTGCATATATTGCAAAAGCGTGGAGTGTCGTGGAACAAAGGAAAGAAACATAAAAGAGACAACAGTCATTGTAACACCCTTGAACCCCTTCATTGTGCGTTGCGCGTCGACAATGAATGCAACAATGAGAAACAGCGAACAATAGAGAACAATGACAAAGAGAAAACGCACTGACCATCCTTCACAAGCCGAGGAAATCCCGGTTAGCGCGAAACTCTCATCAGTGAATGTTGAAGCAAACACACTTTTTCCTCATTCCATAATAATCCCTGACACTCACACATAGTAGAAAGAAAATGCGTGGTTCACGTCCATATCCTATTACACGTGCTTTCTCGACCCTCCACCTTTTTCGCCCGAATACATCTGCAATGCTTCCCGTTTCCCTTCGCTCATGCATCCGTCCGTCTCATTATTAGGTGGTTGAAGAAATGGGAGGCCGTTTGTCGAGTACACTGCACGGCAGTAACCCAGCTCTTAGAATTCGAATCATGCCCATGTAGTGGCTTTTTAAAGTCGGCCTTCGTTCTGCGCGTCACGGACCTGCTCAAATACCTGCGAAATGTCAGCAACTAACAACCGCCAAGAATGTATGATTTGCCCACCTTCAACAACTTCGTCCTCGCGCCCTTAGCTGCTACACCTCTCTGCTCCAAACCGTCATCATCCAACTGCACCAGATCCTGCCACTTCATATCCTTAAGATTGTCCGTGTACTTGTGCAGTCGGAGAGTTCGCAGCCAGTTGGGGATATCGTTCAGAAGCGCCAGATCGGTTGGGTCTTCCGGTGGCTTGGAGCTTCCTCGTCGACCACGCGGGGACCGTCCACGGTTGATTTCAGAAGCATCAGAAAGATACCCTTCATTCATGTGGCCAATGCCGAAGTTTGCCAAGTTCATACCCGCCATGCCGTTGTTGAGTCCACCCATTCCACCGTCGAAAGCTGCCAGATAGCCATTGTTCTGCGGCACTTGCATACCCATAGCGGCGGTGTTGATACCAGGAGGTCCAGTTATAGCGATGCCGGGTGAGGCAGGACGTGAACGACGACCCTGCATAGCCGCAATCTGCTGTTGTTGCAGGGCAGCTGCTTGCTGTGGGGTCAAGATTTGACCCAGTTCGTTCGTCATGAGAATGTTCGAAGGTACACCTGGAGACATTGGCTGCTGCTGGCCACCCTGGCCTTCCTGAGACCTAGCTCGTCTATACTTGCGCACATCGTCCAACTGGATGCGGTTGTTCACAGTGGAGAGTGCAGCAAGCTTCATAGCAGTGGCGTTGGCAACCATGTCGGCCTGGTTGTTGCTTTGCTGAGTGTTGAAGTTGGAAACCATCGGAGTGTTGGTCATCGAAGCCCAGCTTGCCCCTGGTGCGTACGGAGACAGGATAGGCATGCCGTTGTTCGATCCATCACCAACAGTTGCAGTCTGACTTTGAATGTTGTTATCGCTCGACAGTGGGAAAGGCCTCGAAGAACGCAGTCCAGCAGATGGAGGAGGCTGGCTGACACCAAACTGACCCATGGGTTGCTGGCCTTGGGAAGACGACGACTTTGGCCGCCCAATAGGAGGTTGATTCTCCCCCTGAGATTGGCTAGTGCTTCTCCATGGACCAGACGGGATGTTCGATCCATTCTTCTTGCTCTCCTCCTCAGGGGCAGAGATAGTGGGCATGTATTGCGAAGAGCGATCCCCAACAGCACTGCTCCTGTTGGATTTTGGTGCGTTGCCAGTCGTCTTCTGGAATTCCGCCTTCTGATCCTCAATGGCGTTGGCAGCATCCGGGAACATGGACTTGATGGTGTTGGGGTCGAGTCCAGACATGCGTTTGGCCCCAGGAGATGGTGGCGGCTTGCTGCCGAAGCCAAACGAACCGCGTGACCCTTCGACATTCAATTTGTTCATAGCATCGTTCATCCTCGAAGACATTGGATCTTTCTCGCCAAACGCAGCAGGAGACAAAACGCCGGACATGGGATGACTCTTGGCCATCTGCTGAAGGACCTGAATGAAGAAGCGAATCTGAACTTGCGTCGTCTGCTGGAGGAGCGCGTACAGAGCAGCAGTCCTTTCAGGCTCACTGAGCACACGGAACCACTGCTCAATCGCACTCAGCTCGTCCTTGAAGTCCTGATCGAGCGTTGCCGCAGCCATCTCTTCCAATGTAGTCTCGTATTGATCGATGTCAGCAATCCATTGTTGTGCCGCCTTTTCAGCCATATCTTCCGGGTTGCCCGAGTTCCCGCTCTGCGAGAACTGGTTGAAGTAGACCTCTGAGGCCGGTCGGATGCCGCGAGTTGCGAGGGGAGAGGGAGCAGAGAAGGCGCCCATGTCAGCGGAAGCACGCAGATGGTGGCCAGACCCAATGGTGCGAGATGGGGGCGGTCGAAGGGTGGAGCCGGACAAGGAGGAGCTCGAGGTCTCCGGGGTGGAGTTGCGGTTGCCGATGATGTTGGACATGGCGACGGGCTGCTCGTGATGGAGGGGTTGAGGGGCGGTGGTTGATGGCGGCGGTGGGCGAGCGCGTAGAAGTCGGAGACGGGAAGTAGCCTGCAGACCAGCTGTCCTCAAAGGCTGTGAAGGTCAAGTCGTAGACGCGGCAGCAGTAGCAGCATGTGCAGTATGTCGACGGCTCGTGATGTATCTCGTCAGCGAGGTCGACCAAAGTTTGGCGCCGTCGAGCGTGCAGTCGGGAGCGTTCCTGGAGCGTGGAGTGTGTAACGCCGGAAGCAGGACGAGTGCAGCCAGCTGGGACGGACGACTCGAGCAATAACGAGTGTGGTGTGGGAGATGGAGGTGGAGGGGGGGGAGAGGTGAGGGATGGTGGTGGGCGAGGAACAAAGAGAGAGGAAGCAATCGTCCTGCTGCCCTCCATGCATGCCCGTCTCTTCTCTTTCGCGTGCCGCTCCCACACTCCTCCTAATTGGTACAGGGTCCGTCGGTTCCAGCCGAGAACGCTCCTCTGCAAGCCAATCAAATCCCCAATACCGACTTCTTCGTGTGATCCTCTCGCCTGCTCCGTAGCCCTGATATCACTCCCATTCCACCTTCCTCCTCATAACTATCTTCAACAGCTTTACAAGTCTTGATCTTTGTTCAAAGCAAGCACAGCACGCGTTCGGCTCTTCTGGCGCGTGCTCGGAATAAACTCCCACGGGATCATCCACAACCTTGATCTCCACCTTGTAGAGACCAAGAAGGGCAAAGTCCAACGTCTACACTATCAATTTTGCTATTCAAAGAACACTCAATCCCATCTCCTCCTGGAAGAGATGCTGCACAAGAAAGGGATTTGCTCGTTCAGGTGGTGAGCGTCTGCATGAGCTGCATCTGGAAGACTGAGCGAATATATGATTGATAAGCTCCTGTGATATAGTTCGTGAACGAAAGCAAAGACGCAAAGTCATGATTCATGACTCGCAGCAGTTGCAGACACAAAACGGTGACCATTGAGCCCTACCACAGGGCGTGTTGCCAAGCTGTATGAAATCAAACATCATTTGCACACCTGTGGAGAGAAAGGAACTGTCGCGGACAAAGGACCGTGAGAATGAACACATGCAGGTTCCGGGCGGCTCCCATCTGCCGTACCACAAATCAATTCTCCTGCCGAACCAGCTGCTGATGCCGAAGAGATACATCATCAGCAATACGAGAGCGACGGAGAGATCATAGCCCCGTCATAACGAATGCAGCCATTCCCAAAACACCTCGCTTGCAAGAATTCGTCTCATCATGTATGCCCGGCCAAACACTTTACACCACCTTGCCATGCTTCCCCGACGCTTGCCTCCTCTGGCTCTTGACACCCTCCAACTTCTTCATCAACACCTCGTGTAATCTCTTGTTTCCGGCCCATTGCTTCGCTAGGTTCTTCATTCGGACAGAGGCGATCACAGCAAGGCCAACGGTCTTGAGAGAGCGCTTCTTCTCTCTGAAGGAGTAATCTGGTGTGACTCCGATCTCCTCTAACAGGCGGAGGTCTTCCTTGTTGCTACGAGCAAGTCAGTACATTTTCACAGTGTATAGGTGGGATGTCGACTCACCAAGCATTGTACATGCTAACCTGCATCAGGAACCACTTCTTCACAAACACCAGGTCCGCCCGGAAGGTCTCCTCACGGATGCACTTGGCACGCAGGTACTGGATCTGCTTCACGAGACCCTTCAGCTCGCTTTGGTGCCGATTCTCGAACGCCACCAGCTTCTGGTCTGCCGCAGCGAGCTGCCTGTCATCCACAGTACGCTCGTTATCAGACGTAGACAACCGCATGCTCTTGATCTTGGCTCGAAGCTCTTCCTCACGCTTGAGAGAAGATTGCAGCCGGTTGCTACGCTCGACAAGTTGAGATTGGAGAGCCTGGAGCTCAAGTTCGGCATCATCCAGTTGCGCTTGGAGGTCCTGTCGATTGAGCTCGAATGTCTCATCAGCCTTTGCACGGCGGAGTCGATCACGAAGCTCGTGTTCCTTTTTCATGGCAGCCTGCAGTCTCTCGTCCTTCTCCACGGCATCCTGCTGCAAACGGTCGACTCCAGATTTGGCATCACGAAGCTGAGCACGTAACTCTGCCTCTCTCCTCGCATGGCCAGATGAGCTGCCCTTCTGATCTTGGAGCTGCAACTCGAGTTCTTCAAGTTGAGTCTTCGCATACTTGAGCTCCTTGATCTGGGCACGGTACTCTTTCTCTTTGGTCGCCGACGCCTCCAAGCGACTCTCGAGCTCGAACACCTGCGCCTGGAAGTCCTCAAGCTCCGACTGCGCATTCTGGAGTTGCGTTCTTACTTCGCTCTCTTTCTTCTTTGCAGAAGACTCCTTCTTGTCACGCTTGGCAAGCTCGAGCTGTGCTTGTTCTGCTTCAATCTTTGCCGACTTGAGCAGCTCATGCAGATCTTGACGCTCCTCTGCAATGGTCTTTTCCTGCTGAGCAAAGGCAAGGTCGGATTCCAGCGTTTCCACTTTGTATTGCAGTTGTGTCATCTTGGATTCTGACTCCCGAAGCTTCTGGCGTAGTTCATTCCGCTCACGAACCGGCGTGCCGTTGTTCTTGGACTTCATGATCGCATCAAGCTCTTCCTCCAGGCTCTTGACCGTGATCTTGAGGGTCTCTCGCTCGTTCTCGACAGTCTTCAGCTTAAGCCGTAACTCGTTGCGCTCGCGAGCGGGAGTGCCATTGTCCTTTGCTCTCCACGCTCTCTGCGCTTCGCTCTCGAGCTCCCGAACACGACTCTCCAGACCCGCCTTCTCGCCCTGCAACATCTCCAGATTGTCTTCGAGGACAGCAATCTCGGCTTCAAGATCTTGCTTGGCTTCTGCGTGTTCAACTTGCAGATCTGCCTTCATCTTCTCCAGTCGACGTTGGGCCTCGTCAGAGCTTCCCTTGCCACTGACTGGAGCAATCTCAAGGTCACGCTCGAGGTTGCGGACATCCTTCTGTCTCTGATCGGCTGCCTGTTGGAGCTGTGCTTGAAGACGTTCAAGCTCTTCCTCCAAAGCACCGATCTGTTCATCTTTACCTTTGAGCTCCTCGTCTTGGTGGCCAATCATGCTTTGATCGCGATCAGCAGTCTCGGTTCTTCTACGAAGGGTGTCGACTCGCTGCTGTAGCTCAGCATTCTTCGTCTCATAGATCACAAGCTGCTGGTCAAGCTTTTCCAGGGCGGCTGCTTGCTCGTCGAGTTCGGCCTCCTTCTCTTCATCCATCTGCTGGAGTTGCTGTTGAAGTGAACGAACCTGCTCTGCTTGTTGCTTGAGCAGGCTATCCTTCTTCGACGGTGTCTCCATGGCGTTAAGACGAGACTTCAGACTGGCAAGTTGCTGGCTTTGGTCCTTCACCTCACGCTCTTTCGCCTTGAGCTCAGTCTCGAGTCGCTGCAGCTGTTCGTTCTTCTTCCTCGCTTCCGCGCCATCGCCGGATTGCAGTGTGTTGAGGCGGTTCTGCAAAGCCTGCATCTCATTCTCACGAGCCTTGATGAGCCCATCTTTCTCATTGAGCTTGGCTTGTGAGCTTGCAGCAGCGGTACGCAGTTTCTCCTGCAACTCTCTGACTTGGTCTTCCAACTCACGAGCGCGATGATCCTGCTTCCGAAGTGCTTCATTTCGGACATTCTCAGCATCACGCACTCGCTTCTGAAGATCGGCCAACTCGTCGTCGCGCTCCTCAATAACCCTCGACTTTTCCTGAAGAAGACGCTCTTTGTCCCGGATAAGGCGGTCCTTCTCTTGAATACGCATATCCGTCTCTTGTGCCTCAGCGTCCCAGCTACCACGTGCCGTCTGAACACGCTCCTGGAGAGCCCTTATCTCTCCATCCTTGTCGGCGAGTTCTCGTTGCGTGTTACGCAACTCACTCTCCCGCTGCCGCAGGTCTGCAGCATGGGCCGATTCTGTGGATTGCATTCGCTTCTCGAGTGCACGTAACCGGTCTTGGCTGTCATCGAGTGCCTGTGACTTCTGTCGCAGTTGGTTTTCAAGCTCAACCACATCGCCACGCAGCTTCTTCGTCGACTTTTCTCGGTCATACGCAGAATTGACCCGCTCCTCAAGTTCGTTGATCTTGGCATCTTTGCGGTCGAGCTCATCATCCTTCTCCTTCAGTTCTGCTTCGAGTTCATCCATGTCTTGCTGCATATGTGCGACATTCTCGTCGCCCGCCTTCGCAGCTTTCAGTTGATCCCTCAAGCTCTCCAGCTTCTCGTCTTTCTCATCGATTTGGTTGTCTCGGTCCCGCAGATCATGCTCGAGGTCCTGAATCTCGTCTTTTAGACGCTGCAGCTCTTCCGAACCACCCTCTGCTTGCTCGGCACTCTGAAGCTTCTCCTGCAGGTCTTCCATCTGCGCGTCCTTCTCATCGAGCTGGCGGTCACGGTCACGGACGTCTTGCTCCAGATCCTGCAATTCGTCCTTCAATCGCTGCAGTTCGTCGTCGTCAGCTTGCAATTGCTCAGCACGATCCAGCTTTGTGCGCATATCGTCAAGCTCCTGTTCGCGCTCGTCGGCAATTTTCTGCGATTCGTCCGCCATCCTTTGCAGACGTTCAAACTCTTCGCGATCGCGTTCACTGGTATGCCGCTTCTTGATGTTCTCCTGGTACTGTTTCAACGATATCCGGTATTCTTCTAGTTGCCGCTCTGCCTCTTGAAGCCTCTTGCGCTGCTTCTTGATATCAATCTCGAGCTCTGCCTTATTTGTCTTTAGGTCCACATTCTCCTTCAGTGTCTGCTGGTGAAATTCGTTGCCGTTCTTCCGCAGTGCTTCCTCCAAGAAGTGGATCTTGAGCTTCAAGCCGAAATTGTCTTTCTGTATCTGATCGAGCTTCGCCTCTTGATCTCGCAAAGTAAGGACGTTCCCTTGGTCCAAGACACCGCCTTTGTGGTTGTTCGGTAGTTGCGGTATCGGTGTCGAGTCGATCATGGATGAGCTCCCGACCTGAGGAGCAATAGGTGTGCGATCTCTGTCTGCTGAACTTCCAGTCTCATCATCAAGCATGGAACTGCTCACGGGAGGACCAGGCGTAGCTTTGCTGCCGTAACTTTGGCGCAGACCGAATGGAGTTCGCAGGTCACCTGTCGCAGTGTTCTCCTTCTCTTCGAGGATGCTCTGTTGCATCAACTGGTTACGCTTCGCGCTCTTCAGCAATGGGGTAAACTCTTGCTTCCCTCCGGGGTTGCGCTTGTCGACAAGAGCGGTCCTCGGTCGCGGTGTTCGAGTGGGTTGTGGATGGCCGGGTAAACCTCGCATCTGATTGCGGAGGTCTTGCGCCGCATTCTTCGAAGGTGACTGAAAGGGCTGCACGAAGGAAAAATCGGGCTCGTTCTTGCTGGGACTGATGAAGGTATGGCCGGCGCGCTCGGTTCCTGGTGTGTCGATGTAGTGGGCCATATTGGCAGAGTCGCACGCTATTGTGGTGTGTTAGTCTTCGACATGCGCGCGTCCGGCGTGTCTTTTGTCGCAGAGTGAATGCTTGGATAAGTTCGTACACGTCTTGGTGCGTCTTTTGTTGTCAAAAGTAAACATCGGCATCTGCGCCTAAGTAATGCCGATCGGCGCTAGCGCCAAACTCTAATTTGCCATCCACTTCACGTCTTGTTCTGTCATAAACTTCTGCTGCCAAGAACACGACAACATGGATGATCAACCTCCAGACGACGGTCTGAAGTGGTTTGGTGAAGGCTTTGATGGCTTTCCCAAACGCCTACCGGATGACTGTGTGGAATACATAATCTACGTCGTCGACCAGAAATTGAACAACACCATCGCCGTTCGCAATCGACTCAACGAGATACTGAAAGCCGTCAACGATCTCAAGAAGAAGCACTTGAAGGACTACATCTGGCAACGAGATGGTTTTGAGCTCACTGTACACCCAAAGCTCGACCTGTCAAAGCCTGATAACTCGAGGCCTGCAAACGGACCCTCGCAAACGCCGCCACATCTTCGAGGGCGAACAGACTTTGGCGACTCAGTCGCAGACGAATGGATCATCGTCTTTCTCCTTGTCGAGATCAGCAAACGGTTTCGAGATGCTTGGATCCGCGTCTACGATACCGATGGCGAGTTCCTCCTCATAGAAGCTGCCAACTCGCTGCCAAAGTGGCTCAACCCAGACGTTGCCGAGAGTCGTGTCTGGCTCAACGAGGGACATCTCAAGATCGTTCCTATGGGACCTGAAGCATCGCGCAACCTGGCTGTCCAAGAGGCTCTTACCTTGATCCGCCAAGACCAGGACAAGCTCCTTATTGAGCCAGCAATCGAGAAGGAGGCATTCTACAGACTACGGGAGTATCCTTCCGCTATCTCCTCTTCATTCCACCACGCTCTCATCACAATACCAAGAAGACTGGCATACATTCTTCACCGCAGTCCAGCGTTCATTTCCCCAGCCACTGAGTCATTCTATCTTCGAGATCCCGTCAGTCTAAAGCCGCTGAACACGAAAGATCTCTCGACACTCTCCTTCTCTCCTGAGGACTTCGTCACAATCAGTGTCAAGTTCACAAAAGTTGGATACGCTCAACTTCGAAGTCAAGTCTTCGACCCGCCACCGGCGTGGACGGCTGTCATCCCGCGCATGCAAGATGAGAAGGTCGCGATCGGCATGAAGCTGACATGTGGTTTTGAGATGCTCGTTGCAGACCCGCAGAACCAGGACAAACGAAGTGTCCAAGCCATTAAGCTGCTTCTGGAAGATCTTGAGAGCGGCGACGAAACATTACCCTCGGACGAGGAGATTGCTGCTTGGCCAAAGACTCAGGATGATGAAAAGTGGCTCGACATCGACTACAACGACTTTGAGAATGAACTTTCCGGTAAAGGTGGATCGAAAAAGAATGCAAACGATGGAGGTTTTGGCGATCAAGGCGCACAAGAGAACTTGAGGAAGATGGTCTCTCGATTTCAAGATTTTCTTGAAGATGATGAGGCTGGCGCGGATGGCGTGGACGATTTGGATGACGACGACGATGATGAGAGTGGCGATGACGATGCCGATGAGGACAAAGAAAAAGTGGACACATCTGCAGCGGATGAAATGGAATTCGAAAAGTCCATGAATGAGACGCGCACGATGTCGGAGGATCATGTCAAGGCCAGTGGCTTGTTAGAGGAGGCGCGCAAACTTGCTTTACAGGATGACGAGGATGCCAGTGACTTCGACGATGAAGAGCAGTTGCAGAAGGTCATGGAGTTGATGGAGAAGGAGCTCAAAGGCCACGGTGCTCTCGTCCTCAATGGCACGGGGGAGTCGAAAGTCCAAGGCAAGGGAAAGGGACCCGCCACGGCAAAGACTTCAAAATCTGAAGCTACTACGAAGCCCTTCTTTGGCCCAGAACGGCCACCAGGCGCGCAGTCCAACGCTGTGGTTAAGAAGAGTGTGCGCTTCGACGACGGTGACGAAGATGATGATGATGTTGGGCCTGGTGATGGAGAGCTCAGCTCAGACGATGAAGACTACAACGACGTCGACTTAGACTTGGCGAAGAACATGCTGGAGTCTTTCAAGGGCCAGGCTGGTATGGCAGGCCCGGCCGGGAATTTGATGAGAGCGCTTGGCGTCAACATGCCCAGGGACGAAGACGGCGATTGATTGTTACTTGCTCTTAGCACTGTCGACGTGATGAGGAGGAGGCGTGCGCTCACGACATGTGAGTTGCAACTGCCAGCAGACCAAGATCTTGGATCATCGAACTTGGTAGCTAACATTAGCCGAGCGCGTATATATCAGAGGGCAGCACGACTTTCTCTTGTCCTCCATCGACACTCTCAACTTTGCCAAACCCAAACTGAGCCAACCTCGAAATCACTCCACACCCATCTTATCCCACAGGTTCCACTAAACAGTTAACCTCAGAATGTCTCAGAATCAGTCATCTCCCACTCCTGCAAGCTCCGTCTCCGAGACCGACCCGCGCGCAGTCTTTCCACTTCTGGAGGATCTCGCGAAAGAGTCGGTGTCAGCACTCGCGGAAGACTCCCATGGCCCGGTGATCGACGGCCTCAAGGAGGAAGCCAAACTGTTCGTCCCTCGCGTCGAGAAAGAGGGTTTGGTACCATTCCTCGTGGCAGCCTTGCAAGAGTACAACGACAAACGCATCAAATACGAAAGTCGCATCGAAGAGCTCAACGACATCGAAACCGCCAAAGGCGCCGAAGCGGCCAAACGTACCAAGGAGGTTAAGCGCAAGGAAGAGGTCAAGCGCATCGATGAGGTCACACGCAACAATATGGTCAAACAAATCGATGGTGTCAAACAAGTTGCAGAGGCCAAAGTCACCGAAGAGCTCGAACGCATCGACGACGACAGACGTCAGAATGCAGAACAACTGTTCTGGAAGGTCTTCACCAAGTTTGCCGAGGAACATGACTTGGCGCTCATCGTCCATTTTTCGAAGTTCATGCCGGCGGGGTGGAAGACGAACTTTTCGTCACTCACTGACTTCAAGGCTCAAGGCAAACTAAATTTGAAGATGGTTTCGAATGACGGATCCATAATGTTTATTGGGGAGTTCGGCCCAGCACTGGCTGATAGCTAAACGGGCTCGGATTTCGAGATTGGTGGAGAGCTGTCACTTTGACAAGGTTGGAGCGTTTGGCCCATGTTCACGATTCCGACTGGTTTATGCGCGTTCCATTCTGGAGGTTAATTTTTAGATGCTGTGTTCTGGTTCTTGGATTTTGGTCATTGCGTTGGACATTTGGCGTTCTCCTGCAGCGTTCTCCTGCAGCGTTCTAGCTGTCATTCACTTGAAGCTTGGCAGCCACGTGCAAGCGGGACTAGTGGATTTAAGCGATTACTCAAACTGGTCATACCACGTTCCCAATCACGATTGCAATTACTACGGTCATGAACGTTAAACATGAGCACTTTGAAAGTCCAAAGCAAATATAGAGCAACGTATAAATACTTGGAAGCATCAACGCTACGTGGCCCGGGATGGACGTGACCCAACAGGCGCACGAGGTCACTATGTGCGACTCGTTTGCGACTGTCAGACATGAACGATACGGGTATCTTCGGATTTCAACGCAAACGAATAGAGTAGGGTAATGATACCAGCAAGCATCAACGCTACATGACCCGCTCCCTCGGCGTGACCGAAAGGACCCAGGTGTCCACTGTACGCAAGCCGTTCGCGACTGTCAGATATCAGCAACATGAGGACCATCAACATTGAACACCAAGGGACAGAGTAGGGTGAAGATACCAACAAGCATCAATACTACATGACCCGCTCCCTCGACGTGAGCAAAAGGAAGCATGTGCTCACTGTCTGCGAGCCGTTTGCGACGGTCAGATATCAACGACATGAGGACCATCAAACTTGAAAGCAAACCAGCGAGGCACTGTATAACAATGTCGAAAGCAGCAGTGCTACATGTCATCAATCGCACTACTTACCGCCGTCTGCTTACCACCGTCAAACGAATCGAACTTGAACATACCTCACGATGTCGCCTTTACTTGGGGATTCTACGTATGATCCCTCTCAAGATACCGAGCCTGTCGATGGCTTTAGAAATAGCGGCGCTGTGGACGAACTGGTTCGGTTGAGCTACGAAGGGGCGAGCCAACCTGACGACGATGAACTTGGCCGCCGCTCGGAAATCGCAGAATCCTTGATAAGGGCAATTACGATCGCCGAACTGCGCAGACCCGCCTTACGAATCATTGCGGGCAGGGTTAACGGTACAAGCAACACTGCCGAGATGTTTAAAGCCCTCCTCGAGCTGTTCGCCCCCAACGATAAGAGCGGCCTGATCACGGAGTTGAGAGACTTTATGCCGCCTGGATGGGAAATGGAATTTCCGAGTCCGAACGCGTATGGTGGGCTGCGCGTGGTGCGTGTTAACGTGCCGCCATCTGGCTTTGAAGTCTTTTGCGCAGTTTGGTGGTCTGGCTTATGCCCCTTTCGGGGTGAGGCTTGGTGCTGCGTTGTGGTTGTTGAGTTCAAGTTGCCTCTTACCTGAACCTTTGCTTCATTCCGGCTGCTGCGTTCTACTTGTTGCATTCTTGTTTGTCGTCACTTCGATCTGCGGCTTGTTGTATAGTGGATTTAGCAATCAACGAAGGCGGGTTTACATAACCATTTCCAAAACGTTTCCATTCGAGTAGGGGCATGTGCACTGTCAAACTTGAAAGCAAACCGAGTAGGCACTGTATAAAAATGTCGAAAGAAGCACTGCTACAAGTTCTTAATCGCTCTACTTACCACCGTCAAACGAATCGAACTTGAACATACCTTTACGATGCCACACTTTCCCCAACTACCCCGAAGGTCTGGAAGCGGTAACGAGGCCAATCCACCTCAACAACCGAATGGGCAGAACAACGGCCTCTCGGGCGCTAATGGCACAAATCAACCTCGCCAAACGAACAGACAGACCAACGGCACGAATCAACCTCGCCAACTGAACGGGCAGACCAACGGTACGAATCTACCTCAACAACCGAACGGGCATACCAACGGCACGAATCCACCTCAACAACCCAATGGGCAGGCCGACAGCACTCGCAGAGACCGTGCTGCCAATGCACTGGCCCAAATCCGGGTTGAATCGCAACCCTCAATAACACCTGCTGAACAATACGGCCTCCTCCAAAACGCACAAAACTTCCTCGGGGCCCTCGAGACGGTCAGCATGCTCGACTTGTTCATTGGACGTATGGAATCACACAGCCGCCGCCAATTCACCACCCAAGAGTTATTCCAAGATGTTGTCGGCCATCTCGGCGAGCTCAATCGTCGAGATCTCGTCAACCGCGTGGAAATGTTCATGCCTGCGGACTGGCGGGCTGTACCAGGGACTGGCAGGGCTGGGCAGCGTATCGTGCTCGTTAATGTGCCTCCAGATGGCTGGTTTGTCTTCGGAGAGTTTCCTCCTCCACCAGCTGAGGACATTGTGGACTCGGATTGAGCTTTGGGTGCAGGTATTTTAATGTTCTGATATGGTTTTGCTTTACTTGAACGTCTATAGATTCGTTCTGGAAGTTGCGTTCTGCGTGCTGCTTTTCGAGCGTTGCATACATGTAATCTAATGGCATTCGTTCCGAGCTCAAGTCAGACCTAGTCGATCTAGAGATCAATCAAACGGTTGTCACATGGCTATCTCAACATATGATCCTAGTAAAGACTGTAATCGTGCACGACCAGACTTGCAAGCAAACGGGACAGACCAGCGTATGAACACTAGCAACCACTGCTGCTAGCAATCCTCTATTAACATGACCATAGGAAACACGAGCTCTGTTGCAAACGAGCATCATGAGATCCTCCCTGGAGTCCGACAGCAAACTGGCCATGCATCGTATAAAATCAGATTCCTCGCCGTACTTCACGAAAGCCAGTCTTCTCACATAATAGTCAACCTCCAAACGCCTCGACAATGTCACAAAATCAGAACTCTCGACCTTTTCCCACCACCACCAAGCCCCCTCAACAATCGCAGCAACCAAAGAAAACCATTTCAGCAGCTGAATCCCTACTGAAAATCTCCAAATCCTCGAATACCTCACTCCCGCTCGAGTACATCAAGTACATGGACACTCGTCCCGACGGTGGCGCTCCCTTGAACGCCGCCTTCAATTCCTCCAACAACTTTCGGTCGGCCGGTAGCGACTACAACACACTCCATCATGATCAGAAGAAGTTCTACATGAGAGTTATCGGCGATATTGCCAAAGCGGACCGCTCGGACCTGATCGAACCCCTGCTATTGTTCATGCCTACGGGCTGGCGGACGCGCCATGTGCCACTTCCGAACAAGGGTCAGGAGTACATTTTACAGTCTCCTGATTTTAAGTGCAGGATGATTGGAAGGTTTCCTGACCCCGGGGCTCCCGCGATCGAGTGGGATGATTGGATCGAGGAGTGTGAAGACGAGTAGGACCAGACTCTGGTGCTATGGTCTGGTCGCCGTCTGATTTGATGTTTTTGAAATCTAAGCGCTTTCAAATGGGTCTGAATTCTGTGTATAGTGTTTGGCACGTTGCATGCTGTGTGCTTTTCCGTTCTCTGTTGCGTTCAAGCTGACATTCACTCACGCGGAGCCTAAGCTAGCTTTAGTGGATTTTAGAGTTCAATCAAACTGTTGTCGACCAGGGCCATGTGCGCTATCAAACCTGCGAGCAAACCTGATAGCGCTGTGAAAGCAACCCTTTATTAACATTCCAGTAGATACGACTGTAGTCTAGACAATCTCATACCAGCAAGCAACACAAAGACCATGCGCCTGAGAGCAAACTAGACATACCAGCATATATATACCAGAAAACATTACAGCTTCATATCCTATCTCTCTCCTCAAACTCGCAAAATCAACCATCATCCTTTTCCCACACAACCCAACTCGCAACAGCCTCAGAATGTCGAGCAACCAGGCCTCCAGCAGCTCCAACACCACAAACCAATCTCAACAGCCCAACCCGCCGCCCAACGTCGACGCTATCGCCGACGCCCTCGCCAAGTTCAGCATCTCAGCGGCCGATCCACCCAACCAGGACCAACTCGCCACACTCCTGCAGCGCTCACATACCTTCCTCGAAGGCCTCATAGCTGTCAACCTGTTCCAGGACTTCTTTCACATCGCCGGAGAGTACTTTTATGGCCATCTCCAGAAGCCAGATGTCTTTCACCGGATCATCCGTGGACTCGCCAGCGAGGGCCATGAGGCTCTTGTGGATCAGTTCTTGTTTTTCATACCGGCGGATTGGGAAGTCAAAAATGAGCGTACGAACACGGGGGAGCGCGTCATATTTGTGAAGGCGCCGGGAGGGCAGTTCGTTGAATTTGGAAGGCTTTAGGAGATTTGAGGTCTCCCAGATAGGCGAGTGCGAGTTGCTTAGCTTGGGATGCGTTTGAGATTGAATTCTGAATTTTGTATCGTATGTGAGAGTCGTGCTATGCGTGCAGCGTTCTATGTACTGTGAGCACATTCTGATTGCAGCGTTCGGGGTGTAGCGTTCTACTTGTCATTCACTCACGCGGAGCTTGAGCTAGCTAGTGGATTTAGCGCGAAATCAAACTGTCGTCGAACCATCATATCTTCTAAGCGAGCCAGAGATAGAGCAGAACATGTTATCGCTACTGGCAACTAGCAATGCCAATAATCCTTCATCGACGTGACCAAGAGGAATCACACTCAATTGTGATATATTTGCGACTGTCACATACTAGCCACAGGTGACCAAGAAGCAAACCCAGCAGAGCAGCATATAAATACAAGAATGCACTTTATCATACCATCTTCCTTTCTCACTCTCCAGAACAATACCAGAACAGTTTAGCACCGACTTTATCACAACGTGACTCTCCAGCCAGAACAAGATCCAAGATGTCGGACAGTCAGCCATATCGACGCCCGAGCACCATATACCCACCTCCACACGTAGCGTCCCAGCAGTTCCCCGAAGTCGGCATCGAGGACTGGAGCTGCGCGCTGGCTCAACTTGTGGAGCTCGCACGAATGAGGATCGCAGACCACGGCGGTCTCCTATCGGACCTCTATCAGCTCCAACAGCAAGGCAACCCCTTCCTCAGCGCCGCAGCCTCAGCCAACATGTTTCCCCCATCTCTTGGCGGCCTTCCGAGAGTGGAACGGCGATTCCGCCAACAATTATCAGCTTTTCAAGACAGTCATCACCAAGTTCGCCGATGAGGGGCATCGGGATCTCGTCAATCAGTTCTTGATGTTCATGCCGGCGGACTGGGAGCAGGATTACGAGAGTAAAAGCGGTCGAGGGCCGGGAATACTCGTCACGATGCCCGGTGTGAAGGGTTTCTGTGCTTTGGGAAGGTATCCTACGGGGAGTTTTCCTACCTATCCTCAGGGGCCATCCAACGAAGGGGGGCGATAGGCTGTGGTAGAGTGGGTTGGGACTAAGTCCTTCATGATATTTGCAGGGTGCCATTGGTTTCAAGCTTAAGCAAACGTTGTGTATGTCGTTCCGAACATGGCGTTCTCGTTGTAGAGGATCACACTCAATTACGATATATTTGTGACTGTCACGTACGGGCGACGTGTGAGTGATCAAACTCGAAAGCAAACATGACAGAGCAGCGTATATATAGTCAAAGTCTGTCCTTCTTCATGACTGACCTTAAACCTTACCCAAACCAATTGAAGAACGTCGACCTTCTCCACAATCACGATCACCAGCTTCTTCTCCGAACAACCAACCTTAGGCATACCCAAGATGTCAGACCAAGATGACCCAGCTCGAAGGGAACTTTTCGAACGAATTGTTGCCACAGACACCAACTACCAACTTCCTCGCCAGCGGTCCCCCGAAGAACTCCAGCAGGACTGGCAGTACCTTGTTTCCAAGATGCAGGAGCTCGCGCGAGGGGAGATCAGCAAACGCGACCCAGGCAGTCTCGAAGAACTCCGTCAACTCGAGTCACACATCGAACCGTTCCTCCACGCCGTCCAATCAGCCGGCCTGTATTACGAGTTACTGGCGGCCTTCCGCTACGTGGACTTCTACGACCGCGACGTGTTTCGATTGTTTTCCAATGTCACCACGGCGTTGGCCCCTTCCGGACGGCGGGATCTTGTCAAATCCTTTATGCTGTTTATGCCGGAAGGGTGGATACAGGATGACCACAGCAAGATGGGCCGGGACATAATATTTGTGAAAAGACCTGGAGGGTATTGGCTTCCTATGGGATCGTACCCTGACCCCTGAGCAGCCTGAGCCCTTACATACATATCCCGCTTGTGGGTTTTGCGTGGGGTTGGGTTACAAACCAACGGGTTGCTGGGGCTGGTTGAGGACTCAGGGTCGGTGGTTGCGTTCTGCGTGCAGCGTTCTGTATGTACTTCCCGGTCATTGTGTTCCTGAGCGATACCTGTAGCGTTCTGTATGTCTAATTCTGCACACCATTCACTCACCTAACCGTTAAGCTCAACTTGCGAACTACGCGATAAATTTCCAGGGGCTATCGACCAAGCTCAGAATCGTTTCAATCATATGCGTACCTAACCCTCATGCTCATCGATACTTCGCTTAGCGACTTATACACTCACTACTCGTGTTGCAGCATTCCCCATCCACCATCGCATCCCCCAAACCACTCACTCACTCACCCAACCGCCAAGCTCCACTAGCGTATCCTCATCCAAACATCAAATCCAGGGGCTATCAACCAAGCGCACACAACCACCTCAATCGAAAACCCCTTATACTCAAACATCACACCCATCGATACATCTCTTAGTAACTGATACACTACTCGTCAAAACCAAAGACCCAGTTATACAAACGCTCCAAACCACAAAATCCCGAGCGGATGATGGTTCGCTGAACCCCTGAATGGATGTACATTTTCCAGCGTCAGTAGCACCGACTCATCATCACGACACCACCAACAACAACAACATCCACAGAAACACCCATTCGAGAATTTTCAAAGAAGCGCTTTCTTGCCTGCTTTGCCTGGGAGGGAAGTAAAAAACACACGCACGGCAAAAAAACAATACAAGTAGCAGAAGAAAAAACACACCAGCACACACGGTCGTGAAAATCAGACACAGTAAAAGAACGCCCTCCCGGTTTCGCCACCCAAAACCCCCCAGAATATTGTTCCCCTTTCTCCCGCTTACTTCTGTACACGTGTTGTTTGTTGCGTTTTCAACCACACAAGTCACACGACTCCCACCCTGGCCCTCGCACACCCGCCCAAAAGCAAGTAAGATCATAAGAGTAATTCCGTAAACGCGAGACACACGCTCCGTGACAACTCCAGGTTAAAAGTCAATCAATTCCGACTCTCGCGCCTCGATCCGAAATCCGCCTCCGCTGTGACCGCTTTTCGGTCTTTCCGCTCCTTGATCCCAAACTCCATCATCAATGGCAAGTGGTCGCTGGGGAAGTAGTGGTTCGGCCAGCCGGGGACTCGGCGCATGTACTCGGGGTCGACTTCGCCGAGAAGGCCGTTGACTTGGACCGAGTTGGTTGAGTAGAAGACCCAATCGATGACCTTGCGGAAGTCCGGCGTGTAGTTCGTGAAAGGCAGCTCGTTGATATGGCTGTAGGCGCTCTTGAGACTGAATGGGTGGTTCATGCCGTGTCGTGTGAAGTCTCCGTACTTTTGGTTGCCGAGCTCGACGTGCGAGTTGGAGAGAGATCCCTGTGTTATCAACTCGTGCACACCTGAGTCGCGGGTGGAGTTGAAGTCCCCGCAGACAACCAGTGGGATGTCCCGCGAGTCGTCGTACTTCATCGAAGGCGCATGATCGGGCTTGATCTCTTCCACATCTTCGGCGCTGTCTTCGTTCGCGTACTTGAAGAGTTCCTTGTCTTTGCATGGCGGTAGTTGAGCCCACTCGTCTCCTATCTTCACCAGTGCCTCCATCAGAATGGCAACTTGAACAATCTTGATATCACTGTGCCAAGGTTCCCAAGTAAGATGGGTATTTGCCACGATCAGCCTCGAGCCAGTCTGCCTGTTCTCCAAGAAAGCAACCACAGCGATATGATCTCTCGGCATCACGCGGTTGTACACGTCGTGTTCACCCTTCATGTCCGGTCGTTGAATCGCTTCCCTCGAGTAGACGATCTGCTTCTTGTCGAGCTGGATGTATTTGGTGTTTTTGAAGAAGATGGCGCATCCATCCACATTCCTCGATTCCTTCTCGCCCATCGTCTGCGCTCGTGACTTGGGGAAGAATATTCCCTTGTAACCCGCGGACGCCAGATTCGGTCGGAAGAACTCGTTGAAGTTCTCAATGTCCATTTCTTGCAAACACATGATGTCGGCGTTCCTGCCCGTCATTTCTTCGAAGATCATATCTCGTCTATGCTGCCAGGCGAGCGCTTCCGATGGCGTGTAACCATACATGGCTGCGGTTGCCGCTCGATCGCACAAGATGTTCCAGCTCAGTACTGTGAAGGTATCTGCAGGCGTTGCTCCTGTCCTCTCCTCGGTAAGAGGTATCCATTCGCGGTCCATGGGCGGCGTGGATCCTGTGATCCGCGATTAGCAGTAATTTTGTCAAGGTTGAAATTTGCACTTACTTGGAGCTTGTTCGCGCAGGTATCTGATCAGTTCCTGCGGGCCATGTTCCACAAGCCGATCCTTGTAGTCCTGCCGCATGGGGTTTCCTTCAAGACCAAGCATTTCCAGTTGGAACAGTGAGCCCATCTCGAAGGGAAGATCTTCTAGTCGGTTGTCGAACAGTAGCAACCTCTTCAAATTCGTGAGCATGCCGATTTCCGGTGGCAGGTAATCCAGTTGGTTCATCGACAAGTCCAGAACCGTAAGATAGCGCATCTGCCCAATTTGTGGTGGTATGGTGGGCAGCTTGTTCCAGTTGAGGTAGATCTTCCGTAGCTTTGGATAGTGTCTGAATAGCGCTGGCGCCATCCCTCGTAGACCTTGGCCACACAGATCCATTGCATTCCATGTACCCATGTCCTCTTCTGGATCAGCTATGCGCCGCCGGTCGCCATTCTCGTCGCCTGAGTTCTGCTGATTGTTCGAGGATTGAGAGTTGGCCACCTGTCTACTCACCGAGGAAGTAGTTCGAGCGTAGAAGTGTGGTTTGTGCTCTGCCATCCTCAACTTCTGGTATTCCCTCAACTGTTCGGCGTAGTGCTCATTGGGTGGCTTGCCCAGCGAGTTCGTGGTTTCGGGAGTGCCATTTTGAAGGTGCGCAGGTGTGAAGTGGGGAGTGTTGTTTGACAGCGTGCTCGCGGAAATCGTGTGCTGGTGGTTGCCGAAGTTGGCGCCGTGGCTTCCCAACCCGCTATGGTCATGGTTGTTGAGGTGGTGTCCCTGATGCCCATGCGTCTGGCTCTGGAAAGCCTTGTTCAGATTGACCTGCGGCTGGAAGTTGTGGTGGGTTGCCCCGCCGTTTAGAAGGCCATGGTTTTGCCGGTGGTTTTGGTTGTTGTACATGCTGTAGGGATTGTGGGCGGGCGAGTTGGCGCCGGGCGATCGATTCGGCGAGGGGGTGTCGGCGTTGGGTTGGAAGAGGCCTCTGCTATTGCCAATGGGCGAGCCCGTCCGGTGGTGCAGCTGGTTGCGCGGATGCTGCGAGTTGTGATTCTGGTAGTAATACTGCCCTCCGGTATTGAACCGGTTGAAACCATCGGCCATCACCAGATGACGGTGGGCTGGCGGGAGCGAGCGCTTGTGCTGCCTGTCTCGGGCTCGATGGGCGTGGTCCAAGGATGCGCGCGGTGTGTCTTAGGGAGGAGGAGGTTCTGGCCGGCGCACTCGTCTTCTCCTGTACATGGGCGCCCTCCCCGCGACTCATGAACGAAAGAATATGGCCTGTCGCAAGACGGTTGTGGATTTCTTCGCCCGGCTCTTGCTTGCGCTCCCCGTCCCAGTTGGCTAGTCGAATGAGGATTGGGGCGCGTTCGAGGTTATGACGGAGGGCGGTCGGAGTCGGCGAATTGCGCTCGTCGAGGCACGGTAGTGATGCCGTCGTGGTATGCAGTGTCTGCTGGAGGAACTGTAGCGTCGAATGGAGCTGGAGTGGACGGCGGGAGTGATGTGTTGACGGCGTTTGGAGGTGGTAGCGCAAAGTGGTCGTTCTTGAGCTCGTCCCGCCAAGCTCGAATCACGTGATGTCGAACCAGATGTTGTCAATTGAACGAACTCCGAAGACAAAATGAACCTTCCTTCCAAAGAATCGCTTCACAAGACGACTTTCACACGCACGCTCAAATCTGACAGACGCGTCATACTCCTATACATCTGAATATACTACACTTTGATCATGTGGCGCGACGACTCAGCTCGAAGTCATCGTCCCAAACCTCCGCAGTGCACATTCGAGATGGCTGTACGCATCGAGACCAGCTGAAAACCCAGCCTTCCGTCCCAATCTAGCCACGACTCGGCAATCGCCCTCTCCAAAGCAGCAGTCACGGGTGCAGCTGCTCCATCGCCTCCCTCTAGCAGCGCCTCTCATCGACCGCCCGAATTGCTGTGGCGGCGGCGAGACACCCCAAACCGCGTCGACAGCGATGGCCGACCTCTTCTGAAACGGCATCCCGTTCCTCTCATTGGCTCCTGCTCTATTCATCCTACTGGCGGAATGCTTGTCCCGGCGGGCGAGTAAAGTCATCAAGATTGCTTGCCTCTTAACCGACTCGATGACTACGGCTTGTGTCGCGCCAAAAGGGCAGCTCCTACTCACACGCAACCGCAGTGCAAGCACAAACCCTGAATGTGAAATCTTGAAACTCGATCAATTCCCCAGCACTGCAATGCGTGTGGTTCTTTAATTCCCTCGCTCCCACATCCCACTCTGCACACCACTTGCTCCCCCATCACTATCCCGTCAGTGACCCGCTTCCGACCGGCAGTCAATATCTCTTCGCCCACGCCAATTCGTCACCCAAGCCATGAACAAGAATGCCGAGCAATAGACTCCTCGTTACGCGCGATCCGTCGCGGCCAAGAAACTGATTAAACTGCAGCCGCCGCCGCGAAAAAGGCGCGAGCACGAGAGCTTAGCCTGTGCCGACCCACGTGGGGAGGGATTCCATCGGATAGCGCAGCGAGGTGTATACATAAAGATGGACGGCCTGATCTACGCTTACAACTATCCTCGTTCGACCGGGCAGGCTGCGTATACTGAGGCTCGTCTCGCTCAACTCGCGCAGCAGCGTCGCGAATTGCAGCAGCAACGTCAACAGCTGCGTCAATCGTCAGAGGAGGAGCAGCGGCTTGAACGCACGACATCGCGCGGCTCGAAAACGAGTCAGGGTTCGACGTCGCCTCCGGCTACACTGCGGTACTCGAGAAAATGTTCTTGGGGAGAAGTACCTGGCTTGTCGAACACTACCATCATGGAGGACTTGGTCGCGCGGGCTGCGACCGGATCGAGTGCGACATCACTACCGCTGCCATCACAACCAAAGATGCAGCGCACATTATCGGAACAACAGGAACATGAACTATTAAGCAATCCATTCGAACTACGGCATGGTCGCAGATATCTGAGAGACGTGCCTTATCCGTTGCCTTGCGATCTGGCTGAAACCCAACGACAAAACCTGAGGACACTGCTATCGGTCACCGCGTTCGGCCGCCCTGTGTGCTCGCCCAAATGGGACAACGAAGCACCAAAGAGAGTCCTTGAAGTTGGTTGTGGCAGTGGATACTGGAGTGCGATGTGCCACGATTACTTTGTCGAGAAAGGTTATACCGATGTCGAGTTTGTCGGCATGGATATCGCTCCCTTGGCACCCAATCTGAACAAGCAGGGCATCAAATGGAAATTCGTGCAGCACGATCTGCGGAAAACGCCTTGGCCCTTCGATGACGGCGAATTCGACATGGTGATGATGAAGGACCTCAGCCTCGTGCTCACCATGGGCCCTGTGTCGGAGAAGATTCTGCTGGACTGCATCCGACTCGTCCGAGAGGGAGGTGTGATGGAAGTATGGGATTCAGATCATGCGATAAGATCTCTGATGCCTGACACGCCACCGCCGCCTTCGAAAAACCCCAAGGTCCAGGAGGTTGCAGAGGAGACTGGGACATTCGCCCTCGCGCCCGGCCATCCTTTCGTCCCTGCTCAAAACAAATTCATCTACAAAGTGAGCCAATGGATCACAGAAGCCCTGGACCGAAGGAAGCTCCATCCGACGCCTTGTGTCCGAATCGCCCAAGTAATGCTCCAGGAGGCGGACCTGATCGATCATGGCCAACGACGGATAGCCGTCCCTCTTGGAGAGCTTCGCTGGGAGCGAAAAGCCTCCCAACAAAAGCGCCCTCTCAGCAATGGCCACGATTCGCCCATGTCGACCGGATCCCGAGACCAAGGCGTCAAGAATGGAGAATACGTCTTGACAGCAGAACAGGCCGCCCTTCGACAGACTGCTCTAATGACCTTCCTCCAGATGATCGAAAGCATGGAGCCAATCTTGAAAGAAGCCAGCGGCAAAAACGCCGAGGAATGGAGCCATTGGTGGGCGAACATGATGTCGAGTCTGCTGGATCCCAGCAAAGGTGGCTTGACAGGTGAATGTCTCGAGATTGGCGCCTGGTGGGGGACTAAGGTCGCCGTGGAGGAGTGAGCCACGATGAATTTATGGCGCCCCGGCGTTGAGTAAAGATCTCAATTGCTGTCATATCGCTGTTTCAGCGCCCGATACCGCTTGAGGTAGTACCTTTGCAGAGAGACAACGGCGTTAGCACGGATGGGGAGTTCAAGAGATACCAGTTCCCTTGGAATGGGAATATGTTTGTAGGAAGGCAAAGCAGGACACAACTTACAGAGCTTCAATCTCTATAGAAACAGATCTACGTCAGCACGAACGAATGACAATTTCACGATGGAGAAGTTCGCGTACCTTTCTTCACATACTCTGCCTGCGCAATGCCCTTTCGAATCTCATCCTCGTTTTGGAGATTCGACTTGGCTTTGAAGGCTTTGTGGAGGCGCGGGCGGAAGTAGTCGTAGCCGAGAGGGTATTCGCGGCCGAGGTAGAGGAGTTCTGTGGTGAGAGACTTGGTTAATGAGTGTTTTGATGTGTTTTGGGGAATGGGGAATGGGGAATGGGTTGTGGTGTTGGATATATGTATGTACCTTTGTAGATGCGGATGACTTCGTGGCGGAGCGGTGTGGTTGTCATTGTTGGTTTTTGAGATGCAGTCCGAGTTTGGATTTACTGGCTACGACCCTCTCTCAAAGGTTCATGGAACTTGAAATGAGGAGTGATTGAGGTACTGTATTGAGAGATCTAATGTTGATGGATGAGCATTCGATGACGGAGTCAAGGAACTCGGAAATCGGCCCCCCGTTGAATACTTGCCCCGCACATCCGCAGGAACGAAACTCAACACGCGCACGCGATTCTCTGCTAGCATCTAAGCGACTCACTCACAACACTTACAGCGAGGAGAAGAATGCAAAGAGGAGGTCCCCTCGCCCTCCAGCGAGCAACAACAACAATAACAACCCTCCACCATGCCCCTACCCGCCTAACCACAACGCGCCTCCTCTCCTCCTCCTCGACCGTCCCTCCCCAACCAGCAACGCAATCCCTCTCCCCCCGCTGGCTCTCCGAAGTCAAGCACCGCATCGGGCACTGCATAACCTTCGGGCTCACAACCCCCCAAATCCACGAAGCCGGCAAGATCCTAACAGCGATCGCGAAAGACTGGAGGGAACTGGTCGCGGGGAGTGAAGGGTTTTTGACGGCGCGGGAGAGGAGGAGTATGTTTCGGTTGCCGGTGGTGTGGGGGGAGCAGGATTCTATGGTAAGATATATCGCGATGCTTCTTTCGGGGTTGTTGTTGTGGATGGATGGGTTTTGTTGAGATGAGATCGGAGAAGGTTGGCTAAGTGTTCTTCTTTTGGTGGGTTGTAGGGTCATGTGAATAATGGTAAGGGATGAGAGGATGCTTTTGGGAAGGAGTGGATATTGATTTGGGGGGTTGTAGTTGTCTACAATCGATACGCGGAGACCGGCCGGATAGGATGGGCATCGAATTATTCGAAGTACATCGACCCAGAGAATGCAGATGCATGGCGAGGCCTGTGGACGCCCAAAGGCGAAGGGCTCATTCTGAGGAAGATCACCACGGAATTCAAGTTCGTAAGTGTCACAATCGGACGCTAGATATGTCCGAGAAGACTTGCAGAGAAGGTGTCACTGACAGATGCGTCCCAGCCAATGCAATACCCCGACCACGTTACCATATACCACAAACTCGCAAAGCAGCCGGTGGAGGGTACAGACACTTTTGACCTGCACGTGCTCATCCTCTCCGAGTTGCATCAACGACCTGCAGCGCGGGTGGTCGAGGATTGCGTGCTTTACGACTATCGGAAAGGCAAGAAGACACCGATCCGGCCATTCATGCTGGATGTCCTGCAGGAGACGTGGAGGCTACAGGAAGAAGCCAAGCGGGAGAACAGTAAGCGAGTCGTTGATATCCTCGACAGAGTACGGCGGCTTGAAGTGGATTCTTGGGATAGGCCAGACGCTGTGGAAGATATGGGTAGCAGTCAAAGTAGGTGAAGAGGTCGGTCCATGCAACGTGTGCCGATCTCAATGGTGTGAGAAATGCCGTGATGTACGGCCGTCCAGGATTGCCTGTATATGGAAAGTGGAAGCCTGGTAGCTTCGAGGCCAGAAATTGAGGTGCAGCTGGCAGTGAATGATCAAGCAGGGTTGACGTGGAAACAACCACATACAAGCCGGCATGCTGGCAGCAGTATACAAGTCGGCAAAGATCGGTATGACCACCCATGCGGCAGCTGTGGCATACACTTTCGCCAGTAAGCATGAACAAGCCGTACAAGCCTCATCCTTCGTGGAGCTGCGGAGGATTGTGCGATTAGTCTTGCAGGAAGGCGTGTGGGCTGGCAGCCGTCTGACGCTGACTACGAGACGGCTGCTTGGTGATGATGCGGTGGAGTCGAAGTACCTGGGTACCACCCGCGAGCTTCCAATTGCCTTGCTGCAGACGATCCTCAGCAGCGACCGCCTGGCTCTTGCCGGGCCTGATGTAGCAGAGTGTCTTCTGATACACCGGGATAATCCAGGCTTATCGGTCTCACTGATAGGGCGCTGGCGATCATTTCGCTCGCGACTCCTACCTCGTGACGTGCAGAACGGCCGCATTCGAACCAGCGCAGAAATGAAGTCGTGCGGGCCGAAGCGGAGGGAGCGTTAGCAGGAAATAGTTGCTGTGATCTGCGCTGCTCCAGCCAATCCGACCCTTGTTTCAGCAGCAGGACGGGGTCGAAGCAGCAGCAGCCTCCACCCCGCCAATTGAGCAGACGGCTCGGTGGGTGATCTGCGTTGCAGCCGGTTAGCACATTGGAAGGGCTGCTGGCGAAGACATCCCGAAATCGGTGGAACGCGGTGTTTGACGAGTGTTTTCTGCCTGTGACCGCGACTGTCGTTGCCGCCGCCGGCGTTCGCTCGGATCGTCAGCTTTTTCAGGTCGGTGTTGGCCTGGTGAGGTTGTTGTCGAACTCTGCGCAGATCCTTGGGAGCGACCTTGGCGCTATCGACCTAATCGGGCCTAGCTCGAATTGTCAGCCGCGCTCGATAGACGGAGCGCAGGCTCAGTGTTTCTGTGACTGACTGCTCGAGGCCAACACCCATTCCACACCACCCTCCCACCGCCGTGACCTCGCCGTCACTACTGCCACTCCACCCCCTCCGCACCGCCCTCCCCATCTGGCTCGCCGGACGCCGCGCAGCGAGCCAGACGGGATCCATCAGCCTGCGCTGCGCCCACAGGGAGTTTCATGCCTCCCAAGGGCAAGGCGAAGAACGCACCGAACCAGCACGACAAGCGCCACGAGAACGGCCTCGCTCCGCCGGGAAAGCGAGTGGTCCGCCAGCGAAGCAACGGACACCTCAACGGGCAGCTCAATGGCAAAGCCGTCACGCCGCCCGCCCTCCCCTCGACAGGCCTAAATCAGGGCTTCAAGTTCCCACGACCCGCAGACCCCTCCACCGACACCAGGACTGCCTCCGCCGCCGCCGCCAAGGACCATGCGGCTACCCCGGAGGACACGCAAAGAGATAGGACTTCGTCAGACGTATCTGTTGACGACACTGGCGCATGCGGAGACATGGCAGATCTCGCACACGAACCCCCCTCCATCCCGCTGACCAGCGTGGAGGCGCCGTCGGCAGCATGCAAGCCCGCTGCTGCCCATACTGGCACCCTCTCCGCTGTTTCGACCATCCTCACGTACTACCCGCTGCGAGATGCCATTGCCATCCTCATCCTGCTCCTCTCTCTACCGCCAACCCTGGTTCTGGTGATCCAGACGCTCTTCGCTTCGCTCACCTTCGTCCCTCCCACCGCCGGCCTCTCCCTCTCGACTCTGCCCAATATCAAAGAAATGTTCAACTCCTCCAATTTCGGCTACCCCGCTTTGGCTACGATTCTGTTCGTTGATTTGGTATTCTGGGTCTGTTGGCTGCCCGTCTGGAAACCTATGCAGGCCATCCTGCTGGACCTCTCCCAGGCAGTCATTGCAGTCTCGTTAAGTGGAGCGGCGGCGAGTACGGGAGGGCCGACGTACAGCATAGCGACGTGCACCCTCATCGTCTGCGTGGTCCACGTGCTGCGGTACAAAGCGATACATCTTACCGCCTTGGACTACCTCCGCTCCGTATTACATAAAATGGACATCGGAATGCCGTTTGATGAACATTTTGCAGCAACATCTTTTTATTCTTCGACACCACTCGAACGGGGGATGGCTTTCACGGCCATTCGCACCATTCTTGGAATACACATAGTTTCGCAGGGCATCACGACCTGCATTCGCCGCACTCTCGCAAACGCAAAAGCAAACGAAAAAGACCAAAATGTACCGGCCATTACGAAAACCGATACCGAAGCGACCGCTGGGTCAGAGCTATCGGCACGCTCAAGTACTGGGCATGCTGAGGGTTCTCCACCTGTTCATGGAGCTTCGAGTACTGATGGCCGCCCTCCTGGACAGCCGCCCTCACATCGCGACAACAAATTGCGCGAGTCGAGCGGCAAGAAGAAGCGGAAGCAGGCTAATCAAGTTCGAAGTCAGCAACCGCTTTGGGCTGCTATTGCTAGTACAAAAGTCACATTCGTTAAGGAAATGGAGCAGCGAGATGCGGCGGATGATGCTCGTGAAGCCGCTGCCATGAATAAAAACAACACAACAAGCACTTTTGCGAGCACTACTAACCCCACCACGGACCGTATCTGGATTTGCGAAGTTCGAGACACCGAGATTTACTTTTCTGTGGAACTCTCAGCTGAGAGCACTGCTGAAAGTGCCGATCGCAAGGAAGACACGCCTGCTGTGACTGCAGGTATTGACAAGTCGAAGCCATTCTACGTTCGCGTCAATGGGGCTGGATGGAGCTCCACGCGGATTATGGCCAGTGAGGAGCAAGAAAAGGGTGCTGGAGAACGATTTGTTGGCGAGATTTTTGGTCTTGCGCCATTGAGCAGCTACCACTGCGAAATCGTCAGCATCGCAAAGCAGCGGGTTCTTTGCTCGGCAAGTCTGATAACACAGCCTGCGCCGACTGCAGAACAAGCTGCTTCTGCGCCGATTCCACCACAGCACCAAGCGCTCCGACCGTCTTCGCCAATCACCACTTTGAAGCAGTCCATCCAGCAAGCCGAAGCCAAGCTCAACGAGGTTCGAAATCGCACGAAGAAGACCAAGAAGGACCAGCGGGCTGCTTATGCCGACATCAAGAAGGAGATCAACGTTCTCAAGAGCAAGCTCGAGTCTTCTGGCGGCGTTGACGACAAGCAAGAGCGCCGACTATTGCAAATCACTCAGCACAAGAACCAAGCTGAGGAAGCCACGACTGACTTGAAGAGCCAAATTGATGCTTTGGGCGAGATTCCTGCAAATGAGTTGGCTGAATCGCAGGTCAAGCGACGTGCCTGGCAATCAGCATTTGACGCCAAGACTGCGGCTGACCGCGATCTTTCCAGCACACTCGCTGAGCACGAACGCGAACATGCCCGGCTGCGGGCTGAGATCGCCGCTTCGATATCAAAGAAAGAGAAGCTGGTCGCTCGCAACACTCAGCGTGCCCAAGAACTGGAATCACTTACCACAAAGCAACAAGCTGAGATGACAGCCAAGCAGAGGCGTGATCTGGAACGTACGCAAATGCTCCAGGATCGTGAGCACCGAACAAACGAGCTACGCTTTCACATTGCGCAAATGGATACTGAGGCACAGACCTACGCTCAGAAGGCACAAGAAGCCTGGCAACAGGCATCAGCGTTGTCGAATTGGTCTACTCAACCTCCGCCAGGATATCCAGGCTTCTCTTCTCCTCCCACGCCAGAAGGTATGCTCCCAGGCTCCAACGGCGGCCAAGTCAGTCCTCAGGCCAACGGCTTCCCTCCTGGCGCTTTCGGCCCTCAGGCATTCGGCTCACCATTCAATACCACTCAGTCTTCGGTCACCAACATGCACGCCACAGCTCCTGGAGTTCCGCGTGGGCGAAGCTCGTCTATGCTTAGCCAGTACAGCGGCTTCACCGACAATGGGGAAGAATTCACCTTCGTCCCGGGCGAGCACCGTCAGCAACACACCTGGCCAGTACAAGGTAGCACAAGCGCTGGTGCATTGCTTGAAGATCGCAAGCCGAGTGATGGCGACACCGCTTCAGGATCTGGTACTGGATCCGGAGGCGGAAGTCTGGTGAATGGTAGCACGAATGGATCAAATAGCCCTCGACCTGAAGCGAAGCCGTTCATTCCTGGCGCTGTCAACAAGTCACCCGGTCCGATTGGACCGCCGAGCAAGAAGGCGCCGCAGAGCCCGACTTCGACAAGTGCTGGTGCGGTTGGTGGTGGTAGATAGTTCGTCTGCAATCAAGTGGCTTGTGTTGTGTTTGATCAATTCTTTCATTCCTATCGATGGCTTCATCACGAGGTAATGTACTTGTCGCTTGGTATAGAGCACTAACAATGGCAGATGGCAGCGGCGTCGGTTGTTCGTCTCGTGGGATTTAGGCTGCAGTGGCTTGCGACTTCCCGTCACCTCGATTGCTTCCAAAGCACCGACACACTTTCGACGACAAGAGATCATTCATCCATCCATCAATCTACAACCCATCAATTCGCCATAAGCCTCCTCAACCATTCTGCTCACCAAAATCAATCAACCCCCCACCCCTTCTCCCTCTGCCTCTCCCTCCTCCCCCAATCTCCTTTCCCAACCCCATCAACCTCCCTGCCCCTCCACAACTCCCGCATTCCAACTATTCGCACCCCTTAACAACGCCCGCTGCTCCCTCAGAAGCGTCTTATACTCCGGATCGTCCTCCCTCATCGCCATCAAACTCATCCGCGCTTGATAGACCATGTCCCTGGCCTGCTGGTGGTTGATTCGGTACTCTGGCTCGATGGCCTGGATCGCGAGGTCGATGTCGATGGATGAGGGGTGGGTTGTTGAGGGATCGTCGTTCTGAAGGTCTTGGTGGTTGAGCATGCTGCTTTTGTGTTTGGAAGCGCAAGCTTGAGGTCTTGAAGAGGCTGCTGCTGCCTGTTGGCTCTGGTTGTGATTCTGGATGTTGAGGTGCGCCATATCTTGTTCTCTGGACGAGCATTCTTTCTGGATACCCGCCCCGGAAGAAGCCATGCGGGTGTTGCTAAATTCTTGTCTTCGAATTGGAATTGATGTCATGCTTCCAGGCCTCTGGTGTTGGGCAAAGTCGGGGATGACTAGTAGGTTTGGAGACGACGTTCTAAGTTATTTGTGGAAGGAGCAGCAGCTGATCTGAATTTCGAGACGGGGCAGGCGTGATACTTATAGGACGAAGGTGGGCGTGACATCAAAGTCACTGGCTTGCTTGGGTCATGTGATCCCTGGGAGGGACGGAGGGCGCTTGGTAGCGGAGCGGATTGGGGAGAGTCAAGGTGGGTGCCTCGTGCTTTAATATACCCCTCTGTCTTCCTTCAATTATTTACATGTGCTCTCGTTCGTGTCGTCACGCATCAAGTCGTGACTTTCCCTCGCGATCCTGCTCCCTACTATCCCTCCATTTCTCAACCTTTTCCGTTCGCGTTATTACTCCCCCTCCCCTGTCGATACTCGAATTCCAACGCAATGCTCTCATACTCCCTGCCTTCCAACTTCCTCCGACCCATCCCCTTCGTCCTAGTCACAGGCAGCAGCCTTTCGTACTGACTTCCCCACAGCCAGGTCTTCAATCCATCGACGCTTGGTATGTTCTTGTAGATGGCTTCGATTCTGTCGGTGAGAGTTGATTTGGCAGGCAACAAGTTGTCCTGAGTTCTCAAGGGAGTGGTCTCGTGGATGTCGGTGATGAAGGGCACGTTGCTGTCTTTGCCTAGTTGGGTCTGTTCGAGAGAGTCGAGGGAGTCGCTGTCGTTGTCGTTGTCGTCGGGTCGATCGAATGGGTCGTGATACTTGGTTTCTGATGGCGAGGATTGTTGTTGGTCGCCCTCCTTCGAGTTGATCATCGGTGGATCGTAGAGTTGGTCGGGTTTGTTTCTTGTGTCTTGACGGTCGCCATGTTGTTCGGGCACTGGCGTCCAAGGGTGTTTTGAAGCTGCACCGTTCAAGACTTGGTTGCTCGCTTGGATGCCCTTGGATTCACTAGGCTGATCCTGTTCTTCCAGGTAGACAACAGTCGTCGCAGTCGTATTGGACGTTTGAACGTCTTGTGGAAGAGATTGCAATTGGCATGCGGATAAGAATATCGTGTCCACGCAGGGTAATTGAAGTTGTACCAGGCTCTGCGTTGGCATTGCCACGCAGTAGTACTGCTGGCCTCCAGTGTGTCTCAGAGGAGAGTCGACGTGCTGTCTCTGGTCTTGCGGTCACGATATTCGTTGCCCCAGCGTTTTCCCTGTTCAGTTTTCTTAGAAGCCATGCTGGATTGTATCAAGTCAGTCGCTTCCGGTCTGCTGTATCGACGGGAGTCGAGAGGCTTCTTGGTTTCATGCACGCATCTATCGGCGTATCTTGCAATTATTTATCTACTGTAGCAGAGCCACGTGATGGCAATCCAATTGCCATCCCCAAAGTGTAATATTACATTTTCCCATGCGCAGTGTCTCCCTCATCTCCGAGATTGCCCCAAGATTTGTGATCATGATCCGTCCTTCGTGTAGTTCGCTTGATTCCTGTGCTGGCGCGGCATCTTTGTCGTCACAAGTGACAACAACGACCCCGAGCGCCGAATAAAGTCGCCAGTCTTGCGTGTTACCATCGTAGCCCGGTAGTCAGCTAATCGTAGCGTTCCATAAGAGGGTCGTAGACTCCGTTCATGATAGCTTCCATAGCTTGCATACCGTCGGCGATTCCCTCATAGTACAAGTCTTGCACAACGAGGCGCACATATGCCATGCGAAAGTCTGACACACGAGCCTGTGGATCGGCATCTTCCGAGCGCGCCCGAATGGACTGCTGGAGGTGGCCACGGAATCTCTCGATGTTGCGTCCTGTCCTACGGGCAAGCCCAGCCGCGTAGCGAGCGAATGTAAGGGGCACGTCGAAGGGGTTATCGAGCATGCTGGGTGGGAGATTTGCAGCTGGAATAAGGTCGACTAGGTCAAGGCCCGTGGATTCCGTGATGATGACGAAGTACTTAAGATGATTGGCAGAGTATCCGGTCGAAGACGGCGCAGCCTTGGCCTTGGCCTTGGAGATGCCCGCTGGCTTGCTACCAGGCGAAGACGTTGCGGTTTGGCTGGAGGTGCTGCCAGATGCCTTTGCTTTGTCTGAGCGAGGTGCCATGTTGTGACTGTCCGAGACAGTGCGGTGCTTGTTGGTGTGGTGGACTGTTGTGTGGAGTTGTTGGAAGACCTTGAGACAGAGGCGCTTGTGAGGACTCGTGTGTTCGTGTGCCAAGTGTTGAGAGTTGAGTTGGTGGGTTTGTTCGGACGGTGGTGGGGGCTGCGATGAGACAAGTGCCAGCAGAGAGTCGACCGTGGGTGTATAAGAGTCTCACAGATGTGTGGCAGCCGCTACGACACTCAACACACGAGGCCTTGAACTGCCCCTCCACCTCTCAAGGAGTCGCCAGACAATGAAAAGCTGAAGGGCTGAAACGTCAGTCACAAGAACATCAAAGAACTCACCAAGCCTTCACCTCCAACAATGCAGTTACTAGCCAGTAACACGTCGAGAACAATGCAGGAGGCCCTTCTAGGGGTCATAATGCCGGTTTTCTCGAAGTGTTATACTAGTCTGTCGTGGCCGTGTCCCGCAGTGCTCGAGTCGGGGTAGGTGTGAAGTGGGTTCTTTCAAGGTCATATTCGATTCACAACTCTAGGGAATCTGCTTTGTGAGTGTATATGTACAGAGCCTTCGCCGGGCCTCTCCATCCCATCCTTTTCGTATTGACCCTTGTTTATGAAGCAGTTTCCAATGGGGACTGGACTGGCACGTCGATGCCATATCGCTCTTTGATGCGCTCTGCTCTCCTCTGTTCGTAGCCTGGCGCATAGACTCCTGTGCGATTGTCAGTTGGATGCTGCTTTCCCGACTTTCCAAATCAATGAATCACAGAGGGTATATCCTCTTTCTTCGCAGTGTCAACTTACCTCTTCCCTCACCCAACTCGTTCACTGTTTCCTCGATCGACCGCCTCCTATTCTTCCTCAAATACTCTTTCCGTGCCACCTCGTCAACATTAGGATCCCGGGCGAAACCGCTGAGAGTACCGCCGGTGTACTGGAAAGCTGCCAGAAGGATGGCAAGGCCTGAGCCGTAGCCGATGACGGCGGGTGCTGATCGGACTGTACGTATCCCGTCAGTATCCTATACCCTTCGTTCTCCAACAGATCGTGCATTCCGTACATCTCAGACCCAACATTGTACCCGAGAAGAATCCTCCAATCGCTGTGTTGTAGGTGTCGTCCTTCTGTCTCAGATTTGCGGACGCGGTCTTGGTGAACTCGTAGGCTCCCCCCATTGCGGCTGTCTCCCGTCAGCTATGCTCTCACCTCCCCTCCCGCCCCTTCTTTTTAGACGTACCAAATACCGCAATAGTACCACCTGTCCTTGTAAATATACCGAACGCGCCGACATTCTGCTTGGTGAGGGTGTTCTGGATGGTGGAGATGAAGGTGCCGGCAGCACCAGTGACCATGGTGGCCTTGATCGCAGCACCCAGCGCATCCTTGGGTTGGTAGCCAGCCGACGGCAGCTCCTCTTGGGCGTGTTCTGCCATTGTGGTGGCAGCAGAGGGGGGATCTAGAAGACAGCAGACACACGAGCTTCAGAGGGAGACGTCTGGAGGTCGAAGTGAGGTCGTCGGAGTTACCACGATGCTGATTGGCTGCGGCTGACCTTCCTCGTTGATCCCAAAGCATCCTGAGGTATTGCTATTCAAAGAGCTGCCTGTGGTTCACGACACCTTTCACAACACTCCACAAATGTCTTCTTCGATAATACCTTCTTCCGGACGGTAGTCCTCACTACCCTGCACCTCCATCAAATGGCTCGACGACGCCGCCCGCCGCGGCCTGGAGCCCTGGCAGACCTGGCCCCTTTGCGCATCCTCACTCAGATCTTCCTCTTACAGCTAAGCTACTATGGCACGGCGATCGTCCTCATCGTCTTCACGAGCATTGTCGCTGGAAAGCATCCGGATCCTGGCATGTTCTTCGACTGGCGAAACGTGCGAGGAGATGTCACCACTGGCTGGACCTTGGGTCTTTGTTGGATGCTCGATTCTCTCATAACGTATGTACAACGATGTCGAGACTCAGGCGCATAATACTCATGCTTAAGACAGTGTAATACCGATACTACTCCTAATCGCCCGAAGCAAACTCGTACCCGACTTCGCCCTTACGATTCACCTCATCCACTTGATCATCACATCCCTTTATACGCGCACGCTACCCAGCAATATTTCCTGGTGGATGCTCCAAATACTCTCCTCTGTACTCATGATATCGTTGGGAATGTGGGCATGTCAGTGGCGGGAGCTGCGGCCTATGGCATTTGGTGGAAAGTCGAAACAGCAGGCAGAGCCAGGCACGGTCGCGAATGGACACCCTCCGGAAGCGGACGAAGGAGCAGGATTTGAAATGGGGAGTGGAAGATCAGGCGGAAGAGATGGTGCAGGCGCGTACGAGATGGTCGGCATGGCGCCCAGAGAGCCAACTTGAAAGAGTACAGTGCAGGAGGGAACAAATGTAAGAGAATCCTAGGGATGACATGCTCGCTTGCAACGCGACAAAGAACCCGTTGCCATCCAACACCGCTCGCATAGATGCATTCAACGGTTCGACCAACACGACTCAGCCCAGGCCACACTAGGAACAGACATAGCTCTCAACTTCCTGTCCTCTCAACCAGAACGGACTCTCCTCGTCGGCGAACCGAATCAACCCATCCTCCCTGGCGAACGAGAAACTCCGTTGCTCTATCCTTTTCCCGCGGCGCGTGCTCTGTAGGCTATGCGTCCATACTTCGCACTGGATCTGGTCCAACTTCTCGGGATTCGCAAGTTGAGGGGAGGTGTTGATCAAGGTCGTTATTCGCGCCGTGAGCGGATGAACAGGAAGAGTAGGGGCGTCGCCTAGAAAGCAAGGTCAGAGGTGCTTCCATGGCAAGCTTGCGGACAGACATACGGGTGTACACTCTCCTCCCCAGGGGCACCCAGAAATGCTTCACCTCCCCAGTCTTGTCGGTCAGAAGCACGCCAACCGAGTTCTCCTGCGCCTCGAATCGATAGTTAGGCGATTGAGGTTCCAGCACTCTTTGCGGTGGTGGTATGCTCGTGTCGGGAGGTGCGAGGAGCAGTTGCTGGGAATCTTGCAGGCTCTGGAACGCTTTCAGGATATGTGTCCGAGGCTTATCGACCGGCCAGATCGGCTTCGCAGAAGTGAGGACGAGGAAGACGGCGACATGTGCTGTGACCGGCAAAAGCTTCATATCGTCGAGAGCAGTGAGGCGAGTCGTACAATCGAAGGCGCGGGCACGACCAAGAATACCAGATCGAGAGAGAAGAAGGCGATCGAACGAGCGAGAGATCGGATCGTCGGACTTGTGAGGCTCAAAACATTGGAGATTGGGAGATGGGGGGACCCGACGACACAGCAACGAACAAGGATGAAGCTGTTCAGCAACAAACTTGACAGCAGCAGTCGCCAAGGAGAAGATGCTGCTTGAGTCGCGTCTCACGTTTCACGGTGGTGGAAAGAACTAGGGCACACGTCCAAAAGGCAAATTGTCCTGGCAACTTTAGTACACTGCTTGGGGAGGCAAGAATGAATGGTGGACGTGCTGCGCGACATGCCAAGGGCGCGCGTCGTGATTGCATTACATTCCTCTCGAGATACATAGCACGCACAGCACGCAACGCCCTCGCGACAACGTCGCATGATTGTTGAGTGCTCCAACACCCTTTTCTTTGCTTGCCGCACAGAACATATACATCTATAGCATTAAGATTCTCACCACATGCACTGCCCATACATTATCAGACCCAAACAACCAAATATAGAAATATAGAAATACAAACAGAACAACCAACAACAGAACCTCATCATTCCCAGTCAGTCGAGAAGGCAAAATGCCATGTCTTAGATTGACAGATTCCTTCGCAGCATGAAGAACTAAGATAGTACCGTGATACCTCTCACCAACGAACCATCAATTTTCGTCTTTTGCGTTACGCCAAAAGCCCAGAGGCGTTTCTTTCTTTTTCTTCGTTCGCCTAGCCTACCTTGACAAGTTCTGGTCTGGTCTGGTTCTGTGTCCCGAAAAGTCTCTCAATCTTGCGTTCTGTTCTGTGCCTTCCAGTGCCATGGTCATCCCGTCATCAAAATGAATACATCCATCACAATCAAAACAAAAAACAAGAACTCTCCTTCTCTCCTCCTGATCAACCACCCCTCTCCCCAAACTCCCTTGCCCAATCCTCGAATTCCTTCAGGCCCTGTTTGCTCACACTCGGTCGAATATTGACGAGACTCGCTTCAAAGTCCTGGATGCCAATGGGTCGGATCTCGTCGGGGGACATGTGCAGCAGGCGTTCGCCAAGCGAGCGCAGAGGACCCATGGCGGCGTCTTTGGCGAGGGCGGTGATGTCGGAGCCGGAGAAGCCTGTTTACGCATATCAGTCAGTACGAGTGAGAGACAGAGATGAAGGGTGGTGAGGACGTACCATCGGTAAGCTTGACGAGAACTTTCAGATCACGATCTTTGAGCGAGTGTTTCTGCGCGCTGAGTAGTGTTCGTAGTTGCTGCTCGCGGACAAAGTCTTCGGGGAGAGGGATGTATTGTCGCCGCACGAATCGTCGTCTCGCTGCCTCGTCGATCGCCCAGGGTAAGTTTGTCGCGGCGAGGACCAGGACGCGTGTAGCATCGCCATCGCCATTGTCCCTGCCAGCGGCGGCTTTCTGGAGGTCACTCCATTGGATCAAGAACTCCGTCTTGATGCGTCGGGTCGCTTCGTGTTCTGATCCACCTCCTCGAGCTCCGAGCAGAGAGTCGATTTCGTCGACGAAGATGATCGAAGGTGCCAGCTCTTTAGCCAGGGCGAATAAGGCTCTGACCAACTTCTCGCTCTCTCCGAGGAATTTGCTCGTCAGGCTACTAGCCGAGATGGCAAAGAAGATGCTCTTGCTTTCTGTCGCCACAGCTCGTGCCAACATCGTCTTGCCTGTCCCTGGAGGTCCGAACAGTAGCATGCCTCTCGCTGGCTCTCTCAACCCCATGAACAGGTCCGGGCGAAGGAAAGGATACACGACCGTCTCTTTCAGCGCCGATTTTGCAATCTCCAGTCCGGCAACATCGTCCCAATGTACCTCATCTCCCTGGATCACGATGTCGTTGAATATCTGTTTCGCCGCTTGCTCGTCTACACCTTTTGGAAGCTTCTTCATAATCTTCTTCACGCGCTGCTCCCACTGCTGCTGCTCGGTCGGCGAATCGGCATAGTCAGAGTCGGGCGAGTCGTCGGTCGTGGGGGGAGTCATGGCTCGTGCTGGGACCGGTTTGCCTTCGATCTTTCGCTTTGAAGTTGGCTTGCGTGGGGCGTGATCTGGGCTACTGCTGAGATAGTCGCTTCGACTTGCTTGGGGATCGCCTCCCACACGGTCTTTGAGCTGAGATTGAGTGTTATCGAGCTTCTGCCTCTCGACTGTTGCACTCGTGACCCCTACTGCTCTGGTGACAGCTTTGCGAGGGATGGCAGGACTCGTCTTCGCTTGTACAGTCTTCGGCGACGCCCTAGATGGTCCATCAGAGTCTGAAGTACGCTCACTCGGCTTTGTAGGGATCGGAGGAGGCGGCTTCTTAAATCTGCTTGGTGGGTGATTTGGATACTCTTTCATGTAGGAAATCGAGGTCGGTCCCAGAGATGCTAGTGAAGCAGGAGCGGGTGATGGCTTCTCAGTAGGTAACGGCGGAGGAGGAGTACTCATGTGGGGAGGTGGCGGTGGAGGTGGTGCTGACATGGGTGGAGGAGGTCTTGCAGTCTCGACTGAGTCGTCGCTGTGGTTGAAAGCTTGTTGAGCATACGGATTCATGACGGGGTAGTCTGGGTATGGAGGTGGGTACCCTGTCGGCCTTGAGTCTTCGAAAAAGCTCATGCTGTTCCTAGGCTGCATATATTCTGAAGGACTTGGAGGTTGTACGATGTCCGATCTTCGCCGCATATCCGGCTGCGGCGTCAGTTGCTGTCTGTCTACCAGAGATCGTATGTAGGGATCCCAGGTCGAGTTCTGTTGCGTGGAGCCACTGGCCATATTGCTGCTACCGTTCGATGGTAGAGACGGTCTTTGTTGAGGCACGGCCCATACTTGCGTTGCTGCCTTTGCGGCTGCAGGCGGTGGGCGTGTTCGCAAAGTCGTGTTGGCGATCTTTCCACCTGACGGCGGCTTGTCCTTTCGCAGTGTCTTCAACATACCTCCTTGCTTCTTTTCCGGACTTGGGGTCCGAGTGCGTCCACTCTCAGCTGCAGGAGGTACCAGACTGGTCGAGGAATTGTTGTTTTGCAGGCTCCTCGTGCGCGGCACATCACCGGAACTCTTCTTACTGACGTACGATGGGCGAGGGGGAGGAGTTGGTCGCATTTGAGTGATCGGCTGCGGCCGTGGTATGTCCGCATACGTCGCTTGCGGTACAGTGTCATTGCCCAGCCAGGAGGTGGTAGAGGAGGTTCGACCGTCAGACGTGGGTTGCTGCATCGAAGCCAAAGACTCTCTGCTCTTGGAAGGGCCGCTGCCGTTCGCCTTTGCCTCTTCGTCTGCCTCCAGTCGACTCTTTCTCAAAGCTTCCAGCAAGTCTACACGCTCTTTGCATTGGAGTTCCATTGCCCGTAAAGAATCCCACAAAGCCTTTTCTGTCTCGCTCCGCGGAGCCCAGCTCGAGGGCATCTTGTAGGCATTGTGGTAGTAGATCTGGTCCAGGGCATTGCGCCAGGCGCGGAGGGCTTCAGGTTCATTATTCTGCAGTCGCAATCAGTCTTACATTCCTCCCAAACACACAGCCTTGTCCTGGCTACGCACCTGCCCTTCGAAGTAGATGGCCGTGGAGCAAATGAGGTAGCATTCGTCGTACGTCTTCTGCATCGAAGACGCCTGGGATTTTCGCATCATCTTGACAGTGGTTCGAGCATGAATCGGCGGTCGCCCAGCAATCGCTCGCCCGTGATATGCGTGTGCTCCGCCCCAGACTGGACGTCGTGTAGTTGAAGCCACTGCCGGTACGTCACCGCGGTCACCCGTAAATAAGGTTTCGCGCTACGGCCTCAGGCGAGAGATCTAAAAGCGTTTCTGGCAAGTACAGCGCATTTGCATGAGCCAGACACTCTTCTCATCATCCATCAGGGAAACATCAAGAGTGTGGGGGTGGAATGGTCATTGTTCGCAGGCGATGAGAGCCTGGCGTCCTGCATCATGCGGCACGCGGATACTTAGAGCTTCGCCCAGGCGCCTTCTCTCCTACTCACGTGCCCGCCAACAGGAGGACAGTCACCAACAGCAAAAGTCGCGAAGCATTGCAGAGCTGCTACAACGCGGATCTGCTGTTCAAAATGTCAGGGTCGATGGCTGGGTTCGGTCGGTGAGAAAGCAGAAGCGAATAGCTTTCGCTGCAATTGGAGACGGCTCGAGTCTTGATTCAGTGCAGGTGGTGTTGAGGCCAGAGGATGCTGCAGAGTATGTGCAACATCTCAACTTTTATTGACATTGGCTAACGTAACAGTCTGTCACATGGCACTGCTGTCTCCGTAGATGGAGAATGGATACCGTCTCAAGGAGGCAAGCAGGCGTTCGAGCTTCAGGCTGGGGAAGTGTCAATCAAAGGCGACAACGATGCAGAGAACAACCCGGTACAACCCAAGTACCAGACAGCTGAATTTCTGCGAACGATTCCACATCTGCGTCCTCGGATACCCGCCAATGCTTTGCTACTGCGCCTACGTTCGCAAGTGATAGCGACTCTGACGAGGTTCTTCCAAGAGGCAGGTTTCGTTCAAACCCATACTCCTGTTATCACCTCCTCGGACTGTGAAGGTGCTGGCGAAGTCTTCACCGTTTCCTCCAACGCTACCAAGGAGGCTGGACAGAAGTCGAAGCCTGAAGGCGAGACCCAGATTGAGCACTTCTTTCGAACTCCCAAGTACCTGACCGTGTCGGCGCAGCTACATCTGGAAGCTCTGGCTCAGGCTGTGAACAAAGTCTGGACTTTGTCGCCAACGTTTCGAGCGGAAAAGGGTGACACCGCCAGGCACTTGAGCGAGTTCTACATGCTCGAAGCTGAGCAATGCTTCACCAACGATCTGAACGATGTCATGAGTGTGGTCGAAGAGATGCTCCGAGCCGTTGCCAAAGATCTACAGCAATCAAAAGTCGGCCACGAGTTGCTCCAAAGCAGAACTACCAATCAGTCCGCAGAAGAGGATGACCAGACAGCAGTCACAGCAGACGAGCTGAAGTGGCGATGGGCCTGCATGGCTTCCAGAAGCTGGCCTCGAGTGACTTACAGCGACGCAATAAATGAGCTCAAAGGTGCAGGCTTCGATGTGGACTACGACGACGGCTTGGAGACTGCACACGAGCGATGGCTTGCCCAGCATTTTGGTGGAGGCACCCCGGTTTTCGTCACGGACTATCCGGCGGTGCAGAAGCCTTTCTACATGATGCCTTCCAAAAACGGCACCGACACGGTCGCTTGCTTCGACCTACTAGTACCAGACCTGGCAGAATTGGTTGGAGGCTCGTTGCGCGAGCATCGCTCAGAAGAATTGCTTGATGCCATGAAAGCAAAGGGCGTGGCTGGCAACAACCTGGAGTGGTACCAGGATTTGAGGAGATACGGCAGTGTGCCTCATGGCGGCTTTGGCCTGGGCTTCGATCGACTGCTGTGCTATCTCAGCGGGACTGGCAACATTCGAGACGTCGTCGCGTTTCCGAGATGGTATGGACGATGCGAATGTTGATATGGAAGAAGGAAACGGAAGTCTTCACGCGGAAAGTCCGAGACGTGCAGTCAGCCAGTGGACCTCAGGCTCGTATCCATTACACTTTGTGGGACGGTCGCCACGCGACATAAAAGACAAAACTTTTATGAACAGTATGAAGTCATTCTTGCAGTTCCTTCCAGCAATCGTTCATGTTGTTCAAGGAAGCGAAAAGTTCAATTGCATGCGAATGCGGTCCTTCAACACGACCTTCCTGAAGCGGGCAACACCCACGAGGCGCGACGAGGCTTTCGCTCCGACATCGCGGGTCGGCATGGATGGGCTGCATGGGAGGGATCAAGAAACATTGTGAAGAGGCCTCACCTCCGATTTGACCGGCGCCAATCCTGCGCGCAGGTCGAATTCGTGCGAGCAGGATTGCCAGCTCCGAAGGCGTGCGTGTAGAGTGAAGGCTGTCCATATCAGGTAGCAGGAAGAAGCAAGAGCACTACATATATTTTATGCAGTCGATCATCCAGCAACGCCCTCGGCTTCGGGTGGAAGTAGCTAGCTTAGCTGGAATTTGATTGAGTAGCGCCAATCTGACCATCGATCTGGGCCGCGGAAGTGTGAAGACCACCCTTCACGTCCAAACCTAAAACTCCTCAGCGACGACATACACCTGGCCTTGCAACTTTTTTTGTCTGCACCGTGTGCGTGTGGCAACCCGCTCTACTTCCTCGTGTAGCTTCACTCCACCCGCAAGATATTGCGTCGGGAGCCACGATTCAGCCTTCCTCCGATCCGCCGCTAATCTGGCCATCTGATAAAATCCCATCCTCCCGGAGCTTCGACAAAACCCAAACGAATTCGCATGTCCACCACCTCTGCTCCCGCCATCGTGGAGTCTCTTGTGGCGAAGCCGGCCACTATGGCGGCACACGACAAGCTCGTCATTGAGGAAGCCGACGAATATGAGTGAGTCGCATTGATGGCGTCGCGAAAGGGGGCCAGACACTGACCGCATCGACAGCTATGAATCGCTTCCACCCAACTTCTCCCTCGCCGCGAACATGGTGGCAGGCGCGTTCGCAGGCATTGCAGTACGGCATATCATTCTCTTCCGGCGGCCTCGCAGCTAATCCTCCGCCAGGAACACTCAGTCATGTACCCCATCGACCTCCTCAAGGTGCGTATCAAGCAAACGACGGACTCCGAGCGCGCCTCAGCTGACGATGCTTTTTCTTTACAGACCCGAATGCAAGTCGTCAATCCCACGCCCGCCGCGATCTACACCGGAATTGGAAATGCCATCTCGACCATTTCAAGAGTTGAAGGATACATGTCATTATGGAGAGGGCTGTCTAGTGTCGTGGTAGGAGCAGGTGCGATCGCTCTCGGATATCACACGCTGCCAAGTCAAAAGAGGCTGATTGGGAACAGGTCCTGCGCACGCCGTATACTTCGCCACCTATGAGGTCGTCAAGCAAGCAATGGGCGGCAATGCCGCTGGACATCATCCACTTGCAGCAGGTGAGAAATTTCAGAGCGGTGTTGAACGCGGCAACTGATGGACTGATTGAACAGCCTCCAGCGGCGCCTGCGCAACAATCGCGAGCGACGCCTTCATGAACCCCTTCGACGTGATCAAGCAGCGAATGCAAGTACACGGCTCCACCTACCGAACCATCACCGAGTGCGCGACCCAGGTCTGGCGAAATGAAGGTCTCCGCGCGTTCTACGTGTCTTACCCCACGACCTTGACCATGACCGTGCCTTTCACAGCACTGCAGTTCACAGCCTACGAATCCTTGACCAAATTCCTACAGCGGAGGCGGAGGCCTGGTTACGATCCGATCACGCACTGCACAGCTGGTGGCTTGGCTGGTGGAATCGCCGCGGCAGCGACTACCCCTTTGGACGTGATCAAGACCCTGCTCCAGACCAGGGGCACCGCGAACGATCTCGAAATCCGAAACTGTCGAGGTTTGTTTCCAGCAGCAGGTATCATTTGGAGAAGAGAGGGTATGCGAGGCTTTTTCCGCGGCATGAATGCTCGTGTCGTGACGGCAGCACCCAGCACAGCAATCTGCTGGTCTGCATACGAATTGGCCAAGGCATACTTCATCAGAGTCGAGGAAGAGTCATGAAAATGGATGGACAATGTTCAGAACAGCCTTGGCGTAACCGCCTAACACACAGCGCCGGAGACCCCAACTGCGCTCATTGCGTTGGCAGAGCCGCGGACAGTCTGACGAGAGGAGCGGAAGAATAAGATTCAATGAGTCAGAGTTGTGGCGATCAGCACAATGCGGCGGCTGGAGAAGAACAGCAGAGAGAGCGAATCTCTCACATCGACCTCACCCCAGGGGTCGACTTCATATTTGGCGCGGCGCTTGGAAAGGACATGTGGGAGATTTTTGGAACATGGGCAAAAGGCTGGCGCTTCTTCGTTGACGGGATGTCAAGGACTGGACAACCATTCTTGACGGCAATCGGTCCAGCAGACTGGGGCAAATCATCTCGGTCACAGTGTGTAATAGACTTGGGCCTTGGTCGAACGGCCACCGGAGCACGGTCAGGCCCGAGGAAAGAATAGTGTATACATAATTACCAAACGCCGGCTTGCCATGGCATGAAAGTCTTCGGTTTCAGCAATCGGGAAAGCAGAAAAACGTTTTGAGGTTGGTACGCCGCATCAGGGACGACGTCTGGAAGAGACTCAATCTCAAGTTGAAAGCTCAGGGAGTCCGAGTCGATCCACGGAAACAGCATCAACTATCCTTCCTGAGGCCGCGAGAAACTAGGTACGTATGCATCGTCGTGTGATCTAACGCTACTAGCTCTGCTTCTCACCACGCACATGGACATCACCCTCGACGCGATTCTCCACTAACAACCCCAGCGCCTCCTCCCTTCTGATCCTCATCAACTCGAAATCAACCTTTGGCCCACGAAACCTCTTCCGCTTATCAAACACCCACAAGAGCAAGATGAACGAGACCAACGCCACAGTCACCACCGAAATCCAGTTCATATTCTCCAGCGTCACGGGATAGCTGACGGGGATACAAGCCAGGACGTCAGTGAACAAGACCCAGGCCACGGCGATGGCATTAGTGAGATATCCCCAGGGCTCGGCGATTCGGAAATATCGAGGCGGAAGGACTTTGGAGCGGCCGCGGAATAGGAGGATGGCTTGTGGGAGCGCGCAGGAGGTCTGCAGAAAGACTATCAGCGCGGAGATCATGCTGCTGAAGACGGTCGCGCTGCCGATGAAGATGAGGCCGTAGAGCTGTGGTGGTGGAGTGTTAGTTTGCTAGGTGGGAATACGTCAGGGGGAAGAGCAACGTACTGTCACCACGACGCCCGAGAGGAGCATGGCGTTCACAGGGACCTTCAACACGGGGTGGATCTTGGCGAAAGTCTACGAGAACGGCACCGCCCCATCGCGACTGATTGCCCACAGGATCCTCGCGTTCGTCGTCCCGTTCGCCGCACAGCATCCAAACAACGCGAGTGCGTACAGTGCCATGAAGACCGTGGCGACTGCTCTACTCCCTCCTGTGCCCTGGTACAAGACCTCAATCAGAGGAAACCCCGTCGGCGTCGTTAGCACGGCCTCCAAATCGTATATGCTCGCCATCATAGCGACGGCCAAAGGCCACGCGACGACGAAGCCGATGAGGATGGGCCACATGATCACCTTGGGGACGTTCCTGGATGGCGAGGGGATCTCCTCCGCGAGGTGCGCGCCGCAGTCTGTGCCTGCGTAGGCGAAAATTCCGTTCATCGTGGCGAGCATGAACGCGAATCCCGTCGAAGGCCAGCCCGTGGAATTGGTCGTATCCGTGAAGATCCACTCCGCAGAGGAGTAGTGGTTCCTACTGCAAACGAGCAGCGTAACGAACGACGCAACAATGACCACAAGACCGAAGAACATGAGGAACTGATTCCACGCCGGAATCCACCTCCCCCCCAGCGAATTCCACCCAACGTTCAACCACACCACCCCTACAAACACAAGATACTGATGCCAGCTCTCAATGCTATACCCCTCCACATTGAACACCACCATCGCGAGGATCATCCCCGCCAACAAACTTCACGTCGCCGCCTGCCCCAACCACCACCCACAAACATTCACCCACCCCGTCACGAAACTCGCCCACGGCGCCCACTCTGGCGCGGACACCACGAACGCCCAGTAGTACTGCGCGCCCGCGACGGGGAACGCGCTGGCGAGCTCGGCCGTGCCGTAGGAGAGGATTGCGGTGAAGACGCCTGCGATGACGAGCGAGTAGAGGACGCCGGCGGAGGAGGCTTCGGTCAGCGCGATGCCAAGGGAGGTGGCGGTGCCCAGCCAGGTGCAGGTTAGGGTGAAGGAGAGGGATGTTAGGGTTAGGAGCGTGAAGCGCCGGGGCATGGCGCGGACGTAGCCTTGGGCGAGGAGCTCGGCGTCGTCGATGGTCATTGTGGAGGCGGGGGTGGGTGAAGGAGGGTGTTTCGAGATGCTTGACATGATGTTTTTCTCCAGTGGTAGGGTGTTCTGAAGGTTCGAATGAATGGATGAACGTCGAAAAGAAAAACGGGACCATGTGGTGGATAGATAAGACCGTACTACTACGACAAACTCACGAGCCTGTACGTACGTCTTCTCGAAGCTTATTATCCTCGCGACTTCACTGTATGGTCATCAGCACGCAGCCCTGTACGTACTTTCAAGCTCCAACATTCAGCATTGATCCGCGATCGTCGCCTTGTCGGGTCTACCAACTAGACGGGAAATCTGATGAGATATGCGTCTGTTGTGCATAAACTTGCGAGCTTGATGCGAGGGAGGTGGAGGTAGAGATGGCTTGGCAGGGGTTGTGGGAAGGGTTGTTCAGTACATGTGTGTATCTCATTGTGAGTCTGAATGTAGTACACATTTCGGTCGATGCTCACCTGACTTCAAAGAGGTCGTTCCTTGGCAGCCTCTTTACCGGCGTATCGCCATGTTTCTCCTTCCATTACTGGCACGATAAGATGTGGGGAGAGAGAAGAGACTCCAAACCCCTTAACACCAAGCCTGCTTCCTACACTACGACGACCCCCAAACATCCTCCAACCACTTCAACTGAATAGCGCTCACGCCCCTCGCATATGCCTTAGTCGTAAACACAAACTCATTATAAATCACCGCCTCCACTTTCCTCCCAAACAACACGCTGCTAGGATGTATCGCAACCGTCTGGTTGCCCGCGAAAGTCTTGTACGTCTTATCCGGACAGAGGCGCGCGATGTTGTTGCTGTGGTAGCCCTTCAGGAAGCATTTGAGGATGTTCTCTTGGGTGGCTTCGTCGGTGGTGGAGCGGATCGTGGGGTTCGGGGAGAGTGGTTTGCATTGGGCGATGAGCTGTTTGCGGACGTTCATGACGTTTTGCATGGCGCGGTGGGAGATTAAGTGGTCCGTTGCCCAGCGCTTGCGGTCGGAGGTTTCGGAGGCGTAGGCTTGCACGGCCGCGAGGAGGGTGAGGTGGTCGCCTTGTCTGCGGTGGAGTTGCGATCTGGCTTCGAGGGCTTTTTCTCGGGCTTCTTCGGTGTCTGTGGGTTGGAAGATGTTTTCTACGCTGAGACAGGCGATGATGTCGATTACTTCGAGGAGACAGTCTCGTTCGGGTCGGGCGGCTTCGAGGACGATGCGGCCCAGTGTGGGTGTTAGGGGGAGTCTGGCGACTTTGCGGCCGATGTCGTTGATCTTACCGTCTTCGTTGAGGGTACCGAGAAGAAGAAGCTGTAATAACGCCTTCTCCATTGCTTCACGGTTGGGTGGAGTCAGGAAGGGGAAGCTGAGAACATCCTCCACACCTCGAGCCTTCATCTTGAGCACTGCGTTGCTCAAGTCACAGCGCAATATCTCGGGCTTGGTGTCTTTTTCCAGCTCTCCATAGCTCTGTTGGGTGTACAGACGGAAGCATTGCCCTGCTGCTTCTCGACCAGCTCGTCCTTTGCGCTGGTCTGCTGATGATTTCGAGATGGGCTTGACCAGGAGCGACTCCAGCCCTAGGCGGTTGCGATACTGTTTGATCTTGGCTTTTCCCGTATCCACTACGTATCGAACTCCAGGTACTGTGACAGACGTCTCTGCAATATTCGTGGAAAGGATTACCTTTCTTGTATTCGGTGGTGCTCGCTCGAAAATACGCTGCTGTGCCGCTTGGGGTAGAGCTGCGAAAAGTGGTAGAACAAGGAGTCTAGGGTATTCAGAAGGCAGATTTCCCGCCAACTCTTCTACCAGTTTCTGAAGGCCCTGGATGATTTCTTGTCCAGTCATGAATACGAGTATGTCGCCAGGCATGGGTTCCTTGCAGTGTAGATGTAGTATGCGTTGTAGTGCGGCGTCCACGACGTCTTCCGTGGGATTGTCGAGGTAGTGCAGCTTTACCGGGTATTGACGTCCCTCTACGCGGCAGGTAGAGACTTGCTTCTTCTCCACAGGCGTAGGTTGCTCGCTGTCAGAGAACCCATTGAACTCCTCATCGTCCCCATGTACCGTGCCATTCGAAGTATCGCCAGACACCTCAGGCTTGGTCATCGGCGTGGAGAAGAACTCTGAAAGACTTTCCACATCAGCAGTAGCACTCATGACTACAATCTTGAGCGGTTTCCTCCTCTTCCCGCTTTCCAGGAGTTGCTTGAGAAACCCGAGAAGTAGATCCACATCCACACTTCTCTCGTGAACTTCATCAACGACCACGCAACTATACTGGCTCAAGGTCCCATCTCTCAACATTTCCTGCAGAAGCATTCCCTCGGTGAGATATTTTATCTTGGTGCCAGGGCTCGTATTGTCGTCAAAGCGCACGCTGTACCCAACTTTACTTGCCGGACTCGAAGATCCCAGAGGTGAGCCCATTTCCTCCGCGACGCGCCGCGCAAGTGAGATCGCTGCGACCCTTCGAGGTTGGGTCACCGCAATCTTGCCCGTACACCATGATTCTGCGAGGAGAAATTGCGGCAATTGCGTAGACTTTCCCGAACCAGTCTCTCCGGATAATACGAGGATGTCATGCTCTCGGAGACGATTTCGAATATCTCTCTGCCGACTCCAGATGGGGAGGTTTTGTCGGGATTGCAGAAGCTTCTGCTTTTTGACGGCTAAGGGAGATTGAGATTGAACTTGAGAACGAGGGTTTTGGGCGCCGTCGACCCTCTTCCGTTTTTTCGAATCGTGTGCGTTGTTCGGCGATTTGTTCTCCATTATCCCTCTATCTCAGCACGAGTTGAAGCATATGTATGTGGTGTTGTCGATCGTGCAGTGGCGAAAAGGGACGTGAAGTGAAGTCAAGGACAATTCGATGTTCAGTTTGCGGAGTCTGAGATTGAGATTTTTGATTGGCTGGATTAAGTTCGGCGCTAGCTTATGTTTCCAAAAATTCACCTACTCTTCTCGTTTATGTACTAGCGCCGGCTAAACGTATATCCGCAAGCACATGTCAAGACTTCACTTGCATTCTGCCTCAAACCACGACACAATGACATATCAGTGCCCACCGACGTTCACACTGGATTTGAAAAGTCTAGTTCCAGTACGCATGTGCTGGACTCCAAACAATGAAGTGAAGACTCCTTCGTCATTCCTTGGGCAAGCGCCTCATTGCTTGTCCATCGACTTGGCCAACCCCCTACACGAACTTACCAAGATGCAGGCTGAGGCACTGCCCACTTTAGTCTCGAATCATCTTCAAAGATTGAGTCACAGCTCATCTTACCGAGTTTCATGCAGGCCCCTCGATGACTCTAAGCGCTGGCTGTGCCGCATGCGGATCTCCCTGTGCCATATGATGACATTGCCTGTCAACTTCATTCATATATAGATCTATTGATCCGAACACCTGTTCATCCTACGAACATCTATCATCGTTCCGTTCCATCAGGATAACAAGCCTCCCAGGACATACTGCGAACACAAGCAAAAGGCGCCTCAGCGAGATGGCCAAGGGTATGCGCACCAGTTAATAAGGCTAGCCTAGCACTGATAATTCCCTACAGTAGCGACCGTGAAGATCGAACTGTCACTGACATCCAATGTCTACCGAAGATCTGCTCCCTTGGACGAGAAACCACTTTTTTGCGTCACCGCCACGCTGTTGACTCCCAAGATTGCGACCGTGGAACTAATTGGGGAGTTTGACACTGGCACGATCCTCGAGCGCTGGTTTCGCATGCAGCACTTCAACATCCACGATATTGTGACAGGAGATCACGTTGTGAACGAAGACCCTTTTCCAGGAACTTGCGACCCACACGCAGACTTATACCTAAGGTCTGTCTTGGAACTTCATGCCTCCCAACCATACATTTTGTGTCGCCCTATGGACGAGATTGATCCAAGGTCAGACCCTATCCGAGATCTAAAGATTGGCCATACGTACCGTTTTAAGCTTCAACCTCAGCGAATTCTATGCTACGATCGCAGCATCGTCGATCTGTTTGGCAAGGACGACTACGTTTCGAGAGATGAGTTGCTACCAACCTCTATCGAGATGCTGCTAGCAAGCGATGATGAGGTTATCTTGAAGATTGAGGAGTGAAGAGTAGGAGTTGATAACGCACCGATTACAAGCAGTATGCAAAGTGTCGCTTCAACCCTATTAACAAAACGTACTACGAAGATGTTCCTCCCCACTCGCCAATGCGAATGCTGCATCGAAGGACATAACACCCACTATTCACTTGCATATGTGATTGTCGAGGACTAAAGTTCGCTTCTTAGCGTCTTCACACCCAAATGGACGGAGCCTTGGGGATAAGTTGATGAGCGTCCAGAAGCTGTGTTGACTGCAACAGATTTAGTCACTGATGAGCTTCCAGTCAACTCCAAAACTGCGGAGAACTCTGCGTCAGTCGAGCGCTTCGATGCTGTTTCATCACGCGCTAGAAGGGATGTGCCGTATGTTGCTTGGACAGGCTTCCATCATGCTTCACGTTTCGAGGCCACTCTTCCCTCCTTCCCATAGTCACTACATTGTACGCACAAATGAATCCGCACTGGAGGCTGTTCACGGCGGCTCTGGTGCTGGTACTATCCTTCGGCCAGGCTCAGCCATCTGTGCAGAAGCCACTGCTGCCAATTCACGGGCCTTTCTTTTCAGACCTTCACGATATTCAGAAGTCGATTCCAGGAAACTCGCCTTTCAAACACTGCTCAAGTAACTGCACCAACGACGTTCTTCAAATCGAGTGGATAACTTTGATACCGAACGAGCCACATATGTAGGTGCGTAACATGGACATGATCTTGGAAGCAAAGTCACTCATCTCCTCACCGCGGCCACGGCATCCAGGTCATGATCAATGGCACTCTGAAGGAAGACATCTCTTCAAACGCAACCGTCCGCGTCCATCTCGCCAAAAATGGAAGCAAGTACGAGCCCCTCGACTTCAAATGGAACTTCTGCCATCCACTCGAAGAAGTCAGGCAAGAAGACGGCCCTCGATGTCCTCCAAAGAAAGGCGGCGTCGAGATTACGGCGCACGCTTTCGTGTGGTTCGTTTCGGAAGGCAACGTTCTAGAGACTACGATTGAGGCTTTGACGCCGGGGAATGAGACGATTGCTTGTCTCTATGGAGAGTTGGACGTGGTGAGATGAGTGAACAAGCCAGGTAGTTGGTCTGATCGAACAGATGGTCTATGCGGAGTTCATGAGTATCGTCGAGAAGACAATGTAAGAGAGCTCGATTGAGCTCTTCATTCAACGCATTCGTCTCCCCTTATCGCACCCGCTCTTCTCATATCTAGGGAGTTGCTTCGCCCATCGACCGACACTTCCTAGCGCGGAAAATGCAATACGCGCATCTCTCGGGTATCTTTGGGTCCGCCAGGCACTCCACAGTCCCATTCTCATCACACCTGGTGCATATGCCCCCAACTCGAGCTACGGATTCCACTTCCATGATGTTGCCAGCGCGACTCCAGTGATGTTGACTAGAGGTTTTGGCGGAATCGAACTTCTCTTGTGAGACCGACCACCACGCATCAGTCTGCTGTGGGCGGCGAAGAGTGAGTTTCTGTCTGCTGGGAGCTGCGCCACGACCGGCAGCCACCAGGCTCGACGTTGTCGTTCTTGAGATGGGCGCAGCACCATCCGTGAGAATATTCGCAGGAGTGATATGGGGAGGCTTGGGCTTGTGGTCGTCATCGGCAAGTTCAGGATTGCCGTCGCTGTCGCTCAGCTCGATGACTTCGATGTTGGATGACGAGGATGACTCGGCATCTTTGGCTAAGTTCCTAGCCACAAAGTCCAACAAGCGGCGCAACTCGATGAATTCGAGTTCTTCGACTGAGTGTGACGAGCTAGCTTCCAAGTGCAGAACTTCCGCAGCCTGTCGCCAATCCTAGGGAGGCTCTGTTAGCATGAACGACGACTTCGAAAGTCATTCGGCATGATGTTTACCTCTTTGTCTTTGGTGTCACCTTCAGCGCATGCGAGAACGACATAGTTCTGGATCTTCAGATTGAGTGGTGGATCGCTCTCCAAGTTTTTCTTGGCAAATGCGATCGCCATGTCCCACTTTTCGTCCTCCAGAAGCTGCCTCGCGTATACTAGGCAATCATGATCGACCTCCATGATCGGGTCGTGATGTATGACCATGGCTCATGGGTCGTGCCGGTATTCCGAATGCGGTGTTGTTGCTGAAGCGGCGGCTTTGCGTCATGGAATTGTGCAGAAGAACCTGCAAGCAAACGGAGGACAAACAAGGTTTCTTGGCGTCACATGCAAACGCGCTAGCGGGGAAGTGTCCTGGGCGTCCAGGCTGACAGCGCCATTGCTCTTCGACGAGACACCTGCTACATAGGAATACACTTTGGCTCCTTGCAGGATCCAAGAACGAAGAACGATGCCCTGTCACAGTGGAGATCGAGAACGCGGGTGCTCCGGCAGCTCAGCAGAACTCGCATAATCAAGTTGGTCGTTGATGATGCTCGGCTTGGCGCGAAAGAGCTCGAGGAGTCAACTTCCTGAACAACCTTTCTCGGTTCAGCTACACTTGTCAGCCGAAAGGAAAATAGAGATGGGCAGTCTGAAAAGACTGTACCATAGCAGTTAGTACCGCGGCCATCTCTCCCCTGAGACAGCATATCTCTCGTCTTTCCTGTCTACTGGATGTCGAGCCTAACGCACTCGCGATAACCGAAGTCAACCTCAACACTTTTGTTGTACCTCCAAGGCATGCTCTCCAGGACAATCAGGCAGTGCCGAATGTGATGGTGGTCCCTAATACGGTCCAGTGCCCAAACGCCAGTATGCTGCGTGCGAGCCTCGTGAAGCGCATCCGATGTCGACTTCCACACATAAAGACAATGCGACTGATGGAATTCTTCGGTCGTGTATGCAACCGGACTGTCGCCCAGAGTTGACAGGTCAGATTCGGCGATCGGGACTGTCATTTCAGAATCCAGATACCATTTGAAGGCTCCTGCACTTCCATAAGAGACAATGATCGAGACATTTTCGAACTTAGCGGAACGCTGTCGATCGTAGCAGGCAGCTGGCACCCATCCTACCGAGAGTACGTCGAAGATGCATCCCTTGGAAAGAGCTTCTTCTCTTGTTGAGCCACAGGTCAGAACTCCAGACTCGTTGGTCGCAGTGGCCTCGCCTTTGCTTGTCTTCGTCTCACAAGTAGAGATAGATCGGGCCCATTTGGAGACGAGCACCACGTAGAGTGTTATAGAGAACACCAAAATCACGACGGTGACAATAAGGCTCTTGAAGACGATGCCGCGAGCGCGCTTTGTTCTCGACTCTCTGGATCCGAGAGTTCCTTCGTCTTCATCTGTGGGTAGCAGCTTTCGTTTGTACTCGTCCAGGTCCACCATGATGTTTGTTGTGATTGACTTCTCCTTCTTCTGCCAGGAATGTGGATGATTACTAGAAACCGCGGAATTTCAAAAAAGCGAAACCCGCGGCTGCGAAGAATTGCCACTTCACTCAACATCCGACGAGGACGCAGTCCGCTGTGCAGGATGAACCAGCTGAATCCCTTGATGCAGATGATGCAGAAGCACATGAATGTAACCTTCCAAGTTGAGTTTGACTAGTCTCCACCTAGCTGCGGTTCGATATGCACTTACCTTGCAGCTTGTATACAAGACCATCCTTCGACTTTTAGGGCCCTGTTCGCAGCTGAATAACGCATCGACGGCCGAGCTACTCTTTTCGACGTTGTTACCTGATACGACGCCACCGAGTAGATCATTCGCGAGATGTGGTGTTAGATACGTGATCAGCTCCTGCCGAAGCACCTTCCTTTCTCAGAGGAATCTCAGAGGTCGAAAATATCGATACAGAACGCATATTCTTACACATCAAATAGAGCTCTAGCAAGCACAGTTCTACGGACTGCTCGACGAGAGACATGAAGGAAGACGAAGCACCGTTGCTCGAGTCCCTCGAACAAGAATGGTCAGAGAAGAGGCTGGCCAACAGCCGGCGGACAGCAACGTCACAATGGCCCAGGTGCAATACTCTGAGTGCACTGTTCAGTCTCTTCGGGGTAGTATGTTTAACCCTGAGCGTTGTTGTGGTCACTTTCGGCCCTGCCCAGGCTTCAGAGAAGAGCTCTCCAGCAACCATGAACCAAAAGCTGAAAGACACATCGTTCTACTGTACGTCTCCCACACAGTCATAAGCTCTGACGAGGGCAGCATTTATACTAATGAAGACCAAAAGCCCCAGTCCTAGATCAACTCGAAATCCCTCTCATTGAAACAAAGTCCTTCGGGGCATTCTTCGAGGACGTCGACAATCCATCTTTATTTCGTCAACCTCCCAGTCCTGAAGTCGACGCCGCCTGGGACGACCTCGAATGGATCGGAAGATTCTACGTCACTGATGAAGAAGTCGTCAAGCTAGGCAAAGACCCATCAATAACAGTCAAGTCTCCAAGACACCCCGGGAAAAACATAGCCATCGTCACAGTCTTCCACGAACTCCACTGCCTCAACTCCCTCCGCAAAGCCCTCTACCCCGAGTATTACTTCGGTACACCGCGAACGGACGAGATCTACTGGTCGCATATATACCATTGTATCGACGCCATTCGGCAGTCGCTTATGTGCAACGCCGACGTCGATGTGACCACGTGCCATTGGGTCGAGACGCAAGAGGCTCCGTATGCGGACTTGTCGAAGAATCAGGTCTGTAGAGATTTTGACGCCATAAAGAGTTGGCAGAATGAGACGATGGAGGATTTGAATGATGTTCCGGTTCACAAGCAGGGTGGGGAGGTTGAACTTCCGAGGCCGAAGAAGTTGAAGCAGATACATGAGGCTTCAGAGAATGCTGGTGCTTAGATAGCCAGAAAGAGGAAACTTGGTTTTCCAAAAGAAATGTTCTCTATCGTCAAGACATTCAGAGACTCAATTATACGTATTACGAACACGCAAAACTGCGCGACAGTTCAGCTTGTTCGTCGAATATCTATGGGTAATACAACGGAAGTGTTGACAGCTTCATAAAAGTCAATCTATAGGCCATCGAAAGCTACTAAGCCACGACATCCACCATCCTTGGTTGTCAGTGTTGACAACCAGCCATCATCTCATCGTAGACATGACCGACATCTCCAATTTAGTTGACTGGGCCCGGGGCAAGATCGCTCTTTGCCCAAGCCTGCGCCAACTCTCCACGCTTGCTGACAGGGCCAGGTTGAAGGTCACCATTGCTCCAAGCCTGAGCGAGTTCCCCACGCTTGCTCACTGGACCAGGAGCAAGATCAGACTTAGCCCATGCCTGTGCGAGTTCTCCGCGCTTGCTGACTGGACCAGGTTGGAGGTCGCTGCTGTCCCATGCCTGGGCGAGTTCGCCACGCTTGCTGACCGGGCCAGGCTGAAGGTCACCGTTGCTCCAGGCCTGAGCTAGTTCCTCGCGCTTGCTGACGGGGCCAGGGGCAAGGTCACTCTTAGCCCAAGCTTGCGCAAGGCTACTATCCTCTCCTCGAGCCTTGATCCCTTTGAAGAAAGACTGGTTAGCTCCAACTCCAGTTCCTGGGGATTTGTCCAATATACCGATGTTAGGCTGAGACAGCGGGGCAGCAGAAGAGGCTGAGATGCCCAGGGCCAAGATGGCGAAGACCTTGCTTGTGTGCATTGTAGCTGCTTGATAGGTTTGAAAGGTCGATGTCGTTGATCAGATACAAGTCGATGGCCGGAGACACTGGTAATTCCAAGGGTCAAACTTAGCCATCGAACAGCAGGGACCTCCAACGGATATACATCCCCTTTCCCACTACCAACAGAGAAGCTCCGCAGACAAGCTCCACGTAGCATTGCCATTGATGCGATCAAGGATCACAATCACGATACAAACATTCCGCACAACCACGGCGACGAGGATCGTGGCGCCTTCGAGATATTCCCTGTTGTGGGTACTGGCCCCTCAGCTGAAAAGCAGCCATGTTACATCCAACAAGGGCCGATCTCCTGTGAGTGCATCCATCGTTTCGGCCGTCGTGGTTAGATGCATGCGATACCATGTCGGTGATGATCAATGAAGAACCACATCATCCCTAGTATATGTCCGTAGGATTCTCTACATGTCGGTAGTGCAGGCGAATCCAGCCCTGATGCAGAATGGAAGCTATTATTCAGCCTCGCTCTCGCACAAGCAATCAAGTGAAGCTAGTAGACTGCTGGAAGAGGCAGGTCGGAATCTACCGCATTGTACTTGCGATGGCGAAGATACCTGCCGTCTGGTGCCATTAAGAGCTTGCTGCATTCGTTCGTAATTTCCGCGGCCGAGCAGAAGAAGAGCGAAGGCGGCGCTTTCAGCGCATTCGCCGGCCAGAACTCAATGACAAAATTGTTATGTAGTCAGCTGGCAGGCTTTTCGGTCAGGGAGTAGTCATGATGTACGGTGTTGGTGGTGCAGAAGAAGGTAGTCAAGGAAGAGGTGAGGTTGAGAAGTTATGCAGCGTCAGCGCACGGGCTTTTTATGCGATTTGTGCTGAGATATGCAGAGCCCTCACAACTTCACTCCTTCCTCAGGCTTCAGCTACAAGTCAAATTATACCATCCCATCGGACGAGGAATATTGGCAGCCTCTTTTCCTTCAGTGTCTGCAATATGATGACACAAAATCATATGTTGCACCATGCGCCGCTCAGCCTGCCAGAGATGCCGAGCGAAAAAGCTCAAGGTACGGACAATCGCCCACATCCCCCAACTCCACCCTTTTCTAACCGACGGACAGTGCGATGGCCCTAAACCATGCTCGCATTGCCGGAAGGCCAACACGGAATGCATTGCTCGGACAGTGAGTATCGGGACGACAGCACGTCCTCTCCTTCCGGCACAAGTCAGAGCAGAGGCATCCGTCCCGCAATCCGCCGTTCTTGAAGAAGTCAACAGCTTAGATCTGAGCAAAACGGTAACGATTTCATGACACACACGGTTATTGATGTGGTCTCTCACAATCTTCTGCTAGCTACTTGCAAAGGGATCCGAGCACTATTCTGCATCTGCCATCCCTGGCGGTCACACATGTAACGAGACTGCCCAACAAGCTCCTCCATGGCGAGAACAGATCCCTTTCGTACTACCAGACCAAGCGATACTGGACAGTCTCGCACGTCAGTACTTCATATCTGTCAACTGGTTCATGCATGTATGTTGCATCTCCTGGCCACAAGACAGGATTAAATGGTAGCAGGTACTTGATGAGGAATCTTTCAACGAACTGTCCAATGAGCACAGCAGCACCGCCACTGTACCCGACTCCAGGGCCAACTTCAGTGTCCTCCTGGTTTTGGTATGGGCACTCGGGGCACACTACCTCTGGACTGATCCATCAGCGCCTTACGACCATCAATATCTAGCCAACTTTCGTCTGCAGGCTTTCTCATACGTCGAATCCAGATGGTTGCACCTCTTATCTCATCCAAATCTTGAGACTGTACAAGTCGGTATCCTTTTTGGTAGCTTTCACCTATTCAATGGCCTGCCGAACCTTGGCTTCGGGATTCTAGGAAGCACCATCAAGACCGCACAGCTAATTGGGCTACATCGCGGCTTTCCAAGGACACCAGCATATGGACATGATCGAAACACATGTACGAAAGTTTGGTGGGCATTGGAGATTTTCGAGAAGTAGATCTTCAACTGATGATGACTCCGTGAAATCTTACTGACAGTCTACAGGTATGCAGCGATTGCTTTTGGACGGCCTTGTGGAATCGACGATTCTGACTGTGATGTTCCTGATATTCAGGTCTTACCTGATGATGCTGGCAATCTACGATATCACTGGGAGAAGTGCCGCTTGTATCGAATCGTGGGGGCCTTCCTTGGGCGTCGCAAAGATCCAAAGGGACCGAAGTCCCTCCACGACATCCATCTCCAGCTTCGTGCATGGTTTGATGCACTCCCAGACGATCTGAGGGTGAAACCAGACGTCGAGGATAGTCATGGGCTCAATCTTAGGCTGCAGCAAGCAGTCGCACTTCAACTAGCGTACGACAACATTCAGATTGTCTTACACAGACAAGCTGTCTTCACTCCACGGTCGAACCCATCAATAGCCACGAATAACGATACATCGCTCGACCAGCTCGTTGAGTCGGCCATGCGAACAGCCAGCGTTACTAACAACAAAGCAATGTTGCCAATTTGCCTATCATCCCACGCATCGATGCATATAGCAATTTGTCTCTTCACTGCCGGTGTCGTGCTTGCTGGACTCTGCTTGACTGATCGCCCCACTTACGATGTCAATCAGCTTCTTTCCGGCCTGGAACGGATCATCACCTTCTACCAGAGCTTTCCTGGTCAACACTACAATCTTGTATCGCAATGCCTGGAGGTTCTCAGTACGCTTCAGCTCAAATGCAATCGCTCAATACCATCTAACCCTTCGCAATCGGAACTCGCATCCAATACGACCAGAGCTGGTAAGACATGTGCCAAGGGTACAGGCTTGGTCGCGTCGGAACTAATTTCCATCTCGTGTAGACCTTGCGGAATCTATCCAAATCGACCGGATGGGGAAATAATGACATGACATCATTCTCAGACTTCACCACGACGGAGCTCTTGGACTATGCATCCGGAAGCTCGTTGGAAGGCATTGCACAAACCTGGCTGTGGTCCGATCTTGAAGGCTGGCCTTCGATGGGAAGTGAATGAGTTGTGCAAGGTTGGTGCTGACCAAGCTGGACATTTCCATGATCTTCTACTACTCTCAGAACACGCATGCCATTGAATCGAGGACTCGTCCACTAGCTGATGCTCTCAGAGCTGAAATGCCATCCAATCACTACCCTCTGCCTTCCGGATGCAGGGTCTTGAAGCTCCAAGGACCGGCTCCCTCACGGAATATGCGGCTATCTGATTGGTCTGACCTCCGACCCAAACAGTGGTGAGGTCCATCTCAAAGGCTATATAGCTCTGCTCCTGCGTATGAGATGAGACCTTGCTCCGTCTCACCAAACCTCGCCACCACACTCACCACCATGTCTACAGAACAAGACCGCAAACCCGTCGCCGACCAGGCCGAAGCCGACGCCTGGTTCCCCTCCCCATACTCCCTCACTCAATACGTAGCGCCCAAGACCGACTTCGACGGCGCCGACTACCCCAACGCCTACAAAGGAGGCAAATGGCGAATCCTCCTCATCGCCACGCAAGAACGCTACCTCCGCATGGCCGGCGGCGAGTTCTTCTCGACGGGCAACCACCCCGTCGAAATGCTCCTCCCGCTCCTGCACCTCGACATGGCGGGCTTCCAGATCGACATCGCCACCATCTCGGGCGACCCCGTCAAGTTTGAGATGTGGGCGTTTCCCAAGGAGGATCAGGATGTTAAGGAGGTTTTTGAGAAGTATAAGGAGAAGCTTCGTCAGCCGTTGAATCTTCAGGCTGTTTGGGGGAAGGGTGGTTTCGATAAGGACACGCCTTATATCGGTGTCTTTATCCCTGGCGGTCACGGCGTGCTGAACGATGTTCCTGCCTCCGAGCTCGTCGGTAATATTCTCCGCTGGGCGGATGCAAATGATCGATACTATATCTCACTCTGCCACGGCCCAGCCAGCATGTACGTATATCCACCCTCAAAGCATCCCATTCCCCCTCCTTCCCAATTCTCGCCCCAGAACAACACCTCTAACACCCACCCCCCTCAGGCTCGCCGCCAACGTCAACAAACCCCCGGGCTCCAAATTCATCTACTCCGGCTACAAAATCGCCGTCTTCCCCGACGCTCTCGACACATCGACCAACATCGACATCGGCTACATCCCGGGTAGAATGCCCTGGCTCGTCGGGGAGGAACTGAAGAAGTTGGGCGTCGTGCCGGTTAATACGGGGATTACGGGGGAGACGCATCGGGATCGGTTTGTTTTGACGGGGGATTCGCCGTTGGCGAGTAATAATTTGGGGAGGTTGGCGGCGAGGACGTTGTTGGAGGATGTTGCTGCGAGAGGTTGAGGTGAGGTGGGGTGAGATGGAAATGGAAGGTGGGAGGGGAGTTCTCTGAGTGGACCTTCGAAGGTTGTGTTGAGGTTGTCTTCAAAACTTAAGTGAGAAGAGCAGGCTCGTAATAAGGCCAAGCGCCATAGATCGTGCGTGTCCCGAACGAGACTCCTCTCTTTCCATCTTATACTATCCAAGGCCAACGAACGCCCTCGTCCCTTCACATCAAGAGTAATTATCGATCGAATCCTCTATCTAACCACAAATGCCTAGTTCGATATCCTCCCCTCAGCCACGCACATTCATCCTTCCCTCTAGTAGCGCAAAGCACCATCTCCTATAGCACAATACAACCCGGCACTAACCTCCGTCCACCTTGGCGCGCAAATCGACAGCATCCCTTCCTGTCAAGGGAATTCGCATCAGGTCGGTCAGCCCAGCAAGGACGATTCCATCCATCCATCGGTGGAAGGTAGGCTGTACTGGACTGGACTGGACTGGAAAGATCGCATAGCAAAACAAAGGAGACTCCAGCTGCTACATCTCGAGGAGGGGGAGGGAAGGGGAGTGCTATACGTACAGTCGTTCATGCTGCGAAGTGACTACTGGCCCTGCTACTCCCAATACATTTCAGTCCACGCTTAGCGAAGAGGAGACGACGTGAGACATCTCACCCTCACTCTCGTCACCCCCGACCGAAATAGATCTTCTGCAGCCTCGAGGCGACGAACGAACGAACAAAGCAGGGAAGGCAACAGCGAAGAGAGAAAGGGGAGAGGGGAAGAAGAGAGACTTAACCTGCTATCTCTGGAGATGATGAAGCCATATCGCAGAATCAAAAAGCAAAAACAGAAGATCCTCTCCCCCTCCCTTGAGTCAGAACCACACATACACAATACCCAGAATCCTCATTTCCCTCTCTAAAACATCGATAGATACGTAGCTCACGACGGCAGCATTCGTAGCGAGGATGGAAGAGAACAAGACGTACGAGAAAATCTAGATAGGAAGAAGAGAAGTTAGCACGTACGAGAAGGGTAATTGTGCATCAATAGCTATTGCCATTACCATCTCGACCGTGTCCTCTTCTTCATCTTCACCTTCTCCTTCCCCCAGATAGGACACGCCGCAGGCCGCATTCATACATACACTATTAATCGTCCACAGCCAGAGGGAGACGACACAAGGCCTCCAACAGTTCGCGCACGCCCAAAAGAGCCAGACCTCATCATCACGTCTCAAAGACTTCACCACCCCTTCATTTCAATTCACACAAACACAAACACAGCAGCACCGACATGACAAGTCAAGTAGTAATGAATTAGCGTTCGCCTCATTTCTCGAATCATTCCTTAAAAGGGTATCGACAAGGATTTGCATAATAAGGAAAAAGTACCACACAAAAAAGCAGATGGGTCAATTGGATTCGCAATTCGCTAATGTTGTTTTGAACAAAGTCGAAGTGAGACGCACGTAATCGGTGGTGGTTGGTTGGTGGTTGGTTGGTGGTGGTTGGTTATGTGGTGGGCATTCCCCATTTCACGTATGCCTTTTTCCCCCTTTCATCATTGCGCCAGTGAGTCGATGTTGAGGTCGTTGCCTCCGCGTTCTCCTGAGGTTTCTTCTATTGCTTCGTCGAGAGTGAGTCGTCAAAATGGTATGTGGCAGGGCCCGCCGCGTCGTTTGCTCAGCTTGTGCCGATGCATCCGCGGGGGCGCCTTGCGTGGAGAAGTATTGTGGTCGGTGGACGGCCACTAACTTGAGTCCGGGTTGGCGACCTGATGTCATATTAGCTCCATGAACACAACATCATCAATGATGACACATTCATACCCTCAATATCCTCCTTGAATAGTCCTGGTTATCTGCCAGACTGCCGACGCTGTTCCGCCTCGCTCCAGCTTCAGGATCTAGCCGCTGATCACTGTATCCGCTGTAGCCTGTGCTCGGTGGTTTCCTCTCACTGGTGCCGCGCATGAAGTCAGAGACTTGCGTACGCTGCTTGTAATCTTCCTCGGCCTCTTTCCGCTTCTTGTGTCGGATGAAAAAGAATAAGCCGGCTATTATGCCGGCCAGCGCAACAGCACCAACAACCACACCAGCAGCGATGCCAGCTGTGTTGGATGAGCCACCACCGGATTTGCTGGCAGCTGAGCTCGATGCCGCCGCCGCCTCAGGGTGTGCAGCAGCAGTGATGGTAACGACAGAAGTATGACCGGCTGAGATTTCGCTGGTAACGACTGTGGCCGCGGCGGATGTCGACGTTGGTGAAGTTTTCGATGAAGAGGGCGCCGCCGATGATGAAGAAGAACCCGAGTCATCTGATCCGCCATAATATGTGGCGCCGTCCTTGAGCGTATACACGGTCCAGAAGCCGTCACCACCGCCTGTATATCATCAGTAAGAAGCCATCACAGATCTCAATGCCGCGACCACATACACATTTCCTGGCCGAAACCATCGCACTTGGTGGAGCACTTCGAGTCGTCCACCTTATCACTTTCCGCCGGTATTTGGTCTCCACAAAAGCACTGGTTTCCATCGGTGAGACCCATTACTGCCGAGCTACAGTGTTCCGAACAGTATCCCGACGACTGGTACATGTATGTGTTGATGTTGTCGAGGGGGGTCGACGAGGAAAAACATCCGACGTAATCGCCGGCGGTTCGCTTGGATAACGAGTCGACTGGAGGGGCGGCGTCGGCCATGGTTGCGGCGGTGAGGAGGGATATGAGGGTGAAGGTGTGTGCGGCGCGCGCGGAGGTCGATCTGAGTGTTGATGGCATCGTGTCAGGTCGAGGGAGGCGCTCAGCGCCGAAGCAAGGAGGTTGGAGGAGTCTCGAAGGGGCCAGGCTAGCGAGTGTAGCGAGAAGGCCTGGTCGAGCGAGTGTCAGTGGTTGTTGAAAGAGTGCGGTGCGGTGCGGTGATTGTGGTGGGTTATTGTGAGGCGAAGTGGTGACAAAAAGACATGTGACGTGGTGTTAGATTAGAGTCTTCACACCTTTGTTTGCGGCTGCCAGCAGCGCAAGCGTGACCCGCGACAGGGAAGAAAGACAGACGGGCGGTCTGGCTTGAATGCCTCTCGGGGGTGTGTTGACGGAGCGTGTGCTACTCCTTCACGCCTGCTTCATGCCACGCAGACGGCGGTTCGAGGGTCGGTCGCTAGTGAATGTGGTGTCCTCCTCCCCTGATCGGACGGCGAGGCGTCGAAGTCGAAGTCGGAGGGGAAGTTGAGAGGAGCGTGGTTCGCGTGAGGCCACACGGTCGGGCGACAGGGCTGGAATGCAGAGGTGTGGTGGGCGAAATCAAGAAAGGGAGTTGGTCGGTCGCATGCAGTTGGGCCGGGCGGAGAAGGTCGTCGTCGCGTTGCACACCAAACAAGCACCGTGGCCAAGCGAGCGTGAGCAAAGGAAAACAGGCCGTTCAGGTGAAAGAGTGACTGTGAAGAGACGGCGGGCGGGTAGTGTACAGACGGAGGTGAGGTTGGGTGGTGTGCAGTGGTGGTGACGATGATGGGAGGGCGAGCAGCGACGGAAACACACGACCACGCCTGCCTCGCTCACTCACTCACCCATCACTCGCAGCAGCAGCAAGGCAAGAGCGACGGACGGCGCAGGCGAATCCTCCACGGGCCAAGGCTGCAAGGTACCCGACGCGACGCAAAAGGGAGCGGCCGCTGATTGGCCGCGACCCCTGCCGATGGCTTGTCGTTTGTTCAACGTCCGCCGCCCATCAAATCCGACGCCCTCGCCAGCAAATCTCATGAAACGCGTATCAAACACCGTCGACAGTACAAGTTACCCACTGCATGTCACCCTCCATCACAGCAACACCTCCCACCTTCACAACAACACAATCATACCATACAAAAATCAAAGGAAAACCCTCCTTCACCAGCAGCACCACCACCGGAACACGGCGGCAGCCCACCCGACACACACAAACCAGCCCGTCGCTGACTCTCAACGTCCGTCCGTCGGCCGGCATCATAATTTGCTCTCTCTTGCACGGCACACACCAGAACCGTCCGAGCGCGAGATCGCGTACACTGCCTCGATTCCCAATCCGGCATCCTGGTCACACTCCCCCAGCCCGCTTTCTGACTAGGACATCCTTAATCGAGAGAGCCTGCTGCTTGGCTAGAAATTGTCCATCCACATGTCTTGATGGAGAGGAGACGACTCTTCTATCATAGCATCTCTTCTCTACTACAACAACAACAATATGTCTATGAGAGAAGAATCCCCCACGATACGCGACCACCGGCGTTCGAGACTCCGCACCTGCATACGAAAAAAAGTCTGCAAAAGGCGTCGTCTCGTCTCAGCGTTTCAGTCAGGACCCCCGTGCCCGTGCCCGCAGTACCAAGGTCGCTTCGCATCGGCCTTTCATCGACTTTTCGCCTCTGCGCCCTCACAAGCCTCACGAGACGAAAAATAACAAGCCACCTGCATCACCACTTTTTCTTCCTATGATAACGCCGCGGCCGAAGAAGAACGCGAAAGAGTCGCGTCGTCGTTGTCTACTGTACCTACTGTGGTAAGTTTGATTCTGGTGGATGAATGCTGAATCATCCTACATCCGTCGAGGAGAGCCTAGACCTTTCTTCCTCTTCCCTTCCTCGCCCGTTGCGATCTAATAACTTACTACCCAATATACCTCTCCCTCATCCAAACCCTTCTTCCACTCTTGCCTACGACCCTTCCCTTCACACGTGTCTATCTATCTCCCACTTCCATCCAAATCCACGATCCATTACCACTCTTTCTTCTCGCCAACAAAACGCTCCAGTTGCCAATACCACTCTTTCCCCCGTCCCCGACCGCCCAGAAAACAAGGGTCCCCAACACATCCCATTTCCACCCCCAGTCCCAGAGAACCTGACCTCCAAGGTCTAGAACTTTCAGACTCCCTGCTAGAAAAGGAGAGCAGAAGGCGTGGATCGATCGCGGCGTTCAATTATTGATAATGTGTCTGCCTAAGCAGTACCTCAGGTCGTATTATTGATGCTAGAAATTCGGTGAAGTTGTGAGGAGATGATCACATCACTTCATCATGACAGAGAAGAAGGAGAATGAATAATGAGGATGCATTAATCTCAAACACCACCATCGTCATCAATGGGCATCCCACACGCACAAACAAGGACTCCCTCGCCTCGTTAACGTAATCAAGCAGAACAACACAGCACAGCACAGCACAGCGCAGAGAACAACTCATCATCACCAACATAATCACCTCGCATCAATACAGTAAAGAAGATAGACACCCAGGTCTTGCATGCCTACCCGGGCCCTCCGACTCTGACCCACGTCCACCATTCTCGAATTTCCATGCTTGTTCGCCCACACGGGGGAGTCGGGACTTTCCTCGAAGCTGAGGCGCAGCACATGCATATACGGCACAAGTAGTACAGTATAGAACAGCATATGACGTGGCGTTTCGGCATTGAGTCTCCGCTCCCTATCCCGTACGGTACACATTGGCATTGATGAGATTGATGAAGGATGGATGGCTTGTTCTGTTGTCATTGTCGCAGCAACCGAAAGTATTCCGAGGACTTATAGGGGGACTTCAGCTCTTAATGTGATACTGCTGGCGTCTTCGTGCGCCTCATCATTCATGGCTTTTTCGGGAACCGAAATCCGTCCCTTGGTCTCGTATCCGGTTTTCTCGGTCGGTTCTCCTGGAATAGCACATGGCGTGCCGCGTCCTCCTCAATTCCATTCATCCATCTATTCAAAGTCCACGGGAGAGCGCCTCGTTCCTTTGACTTAGAAACCGAATCTCGCCTTGATAACTGCAGCACGACGATGTCAGCATCCCTCACCACATAGACAACAATAGTGATTGTCAAGACTTACTCCCACCCGCCGCATTCCTCTTCTGCCTTCCCACAAATTTATTCACATCATCCAACCAATTCGCACTGTTCTGCTCCAACGCATCCATACTATCCCCGACGAGGCCCAACTTCTCCGTGCGTTCCTGGATCTGCCGCTGCATATACGCCCAGTACGTCTCGTCCGAGGCCGACGCGTGCGTGCTCGTGCGGCCGGAGCGGCGACGCTGTTCTTCTTCCGCTTTGACTTGCGCGATCATGCGTTTGGAGGGCGGTCGGTCGGGCCCACCGATGAGAATGTCCATGTCGGCAGGCGTGATGTATTGCGTGCCCGTGACCCATTGGACGGTGGAGATGGTTGGGCGGGGTGGGATGAGGCGTTCCGGGTCGAAGAGGCGGTCTTGTCTGCGTGTTAGGGGTTCGCCGGTGCCCCAGAGGTTGAGGAGTGCGAGTTCGCTGGGGCCTGTGAAGCCGAGGATCGTGCCTGTCTGGCTGATGGTCGCTTTGTAGAATTGCCGGGGGTCGAGGCCGAAGCCTTGGTTGTTGATGTTGGTGAGGTCGATTGCTGCAATTTCGCGTAACGAAGGGATGGAGTATGCTCGCGCCTTGCCGTCGCCGAAAAGACCTAGAAGCGCATAGCCTTGGTCTTGGTAGCGGACGACGCTCGCTCTGTCGCAGAAGAAGCTGTCGAAGCTCTTGTGTGCTCCTTTGGAGGTTGCTGGGCGGAAAATGTGGATGCCAGTGGGTGTGACGGCTAATAGAGCGCCATTCACTCTCAGACCATTGCGAAGTCCACCCATGGCGTATTGCGAGGCGATGGCAGGCTTGCCGTTCTCTGCATTGATCGGTGCGATGTACATGATCTTGCTGCTGTCCAGTGCCACCTTGCCAGCGTATTGTACAGTATATCGGCCACTGGGATCCGGCAGAACCTTGAATGTGCCCAAGTTGCCTTGGTTGGTGCCAACATGGAGCAGAATCGAGCTGTAGTCGTCGCCGTCGGCCATCAAAATGCTGAACTGCAAATATGTAGCCCACTCAGGCTTGCTGCTGGCGCTACTGGCTCGCCGACGGATGCTACCCTTGTGATGACTCTTGGAGAATTCCTGTACTGAAGTATTCAGGATGATGGCTGGCCCACGCAAGTCAACCACGACGATGCTTCCTCCTTCAAAACCAGCGGCTGCGAATCCAACTTCGCTCATGCACACTGCTGTGACGGGTCCATCCTTTTGATCGAGAAGAGTGAAGGGGCATAGACCTTCGCTCAATGATGGCTCGACACGATCAGTGATACTCGTCAATGCGCCAGGTTGATTGGGCTTTGATGGCGGTGGTTCTCTTCCAGCGTTCCTGTTAGTGCTCCACCGGAAGATAACAACCTCTCCACTTCGAAGTCCAACCGCCAACTCTGCACTGTTGCCAGCGAATGAGATATCTGTGACATCGATGTTGTGCCAGTGACCCACCGCCCTGGCAACATCAACCTGCAAAAGCTTCTCGTTTTCAATCTCATCACCATACCCAGGATCCCAAAGACGAATAGTGCCGTCAGCATGAACAGCCTGTGCAATGCTTCTGCTTTCAGATCTTCGCAAGTGACCTGGCATATCACTTCCGCCTTGAAGTATCGATGGACCTTGCTGGCGGCGTTCTTGCAACCCAAGCCACTTCTCCCTCTCGACCATAGCCGTGCTGAGAGACTTGACGAAGGGATGTACGAGAGTGAGGGACACAGGTAGCTGATTGGTTGGACATATCGGCATGCCTGAAGGGAATGAAAGGGTGATCAATTCTCCAGAAGCCAGCAGAGCGAGAATTGCGATAGGATCATGCGCGCCATCAAAGTGTGGCGACGTACGGGGTATCAGGCAAGACTCGACAACTTCAGCGCCAGGAGGTGTAGGCAGTATTCGTTGGCGTTTGGGCTCCTCGAAGTACTTGACCAGCATTTCCCACGAGCTTGTTGTGTATACAGGAGTTCTGCCCATCTCAAAAAGCGTTAATGCCTTTGTAGGTGATTGTGTTGATTGGCCGCCGGCGATCAAGATCATCGTATCTTCTGGATCGTGCTGATTTACGCACCACGACATACGAAAGAGCGGCTCCTTGACTGCGAGTGTACCTGGTCGCTGTCCAGCATTACCAACCACTGTCCCAGGTGTTGCTATGTTCGCGTCGCCCAATGTTCTGGCCATGAGCATTCGCCCATCTTTGAGGGTGTCCCAGAACACGATCGAGCTATCGTCATGACCAGTCATTACGAATGTACCAGTTGGATGCCAGACTGCGTGTGTAAGCTTCGGCCGCCTGACAACATTCGCAGATGCTGGGTCGCCGTCACCACCAGGGGCTCCACGAGGAATCTCATATTGGTAGAATCTCAAAGGCTTATTCAGCTTGAAGCTATAGATTACTGCACCTTCCGTGTATCCGATGAGCAAGGTGCCGATGTCCCGCGGGTGGAATTGTAACGACACGACAGTCTGTATCCTGGCGCGAGAGTTCACTTCAGCCCACAAGTTCGGTATCCTGAACGGCGCCGGTCCTTCTCGGTCCATGTCATAGGCAAGCACTTCTCCAGTTTGCATCCCCAGAAGCGCATAGTCAAGCATCGGATCCGTACATAATACCGTGACAGATCCAGGGGGTGAGTAAGAAGTGATAAGCCTCTTCAACTCAATGGAGTAGAGGGAGACATCATGCTTCGAGTCCAACGCAATGAGCTTCTCGGCACAGAACTGAATCGTCTTAATGCTCGCGCCTCGCGCCGGTGTTGGCAGCACAGCCTGTATGCGTCCCTTGCCAAAGAGGTAGATCTGACCCGGTCCGAACTGGGAACTTTTGGTGCCGACCGCCAGCAGTGATTGCACCGGATCGTAGGCCAGGCATGATATCTGCGAGTTCACACCGAATCGAGCAATATCGTCAATCTTGAACAGTTCCGTGTTCAAGCCAGCGCTGAGGTCGTTTTGAATGCCTGCCTGCTTGCCTCGGAGCAGGTGGGCCATTTTGGGTGAAGAGTAGAAGTGAATCGGCAGTTCAACTTATTCTTCAATGAGTGCGCTGCACTGTCTTATAGTCCCTCATTCGTTCATGGCCCAATAGGTTGGTGGTGGAAGTGCAAAGTGCCTTGTCAGATCCACCCGGCTGTGCTGGTGCTCGGAGTCTGGCGAAAGGCGGGTCAAAAACACGTGACCTTGCTTTAACACGCCTGCCACTAAATGGCGCGTAAGTCGCGTCCTCTTTCACCCGCGATTCTTCTTTCCTACTGCCGAGCGACAACAACAAACGCCGCCATCAACATCCTCCGTCTGCAATCAACACACCCTCATCAACTCACTATCATCCACCATCAAGCACTGCTCAGCAACACCATCAAACTCAGCTTCAATTAGCTTCACTACATCACCACTTACCGCTTCCACCTCAATTCGACACCCCGCCGAACACCACACGCCATGGCGACCGTGTCGCTGCTCAACGTGTCCGTCCGCAACAATCCAGCCCCCTTCAACTCACCCTACGAGTTCGAGATCACCTTCGAATGTCTCGAGCCATTGCAGAAGGACCTGGAGTGGAAGCTCACTTACGTCGGATCTGCCACTTCGTGAGTATCTTCGTCTGATGCCATATCGCCAGGCAGACGTCCAAGCTAACACGTCACGTGAAGCTCTGAGCACGACCAGGAGCTGGACTCGCTGCTAGTCGGCCCAATACCGGTGGGCGTCAACAAGTTCGTCTTCGAGGCAGACCCGCCAGACACCAAGCGCATCCCCGCGACCGATATTCTTGGTGTCACCGTCATCCTGCTGTCCTGCTCATACGCCGAGCGCGAGTTCGTTCGCGTGGGCTACTACGTCAACAATGAGTACATGGACCCATCCATGAACGAGGAGCCACCAGCCAAGCCCGACTTTGACAAGATCCGCCGCAACATCCTCGCAGACAAGCCCAGAGTCACGCGATTCCAGATCAAGTGGGATTCTGAGGAGAGCGCTCCCAGCGAATACCCACCAGAGCAGCCCGACGTTGACGCCCAGGAGGATGATGAGACCAAATATGGTGCCGAAGAGCTTGAGGAAGAGCAAGCTGAGCTTGCCGCTCTCGAATCTGAAGAAGGCGCTGCTGTGAAGAATGACGACGGAGATGCTGAGATGGAGGGTGTCGAGAACAACGAGGGCGAGGGCAAGGACGAAGATGAGGAGTCCGACGCCGGCAGTGAAGACCTCGAGGCCGAGAGCGATGGAGAGGAAGAGGAGGATCTTGAGGAAGAGGAGGGCGAGGGTGAGGGCGGCGACCAAGATATGGAGATGGACGAGTCTGGACCTGCTGAGAATGGCGCGAATGGCACTGCACAGCATCCTCAAGGCCAGCAACAGCAACAGCCTGCCGATGTGATGGTGCATTAGTGGCAGCCGTCCCAAGCTACCAACGCCTCGACCTCCGCTGTGCCTGATGCACTCAGACCGGCATAGTGGCCGAAGCTCAAAGGTGCGAAGGACATCCCTCAATCGTGCATGCGAAGACTGGACAACAAGCTTCGTGCTGATTCGGTCCAACCTCAACACGATCTCGTCGACAACTCTGTACCCACCGTCTGGACAGCAAAGGAATCCAAGCAACCTCAACAGCAACTCTCCGCCTTCCAATCTGGAGACGGCAACGATCCCAGCCAGAACTGTCCGCAATGTCACCTACCCAAGCACCCTTGCGCATGCATCGACATCACCTCCCGTGGCCCCGACATGTTCTATTCACCATCCACGACTCCGTTGCTAAAGCCGCGGCAATCGCGAATGACCCTGCTGCCACCCAAGAGGTACGCGTCGGACACGTCGGAAGACGAATGAATACTATTTCAGCAAATGTTTTTTGGTGTTTCTTGCGGCGTTTTCATACCCTTGCTCAGCATTGGCGCGTTTTATCATGACATGGTTTTTTGGAATTGCATCGTGGCCAGGTTTTTCATAGATGGTCTTGTAGAGAGAGAGATGTGGACACACGCAGCGATAATGCGAATGGATTGGAATGGAATGACTTTGAATGATCACAACGACCCTGTCTCTCTCCTCCCTCCTCCCGATCATTTGCAGTCAGGGTATCATCATTCCCCTTTTCCCTCAAGCTTTGTGCCTATGTACACATTTCCTATACCTCGCGAACGCGAAGAATTCAGAACACACTCCACCACACACCGCTCAACCGAGCCTATACAATAAATCCTCACGCCCTAAACATCATCATAATCTTCATATCTTCATAAAGATCTCATCTCCTCTCATCGAGATCCCTTCTCCTTCCCCTTCCTTCCATTCCCTTCCCTTCCCTCCCCTCCCTCCTCCTCCACCCTCCTTCTTCTAAACGAAAACCTCACCGCTCAATCTGAAAACTCCCCATCTCCCTCTGTCCCCTCTCCAGCACGCCCTGATTCTTCGCCTGCGCCGCCGCAGCTTTATCCGGGTTCCTTCGCGGGAAACGGTTGTCGAGTTCGTTGTTGAGGGTGCCGCGGAGGGTTTCGCCGACGCCCTGTTTGTTCACGTCGTTAGTCGGTCAATCATATATATGGGGTTCACCCATCCTTTTTGGTGCTGAGGAGGGGCTGAGGGTGCTGTGTATTGTGGACTTACGTGTATCCCCCTCGCGGCGGCTCGGAGGTTCTCGAATGTACTCTGCGTTTGCGGGGATGGCGAGGAATGTTGCTGCTGCTGCGGCTCTTCGACGCCGAGAGCTGTCGTCGAAGGAGGTCCTCCCGCGCGCGCAGGGTAGCTGAAGTTGGAGCCGCTGGTGGGTTGGATCGGGCTGACGGGTGGTTGTTCGCTGAGGGATTCTCGGGTGACGCGCTCGGGCGTCGCGAGGTTCTCGCGCGACATGCGGTTGGGGTTGCGATGCGGGAGGGAGGGGGTGTTGGTTGTGAGGGCTTGGCCGCTTGGGCGGGTTGCGTTGGGGTTGGGGACGGGCTCGGCGGGCATTTCGGAGGGCATTTCGGAGACGACGCTGTCGCGGTTTTGGGCGACGGGGGAGGGGGTGGGCGTTGGGTTTGAGACGACTTCTGTGGTGACTTCTTTCTTGCCGCCGCCTTTGGTAGTTGTCGTCGTTGTTGTCGTTGTCGTTGTAGTTGTTACGGTCGAGACGACTTCGCCCGTTCCTTCGTCTTGAACATCGCCCGTAAGTCGGTTCAGTGTCAGGTTACGTTCCTGTCCTACTCCCGGAACTTGACCAGTGTTCTCCAACGGAACGATATGCGACGACGACGATGTCCTTTCTTGCGATTGCGAATGGTTCGCATCACTGCTGGCATACGCCGAGTCCAGCACTTGCGTACTACTCCCGTTGATGACGACCGACGGCGTAGTCGTTGTATCCGACGGCGCCGCCTCTTTGTCCTTCCTCTTCCAAAACCCACTGAACCTCCTCTTCTCCTTCTTTTGCTGCGCTTGTTGCTGTTGCTGCAACACCTCTTCCTGTTGCTGCTGTTCCGCAACCGGCAACGCCGTGAGTGCCTCGTCCTTGCGATCCTTCTTGAGCTTCATCATGCCAACAGTGTTAACGGAAACAACCAAATCACTAGTTGTATATCCAGATATAGGCGAGACGTATGAGAAGTACGGTACGAAAATGACCGAAACCTGCTGCGAACGATCCCTGCCTACCTACCTACCTACCTCTTACGAAACAGGACGCCTCTCTTGAAGTTGGTCAAGCGGCGCATGGGGGGTGATGTCAGCGGGCGTGTCGATCCAATGGCTCCAACTTTCGAGGAATTCTCCGCAGCGAGCAAGTTGCCTGAACTGTGCGCCATCTTTCTGCAGTTGGCCATGTGGATCGGAGCTTTGTGGATGGTCGGATTACGAGTGGCCGTCTTGTTGTGTCGTGGCTCACATGTGCCTTCGAATGCGGCGCGTTAATGTCCAAAAGGAGGTATTCCTAATTAGTAGCGATCATGTTCTCGGACTATTTCTTGGGGTCGACAACGAGATCGAGTTTGCAAGTCGACCTTATCGTACTGTGGCCAGAGTTGCGATGGAGCGTATCGTGAATGTCGATGTTTGGGAGTCGAGTTGCTGCCTTTGAGACTCTGCGGACTTGGGGAGTGGCCAAAGCTCGAGCGTTCACGTGACTGTCGACAACGATATATTCTCGCCGCTCTATGCCTCTTCTTCGAATATCAAGCGACGCAGGGGTATTCTGTGAGATCTAGATAATCTGTGCTCAATATTTCGACTTCCCCCGACTCGTATTGGTCGAATTATGGCTTTAGTCTGCTTTTACCAGTCATGTAGACCGTGTTCCATCTGATTTCTCTTGGTCATGCTCAGAACCATCGAAAACGACGATTGCGAAAGTACAACAAGACCAAACATTGCTCGAATGGCTTCAAGGTAAAACGGAACATTAAGCTGGACTATACTCCTGACGAGACGATTCATCATTTCATGCTCTACTTGGACGCTACCGACGATATTGTCGTCGTCGACCTAACCCCAGAATAACCCTAGTGCCTGAGGCACCAATCTATACTGTATTCTCCTTGTCCACCATCGAACGCCAAGCAATGCAGGATGGTCCCATTTGCCATGAAACAAACACAGAAAGTCACAGAGGCGCATCTAGGCAGCAGAGAAGCCACACCCGGAGCGTGCACCGGCGCCTCTTGCTCTCCTTAACCCAGGCCAGCCTTCGAGGTCCTCATGACCTGCTCGACATGATGAAGTCGTCCCTCGCCGTCCTTGCCCAATCCTGCACCCTTGGTCCATCCCATCTTCTCCATCATACGATGTCCGAAATTGTTTTGTCCAATCTCAGCAGCACCGGCACCGACGATTTCTCCATCCCGTAATCCAGTCGCCGCCTGGCTGAATCCACCACCTCGGCCAGCACGCTTGCCCAACTGCTTCGACATCTTCTTTGCTTTGGCGTTCGTGAGGAAGCCGTGATTCGAGGCGTTCAGCACCCGACCGAACATGTCGTCGGAGTACTCCAGCGTCATCGAAGTCTTGTAAATGATCGGGAAGCGGTTCTTACCCGCTCCCTGTGACTTTGACTTCAAGTTCAGCGCCGTACAGACCTCATGGAGCGACTTGCGGTTGATCTTGTCCATAGGCGGGAATGCCCGCTGGTGGAGATCCTCGTCCTGCAAGAACTCACGTAGCTCGTTGTGGACTTCTTTGAGGGTCATGCCGAGCGGGTATCTGGCGCTGAGATCAGGTTTGCCCTTGCGTCCGGCTGACCCAAGAAGGCCTTCGCGACGTAGTTCCTCTCGCTCCAACTTCTTCTCACGCTTCTTCGATCGGTCATTGGCCCATTGGCCGCGCATCTCCTCCTTCAACTCCTCGTCCGAGAGCATCTCCAGCTCTGGCGGCAGCTTGCCCTTTCTACCCTTCTTGGTAGGCCGAAGTGAGGGTCGATCATAGTCCATAATGTCGAAGCCGTTGTCACCGTATTGATCGAGTGTATCCGCTAGCATGGTAGCATCAGGAAAGAAGTCAGGGTCCTTCTGGCTCTTGTTGCGTCGCATGCCGTGTTTCTTTGGTGCACGAGCGAATGTCGAGTTCGTGATGTCCGAAAGGCCGGCACGTGCAGCTTGCAAATCGCCGAAACCGTCATCAGATTCCAGGTCGTATGCTCCGTCCTCCAGCAGTAATTCATCACCCTCCATTCCGAGCTCTTCTTGCTTCGCGAGTAGTCTCGCGATCTGCTCGTCCGTCATGCGATCTATACGTCTCTGACGCAGATCATCCTCGTCCTCCCACTGTTGTCGCTCGGTGTACTCGAGCTCTTCCTCCAAATCAGAAGCGTTGAGCGATTCGTCAGAGGAAATCTCGTTGAAGTCGGGATTCATCTCACTCTCGGATGTCTCCCACTCGTTACTGTCACCATCCAGCTCGCCGCTGCCGCCAGCTTCACCTGACTCCCCCTTCATGTGCTTCGGAAGAACTTCATCTTCACCAAACTCTTGCCCATCTACCACCATAGATGGTCCAGCGATGGAACGTGAATGTGAAGACGACTCCTTCAGCACGTCCATAACAGACTCTTCACCCTCCGCCTCCAACTGCGCCTTCAAGTTTTCCATGTAATCTTCGTATGCTGCTTCGCTTCCGCCACCGTCCTCTTCATCGGATGATATGATGATGTTGCGCATGGCCCTGTTGTCGGTCTTCCTGCCACCCTTGCCGCGACGAGACTTTTTCTGTTGTTTGTTCTCGCGTAGAGTAGCTTTCCACTCGGCCTTTAGGGTGTCAAGTGACTTCTCCGTGTTTTCGCTCGTGGCCTGTTGTGAGAATTTCACCTTTGACTCTCTTGGGCCTGATTGCTCGAATGCCTTGACTTTTGCTGCGGAAGGTGCAAGATCTGGTCGTGGTACCGCCTTCCCCTTGCCCTTCTTCCAATATGGGTTCTCTGGTGCAGGTGTCCAGCCATCGGCCGTATGCGCAGTATTACCGTACTTCGACGGTCTCGCGCCCCAGCCCATCACAGGCAGCGAGGATCGGCTGGGCTCGGGAAAAGCTGGCGAGTATCCCGGAGTCGGCGCCTTGAGAGCGTTGAGTAAATCGTCTGTGATGTGTGGACTCGATGCCTTGGGAGGGGCGGGTGCCTGCTGCGGTGGAGTCTGCGTGACTGGATCATCGATGATGGTGGCCTGCCCACGATTGCGGCCATGGAAAACGACAACCTCCTCGCTGGAGTCTGATGGAGCTGGCGAGGGACTGCGCTTCTTGGGAGGTCGACTTGCGTTGGTACGTTGCTTTCCCGCGAGACTAGCATCTCCAACAGTGTCTACCACGAAAGAGACGTCTTGCTCGGGAACAGTGTGTGAGTTCTCCTGAGCAATCGCGCCTGTATCTATCTCCATCATATCAGCGTTGTGTCCTGCGATGTTCATCTTCGCCACTCCTTGCTCGGACAGCTCGATGTCGGCATCCATGATGATGTTGGTCTGAATGGCGCCGTCGTCTATGTCCTCGTCATCAAATTCCCCCTCGTCGCTATCGTCCAGCGTGATGTCCTCGTCGCCGGTCTCTTGTTCTGCGGGTTGTGGAGGCTTGACGCTTGGGGAGTTGACGCCGGCGCTGACGAAAGAGATGGCTTGATGTCTGAGCTTTGCATTCGCACTTCGCGGGGTGGAGCTAGCGGGAGTGTTTTGCGAAAAACCTCGAAATTGAAGGGGATTCTCTTCTTCTGTATCACGACCTTAGCTCAGCTGGACACCTCAACCTGTATGCGCCTACTGACCCCAATCGTCATCTAACAGCATCTGTCGAGCAAATCGCTGGTCCCGTGACATGGGAGTGCGCGGAGTGTTGTTGTTGCTGCCCTTCGCCTTCTGTTTCTGCTTGGCCCGGCCATTCTGTGCCTTCCCCTTCTTCTTGCCCATCTCTGAGAAAGCACCCCGCTCAGCGAGAGATCCCGGCAGCAGTAGCGATTGTCCCTTCTCTTCAACAACTTGAATCTATCCGCGATCTAGCGCTTGGTCGAGCAAAGAGCGACTGTGGTGAAAAGCAGAAAGTGGAGGGAAATTAGAAGACAACGATGAGGCCAGCTCCACCGCGCACTCTCCTTTGACGTTCGATGACATGCTGCACGTTCCGAGTCAGACCCTGCAGGCTTCGACGATCCGCGATCCGCCCCGCATCCTCCCAGCCAGCCAGCAGCAGCAACATCACCGCATGTCAACTGTCTGTCTCTCAACAAGTCTACGCAAGCATCCCATTTACCTCGACGCTGTGACCCTTTTTGGTGCCGGTACCTGAGGACAACAGCTTGTCAGATTGCTGGAATCGTCCTGACTGCTGCAGCTCTCCCCTTACCTCCCAACTAGATCCAGGGACGTCAGCCTCCAAGCATCACATGCCACCTCACACCTGACGTCCGCGTGAACACCTGCTCCCTGCGAAGAAGAGAACCTGCAACTCGCATTACCTCTGAACCGTTCTTCTTCCACGGCTCGCCATGAACGAGTTCGCTCGCTTCTCCAAGCGGGCCGTTGACTATATCTTCGATCGACCGCCTCGAAACGACGACTCATCCCCGATCTGGTGTCTTGGAAAGTCATACGAATCGAACGTCCACCCCGATCGACCTCTGACAGTCACGACTGGAACCTCGCCCTCTGCTAAATCCGAGTCCGAAGCCTCTCATGCCGATTCCGCCGTCGTGACCCAGCCAACGTCCAACACTGGGGCGGAAGCTCAGAATGCAGAAGATGAGCTGACGAAAAGCTTTGATCAGGTTCAGTTGACCAAGTCTATGGAAGAGGAGGATCTTGGGTGGCCGCAGGAGTTTCTTGAAGACTTTGAGTCGCGAATCTGGTTGACATATCGCAACAACTTCCCCCCGATAGCCAAATCGAACGATCCCGCTGCTGCTTCGGCCATGTCCTTCACGACGAAGCTACGCAACCTGGCGAACCAGGGTGGCTTCACATCAGATACCGGATGGGGTTGCATGATCAGGAGTGGACAGTCGCTATTGGCGAACACCTTACTTCTGCTGCGGTTGGGTAGAGAGTGGAGGAGGGGACAGAAGGAGGATGAATACAAGGATTTGCTCTCCTTGTTTGCAGATACACCAGAATCGCCTTTCTCAATACATAAATTTGTGGAGCATGGAGCTCAGGCTTGTGGAACATATCCTGGCGAGTGGTTTGGACCGAATGCCACAGCGAGATGTATACGGTGAGTCTTAGCAGATTGATCTTCCACGGCAGCAAGCTTATGTTGTGATAGTGCCCTCACAGACAAGTACCACGAAGCTGGACTTCGAGTATACGCTCGGCCAAACGACAGCGACGTCTACATCGACTCCCTCGTGGCCACCGCTTCCCAAAAGCATGCAGATGACCAGTTCGAGCCAACCCTGATAGTCTTGGGCATCCGACTCGGCATCGAGAAAGTCACCCCAGCCTACCATGCCGCACTCAAGGCAGCACTCGAGCTCCCACAAAGCGTCGGCATCGCAGGTGGCAGACCCAGCAGCAGCCACTACTTTATCGGCAACCAAGGCGACAACTTCTTCTACCTCGACCCACACACCACTCGACACATGCTCTCAGCCCAGCCATCTGCCGAAGACATCGAGACTTGCCACACACGTCGCGTGAGGAGACTCGGGCTCGCGGAGATGGATCCATCGATGTTGCTCGGCTTCTTGATTCGCTCGAAGGAGGAGTTTGAGGAGTGGCGGAAAGCGGTCGCGGAGATGCCTGGGAAGGCCATCATCCATATCCATGAGACGGAGCCGAAGTATGCAACGGGTAATGAGAGAGCTGGTGCGGTCGACGAGGTGGAGACGTTGGACGAGACGCTCGACGAGGATGATGGTGACGATTCGGCGCTTTGAACATCACTCATGCTGCCTTGACTGCTTCTCGCGAATGAATGTCCATGCATGACTCAGACGCCACTTGACGATTCGATGCATCTTGTAGATACCCAATTGACCTTCATCTTTCTAGTTTTTGCTCTCATTCAAGTCCATCTCTTTCCTTTCACGACTTCTCGAATCTCTGGGCTTGGCGGCATGTGAACAAGCGTGTCAATCTCGTGTCGTGCGCTAAGACGGAAGGGGCCATCAAAACAAACCGCATTTGCTGTTGCACAAGTCAGATAAACGTGATGGAGAACAAGTCGAAGTCGAGGTCGAACTGAACTTCAAGATAGAGTTCATTTGAAAGCAATGGAAGAAGTAGAAAGGTTGGAGAACAGACAGTAATGTTTTGGAAATCATGCATTCATCTCAAGCTGCTTCTCTAGCCTGAGCCGCTCACTGCTGAGCCGCTGCTACTGTACAGCCCTCCATGATCATGCTCTGCGCGTGCGCAATGCGCGCGTGGTATTGTGAGCACACACCGTAAAATGAGAAAATACCATTGTGTCAAACAGAGAAAAAAGCAAACCCATCCCATGATCGCATTATCAAACGCCTCGGCCACCTTCATTGAGCCCTTGTTGAGTAAACCAAAGAATTCATCGTAAACGCCCCGTCAAGAAGACCCTGTCGTCATCTATTTGGTGGACGAAGAGTACTTGGTGACGGCCTTGGTGCCTTCAGAGACGGCGTGCTTGGCCAACTCGCCGGGGAGGATCAGTCGCACGGAGGTCTGGATCTCGCGGGATGAGATGGTCGACTTCTTGTTGTATGCGGCGAGCTTGGAGGCCTCGGTTGCGACGCGCTCGAAGATGTCGTTGACGAAAGAGTTCAGGATGGACATGGCGCGGTTGGAGATACCGGTGTCTGGGTGAACCTGCTTGAGGACTGGAGACAGAAAACGCGTCAGCACAAGATGAATCATTGATGGAAATGAGATGCGATGGATGCGACGAACCCTTGTAGATGTAGGAGCTGTAGGTCTCCTTTCTGGTCTTGGTGCGCTTCTTCTTCTCGCCGGATGGGGCGGCGGTCTTCTTGCCAGCCTCCTTCTTCTCGGCGGGTGCCTTGCCAGCTGGGGCCTTGCCGGCGGTGGTTGGGGTCTGCGGACGTGTCAGATGCGGTTTGCGACTTCAAATGGCGCATCAGATGCGAAAGTACCTTCTGAGCTGCCTTGGGTGCCATTTCGAGTGCGGTTTTTTGGTTGAGTTGGAGTGGTGGATGAGTTTGGTTGACTTGGGTGATGGATGTGTGATGGATGTCGATGAATGCTGTCGTGCGTGTGTGGAAGAGAAGAAAGCGAGTCGACGGCGAAGTGGGAGGTGCAGGGCCTTTTAAAGCGCGGGCGTCACGCTGCAAGCTGCCAGATCAAACTTGCCGCGCGCCCGCTGTTGTTTTGGTGCGCACGGACCTCCGCGTCACGTTTGGCAGCGACGCTCAGCGCTGCGTGATAAGGGAAGCGCGGGGAGCACGCCAGCGAATAAATACCGCCGCCGCCCACCTCTCTTCACAACAGCTTTTTCCATCTTCCACACCACATTCCATCGACAACAGCCACTCCACCAGCCCATCCATCACCACCAACCCATTCACACCACCCAAACCACCCAAACAACTCAAATCACTCAAAATGACTGGAGGCAAGTCCGGAGGCAAGGCCAGCGGTGCCAAGTCCAGCGCTCAGTCGTAAGTCTTCACTGTTTACTGCATCTTTTTCAGATGCTTCCACCTCATCCATCACATTTGACGCGCTTTTCCGGTCCAAAACAACGCGTTTTCCATCTGATATCGCATCTGGCGCAAACTGACATCATCCATCACAGGCGTTCGTCCAAGGCTGGTCTCGCATTCCCAGTCGGTCGTGTCCACCGTCTCCTCCGCAAGGGCAACTACGCTCAGCGTGTCGGTGCTGGTGAGTCGCATCCGTCTGATTGCTTCTGCCTGATCGCATCATCTGACCTTCATCTCCAGGTGCTCCCGTCTACCTCGCCGCTGTCCTCGAATACCTGGCTGCTGAGATCCTCGAGTTGGCTGGCAACGCCGCCCGTGACAACAAGAAGACCCGTATCATCCCACGTCACTTGCAATTGGCCATCCGCAACGATGAGGAGCTGAACAAGCTCCTGGGCCACGTCACCATCGCCCAGGGTGGTGTCCTCCCCAACATTCACCAGAGTAAGCAGAACCACCTCCACAATTGCATCCTCCAGTCACTGACATCCACTTCCAGACCTGCTCCCCAAGAAGACCACCGGCACCAAGCCAGGCAAGGGCCCAGGCAGCCAAGAGCTGTAAATGCTTTCTTCTTTCATCAAGTGACAACGGCACAATGGGTTCTGGCGTAGAATGGGGTTTTCTGATGATAATGGGCTCATCGACGGCGGGCATGAGCTCTGGTTATGGCGTGTTCTGCTTTTTTCTTATTACTGCTGCATGACGATGCCTCTGATCTGATCCAGAGGCAGAGGCGAAGAGAGTATGCTGTACATTATGCCCATAGCAAGCAGCTATTGGGGCAGCAGGCTTATGATGATACCAAGCTTGAATTGAGCAATCCGATCAGACTTCAAACACTTCATTCAAACTTCTCCATTTCTCAACCTCATTCCTATTGCTTTCGAGACTTTTACTTGCAGCTTCCTTGACGCGTTGGTGAGGTCGCGTCAAAACAAAAAGCATCCAGCCAATCGGCAGCAAGCCGTATTTCTGACCTTGAAGAACGACCACGGATTTGGAGAAGTCAAGACCTTGAAGGAAACATGCGTGAGAAACGTTTGCTGATGAAGGATGCATTCGAGTACTGCAGGTTTCTGAAAGTTGAAGAGATCGTAGAAGGCGGACGGGCTCCGACCGAAGGGCGGCAGACAACCAACACACTCTCGAACTCCTTGGCTTGGAAGAAGTCGCAGCATCGGAGAAAGATCCACGTATTGGATGAAACAGGTAGAAAGAGGAAACGGAGAAGGTCTCTCAGGATGGAACGCTTGATTGTAATCTGTACAGCATGCAAAACCTACACAACATCCTCCACATGGTAGCCTGCCATCTACGACAGCAGCATGAGTCTCGGGTCCTGTAAAGTGGAATGTCAGCAAATCTCTCCTCCAACTTGACACGTTTTGTCCCGACTCACCTCTATCAACTTCTTGATCTGTACCAAGAAAGTGACTGCTTCCCTGCCGTCCAGGAGTCTGTGGTCGTAGGTGAGGGCGAGGTACATCATGGGGCGGATCTCGACTTTGCCGTTGATGGCGACGGGCTTTTGGTTGACGGCGTGGAGACCAAGGACGGCGGTTTGGGGGAGGTTGATGATCGGGGTGCCCATGAGGGAGCCGAAGACGCCGCCGTTGGAGATGGTGAAGGTGCCACCGGCCATGTCTTCGATCGTGAGCTTGTTGTCGCGTGCCTGGTAACCAAGTGTCAGTGTTTTGTACTCCTCTCGTATATAATCTTGCCCACCTTCTTGCCGAGATCTGCAATAGACTTCTCAATACCAAGCATGTCCATGCTCTCAGCGTTGCGGACCACGGGTGTCACCAGACCCTTCTCAGTTGCCACGGCCACAGAAATGTCGACGTAGTCCTTGTACACGATGGTATCTCCGCTACCTGGGCCTTCGATGCTGGCGTTGACCGTGGGGACATCTTTCATGGCCAGAACAGATGCCCGTGCGAATGCGCTCATGAAACCAAACTTGATGCCAGTCTTCTTGAGCACATCATCCTTGTAGAGCTTGCGCATCTCCATCAGAGCAGACATGTCGACCTCGTTGAACGTGGTAAGAGATGCGGCGGTGTTTTGCGACTGCTTCAGACGCTCAGCGATCCTCATGCGCATGCGGTTCATCTTGATTCGGCGCTCTTCACGGCTGCCATATGGAGATTCGACCTTTGATTCTGACTCTTTCGGCTTTGACTCTTCCTTCTTGGGCTCAGGCTTCGATTCTTGCTTTGGTTGTGGCTTCGACTCTTCTTTCTTGGGTTCAGGTTTCGATTCTTCCTTGGGCTTGGGCTCTTCCTTCTTGCCCGAGGTCTCGGATGCGCTGGGTTGCGATTCTGGCGCCGGCTCTTTCGGCTCTTCCTTCGCAGTCTCTGCCTTTTGTCCTGGCTCGCCTCCAAGTTCGAGCTTCACGAGATCTTGACCAACAGTGACAGTATCCTCTTCCTTCGCAAGGAACTCCTTGATCGTACCAGCAGCGGGGGCGTTGACAGCGACATCGATCTTGTCGGTCTCGATCGTGGCGATTTCCTCGTCCTGCTCGACATAGTCTCCAACCTGTTTCGAGAACTGTTTCAAGGTACCCTCTGAGATCGACTCTGCCATTTCTGGCACTTTGACCGTTTGCTCCTCTGCCGCATAGTCAGTATTGATTCTACTTCGTATCGTATTTGATTCTGACCATAATAGCGACTTGTCAAGCTGAATTGACGCAATTGTACAGGCTGGAAGGGTTTCCTTGTTTGCTGGTCAGTCACTGCGCCATTTTTGTGTTTCAGGGTCGCATACTTCGTAGGAAGCAGTGCTGGGAGCGAATGTGACGATGATGAGCTGGTAGAAAGTGTCCTGAGTCCAGTAGATGATCGTAGGAGCTTGCTAGATGCTGTAGGAGACTGGCGGAGGAGGGAGGCTGGACGGCATACTGAGCCGCTTGCGAGCCGGCGAAGGCATTGTGAAGACGACATGGCGTGAGAGACGGCAAGCTGCCTTTGATGAGCTCTCAGTAGCAAGGCCAGACAAAGAGGTGGAACGAAGGGCGGTGGGCGGTGTGAGTGGAGTCGTGGTCAGCGGAAATGCAAGTGATGTAGGTTCTTTGATTCTTTGAACGAGTACGGGCGAACGAGGCAAGCTCTGCGGCTGCTTCCGCGCCGCCCAACTCCAACTCCTTCAGTGCTCTCATCGGATAGGTTCCACGGCTGTTCTCCTTCTATACCCGACGACCAAGCCACCATTGACACACCTCACGGGCATTGTCGGAGAGAGTGCGACACCTCCTGCTGGACCAGAAGCCTTGCTGAACGGGCGACTCGCCCTGCGATACCACCGCGGCCATGGCCTCCAAGCAGCACGTCCTGTAATCCACCCCATGTCATTGGCCAGCAAGAGACCACCCTTCTAACACGCACGCGACAGCTCCCTATACCGCCGCTCCCTCAAGTTGGCCCTCGATTGGGCTGTCCACCGATATGTCTGGCGCGGCCAGGCGCTGTACATCAGAGGGCTGTTCGAGGCCAACAAGCACGTCACCCAGCCCAGACAGCAAAGAGTAAGGGATCAGAGATGAACAGGAAGATATGGCAGTCGACTGACTGCGTGGGCAACAGGAACTCCTAGAGCAGACCGAAGCGCTTCTTGAGAAGTGGAAGCACCCAGACCCATACAGACCACCAACGGCACCGGGTGGCAGCAAGTACGAGCGCAACCTCCCTTGTCCGCACTTGGATCGTGAGTATACACCATACACTATGGAGGAGCATTCATGCTGACTATTCCAGCACCTCCACACATGCATCTGTAGGGAACGGGACTGGGAGACGGCGCTGGGACATGTATATATGGATGACAAGCCTTCAGAGAAAAGGCACAAATGCTACAGCGAGACGCCAACTTTTCTTCAAACGTGCACGACTTTGCCGCCAGACTCATCCAATCCGCCATACTAACACATGCAGTGTCTCGAAAGCTCATTCTCATTCACAATCGTGGTCTTGATTCTATGGGTCCATCCAGCTCGCGAACCCTCCTCTGCACCCAGATGCGAATGGTGTGGACCAGGCCGTCAATCTGCTCTACTGTGTTGCCAGCGTGCAGACACACCCTCACTCTCTCGGTTCCTTCAGGTACGGTCGGCGACATGATCCCACGGACAACGAACCCAAGCCGTTGGCAGTGTGCAGCCAGGACTTTCGGCTCGGATGAAAGTACTGCAAATATGGGAGTCTCTGGGCATGCGATCGGGCTCCTCACCAAATGCTCGTATGCCGGTGGTAGGTGCAGCGAAGCCTGCATATCCAGCAGACGTTCGTGTAACGTCTGAATCAGCAATTGAAGGTTTCTCGCCAATGCCTCCGTCTTCCCGCTCATCAGCCAGTCATACGATGCCCTTATAGCTGCCAAGGCCGGATAGGACATGAAGGTTGTGTATATCATCGGTCGCGCGTAGTTCACCAGGTACTCTCGGATCGCCGGACTGCAAAGGAGGATGGCACCATTACATGCTAGAGCCTTGCCGAAAGTGTGCAGTCGAACAGTCACTTCCTTCTCAAGGCCCAGCTGGCAAACGAGGCCTCTTCCTTTTGGACCAAAAACACCGTTCGAATGGGCTTCGTCAACGATCAGATGGCCGTTCCCTTTGGGCAATAAGTTCTTGATCAATGCTACGATTTGCTGGAGTGGTGCAACATCGCCGTCCATGCTATAGACAGCTTCAACGGCGATGAAGACATTCCTCTTCCCAGCTCGGATTTGCTCGTCTTCGGCGGTGCACTGCTTCAACACCTGTTTCAGCGCACTAACACTGTTGTGCTGGAAGAACACCTTCTTCGCAGCCCTTGACGACTTCATCCCATCGTGAACACTCGCGTGAATGAACTCATCGTACACGATAACATCCCCCCTCTGCGGCAGACAGGAGAACAACCCAACGTTGGCATCGAATCCAGAATTGCACAAAAGTCCAGTCTCAGCATTATGAAAAGCTGCAATATCCTTTTCGAGTTTCTCTGCGTAGTTGGAGTTCCCGTCCAGTAATCGTGATCCTCCACTGCCAAGATGGGAGGATAGGGCGGGGTCGGAATGCAGCTCCTGGAGAAATGCATGGCGAAGATCCTTCGAGGTTGCAAGCGAGAGGAAGTCGTTCGAGGAGAAGTCGACACTCTCCGGCGGGTTGGTCGTGAGTCTTCGCAGTGTGGACTGACTCTGCCGTTTCGACAGCGTTGCCGTGATGGCGTCTTCTAGCTGAGACCTTCGAGCCATGGTTTGAAGCTGAGTCAATAACAATGGACTGGATCTTTCGCTTTCTTCACTGCCTCGCAGCAGCTCGCATGTGCAGGAAGTAGCAGAGCTCTATTTCCAGCCCCACGCGCTCATCAATGGCCATTGACTTCTCCCACCAACGCACGAGCTATGCCTCGGCGACAGTACCCATTGGCATTCTGCTGCTTAGACTTTGGTTGACGCTCCCACACCGCTACACCCTGCACGAACGAAGCCCGAGCGAGAGCAAGCCAGCACTCGGCTGCAGCCGCTGTGGATGTCAACGACATCTCTTCTTTCTTCTTCCTTCCTCATCCTCCAACTTCCTGTGCTTTTGTTGAGATCGGGGCGGTTGTCGTGGTAATGCGTGCAAGATGAGACAGGTTGGATCGGTCCTGTGGCCGAAGTTGCGAGTGCTGCAGGTGTACGGTGCCAATACCGGTGTCGGCAAGACGATTTTCAGTTCGCTTCTTTGCCGAGCGTTTCAGAAGCGACTTCCCAGCGTCAACTACCTCAAGCCTGTCTCCACGGGGCCGCTGGATGAAGCTGATGATCAGTGAGTTTGTCCATATACCCGATCGATTCGTTTGTACGAAAATTGGGCAAGGAATCAAGTTGGTTGTGTGTTTTTGAAACATGCGATCTAACCCCAACAACCCTAAGGGTTACAGTCACTGACGGACATCTAGCCACATTGCAACGCTTGACACGGGCGTGAACTCGAAATGCCTCTTCCAATTCAATGACCCCGTCAGTCCGCATCTGGCTGTTCGTTCGGCAGGCAGGGTAAGCAGGATTGTAATACAAGTCGATCAAAAGATTGACATTGATAGCCCATCACCGATGCCACAGTCCTTGCGGCAGTGTACGATGAGCTGTCGAAGCACGCCAATGGCCAAGATGGCATCTCCATCGTCGAGACAGCCGGTGGCGTCTTATCACCAACCCCATCCGGAAGCTCACAAGCAGACCTGTATCGCCCGTTGAGACTGCCTACTTTGCTTGTGGGAGATCACAACCTCGGCGGCATTGGAACGACCATCTCGGCATGGGAGTCTCTACACATGCGAGGATATGATGTCCATTCCGTGGCTCTCTTCTCGGAAGATCGTGGAGTTGATCGATACGGCAACTTTGCATACCTCAGGGATTACTTCCAAGATCGAAGCGTCACGGCGTTCTCAATCCCTCCGCCACCTCCTCGGAATGTGAACGTCGAGGAAGATCATCAAGCCATGCAGGAGTATTATGAGCAGTCAGCCGAGCATCGCGATGTCATGGCGTTTACTGAGCGATTCCTTGCGTCTCACGACAAGAGGATAGCAGAGATCCGATCGATGCCAGAGGAGGCAGAGAAAGCGATTTGGCATCCTTTCTTGCAGCATACCGAAAGATCTAAGGATACCATCATGGCCTGGGACTCTGCGTACGGCGACTACTTCCAGAGCTATACCACAACGCAGCAGACCGAGCAGAACTCGCCGGCTGATCCCGAACCATCTCTACTCAAGCCTGCGTTTGACGGCTCTGCATCGTGGTGGACGCAAGGTCTAGGCCATGGAAATCCCACTCTCGCACTCACTGCTGCCTACGCGGCTGGCCGATATGGCCATGTGATGTTCGCCGGTTCCATCCACAAACCTGCCCTTGACTTGGCCCAGACGCTCATTGAGAAGTCTGGAAACTCGCGTCTGAAGAAAGTATTCTACACCGATAATGGAAGCACTGGAATGGAAGTGGCTGTCAAGATGGGACTTCGAGCTTCACTCATGAGGTACAAGCCCGAGAACCCTCGAGATCTCGATATCCGGATACTGGGGTTGAAGAACAGTTACCATGGGGATACGATCGGAACGATGGACTGCTCAGAACCAAGCATCTTCAACGAAAAGGTTGAATGGTACAAAGGACGAGGCATCTGGCTCGACTTCCCAACGGTCAAAATGCGAGAAGGGAGATGGCTTGTCGAGCCTTTCGAAGGAGCGCCCTTCAACACCAAGTACTTTCACTCCCTAAGCGATCTTTTTGACTTCCACCAGAGACACAGAGACTGGGACGCATACAAGCGATATTTGCGGGAGACCATCTCAGACGCCGTCAAGCAAGGCGACAACATCCGTCTCGGCTCCGTCATCATCGAACCCATCATCCTCGGTGCCGGCGGCATGCTCTTCGCAGACCCCCTCTACCAGCGCTGCCTCGTCGAAGTCGCCCGCGAATTCTACGAACCCAACTCAACAACCTCCAACGGGGATGGAAACGGCAACGGAGGCGACTGGACCTCAATGCCCATAATCTTCGACGAAGTCTTCACAGGCCTCTACCGCCTGGGCCGCTTCAGCGCCGCCTCCTTCCTAGGCCTGCAACCGGACATCGTCGTCAACGCCAAACTCCTCACCGGCGGCCTCCTCCCCCTCTGCACCACGACCGCCAGCGACGCCATCTTCTCCGCCTTCCTCTCGCCCTCCAAAACCGACGCCCTCCTGCACGGCCACAGCTACACCGCACACCCCATAGGCTGCGCCGTCGCGAACGAGAGTCTGAAACAACTCCAGAATCTGGAGCGCGCCGGTGCCTGGGAAAGTTTCAAGGACGACTGGTCCCCCCGCGCCTTCTCCTACGGCGTCAGCTACCAGGGCTCCGAGCACGCGTGGAGTATGTGGTCGTGGCGTTTCGTCTCCGCCTTATCCCATAAGCGCAACGTGGATAATGTCTTCGCGTTGGGGTCTGTGCTTGCGATTAGTTTGAAGGATGTTGAGGGTGGTGGTTCGGGTGGCGGGTATGCGTCGACGGCGGCGACGGGGGTAAGGGATGCGTTGTTGAGAGGGGAGGGGAGTGTAGGGGTGGATAATTCGGTCGTGCATTCGAGGGTGCTTGGGAATGTGCTTTATTTGATGGCGGCGATGACGACGACGGAGGAGACGATTAGTGGGATTGAGGAGAGGGTTTTGGAGGTTTTGGATGGGTGATGATGAGGATGAGGGGGATGGGGATGATAGAATGTATGGGTGCGTGTTCAGATGTATATATTTGTACGGAATAGAGGTTTGGGTTTACGTTTACAGGAAGCCTGTTCCAGTATGACGGTGGACTACCAAGATCATTTCGACGTTATACACTACATGCTGATCAGTCATACCCCAGCGCCGAACGATGCATTTCAAACCTCCCAACTTCATTCGCCGGACGTAGCACCATACAAACCGAAACGTGCTCCCAAACCCAAAATCAACCCTCACCCTTCACAGCCTTCAAAATCTCCTCCACACCCAAGTCCGGCCCACCAGGCACGACCTCCCTCCAAACCCCCTCACCCACCCTCTCCCCCGGCTCCAAAACCCTCCAATGCGGACTCGGCTCATTCCTCAACCACTTGAAATCATCCACATTCGCCCACTTATTATCGACGTCCTGATCCCGCTCCGTCATATACGCTTGCGGGAGGGGCGCGAAGCGAATCTCGTAGCAGTCCTCGATGATGGGGCGGGAGGTGGCGAGGAGGTAGACGGCGCAGTTGGCGGAGTCGTGCATGCGGAACTGGCGGGCGGCGACGACGAGGACGGAGTTTTTGATGTTGGTGAGGTGGGCGGCGCCGGAGACGTGGCCGCAGATGATGAGGGAGTGGGAGATGTTTTTGAGGGTTAGCGTTGCGAAGGGTTGGCCGTTGGTGGTGGTTGTCGGTGGGGAGAGGTCGATGATGGAGTGGGAGAGGTTGGAGACCGTGCCGGAGCTCGTGGCGTGGCTGGCGGCGGTGGGGAGGACGATGTGGATGTTGTCGTGGTCGCTGATTGTGACGGAGGTGCTTTGCGAGAAGGAGGGTTGGCGGATGGTGCGGGCGGTGGTCGGGGAGAGGGTGTTTTTGGAGGCGTCGTTGCTGGGTTGGGTGGCTTCGGTGCCAGAGTCTTGCTTCTCAGCTTCTTCTTGGTCCTTCTCCCGAGATGGCGTGAGATTGCTCGCAGGCGTGTTCACGTAGCTGCTGTTGTTCGAAACATCCGAAAGATGACCCGGGATCTGCTTCCGCTTCTGATCCGCCATGTCAGCGGCGTCGTTCAAACTAATCGCAGAAGGGTTCTTCTGCGCGCTGAACAATGACTTGTTCTTGAACGAAAACTTCTGCCTGGGAGCATGCACGGCTCGGACATCCTGCAGTTTGGTGTTCAACGCTTTGATCGCATCTCCGTAAGTTCGCTGGTCGTAAGCGGGAATGTAGGAGGAGGCATCCTGGACTTCATTGGAGAGCCGAGCGATTGCTGAGAGGCAGTGGTCGACGGCGTCTGCTCGTTCGCCACCTGAGGAGGCCGTGTTCTCGATGCGGCTCATCTGGTCCTGGAGGTCTTGTTTTCTCGCATTGTTAGTGCTGAATGTTGGGTCTCTTCATGTTGAAGGCCAACCTGTGACTTCATGCTGGAAATAGCGAAAGAACTTTTCGTTGGCCGTGGGCTGGGCAGTGCCGTCTGCCGCCGTTGTCGCCATATTTCTTGGAGGGTCTTGTATCTTGGACGTGAGTAGGTGAGTAGGGTCAAGTCAAGCTGGTGTCGCGTGCCTCTGATCGAAGCTGGAGATCAGGTTGAAGACGTCCGTCTGATGTGTTTGGAGGACCCTTTTCGTTCAGCAGATTTCACATGGCGTCATGGAGCGATATAGCAAGCGTGTGCAAGGGAATCGCTGGGTGGTATCGAGATTGCACCACCACTCTCTGCACTCGCCCACCACCACAACCTGGCAAACATGAGTGAGGAGACGTCAGGCGCGAAGCCCCGCTATTTCTTGCGGTCAGCCAATCAGACTGCAGATAAATGTCCTAGTCTGGATCAAGATCGGCACACCTCGATCACCAACATCCACGTCAACGCGTCCTGCTCGTACCATGTTACATCTCCCTCAGATCAACAATGAGACTCCTAGGCAGCCGTGGAGATGCACAGGAGGATGAGGAACAGGTGCTACGACCAGCGGCGCCCGACGATCGCTAGACCTCCCATCCCCATCCTTCGTACAAGTCGACAACAACCATAACAGGCCCCATGGCACGGTCTCGTCTGAAAGGGCCGAGAAAGAATGCAAAGAGACGCCGTGAATATGAACAGCGGACTAGACAGAGGCAGGGATAAACGGCCGTTCAGAAGACCCGGAATGTTGAGGAACGATGTAAAGAGATGCAAGTCAAACGCGCGTTGCAGCAATAAATTCGCATGGCAGAGACGAGACATCTCCCATATTTACGGCAAGGTATTTGAGGGTTAAGAAGAGCTAATCATACCACTGCGCTCTTTCTGCGATTCGACCACCCTCTCCGCCCCGACCTCGATGAGCTCGTTCCTCAGCGCGACTTTCCGATCGACATCGCCGTCTCCATAAAGGTCCCAGAATGCAGGTGGCAGATACTCCGTCGCCACTTCTTTGTACTTCTTCTTCGCCAGGTCATCGAACGCGCCCAAGTCCAAATCTTCCAATCTACCTTCCAGCGTCGAGCAGACAACCGAGTCGTCTATCACATCTCCTTCAAAACGATAATTCGGCCAAACGAACGACTTCAGGCGGAGCGAGTTCGCGAGAGGTTGGTATACAACCATGGCATACGCACAGGCCTTGCCATTTCGACGGTCCGCTTGACAGCCACACACCTCCGCTGCATGATTCGAGATGGTGACATCCTCCGGGGCTGACGAAGAGTCCAACGTCCACTCTGCAATCACCTGAGCATCCTCCTGGTAAGGTATCCGATCGCACCCGTCTTGACTCTGAATCAGCGTATCCCAGATCATATCCGCGTCATCGTTCGCACAGATGGTTTCCTTGTCGGGGCTCCGCAAGTAGAATCTTGCACCACGAAGAAGATGTGGGAGAGCGAGAACTTTGCGACGCAAGGCACACAACTGTGGTAATTCGTGCCCGGGGAGGAGGTGGAAGAAGTGGTTGAGTGCCGTGTGTGGCAGGATGTCTCGCTGGAAGACTTGATCTACTTCGACCTGGAATTGGCGACAGACCAGTCGCAGAGATGTCAAGGTGAGGAATCTCTCCTTCGTAGGCTGCAGTTGCTTGGGAAAGTTTTCGTCGAAAGGTGGGAGTGGTTCTGGGAGGATCGTGTTTTGTTACGCGAAGTAGTAGATTTCTTCTCGAAGTTCTAGTGGGAGGCCGAGGATTGTTGGTAGGTTCGACGACGACATCGTGATGAACGCTCTCACGAGTGTACAGCAGGACGGGAAATCCCTTGTCGAAATGGCTCCGATATATGTCTTCTGCGGTCAGTCTCTTTCGGAGGCGGTGTCAGCTGCTGCTTCGCCCCCTGGAGCTCAGCGCAACTCGGACCCTACGTTGTGTACCAAGTGGATCCACCTGCAACATTTCTCGGGCTTCTTACGAAGGACATGCTCACCGCGCGTGGGACTACAGACATTGCTGGTATAATAGCTACTTCCCGCCTGCATACTACCAGCTCCTCAAACTCGGCAAAGAATCGAGCAACAGCGCATGTGACAGAACAGTCTGTGCCAGGCAGGAACAGCAACTTCCTTCCCAAACGAGCCAAGGAAACACGCAGTGGTGACAGCGTCGTCTCGTCTAGTACACAGCATTCTGTCGACTACTCTCCATCCTCTGTCTAACTCTTACCCTTTCACCCTTCACATCTCAACCTCGACATGCCCCGGACTAGGCGGCGGCCCCCCCGTCTCCCACACCACAGGCTCATCAGTCATCTCAAAGACAATCTCCCCTCCCCTCACCATAACATCCCCATGCTCGAACCAATTCCTCGTCCACGTCCGCCCATCAACCCACACCTTCCCAACCCACCGGTTCCTCCCCGACAGCTCTGGAGCTCGAATCCTCAGCCACACCGTCCCATCATCACGACTACCATCCACGCCCACCGCCATGCGGAGGTCCCGGAACCGCGGCGCCCCGAGCAGGTATACCGGCTGGCCCGCGACAGGCCACAGCCCCAGCATCTGCCACACCAACCAGCTATTCAGGGCGCCGGCGTCCGAGTTGCCCGGCAGGCCCTGCGCGGTGGTGTTGAACCGCGTCTCGGCGAGGTTGCGGGCGGCGTGGACGCTCTTCCAGCTGGCGTTGAGGTAGTGGTAGAGGTAGGGGACGGCGAAGTCGGGCTCGTTGCCGATGTTCATGATGGTGTCGATGCCGGCGCCGTTGACACCGAGATTGGCGAGCCCCGGCGGGTTTGGGAGGAACATTGTGTCGAGGCGCGTGGAGAAGGATGTTGGGCCGCCGGCTTTGGCGATGAGGCTTGCCATGTCGTGCGCGGCCGTGAGAGTGTATTCCCATGGGGAGCCTTCGGTGGTGTAGGGGGAGGAGGAGAGGGGGTCGTAGGATGTTAGATTGAACGCGCCGTTCGCGAGGCGTGGAGCGAGGAAGCCGGTGACTGTTGTTTCTTTCAGTGACCGTCTGCGTTAACTCGGGCTTGAACTTACCATTCAGACTCGTCACGTCGTCGCTCCACAAGCGCTGCCAACCCGCACTCCGATTGAGATACTTCTCTACATCCCCCGGCTTCTCCCCCCTCGCCACCTGGCTCAACGCAAAATCATTCGCACTATACTCCACGGTCCTACTCACCGCCGCATCATCCTGATCAGCAGCAAGAAACCCCACCCTCTTCCAATTCGCCAACCCCGCCCTCCCCTGACTCGACGAGCCCCGTACAGCCAAAGCCGGGAAATCCGAAAAGGGAACCACCTCTGCGTCCTTCACCATCGCCGCGTACCCATCCGTCCAGTTGATCCCGCCCCGCAGGCCCTTGACGTACGCGTCCGCGAGCACGTTGTCGGCGTTCGACCCGCCTTGCGTTTCGCCGTTGAAGTTGCCCGAGCGCCCGTCCGGCATGTAGCCTTGTCGTCGGTACATTTCGATCAGGGCCCGGATCATGCCTTCGTAGCGGCGGGGTTGGAGGAGATGCCAGAGGGCGGTCGTGCAGCGGAAGAGGTCCCTGTGTGTTGTCAAATTGGTTAGCTCTGCTCTTAAAGGATTTGGGATGGCGATGGGAGCGGGTGTGATCCTCCCTCTCCACGAGATGGACGACAAACCAAAATGTATAAAAATCATCCCACCAGGGCTCACTCGTCTCCCAGAGCGGATTCTCCCCCGTCCGATCCGAAGGCATGAGGTGCATAAAGTACAGACTCGAATACAGCAACTCCAGATCCGTGCGATTCGACGAAGGGCCCGTATCAACTTGGACCTTGCTAAAGACCTCCCGATTCCATTCCTCAACAGCAGCTTGTACGGTGGTGTTCAAGTCCCAAGTCTTGATCTCCGTGTCTTTGAACTGGCAAGCCCGGTCGGTAGAGATCCAGGAGATGCCGACTTTGGAAGAGATTTTCTGGGCGGAGGTTTCGTTCCAGGTGAAGAGGACGCCGACTCGGTCGTTCCAGGGTCCGGAGTGAGCGGACGAGGCGGAGGACTGCAAGACGGCTTGGGGAGTGGGACAGTCGGCGCAGGTCTGGTATCTCGAGACGGGATCGTTGTTGTAGCCCGAGAAGATCTGGGAGTTTGTGGGAGGGACGGAGAATTCTCCGCAGAAGTAGATTGTCATTGGAGCGCCTATTGTTTGAGATAGAGGTCAGTGGTCATTCTCTTCTTCGCTCTCTTCGAGATCTGAGACAGCTTACCGTAGTTCCAGCCCCCTATGTAGGTCCCATACCCCGTGTACAAATTCCCCTCGCTATGCAGCTTGATTTCACCACCAACATATTTCTGTTCCTGCGCGCGAATTGGCGGAGAGGGTAGGTAGTGCGACACATCCACCACGACATGCTTCTCCCCACGCGGAAACGAGTACTGCATAAGTCCCGTGTGCTGCGTCGCCGAGAGCTCAATATGCACACCATTCTCCAAGCGGCTCGAGAAGTATCCCACACTCCCCTCATCATGCCCCTTGCGAGGCTGACTATAGGTCATGTTATCGAGCAAATTGACCCCCTCGAGCGTAGTCAACGGCATCTGGGGAATGACTCCATACTTCGCCCCTCCTCCAGTGCCATGGACATGCAGAGCGCTGACGGCGGTGACATTCCCATCGGGCGTCCAGCCGCCATTGAGGAAGGAATTCGCCCCATCCGCTGCGGTCGTGTCGAGTCCGAATCGCACAGCACCGAAGGGCACAGCGGCTCCCACCCAGATGTCGCCACCGCCGGCTGTGGTCCCAGCCACGGGTCCTTCTGATCCGATGAAGACGCTGACGTATTGACTGTAGTCGACCATTTGGTTCGTCCCTGTGGCAGCTGCTGAAGCAGCCGCTAGAGCAAGTATCAAGTCGAGATAGGCCATGACCGAGGGGACAACTTTGCAGCTCATGAAAGCTGGTCGCATGGATCTTGCAGCCTTCTCGATTCGTTTTATGTGTATGGGATGAGACGATTTTAGGCTGAATGCGCTGGGAGTCAATCAAGGTCCTCCACATGCAATACGAACCTCTCCACCTCTCGGAAGGGTCAAGAAACTGCACATCACCAAGTGCTCAGTAATCATTCCTATGAGACAGACCCCGCAAACAAAAGGGTCAGGTCCGAGGCCTCGATGGGTATGAAGCTCGGACGATGGGTTGAGCTCCGTGAATGTTGATTCATGTTGGATTTCGAGGAGGTGCTCCGAATCTCCAGGGGCTCATATGCCATTTGAACGAACAGAGGCTACCTTCGCTGCCTTGCTAGTAGTGACCTGTCTCTGTAGTCTAGCCACCGAATGATTGATGCAGGCATTCATTTGAAGTGAGAACACAACTGCGCTCTCAAGAGCTTCCATCTCCCGTACTTGAAGCGGGTGGTTTGTTACTATCGTCGGTCCCCCTTTCTGGCATTGACGCTGACGCTCCTAATCTCATCCCCTTTCGAATCACTGCCATCAAGCCGAATATGTCCGTCATCTGTCCCAGCTCTGCGATGTCTATGCGACGGACTTTTCCGCACTCCCTTCCTCGGACGCTTCATCTCCACGCTGCGGGCCTTGATCTCAAGCTCAGGTCCAGAAGCAACCTCTGAGATTCCCTCCTGCCTGACCGGCCGAGCTTTCGTCCTCGCAACTGGTCGAGCGGATCTGCAAGAACATGGCAGGAAGTTGAGCGGCTGAGCGTGGTCACGAGAGCGCTGTGCGGCGGAGTCGTTGGCGAGGTGGCTTTCAAGTGGAGGACCGGAACGAGGGGACGGGGGATCGTATTGAGGACTGGATTGACGGTTTCGCGGGGGTTGGATCAGGCTGTAGTTGATGAAGCCTGCTGGTGGATAGGTCATTTGGGTTGAGAAGGAGTGTTGGCACTGGGTAGAGGATTCAGTTCGCGCCCTCTTTATCGGACGCCGTGGAGAGATTGTCTTCGGTGGTTCTGTGCTGTTTTGAGGTGATGGATTCGTATTTGAGTTTGTTGCATACTCGGCGGAGAACTGCAATGATAACGGGCGTTTCGGCATGATGTCCTGCGCTTGGAACTGGTGCCTCTGGAGAGATGTCGATGCCTGAGACAGGAGCAGCTGTCTTCACGAGAGCCATATCGACGAGCGTCCAGTCCGACCTTTACACGATTAAATGGTGTTGCCCGTAGCAGGAACGCATGAGGGACTTGCAGCCTTCCAATCTCGCGGCCAAGGCGAATACTACCTTCTTCGAGGAGCACCGCCTTCTCCTCCTCTTTCCGCCAGACTGACCACCTCAGAAATACCAGCTGCCTCCTGCTCATCCTCCAGAGCCTGAATCTCCTCCCGGCAATCCCACCATTTCTGTTCTGCACGATCGAAAGCTTTCTTACGGATCTCCTTCACGGATCGATCTTCAACATTTCGCTCATACTTCATCTTCTCCAGAATGACCTCTTGCCACTCTGTCGAGGTTCTTGAGAAGAAGTCGCGTAACGTTTCGAAGGGTCTGGGCATTGGCAGATCGTCCTTTTGAGCCGATGTGGTCTCTTGTTCGTCTGCGTCGGCTTCTGTGGCCGCCGTGGGCTCGGACGCTGCCACTGAGACTTCGTCTGCCACGGAAGCCACTGGTGTGCTAGGTTCTGCGTCTTCCATATCCTCATCCTCCTCGTCATCAGAACCCTCCTCCTCATCGTCTTCATCGCTCTCTTCGTCTTCACTGCCTTGCCAATCTTCGAGTTCACGCTTGAAGACTTCTTTCACACCGTCGAGCTTTCCAAGATCAATCGCCCACATCTCGTCAAAGGTAAACTCTCGATCACCCTTCTCGAAAGTACCACCAAAAATGTACAACGTATCCTCTTGCACTGCCAATTGTGCATTGAATCGAGGATGAGGCATCTCCCACATTGTCGGCTTCTCGATTTTCGCCGGCTCGTCGTCCTCATCGTCACCATTTGCAGCCGGTGCGTCTGGCATGTCTTCATCTCCAAGGGAGCCCTTGTTCTCGATAAGTGCCAGATTCCTCAACAATTCCTCCTCATCCGCCTTGCCTCTACCACGCTTCCCCCTCTCGGAAGCAGGTACCGCTTTCTTCCCTGATGTGCGTGGCCGTCTTAGACCAAGCTGGAAGAACCGATTTCGATCGATGTTGTAGGCGTGCAATAAATTGAAGAATTCACTGTCGATACCTTCCTCACTCTCTTCAACGTCGTGCACACCACCGAATGAGATTCCACGTCCTTTGTGGTGTGCCATGGTAGCTCCAGCACGAGGTGGATTCGGAGTATTGGCCGGTCGTTTTCTGCGTTCCCATCTTACCGTAGGGAGAGTATTTGCTGGTGCATCTGCAGCAGGAGGCGTGATTCGCAGGAACCATGTATCTTGATGTACCATTGGCTTCATCACGACTCTCGATGCCCCGACCTTCCCGCCCTTTGTAGCTCTCAATGCAGCGCTTGCCTTCACTCTGGAGTACCCTCCATAGATTACAGCACCACTCTCGTGTGGAAGCAAGCTGAAGGAGCTTCGAGGATCGGGCTTTTGGCTCGCTGGAGGCAGTACTGGTGCATGCCAGACAAAACGTTGTGTGTCGTAGATCCAGATATCCTGCAGGTACTTGGTTTGCTGACTTGTATCTTGGAAGCCACCAAATAGGATGATGTAGTTCTTGAAGGCAGTCATGCGATGCCCACTTCGAGCCGGGGGACCGCCCTTTCCTTCAAGTTTCGTCCATTCTCTCGTACTAGGCTCTAGTCTCCAGAAGTCGTTGTAGTGGTAGAAAGTACCCTGCTTGGGAGACGAGAACTCGCCACCGAAGAGGTAGATGCCTCCTCCATTTCCACCCTGACACATCGCATGCCCGCTTCGCGGGAGCGGCGTATTTGGAGAAGTGACTTTGCGCCATACATCCTGGTTGATCTTGTACACATACAAATCGTTGAAGAACGTGGCCAGGGCACCATTGTAGTACTCGCCACCAAAGAGGAAAAGCTCACTGCTGTTACTGGGCGATGCAACAAGCGTGGCCGAAGATCTCGGCGATGGAGGGTCTGATGGCGCTTCTGTAACTTTCAAAAACTGTTCTTGCTGTTTTTGATATGCGGCGAGCATAGCATCGAGATCCGCATCCTCAACATCGCTGTCGTCGTCTTTGGTAGGCTTTTTGCTCTGCTTTTTTTCTTTTTGCTTTTCCTTCTTGGCCGTCTTCTCTGCGACTCGAGCCTTCTTGTCGGCTTTCTTCTTCTTTGCGTCTTTGGCCATGATGGGATACAAAAAAGTCTAGGATGTTGTTGATTTGCAGGACGAGTCGAAAGTTTGATGCTCGATATTCACCTGGCTCCAGTTTTCTTGGTGCTCAATTCTACGCATCACGTGCCGAGATCTTCCGGTGAGCTCGTTTCTTCCACTTCTCTTTCGTCCTCGCATGTTCTTACCACTTTCATTCAAAGACTCGGTTCAATAAGAGTAGGTAGATACGCTTCGGTTGAGCCCCATCGGAGCAACTCAGTCCCCTATCAAGGTACTGCAAGTTGAGGGTCGAGTCAAGCTGTTTCAAGTCGGCTGCAGCTCTCTCCAAGCGCGCTGAATCGCCGACTTCACCTCTTGCATGAATATCCTCAGACGCAAGATGTCGACTATCAAGGTCTCTCCGGCCCAGATCCTCAGCGAGAAATCGCATCAGATCGCTGGTAAGTTGCCTGAACATTGAAGCACACTTTCTGCATTCAAAAAGTGAGAGGCATTGGATTGGCAAGGCGCCTAGAATGATACCCTCTCCTAAAACACTGGAGTTTGGACGCCTCCGAGATAGGAACCTTCGCTTCTTCGTGAGAAGGTTTCAATTCTTTTGACTGACAGACACGAACTTGATCAGGAAAGCTCAAAATCACCGAACACCACTTCCTCGTCCCCAAAGACTACACCAAACCCGCCTCGCCCACCAACACACTCAAGATCTTCGCCCGTAGCGTCAAGAAACACGACACCCCAATAATCCCCAACAATGACCCCGCCAAAGACCAACTCCCCTGGATGCTCTATCTGAACGGCGGTCCAGGCCTCGAATGCCGTGCCCCAAACGCTTTCGCCTTCACGCACCGTATCCTCGACGCAGGCTACCAATTGCTCTTCCTCGATCAGCGCGGAACGGGACTTTCGACGCCGGTCACGGCGAGCACGCTGCAGATGCGGGGGTATAACGACGTGCAGGCGAAGTATCTGAAGCTGTATCGTGCTGATAGTATTGTGCGGGATTGTGAGGCGATTCGGCAGGCGTTGACGGAGGGGTGGCCCGAGGAGAAGAAGAAGTGGAGTGTGATGGGGCAGAGTTTTGGTGGGTTCTGTATTGTGACTTATCTGAGTTTCTATCCGGAGGTAAGTTGTGATGATCTCTCGGATGGCTAGAGTGTATTGACTTGAAGCATAGGGCCTACGAGAAGCCTTCCTCTACGGCGGCCTGCAACCCCTGGTCAACGGCCCCGACGAAGTCTATCGAAGACTTTATGTCAAAGTCAAAGAACGAAACGAAGCCTACTACGCCAAATACCCTGAAGACATCGAAAACGTCAAAACGATCATGAAATACCTCTCCCGCTTCGGCGACGGCAAGATCAAGCTCCCCTCCGAAGGCAACCTCACACGACGACGATTCCGAACCATGGGCATCGCACTGGGTATGCATGGCGGTCTGGACCAGATCCACGACGTGGTGCTGCGGGCGAGTTGCGATATTGAGAATTTCGGACACTTGACACGACCGACACTGAGTGCGATTGATTCCACGACGTCGTTTGACAATCATCTAATCTATGCTATCTTGCACGAGCCTATCTATTGTTCTGGGGGTGGTGTTGCGCCGGAGTGGTCGGCTCATCGGATGCAGGAGGAGTTTAAAGAATTCGACATCGATGGCCATGAAGGAGGACCGATCTATTTCACCGGCGAGATGGTCTTCCCTTGGATGTTTGAGGATTATTCCGAGCTTCGCAAGGTTCAGGATGTGGCGAACCGGGTCGCGTCTGACACGGATTGGCCGCATCTTTTCGACGAGGAACAGTTGGCGAAGAATGAGGTTCCGGTGTATGCTGCGAGCTATTTGGAGGACATGTATGTCGACTCTGGCTTCGCCCGGGAGACGGCGAAGAAGATCAAGGGCTGCAAGGTGTTCACGACGAATGTCTTGTTCCACGATGCTATCCGGTCGAGGATGGACGAGGTCGTGCGGGCGGCGTTCGCGTTGAGGGACGATGTTGTTGACTGATGTCGCTGGGACTGTATCCTGGCTGGTTCGCTTCGTTCGGGACGTAGATTGCCTGTTTAACCGACAGATAGCATAGATCTCACTCCACAAACTTCACGCCCTGTTCTCTTGCAACGCGGTAGATTTCATTACAAATCGGCTCGACATCCGTCTTCTTGATCGGCACTCGATGCGTCCCGTCCCACTCCAGTAACGTCGACGTCTTCGGATCGTGATACTGCTTCAACATCTTCCTATGCAAGTGCAACCCCGGATCATTCAACCCATGCACATGAATCGTCGGTATTCTCAACACATGTGGACTCTCGCCCTCATAGTGAAACCCCTCACTGACCGCCCCTGGCCGCACACACGCCGGATGCTTGGTATAATCCGAAAACGACACAATCGGCGACCTCCCCGCCAACATGACCGCAAACTTATAATCCGTCTCCGCCTTACCCTCCTTCTCCACGTGAATCTGCTGCTCATACAATAGTGAACTCGCCAGCTTTGCGCCCTGTGAGAACCCCATCAAGCCCACCCACGGCCCGTCACCTTCGTCTTCATCCTTGCATGTCTGGATCGAATACCGCACCTCTTCAATGGCGCTCTCGTCGTCGATCTCCGGGTGTTCGGGGAGCCAGCGCAGCCAGCGGCGGAACGGGCCACAGTCTTGATATACGGGGACGATTCCAGGCCCGGGGTTGCAGAAGAAGGGCCCGTCGGCGAAGACGAGACGGAAGTCCGGGAGGTTCTTGATCAGGGAGCGGGCTTGGGCGCGGAAGACTTCAGCGGTGACGCCGCCGCCGTGGAGGCAGAGGATGCGGGGTTTGTGGAGGTCGTTGGCGGAGGAGGGGACGGGTGTGGTGGTTGAGGAGGTCATGGCGGAAAGAAGGGGCGGGACGCTGTTGGTGCGGAGGAAGTGAGAGTGACTTGGAGGGAGGAAGTAGTTGGGTTTGGAGGAGGTGGAGGGTGGGGGCGGAGATTGGATCAGCATGTGAGAGGCGATGCGTGGTTGGATCCTTTGTGACTTCTTCTTGCCATGCTGCAAACAGAAGGGGAACGTTCGAGATTATATCCCGAATCCTACACTTACCTGCACCGCTGATGATGTTCGGAGTATTCTATTATCGTTGGGGGCTGAGAGGGATCGCGCTGCGTCGGCGATGACACTCTGCAGGGGCGCGCGTGTGGACTTCCGGCGCTGCATCTTCTCAACGTCCCCGAAGGCGATGCAACATTGTTATCGAACTCCCGACATGAGGCCACGGGCATGGCGATGGATATCAGTGACGGTGTCTCAGAGATGCTGGTGACGACGACGCATCTAAATCTCGGCGGACGCTCTCCGGTGGCTGGGATCATGGGTGCTCTCTTACACTTTACATGGCCCGTTTCTGGCTGAATGTCGACTGCCGAATCGACCTTCCCTTGGCTATATATATACCTCCATACCCCGTATTCCCGTCATCTGCACTCCTCAACTCTGCCGTCTGCATGGTTCGAGACTGGGACATGCATCGTCGTGGCCCCAGATCCGTCAACTTGGAGGAAACTCTAGGGCTACGTTCTGATGTGAGGACAGCTCACGCTTCGCGTAAGATCGGATCTTCAAGATAGACCTTGCTTCCGAACATGACGAGCGGTATATGCGAGCGTTGTTGGTAAATATTTCATGGTCTTTTCTTTTCCGTGAGGTTCCACTCCCATCTCTCTTCTCATCATGGCTCAGTACGGAATGGATTCTGAGAAGAAGTACTCCCTTGCGATAGTGGGTGGAGGAATTGGAGGGCTTTGCACTGCGATTGGGTTGTTGAAGCAAGGTGTTGATGTTCACATATATGAAGGTATTGTCTTCATCCAGCCATGTTGGGACAGGATGGCTGATGGTGTATAGCGGCTCCCCAGTTCTCGGAAATCGGAGCGTGAGTATATTCTCAACCATTCTATCTCAGACGACAAGAGCATATCTGAATGCTTTCAGAGGCGTCTCCCTAGGTCCCAATGCCGCTCGAGCTCTCAAAATGATCGATCCAGCCTTGTACGCCGGATACGAAAAGACTCGGACGAACAACGCCTGGCTTGAGAAACAACATCACTGGTTTACTTTCCGCATAGGAGACGACGCGAGCAAGACACTCCCCGAAACCCATCTCTTGGACCTCCACTGCGAGACAGGGCAATCCAGCGTCCACCGAGCACGATTCCTCGACGAGCTGGTAGGCCTCGTACCAGAGCACATCGCCCACTTCGGCAAGAAACTCCTCTCAATAGACGAACGCCCCTCTTCCATCACCCTCCACTTCACAGACGGCACCACCGCCACGCACTCCGCCGCAATCGGCTGCGACGGCGTAAAAAGCATCACCCGCCCCCTCGTCCTAGGGAAATCCTCCCCAGCAAGCGCCCCCACCTTCACAGGAAAATACGCCTACCGCGGCCTCATCCCCATGTCCACCGCAGCTGCCATCCTCGGCGACGAGCTGGCGCGCAATGCACAGCAATATCTCGGGCACGGAGCGCACGTCCTCACATATCCCATCTCCAACGGCGCGATTCTGAACGTCGTGGCGTTCGGCACGAAGGCTGACGGGAGGTGGGAGGGCGAGTGGGTGAAGCCGATGGATCGGGAGGGGATGATGAGGGAGTTTGAGGGGTGGATTGAACCGGTGCAGAAGATTCTTGGACTGATGGAGAGGAGCGAGGTTTGGGCTTTGTTTGATCATCCGAATGCTGAGAGTTACGTGAGTGAAGGCGGGAGGATTTGTCTTTTGGGTGACGCGGCTCATGCATCTACGCCGCATAATGGGGCTGGTGCGGGTCAGGCTGTGGAGGATGCGTTGATTCTGTCGAGGTTTATGGGGTGTGTAAGGGAGGAGAGGGACATTGAGAAGGCGTTCAGGGCGTATGATGTTGTTAGGAGGCCGAGGAGTCAGATGCAGGTTGAGAAGGCGAGGTTTGCGGGTTTGGTGTATGATATGCAGGCGCCGGGGACTGGGGATGATTTGGGGAAGATGAGGGAGCAGTTGTCGGATAGGAGATGGTTGTGGGAGCATGATTTGGAGGCGGATGTGAGGGAGGTGGAGAGGTTGTTTTGTGAAGGGAGGAAAGAGAATGGGGTCAAGGTTTGATAGTACCGCATATGTCATAATGCAACGATGCTACGAGATCTGCGGGCCTCCTGATAGTCACCCATATCAACTCCTTCTCTCAGAGACCATGTCCGGCTTTCGAAAAATCCCTTGACCCATCCGTCGCACGGCACAGTCACCATTCCACCTTCTGACTTTAAAACTTGTGGTGCCCGTGCCATCACTTTCCATCAGGTCTATTTCTCTGGCGCTCTGCTGACAGAGAGTGAGAATTATTGCAAGGCTTGTGTGAACCTGTCACCGGGGTTCCTTTGACCTGTGTTGGGCTGCGCAGAAGAAGCACCTTGGTTGGGAGGTGGTCCTCCTTGTGGTGGCGGACCTCCTTGACTTCCATGGAATGGAGGTGCTTGATGGGTCTGAGGTGGCGAGTACAGGACCATGCCAAACCGGGTATCTCGCTGAATGAGGACGCCTGACGACAGTGTGGTTCGCTGAGCGGCGAGTTGATAGAGAGGTCTGTTTGGCATGTGTCGCAGTTGGCCTGGAGCGGGTACGAGGGATTCCAAAGATAGGGCATCTTCAAGTGTGTGCAGGTCCGTGAGTGCGCCTCCCACCGTGGCGCTAGTAGGTGTAGCACGAACAAGCTGGAAGTCTGCACGGGAAACCTCCTCGTCTGCGTCGGCTTGGTTCTGGGATTCGGTAGTGCCGATTACTTGGTCTTGATCGGTTCCGTGCTCTGGCGCGTTGTTGAAGACTCGAGAAGGATCTTGATCTTGATCATCATCATCCTGCGAGTCATGCAGCGCGTCTGAATGATCTGCGTTGTCAGAACTGGTCAGGACTGCATGACGCGAACGCTTCCTTGGCCTGTCTGTTTGCTTCGAGGAGTCTTCGTTGATGTCGCTCTTGTCTGAATCTCTTGAACGATCGCGTTTTCCGGTAGTTTGGACGCTTTCTCGTCTTCCATGCATCTCTGCCCCAATTTCTTTCAAGCGTTCATCACTTGCCAGCTCGATGTCATCTGCACAGAGCTTGTCATTGCCCGGGCTTCGATATTTTCTTGCGGCCCTGGCTAGAAGTCTGACAGCTAGATCAATGTTGCCTGCTGTCAATCTGGCCAGCTTTGAGAAGTTGAGGAGATAGGATTCGCTCCAGTCACGGGGATCTTCCGGCAGCTGGCCAGGGCGGTAGCGTCGTGGAAACCAATCCTCCACTGTCTCCATACCCCAGTGTTGCTGAATTTCTCTGAGGTGTCCGCTTCTACGAAGCTGACTTGTTGGTGAGAGGTCGACGTATGGCTTATGGCGGTTGATGGTGGATGTGTCACCAGGCTCTGCTTGAGTCCGGACGCCAGAGCCTCTGCGTGGTCTTGAACCAGTTGAAAACGGCAGGGATTGCAACGAGTTGTCCGCCATGCTTCGTTGAAATTGCTGAACGGGATGTCGTGTGCGTTTTACTGGTGAGAAGTAGACCAGAATCGCTGATCTTATATATACAGAAGTGACGTCCATGTCGCCAAGACGCATGTCTCGGACCACTTCACTGCAGATATTGTTTGCCAGGAGACAGCAGATGCTAGAAGTGGAGACATGAGTCCGCATGTCGCAGCAAATGACTTTCCACCGAGAGGCGGAGTTTGAAACCTAATATGTAAACGTCAATGTATTGTGCTCAAGGTCAAAGCCAGCCAAAGCTCGATTTGATCTTGCTGCATGAATGTGTAGAGAAAGGACCCTGTAGCATTGAACAATTTTCTTAAATCAGTGAGACAAATGGACGAAACAAAAAAGAATGGTATTCGAGCATGGCGGGGGCGTGCACTTTCTGCGCCTCACGATGAACCCAAACTCCGGGATATATACATGATGACTTCAGTGGCATCGATGGAGGTATCGAGACATCTACTTCGTAACATTCGAAGGGGTGACTGCGTATGTCGGCCGCACGAACCTGCACAGTTGTTAGCACCATCGTATGGCCCACAGAAGCGTAACTGCGTACCGGTCGTTGTTGTATACTGGGACAGCCTTGCCCAAAAGCTCCTCCTCCATCTTCTTCTGTGCGAGATGCCTTCGCACCAAGTCGCGGTCCTCTTCGGCTTGTAGTAGTGGGATAAGGTGGATCCGTGACCACATCTTTTCTCGTGCGAGCTCACTGTGATGCCCAGTCAGCCACGCCTTCTGGCCCATATGGATGATACTCTTATCCTCACTTGTGCTCTCTGATTCCCTGCCCAACTCTGTAGAATCCGTATGTCATGATGCCGGCGACTGCGACGAGGTACCACGCGGGTCTGAAGCCACGGACTGGCAGGTTTCGGCGGTATTGGACTGGCTCGTAGCCGCCCACTGGCGGCATATCCTGAGGCATGATTGCGGTGTGCAAGCTGGCCTGCTCAAGGGATCGTTGGGTAGATATAGTGTCGTGTGTGCTCTCCAATGGTGTGAGGTGCAGGAGTAAGAGCTCGGATGCTGCGGACCGAACCGCACTAGCGTTAGAGCTCTTCAATTTTCGCGAATTTCCAGAGGTCTGCTGCTGCTTCATCTTGAAATCGCACACCAACACGGCCATGTGGAGGGAGTAAAAGGCGCACAATTCGATCACATACCCGATATTCAGCATCCAACCCGTCCGATAATCTAGCCGACAGCGATACGTCCGCCCACCATGTCGGTCGACTACCTCCTCCACGAGTCCTCCGTGGGCTATGCAATCTTCAAGGTCAAGCTCCAATCCGACACCATCGGCGCTCGTCTGAAGGAGGTGCAAGCTGCGCATGAAGATCTGTCAAAGTTCGGCAAGATGATCGATCTTCTCATGTTCGCTCCCTTCCAGGGTGCTAGCCAAGCCCTTGAGAACGCCAACGACATTTCTGAGGGCATCATGAGCGATTACCTGAAGACGACCTTGGAATCGGCCTTGCCCAAGGCGGGAAAGAAGAACAAAATCACGTTGGGTGTCGGAGACAAGAACTTGGCAGGTAGCATCAAGGGTGGCTTGAATGGACTTGAGTGCGAGACACCAGAGACGAGCGAGCTTGCCGGAGACCTGCTGCGAGGACTTCGACTGCACGCGGAGAAGCTTCTGAAGCAGCTCCAGACGGGCGACATCTCTCGTGCTCAGCTTGGTCTTGGTCACGCCTACTCGCGCGCAAAGGTCAAGTTCAGCGTGCAGAAGAACGACAACCACATCATCCAAGCCATCGCCACGATCGACCATCTCGACAAGGCTGTGAACACGTTCTCCATGAGAGTGCGAGAATGGTATGGCTGGCACTTCCCTGAGCTTGTCAAGATTGTTAGTGAAAACCACAAGTACGCACAATGCGCGCTCTTCATCGGCGACAAGAAGACTCTTTCCGAGGACAGTCTTCATGATCTGGCCAAGATTGTCGACGACGATGAAAGCATTGCTCGTGCTATTATCGAGGCTGCGCGTGTGTCCATGGGTCAAGATATCTCGGAGGCGGATATGGAGAATGTCATGATGTTCGCAAGAAGAACCGCTGAGCTCACGGCTTACCGAAAGTCGCTGGGCAACTACCTCGTTGCGAAGATGGGAATCGTTGCTCCTAACCTTGCAGCTCTTATTGGTGAGACTGTTGGTGCTCGTCTGATCTCCCACGCCGGCTCCCTCACCAACCTTGCGAAATACCCGGCTTCTACGGTCCAGATTCTAGGTGCGGAGAAGGCGCTTTTCAGAGCACTCAAGACCAAGGGCAACACTCCAAAATATGGTCTCATCTACCACTCGTCATTCATCGGCAAGGCCGGCCAGAAGAACAAGGGCAGAATATCACGCTTCCTCGCCAACAAGACTTCTATCGCCTCGCGTATCGACAACTTCAGCATGCAGCCGACCAGGAAGTTTGGTGAGGCACTACGAGCTCAGGTTGATGAGAGATTACGATTCTATTCAGAGGGCATCAACCCAACCAAGAACGCAGATGCAATGGTACATCTAGAGAATGTATTGCAGTCACGAACATACGCTAACACTCATCACAGAAAGCCGCAATGGACGCTACTCTCGCCTCAATGGACATCGACGACCCGACTGCTGCTGGTGCTGAAGAGGAAATCTCAGCACCAGGTGTCACTTCGCAAGCGGTTGAACAGAAGCAACGCAAGGAGAAGAAGAAAGAAAAGAAGTCCAAGTCTGCGGATGTCGAGATGGTCGACGTTGACGACAAGGCTGCGAAGAAGGACAAGAAGAAGCAGAAGAAGCAGGAGGCAGAATCTGCCATGGACATTGATGAGGATGTGGTCAAGGCTAAGCTTAAGAAGGAGAAGAAGGAGAAGCGGAAGGTCGAGGCACTGGTGTCAGGAGAAGCGGAAGGTCGAGGCACTGGTGTCAGGAGAAGTGCCAGATGAGCAGATCAAGAAGAAAAAGAAGAAGAGCCAGGCCGAGTAGATTCTCGTCTACATTTGGTGTACAGGCAGGTTTCGAGGGAGTTTGAGGCGGCGGAGTTAACGGCGTCTCGTGGTGTTCACGTCGGTTGGCATTGGTTGTTCGACGAGCGAGACATGTACTGAATGATTGATACAACAAGCCTCTCTTGTAGAGCGCGGTATGTACAAAGCAAGCTTGCAACTTCAATTGACTCCAAATCTTCGATCTGTAGAAACGTCTCGACGACACGGATGCCTGCGCGGGATAATCTGAATCACTCTAGCAAGTTCACGATGTCTCAGAACTTTGATTTAGATGCCTGGCTTTAAAGACTTGCATCCGTGAGGATTTCGATGGTTCTGGACACCTTGCCAGGATACAAAAGCGAGCTGCTTGCCCACTTCGTCTTGGAAGCAGAACCAGCAAACCTCAATTTCGAGCCAACAATCATGACATCAAAAATGCCGGAAAAGCGCAAGTTCGACGGTGGGGAAGCGGGTGACGACAAACAGGAAGCGAAACGTTTGTGCGGAGACAAAGCAAAGGCTGGAGGCCATGAACATGAGTCTCTGGCACCAACAGCATCAGCGTCAGAGAGAGAGAGTCCGGCAAAGTGGAGAATTATGCCAGCAAAATCAGGGCCAACGAGAAGAGTCATGGTCCACTGAAAACCATACTCAAGCCCAAACGTCCAGTGGAGCGAAAAGCTGTGGATGACGCTTCCACGGTGCAGTACGGAGAACTCAAGAACAAGGAAACCGAGCACACCATCGCACTGAGTGTCTGGAACGAGCACTTCGCCCCCAGAAAGACGAAATGGGGCACAAATTTCAGGCACCGTGTCTGGGAGAAGCTGGAGGAAGAGACCCAGATAGCCCGACGAAAACTGATCGTCCAGATCCACTCCGTCACTGGAAAGAATCACGTCTACTATCTCTGCATTCCGAAGGCTGTGCGTCCAGAGAGAGCCCTACCGTCGGACCCGTGCGATTGCAGCATTGCTGTTCTGGAGCCCATCAGCTCTATTATTCTGAGTCAAGGCCAAGAAAGAAAAGCCCAGCAGCGGAAATGGCGGCAACAGAATCAACCAAACCCCTGGTACTGCCATTGGAAAGACCACAGCAACGACCACTACCAACAAGACTTCAAAAGCTGAAGCTACGGCAAAGACACCCACTGCAACCCCTGGACTCGGCAAGCCAGTAGCACAGGGGCCCAACTCGCCGCAGCGAAGACTCGGAGAGCAATCGACTAAGACCGAGCACCCCAAGCGAGCAGTCGGACAAGGCAGTACTCAGAATAGCAGAGAGGCTGGAGCGGTGGCAGAGCAGGCAAACAATCAGAGGTAAGAACTCCGATCAACAAGACATTGGTAGACTTCGCTGACAGTATCGTAGCGTGGTGCCCAAGAAGTGATGGGCTGGTGGACCCAGAAGACAGTGAGGATGAAGTGCTTTGGGGGCTATCGAGAGGATCTTCTCTTCAGGGCCCCATTCAAGTGTAATGTAGCGATGCGATTCATGCTGGGAGTCGTCTGAAAGGGAATTTCAAGACGTGAGTTGCGACCACTATGCGCTCTGGACGCTTCGTAGAAAGTGAGATATGGATCCTTGGCGACAACGAGAAAACATTTCGATCGATCGTACCAGTCGAAACCCTTCAGAATGCGACTTCCCTGGTATGACTTTGACCAGCCTTATCCTGTGATTTTTCCTCTTCCAGCATCTTCACAGTACCATATATTGCGTCAGATTCATTCCAAGCGTTCTTCGTAATTCGTGGCTGTATAAGTCTGTTGTTACCCTCGGCATTCTGGTCAAGATGAAACGAGTGGCATCATCCCCTTCGATTCCAAGAGCAACATATCTGCCGATCATACGGCAGGTTGACTGGACAATTGGCGAGCCATGGGAATGCTCCACTCTAAGTGGAGTGGGGAGGATACCTTCAGGTAACAATCAGTTCATTGCCCATTGGGTTGGTGGTGAGTCCACAGGTCTGAGACTCAGACTGGCATGCTTCATCAAGACGCTACTCGAATCCCATGCTACGTTCCTCCTCAACGTAGACCCTCACTCTTCTTCCCGTTCTTCTCGCCGTGCTCCGGCTCTGGTTCTTTCTTGGAAAGCCCCGAGAGGCTGTTCAACTCTGATTTAATTTTAGAAATTAGCTGCTGCACTCAATCACACATCATCTCCTCTCACCTCTTCTGCGACTTCAAGGACTTTCTTCTCAGATTGGTCTGGAACTTGGACGGCTTCTTCTTTGGCTGCATTCACATCAGCACTGCAAGCTGTTGGCAGCATGATAGTATGTCAGACAAGACTTACCCGGAATACCAGATTCTCAGATTGCATGTCTCCTGCTGCTGGTCCCTCGTTCGTATCCGGTTCGTTTTCATCCTCTTCCATGTTGGCGACTCTGTCCTGCATGAGACCTGGATTTTGTAGGCCGTGTCCCGAAGCCTCGAACTTCTCGTCCTCTGCATCTTGCTGGGCCTTCTCCCGTTCTATACGGTCTTTCTTCACAACATCTTCCAAAGCTTTGACTTTCTCGCCGAGAATCTCGATGGTAGGAATGTCCTTTCGCGCATGATTGACTTGCCAGAATCTCAATTCTTCTTCGGCGCGCTGGAAGTAGTCGAGAGTGTCTCGAGGTTCTTCAACGCTATTGCTAGCGAAGATAAGGCTAGAAGAGGTAAGAGGAAGGTCAGTATGTGTGTCACGACCACAGTTTAGACTGAACTCAGGACCAAAAGTTTCAACGAAACCTTGGACCGGAGTCTAGAATCTGCTCCTAGAATACATACAGCTGGATGGTATCGCAACGGCTTAGACAGGCATCTTGCTCAAGTAGTATGTCGGCAGCCTCGATGAAATCCTCTAGGTGATCATCTTCGTAGAGCTTGTAGACTTCGTTCAGATCTGGGAGGTCGGCTTTGGCGTCGGACGTGCGAGACATGTTGGTGCGAGAGATTCGAATGTGGAGTCCAAGGATCGAGAGCAACGAGGCGAATTCGACGGAATACTGCGAGATGCTGCAATACCTTGTTTTCCGTATGGTGTTCGCAAGTACAGACCGACTGGAAGGTGATGTCCACTTTCGGACCCGAACTGGGCTGGACCCTGCTACTTCCTCATTCGATCTAGTGAAAAAGCTTGTGGAGGCACGTCGACGTGCGCTGCCCTCACCACCTGGACCACAACGGACCTGCACAAACAGCACAGCACAGCACCACATACACATACACTAAAATGCAAGCTGCATACGACGCTGCCTGTCGGACCATGCTACCGGCTTCTACAACCCGCTGTGGTTCGGTCTGACCGCGAACAATACCCTCAGCTTAAGTGCGTTGCCTCTGGCAGAAAGAGATAGATACAAGCACGGACGGCAGAGCGACAGATGAAATTCTAGACAGAACACCAGACATGCACGGAGTCTTCCATCGTATGAGCGTGCTGGCAAGTACAAGTCAGCGGCATCATGATGGCTCGCCTGGCGGCGCTAGTGATGTTGGCGGCAGAGTACCCAGGAAACGAAGTCCCACTCTGCCATCTAGAGGCTCTTGCGCTCGTCAGTGTCGTTGAGAAACCAAGGAGACTCGTTACAAATGTGTTCAGAGGTAGAAAGGCTACGCTGTCCATGTGAATCATTGTGCCCTCACTCTTGAACAGCCTCGTGTAGGACGGGGACCTGATAGCAGCTGGCAAGCATCCTGGCGACTTGGAGTCAAAAATGTAAGGTCTCGAGGAGAAGATTTTCAAAGAGTCCGACTGGAATTCAACGTCGAGTGAGGGCACCAAGTCGTCAAAGACAGCGAGCTAGGTGCTCGCTCGGAATTGGCCGCGCCAATCCATTCAAGCCCATGGATCAAGCCAGCATCGGCAAGCAAATGCCCATGAAGCCCACCATCTCAATAACTCAGCTCTCTACCCCCCTCTTAAACATCAACAACACTCTCATCCTCCGGAAGCTCACCCTCAATGAAATACCTATCCACCATCTCCGTCACCACACTTCCCTCCCGCCCGTAACTCGTATGTCCCACCATCTTCGTCCTGACAAAGACCGCCCCAGGGATCTGCGCTGCGACGTTCGCTGCTCCCCCCGGCGGCGTCCTCATATCGTCCAGCGAGTTGACAACCAGAACTTTCGGCAGTCGTGAGCGCTGCGGGAAATGCAGTTCGTGCGGTGTGTTGCGCGAGGCGGCGAAAGGGAACCCCGCACAGGCGATGTGATCGTCTCGTAGAAGGGCCATGGAGCGGAAGGTCGGAGCTGCGGCATCGAGGAAGGGTTTTTGGTGGGTGAGGTCAGCGAGGGTGAGGTCGGACGTCGGGGCGTCGTGGCAGTTGATGGCGAAGAGGTCGATGGGGACTGGGATGCTGCTGTTCATGACTTCGAGTTCTTCATCGCAGGCGGGGAGGTGTTGGAGGATTGGTGCGTCTGCTGTCGAAGGGTCGGAGGCGAGAGAGAGGAGGTCCGCGACCTTGCCGTAGTGGTGGTGTTCGAGGTGGCGCCACGTCGACTCGAGGAGACAGCTTGCGTTGTTGCTGGCGAGGTTCATGGCGCGGGCGGTAACTTCTTGGATGTCTTGGTCTTGGAGGGGACAGGTCTCGTTGGCGTTGCACCACGTCGCGAAGCCGTTGAAGGCGGCTTGGGCTGCTTGCTCGAAGCCGAGAAGAGTTTCAAATGGCGGGACGGTGTGGTCGAGGACGACGTCGAGCAACATGGCGTTGAAATTGTCTGGGAATAGCTCCAGGTACGTCGTGGCGAGATGTGAGCCCCATGAGGGACCGAAAAAGTTGAGTTTGCCGTCGTCGAGGGCCCGACGAACGGCTTCGACGTCACGAGCTATGGAGCGGGTGTCCATGTACTTGATGAGAGGGTCATTGGCGTAGCATTGCTCGACGTTATCGCGTACACATTGCTTGTTGGCATCGAATTCTTCTTGTGTGCTGGGCCAGTCTGACGAGCAGTAAACCCCCATTTCGGTACAGTTCAGGGGTGAACTTTGGCCCATGCCGCGAGGGTCCATCGTTACTGTGTCGAAGGATCAGTGGATCGCAAAAGGCAGACTTTAGGATGGTTGACCTGACTCACCGACATCGAAATGCGACTTTAAGAGATCCGACAGCCCGCTCACGCCCTCCAATGCAGGAGCAGGTTCGCCAAGGCTGTAGAAGATGGTGCCCTTGCGGGTTTCTGGGTCAGCACAGCGGGATCTCGCTATGGCGATGGTAATGTTTTGATCGGCTTGTGGATTGTTCCAGTCGAGCGGCACCGTCATGTTGGCGCACTTGGTCTGACCGTCATCTTCATCACCGGTGAACCTGCATTTGGTCCAGTGCAGCTTGGGCTTGGTGGATGCTTGAGATCCTGTCAGTACTGGATTTGACCCTCGGCACGGCAGGACTTACCTGAGAGGGCGGTCGTAAAGTCGCTGTGATGATAGTCATCGGGGGATCTGAGGTTGCTGCCACTGACAAGCAAAAACAATAGTGCAAGCGTTAGCAAAAGCGTGAGTCTGGACATATTGAGTTTGCGGGATGGTCTCGATACAAATCGTCCAAGAAGCAATGCATGATTGGAAAGTGTGCTATATATGTACTGGAGATTTTCTCGACAAAAATTGCCGACGCTGAAGTGGGTATATTTTGATGGTAAGCAAAATCGAAAGATTGGTTAGGCTTTGGGACCTTCCACGGCTCTGCATTCTCCCAAGATACTCTTGTAAGGTCGTTACAGCCGGCGGCCCTCATCTGGAGTCGATGACAGTTGTGCCGATGTCTGGTACCGTTGATCTCGAAGAGGTTGTGAAGACGGACGCCGTCGTGAATTCGAAAATCGGTGTCGTAGCGTTGTCGGTAGCCAGAATGGCCAACATCTTGGTCGAGTATTGCGCTTGCACGCGTGCTGCCTCGTGCGCACGTGTCGCTTGCACTCCATGGTCTGCTACTAAGCAGGCTCGAAAGGCCAGGAGTTGAGGCTGGGTGTCGAAGCTACCTTCTTCAGAATAGCGAATCATATTCTCCTCTAGGTCCTCAACCATCATCTCGTAGTCTCACTTCGCAGACTGCTCCGTGTCCATTCCGATCCAGCAGATTCACTGACGACTCTTGAACGACTCTGATCAGTCCGAGGACTGCTCATAGGTGATGAACTGGGCCAAGACGAGCGGACGAGCATGGATTGAGACTCGACTTCTTCCAGTTTGCCAGCCCAGGATTGCCTCATGTCTGATTTGCGGAAGCATGTTCTTCTTTGACGGTTGACGACGAGGGCTGCGAAGGCGATTTGGATGATGTAGCTTGTGTGATGTTAGTAAATAGAATATATGGAGTGTGATGATTGCTCACAGTATGAAAATTGTTGGGACTGCCCACCGCGCTCCCCCAGGACTTGCAACAGACCACGATGGATACCAGCCCCAAGGCTCTCGATACACCCAAGGACAGTATCCAGGTATATCGTCGTAACCCCCAATACAGTACGACCAGAGCACGATCTGCAAGACCCAAGCACCGATCGCCACGATAGAGGACACGAGTATCCAAATGGGGTTCAATCGATTCGTCCAAAGGCAGATGTACTCGCACGCCGAGACAAGGACGTACACGAACGGTACTACACACCAGAAGAGCACGAGCTGGCTGGATGAATCGTCAGTTTGTGTATGAGACAACACATCAGGAGAGAAATCAGTGGTTCAACGTACGCTCTGACCTGCACACCATGTGTCGCAAGGTATTCGGGCACAGGCCGATCGTGGTGGGACAGATCTAGCGTGGCTGCATTGAACAGCGCAAGAACGAAGGCCGCGATGGTGTTTGCCAGAAGGAGTGCGCCCACAATGGGCATGGCTGCACGGAGCCAACCTTTCCATGGTGCTTTGATGCCCATCGTTGCATGTAGTAAGTGATTCCGGCAGCGATAATAGACGAAAGGATGTTGTGTAACGATTGTCAGGATTGAACGAGGAAAAACGCTGCTTGGAAATAGTAACTTACATATTTTGCTCGCTTCAGTCCTACAGCAGGCGTTGTTGTTTGAGTTAGTTGGAATCAGGCTGGATGCTGTGCCTCTGTGCTGTGTTGTAGCTATTTTGTCGCTACTAGGAGAGGCTGATGCGAGAGTGGATGCAAGCCGCCTGTGCCATTTGGGGGCGGGTGAATGATCAAACGCACTACAGAAGACGCCTGATGTTGCTTTTGGTCGTAGATGTGGCCTATCGCAGTATGGACTTGGCGGACTGAGGCAGACTCGGGTTGGTGGCATCTACTCAGCCAGTTTCTCGGCAGCACACGTGGGATATTATTAGCGCTGCGACGTGGAGTATCAGACTGCTGTTGGTGGTGGTTGAGAGGCTGTGCGACTGATTGGCGCTTGACCGGGGCTGTGGTGGTGGAAGGATCAAACTCGCAGCGACCTCGCCTTCGTCTTCTTCATCAAACAGGCCAAACCTCGGCGTGTTGAAGAAAACAACATTGAGGCGGCCCACAGCCTGTCAAGGGGCCCCGGCGATTCTCGCTACTGCGGTGGATTCTGTGCGACGTGACTCTGAGATCTCTGTGTCACCCAATCTGCTTGAAACGCGTGCGATGCGTTGCTGGCCTCCACAGATCGGACAGATACGCGAGATAGCGACACAGCAGGATGTGTGTGGTGAGACAGTCGTGCGACGCGGGAGACAGTTGCCGGATGCAGTTTGCTGGGCAGATATGGGTGTGTCGGGTGGTTGCAGACAATATATCATGCGGTGGTCAGTGTTGACGTGGAGAGAACAGAGCCGTTCGTCGCGGTGCTGATGAGATCGGTGGCCGATGCCTTCTCGATTTCTGTCAGCGCCACGACTATGTTGCGTGGATGTGAGATACCGTTAGATGCCGGGCGTGAGAGATCGTGTGAATCTCACGTTCAAGAAGAAATTGAAGAGGCTCGCTTAGGCTCGCTGGTAAGGCAGCGAATGCGTTCTTGTTGTTCTCATACCGATTTCTGGCCCCACTCAAGTGAATGCATGGTTCTCGGTCGGGCTTTTTTCCGCCGAGACCATCTGCGAGCCGTTCCTTTTGTGCGATGTCAGAGTCAGAGATCTGGCTGGACAGGAAGATCGATCGGCGCTACTGAACTCTCGCCTAGCGCCATAGATCTCGTAACCCGCATCACCACTTTTTGCTTCCACCACATCGTGTCGTCGACGTCGTGACCTCTCACCCTCTCTGCTGCACCACTCTGGCCTGAGACAACCACCACAGCCCTGCATCTATTTCATCCTGCTGTGTTCCGCCCTCTCTTTCAGTTGTAGCTGAAGGCTGCAGCAGAAATTTTCGCGGCACAACTGTTCTTGCACCACCGCCGCCATGCCTAGGCCAAATAAGCAGCGCGGCAGGCGCATGAAGAGGAAACATGAGGACGACCCAGACGACCCCGCTGTGGAATCCAGTTCGAAGCGGAGAAAGTCAATTGACCCCGAAATTGACGAACAAGAGTTCTTGCCGCTCGAAGTTCAAGACGAAGACATGTCCGCGGCCTACCCAACCGAGAAAGCCTTCTACGGGATGCTGGACGAGACCGAGCAGGAGTACTTCAGACTGGCCGACGAGAAACTGGAGTCGAACGAGTTCGAATCTGCCGAGGAGCGAGCCAAGTTCATCGACAATGTCTACCGAGAAGCTGAGGGCAAGGAATTGAAGATTGCTCATTCGCAGTCGAGTTCCCGCTTTCTGGAGCGTCTCATCCGTACATCGAATGCATCACAGCTGAAGAACCTCTTTCAAAAATTTAGTGGACAGTATGTGTGGCGAGTCGACGCCTCCGGGTAATCTTTTGCTAATGTTGTACAGCTTCATCAATCTGATATCCCACCGCTTTGCCTCGCACGTCTGCGAATCACTCTTCACATACGCGGCTCCTTTCGTAAGTCAGGAGCTTCGCGAACCCGTTGTTGAGGCCGGCAGCAGCAGAAATGTGGATGAAGTCTACGTGTCCATGGAGAACCTCTTCCTGTACACAGTGGCAGAACTAGAAGGCAACGTAGGCTTTCTTCTGACTGATCAGTATGCTTCTCATGCTTTGAGGATTCTCCTCTTGATCGTTTCTGGAAAACCCATTTCTACCGAAGCCATGAAGGGCATTCTCCAGAGCAAACGCAAAGAAGGAAGTTCTGCCCGGGGAGGTTCGAAAGCACATGCCGAGTCTGCTGCCAAAGATCGCCCTGTCCCAGACTCATTCTCCAAAGCGTTAGAGAGGCTCATCAGCGACAGTGTGGCAGGCTTAGATACTGACAAATTGCGTGCCCTTGCAACACACACCAACGCCAATCCGACTCTGCAGCTTTTGCTCACTCTCGAGCTCACCCACTACGGTAAACAGCGCGCCAAGGACGAACGATCGATCATTCGAACCCTCCTTCCTGATGAGCCTTTCACTGCTGAATCCGAGAGCGCGGCATTCATCGGCGGCATGGTCCATGACCCTATTGGATCGCATCTGGTGGAGAAAATCATCGAGAGCTCGCCGTCGAAGTTGTTCAAGAGTCTGTACTACAACTTCTTCAAGGATCGCCTTGCTTCGTATGCAAGACACGAGACCGGAACCTATGTCGACTGCCGCTTGATCGAGAGATTGGGCTATGACGATCTCATGGAAGCTCACGAGATCTTGTGTCCTGTGTTACCAAGCCTCCTTGAGAAGCATTGGACGAGCCTCACCAGAACCCTGATCGAACGCTGTACTGTCCGGGACATCGATACCCAGGCCATTGCAGCCACTATCGAGGAGACTTTCAATGGGCCCCAAGGCTTCGATCTACTCAAGATGTTGAAAGTTGACACGACGCCTCACAGCTCAGATCGACAGCCAGCGCAGGCGAACGGTACTACTAACGGTGATGGTACGGCAGGGGTGACTGGCACTTTCTTTGCACGACCGGACGAAGGATCGAAGGTCCACTTCAACATCCTCGCACAAGCCATGCTCATCGTTCCCGGGTCACTGAGCGCTCTCATCCTCGACTCTATGATCTTGCTCGAGACCGACACACTTGTCAAGATGGCCAAAGACTATATCGCTACCCGAACATTGCAACAAGCAGTAACGACAAAGAATGCATCGATGATCCAACGACGCAAGCTCGTCCAACGATTCTATGGGAACATTGGCGACATGGCGCTTGACAAATCGGCGTCTCACGTGGTTGACTGCATTTGGGAGGGAACACACGGTCTTGCCTTCATTCGAGAGCGCATCGCCGAAGAGTTGAATGAGAACGAAGCTGTGCTGCGTGAATCAGCCAGCGGGCGTGCTGTTTGGAAGAACTGGAAAATGGACATCTACAAGCGCAAGAGACCTGAATGGATCAGACAGAGCAAGATCAAGGCAAGCAATGACGGCTTCCAGAGCTTCTCTGAGCTGGACGTCAGGAAAAAGAGCGATGGAGTTCAGAAGACACCGTTGCAGTTGGCGCGGGAACGACATGTTCAAGAGAAGGCGAAGAAGACAGAGAGATTGGACAGGTCGGACAAGGCACGGAAGGCAGAGAAGGCGGAGAATGCAGAGACGGCGGAAAATGTACAGAAGGCGGAGAGCGCAGACAAGATAGACAAGGGGAAAAAGGACAAGAAGGAAAAGAAGGACAAGAAAGAGAGGCGCGAGAAGAAGGACAAGACTGGCAGCGGTCGTGGATCCAGCAAGTCGAGCACCAGCGTCGTTGCTGGACCTGCTAGAACTCCTGCCGCTGCAGCATCTTGACATCAATGATGCTACCATCCTTCACATGCCAACGGCCAAAAGTGGAGACAGACGGCCGCTACTGTACCCCGGGCGGAAGCGCGGTTGAAAAAGATGGCATCATGGCTTTCTTCCCTCGCTTTTTCTTCGCTTACTGAGCGAAGTATCTAACTACTGCATAGGTAGTGTCTATTAGAGGTTTGTATACTTTCAACAAACTTTAACATCACCATATTCCTTGCCGTTGACCAGCATTTTTATTACATTAAGTCTATCATCATCTGGTGACCTCCGGAATGGCAGGCACTAAGACAAAGGACACTAACGGAGCAAAGCCTTTGCAAAGGGCAGAGGAGGCTGAAAAGGTCTGTGAAACATGCCACAAGACTTGAAGGGCATCCTATTGACGATGATATTCCAGCTCCTCTCAGCTGTCCAACAGCTGGTGACTTCGTTCATTCGTTCCGCCGACGAAAAGGCGTCAGCAAACCCAGCTCCTATTACTAAGAAATCAACGAACGGATCAACGACGAATCTGCTAGAGCAACATTCACCCAAGGAACTGCAACACTTACTTGGCTTCTCACTCCCGGAACAGGGACTCGGTCACGATGGTTTCATCGAAATGGTTGACAAAGTACTTCGACATAGCGTCAACACTTGGGACCAAGGCTTCTTGGACAAGCTATACGCCAACACAACACCGGTCGGACTGGCAGCAGATCTCCTTCTCAGCTCACTGAACACCAACGTCCATGTCTACCAAGTCTCCCCTGCTCTCACCATCATCGAGAAGACCGTCACCAAAGCCGTGGCATCCATGCTCGGATTCGATGGCCCCAACGCAGGAGGCGTATCTCAGCCTGGTGGTAGCGCGGCGAATCAGTCTTCGATGGTAATTGCGAGGAACAATCTCTTTCCGGAGACTAAGACAGAAGGTAATGGGAGTTATCCATTTGTCCTCTTCACGTCTGCACATGGTCATTACAGTGTTGAGAAAGCGAGTCAGATCTGCGGATTCGGATCCAAAGCCGTTCGGGCGGTGGACGTCGACGAGCGAGGCTGTATGAAACCCGAGGCTCTGGAAGCTGCGATACAGAAGGCGAAAGATGCAGGCGAGACTCCCTTTTATGTGAACGCAACAGCTGGCACCACCGTTCTCGGCTCCTTCGACCCCATCGACGCAATCGCAGAGGTCTGCCACAAACACAACCTCTGGCTCCACGTCGACGGCTCCTGGGGCGGCTCCGTAATATTCAGCGAGAAACACCGCTACAAACTCCAAGGCATTGAAAAAGCCGATTCTGTCGCCATCTGTGCGCACAAAATGCTCAACGTCCCCTTAACCTGCTCCTTCCTCTTTGGGAAGGATCTACGCCAATTCCACAAGGGCATGACATTACCTGCTGGCTATCTCTTCCACAACTTCGACGATGGTACGAATGGCGTGGATCCCGAGAAGGAGGTCGAATACTGGGACCTCGCAGATCTGACACCGCAGTGTGGACGTCGCGGCGATAGTCTGAAACTCGCTTTGACGTGGTTATACTACGGGACATCTGGACTGGCGGCGTACATCGACCATGGTTTCGGAATCGCCGCTTACCTCGCCTTTCTCGTCAAATCGAATCCAAAGTTCACATTGGTATCGGAGTATCCACCGCCTTGCTTGCAGGTCTGCTTCTACTTCGATAAACAGAAGAATCCTGAGGTGAACAGCCAAAGGACGGCGAGGATTGTCGAGGCGTTGGTGGAGAGAGGTTTCATGACGGACTATGCGCCTGGACCGGATGGGAAGTTCTTCAGGGTGGTCGTTAATGGTCAGACGAGGAGGGAGACGGTGGAAGGGCTTGTTAGAGGGATTGTGGAGATTGGAGGTCAACTGAATGGATACTAGATGTCTGGCTCGAGCAACAACGATGGGAAAGCTCAGATCACCTGAGGTCGATAGTCCTTCGTAGAGTTGGGCTCTTCGTACGACAGGGACTTGGATCTCACCATGTGCCTCCTTTGGTCCACATTGCACTTGCTGGAGACTCAAGAATCGGACTCACGAACACGAACACGAACACGAACAGTACGAGAACAAGGCCCCAACACCAGACAAGAGATTCCTGCTGCCAGCCAACGTTTGCGAGACATGGGAAAAGGGACGGAGATAGGGGATTAAGAACGGGCGTTGTGCTCTTCCCCGAATACAACTCCAGGTTCCCTAGATTATGCCAGCAACGACAGTACGAAGCGAATGCATTCGTCTCCAGCGATCCAGAAGAGCCACCGTCATTCCTCCACTGAATTGCCACATCTGGCAGTGTGGATTCCTCGCTAGCTTTACACAAGCTGACGGTGCTAGGATCGAAAGGGCTAGCCTTTTCGAGATGCGACATTGTTCTGAACAGATATTAGAACTTGATCGAGGGCTGCTTCTTGTCAAGAAATAATTCGTTCCAACCTCGTTGACACTTCGACGGCCCAACAGCAACATGACTTCGACTCAGAGAACTTGGCTCGTCACAGGAGCATCGAGCGGTTTTGGCACCGAAATCAGTCTTGCTGCTCTTCAGAAGGGGGATAAAGTCGTTGGTACGGCTCGCAATGTCAGGAAGGCAGAGCAGAACAATCCGGACTTTACCAAACTGGGAGGACACTGGCTTGAGCTTGACGTGACCTCTCCGAACTGCGAGGAAGTGGTTGCCAGAGCTGTCAAACAGCACAACGTCGATGTGCTCATCAACAACGCTGGGTATGCAGAGGGCGGGACGTTGGAGGATAGCAGGTAAGGTATACCATGGCCCTTCCCACGACGAACAAGACTGACTTTTTCACAAAGCATGACCGCCATCCGCGCCCAATTCGAAACCAACGTCTTCGGCGCCCTCGCCGTCCTCAAAGGCACAATCCCCCACTTCCGCACCCACCGCCGCGGAACCGTCGTCAACATCTCCTCGACCGCCGCCATCGCGCCCCACTGCTACTTCTCCTCCTACGCAGCCACGAAATTCGCCCTCGAAGGCGCGTCGGAATCCCTCGCCGAAGAACTCTCCCCCTTCAACATCCGCGTGCTGATCGTCGAACCCGGCGCTTTCCGCACGAGCTTCTTCGGCGCGCTGCAGTATACCACGATTAGTGAGGTGTACAAGGGGACGGTTGTGGAGGAGACTGTCAAGGCTTTTGAGGCGATTGATGGGACGCAGCCGGGGGATCCGGTCAAGGCGGGGAAGGCGATTGTGGATGTTGTGAGGGGGGAGGGGAGAGGAAAGGAGGTACAGGGGAATTTGAGAGTGCAGTTGGGGACGGATGCGGTGGTCAAGACGAGGGATAAGGCGAAGAGGTTGAGGGAGGATTGGAGCAGGGGCGAGGAGGTGGGAAATAGTTGTGCTTACGACAGCTAGATCTCGAGGTAGAGACTATGGGCATGGTTTCTTACTTTTAGATCATTGATCTTCCCCTTGTCGACAAGTCCAGATCTCTTCCACGCGCGCTAAGACGTGATGTCACGCTAGCGCGCCTTCACATGCTTCCCGCTTCCCATCTCGGCAACACCCGACCGCTTTGAGTTGGGGCCTTCACCTCATCAATTCTTTTCGAACTTCTCTCCGCAAAACACACCAACATCGACCGGCGAATATGGCGATGTCGGATGCCAGTGACGACGACTTGTCGCCAGAAAATTGGCTGCTGGACATGTCGATAGAAGATCAGCGGCCCCCAGTGCCCAACATCTTCTTCACCCTCCCTGCGGAACTCAGAGACGACATCTACGACCTCGCGTACGGCGATAAGCGCCCGGTCGTGGTCGAGATGACGCGAGAGCAGTGCGAGTGCCGCGAATGGCTGCGCAAACAGAGGGAGCGGGAGGATTTCGTGGTACTGTGTTTCCAACTTTCCTTCATCGACGAAAAAAGGAATGAATGCTAATCCGTAAAAGCCAGGCGAAGAGTAACCCGAAAGCGACATGGCGCATCTGCTCGTCAACAAGCAGTACTTCGAGGAGTCGAGCAAGGTGTGGCTGCGCAGCAAGACATTCTACTTCTGGCACAACCACGATTTCGCCAATTTCGTGTACGCGGACGGCCCCATTCAGCGCTTCATGCTGGGTTCCGTCACGAGGATCGAGGTGAACGACGAGATCATATCGGAGCAAGCAGAGCAACTTGCCTGCGTCCCGGCACTGCGATCGCTCCGCGTGCAGATGCGCGTCTTCCACATGGAGTTCGCCGTCCCGGGTAAGATGCCATGGCTGGATGACTATACCGACGCCGAGTTGGCCAGCATTCCGCACGTCTCGGCCCTGCTGTCAATTCGTGGCCTCCGCCGCATAAAGCTCATGTGGCACTCCTTCTCTTTCGACTTTCCCAAACCCGAGCACCGCGTCAAATGGGAGGCGTTCAAAGCTCGAGTCGAGGCCTTGATCCACGACTTTGTGACTCAGCCGAGAGAGGAGACGGAGACGGGCTACAAGTCCCTACACTCGAGGAGGCTTTGGAGGAAAAGAAGGAGATGGGCGTGGTCGAATGGCCCGACATATCGCAGACTTCGGCGCCAGTAGTCGGGTTCGTTGACGGGTCGCTGTCGGACAGAGACATTCCACGAACAGAGGATCAGATGCTGCGACTGTTTCTGTCGAGGCCAGCGGAGTTCGCGAAGTGGATCAGAGAGGCCGCAGACAAGGGCATCAGTTGCACTCGGTCTTGACGCGCCTTCTTGAGTCCTGGCTTCCTTCATGGCTTCGAAAACGGCGCTTCAATGATTCGCACATCCTACCGACGAAGCATGCCGACATGTCTCAACGACAGGAGTGAGCGCTCCAGCAAGCATGCTCATACTCAGGACCGGAGGACATCGACAAAGAAATCATGCATGTCATCAAACGGCGTTGAGCCAACCTCGCTCATCCAAGGATTGATCCGCTGTATGCCATACGAACAAGCAACACCACTACGCCCTCAGGTAGCCAAGTAGCTCAAAACAACCCCATGGCTCATACTCATCTAGCTGGGAATGACACAGGCCATCCAGTATCTACAACTTCTAACACCTCCCACTCCTCATTCACCTCAATAGTCGTATTGGCGTCGAGCCTTCAATGCAACGTCCCCTCTCCCCTTCGATTTCGTCACGATATCTCTTTGTGCACATAAGTTAGGCAAGCGCCCCTTGCCTTGTACTCGTGGATATGCCCCCTTCTCAATACCCATCACCAAAACGCCATCCTGTATGCAGAGTTCTCGAGAAGAAACCAAAAGCACAACCGAACGATCAGTCACGTTGAGTGACGCTCACCATCAGATGGCACCGTACTCCTGAGGCGCCTCGAGGTGGTACTGCTCCTTCTGCAGACCTTCCATGGCCTTCTTACCCTCCTCACTCAAGATCGCTCGGCCGTCCTTCTCGGTTACAGTGGTGAAGAATCGCGGATGCCATTCCTTGCCCGTCTGCTGTCGTTCAGTGGCTTTCTCTCGTTGCCGCTCTTCGAGTTGCTGTTTCTTCGTCGTCGCCTGAGCGAACTGCTTGGAGAGGATGAATTCGGTGACATCGTTCCAGAACTGTCGGCTTTCGTTGGGGAGCTGCTCTTCCTTGGGTGGGCACTTCTTCTGCACTGGAAGCAGAGGGGTGACATCCATGAGCAGGATTCTATCCTTCTCGGGCACCTTCTTGAACTCGTTGTCGCCGTATACGAAGTAGATCTTCTCTGTCCAGACGCCTTCTATCCTGCCTAGGATCTGATCCTTCGGTACGTCTTTTAGCCGGGTGACGTTGTCTGTCTTGATATCCGTCGGTTTGTAGATGATGCCTTCCACCTTGTTCTGTGTCTTGCCAAAGTAGCCTTCTTCGAGGTAGTGTAGGATGGTCTTGAGACCGGTCTTCTCGCAGGTGACGTAGCAGGTATCGGCGACTGTGACGTAGAGGTTGCCTCGCAGGAAGCCTCCGAGAAATGCGGCGGGATGAGTGAGGCTGTACTCTTCATTTTCTCGGTTCTTCAGCCGAATGAAGATGCCTTGGTTGTACTGGCCAGGCGTGACCTTGACGCTGGTACCGGTGAACTTCGCGCTGAGCTGATCGTACCCTGTAGCTTCGACGCCCTTGTCTGGGCATTCGTAGACATATGCTGAGACGGGCGGGTGATGGCTCGTCTGTTCTGTGATGTAGTTGACCTTGACCGGCTTGCCCTCCTGATTCTTCTCGTTCTCAACTTCCCACGTACACCTGAAGAATTCTCCCAGCGCGCTGTTGTATGGCTTGCACGGCTTTCCCTTGACATACTTCAGATCTTTGGTAAACCAAAACCGCAGGCAACCCAGCATGCGCTCGAGAGGGTCTTCGCTGTCGCCGATGGCCGCAAACGTCTCCGGCCTATCGAGGTAGTGCCAGTATTCGAGATTGGGAATCGGTTCCATAAGCTGGGCGGGCAAGCTGAAGCGAACTGCGGCGATATCTGTCACACCGATGAAGCGCTTCAGAATCATGAGGAACGTCCTCAGCTTGCTGGTATCTGAGGGTGTCTGGCCGTCCACGGCGGCAGCATGCGCCAGCTCTTCCTTTGCCTTGATGGGATTGCCATTGCCATTGGTCTCGACGGAAGTGTTTTCTGACACGGGTGTGCCTGGCGTTTCTGTGGCAGTCGCTGAGGTGGAGGGTGAGTCGTCTACAGGCTGGTCATTAGCCTTCTTGCCGAATCCTAGGACCATGATGGCGGTGTAGCGGGAGGCAGCAAAGACGCTGCGGCGGTGGTTGAGGATGTGCTCCTCGCTGGCGGCGGCAGTAGTCAGGTATTTGTTCGGCGGATCGGACGCTGCTGAGCAGGAGGGGTGGAGCAGAAGGGCGAGTGTTTGCCGTCAGAAATTGAGTTTGGATAGTGAAGACAGGCAGATGCAGAGTCACGAGTTTGTTTCTGGCGGTGGATGGATCGATGTGATGGTGAAGCCCGCAACAAATGCCGCCGCCCTGCAAACTGTTGGTGACGTAGGGCCAAGCACGCCCCTCTCTGACTCGATCGTTTAGAGGCTGAGGACTCGAGGCTGTCTGATGGTTATCGTAAGACTGAGGAATTGAAGATGGATAAGAGGGAAAACAAGAGTTGAACTTCAGGAGACTGCGGTCGTGTGCTGGTCCTTGCGGGTGATTCTTTGTCTGGCGACGAGGCAGGCGACAGGGTCTTGCGCGCGCCTGTTGAGGGACGATGTTCACGACGCCTCCTGGCCACTCGTTCGACCACGAACTCCCTCTTAGCCACATCAACACACGCATCGTTTGTGGCGGTCGTGTCTTGTCTCATCTACACCGCTGTCGTGTCACGGGTGATAGCGGCCACGAGATTGGGCGGTATGCACGTGAGAAGCAATGCTGACATTACCTGCATGCTACCTGGTATCCTTCAAGCGCCTGATCAGATCAAGCACGCCTCCAACTCCTCGCTAATCCGCAAAGCAAATACGACACGATACGATACATCAATCGTCCCACGCTCTCCAAACTCCGCACTCCAGCGAATTTGGCTGATCGACAAACAACTCCACCACAAACCGCTCCTCTTGCGCCTCCGAACTGACATACATCCGATCCAGCACGATCCAGCAGTCGCGATAGCCGTACTTGACAAAGTCAGGTCCCAAGTCGAATGCATCTGTTCGAACAGGTCCGCCGCTGTCTGAGTATTCGCCGTTGTTCGATGCAATGAGGATTCGACGTTGCGGACCTCTTCCAAGCTCAATACTCAGTCGGATGTGAGAGTGGTTGGACCGTCGTGTGGTTGTGTTGCCAGCATGCTGGTGGTCGAGATGTCTTGCAATGGCGTACAAGTTGACCAAGCGTCCTGGTTCCAACGGTGCGGCGACTTTGCTTTCGCCTTGCTTGAAGGCGACAGTACTGAGCTCTGTACGAATTCTGCCAGCACCCTCCCGTGGTAGCAGTACCGCCCTGACAGGAAGTGCGGACATTATCTGCAGGGCGAAGCTATCCAGTTGCTGGGGCTCGAAAGTGCTGCAGATGATGGTGTACTGCCCGGGTTCCAAATCCTCAAATTCGGCCAAGCAGCATCCTGGACGATATTCTTTGCTGTCAACAATGATGTCCCGGTTTCGGATGCGGAATACTCTTTGGCCGTTGCTGTGCAGTAGCTTGACGTGCACATTCAGCTTTTCGTTGCAGCTCTCAAGAAGCAAGCAAATACTAGTCTTGTTCGGCACAACCAGCGAGTACTGTGGATTGTCACAATATGACATGTGCTGAGCATTGCCGCCTGCTGTCTCCTTGGTCCATGAGCCTGTGATTGGGAAAGTATGCGTATAGCGAGGTGAAGCCTCACCCACTTTCATCTGTGCATTGCTGAATGTCGAGATCGTGAAGGCGTGATTGGTGGCTGGGAGTTCTTGTTCGAGCGGCACTATCGTATAAGGGACGTTTGGCTCGCAATCCTCCAGCTTGAGCAATGTCTGTGGACTATCGACGAACCAGCCTTTCTGCAGGTACTTCTCTGAGAGTAGAACTTTGCGGCCGCGTGACGCGAATGCTATGAGGGCAATGTGTCCAGTCAAGTCGATGTGATGGCGTCCGCTTTCAATCTCGTCTGATGTTGCATGCTCTGGTACTGAGTTCTGGAAATGGCGCCAGAGCAGGATCCACATATCGCTCTTCTTAGTCGTAGTGACAGTGAATTGAGGATTGTGCTGAAGGCTGAATGAGGGTCCCCTCATCTTCTTGATGCCGCTACCATTCGTGGATTCAGACAAATCCCAACCGAAGTGCACATCTTGACGATGACGAAAAAGGCCAGAGTTCCAGTTCAGATACATCGACTCGAAGTTTTGCAAGACATTGTCGAGGTCCATCCAGAAAGTGCCAGGCTTCAGCTTCTCATTCACATTCAGAAGATCCCGCGGCGAATGAACTGGCTCGCTATCGTCTTCCAGCTGGATCAAGTCTGAAGCTGCGGGAGGCTTGTCAGATCCCGCAGCTCCTTTGAATCGACCGCGCCAGCTCGTGCCTTCGACCCATGGATTCTTAATGAGGAGTAATCGTTGGCCGTCTACTTCTCGTAGATCCAGCACAGCGTAGTCGTGCTCGCCAGCAAGTCCAAGCGCCTTCTCCGTCTCGCTCGACATTTTCCCGGTTCCCATGGTGATGAGCACATCGCCGTAAGAGAAGGCATTGGAAATGCGCTTCCAGAATCGGTCCAGCTCAAGGTCATCCTCTTGCAGGAAGACTTGTTCTGGGATCCAGCCTGTCAATATCCACAAATCGGTGGCGCTGTTGCTGCCTGGGAAGTCATAGCCCCCTCTGACCTTGAGGTATGCCTTCTCGATCAGCGCTGGCCACAGCAATGAAGGATTGTTCCTGTCAACAACATGGATCACTCGGCTTGTCGAGCTTGTCGGGATTCTATCGTCGATGACGACTCTTCTATAGCAACCATTGAAGTTCATGCGTACGATGTATTTTCCATTCTTTGACAGGATTGGTCGCGAACTTGCGAGATCGTAGGGGAACAGAACCGCCTGCATCATCCTTGGGTGGCCGCGTTGTGTCCTGGCGACCCCAGCACAAAGCGACGCAACAACCGAACAGTCAGTTGCCGCATCTTGTACGAGGTCAGTGTCTTGGCAAATCAGCATGCTTGGTCCAGAAGAGTCGTGCTGTTCTTTCGGCCATGACGGAGGCGGCAATGCCTCATGGGGCCGCTTCCAATCATCCAGAACGTCCAGCTGGAATTCAGATAGAGGCAGCTCGGATGCTTCGTCGCTTGAGGTTGAGAAGATTAGTAGCAAACGAGATCTCAGGACGCAAGGAGACATACAGAAACAATGCCTCACCGTCTTCCAGCTCGAACTCGCTGGCAGGAGGAGCGCCGGTCCATTCTGGAAACTTGACGCCATTGAGAAAACCCCCTCTGAGTAGGATAATGCGCTCTTTGGTGGACAGTTCGCGCGAGTTGACGGGCTCTGTGAGCATCCTCACCTGGGAAGCTTGCTGCACTGCCTGCCTCCAGTCGCTACTACGATTAATGGTTTCGGCATCTTGCATCAACTGCTTCGCTTTGGCTGTATAGCTGGCCTTCTCATTAGCGTCTTTCACCAGTTTGAGGGCGCTGAATGCAGTCTCGGCTGCTTTGATGGCGATGTCAAGGGCTTCATCTTTGGTAGCAGAGCGTGGCAGGCGTTCGGCGAGTCGATCGGCATCCTGTCGAAGCTGTTCGAGATCCTGTAGATGTGAGCTCATGTTTGTATCCGCGCCTACATATAGCGCGAATACACCATCCCCTCTCCAGTGAGATGTTTGTGGTACGTGCGAGAGAAGGCCGAAGGACGACGTTGCGGTCGACTCGGTAGCACGTGAAAGGAGGGACCCGGGAAGATCCGACGTCGGCTAGTTTTCGCTTGTTTTCAGAAGGAAGGCGCGATGGACTGCTGACCTCGGCAAGAGCTCCATCCTTCTTCGCCCGTCGCACCGATCATGATGCGTTACCTTGGTGCGGCCGTGTGCTTGTTGCCCGGTCTTGGTTCTTTTGGATAGAAAGCAATTCGGCCTCCTGCTTCTGTCACATCTTCAATGCTCGCAGTCCATATACCCTAGTCCTACCACCAAACTAGCTGCCGCCCCACCAGCCTCGGCCTGTGAAGAAAGAGACTCGAACGACTCGGAGATAGCACTCACTTCTGGGATCTCGCATTCGACAGGCCACACGGCGTGGGAAAGAAGACAAGATGGCACCCGCCCTCTCCAAGCAGGAACTCCCACCATGGGGCATCGCGCTCGCAGGCTCCGCCGGTGCGCTCGCCGCCAATGCCGTCGTATATCCGCTGGACATCGTCAAGACTCGGCTGCAGGTGCAGGTCAAGAGGAATGAGAAGGATACGCATACCGACGACGGTGACCACGTGCACTATGAAGGAACGATGCATGCTATCGGACACATCATGAAGGAGGAGGGTATGTCGGGGCTGTTCCAAGGTATCACTGGTAACTTGATCGGTGTCGTCAGTACCAACTTTGCGTACTTCTACTGGTATGGTCTCGTGCGGGACCTGTACCACAGCAAGATCGCGAAGAGCAATGCGCCTGCGTCGACACCAGTCGAGCTGCTTCTGGGTGCCGCTGCTGGTGCTTTGGCACAATTGTTCACGATCCCGATTTCGACGACGACCACGCGACAACAGACCCAAAGAAAGGGCGAGAGGAAGAGCATGTTTGCAACTGCAAAAGAAATCATGGATGGCCCTGACGGCGTTGCTGGATTGTGGAGGGGTCTCCGAGCCAGTATGGTGTTGGTCGTGAACCCAGCTATCACATACGGTGCCTACGAGAGACTTCGAGCTATGATCTTCCCTAACAAGGCGAATCTCGCCCCACACGAAGCTTTCCGTAAGTTTTCAATCTTAAGAGAAGCAGAACGACGCTAACAAGGTTACAGTCCTCGGTGCACTCTCAAAGATGATGGCCACAGTAGCAACACAACCGCTCATCATCGCAAAGGTCGGCCTTCAATCGAAACCGCCACCACAGCGCCAGGGCAAGCCATTCACATCGTTCCTCGAAGTCATGCAATTCGTGATCGAACGTGACGGCTTCTTGGGACTCTACAAGGGCATTGCACCTCAACTACTGAAGGGATTCTTGGTTCAAGGTATCCTCATGATGACCAAGGAGCGCGTGGAACTGCTCTTCGTTCTCCTCTTCAGAGCTGTCCGCAAGATGCGACAAGAGCAACTTGACAAGCTCGCCCGCATCGCAGCCGAGAAGATCGACAAGGCCAAGCAACAGGTTGCGTAGAGGAGGCGACTTCAAAAGGTATGGACACTGGATTTGTACAGATGCCTGGCAAATTCCCAGCAGCGAGCATTGGCGTTACAGGAGCATAGAATGGGAAGTTACATGGAGCGATACATTTCTTGCATTATCGTTGCCGAGGAGATTTGATACCTGTTTCTTGGATTGAGCGAAGACGGGTTTGCACGCTTGTTGAACGGCCGGAGAACGAGCGCGCAATGCGGATTTGGGGTATATAGTATCACAATGTACAAGAACATGAAGCTTGAACGCAGCTCCTCTGGACCGTCTGTTTGTTTCTCCTTGCGCGCAGTAATGCCAGTGTTCGACAGCTTTGATTGAGCTTGGCCTCTTATTTCTTCGTCTTCACTTCCTCCTCCAAGGCCTTGACATAGCCTTCTAGTCTCTGCACCGCAGATTGGAGAGCCTGGACTACCTGTCAGTCTGGTGTTGCGGAGTGCACAGGGCCGGCCCTCGGTTGAGGGATGCACGTACGTAGATGTCCTCCACCAGCAGCTCGTTCGAGACCTTGTACTCATCGACCACATAGTAGTAAAGCCCACCACCTGCAAGCACCGTTCCTAGGAGGAAGCCAAGCAGCCTGTCGAGTCCCCTTGTTAGCTATCCCTTCTCAATATGACCCATGCTCATCCTCTCCTCGGCCATAAGTCTGCCACTCTGCAGGCCAGCCAGTCCATGTCTGAGAGACTCACGATCCTCTGAAAGCACCAATCGGCTTACTCGGCGACACCACATCTGCCATCATCTTCCGGCTCGTCTGGAAGCTCCGTCGTGCATGCTGTGTTTGGGTGAAGGTGGCAGGTCGCGAGAGGGCGAGGGTGCGGAGGACGGAGGGCATTCTGGTGGCCATGGTCGTACGGTGGCCTTTTGGATGGTAGGTTTGGCTCAATAGCTCGCGCGGTGTTTCGTAGCTATGTCAAGGTGAAGTGAGGTCTCCCGATTGTTGCCGTGGTTGGAGGTCAGTAGGTCGACAGGGTTGTTCAGAGCTACGGCTTGTTGGGCAAGTGAGCCGAGGAGATGAGATGAGTGAACACTTTGTTGGACTTTGGTCAGCGAGTCGCATTTATGATGAACGATTCCCCCAACAGTAGTCAACCCCTTCATTTGTATGTCTCGTTTACTTCCTACGCCTTTCTTTACCTCTCATTCATTGTGTTATTGCCAGAGTCTGTCCTCAGGCATGACTGGCACCAAAGACGTCACTGGTCAAGAATCACTTCACCACCAGCTGAATACCATTGCACATGTCGAGTTGGACTCGGTAATACTGCAAACACAACGAGACATATGAGACCGCGACCTTGAGGCCACGATTACTCACTGAGGATCCTCTCGCTGGACTGAGGGACGAAACCACGCTCGAGAGGCGTGACTTGCTTCCTCCTTCGCCAGCATGCGTCCATCATCGCATGTCAAATGGACAGTGGAAGCGCCGCCTCTCAAGTATGCCGAATGCTCTGTCGACCAGAACAAGCGCTCCAATTGCGACTTTAAGCGCTGGGGAGACTACCATGCAGCCCCCGAACAACGACAGAATCAATCGTGAGGGTCAACATCCTGCCAATGGTCTAGATGTGGCAAGACTTTACGTCTTTGGCGAACAAGATTGGTTTGGGGAGCTCGTGGACTGTCTGGCGTGGGCAAGTCGAAAGACTGTACAATCGTGAGCATACATCCATTCAAGCTTTCATTGACACCTGCAATGCAAAGATCTACGGGGCCGCTCTTCCTTCTTACGGAGCAAGTGATGTGCACTTGATGATCAGTGAGTGCTTGGGCGTCATTTCTTCCGTTTCTCCGCCCATGTTTGCTTTTGAAAACCAATGCTGCATACTTTCGTACCCTCGTACAGCGCTTTGCAATCTCTGGACCAGCTCACGTCACAGCAACTCCTTCTGTTGGCACAATTACGGTGTGGCATCAGCCAACAGCCATCACAGAGGCTGGCTACCAACCCAGAAGCTCCGTCTTCCAAATCGAACGCCTCGACTCGAACTTCGAAGCTCCACGGCTCCAATCGACGCGTTGCCGTCCACTGCGTCATCACCATTACCGGAGCTAGCAAACCTTCTTCGACTCCTTCAAGCCACGACACGTGGTGAGCTCTGTCCGTATTGCGGGCTTCCACCTCGCCGATAGCACACTTGGATTTATGCTCGGCGGCGTCGAAAGTTTGCATATCAAGTCTAGAAGAGAAGCGGGGAACAGGCTCGATTGACGTTATGACTGCCGAGGGCGACGTAGAGTAAGTATAGATGGAGGTCCACACGCCAGGTTGGCAACCCTGATAACTTTCCTTTGGTCAAGGACCTTGTCCAATTATTTCGTATTGTATCACGTTACCCCAGAGCTTCATCATGTCGAGCAACAACGCAGCAGACAAGGCCAGAGAGACGGCCGACCAAGCAAAGGACTTCGCAGAGCAAGGAAAGCAGACCTTCCTTGAAAAGTTGAAGGAAGATGGCGTGTACGCAGCACTCATATACCATGTCAACGGACTTCCGGACTGAACATAAAACAGCGTCAATCCACAAGGTCTGAGCAAGTTCGCCTTCGGCGGCCTCTTCCTCGCCGCCGTACCCGTAACATCTTGGATCGCCCAACCCAATGGTCTCCTCGAGAAAGCAGTCAACGGCGTCGTCAGCAGCGTCGCCTTCCTCGGCTCAGCAGGCTCCACAAGCAGCGTCGCGCAGACCGGCAAGATCGCAGCTCTCGGTGCGCTCTACGTGACAGTCACCTACGCGATCTCAGGAGCCGGTAGTGCTGCAGGTGCCGATGCGGGTAACGAAGGCGGTAGAGACAACAACCACCCACGTGCGCAGACTCAAAATCTGAAGGGTCTGCCATTGAGGCTGCATTCGGCGCATTACAACTTGATGGAGATGTTCCCGGGTTGGGCGATCAGTGCTGCTCTCGCTCAGGCTATGGCTCCGGGAGACCAGACTTTGATCAACCTCTTGGGTCTGCATGTGTTAAGCAAGGTCTTTGTGTAAGCGGTGAGCACTGTTGAGAGCGAGCGCGACTGATTAGGCTTCTCTAGCTACTACCCGTCCTACCTGTTCAACATCGGTCTTCCACGAACACTCTCGCACGTTGTGGCAACCGCCAGTGTCATCAATGTGGCGCTGAGACTCTCCAAGAAGCCAATTCTCTAGGCAACGACACTTATGATAGTGGATCGAGGGATAACAACGCGGAATGAGAAGGCCCGATATCGGGATCAGAACGAAATAACAGTAATATGTACGACCGGCAGAGCAAGTGGAACATAGATTGGAACACAGCATCTTGTTTTTAGTTATACCCCTTAGGTACAGGAAATCATGCGAGCAAATAAGCCATCACTAATGAACACGAGACCAGACTTTCTAGTTCCCTGACCACCATGTATAATTGTTCGTCTCTTCCGCAGTATCCCACACCAGCTGCGAGCTGCTGTTGAGAGGTCTCTCAGGCCAGACGTTCTTCGTTCCGACCCAAGCCTCTACGTTCTCGAATGTTGCCTCCGAACCGTCAGCGACGTACAATCCGAAGCCCGTGCTGCAGGACTTGGATGGGTAGATTCTAGCAGTTAGTGCGAAGCGCTCGTTGACGTAGATTTCGGCGATTGAACCGTCGAGGAAGATGTCGATGGTGATAGACTCGGTCTTGCCGTTAACAGTGTATGGATAGAAATATCCAGTGATGGTAGCGTTGTTGAACTCGGCGATCTTGCTGCTGTGCAGACGCTCGACGAGGATCGTGTGGTTTGAGGGCTCGTAGATGACGGTCGTGTATTCTTCGCCGTCAGGAGAGGCAGCGAAGCGAAGACCCGCGGCACCTGTGGCGGAGGTGATGGTCGCCTTGAGTTCCATGTGTGACGAGCCTTGCTGCTCGAGGAGTTTGGACGAGCTTTCTGTGCACTGGCTGTACGACTTGTGGTGGGAGCCTTCACGGAGACCTTCGACGACATCTGAGAGTGGACGAACACCCAGGGACCGTGCTACGCCGTCTTCGATGGCCGCGCTCTTGGACTCGGTGAGCTCGTCTGTAACATCGACATTCTCGACTTCATGGACAAAGAGCTCCCGAGGCAGAGACAGAGCACCCTGGAAGCCCTGCTGCCGGACACCGAAGAGGCCGCCGTCCCCAACGTAGTCCTCCTTGAGCCAAGCATACTGCACGCGCCTGTTGTTCTTCGTATCGTTGAAGCTGGTGAGAGCATAGCCAACGCCCCAATCTCCAGCTCCGCCGTATGTAGGCGTGAACTCAGCGCTTCCATTCTCACGACGAGTGATGCTTCCTCCGTTCCAGAGAGACCATTGTGCGGACTGGTGGAACGAAACGTTGCCGCCCTCGGTGCCCATGTTGACGAACCAGTGCTTGTTGTCCTTGCTGTCGGGAAGAGGGAAGAACCCGGAGACTTCGAAGTTGAAGCCGTACGAGCCGGTCGAGAGAACAGGTCCGAGGGAGGTGTTCTTTGCTGGCTCCCAAAGAGAACCAAGGAATGTCCAGTTGGTCAGATCGCTCGACGGAGCACTCCATAGTGGCATTCGTGGTCCCACTCCCTTAATGCCAGATCCAAAGACCGAATAATAGTGTGGCTCAGAGACGCCCAGGATGACATCGAGCTCTGGAATAGGCTCAAAGAAAGGATCGCGGAAGCCAGTGAGATTCCAGTGCATGGGAGCAGTCTCAGTCGTAGCCTTGATGACTGGGTTGCCATCGTACTCCTGCCACGTCTCACCACCATCTTTGCTAATAGCAAGGCTCTGCGTCTCCGTATACGGTTCATAGTGTGACTGCCAGTTCGTGGGCAGGTAGCTGACCGAGGTGTAGAAGATGAGCAGGTCTCCATTAACTTCGCCTTGAAGGTTCACTGGCTGTGCTGTTCCTGAGAAGATGCCCAGGCCATTGTGTGTTCCGTTGCCTGTTGGGCCGAGTATTTCTGCGTCTGCGCCCTGCCAACTTCCATGATCAGTCCATGTGATCAAGTCCTTGCTCGTTGCGCTTCCCCAGCTGATGTTGCCCCAGTTGTAGTGCTCTGGGTGCCATTGGTAGGAGAGGTGGTATTCGTCTCGGACAGGGTCGTAGACTGCGCCGCATGGATCGTTCATCCAGCCTGCGGGAGCCAGGAAGTGGCTTTGTGGTCTCCATCTTGTGAAGAGCGTGTTATTGCCCGACGAGGTAATCTGATCTGCCGTGAGCTCAGTGCATTGCTCGCCTCCTGGTTGATGCTGCCACGGCTTTCCTGGACGGCCACCATTGGCCCATGGATGTCCCCATTGACCGTTGTTCCCACTGTGACCGCCCCAAGATCCCCACTGTGCGGATGCAATTGAGGCAGATGCCAGCAAGGCTGAAGGGGTGGAGAAGGCCCGCATCTTCAAGCAGCGATGGAATGCAAGAAAAGAAAAGGCTGGCCACGCGCACAATGATATTTTTGCACAACGATCAAGATGAGAAAAACAAAATGAACAAACCTGGGTCATAGCCTAGCATTTGTACTGCCCACTGAGACAGATCAATACGAGATCTCCGCCATGCGACTGCCCTGCAAAGTCGTCAACACGGACCACCGACCATCCACACAAGAGTTTAGTCGACTGAGAAGTCAAGAGAGAAATAACCAAAGCTCCGGTCACGAGTTAGCTGTATGCAGGTGCTCCCCGCCGAGACCACTCCATCTGGAGCAAAGCTGGGGTGCGAGGGCCTCCACAACGCAGGTCGGTCCGATTAGAAATATGGCCATCCAGGAACCACAGCCTTTTGCCGCCCCTTGGCTTCACTTCGTCTCTGCGGTTTAGCCGAGATAGGAAGGCGCGGTATTGGCAAGAACGTGTTTTAGAGGCGGTCCTTCCCCGGCGCTTCGGTCTCTGGCGGCGGATATTGCATGGCAGACAAGGATGGGAGAGCCACGCTTGGTTGCGAGAACGTGGTTCACGTTCTGCTTCTCGGGCCTATTCTGCATCGTGGAGTCTGGAGGTTTAGAAGGGCGCGGAGAAAATGGCGCAGCTGAAGGTGGCCGACGAGACACGAGAAGGAGGTTGCAGTGATTGTGAGTAAGGTCGTAGACAGGGCACTATCACTCATTAGCCAGAGCTACCCACCATATCCATGCGCCATGCCGAGCCGTCAGATGAGATGTCGTCGACTCCGGGTATCAACAGCAGAACTGCGCTATGCCAGTGTCCCAAATACATCATGCTGCTTACTTCTCAATGACTTCTTCATCGCATCATCTTCGTTTATCATTTCATGCTGGCTGGCCTTGGGCCTTGCCTTGCCAGAGCCCATTAATGGCTTGCTGTTGTCTCCTCTGCTGTTCATCAATCTGCTCTTGTGTCTGACCTTTGGCGTTGCCTCGCGGGTCCATGCTATCGACTGGCTGTACAACCTCAGGACCACTTGCATCGGTCATGTTGACGTCTTCGTCCTTTGGCTTTACGCGGTCGGGGTTGAAAGACATGGCACCGTCCATCATGCCCATTCCACCAGCGCGGAGTTGGTTGATTGCAAGGACTGTATCGATGGCCTTGTGCAGCGTTCGACGGGCGTTGAAATTCTTCTTGACTGTTGGCAGCAGATCCTCGTCGCCGCGACCGCTTTCTGGGCCGGCAATCCATTCATGAGTGAGTGCCTCATGGGCGGTCATGCGTTTGGTCGGGTCGATCGTGAGGCATCGCTTGATGAATTGGCGTGCCGTCAAGCTGACTCCACGCCAGTATTCCAAAGGTGTAAAGCTGTAGTCCGCAACCAAGATGGCCTGCATCTCTTCCAGATTGCTGTCCCTATCGAAGGGAGTGTAGCCACAGAGAAGAAAGTATGTGATCACACCAATCGCCCACACATCGACTGGCTTTCCATGCCCACTCTTCTTGAATATCTCAGGAGCCATATATCCTGGAGTACCGCAAGTCGTGGTCAAGACATGGAATTGCTCTTCATCCATGATACGAGAAAGACCAAAGTCTGCAATTAGCAGATCGGCGTTGTCCTCTGGCGTTCGGAAGAGAAGGTTTTCGGGTTTCAGATCGCGGTGAACGATGCCGTGGTCGTGGAGATATGCGACAGCTGAAAGAGTCGCTCGAATAAGGTCGGCCGCGTCGGACTCGTAGTATGAGCCTTTTCGACAGATACGGTCAAAGAGCTCGCCGCCGAGGGCCAAGTCAGTCACCAAATAGACTTGGATTCGTCAGTCTCCCTCTCACTTTGTCGTCGCAACCTTCACCTACGATTGTTCATAGTCTCAAAGTAGTCGACCAGCGTGAGGATATTCTGATGTCCCATTGACACTCTCTTCAGCACCGCAATCTCGTTGCGCACCATGTGCTCTCTCCCGGCCATAAGCCTCTTGTTGATGACCTTGGCCGCATAGTATCGGCCGGTATCGATATGCACGCATTCTTTCACAACACTGTACGAGCCAGCTCCCAGCGTTTTCCCAGTCTTGTATCGGCACGGTTGGACTTGTGCTTGCGGTTGAGCCATGGTGGGCTGACACGGGTTTGGCTCACGGCCGGCGAGGAGCGATGACTCGTCCGCGGTTGAATTTCACCGTCAACGGCTTTCGATATCGGTGGGAACGAGCGTGGACGTGGATGTAGATCAAAGGTAGGAGAGGATCATGACAAGGGTCATGCTGTTGTGTGTTTCAACTTTCACGGTCGCGGCTGGCAGCGTGTGAGAGACAGGTGTAAGAGTGGGGTTTGGTGCGGAAGCGATTCGCCCGTGATAGACTTATTTTTAGTCAGCCCTCGCCGCAAATGTTCTGGGCGTGGCTTTCGTGCAGCACTTTGAGATGGTTTCTTTTATGTATCAATTGGCAATCGAGACGATGGAGTTGTCGATGTCATTATCGCTGTCGCTGTTGCCGGTTTCGAGCAGCCTTGCTGTGACTAGCGCCTCGCGCCAAGCCAAGGCTGGGCTTCAACAATTCTGAATATTTTTCCTCATATCATCAACCCTATGACTTGAGAAACAATAAAGAGATGATTCTGAGGCTGGATCAGTCACTGCTGGTCATGTTGTACCCAGCGTGGGCGCGTGGGGGCTAATGTGGAGCCTCATATACAAAACCGGATTTTAGCCACCCATCCAATCAAGCTCGTAAGTTACCACGTGTTCCTGGATGCAAGGGACATTGCTAACGGTCGACTAGCTCTAGCTCAGTGGTAGAGCGTGGGATTGCAGTCCATTTGCAATCATCCTAAGGTCACTTGTTCGAACCAGTGAGTCCTCGGGACCAATGCGATCAAATTTCGACCAAATTCTGACTTGTATGAGGGTGGGGAGCTTCCAAAACCTAATTATGTTTTTGCCCGTCTTCTGCCGTGCCCAGATTAACGTCTCTTTTGTGCCTTGAACAATTGGCACCTTTTATCAATCGTTACAGGCCGTCGGGCCTACTATTTTGCTCTTCTCAGGCACGGGTTTGGACCTTCGGATGCCCAAACTTTAGCAAGTACGATGCACTCAACCCTCCAGAACCGTCAGCAACGCTATTTAGAACGATAGATGGCTCGGTGTTGAGATGTTCGGCTCTGGAGACGCAGCTGATTTGTGCCAAGCCTGATCACGTGAGGGTGACCCCTGAAGCATTTGCACAAGTCTTCAAGCCGTACATGTCTATGCCGCTCAAAACTCTCGTCAAAAACTTCAAGAATGATTATCAGTCTAACAAAAGGCATTTTCGATGAATAGAATGGATATTGTGGGGCAGAAGAAACGTTGACGCTTGAAAAGTCGGTGGACGCAACGACACAACTCGGAAGCCTGACTTTGAAAAATGATGGTGTTCAAGACATTGCCACGTGCAATCTATTTTCTATAGGATGTAGAGAGTCTATTTACTCTCCCACGTAATCGTAAACTTGGTCGCATGGCCACTGCCCGAGTACACCTTCGCCTGCGTGCTCCCCGAAGGCGCAGAATCCGTAGAAAACGCACTAGATCCGCTGTACAGCAAATTGCCATTCGAGCTCGTGAAGACGGTGCTCGAGACACCGGAACCGCAAGTGAAAAGGCCGGACTGCACCCCACAGTTACCCTTGGAGGACTTGAGCGTGAAGCCGCTGCCGGAGGAAGCAGCAGTGAACGTCGCGCAGGTCCCGCTGGTGTACCATGTCCCTGCGGAGATGATGCAGCCATTCTGACTGCCGCCACTGACGACGTTCAGGTAGCCTGAGCCGCTGAATGAGCCCGTTGGACCGGAGCCTGGCGCGGTGGTGGTTGTCGTTGGAGATGGCGAGGAGCCGCCGTTCTTGGGGAGGTACTTGATGCCGCTGCTTGGGCAGTTGGACTTGGTCAAGGATTCTGCGGCCTCGAAAGTGCCTGTTTGAACGGAGCCGCGGGTGTTGTAGAAATACCAGAGCTCGTCGAGGGCGCCGGATGCGCAGCCGACGTAGGGGGTGTAGCCGCCGTGGTTCTTGGCGAGCGCGGACTGGATGGCGGAGAGGGTGTATGTCTTACTGCTGGAGGGGGTGATGCCTGCATCGGAGAGCCAAGTGTAGGATGGGAGGTCCTTGAACAGGGCAACAGTTCGCTCGAAGAAATCTGGAACTTCTTCTGTCGGCTTGTAGGATGTGTAGCAGTCTGGGTCCAGGGTGCTGATGCAAGTTCCGTGCTTGCTATATAAGTGTCAGAAGGAGTAGTATCAATGTTGCTCGTCGAATGATGCTTACCCCCACTCATGCTCCCAGAAAGTTTCTGCTGAACCAGAGTTGGACGTCCAGTACGTGTTCATATAGTCAACAAGATCTTGCTTGCCAAACGAATTGAGAATGGCCGTGATGTTGGTATATGCACGATCATCGTCGCAGTTGGCTTCATAGGTGCCATCGCAGTTGTCAGGCTACCAATAAATCAGCCAACGAACGATACCCAATACTCTTTCGATATCCTACCCAAAGCCCATGAATCGTCCACGAATCATCCGGTCCAGTAGCAGGATTCGTATCCCAAAACTGCGTCTGCAAAAGCGAACCACCCGGCGAGTTGAAGCAACAAAGATCCTGCACCGCAGACGTATTGTGGCAAGAAAGCTGCGGGCTGGAGCAAGTGGCCGAGTTACCCTGCTCGTCCTGACGGGCCACAGGACTCTTCAAACCAAGCCCCAGCACCGACTGAGCAGCGCCCAGCGCCGTGAGAGCAAAGCCAGAGAAACAGCGTACAGAAGGCATGTTGTCGAAAGTGAGAAACTCTGGTCTGTCCAGCAGGCGGACTATCGAGTCGTTTTGTAGGCGAGCATACCAGGCCATAGTACCACTCTATTTTCCCTAGTCGAATATCAAATCACCGTCTCTTCTCTTCTCTGCCTTCCTGATGCGTGCTCGCGCCGGAGGATCGCACGGAATGAGTTTGCAGCCAATGCAGGATAGCCGAAGAGTAGCATTCAGGGAAGGTAGGCTGCAGTGGGATGCATTGAGATCTGCCCGTCACCATTCACTCCGAGGCGTCACGTCGTCCTATCGTTGGCATCTGATCAGACGCGACGTCCGCATGACTTGCACCTTGCTGGGAGACCGTGAGAGAAAGAGCGAGGGTGATTGGATGGTCGAGGAAAGAAGACGACCCCGGTTCGCGCCGTCACGCCGACTCCACAGGGTTTGATCGTGGCTTGAGTGGCTGAAGTTTGATGAGCACCACCTTCGTATGTGCTGCTTGCCTTCGCGCACCTCCGACGGCATTATGCCCGTATCATGTTCTCGCGCACCATCATCCGCCAGACGGGCCGCCATGGCCTTGCGGGACAATGGATGAAGGCGACCGCCTCCCACTACAGCAGTTTCTCCGGCGGCGGCTCAGGCTCGCTGTCCTCGACCATCAAGCTCAGCAACATCCCAGCGCCGCACGCCGGCGAGATTGCCGTTTTGTCCTTGAACAGGCCCAAGGCTCGCAATGCCATCAACACCCAACTCCTCGGCGAGCTGAACAGAGTGGTCGAACAGCTACACTCTGAGGGGTCCAAGAGCAGCACCCGCGCCTTGATCCTCGCCAGCGAGAGCGACGATGCCTTCTGCGCGGGGGCAGATCTCAAAGAACGTCTGACGTTCACAGAGGAAGAGTACATACCCACTACAACCTCACATACGCATTCATAGCTGAACACATCCCAAAAGCACGAAAGCCTTCCTCAAATCCCTCCGCCACACCTTCACCCGCCTCTCCACCCTCCCCATCCCCACCATCTCCGCCATCAGCAGCACAGCCTTCGGCGGCGGCCTCGAACTCGCCCTCTGCACCAACTTCCGCGTCATGGCCTCCACCGCCCAAGTCGCCCTCCCAGAAACCCGCCTCGCCATCATCCCCGGCGCTGGAGGAACCTATCGCCTCCCCGCCTTGATCGGCCAAGCACGTGCCCGCGACCTCATCCTCACGGGGCGACGCGTGAGCGGCGAAGAGGCGTATTTCATCGGCCTCACGGACCGCATCGTGCAGATCACAGAAGAGGAACAGTCAGGTGCTGGAGTCGCCAAAGGCAAAGTCCTCGAACAGGCGGTTGAAATGGCAACAGTGATTTGCGAGGGCGGACCCATTGCCATTCGGGCTGCTATGCAGGCAGTCAGTGGATGTTGGAAGGGTGAAGAGAGTGAGAATGCGGCTTATGATCTGGTGATTCCTACGCAAGATCGAATCGAGGCGCTGAGGGCTTTTGGGGAGAAGAAGAAGCCGGCTTTCAAGGGGAGGTAAGAGCATACTCTCGTGTGGGGAGGGGTATACATGATAGAATGTCGATATGATGTGTACATTCTTTGTGATGAATTGATGTGCTGTCATTGCTATCCAGTCTGGTCTGTGAACGTCTGAAAGTTGCCATGTTGTGAGATCCAGTGCGTTTCCGGCAGCTGTCGACGGAGTAGTTTGAGTCTCTCTGCCACGCTGAGCAGCGTTGCAGGTCGACATCAGGCCATGGAATATGATCAGTGATAAGTGATGGCCGAGCAGCCCTCTCTGTGAATTCATGGCGATGCATACGACGTATTCAGCAAATCTCAGGCTAGGGCAGTCGGATACGTATACTCGTGGGCGATCATGGAACATTTATTTCTTGTTCAATCCGACCATTCACGGCCTTGTATTCTTGATCATAGTCTACCAATCCGCGCCTCGCTTTGCACGCAGATACGAAAAGCCGAAGATAGTAGAGGAAACCCTTCCCATCCATGCTACCCGCAAAAGCTCCCAAAATCCAAGACCCCTTCATTCGTAACATGATGCATGCACAGCCGCTGTGATAAGCTCTGCTTCTATTAACGCATCCCATGATAAGACGATTCGATTCCTCCCATCGGCCAGCACGCCTAGTAGTATGTGTGTTTGTGTGTCATCCGTGCTGCCTGAAGCCATCATATTCAAGTGTCGTTCTTCTAGATCCCCTTGATGGCGACGGTGCGCTCGCTCTCGAGCTTCTCGCGGTTGCGCTCCTTCTCCTCTTGCTTGCAGTCCTCGAGACCGCTGCAGTTGTGCGACTCGAGCATGCGGTGCTTGCCGCAGAAGTGGCCGCTGCAGAAGCCGCAGTCGCCGACGATGCGCTGCGCTGCGTCCTTGCAGTCTTTGAAGTTGCAGCGGATCTTCTTCGGGGCGCCGCCACGGAGCGGAAGGGCGACGTGGAGAGTGCTTTCTCGCGTGATGTTGTAGGTGGCGAGAGGTTCTGAGGGTGCGAGATGCTTGCCGGCGTGGACGAGGCGGAGGTCGGACTCGGGCATGTTGGTTCGCAGGGCTACGAGCGAGCGGAGCGTGCCGACGGTGGTGGACTCGGGGATGGTGATGGGGAAGGCTGTGGAGTGTTAGACGGTGAAGTTGAGGGAGTGAGATAAGGAATACTGACTGTTCGATGAGGCGTCCTTCACGAAGATCTGCATCGTCGGCTCCGGCTCAGCAGATGAGGCACGCGAGGAGACGGAGGAGATGGACGAGATGCTGTTGGAACGCATGATTGCGGTGGTGGTGAAGACGGTGTCGGGGGAAGTGATCGTTTGCTTGACAGCGTCTGTGAGTCGGTCGTGAAGTGGGTGGTGGTGGCGGCTGATAAGGTGGATTGAGGTCGGCGGCTGGGTGGACGAAAGCAGAGGAGCAAGTGTGGAAGGCGAGAGAAGGTTGTGGCAGCGCTTTAAAGAGGATGCGGCGGGCTGAGTAATGGGCACGTCAAGTGAAGTGGTGAGGCTTCAGGTTAGTTAAGGGCAGCAGGGTCGGGCTAGGGTGTTGTCGTCGTGGTCCATCGTCCTGTGACTCGCCGCCGCCCAAGTCACTCGTCGGTAAGCCGGCGAAGTCGAGCCAGTCTGACGTCGCACAGCCGCCGAACACCCAACACCCCAATGCCGCAAAACGATCCCTGCGCTTGCCCTGCATCAATCCGCGCCGTACTTCAGCCACGGCTCGACGGGCAATGTCGTCAACATCTACGGCCGATTCTGCCATCATTGTTGACGAGCTGTTCTATCGCCGGTCATCACTATCGCCCGAGTCTCCAAAGACAGAGATCTGCACACGAGCATGCATGAATGCGCGCCAGCGGAACTCATGCGTACATCCGCTTCAGGCATCGGCGGACCCACGAACCGCTGGACACGTGGACACCTTTATCACCACCTTACGCCGCCCTTGCGCGGTGAATGTCGCTGTCGTGGACGAGTAACGCAGTGAATATGCGCGCGCCTAATGTATCATGCCTCTTTAGTGATTTGGAGCCCGATGCGACTCATGTACAAGCGTTGAGGAGCGATACAGCGCATAGGTCGCCAAGCATTCTTCACAGGCCTGGAACATGTGGCCCTTTGTAGAAGATGATCTAGCGAGTGCAAAGGCAAGACAGGTGCTGGCCAGGCCACTTACATTTATGCTATGTCTATTCCCGAGCTTCCTTGTGTACCATTCATTCGACACTGGCACTGGACATCCTGCTGGTTGCCTCGTTTGCAGAAGAAAAATGATTTCTTCTAATCTTTTCTCCATGACTGATTTAGTCCAGTAGTAAGTACCATCGCCGTGGCGAGTATTCGGAGTAGCCATGGACCACTGCTGTGGCGACTACTGGAGATGTAAGTTCATCAATCCGTGGTCAGCATCCAGGAACCAAAGTGTGGCGTTCGCTTAAAGTTCAATTTAACCTTTTTGCGTTTAGCCTATTACGCACCACCTCGACTTCGCATTGCGTATACTTTCCATATCCGTTTGGTAGTCTTACACTTCTTTACAATGCCTATGGAGTTCCTAACCTATTGTTGATTGGTATGAAGACCATTGCAGTGACATCGCTCCGATGGCGCTGCATTACGCCTTCCAGACATCCGTTACATGAGCTTATCGAAACGGCAGTCTATGTCCTCTGCCAACGCTACCGCCAGAATGATTAATCTCGTCTTGCTATTAGGCCTTCTGGCCAATGTATGCCATGCATCCACAGAGCAGGTCCCTCTCGGATCGGCAAAGAAGCAGCCGAACATGGTCTTCGTTCTGACGGATGATCAAGACCTTCACATGGACTCCTTGTCCTACATGCCGCTTTTGAAAAAACACATAGCAGACGAAGGCTTATCATTTACACGACACTACTGCACTGTCGCCCTCTGCTGCCCATCGAGAGTCTCGTTGTGGACGGGAAAAGCGGCACACAACACCAATGTGACAGATGTTAATCCGCCTTACGGAGGGTATCCTAAGTTCATCTCGCAAGGCTTGAACGATGCATACCTGCCGCTGTGGCTCCGAGACACAGGATACAACACATACTATGTTGGAAAGCTCTTCAATGCTCAGACCGTGGACAACTACAACAAACCAGCTGCGGCGGGATGGACCGGCAGTGAGTTCCTCTTGGACCCATATACCTACGAATACCTGAACGCCACCTTCACTCGCAATGGAGAAGCTCCGGTCTCGTATGAAGGTCAGTATAGTACCGATCTGGTAGCCGAGAAGTCTTTCGGTTTTCTGGACGATGCGCTGGCCGATCAAGACAAAAAGCCATTCTTCTTGACAATTGCCCCAACCGCACCGCACAGCAACGTACACATTGGCTCGAACCTCATCGACGGAAATTTCAGCGAGAACACAAATGTGCAAAGTCCACCTATCCCAGCTGAGCGACACAAGCATTTGTTCAAAGATGTCAAGGTGCCAAGGACTGAGCACTTCAACCCAGATGAACCGCATGGCGTCTCGTGGATCGGACGTCTGCCGAAGCAGAATAAAACCAATGTGAAGGACAATGACCACTTTTACCGCTCTCGACTACGGGCTCTGCAAGCTGTTGATGAGATCGTCGAGGAACTTGTAGATCGGCTGGACAAGGCTGGCGTACTGGAAGAAACCTACATCTTCTTCTCGACTGACAATGGATATCACATTGGCCAACACCGGCTGCAGCCTGGGAAGCAGTGCGCTTTTGAGGAGGACATCAACATCCCGCTCATGGTTCGGGGACCCGGTATTCCAAAGGGGCAGTTGACGGATGTTGTCAGCAGTCATACCGATTTGGCTCCCACATTCCTCAGACTCGCGGGAGGGGAGCTACGAGATGACTTTGATGGATCCGTTATTCCGTTGTCGGAAAATGAGCTGAACGGAGACGAAACCAAGAATGAACACGTGAACGTAGAGAGTTGGGGCATCATCATGAGCGAGGGCAAGCATGGTGCTGTACTATACCCGAACCATACCTACAAGGCGCTGCGAGTGATTGGCGACAGCTACAACTACCTGTACACGGTGTGGTGTACAGGTGAACATGAGCTCTACGACCTTTTGGTAAGCTTTGATGAGACTTCAAAGAACACCTCTTGCGACTAACAAGTCGAATAGACCGACCCATACGAAACAACCAACCTCCTACCACAAAACCACCCCTCCAGCAACACCGAAAGCCTCGACCACCCCACCTACCACAGCGACACCACGCCACCCGGCCTCACCATCCAAACACACCCCAACGACCCAGCCCACCCCTCCCCACCAATCCCCCGTCCCCTCAAATCCATCACCCACCGCCTCGATGCCCTCCTCATGGTCCTCAAAACCTGCAAAGCCTCCGCCTGCACGCATCCCTGGAATGTCCTGCACCCGAAAGGCGACGTGACGAATTTGAAGGGAGCTTTGGATCCGCGGTTTGATGAGTTCTATGAGCTGCAGCAGGAACGTGTGAGGTTTGAGAGGTGTGAGAAGGGGTATATTTTGGAGAGTGAGGGGCCTGTGGATGTGAGGCCGTATTTGGAGGGAATTGGTGGTTGAAAAAGGAAGGGGAGTAGTAGTACATGTAGCTTTATGATACGATGCTTCATCAAGCCCGTGAGCTGTGCATCTGATAGCTCCCGTGCGATCATGTGAATGATCCCCGTCTTCGGCCGCCACTTGCTGCAGCGCAGCCTCAAAAGTAGAAACATGTTGCGAGTGCTTGCTGGGAGTATCAGAACACACGGGACGTTTTGAAAGTTGATCGACCATGTACATCAACACTACTTCTCCGAGTCTCCATGCGAACTACCAGCCCTCTGCGACGTTGCTTTCGCCTCTACTACCAACGACGACATGTGTTGCTGTAGTGCAAGACGACTTGGATACGGTCATTATCATCTTTGGCATTCTCGCTACGCTGCTGGCGTTTTGGACTTTGGGCGTTGCTGTGGTTTCGATTTCCCAGAAGTATGGCCAACGAGGCCAAAAAGAACGCGACCCTTAAACCGCCATCGGCGTTCGCATCTCTGTCTTCGTATGGTTGGGCCGCTGCAGGATGTTGACGGTGTAGTAGCAATTCGGGGCGACCTGAAGGTCACACGAAGACCAAATGTTGGTTTTGGAAGTTCCAACGTGAGAGGTGTTGATCACGCATGTCAAAGCAGTCGCAAATGGGGTATAGAGCAATATCAATAGCATGATCGGGGATTTTTTCTTTCCACACATCAATCCACATACACCAACCATCCATATGCCTTGCCTGTCCACCTCCTCGCCAGTCGTGCTCCACTCTCCGTCGGCTGGCTGAAGGCAACATCACTCTCCTTGATCGCCATCCTCCGATCACAAAGTTGTTTGGCTGCGCTCGTTCGAGCCTCCTTTTGCGCGGGCGTACTCTTAGAGTTGTTCTGGATACACATAATACTGTTCGTCATCTCGAGGTGATGGCAAGATTTGGCGTGCGCTAGCGACTTGTCGAGTAGGCACTTTGCTATGCCTTGACCTCGATGCGTCGGGGAGGTCCAAATGCGCGATATGCCTAGCATGGCGGGCGATTTGGTGGTCGAGAGTACTATTGGGCGTTTGTCGGCTTCGAGTAGATTCTGCTTTTCGGCGTCCTTGCGGGCTTGGAGGGCTCCGAGAGCTGTTGTCTTTCCTGTTGTGGGTTGGGAGGGTTTTGGGGCCATATCCTCTGGTTGCAGGACTTCCAGTGCTTCTCTGATCACCTCTGTGAGCACGAACCCTATGCACTTGGTCCCTCGGATGTGTAGGTAGACCTTAAACTTCGGATTGTCGGGATCCTTCCCTTTCGCATCCCATATGTCCTTTTCAGGTATTTCCACAGCGCCCAGCTCCTTTTGCACGATCTCCAGTACGGCCTGTCCTTTCCTCTTCCTCTGCCACGGGTCTGTACAGTCCAATAATACAATCGCATCGTCATCTTTCACCCCGTCGAAACGTCTCGGCCGGCGATCAGAATGTTCCGTCTTGCTCATAAAGTCTTTGCCGACATCGTACCCTTGCACATTCTGCTTGTGAAATTTATCGTGCAGTTTGCGATCCTCAGCCGAAGACGCTGTATATTCCATTCCACACTGCGCGCACCGTTTCTGCACCTCCTGCCCCAAGCTCATCTGCATCTGCACCAGCTTCGACCCTCCATCTTTCGTCTTGACCGTCTTCGCCAGCTTCCTAGGCTGCGCATTACCGCTCACGTCCTCCAGCGGCTTTCGTTTCCCCAGCACTGAAAACGCATTCTTTCGTGGCGGTGAAGATTGCGTTATCGCATTCTCCGATGCAGCATCCTGTTTCTGCTGCACCCGCTCCCAAGGAAAACCTGGCGGGCTGGAAGGCGGAGTTGTTGGACGCGTCGCTTCGTCCGAGAAGAGGGCTTCTCCTCGTGAGGGTGTCGAAGAGGGCGCAGTAGTTTCAGAGTCTAGAGATGGCATTGCATTCGTGGTCATCGTCTCATCGTGGCGGTCGTTGTAAGAAGTACTGTTGTATTGTTTGTCTAGACCCAAGTTCCCTGACGCGTGACGGAAGCTTGACGCGAGCTCAATTCAAGGTTCGACAAGCCATGCCTGTCGGCTCCTTCCCGTTGATCCGACCGGCGCTATATTTAAGCGAACCCCACTCGCCCCGCCTTCACATGTGCTTGTCCAACCTCACCTTCTCTTTCACGATGCCCTTCAGCAAACGCTCCACCAACCCTTCCGGCCCTCGAAGTCCCAACAGCTGGTGGTCGCGCTTCAAGTCTCAGATCAAGAAACCCTTCGTCCCGAAATATCACAGCCAGTATGACTCTGAGCGGGGAACGAGCGCAGAGCTCTACCTCGAGCCGAATCATCCGCGTTTCAAGTTCTCTTAATCCGATTGATTTTGCGCCTTTTGGGGAGGTGGTTGAGAATCCGGAGACGCATGGAGGGAGAGGGAAGGTGCAGAAGGTCGAGGCTAATCAGGGTTCGGCGACGAAGTGGCTTGATGTCAGCCATTTGGAGAACTGGTACACTCTGGCGCCTTCGAGGAAGGCGGCGAAGTCGGTTATGAATATGTTTGTGTGCAAGCCGAGGAAGCTGGAGGTGAAAGATGGGAGAGAGGTGTTTCCTGTCAAGATCCTCGAGAGACACCCGTTCACGCCACAGACGTTCATTCCAATGGGAGTGAGTCCTGAAGACAAAGACGTGAGATACCTGGTCATCGTTGCACCGACGCTGAAGACAACGAAGAGAGATAGCGAAGATCTCAAAAAGCCATACCCAGCCGAGAAGCCAAAACCGAACCGAAAGTCGCTCAAGGAAAGACTACTTGGAGCGAGGCCAAACCCCTTTACGAACGACTTCGAGGCGACCACCACTCCTTCCATGTTGAGCCTAGGCCCAGGTAGACGACCAAGAGGACCAGGTGGACCGGACCTGGACAACATCCAGGCCTTCATTGCGAGAGGAGATCAAGCTGTGACTTATGGACCTGGAACATGGCACGCTCCGATGGTTGTGCTGGGCGATAAAGCGATTGCCTTTGTCGTTGTCCAGTACGCGAATGGTGTAGGGGTTGAGGACTGCCAGGAAGTGGACATCAGAGGAGACTTGAGCGTCGACATTGATGAGAGCGGGATCAAAGCCAGCGCACCTGGGATCATGCGAGCCAAACTTTAGCACCGGGCTAACGATTGTGATTTGGGTATTGCTACTGCTTCCGGAGAAGGTCTATAATACTTTTGCATCAAATCTGCACGATGACACCATAAAACATGATGGCCTCATCTGCCTTCTGTCTCAGCCGCGTTTCAGGGGTCTGGAACCGGCGCCATCTGTCGATTTGATGTGGGCGACGGGTTTGATGGAGTCGTCGATTATGGAGGAGTTGTCCTAATTGTCATCGACTCTGGAGGGTCCAGGAAAGGATTGCTTCTATTAACCGTCGGAAAACCTCAATTAAGACGACAATTCCCACGAACCGTTCTGCAGACACCTGCATCACTTGCGCATGCTCGACGTCGGCTCCTCGACCACGACGACGGCCACAACGACGATTGATTTTGATCGTTGCCATTGCCACAACAAGTGTGGCAGAAGTCAGGACCGTTGCGAGTATTCCGAAGATCATGCTCGATCTGTACGTCTTTTCATCAATCACGCTTGAAGCGTATGTCGGTGTGGCTAAGATTGATTGTGTAACAGCGGTTGACAAGTGCGTCGTCATGGACCCAAATGTGGCATGGGCGAGAGCCGATAAGGCTGTCAGATTGGTATCCATGTCATGGATTCTGAGCTTTGCTGGGGATGTTGTTCGAGACGGTCGTTGAGTGTGAAGCGGTCAGCTTGCAGGAAGAAAAAAAGGAAGAACAGGAGGAAAGGCTCGCCTTATATCTTCACTCGGGAGGCTTCGTCATTCTTCCAATGTATGAAGCTATTGGGCGGCAGCGACGTCAAATTGCTCAGCCTCCCAAAAGCTTTTCCAGAACAAGCAACTTGGTTTGAGAGTTGCGCGCCGTTCCGCTGTACTTGTATCACTCGTGCAGGACAGTGAGAACAATCGTTGGCTTGCGGTGTCAATTCCTGCAAAGAGGCGAACGAAGAGTGCAGCGAACGTCCATCGTGCCAGATGACAGACCTTGCCGAGCGGGACGTCGCGTGAACCTGTACGACAGCAGAACGTCGCCCCAAGATGCGATGGATAGATGGCACATGGGATGGTGTCCCACAGGTATGCCAAGACCATCTGCTGTGCATTGCGTACCGTCGTCACGACGCATCGAGCACACTCTGAAGACCAAGACGTGCCTCAATCAATAAGATGATTGAATTCGCCCGCGAGTCTAGGTGACATGCACTGAGTTGTTGCACCGGGGCAGAACTCTCTCTCGGAACCCATCCCACCGCCCATCGAATGCCAAGACATCGGGATGAGAGTCTACCTAGGAGCTTCCATTTTGTTTGCGCATTTGAGAAACGTCACAAGGTTCGTCGCACGCTGTTAGCGCGAGTCGTCGTGACTGGTAGCGCGATTCTGATCGTCGTTGGTGCGACCTGCACGAGCTCGCGATGTCTTTGGCAGCCTCCCTTCCAATGGTCAGCTCGATAGCCAGCCCCACCATCGAAGCTCAGGCAACGAGGAAGATTGTTGGTTGATTGTACTTATGGCGGTTCAGCGCCACATGGATGCTGCTATCCTCCAGAGACGTGAGATACATTGAGGCCGCTTCCATGAAATCGGTTGGATGAATTGGACTGGCGTGCTGGGAGTCCTTTACTGCTCGTTGCACTTCTCGATCGAGGAAGTGACCACAAGAGGGACTTGAACATAGACTTGACGGAGGGCAAAATCGACCCGAGTGGCCCGGCATCATGCGAGCAAGGCAGCGATGCATATATACGGAGTGTTGAACGGCCTCCTGATCATTTCTGTGGCAAAGATGAGAAGGTCTTTCCAACCCCTACCGAGGTACAGTCGCCGTCCCCTGGCGTGACATGATTTTTTGGGTCCTTGTGCTTCCCATGTGGCACGTCACAGCTTCGGGACACCTGCGAGAATTTCTGTTTGAGGACGCAGGTTTGAAGAGCAACGAAGCAATACTGGAACTATGCCATTTTGGCGATGCAGGTCTTGTCATCATCTGATTGCAGGATCGTCCGCTGGAGCTTGGGACCTGATCGAATCATATGTATCCCGCGAAAGCATCAGACAACGGCTGCCTGCGTGTAACGACAATCGCTGCTTTACTCTCAACTTACAAGTGTACAGTGGCGGCGATGTTCGTTGAATCTACATGAAGACCAGCACGGTTCGCGATTACACTCCCCCAACAAAAGCCTGCCCACGCCTCCTGACCCTCACCATGATCGGCGTTTCCAGAAAGTCCCCGCCATGGTTCGCAGTCACCATGTGCTCATCCGCGTTCACGAAGCCAAACTCGTAAGCTCGGAGCAAAGTGGTCACCATCTTCAGAACGTTCATATGGGCGAAGTCTTCGCCCACGCAAGACCTTTTGCCAATCGAGAATGGAGCGACGATCGACCGTAAAGATTGACTGCGGTGCTCGTGCCAGCGGTCGGGATTGAAGTCGTTTACGTCGCTGCCCCAGATTCCTGGGTTGCGGCCTAGTGAATAGAGGTTTGCAGAGACGATCGTCTGGTGAGTGACAAGTCAGCATGAGCAACGGGCATAGTTGAGGAATACCGAGCACTTACGCCTCCAGGGATGTAATTTCCATCTATCTCTACACTGCCCTCGGGGACGATTCGCGGCATGTCGAACTTCGCACCAGGATCTTTGCGGTAGCTCTCGAGAATCGCCATATTAACGAAGTCGAGCCTCGCTTCCACATCCTTTTGCTGGAAAGCTGCTTCATCAGGACCCAGCATTGGAAGCTTTGCATCGATTTCTTCAATGGCTCTTCTCAAGAAAGTCGGGTTCCGTGAAAGATTGGCCATCAATGTCGACACTGCATTCGCCGTGCTATCCCCTCCGCCGATGATCAGCTCGACAGCAAGATTCAACACCACATTGTCGTCTTGTGCCTCACCAGCGCCCTTTGGGCGCTCAAGATCTTTCCGAGCATATCAATTCGCCCATCCGTTCTGGCAGTCCGTGCAGCGATCGCCTCGACAGCTTCGTGCTGGATTTTGGACAGCGAGTTTAGAAGCTTCGTGATATACTCGCTCGGAAACCACTGAATCAAGCCCAGCAGCCAAGGCACCGGCCACGACCCCTTTACACCGCCCATATAAAGAAACTCCTGCACCGGCGGAAGCTTGCCGATATCTTCAGCCTCTTGCGCTCCCCAAACTTTGCCAAAGGCCAACTCGCCAAGAGCATCCGACAAGCAGAAGGAGATGTAATTTTTCAAATCGAAGACCTCGCCGCTCTCCGCCAACCGATCCAACTGCTTTCTCAGAATGCCATATCGCACATCCATACTCCCTTCCATTTCCCGAAGGCTCCGCATCGAGAAAGCCGGCATGAACATCTTGCGCTTGACGCCATGCGCCGCCTCGTCCGTCTCGTTGAAGAGACCTCTTGGACCTGGCGCTCCGAACCCATCGTAGAATGACGACTTGCTCCAGCCGGAGTTGTAGATTTTGATGAACGCCTCGGCGGAGTTGAAGTGCAGACTGTTCGGACCTATACGGATCACGGAGGAGTTGTAGTCGGCGTGGGAGGTGTGTAAAGACCGTGGGAGGTGGTCTTTCCAGGTTGCGGTGAACTTCCAGAGGTTGGTGAGGGCGGCGATGGGAGGGCCTGGGAAGCGGGCGAGGGGCTGGAGAGTGAGGTAGTAGGTGGTGTAGGTGATAGTAAGAAGGATCAGAAAGGAGAGAGAAAAGAACAGGGGGTCAAGCGAGGCCATAACGGTTGTTAGACCTAACATCCCGTTGACAAACAATATATGTATAGCTTTGTCGATACTGTCATTACGAAAAATGATGCCACATTTACTGCTGCTATGCACACATATATAGCTATCGATGCTGTCGTTCACAAAAAGATGAGGTCACATTCGCTCTTTGGTGTCTAGGCTAAGCGCCGAGCCGGCAAATCCCCAACTTCCCTTTTGGGACATTGTTCACAAATTCATTCCCGTTCGGTCACGTACAGAATTCCAGTAGAGAATAATACCAGTCAATTGATCAAAATGCGTACATAGATAAGAATCACATTCCTACGCACCTATTACTCGGAATGGTAGCCTCGTCAGGCTCGGCTCCTTATCCATGCTCATTATTAGTCTTAGGCAAAATAGCAACTTCGCCATCGGAATCAATGTAGAAACGCCATCCGGTCCTTCAAAGGCCCTTCGGCAGGGGGCTTGCGCTTAAGTATAACGAATGAATTTTAGATGTTGGCCACCACGAACGACATATTAAAGAGCCTCACCCTCCGTCGCTACTGACTCTCTGCAAATCAATCACTCAATTACGATGCCGACCTCAACCTACACCATCGCCATCGTCGGAGCCAGCGGCAAGCTAGGCCGCCTGATCACAGAGCACCTCATCACACAACACCCCGAAATCCAGATCCACGCCATCGCCCGCTCAAAAGACAAATACTCCCCTGTCGTCCAAACCGCCCCCCAAGTCAAGCTCTTCCAAGCATCATCATCCGACAAAGTCGCCCTCCGAACCGCCCTCTCCGGAACCGACATCTGCGTCTGCACATACTTCGGCACCCCAGACCTGATGCTCCACGGCCAGAAACTCCTCATCGACATCTGCATCGAGGAATCCATCCCGCGCTTCATGGGCTCCGAGTTCACGTTCAACTACCTCGCCATGCGACCCGGGCAGCATCCCGCCGAAGATTGGATTCTGGAGTATAGCTCGTACCTTGCGATGAGAGAGGAGGGGTCCGGTGGTAAGCTGCGCAGTGTTCGGGTTCTCAATGGGGCGTTTATGGAGGCTGTGTTTGCGCCGTTCATGCAGTGGGTCGATCCGGACTTGAATACGTTCAAACATTATGGGAGTGGGGAGGAGGTGATTGAGATGACGGCGATTGCGGATGTTGGGGCTTTCGCGGCGGAGGTTGCTGCAGATGAGCACGCCGTGGGATGTTTTAACGGTACGCTCGATTGACCTTTGCGTGGCTGGAGTTTGTAGAGAGTTGACGATATTCGCAGTCCTCGGTGATCGCAAGACTATCCCGGACATAGCACGGATATGGGGTGATGTATTTGGCGTCGAGACGAAGGTAGAGTGTCGAGGTTCGCTGGGAGGGCTCGACGCGCAGATGTGGGCTGCATATCATCGAGAGCCGAACAATCCAGAAGCGTGGACGGGTCTTTTCTATAACCATGCTATGGCGGATGGAGCTATATACCTGGGCGGATTGGATAACGGCCGAATCCCGAATGTCAAGGCGGTGGATTTGCGGGAGTTCTTGCAGCAGGGAATGCCCGCCCAGCTGTGGTAGAGTGCTTGAAGGTACTGTGTATTAGCGTTTTTCGATTGGATGACTAGGAGGAGCTGCTTCTGATCGCAAGCATAAAGACATGATACTCATCTGCTGTTACGGTCATTCTCTCATCGCAACGTCGTATGACAGATGCACATGCCTCTTCAGCTTCAATTCTGAGATGGAGAACATTTCAAAGATGAATGACTGTCCACGAGCTGTCTGAGTAGTCATATCAATGGTATTCTCTGCACTTTTGATCTAACCTACGTTAAGGCACACCCAGTCCATTTATCTCACCCTGTTCATTCTGCGCCGCGCCTCCAACAGAGTAGCTCGCGCGCCATCGCATCTTGACGCTGGTGCCCTTGCCCCTATCAACGCCCTGTAGTCGTATTGTTTGAATGATGCCATTCTGCTGGTGGGGTGTGAGACTGCGCCCTGATTGAGGCTCGAGTTTGAGAGTGTATCCCTATGAGGTCGTCAGTAACGCGCATTGAAAATTTCTGTCAGAATAATCGTACCTTCGTGACAGCAAGCTGGAAAGTAAGATTATCGACCGCCTGGGCCGTAGCGTTCGATATCCGACTCTGCAGCACAATCTCCGTATCACTGGATCGAGACACACCAAAGACCGTCTTGATGGAGCTACTAGTGACCGTGATTTCTGATGGTTGGTCGGGCAGAGCAGAGCTGAACTCCCATTCATCTTCGTGAGATGCGGCGGGGGCCGGTGCGGGTGCCGGTGCGGGTGCGCTGGTGTCCATGCCTAGCAGGTCAATTGGTTGCGAGCTAGGCGGCGCGGGAGATCGAGATTGCAAATTTTGGAAGGGCGATGCCGTCCGTGAAGGTGTGTTGAGCGCAGCAAAAGGGTCTGACTTCTTTGCTTGGTGCTGTGGTGCTTGAGCTTGAGACGGAATGGGCGTTGCCGGTTTCGAGGGCGGCTGTGAACTGGACGTTTGAAACGATCCGAGAAGATTCGGGCTCTGCTGCGACAGTGAAGGAGATGCCTTGTGTTGCGTGTTGAAGATCGAGTTCGAAGTCGTTTGAGGTTGCTGAAACTGTGCCATGATGTCCGCTGTGCCGTTCGAAGGACCAAGTGAGATGCCACCGCCTTGGCCGTAATTGCCGTCTCCCATGTTAAGACCGAGCAGGTCGTCTTCCAGGGCGTTGCCCTTCGCTTTCGGTTCGCTAGGTTGAGTTGCTGCCGCTGCAGACGTACCAGCTTGATCGGCAGACGCTGGTTCATCTGCTCCACCGAAATCGATCAAAGACAGCTCGTTGTCTGGTCCCTTCTTGACGCCCGCCCCACTAACGCCTAGCGTGCCCTTTGGAATAGCATTGGCAGCCTCGATGTCTCCCTTCTTCATCAGCTTGTACCGCTCAAGTGTCCGATGGATCGAGTCGTTAATCTCGAAAAGCTTCGCGACAGCCTCGGTGTCTTCACTCTCCTCTTCACACATCTTCTGGATCTTCGGGTGTGCACTTGCTAGCGCATTGGCCAATTCTTCAAACACATCTCCGTCCTTGATTTTGTCGCCTGGCTTGTACTCGGACATCATCTCCTCGAGAAGCTTCGCCTTTTGCTGGATTTTGCCAACTTCTTCAGCCGCTTTCGCACGGTAGTCAGTCTTAGATCGAGTGTCGTATCCAGCCATGACCTTCATCAGCTTGTTTGCTTCCTGCAAATCATGCGGAGTACCCCTTCGAATCAACTCTTGCAGTTTGGCACTCTGCGCCGACCTCTCCTCCTGCTCCATCTCCTCAGCGCTCTTGAGATTATCACTAGGATTGAGCACTGCCGCATCTTCTCTGCTGACCTGCGGGAACTGATACCCTTTATAATGCAGCAGCCTATGCATATCCCGAATGAAGCCCAGATCATCCTTGTACTTGCTGGTCTCGCATATTGTGCTCCTCCATTCCTGAATCAGCTCCAGTATCCGGTTCTGCACTCTAGTCGTTCGAATCGGCGGCCGTTCGGGGAAGCGTCGTACAAGCTCGTTGAGGAACTCCTTGGTCGATATTTGCAGGTGGAAAGGATAGCCGCAGTTCTTGACGCATATGTCAAGCAAGCTGAGTGCGAGTAGGCTGACATTGGGGTTGCGGTGGTTGATATAGCCCACGATTGCAACTGCTGCCTCGCGCGGCGCCCCGGCTTGTTTGGCATTGATCAGGTCGGCAATCTCGAGACACAGCGCTAGATTGGGCTCAAAGTTCTCGGGCGAACAGGCATTTTGAATATAGCGCTGTAGAGGGGTCGAGGCGGGTTCGGTGGGATATGCGAAACGGTCGCGGGTAGCATAACGAGCTGAGGCGGCTTCCATGGTCGGCGATGGAGCGTCTATGGGTCTTCCTGCCCCAAGGATGAACTGCTGGGGAGCGAGTGGTAGGAGAGAAGAGTTGAGATGTTGGTTGTCTGGTTCACGGGATCAATGGGCGCATCGGAAAGAGGAAAGCTGGTAGTGGGTGGCCTGCCACGTTGAAGACGACGTTGCTCAAGCTCCACCGTAAGTGGGCTGTGTGCAAAGCCGACTTCCAGGCCACCGTATTTCATGACGTCGCTATTCAATTTTAACCACAACTTCGATTAAGCCGCAACCACCGAATCACTCTCTCACAACAACACATAAACATGGTCCGTCACAAGAAAGACTTCTCCTCCAAAGGAAAGAAAGGGGCCAACGGACCTCGAACCTACGCACAACACACATACCCTGACCGCGAAAATAGCCTGGGCGGCAACAAACGTCCACCTTTCAAAGCGGCGGCATGGGATCTGAATCACTGCGATGCGAAGAGATGCTCGGGGAAGAGACTGATGAGGCTAGGCCTGATGCGCGAGCTACACGTCGGACAGAAACATCAGGGAGTTGTTGTCAGTCCGAAGGCTAAGACCATTCTAAGTCCGGCGGATAAAGACATCATGGAGCAGTACGGCGCAGCAGTTGTAGAGGCGAGCTGGAACAGGATAGATGAGGTACCCTTCAATCGCATCGGAGGACCGAATCCCAGACTTCTACCATACCTAATCGCTGCGAACCCTACAAATTATGGCAAACCCTGGCGGTTGAACTGCGTGGAGGCGCTGGCTGCTTGTTTCTACATCTGTGGACGACCTGAGTGGGCGGAGGAGATTCTGAGTACTTTCTCGTATGGCGAGAGCTTTATTGAGATTAACAAGGAAGTGCTGGATCGATACGCGAATTGCAAGGATGAAGAGGAGATCAAGAAGGCGGAGGAGGAGTGGTTGGCGAAGATCGAGAATGAGTGGAAAGAGGATCGAGAAGCAAGAGAGGAGAATCGAGATGATGCGTGGAGGGGTGGGAACATGAATCGGAGGACACGTATTACTGGGAAGGATTCAGACGATGAGGATGGCAGTGGCGACGAGGATGAGGAGGATGATAGCGATGCGAGCAGTATGGGTGGCATCGATCTTGGAGGTCCAAAGCCGGGCGAGCAGCCGAATGTACACGGGAATACTTCAGATGGCGAGGACGAAGACGAAGACCGTGACCCTTTCGATCTACTACCAGACGACGATGACGAGGAAGAAATGGCAGAGCTCCGGCGAAGAGTCCTCGCGTCAAAACCTTTCTCCAATCCCTCGAAACCTTCCACAATCGACGAAGAAAGAAAGCAACCCGAACGCGTTCAGCGACCATCAGAATCAGGCAACCCACAACTACCCGAAGACTCCGACGCAGCATCAGGATCCGACATTGGTGACGAAGACGATGAGTTCGACAACATCATGAACGCAGCACCCATCACAGATCGAGCAGGAATCTCTGCCGCTCAAAGAAAGCGAGCAATCGAAAAGGAAGGCAAGCTGAGCGCAACATTCTCAAGAGCGGTCGTAAAGGCGCCGGGTAAATGGCCGCCGTAGTAGTGTCGTGATTATAAGAATAGAAGAGCTGTACAACATGTCCTCTGCCTGCAGAGTGCTGTGCCTTTCTCATAGAGGCTTTTCTGCCGTCAAGAATGAACTTTGAGTACTTCGTCAGTATAGCCGAGATTCAGGAGATATTTTTGACTCACCAAAAGGTATATAAATGCATCTTCCCCGAATTCATCTCCTGCCTGACCCTCGCCAACAGTGCTTTAATCTCCAGTTCCTGCCACTGCCCTACCCTCGTGAAAAGCGCCAGCGTATACGCATCCAGTCCACTCTCCAGAAACTGAAAACGAAAGTATTTCCCAATCTCCTTCAACTTCCGGTCCTTCGGCCAACTTCCAAAAGGCACTAACTTCTCCACCGTCCGCACATTCTCAAACCGTTTCGAACCCTCCATATTCTCGACAAGCGAGGGCAGACTCGGGAAGACGTCGAAATTCATCTTTGAGGACAACCGCCGCCACTCCATCAACCACTGAAATGTAAAAGAATCCAACAGGACGGAATCATGGGCGTACCAGAAATTCGCGCGGCCTTCGGAGATTTCGAGTTTGCCACCGGGGCGGAGATGGTGGTAAGATTGGGATATTAGATCGTTCCAGTCGAGCATGCTCCCGGCTAATTGTCGAATGTGGATGAAATCGAAATAGTCTGGGGGATACGTCCACTGGTCCCTCGCGTCGTCGATTTCGAACCGCACGTTCGGAGGGACCCATGAAGGCTGCACGGGGGAGAGATCTGTTCCGTGGATTTCGGCGTAGGGGAAGACGTCGCCCATCTCCATCGCCCAGATTCCGGTTCCTGTGCCGACATCGAGAATTCGTTTGGGGTCGTCGAGGGACGGTTGGCTTAAGCAGAGGTCGCCTTGGAGACATAAGCGGAAGATGTGGTGGGTGATGTCGAGACGGTCCTGTTCCGCTTCGTCGTTGGGGAGGAGGTATTGGCCTGCGCGGAAGGCGTGGTAGCGTCGGCCGTTTTCGTATTGGTAGTCGAAGATGGAGGAGCTCACGCTGGCGGTTGATGAAGCTGTGGATTCGTAGTCGGAGGTTTCGCTTGCGGTCTGGAGCAAGGATTAGCCGCTTGAATACATGCGATATGGTTGTGTTCTACCTCGGCTTCGACATCTTCTACGTCGACGACGGGATGGGCGGGAGGCTGTATATTCGCATCTACCGCTGCGTCTGTTCTTTGAGGCGGTGATGGAGTTGGCATTTTCGTTTCTTTTGTCGGATGAGGGTCTCGTAAGCGCAAATTCCCTTCGAGGAACTATGGAAATAAAAGACAATCCCCTGTATAACGATATTATCCAGGGTCTTGTGCGACTGCCGGAGTCTGTATTCCTTCACGCAGATACCGGAAGAGCAATCCAGGCCCCTGCAAGATGTCGTGTACTGAGGTCCAGATTTGTTCCATGTTCCCGGCGAGCCGCGGGCCGTCCCTAGCGCAACGTTGTAGCGCGAACACGTTGCTCGGCACGTGTTCGGTACCGCAGTGGCAAGTGAACTTCTTCTTGAACGTCGCCCAGCTCCACATTGTCGTTCCTAGTGGATGTTGCAGGTTACGAACATCGACTTGACCGCCGCCTTGCGGTGACAACCCTCACCATGGCGGTCCTGGACTACCAGATCCTCGCCCTCTTGGCATTCACCGCTTATCTGGCCTACTGTTTCGCCCTCGTGGTCTATCGAGTCTGGTTCCATCCACTGGCAAAGTTTCCCGGACCCAAACTCGCATCGTGCTCCCTCTGGTACGAGTTCTACTACGATGTCGTCTTGGAAGGAAAGTGGGCCTTCAAGATCCGGGATATGCACAAGCGGTACGGGCCAATCGTTCGCATCAACCCACATGAACTCCACATCAAGGATCCGGACTTTTACAACGACATACATGCCACTGGGCGCCGGAATAAGTACCAATGGTTTGTGAACATGGCGGGTGCTCCTGGATCTATCTTTGCGACGGCCGATGAGGGACTCCATCGGATGAGACGAAAGCCGTTGGACAACTTCTTTTCGAAGAAAGCCGTTACTGATCTGGAGCCATTGATTGAGGAGAAGGTCCATAAACTGAGCGATCGTTTTGCCCAGGCTGCCGATAGCAGGGACATCGTTCGTGCCGATTGTGCTTTCATGGCCTTGACCATGGATGTGATTTGTTCGTACTGCTTTGCCGCGGATCGCATGTACTTGGACAATCCAGACTTTGGCCTCGAGTGGAAAGAAACCATCAATGGTGCCTGGCAGAAAGGAGGGATGATCCGAGCTTTCCCATCCATGCCGTTCTTTATGCGAAGATTCCCGCGCTGGCTCGCGAAGAAATTAGACCCCGATATGAGTCTGTTCCTGGCATGGCAGGACAGTGTTGAGGCTACCGTAAAGCCTATCCTGAACGGGGAAAGCGAGAAGAACCAGCATAGCATCTTCCACACTCTTCGAGACAGCGATCTTCCGGCACAGGAGAAGACCTTACGGAGGCTCAGTGATGAAGGTGAAATCTTCACTGGAGCTGGCAGCGAGACGACCGCCAAAGCTCTAGCGACCATCCTATACTATCTAACTACATATCCAGCATGTATGGCTAAGCTCAAGGAAGAACTCAGAAGTGCGATGCCAGATCCTTCGAAACTTGTCAGTTGGACCCAACTTGAGCAACTACCGTACCTATCGGCTGTCATTCAAGAGGGGATCCGTCTTGCGGGAGGGATAACGACTCGACTTCCGCGCGTGGCGAATGAGCCATTACAATACCAGGACTGGATAATACCGGCCGGCACACCGATATCAGAGACCATCAATTTCATCCTCATGGACCCTGTCATTTTCCACGAGCCATACACCTTCAGACCTGAGAGATGGATTGAAGGTGGACAAAGATTGAGCAAATACCAAGTCAGCTTCGGCAAAGGGAGCAGGCAGTGTATTGGGATGAAGTAAGATTGAAACGTTCTCCTTGCATTCAGATCACGCTAACGTTATTTTCTAGTCTCGCCTACGCTGAAATGTACCTGGCCTGCGCGGCCCTCTTCCGACGCTTCAACTTCGACCTTTACAAGACGGATTCACGAAACATGGAGTTTGTCCACGATTTCTTCGTCGCTGCCCCGGCGAAAGAATTCAGAAGCGTCAGAGTTCGAATAGCCAAGGACGAGTAGTAACGACTTAACGATTTCGATTCACGACCAACCTCTCTTCTTTCCCATCTCACCTCACTCAAACAACATATCCCTCCGTAACCTCCATCTCCACCCCTTCAAACTTCCACTCATAATCCATCCGCCCCGCAATCGTCGTCGCCACCTCCACCCCCATCCTCTCCTTCACAATCCAAAGCGCCGCATCAATCCCACAACTAACCCCACCGGCATTCACAACCCTCACACCCCCCTCCATCCTCCCGCCATCCACAAACCTCTTCCTCACAACCTCCGTCCCTCCCGCCTTCTCACAAATCCCCTTCAACATATCCAGCGACGCCCAATGCGTCGTCGCCGTCCGTCCCGCTAGCAACCCCGCCGCGCCGAGGAACAACGCCCCCGTGCACACGGAGAATAACCACTTCCCCTCACCCTCCAAAACCGCAAACCCCCTCACCACATCCATCAGCCCTGTATCCTTCTCGATCGCCTCGAGCACGAACTGCGGCGCCGCGCCCGGGACTAGGAGCATATCATTTCCTTCCAACCCCGTCTTCTCCAGTTCTTCGTAGGTGATGTCTCGATTCACGGTGATCCCCTCGTGGGAAGTTGTCGTTGGTGTGGAGGAGGCGATTTGAATCGAACGTGTGGAGGGGTCGAGACGTGAGTTTCCGAAGACTTCGGCTGGGCCTGTCAGGTCGAGGATGTTGAAGCCTGGGAAGACGGGGGCGAGGATGCGGAAGGGTTTCTTTTCTTCTTGGGGGGACATTGTTGTTGTTGATAGTTATGGAGTCGAGCTGGAGAGGGTTTGTTGGTCGAGTTCTCGCCTTCTTCTTCAAGATTTGAAGATCTTGGATTTTGGGGAGATGCAGTGTCTATTTCAATCCCGTCTTTGCGCTCACAACTCCAGCTCTTTGATAAACTTCGCCGGATACGATGCGTAAAGTGCGAGCATCCGCATGTGAATCATGCCCAGAAGCCAGGGCTATGGACAGGGGCCAGTCGCTAGCCCTAGCTTTACTGCTCCTCCTCTTCACGACCACCTACCTTCTGCGAACCAAATCTAACAAAGACTGCGCCGCGAGAAGCAAGAAGATTATGGAAGCGCGGAAAGATGCTTCAGCTGGAATCAGTTCCGTTGGCGGAAAAGTATCTCGCAAGAATCCTCCGAGCGTGCTGTGCAGTGGAACAGTTCCCACGACGCGAGGTAGCAGCAATACGATACGTAGAGCCCTAAACGTTGGTTTCGACACTACAACCGCCCATTCCCCCCAGGAAGCCTCACGCTCCCCCTGGTCTGTCTCGCCCACACATTCTCCTCATCCTCCTCCTCTTCCCCACCTACCAACCCCTCCCCCTCCCCCTCAGCCCTCCCGGGCCCATCCAAAGAACTATATCTCCCCTCTCTCGCCCTCCCCGAAGCCCATCTGGGCCACACAGCCACTCGTCTTCGATTCCAGAGAACGTACCCCACCCCACCCATGACCGCCAGCGCGATGAGGATGAAGAAGGCGATGACCCATCCGTTACCTCTGCCTTTCCTCTTATGTGGTGCGGAGACGTCGTCGTCGTCGGATTTGAGCACGTACGCCAACGCAATCCCCATAACCGGCTCCAAGCTCCCGTCCTCGTTGACCATAGGCGCATAGCTGTACGTATCGTAATCCGCTTTCACGCGCCACTCGTCGCCCTTCCGCACATCGCCGGCGTCGACGCAGAACGGCATGGAGCTGATGTGCTCGGATGTATACTCCGGCACGGAAGAACACACCGCCTGCCCATTCCTCAAAACCTCCAACTTCTCCCCTCCGTCGTGCAGATGCGTGCCAATGAAGACGATTTTACCCGCAAAGTCAGATGTCATCGTCGGCGAAGCGTACGAGAAATACGACTCGTTCGCTGCGGGTTTCTCGCTCGATCCGCAGCCGCCGATGTCGAGCCAGTAAGGCGTGACACGCCTCATCCCTTCCTCCTCAGGTTCCTGGACAAACCCCCAAGTCACACTAACCTCCACCTCGACCTCCTCCTCACCCATATTCATCAGCTCCCCTCCAAACATAACCTCATCGCCGTCCTCAAAAAAATACCCCGCCCCACCCACCTCACTCTCCCCAAAATCAATCGCCCCCCGCTCATTCCCGCTCGCGAAGAACCTCTCCTTCTCCTCCCCGCCACACACGCTGTCCTCCCGCGCCGTGTTCACAAACACCACATGATGCATCCACATCCCCGTCGCCGCGTCCGCCGTGCGCCCATCGCCCGTGTACGCCAGCGCCGCTTGCATGAACGTCACGGCGCAGTTGGTGCAGGGCGGGGCGAGGGGTGCTTCGGAGCGGAAGTGCAGCATGCCATTGTGGTGGGAGCGCGAGGGGACGGTGTAATTCCCGTAAGAGATTTTCGTTCGTGACGAGGAGTCGTGTCTGGGCGTGAGGGTAGCAGCAGAGGCGGTGGCCAAGAAAGTTACAAGCAGGAGTAGCGGAGGCGTGAACAACAACATTATCCTTTTCTCAGTCCGCAGGCATGTGGTCTATTTTCTGTTTCCAAAGTCTTCCGATGCCAATGCATGCAATGCATGGACTGAGAACGCGGGCGAAGATGAAGTCCGCAGTTGCCTGGGCATTGCATGGCCGTAAGCTTCTTTCGACAAGGTGAGATGAGGTGAGGTGACGCGGCCCAGGACAAGCGCGGTGTTCCGTGTAACGAGGGCGAGGAGGGCGCAGTTTTGAGGGGTTGGCCAATCGATGGGGGTTGTTTGTTGTTGTTCCTGCAGCGCAGTCAGCGGGAAGGATTTGCTTTCTGGTGTGTTGTGGCCTGTCGCATTCGGTATTCATGCGTGAGGCAGCAGCTTTTGATCGATGAATGCTCCGAAAAGCTATGCCTGGACGCTGGATATGTAAATGTGAGTGCCAGAAGACGGCTACGATGATATACTGTTCTTTTTCCAATTTTCACTGCCTACATCTAGCAGGCGTGGTGATATGTGTTAATAAAACAAATTTCCCTTGTACCAGCCTTTCGCGGCTTTCCGTTCCACCAGCGCCATCGCTCATGCTAAACAGCAATCAAATCACTCATAGATCATCCAAAAAAATCATCTATCCAGATCCCCAAACGCCCTTCCTTTTTCATGAGGTGTTGACCTCTTGTGTTGTGCTGTCTGCCGTCTTTTGCACATCTCCAGCCGTTGCGTGTGCGGTCGGCTGTGGTGCTCCATCCTTCACTGCTTCGGTCGTTGAGATACCATTTGGAGCCCCGGTCGTAGTATCAGGCAACGGTGTGGGCGAGCAGTAGTCGGTTAAAACTTTCTTCAACTGCGGTCGCTTGATCGGCTTCGCCAAAAAGTAGTCCATGCCACTGCCATAACACTCCTCGATATTGCTCTGCTCGGCAAAAGCAGTCAGAGCGACAATGGGTCTCTTGAACCCCGATTGCCTGATCAGCCTCGTACTAGTCAGCCCATCCATGTTCGGCATTTGGACGTCCATAAAGATGAGGTCGAAAGGCTGTGCGGAAGGTCGAACATTCTCCAGATCTGCTGGTGCAGATTCCGACTTGACGAGATCCAATGCCTTCTGGCCGTCCTCGGCAATCGTCACGTCGCTGATCTTCTCGAGCTTCAACATGCGAAGAATTACCTCTTGGTTGACTTTGTTGTCTTCGGCAACGAGGACTCGCACGTTACTGAAGTCTTGGCCTGTCTGCTTCTTGCCTTCCCTGGCTTCTTTGGTGGCTTGCTTCACGGCTTGCTTCAGGGGCGTGTCAGGCGATTTCGCCGCAGTTGGACTTGGTGCGACATCGTGATTTTTCCTCTCTGCCTTGGGCTTCGCAGAAGTGTCGACCAGGATCGTACCTGGTGCAACAATCCCACCATTGCTACTGCGACCCGTAGACTGCCTGCTCAGGGATGATGTTTCGGGCTTCTCTCCCATGGCCAGCGACTGTCTGCGCGACGCAGTAGAAGAAGCGTTCGTGATGGCGTCTTGTGAGGATTTCGGCGTGTCGGTGCGCATCAGGACATGCCTGAGCGGGACCTTCATCGTGAAGCTACTGCCTTCTCCCAGCTTGCTCTTGACGGCAATACTGCCTCGCATGAGGGAAGCCAGCTGACTGCAGATGCTCAATCCTAATCCAGTCCCAGAATGCTTCCTGCTCAAGCCCACGTCACCCTGGACGAATGGCTCAAAGATGCGATGCTGGTCCTCTGGCGCTATCCCAGGTCCTGTGTCTTTCACTTCGAATTCGATGAACAAGTCTTTACCAGGCGGTGCAACCGTCTTCTCCTGAGCCTGTGAAGCCTCACGTGGATTGATGAAGTTCGCGGTTCCGCTGCTAACAGATCCAAGCATGGTGGAATCGCGTTTACGTTGCTGTTGGGAACCGTGATCCTGTACAGATTGGCGTCTTGCTGGTCTTTCCGTCAAGCATCGAATAGTAACCGTTACTGATCCGTTCTCCGGTGTGAACTTGAGGCTGTTGGAGACAAGGTTGATGATGACCTGCAATAAACGGTGAATGTCGCCCCAGAGAGTGACGTCCCTCAACTTTCCGGATACGCCGAAAACATCGCCGTGCGTTTCGTCAAAGGCCACGCAGAGATGGATCCTCCTGTCCTTGGCTTGCTCTCCGAAGATGGAGATGACCTGCGTTTCGAGGTCGCGAAGAATGAACTCTTTCTCCTCCAGCATCAGCACTTGATGGCCGACTTGATTCGTGCTGAACGTGAGGAGATCGTTAAGTGTCCGGAGCAAGAGATCGCCACTCTTGTATATGATGCCGAGTGACCTTCGAAGCTTGTGTGGGTCATCCTCTTCCATGCACACCGCACACATGCCCAGAATTCCGTTCAACGGTGTCTTGAGTTCGTGGCTGACATTAGCCACGAAAAGTGTCTTGCTCTCGTTAGCCGCCTCTGCCGCCTTCTTGCTTTGCTCCAACTCAATCGTCCGTTGCCGCACACGATCCTCGAGCTTCGTGTACTGCATAAACAGCTCATCAGACATCTCGTTAAAAGTCTTGATCAGATCCGACATCTCATCTTTGATCCAAGACTTGCGCGTCTTTACTTTTCCAGGTATGCGAAACTTCTTCTCATCTCCTTCACGGCTTTCGACATGCGAAGCGGCTCTTCGGGTCCTCCATCTAGTGACCGCCGTGAAGATGGTGTCCTTTCGAGAGGGGCAGTGTTCTTTGAAAGCGCCAGATGAGTCATTGCTGAGTGCTTGACTACTTCCGTGGCTACTGCCACTTCGGTGAGGCGGATCAATCGTCTCCTCGGTTGCGGCACGGAGCCAGATGATGGGTCGAATGAACCAATGAGCCAAGGGAAATGACACAATGAACAGGAAGCCAGCAACTCCAAACAGACAGGCCAAGATGATGGTCCTGAGCGTGTTGATGGGCTCCCACACTTCGTCTCTTGACTGCTCCACAATAACAACCCAGTCCACCAAATCCGAGGGCGGGGCAGAGAAGCCGACAGAAACCTCTTTGTTCTCTTCGTTGTGTGTCCGAAGTACACTGCCGATAGTGTCATTGCTTGTATCGTCTTCCATAGCATCAGCAACCGCGGGATAACTGCTGGCCAGGAATGGAGGATTGGCTGTGCCAACGATATGCTTCGAGTGACGACTTGCAGCGCTGGCATTGAGAGGAAGAAGATAGCGCACTTCGGTGTTTTGAGCTTGAGATGTGCCGAGGACTCCAGGTGCGAACAAGTTGGTTGAGTTGACGGGTCCAAGTAGGAGAGTCTGTCCAGTCTTTCCCAATCCTCGCTGATCCTGAATGACTTGTTGTATTAAGCGTGCATCCGTAGTGACTGTGATCCACCCAAGAACATCATTGTCGTTTGTGGTGTTCATCACTGCCAAAGTTAGAGATAGCAATGAAAAGGTCTCATTCACAAGCAGAGGGCCGAGGACAAGTGTGGATGTGGGAAGGATAGTAAAGCCGTTATACGTAGCGACGTAGTTTGCGCCGACTTCATCAGGATCCGTTGGTTGCGATACGGTCAGATTGGGGTAAAGCGCTGGCGGGTATCCCAACCCTGGGTCGCCCAAATGCGCTCGAGTGCCATTGTCGTTATTCCACGGAAGTGCAATAGATTCAGAGCCGTAGCCTGTGCCGTTGAAGACACTGTATGACCCAGCCGGACCGGACGTGTTTCGCGAGAATACCATAGCCTGGAGAACCAAAGCGTTGCTCAGTGGCCCGACATCACCGAGTGTGGCCTCCAAATCGGCCTCAGCTAAAGCCCAATTCGATGTTTCGTTAGCAGAGCCATTGTTATAACGAGCCAGTGAGCCCTGAATAACAGCGCGAGTGGTGACAAAGGTGGCAGCAGTCTGCATCAGCTCCAGGTTGTACGCGAGCTGAGCGGCCTTCAGCGACGCAGTCGTCTCGAGACGTTCGCCCGCGATATTGAGCACGAATTGATGGTTCGCTATCCATGTCGCGATGGCGAGTACAGCCAGTCCGATACATCCTGACAGAATCAAGAGCAAGGACAGCTGCTGCCGGACCGATATTCGAATGTTCATCTCCGGCGCTGGAGCCCTCTCCCGGGTGGGAGAAGCTCCCAAAGAGCGTCCTGGATGGAATCCGTGGCGACAGATGCGGTATCAGGGCAGCGATGGTGATTGTCGAGGTGTTTGAAGGTGGTTTGACGGCGGCCTAGCCCACTACCCCCACCGCATCTCCAAGCGCTGCCGCAGCCACCGAGCCTCTGGGCAAGACGTGTCGTCGTGTTCTCCGGGGGTCCACGCGGCACTGCAGGCGTCGGCAAGGGGTTTTGCGCCCAGTCAGTCGACGGCGGTCGGTGTTCAAATGTTGCGTGGTGGTGAGAGATGGCAGCGATGAGGGTTTCGCGGATTCCAGAGCGCCCACAGCATTCTCAGAGGCTCAGCGGCCTCAGCCTACGGTGGCGCCGGGGGTTGCTGACGAAGAAGATCCAGAAGCAAAGCAGTCCGGGATTGGACGATGGGCCGCAGCATAACAACGTGGATCAATCCTTAGTCAAGTATTTGGGATGGTTCGGGTCTGGATCGTCCTGATACAGAAGTAGCTTGTCTAGATACAGTAAGCGATACAGCGTCTATGTGCAGATAACGGCGCAAGGGTACACTATTCCAGGTGGGCAGGGTTTTGTTGAACCAACAACTCGTAGAGAAGCGAAAGGAAGCTTGGCACCAATCTCCGCCCGCGGTCGGGTTCAGGGATTGATATTGATATGAACTCCGGCTTTTCTTCTCGACGCTGCAATTTTCGATCTTGAAAGTGGAGCGTCGTCCTTTTGTAGCCGGTTGTCGCTGCAGACTCATTCATGCTCATTCAATTGAAGTGGTGAATTATTGCTGTCCTTCAACATCCCGTGGCAGGAGCTGGCGGAGGAGCTGTTGCCAAGAATCGATCCCTGATGCCACCCGTCGATGCTCACTTCGCATCCAGCAGTGGTCGGTATCGAATTGGCGCGAGTGAGATGCAACATAACCTGCAGGCGGTGCTGTTGTCTGCTCTGACTGATCGCGTGACAAAGCCACGATCGCTTTCGCGCTGCCATGAGAAGTCATCTTCTCAATCTCATCACTGTCGGATCTCTCTCGCCCGAAGCGGTCCGTCGTGGAAGTCGTGCCAGGATGTCTTTTCACCGGATCCGGATGGGATATTCGAGGTTAGGCAGAGTGCAAGTGAGAAGGATGGTGCGGGAAGAACGAGGAAGGAACGAGGTTATTTCGCTCTCATTGCAGCAGGCACGCTGATTGCTTGGAAGCGCCGGGTCGAAGGCTGAGAGTCGATGTGAACTCGCCCGCAGAACTCCTGTCAAAAGTAGGCTGGCTACGACGGCGGCAGACTTGCACGCGCTTGATCGAATCCAGAGTGCGAGAACATTGAGAGCGCCTATCTTAAGTCCAGTTCAGGACCAGACAGGCGGGTCTGCCGCCATAGTAACACAGCGTCTGAGCTGGACGCCGCAATGAGCGTGAGTTGAGAGCCACAGCGTGTGTGAGGCTCATGCACGGTAGGGCAGAATCAGACAGACCATTCACGCCTCGTGTTGTGGTGAATGGGGCGGCAAGTGAATGATGGAGTGCGTTGGAAAGACGACTCCTCTCCAGCGCACACAAATACATATCCACCACAGCTAAGACTAAACTGCACCAGACACACACACAGGACTTCTACCCATATCCACCCGCTTCATCCCAACGAAGACTTTGTCACAAGTCGCAGCGACATACAACCCGAAAGACGCCTCCATAACCACCATGGAGCTGCTCGCGACATTCCTCCCAGTGGCCCTGCCATGTGCCTGCACTGTCGCCCTCGCCCTCATGCACCTCCTGCGCATTACGTCGACTCTGGACCAGATTGAATCCGACCCAATGTGCCTCGCCTACATCTACATCTCCTTCATCTTCTACCTGCTCCACTCGAAGCTGGTGTAAGTCGCCTCGTCCTGATCATGTTGGACACGTACTAACTGTCTACCAGCACTTGGCTCGGCAACATCATCCCCAAGCTCTGCACGAAGGTCGAGCTCAAGACCGAGCAGGCTTACGGCTTCTTCTCATGGCTCGGCACTACCATCTGCGTCACCCTCGAAATAGCAACCCTCATACCTTTCGCGTTCCGCGCACTCGCTCTCTTCATCACGGCGGAGCCCATGCTCGCGGACGCCTTATCTGAGCGGTTCGAGGTGGCTGCCTGGGTCTTGGGCGTCTTCAGCATTGTGCTCTTCTTCATCTCGGCTCAGTGTGTTCCCAGCGGCTTGATCTACGTTCGCTTCACGGTCGTCTACGCCATCTTGTTTGCTGTCCCAGCATACTTGGTCTGGAGCGCTTATTACATCGCATCGTCCTCTGAGGCTCTGGGCAAGGGCTTACGCTCGAGTTGAACTGATTGATGATCTACAATCTTGCTGGGCAACGAAGCCGAGGTGGGACTGAGAGTGGGCATGTCAAGCAGAACGAACGGAATCCCTCGACTAGCGGGTGTGTACTTCGCATGGGCTATCACGGCTCTGAAGGAACCACACTCGGGGTCCAGTCGACATGTGAAGCGACATTGTGTCAGAGACAGGTATGTAAACTGTTCAGCAAAACATGAAAAAACTTCCTCTCCTACCTCTCTCCAATATCAAGACCCGCCCGCCTCTGGGCTCAACAAATCAAACAAAGGTCTCGTCTCATGATCATGCTCCCTACCCACCCTCACCCCCTCAAACCCCTCAAAATCGTCACAAAGATCAAACCAACTCCCCTCAGGATTCACCTGCACCGCCCTGCCCCTCACCCCTGCATCACAACACAACCTCATCAAACACTCCACGCAATCCTCTACCTCCGTCATCTTCAGCCCATACTCATCGCAAATCGGCTGCAGCGCCGCCGTCATGGGCGATCGCGTGAGATGCGGCGCGAGGAGATTCGTCCTGAACAGTGTGGAGAACTCGGGCGTGCCTCTGAGGGATTTCCAGAAACCTCGCACACCCCATTTGGAGGCGGCGTAGCCTGAAGCCTGGTGGAGGGAAGTAGGCGATGTTGGAAGCGACGATTAGGAGGGTGTTGTCGGGAGTGGGCTGCTGGTTTCGACGCCAGTAGTCGATTGCGAGGGTTGAGGTGTAGATGGCGCCGATGAGGTTGACGTTGATCATGGCGATTTGGTTTTTGGGAGCGGCCGGGTCCTCTGAGGAGTCATCTGGTGTTGTGAAGGGGGCGTCTTGGAGCATAGGGCCTGTGGAGATTCCGGCGCACGCAATGACGATGTCGATGGATTTCGTGGGTGAATGCTCGAGGGCGTACTTGAAAGCCTGGACCTGCGAGGTCCATTGTGTTACGTCTACGTGGACGAACTGTGCCCTACAACGACCAGCAACAATGGCACCATCGATCGAGATGCTGCAAAAGACATACTTGAAGCCCTCTCCAACGAGACCCTCGCGGAGCTGTTTGCCTGCCTCTGCATTGATGTCCGCGATCACAACGCATGCCCCAGCTTCTGTTAGAGCTCGTGCTATTCCAGCTCCTATTCCACTCGCCCCGCCTGTGATCAACGCGGTCTTGTCTTTGACGTTTGAGAGGTCTATCGTTTTGGTGAAGTCGACTGGTACTGAGCAAGGAGACATTGCTGGTGTTCAGACAAAGAAGCTTGAGTGTATGAGACTGTCACAAGGTGAGAACATAACCATACATGCAGGCTTCACTTCGTTCAGCATCGTATGTAGTAGTCCTCTTTCAGGCATCGAGCGCTAAGAAGCACTAAGCTCTGGCTAGCGCATGAGCACATGTCAAGACCTTCTCTTTCCTGTTTGGGCGTATGCCAAGAAGAGTCATGGACATCAGAACAACTTCTCACGGCCGTTCAACTCCGGCAGATGTGAGCGATTGTCGATCGGACCCAGCTCCGCCTGTTGGAAGTTTGGTGAGGGGGTTTCTTTGGTCTTCAAAGAGATCAGAACTCGAGTACTGCCCTTGAAAGATAATGACGACTGGCAACGCATGCCGTATACGATCTATCCTTCGATACACGCCTCTATGAGGTATGAGTGTTGCCTAACACGTAGGGCGCAAACCCGTACATTACGGAGTTCGGCATTCGGCTCCTGCTTTGGGTGGATGTTATCAGCTGGCGGGTACGTCTAACATTTGACCATCAACACCATTTCACTTCTCTTCATTATTGACATTTCAACTGACAATGAGCCAAAGCAACGACACAGCACCGCCAGCGGCGCGAAAACCATCTCCAAAACTTCACTACGTCGACAATTGTCGCTCATGTCTTACAGCTCTTGTGATTCTCCATCACACAGCCTGTTCATACGGCGGCATTGGAAGAAATGTATACCAGTCTAGCCTGCATGGGCAGGCTTCATCCACGGCGTTGGTTGGGTTGAATGGATTCAATCAGAGTTTTGTGAGCACAGCAACGTGACAACTTTCGGTTGGAAATCAAAGTACTAACGAATTGGGTGCAGTTCATGGGCACGTATATGTGCTTAGGAGGCTATTTCTCTCGTCGAGCACTGGTCAGGAAGTCACGGGAGGGTTTCGTTAGAGATCGACTGTACCGCTTAGGACTACCTACGATTGCATATACGGCCATCGGGGCACCTTTATGCGCTGGCATTGTTCGGGCCTGGCAAGGATATCCTGTGGGCCTGCACTGGCTCATCGACTACTGGAGAGAACAGCGCGGTATTCGTGGGCCGGTGTGGTTCACTGGCACGCTGCTGTGCTTCGATCTCGGGCTTGTTGCCTATGACCGGCTGCAGAGCGTTCTCTACACCGACAGTACTGATGGCCCATCGCCGTCGAAGAACGACAAGGGGGTCAATCCCCTCAAGCTATACGCCTCCATCGCACTTTGCAGCATATCAGACTTCTTCATCCGAATATTCTACCCAGTTGGAGCCGTGGTCAACCCACTGAAATTACAGCCTGCCTACCTTTCGCAGTATATCGCCACGTATTCGTTAGGAGCCAGCGTCAGCAACCTCGCAGAGGCCATTCCCTCTCTTCCTACGTCAGCCGGACTTCTGCTCACCAGTCTCGCCAGTGGTTTCGTTCTTTTCCAGGGCCTCAAGAATGACCCGAGCTCCACCGCACAAATGGCTGGCGGATGGAACAACCTCGCAGCAGCATATGCTCTATGGAACAACGCGAATGGGTACCTTGTTGGAAGTTGCGTATTAGCTGCTTTCAGGAGATATTCGACAACATCGTGGCGAGCTATCAACGCAATGGCGTTTCCTGCATTCCTTGTGCATATGCCAGTCATCACCCTGCTGGGCATTGCCACTGACAAGTGGGAGATGGGACCTGTCGCTAAGACGGCAGTAATTGGCGCCGCGGGCGTGGTGGGGAGCTGGATTGTTGGGTATGCTGCGGATCGCTTGTGGTTGTGGGCTAAAGGTGTTGTTGTTGGATTACAAGGTCAAGACAAGTTGCAGAAGTGATTAGCATGTGGAAGGGCGATGGCGTAAGTATTTGCTGATGGTCCTTCAAAATTTACACACGGTGCGGCAAGAACTGAGTTTGCTCCAGGGACGTTCTGTAGATGTTCGGGACCAAGGATACCCGTCAAACGTCTAAGTAAGGTCGACTGCCGACGTTACACAACATCACATTCCACACGAAGCCAACGCCGCCTTTCTTCACACAACAAAATTGTCTCTGCTTTGCCGCTCTGCCGTCTCAATTCAACATCAGAAGGACAATGTACAGCTCCACTAAGAAAAGATCTACAGCCATGCGTAAGGTCAACTCCCGAAAGCCTGGCCCGCTAATATTGTTGACCTTCATCGTTACTCTGATACTGGCCTTTTGGAAGCTACGTCGAGACCAAACGTCGACCTCACTGCCACCGGAGCTTGCCAATGCAATGTCACCCAAGAGACCAGATCCCCTCCGATGTCGAAAACTTCCCGGTGCAGCCGACACGCTGGTGGTGATGAAGACGGGGGCTACAGATTTCACCAGCCAAGTCCCGACGCATTTCGACACGACATTCGTATGTGCGCCGAATTACATCATTTTCAGCGACCACGAGGAGATATTTCGTGGCCATCAGATCCACGATGTCCTCGCGACTGTTAGTGAAGAGCTCCGCGCGGAGCATCCAGATTTCGAAATCTACCGGAGACTGAGCCAGTCTGGTCGATCAGCATTGGCGCCGTACGAAAACAAGCAGATCAATTTCAAGGCCGTGGATGGGGACGTGACGGGTGGCAAAGGGGATTCGGCGGGCTGGAAGTTGGATAAGTGGAAGTTTTTGCCTATGTTCCATCAGACGTGAGTTTTGACCCCCCCCCCCCCCCCCTACTGGTCGAAGGGAGAGCAGCTGACCAGTATGTCCATAGACTCACGCTCTCGCCAGGCTACAAGTGGTACATGTTCATCGAACCGGACTCGGCGATCTTCTGGTCCACGGTTCTGAAATACCAACAGCAGCTCGACCATTCCAGGCCCTACTACATGGGTTCGCAAGTCCTCATTGGTGACCTAGAATTCGCTCACGGAGGCTCAGGTTACCTCGTCTCTGATGCGGCTCTAAAGCGTGTGGTGGATTACTACCTCGCGCACAAGGAAGACCTCGAAAAATTCAACGAGGAGCAGTGGGCGGGCGATGCCGTTGCAGGCGAGACCTTCAAGCGAGCCGACGCATCGTTGACGAGGGTGTGGCCGATTGTTCAGGGCGACCATCCTGGGGAGTTTCCTTGGGGACGAGATCACGGAGACAAGCCGTTGTGGTGCTTCCCGACTATGACATGGCACCACATGTCCGCGGCGGATGCCGAGAACATGTGGGATTTCGAGCAGCGGTGGATTGCTGATGGGGGTCTGGTGAGCTTTTTCATCACCCAGTCTTCCAATTCGACATACTAACCTTGCTCCTCCAGGACAACACCACAAGCGGTGGCTACCTCCGCTACCGCGACGTCTTCACATTTTATGTCCAGCCACAAATGAAGACCGCCAAATCCGGGTGGGATAACGGCAGCTCCGACATCGAGGGGCAACTCACAGACCTCCCCAGCTGCTACCGCGCTTGCGAAAAGGACTCGGCGTGTTTGCAGTACCGGTTCAATTTGCAAACCAAGAAGTGCACGACGTCGAAGGAGCCGAGGCTGGGCAAGAAGGCGTTGCAGATGGAGGAGTTTGTGAGTGGGTGGTTGTACGACAGGGTGGAAGAGTGGAGGAGGAAGAGGCCGGCGTGTGAGGAGGATTTGTGGATTGAGGGGAATGATTGAGAGGATTTGGGGAGGGCTTTTGGTATGTTGATCTTGTCATGATAGATGAGGAAGGTTTTGGGTTGTAAGGGAATAGGTATGTTACTTTCCTTTCGGGTACGGACTCGGCGGTTACGTGCTTGTCGCGACAATGGCAGCATGAACCATACGTTCGACCTATAGCATGCGTCCATAAAGGCGCATCGAATTCAACTGACCCGGCTCTATCGAGGCTCGTTTCAGCATCTGCCACACTCCACTATCCACCTCCCTCGAATTCATTCATTCACTCAACCTCGTCCCGCTAAACCTCATTAGGAAACAGCGAAACAACCCCCTCGATTATCTCCAATTCCAACACAGCCTTACCCTTAGAAAACGAGCTCTTCTCGCGATTGCGATCATCTCCCGCCTATCATAGGGTTACATCGAAAAGACCTACACTTGGTGTCTCTGCCCTACGGCAACAGTTTCCAAGAAATTTTCGACCACCGCGCTGACATGCACAAGTGCCGAAGTTTAAAGGAGCGCTAGTTGGAGGGAGCGGGTCCGAGGAGGCCGGCCATTTGGGGGGTTCAAATGCGGTGGTGAGGTGGGTGGAGAGATGGGAGATGGTGGTTTGCATTTCTTTTGGTGGTGATGGAAGTGTTTCATCAAGCATCAAGCTTCATGGAGCATGACTTGTCGAGGTCGAAGAGACTGCCTTTAAGCAAGCAACCTTTCACCTGAATAATTTGTCATGTACCTGACGAGAAGAGGAGAAGAAGCTTCTGTTAGATGCCACCCCCCCCCCCCCCAAAACATGGAAAAGCAACCGCCCTCTTGGGATCCAACGACCCTACAGTTCACACCCAAGGGATCCAAGCGTCAAACCAAGCAACCACCCGAGACGTGTCCAGCCCGTCACCGCTTCCTCACGACCTCATGAGAAATGGAGAATGGGAAATGCTTACGCTTGCTTACAGGACGCCGCGGAGAGCATACCTCAGCCATCAACAAGAGCAGCAACCAGAAACGACCCCCATTTTCCGCCATCGCCCTCGCCTCATCATCAAAACCTATTGAAGAGACTCCATCCATCGTTCCCCAGCCGCTTCTCCCGTCCGCGCCCCGACCCACGCAGCATCCTTCAGGATTCCTCACCACCATCAGGGCTGCACTGTCCCAATCCGGCAACGCAACGAGAAAACATCTGTGCGTTCCAGCGACCGTTTCTTCACGATTGCAGGATTGACGATCCTCGGTATTCCGCTCTTCGGCAACCCGACGCACGTACGACAGTCAGACGAACACCGGCGTCTGTCGGCTCCTGCGAGATGCAAGTTGGCGAGCGAGGAGGCGGATCCTTTCTGTGCGAGAGGGTTTGTTTGTGATCGTGGAAGAGGTGGGAACGGGTCGAGGCGAGACGGGGGAGGATTTTCTGCCTTTTTGAACGAGTGGTTGATTGATTGATGACATGTGGTTCTTTTTGTCGTATCGTATCCTCTGGTTTGTTGATGACGGGGAACGAAGAAAGTATGTATCGTCTACCTCCTCGCCTTATTACCCTACGACGACTACTACAGGATACCGTCGGCATCGCCTCAATCCGTGGTTGGACGTTATCTCGGCACCCTGACCCCGTGCACACCAAAACACCTCGTGTCTAAACTCTCGTCGAAAGCACCAAGACGAGAAAAGAGACTTTTTGGTAGGGCTGACAGTACATCAGCCGTGGGTGGGTGGTTCCTGCAGCGCGTTCCTTGGGCTTGGTGGACTCGGTCTCGCTGATGATGATGAGGAAAACGTCGAAACTGCTGCACGTCAGACTGTATGGCGTTGTAATCCTTGGGTGACGACTGGTTGGAAATGGGTACTTGGGGAGGGGGGTTGCCCTATCTCTGATGCGTCGTGGGGAAGGGTCCTGAGGGAGGATACTTTTTATGTTCTGCGGTTTTCTGAGATTGAGTGTGATGTTCTGTTCAACGTGAGCGGGTTATTTTGAGCATCTCGACGAGTTTTCTTTGCACATGCGAATCGACATCCAGACGTTGTGTAATCCGATGCCTACGACTCGAATGAAGACGAGCCAAATCATTTCGCCTCACACGACCAACCTAGCCGGTATACAGCATGGCTCAATAGCAAAGACACAGGCGAAAATGCCATTGGCACAAACAAGAAATACAACTTACCAGCACCGAGACTCCCTCTCGCCCTGCATCAGCGACCAAACAAAACGAACACAGTACAACCTCTCCCCTCTCCACAATTTAACCCCCATCCTCAATACTGACTATATATCGATCAGAATAGAACGCGGCATGCAGCGCATGCTCGAAGTCGCCGCGGCGAATGAAGCGGCGCTGAATCGCCTGACGACGATGATTGATGATTTTGATCGGAGGTTGAAGACTTTGGAGGCTGAGGGGGATCGGGAGGAGAGGTTGGCGTATGAGAGTATTTTGAATAGGAGGAGGTCGTGATGGTGGGGTTGGGAGTCGTGGCTAGGAGGGCTTTGGGAGGTGAGAGTGCTGGAAGGGTCGTGTTCGAAGGGTGGCGAGGGCGTAGAGGCTGTGTGTGAGTAGTAAACGGTCAACGTTAGGAGGTCTGGAATGAAAGTGACATGTACAGAAGCGAATTGTTGGTATTCATACTCTCTAAATCCCTTTCTCGGTCTATTCAGCATCAATCGGCGCTCTAGGTGGGGTATCATTAACCTGCACGCCTCCTCGCTTCTTATGCTGCGCATCCGAAAAGGGCAATTTCCAGCCTCCCTCCGTCTCGGGCGTGGCGAGCCACAGTCGCATGAGATGCCTCCTCGGCGCTGGTGGTGGGTAGTCCTTGTATGCGGTTCTCGAGTGCAGGACGTGTTCGTTGCTGAGGAACTGAATATCGCCAATGTCGAGGATCATGTGCAATGACAGACGCATGCATGTATCTTCCAGGACTTGAGCGGCCTTCTCTTGTTCGGGCGACAGGGCAGGAATGATGCCTTGCGAGGAGAATCGGGTGAGAGACTTGACGTAGTAAGGGTCCCATTTGGTGTAGACTCGTCCGTTAGGGCCGGTTTCGAGGTAGAAGACAGGCTGCTTGGTCCACTGTTCTTGGCCCGTGGAGACTTCACCTTTACGGTCGAAGTACCAGATGGGTTTGCAGAGGGTCTCTGCAACGTCTGGGTGTTCTTTTTGAAGGGTGTTGAAGACGTGATGCGAAGAGACAATGTCTGATTCACCGCCCTCGAGGGATTTTGCCACGCAGAGCAGACCGACAATGTCGCAGTCGTCGGCGTGGAAGAACTGGCGGGCCGTTGTGCGGTAGATGCGCACTTTGTCGATTTGTGTTGGATCGGCTCCCGTGTCCTACAATCGATCAGCGCTGTTCTGATAACGCTTGCGTCTGCCCAGAACGTACCTTCACGTGCCCAAGGACGTGGCCTAAGCCATTCTGTGACACAAAGTATCCAAGATATGTACCCAGTCCCATGTAAGCTACAGCCGACTTGTGATTGCCCCATGCCTGCACTGGGAAGCCCTTAAACAGGATAAAGCCTTTGCCGTTGAGAAGTTCGTTTCGCATCGCGGTGAGGTACGACTCCATGTTGGGGAGAGGGAATTTCTCCTAACGTTCCATCAGTCCCTGCAGATGATTGCCACCCTCCTCTGCTGACGTACCTTTGCAATACCAGTCAATGGCGTCCCCGAAGCCAAAAAGTCGTCTGCTGCCTTGCTCAACTCGGCCACCTCCTCTTCGCTGAATCGATGCGTCCATCGCTCTGGGTTGTTTTGATAATCCTCTGCCTTCCACACGGTAGGGCCGGTGATTTCTGTGGGGAATTCGCTGTACGGTCGGATCTTGTCGGCGTCAGGCGAAGTTTGGCCACTCGTCTTGATGCCATCGGGAAAGATGGCTTTCGAAGGTTTATCATAGCTGAAGAGCGGGGGCTCAACAGGCGTTTCTGTGAGAGCGGGGGCCATGGTTGTTGGTGATCAAGCCAGCCCAAGGAAGGTTGTTCTTGGCTGCAAGCAGCTGTGTCAAGTGTTGCCTCAGTCGATGATCCTCGGCAGCTTTCAGAGTCGTGTAAAATAGCAGAGCAACACCGTAAACTAAAATCGAGGACATGGTCGCGGGGCGGGCGAGGGGCAATATATGTAGGCGATAAGCGGGCAGTCGGACTAGAGAGCTCTGTTGGATGCTTCGACGACGAACTTGTTGCGTAAGACGGCAGCAGCGCATGTAAGGTACCGTGGGCAAAGACGGTCAAATAGAGCTATCCTCACGGCGATGGCGCAAGAACACACCAATGGCGAGCAGTTGGAGGCCATTGACGTGATGCATTGCTTGTCTTGGCTCGCCGGGATCAGCTGCATCGAATGCCGGCCTTTGTTCGAGTCGGATGCGACGTGATTGGGGCGGCTCGTCGGTTTGGCCAAAACATCTCCGGTCTGTCGGCGGCTGCAGATGTCGAGATTGTACAATTTGGGGACGATATTGCGGGAGGCCTCACACCAGACGGAGATGCTCGTCACTGCGTTGAGTGCCGATATCGTGCGAGAGTGGTGCGACCATGGACGCTCCCTGTCCAGCTTCGTGCCATGGGCCGTGGATCAGAGAGTTTCATCTTTCATCATTGCGCTTGTCGGGTCGCGTGCGCGTGTCATGGTGCACGTGGAAACCTGTTCCTTCCTTCTGACGGACGATGTGAGTGAATGTTCGAGCAGGGTTGGTAGTATATAGGTGTACACTTGTACAGACCGTGTTTGCGCAGGTCTAGGCTCGCGTGCCACGCGGTGATTGGAGGTCTGGTCGTCATGCGGCTGAAGGAATCGCCTCGGATGGCTGGACGTGTGATAGGCGTGTGAGGGCGGTGCAGCAGCAGCAGCAACTGTAGGACGCAGCAGCAGTGAGTAAGGCTCCAAGAGCTGGGCAGCCTTTGCCAACCAGCGACTCTCTCCCACGACAGCCACGAGGCGCAACTTGTATTCCCCTTCCTGCTGCGTATGCGAACGGCCCCATGAGCGTCTCGTCCGACGCCCAGGTTGACATCAGCGTGAGTCTCCCATCACACCACACGCGCCCCGGGTCCGCCATGACCCGGGTGCCGCTGCAGCAGCTCGTTGACATTGGGTGTGTACATAGGCCTGTCTCGACGCCGTGTCGCAGGCATTCAATGATGGCGGCGCCATCATCGAGAAGATCAAGAAGAAGCGGGCGCTGAAGCGAGCGCCTCCCCCACCGCGACTCCTCGAAGAATCGATCGACCAGGCGCCGGCCGAGATCGAACGCGAGAGGCAGCGAGGTATCGCCCGCTTCGGGAAGGCATTCGAGGAGGGCGACCACATCGCCGTGATCTTGCTGCAGCAGATCACCATCCAGCTCCAGAGCAGCCTGCTCGAGAAGCTGCGCAATGCCGCTTTCGACGATGACTCGAAAACCACCGACTTTACGTATTTGGTGGACGCCGCCGACGTGGGAAGAGACAGAACCATAGCGGCGCTGCACGAGTTCAAGCAGAGGTTGATCAACTCCCAGAACGTGAACCAGCAGCAGCAGCAGCAGCCGGCGCAGGACACAGCTCGCACCACGCCCGCCTCGAGCACCAGCAATGTCGGCATCCCACCGCCTGAGCCGACGAGGAGTCAGACAATGCAGGCGTTGTCTAACACCCAGCCAAAAGAAGCGCAACCTTCCAAACACCGTACCTGGACGCGAGAGTTCAGCCATTCGCGCGAGGCATCAGGCGAAGAAGATGCCGCGCCTGGGGCAGCGGAGGAGAACCACAGCCTACACCACCGCAAGAGAAGCTCGCTGCTACACTTCTTGAAGCACAACAGGACACATAGCAGTGAGGCGAAGGACAAGGATAAGGACAAGCATGCACTGCACCCAACCGCTGAAGAGCCCCACAGCCGTGCTCCTTCCACAGCGCCAACGAGCGTGCCATTCCGGCCACCTCCCCAATGCGATGTCAGCAGCAATGACATCCACCACCCGAACCAGTCCCAGTCCAAATTCCGTTATGAAGAGTGGGAAGACAATCCCAGTGAGATTTGGGGCTCCAGGACATCCCTCGAACGACGTGAGACCATGCAAATAGCTCCAGACCAAGCCCAGAACCCCAACGCATCGAGCTCATATGTCGGTCAACCTCTACAGCCCCCGTCGCCAGTCCTGACGAATCGCTCCAACTCCAACCCTCACACCCACCCTCACCCTCACGCATCCACCGCCGTACCCACGCCGAATCCCGACAACGACTTTCTCGGATTCTGTAAAGGCGCGTGGAAGCTGCAAAATGGCGATCGAAAAGGCAGCATGCATAAATGCCGCGAAGTCGAGCCGTGGTCCCGCCATCCCTCTCACTCGACCGCAACATCCTTCTTGGCATGCCAAACCCCTCGCTGTGCTTTTCGGTCATCCTTTGCATCGCAAAACGTCGAGGTGATCTGGAACAAGGTCTTCACTGCCGAAGCAAAGGGGATCAAGATCCGCTGGCCGTTCCTGGCCAAGAGCCACGTCACGCAGAAAGTCGTCGTCAAACACCAGTACAGCTTCAAATGTCTGTTTTGCGTCTTCACGCGCGGTTCCAGTGGGGTGTATCACGGAATGGAATACTACCTGGACCACATCTGTCAAGAGCACAGAGGAACAACTCTCGGAGAGGTGATATTGTACAAGACTGGGTGTATCAACGACAGGATCGCGACGGAGGAAGATGAGTTCGACATCAATCTTTACCCCTTGGCTGCTGGGGCTAATACCGGAGCGGGCGATCGAAGAGAGACATATCTGAACGACGAGCTTATGGATCCGTACTGGAGTAAGAACGACGACAAGAACGATTCAATGTTTGGCGCAAACGAGCCTTGGAACGAGGGCTTGAGCGATTTTCATTACGGCGGGGATTTTGACGGGAATGAACTCGAGTGATGAGGTATATGGGCATTGACGACAGCATCGCGAGAAAAGTATCGAAGCGAATTGGGGAGGACTTTTCGGTTTTCAATCTTCACGATACCCGCCAGATTCTCACCACGCACAACTTCTCCCACCCGGCCTGTTTCCCACTCGAGCCCACGATCTCGGCATTCCAACTTCCTGGCCAAGCTTGGATCTGCTCGACGACTTCCCTCGGCTTGTTCTGCTTGCACAGCAGGACGTATGCGACGCCTCTTAGGCTCAAGACTTGCGGAATTTGGCCGAGCAATCTGTTGGTCGTTTCCATGCCATCCACACCCCCGGCATAGGATAAAGACAGTAGATGCGAGTCTCGTTCGAATTGTGCGTTTCTGTCGAGATCTTGCTCATCGGCAACACTCACTGGCTGTGATGGCAGCTCCTCTGTTGGAACGTAAGGTGGATTGAAGATCAGTACGTCCACACTGCCAGGATTGAGAGAGCTTGCAAGATCTCCCAAAACGACATCCAGAAGAACACCCGCATTGCCCGACTCAGTTGCCGCCAAATTCACCGTCTGAGCGGCTCCTTTGCATGCAAACGAATTGACATCTGTGCCCAACGTTGCCACGTCAGTCCGGCCAAAGATGTGCTTCGCGTGGGCGTTGACAAACGCGACCACGACCCCTGACCCTGTCCCAACTTCCAGGACCAGTGGACAAGGCGTCTTCGGCGGGAATCTCTGCTGCATGAAAGCCGTCTCGCTACTCGATGAGAGCGTATCGAGCAGTAGATAGGAGTCTTCGGCGGGTTCGTAGATCCGGGATGGGTCGATATGGGAGGTTGACGGCGTTGGAAGCATTTTCAGTTTTTGGCTTGGGCGGAGGTGGGTGACTTCTTATGATTTAATGCGTAACGAGCGATGCGGAATGGTGGGGAGTGTCTTTTTCATTTGAGCATGAGATATCCAGATCGGCAGTCGTACATGTAGTCCTTTTGAAATGTCGACAGACGGAATCAGACCCAGTTCTCGTGTACGGCTTTTTCGCTGGAGAAGTGATTGCGCGTGAGCGGCATGGTGCTTGAGGCTGGACTAGCACATCAGCGCCCTCAATCCTAGAGTCCAGTCTTCATCGTCAGTGGTATAAGCCCATTGTATTTGATCTGCATGTGCCAGTCGAGGTTGAGTATCAAGTGAACCTTCGGCAGAAAAGACTTCGACATCTGAAGCTCGGCACCTGGGCTTTCCATGACGTCGATCAAGAACTACACCTCTCCCAGATATTCCTACCATTGGTACCATTGACAACCATTCCTATCACCAACGAATTCCCCAAATCCACATCTCGCCATGCGTGCCACCTCCCTCCTTCGCGCGACCGCCTCCAGCATCGGTACGCAATCCTCCGGCCTCAAACCCGTCCCTCTCGCCCTCCTGCCCCCGATCCCGCTATATCGACGCCTGCTTCGCGCGCATAGGAAGCATTTACCCAAAGAGATGCGATTATTGGGCGATGAGTACGTGAAGAGCGAGTTTAGAGCACATAGGTCGACGGATAATCCAGGTAGGACACGCACCGCACCACACCACACCCAGCCCACGACACATCGTTAACAACAGGTCATTCTCGCAGTCCACATCGTCGGCTTCCTAACCGAATGGCAAACCTACGCGCAACAAATCGAAGGCGACACGTGGCGGGGCGAGAAAATGGACAAGAGCAAAGTGGACAAGATGAGCGATCAGCAGATCGGTCAGATGTTTGAGTTGATGAATGCGATTCGCGAGAAGGAGTTGCAGGAGAATGATCCGGAGTATAGGATGTATGAGCCGCCGAAGGCCGAGGGGAAGGAGTGATGTGTTTGCGGCTACTGGGGTCATGGGGGAAGGGCAGGTGGGTGGATGGGGTGGATAGGGCAGGTGGTGAGGTGGTGATGTGGCAGTCGAGGCGTCTTATCATTTTCGGGAGAAAGGACTCGCGAAGAGGGCGAATAAACAACCACCACCAACTCGAGAGAAAACACACACTATAAGGAGACGCGACATACTCAACACCACCACCACCGAAATGTGCCAAACATACTACTGGCTCTCTCGCGAATGCGGCCACGAATGGTACCAACCCCATCGTCCTCCTCCTACTCTAACTAACTCCATCCTCCCGTCACAGGTTCGAGCTCATGGTTCCCTGCGGCCGCGGCATGAATCTCCTCACTTGTCGCGACTTCCACCCCAGCCAACCCTTCGGCAACATCGAGAAACCTCTGCACTCCCGCTACGCGCGGCCTCACAAGTGTCCGCGGTGCGACTGCCATGGCGGTTATGATATGCGATATCGGAGGATGATGATTACGAAGAGGACGGGGTATAGGGTGGGTGTTGGACCGGCGAGGAGGGATTTGGGGGTGGATGTTTATCCGAGGGCAATGGTTGGGTGCTGTGCTGTTATGTGAGAGAGAGATTTGTCGGGGGAGAGGGGCTGTACGAAATTCGTGTGGTATGAGACTGGGCGATGGCAAATTGTTGTGAGTACATATGCTGATTGGAAGGGTCACATTGGCTGAATCTGAAGCAGAGTTCGATATCCTTGCGTATAATGGCAATCGATTAAGAAGGCAACTTGCAACACCCGGACTCCGAGACACTTATGATACATCAAGAGACCTTATTTCACACAAAGCAGGCAATGCAACCCCAGCCGAGTGATCAGCACCCCACACCAGCAACATGCGGCCTTTTGCAGTAGTTTCTGCGGGGATGGACCTCAATCCATTACCCACTCGCTGCCCTCCCCAGAAACTCGCTGCTAAACGCACATACCGAGGCAGCTTTGACGAGGGAGTCATGTCTTGTGGATTGCTTGTCACGGACAAGGCCTGCTAGGGAGGGAAGGCTAAAAATGCTTCTTTTCCTCAGATCGGCTGATGATGGTTACAGGAACAGTATAAGAAGAGGATGACCGAGTTGCGCTGCGCTCGGACCTTGATCAGGTAATAAAAGAACTTTTCGATTGATATAAGATGATGTGGAAGGCCATTCCATTGCTGGCGTCGGCTGGTGTTGTGGCTGCTCAGGGGCTGCTCAACCAGACGTTGGGATATCTTGAAGGGACTCCTGGATTGAACACTACTTATGACTATGTAGTCGTCGGGGCGGGGACCGCGGTGAGTACATCACAGCGTCGACGGGTGGTAACCGGAAGTGACAAGATCGAATGACAGGGTCTTGCCGTGGCTGCTCGTCTTTCGGAGAGTGGCAAGTACAGCGTTGCTGTCATTGAGGCGGGGACGTTTTACCAGGTGACTGATCCGTTGCTCGCTACAAGTCAGTGCAAATGGGAGATGGTACGCGAAGTTCTTGAAGATAGCGGCTAACGTAGAGAGTAGCACCAGCAGGAGACGTGGTCTTCGTGGGTGCCAGCGCCATCGACAACAACCCCCTAGTCGACTGGAACTTCTACACCACACCGCAGGCCGGCGCCAACAACCGCACTATCCACTACACACGTGGGAAGTGTCTCGGAGGCTCATCAGCCCGCAACTTCATGATCTACCAACGCGGAACCCGTGCCTCCTATGCCCAGTGGGCGAACTTGGTCAACGATCAGAGCTTCCAATTCGACGCCCTTCTTCCGTATTTTAAGAAGAGCTGCGACTTCACACCGCCCAACACACAGAAGCGTGCGGCGAATGCCACGGTGTCGTACAACCCTGGCGCATTCACTCCGGGCGCTGGGCCTTTGCATGTCTCGTATGCCAACTATGCCCAAACGTTCGATTCGTATCTGCAGCCTTCATTCAATCAGATTGGGATGCCGACGGCAGATGACTTCAATTCGGGGAGTTTGGGCGGCATTCAGTACTGTGCTTCGACGATCGACCCTGCTAGAGAGATCCACGCTTCCTCGCAGGAGACGTTCCTCAATGAAGCTTTGGTCCAGAATCGAACGAACCTGAAGGTCTATCAGCTCACCATGGCGAAGAAAGTCCTCTTTGATAAGAACAAGAAGGCTACGGGTGTGTTGGTGGAGGCTGCTGGTGTTCTGCCGTTTGTGATAACGGCAAAGAGGGAAGTTGTCGTGAGTGCTGGGGCTTTCCAATCGCCGCAGATTTTGATGGTGTCTGGTATTGGTCCAGAGAATCAGTTGACGGCGAACGGGATTCCTGTGCTTGTGTCCAACCCTAATGTCGGACAGAACATGCAAGATCATGTCTTCGCGGGACCGACATACCGCGTCAACGTCGAGACCTTCACCCGCCTGGCGAACGACCCTGTCTACATCGCCGAGCAGTTTGCTGGCCCTTACTCATTGAATCAGTCCGGCCCCCTGACAAACCCCGTCGCCGACATGCTAGGCTGGGAGAAAGTTCCAGCCGACCTCCTCGCAAACTTCACTCCCCAAGCCCAAGCCGAACTCGCTCAATACCCACCCGACTGGCCTCACATCGAATACATTTCCGGAGCCGGCTATGTCGGACAATTCAACTCCCTCCTCCTCACGCAGCCCAAAGACGGCTATCAATACGCCACCGTCCTCGCCACGCTCGTGGCGCCCCGATCCCGCGGCAACGTCACCATCGTCAGCGCCGACACCAACGTCCTCCCCATCATCAACCCCAACTGGCTCACATCCCCGACGGACCAACAAGTCGCCGTGGCGGCCTTCAAACGCGCACGCCAGGCCTTCGCCGCCCCGGCCCTCCAAAAAATCGTCATCGGTGAAGAGTACTTCCCCGGCCCTGACGTCAACACCGACGAGGAGATTTTGGCCAATTATGCGAATACCATGTTGACGGTGTGGCACGCGAGCTGTACGTGTGCGATGGGGACGAGTATACGGAACGGAGCGGTTGTGGATTCGCATGCGAGGGTTTTGGGGGTCACGGGGTTGAGGGTGGTGGATGCGAGTGCGTTTGCTTTGTTGCCGCCGGGGCATCCGCAGAGTACGATTTATATGTTGGCGGAGAAGGTGGCGGATCAGATGTTGAAGGGGCAGTGAGTTGGATAGGGAGATGGTGTGTGGTGTGTTGTGGAGGTGTGAGAGGTTGATTTTCTTGCAGTTTCGATCGCTCTGTGAGCTCAAACAATGCCACTATCTCAGCTGCCCATACCTACCGCTAACGAAGTACTTGACCTCCATTGCTCGAATAGGGAGGCTCTGCGCTTCGCTAAACCCTATAGCGATGACCAAGACATAGGATTGCCACTCGTCTGCGGTTTCAGCTCTGACTTCCGCTGATCCTTCTGTAATAAGTGCGGACATCGCTCGAGACACCTGCCAACAGCAACAACAGACTAAACCTACAAAACGGCTCCTGAGCGCCGCCACTCGTTGTGGATCTCCAAGACACGCAATTCAGCCTCCCTCATGGCCTCCACCAAGAATCCCCTCCATCGACTCTTTGGAATCCACGCTCCCAAACACGGCGACTCCAGCCACGATGAACGAGACTCCAACGTGAACCTGCAACTCATCAGTCTCGGACTCCCCCGCACAGGCACGACCTCCCTCCAAGAAGCCCTGATCAAACTCGGCTTCGGCCCCTGCCACGGCGGCGTCGAACTGCTGCGTTCTCCCGCCCAGACCGCCCGCTACCACGACATCTACACCCGCCTCATCGCCCACAAAACCCAAGCCGGCGACCCCGACCTCAACGCCCAAATCCACAAGTCGATGCAAGGCTTCAGAAGCTCCACGGACACCCCCCTCGCGTTCCTCGTGGCCGAAACTATCGCCGCGTATCCCAACGCAAAGTTCATCCTCACCGTCCGCCCAGACGGCCCGAAAGGCTGGTGGACGTCCATCTGGAACACCTCCTCCTGGCACTGGCGCACCGACTGGCTCCGCACCGTCTTCCGCACGCTCATCTACCCCGTCTCGTTTCTCCGGCGCGTCGACGACAAAGTCCTCCTCATCCGCGAGATCTGCCTGCAGCGCTACGGGTGCTGGGATGAAGGGACGTACGAAAGACATAATGCGCTCGTTAGGGCGTTGGTACCTCCTGAGCGGCTGCTTGAGTTTGATGTTAGGCAGGGGTGGGGGCCGCTGTGTGGGTTTTTGGGGGTTGAGATTCCGGAGGGGGTGGAGTTTCCGAGGTTGAATGAGAGGGAGAGTATGGTGAGTTTGTATTTGGGGTTTATGTTGTTTGGGGGGTTTGTGTGGTGTTGTTATGCGGTTTTTGTTGGGGGTGCGGTGGCGGTGGCTGTTTGGCCTGGGTTGTTGGAGAGGGCGGTGGAGGGCGTTCGGGGATGGATGGTAGGGGTTTGGTGAGTGGGCGTGTAACGTCCACCTTATGGGCAGAGAGAAATAAGTTAATTCACTTTACTCCCCTGCCCTCCAACTCCTTGACACTCCCGCCATCAACTCACGACTCGACAGACCTCTCCACGACACCCCCTTCTTCCTCTCCCGTCTCCACCTCACCTCCATCCTCTCCATCCTCCGCCTCATCCCACTATCAACACCACATTCCTCCCAATTCGCCCTACCAACAGCCCTCTCCCACTTAAAAAAAACCTCATCAGCTCCACTCTCCCATCCAACAAGAAAAAAATCAGAAAACTCACATCCTCAACAACCGCCTCCCACAGCAACCCCACCCGAAATCCTCCCATCCTCCTCCAAGCTCAGCACAAACGATCTCCCCCCTTCCTCATCCGGCGTCGTCAACACAATCAGCGGCGTGCTGATCGGCTCCGGCACGAACACGGCCTTTGCAAGCGTTCCGTCGCCTCGCTCCAGGAGGTCGGGGCCCCGGCGGGAAGGGGAGGAGATTATGAAGGCGTCGAGGTAGTTTTCGATTTCGGTTTCGGGGTCGGGTGGATGGTGGGAGGTGTTCGGTGGGAGGTGTTCGGTGGGAAGTGTTCGGTGGGTGGGGGATGAGTGGGTTGCGGGTGAGATGGCATGGTGGGGAGGGGGCTCTGGCTGTGGGAGTGGATATGTCGCCGATTGCTGCAGCGGAGGATCGTGTTGGTACGAGTTTAGCCTGATGAGGAGAGAGGAACGTACTGCTGTGGGTGGTACTGTGCTTCAGATGTAGATGTTGAAGGGACGACAAGTGTGTGTTTTGATTAGGGAGGGATCTTGAGGGGGAAGGAGGAATAGCACTGCAACGACAGTCTCTGCGCTGAGAGTTTCGATGAACCTTTTTTTCTTATTTCTTGCTTACAGTCGGCCAATCATGAAATCCACAATCACATGCTCGTGACATATACCTCTGATATCCTCGTGGCAAGTGGAGCCACTTGCCTCTCTCAGGCTGTTGCTTTCCTAGTAACCTGGTACAGAAGTGCTTCAGACCAGAGCAAGGCAGCCTGATCAGCTTATGCCTCTGCCACGATTGGCCAACCCTCCATAAAAAAAATCCCATCCCATCCTAGAGACTCACTGGCCAGTCTGCGATGAACTCTGCGCGTTCAACAAATTCGTCGCCGCCCTTAGCGACGCCATCAACCTCTCGTAGCCGTGGTTCAGCGCTCGGAACCGCTGGATCAGGTCGATTTGAACTTCGTGCCAGGTGCCCGCGACGTTGATGGGGGAGGAGACGATGATGGGGACCTTGAACACAGTCGTTAGCTCATCGCGGTCCTCTATGTCGGAGGAAAAGGGGTGAGACTTACCTGCTCCTCGCCCGTAGAAGAATCGCGCCTCACACTCGTCGACATGTCGCCGAAGGGGTTCGCTGGGAGGAGGATTGGTGGTGGGAGCTGCAGCTCGGGGATGACGGGCGCTGATTTCGATAGTGGTGTGATAGTAGGCATCTTTGCTTTCTATTATAGATTGTCAGTATACGAGACGATACAAAGGGGTTGGAGGGCAACTGACTGGCATGGCTTTTGATGAAGTGTTGGGGATGGATGCGAGTTGTGAGGTGTGCGATGTGAGAGGAGAAGAGAGACGTGAAGGGCATGTACATTGGATTTAAGGTGAAAGAAATTCGCGCTATGCCTTGTGTGATTTTAACATTTGTGCGCTTTGAAAGCTCTTCTTTGGGGGAAGAGTAGTGAGTGAGTTTGCTTACCTTTCCCGTTCCCACGGCGTCGGGTGCTGGATTTCCTGCTAGCGCGGCTGACTAGCTCCGCTTTCATGTGAGCGCCAAGAGTACGAAGCACCATCACCTTGCGAAGAAGGCAGCCTTATGTCACACTGATAAGTTTCCACCTTACTGCCCTAGAGTTTGCCCTTGTCTTTCCACACCGAACCATTCTCACTTCCGCACATTCACGATGGCATCCCAGCAAAGCGACAGCCATCCAAGCAACCGATCGACAGCATCGGGGCATGGTAGAGGCCAGGAGATGCGAGACGTCAACACCACCGAAGCGGATTCGAAGCGCCGTGAAGAAGCTGAGCTGGCGAAGCAGCTCCACCGGGAACAGATGTACTACGCCGAGAAGAAGGCTCAGATTGGCAAGCAAGCCACCACAACGGGTTGTAGCGCTACGGTGCCCACCTCGACGCCCATGCTCACAACGCAAGCGCAAGAAGTGCATTTTACAGGTGAAACTGCCGTACAAGCAGTCATGCGCCAGAGTATGTCTATGGAGCAGCTTCGTCTGCGTGAGTACCGCCGCAACCTGCGCGCTGTGCATTCTCACGGAATTGATAAGGTACATTGCCAGCGGAAAGGCCAGGAGAGGAATGCAGCGCAGGTAAAAGCGCTTGAGGAGGAGCTCTCGAAGATGACTCTTTGAGAGAGTGTATTGATAAGGATGATGGGAGGCATGGACGGGCTTGTGGCTTCGGGGAGAAAGCGGTGTATTTGTGAGAGGAGGGATGTGTTCACTGGTTGAGACGGCGGGCACTGGATGTGACTGTCTTCGTCGGAGAGCGCATACAGAGATCACTCTCTCCTGAATCTTGAGAGTGACCAGGCTGGCGATTATAGCGCCAGGGACGTACATGGTGGATGGGCTATGGGGAGTCCGTGAGGGACAAGGGAAAGAGAAGCGAACCCAATTGCTACTCAACCTGGAGAAGATGAGCAATGACCAAAACGAGGCACCTTTCGAACGACTGCAACGAAAAATCGAAATGAGAGAATAATTGCAAAAAGGGAAGAGCCACAACGTATTGCTGTGACACGGAATTGAACCGCTTCAACTTCGATTGATCATCGGGGTCTTAACCTTTGTTTGCAGAGCTACTTCCCTGAGTGGCCAGTCACCCTCTGTTGGTTTATATACGCTCATCGCTCATGCATCCATCGCGCAGCGAAACTCGGCCGAAGGAACGAGTGAGTCAAATCCTGTCCGTGGAGCAACCTGAGGCATGCATGCGGATGCGTCTGCCTGCTGCTGTGATGCTTTTGACTTGAAAGGCTCCTTCTTCAATCGCCCTCGCCAAAATCTCCGTGTCCTGTTTTCCGAGCGTGCTCGACTGCCCATTGCTGGCCGTTGCCATTCTGCCCGCATTGGTTGCACTTCAACGAGAAGCCATGCGTGTCGGTGAAGTAGTGCTTGCTCTGCAAGCCCTTGCACAGTTCTCGAGCAGCCTCTAAAGCACCTCCATCGATTTCCTCGCCATCCGTTCGAACGACGTCGAAGACCTTGCGATCAAACTCTGGTTCAGCGCCGGAGAAGGGTGTCACCGCGCAGACGTCGTAGTGAATTCCTGAATAGACAAGGATACACCTCGTCGGCCGTCCCTCATTGAATGTGTCGATTCTCAAGTCCTGGACGTTGATGCTGCAGATCTCGATGTCGAAATGCTGGCTTAGAATCGAGAGCTCGATGCCGCCCCCCCAACTGTCCTCGCGCTGAATCCACTTGCAGTAGTCGACAGGCTTCTTCTCAAGCATGCCTTCGGTGTAGAGGTCGGGCTGCGCTTGGATGGTTTGGGCGACGACTGATCGAAGCTCGGTCATGCCATCTAATGCTGAGCCCAGGACAGCAGAGGAGAGTGCTCGAAACATGCACGAGTTGTCATCTGGCATGACACGTAACACCATCACCCCGTCCAGCAGCGGGACTGGCACTTCTGGCGGATCGCTCTCGATGTCTGGCCGCTTCTTCCTCGTGAGTCCCAGTGGCTGGTCTGGAAAGTCACCTTGCTTGTGCTGAGGTGGGGAGGTCAGGTCCCGGGGTGGCAACGCCTTCACAGTCTCTGGTGCTCGCTGGGTTCCCTCCATGGGACTGGCAAGTTTCTTCTGAACATCTCGCGGAGCGATCGTGAACTGCTCTCCGTTCAGCTTGTGGGGTATATATGAGAGCTTTGTCTGGCCATTGATGGACTCGGTATTGAACGGCTGCGGCGGGTAGCCGTACTTGATGTCGAAGTCTGCAACGCCAGTCTTTTCGCTGATTTCATGGAAGAGTTGGCTCCATGTTGCTGCGCTGTCGATGCTAATTGTTGCCACTCCTTGAGGTCCTCGAACACGCAGACGGATAGCCCCCGTCATGGCGCTTGATCGGAGATGGTCTGATCCAGTGTAATTTGCAAATCTTTCTGTACGTGGCGTATCTTTGAGATGCGTGAGTCTAATGATGAGACACTCTCGAGTCGTAATTCGAGGAATGCTATATCGTAGTCGTGGCTTCTTCGAAGGTGTGGATCGAATTCTGGTGCTTGTCTTGTGATTTGCCTCTGTCACCGTGTCGAGTTTGCTACTAGAAGCGTGATTCGAGCAAGCTGGCGAATGTTTTCTGCCGAGTTCCACAAGATCTGTTAGTCTGTTAGTAATTGAGGCAAGTGAATGATGCGCACGTGCTCTCTCCACGGGAAGTGCGGCTGCTCCCGCTCGCTAAATCTGCAAGGGCCAGCTGCGCGTCTCCAACCTCGCGCATCAGACATCGCCAATCCCACCAGCTCTCCAACGCAACCATCACCATGGCGGGACCAGGACGACCATCCAAGAATCGTGAGAAGAGTCCGAGCACAACCCCCGTTCCGTCGACCGAACAGCAGAATGATGGCTCCAACATCCCCGACGCCGAATGGGCCGCCATGTCCAAAGTCCTCAATGCCATCTACGACTATCGCACCGAAGATGGATTCGACCCATCCAAGTTGTTCCAGCGCAAGGTCAACAAGCGCGTTATCCCGGAGTACTATGACACAATCAAAGAGCCCATGGCTCTGTCCACCATAAAGCAGAAGATCCATCAGAAGCAGTACCAGAACTTTGCGGAGTACGTGCGCGACTTCGCCCTGATACCACATAATGCGCAGGTTTTCAACGTGCCGGAGAGTGGCGCTTTTCAGGATGCGCTGGTCATCAAGGAGCAGTTGGAGAAGCAGCTGCAGTTGCTTGTTAAGGACGGCGTCATCACCCAAGAAGTCGCAACACTTCCAGACCTCGGCGAGATTCCCAACTACGAGCCTGCGCCGGTCGAAGAAGGAGATGGCGACGGCGACGAAGAAGAAGAGTCGGACGAGGAAGGCGAAGAGGACGAGGATGATGACGGAGAAGAGGATGAGGAGGGGAGGAAGAAAAAGAGGCGCGGCCCTAGGAGTGGAACATCAATAGCCAAGCGGGAGGCTGCTGAAGATCAGGAGGGCGGAAAGCGATCGCGAGGGCGTCCGCCTAAGCTGTTGACGCCAATGGAAGCACGCATTCAGGCCATCCTCAAGGGCATTCGCAAACCCAGGAACAACCGCAGCACGCTTATGATCAAGCACTTTGACAGATTACCGGACAAGGCGCAGATGCCTGAGTATTATGTCGAAATCAAGAACCCCATGGCCTATGACCAACTCAAGCGCAAGGTCAAGCGCAAGAAGTACAAGATGTTGGACGAATTCATGGCGGATGTCAACCTCATGTTCAACAACGCCAAACAGTACAACACGGACGACTCGCAGATCTACAAAGATGCCGTGACACTGCAAACGGAGGCTAGCCGCCTGTACGATGAGGAGATAGCCAAGCCTGACGAGTCGTTTGCGGACGATGAGGGCAAAATGCCTATGCCGAATGGTATCCTCCACAATGGCGAACTCTACAAGGTTGGCGACTGGGTCCACATCCAGAACCCGAATGATCTGACGAAACCTATTCCGGCTCAAATCTATCGCACTTACAAGGCAGCCAACGGGCAATCAATGGTTAATGTCTGCTGGTACTATCGACCTGAGCAAACTGTCCATCGCTTTGACAAGCACTTCTTCCCCAGCGAAGTTGTCAAGACTGGTCGATATAGGGACCACAACATTGAGGAAGTTGAAGGCAAATGCTTCATCATGTTCTACACCAGATTCTTCAAAGGACGACCCAGAGGCTTACCGCAGGGCACAGAGATTTACGTTTGCCAATCGCGATACAACGAACAGCTTGGTCAATTCAACACTATCAAGACCTGGGCCAGTTGCTTGCCTGATGAGGTGCGAGACAAGGACTACGAGATGGACCTCTACGACTACCCGCGCAAAATGAAGAAGTTCCCGTCGCCTATCAAATACCTGCTCAAAGACGAGCAGAAAGAGACAGACGAGCTGCCACTTGCGACTTGGGGAGCTGAAGGAGCGCCACCAAAAGTCGGAGCAGTGCACAAGAGACCAAGGAACGAGAAAGACTCGCCACCACCAGAGCCGACTCCAGAGCCTCCGCCAAAGCTACCTACACCACCTCCACGACAAATACCACCAACACCTCAAACCTACACACCCGCCGTGGCACAGGCACAGCCCAACAGACCACCGTCCACTGGCATCGCGCCGAGCTATCCAGGATTAACACCGGCAGCGCGACCACAACAGTATCAACAATACCCCCAATACGCCCCGAATGCTGCTCCGTCTCCGGCCCAACGCCCACCGTCGGCCCAGGCACAAACTTATCAACAGCCGTCGACTCCACAACAGTCACAAGCCGCTCCACCGAGACCGATTGCACCTCCTCAATCACAGTACAGCCAACCAGCTGTGCCACCCAATCCGACAGCATATCCTCCACGGCCGACGACCGCCAACTACCGTGAGCCGCCCCCAGTTGAGGTCTACACGCTGCCAGATGCCGCCAATTTGTCGATTCCACCAGAAGTACGTAAGCAGTATCAGCGGGATAGCTTTGACCGTGTGCTTTTCTTCACCACCCCTCCTGTCAGCGCCGACCAAGATAGTCTCGCGCGTGGGCACAGCGTTCGCTATCTTGCCGAGAAGGCGCGTCGAGCAGATTTGCTCAGCAAGAAGCGCAAAGAGCGCGAGTCGCAGAAGGAGGACGAAGCACAGATTTTCAAAAAGGCACGTGTTGAAGAAGCGCAGCGTTCGACGGGACAGATTCAAGGGTTGAAACGCAAGGCCTTGGATGTCCTTGACCACCAGCTGGCCTCGTCGGTCAAGGGAAAATTAGGGAACCAGGAGCTTTCCATATTGAGTGCGGCACAAAAGACCGAGTTGAAGCGGAATCTTCTTATGGAAAAGAACAAAGACAAGAGAGACTCGATGCGCAAGGTATCTCTCGGCAGCGACTTTTTTGCAGACGACTGGGACTCTAGGCTGGTTCAGTAAGTGAGGTCTGCAATCGAGCCTCGCCGGCCAGCTAGCTGTTTGGAAACTGCCAAACCGTAATCTGCATTGGGATACCCAAAACTTCATTCAATATCAACAACAACATAACCTTCTCACCCAAAGAATCCCCGTCTAAAAGCCACAACGCCATTCTCCTCCACAGCCTTCGGCTCCGGCAACCTCTCCACATCCGCCCCATGACACCGAATCTCCCCCGTCACCAACGCATATCTCTTCTCCCACACCTTCCCATACGCCGCCCAGAAGTCCTCCGCATCCTTCACCTCCAACACCCGCATGATATCTTCCACCTCCGCATGTTCCTCTTCGCCCATCAGCCAGGACGCCGCGAAGATGCAAGCCGCTGTGATGGCTCTTTCGTCCAGGTGAGTGGCATATCAGCCCGAAGAGGCCATTTTCGTGGTGAGATCTTTGGCGATGTGCGTTGTGCGTGCGGGGAGGTGGAGCGCGGCGGTGTGGTGGTAGCAGGCGGCTGCTGAGGGGGGGGGTAGTCGGGGGGATAGTCGGAATGGGAGGACATTTTGGTGTCGACCTTGGATTGATGTGGAAAGTTTTGGGTAGGGGAGTGATTCGATTGGGAGGGGCCTGGGTTGCGATGTTTGCGGGTGAAGTGGCATATGTATGTGGTTGAGAGGGGGGGTATGGTATGTTGAACGATTGAATGAGGGAGGGAGCTGGGACGGTGTGTTGTATGCAACACTACCAAGTAGGTTGCGTGTATGGTACGCTGCGTCTTCATCTATAACGTATCCTTCTCCGAGAAGTCGACCTTCAGCCCTCTGTGCCCTCTCCTCCATACCCTCCACCAAAATGTGCTGGTCCACCACCCTCGTCCACAAATGCAGCCTCTCCACCTGTCCCGCGCCCTCCCTAGCCTTCAAAGAATTCAAAGCGATATCGCCATGCTCGAACCGCGAGAACCTGGGAAGGCACATGCCTTGGCCGAGGGGATGCTCCTTTTGTAGGAACGTCTACGGCGTGCAGAATCCCAGTCCGCATAACACGCCGTTCGATCATCGGATCGTGCAGGAGAATCCCCTCGTGGTGAGGAGGTCGGTTTGTCTGGCGTGTCGGGGGAGGGAGGGTATCCACGATCTGGGTATTCCCAGGAATGACGAGCAGGAAGTCCTCCATCCCTCGGATCTCACAAAGATATTCTGCACGATCCTGAAAATCCCCCACCCCCGAACTATCGACCTAGCAGGCGCAATCGCCAGCACCCTCGATCCCATCCGCCTTCGAAACGGCCTTGCGCCGCACGCCTTCACAGCAGCCTGCATCTTCGCCGCCTCACATATCGCACCCTGCCCCGAACCAATCCCCATCGACCACCTAATCACCACCTTCAACCTCAAAACCCGCACCTGGTTCCTCCACGCCTACGCCACGCTCTTCACACACCGGCACCTCATCGCCGAAGCAGGCGCCGTGCGGCACCCCGCCATCCTCTCCGCCATGCCGAAACCGTGCTGTCTACGCCCGCAAACGAGACATTGCCCACGCGGCAAGAACAAATGGGGGTTCGAAGAGGATCGCTGCACGGCGACGCAGGAAGGCGGACTGCATGTTATAGGCGCGTATGTGGGCTTTCGGAATTGGTTGCAGGATGGCGGGTTGCCGTTGAATGTTACGAGGGAGAAGTATTATTCTGAGAGCGATTTGGTGTTGTTGAGGAGTGAGAGGTTGCCTGGGCAGGTGGAGGGTTGAGTTTTTCGAGGTATATGTGGTGTTGTTCGCTGATTATACGGATTGAGTGGGGTTTTTCTCGACTTCGTCTTGTGCCTTTTTCATGATGCCGTCTTCGATTTCTGCTTGGGTTTGTCCGAAGATCAGTGTGCCGTTCCAGATGCCTCGGAGTGTGAATCCTAGGTTTATGATGTACAACGTCGCGATGAAAACCGTCAGAGCACAGTATATCCCTCGAAACGCTGGGGAGTCCATAGAGTTGGCCAGTTGCAGTATGGCGGACGTGGCTGTCACCGTAGGGAAGACACAACTCCACCATGCCAGCGAGTATGTCGCTTGCTTCTTGATGAGGATCTCGGCGACGCCGATGAAGGCAAGGCCAAACCAGAGAAAATCAAAGCCCAGGAGGAGTAGGGCGAGCAGGATGCCAGAAGTTTGGATTCCAAGGGCGGTTTCTGCTGTCCAAAATGTGCCGTACTGTGGTGATTGTAGAGATGTCGGCTTGTAGTCTGCGAATCTGTTGTGCCCTGCTGCTGAGAGACCGAGAACCTGCAGAGCGGCTGCCAGTTGTCCACATGGACCGATCTGTGAACACTAAGTCAGCTGGAGGCACGAAAGTTACTGTGGTGCTTGCCTACCAAGATGAAAAGACCGGGTCTCTTCGATGGTATGGTCCATCCCGAAGCCAAAAGTCGGTGGAAGTAGATGGTGTAGAGCACTATGGCCATGAAGAGCGCCACACCCACGGCGAAGTAGCCGACCACAAGCATCGGACCTGCCAGACGGGCTGACATACAGCAAGCTCGAGTCGTGATCAATCCTGCCTCTGTACCTGCGGTCGCAAGTCCGACGGGCGCCATGAACAGCACCGGCGTCATGACTCTGTCCGCCTGGTTGCCTGTGTGGAAGAGGACTGGGAAGACCACCATAGCGGTTGCAAACACCCAAGCACACCCAATCCACCAGAGGACGTAGGCGACCAATGTCCATGCATGGCCACTCCAGCTCGCGTTACTGATTTGCGTTGCCGTGAGCGCACCGATAGTCATCAGCGATATGGGTGGTATGGCGTAAGCTAGCAGTTCATCTGGATTATTCATCGCCCGGCGGACTGCAACGTGAGGATAGATGATCCAGCAGGCTATCATAATGGCTGAGAAGAGGATGTACGTTACCACCTCAACCACAAAAAGAATGGAGGCCAAGATCTCGAGCCATCGTCCTTGGTATGGAAAAGGTCCATTGAGGAGGGAAGCAAGGCCACCGGATGAGATGCAAACTGCGAACTGGTAACAATTAGTGCTGGAAGAATGCAGAGGTATCAGCATCACACATACCCACATGGGCGCGAACCCTTCCAGCGCTGCGCCCCATTTTGTCGTGGCATGTCGATAGTGCCTGATCGACCGCATGAAGAACCGCTGTCCTCGATGGGCTTTGTGCTGCTCCGTATCGACATCGTCGTCAAGGCGCTCCTCAATTAGGTTGTATGGTACGACGAAGTCATACTGGCTTTCCGGTCGAGAGAGGACGGCGTTCATCGATCCGCCAATACTGGTAATCGCGGATGCCAAGATGCGAATTCGTGGAGGCGAAGTAGACAATAAATCGTGTCAAGTGTCCAGTAGTTCAGATTGTCTCTAAGTGGTAAATGTTGCGTTTATGCGAAAAGTTCACGTGCAGACACGGAAAAAGGAAGCTCAAAATGAAGTGAAGTCGAAATTGGCTTCTGGATCCAAAGACCTACTTGACGTCAAGCGACAAACCATGTGTACACCCATCCTACCGCCCATGGCGAAGCTGCTCGTTCCTTGAACAGAATCTTCCAAAGCGACGTCGGATTTGCGTCATGGAGAACGCGAAGGCGACAGGGAACTGGGCGCCACCACGGCATCTAGCTGCGAACTGCGCTGGTGAAGTAGAACGTGTACATAGCCTGCTTGGACATTTACGAGTCGATGGATCGTGGTATCGCAGCCAAAAAAAAGTGTGTGAAATGGCGATGGCGATGTGAAAGTTGAGGGAGAGGTGTCGTTGAACTGAGGAGTGAAGAAAGTCAGCGACCACGTGACTTTCTGTTACTAAAAGCGATGTGATTGGCTGAGATAGGGGCACGGCCAACGCGAACTCCACGCGACTCCCACGATCGATTCCAACGACAGCTGCATGGCCAAAAGCCAAGAGATATATCAAAAAACCACCACAACACCAGCTCACAGCACCAGCAGATAGCACAGAAGCCTGGTCTGGACCTTGAATTCTTCTCTTCTATCGCCATTATTGCTGAGACCACCTACCTTCAGCCACGCTAGCAATCGCAAGACTCCATCCTCGAGATCCCTAGCCACGTTGCAAAGGAAAAGCAAACCGCGGAAAAAGACAAACACGTGGAGACCCAGACTCTGTTTCAAATACCATCATAGCAAGCCCTGTCGCCGTGAAGAACTTCGAGACCAAAAGCCCCCAGGCTGCCCGTCCAGCCCGCTTATCTCCATGGCTTCCATTTTGGGCAGACGTTATCTCTGCCAACGATAAGCGTGCGTTCCGGCAGATTGTCCTATAGCTGCTCCTGAATGACGACAATGGGGTCCCCATTGGAGTAAAGACTAGACGGTGATTCGCTCGTTGGTGTTGTCAGCACGAGGTTCGAGGTTCAACATCGGGTCCTTGGGCTGCTCAACGAAAATTACCTTGGGAGACGAAGTCGAGGGGTCGAACGACAGAACGACGCACTCGGCGTGATGAATTGACGACGGAGAAAGAGAATAATACTGCCAGCCTTCAATCGAATCTAGACATCGACAGAAGACGCCTCAAACCCAACATCGACAGGACACCTCGCTGCAGGAAGACAGAGATAGACGCAACAACCCGGGGTTGGCTGTCCTTCTTATCAGGGCCAAGCATTGGCCAGCTGCTCGCATCCATCTGGATTAGAGGAAGGAATCTACGCAGCCAGCAGCACAGCACGAGTCCGCGGACTTGTATTTCTTTTGCTCTGTTGGCTTTGCTAAAGCGATCTCACATTCTCGTTGACGTTGGTGTAGCGTACCGGAGAAGCACGATCTGCGCACTTGCTACCGGAAAGACTTGGGAGGTTGGATATTAACTACTAGAGGAAGTGTCTTTTTCTTGATTTCGTGTTTTCAGTATGCTCTTTGACAATCATTCATCTGGTTCATCGTACTCTAGTCTGCTGCGCTTACCAAAAAGCCGAGAAAGACTGAGGCTATTGGTGCCATAGGCCTGCATCGCGCATACAGATACAGCTGTTCAAGATGGGCTTCTCGATCTCGCTGCTGTGGGCTCAGCCAGAGGTCAATCCGATCAACGGCAAGGCTCGCTCGATTCCAGTCCTCAACCCCATCAACAAATATGGACGAGTGTTCTTCTTCTCCTGGTTTGGTTTCTTGCTGGCTTTCTGGTCTTGGTGAGTTTGGGCAGCTATGGCATTCCAGCTACCACATCTAACATTACATACAGGTACGCCTTTCCACCACTCCTTCACGACGTGATTGCCAAGGACCTCCACCTCAGCGCGAACGAAATCAGCAACTCAAACATCATTGCCCTGGTAGCCACTCTCTTGGTCCGACTGGTAGCTGGACCCGCCTGCGATCGCTTCGGACCAAGATGGACATTCGCAGGTTGTCTCCTCATCGGCGCCATCCCTACCTTCCTCTCAGGCACAGCTTTCAACGTCGCCGAGCTCTACGCACTGCGCTTCTTCATCGGCATCCTCGGCGGCAGCTTCGTCCCCTGCCAGGTCTGGACCACCGGCTTCTACGACAAGAACGTCGTCGGCACCGCCAACTCCCTCACCGCAGGCCTGGGTAACGCCGGAGGAGGCATCACCTACTTCGTCATGCCCGCCGTCTACGACAGCCTCGTCAAAGACGGCCTCACCCCCCACGTCGCCTGGCGCGTAGCCTTCATCGTCCCCGGCGTCCTGATCACAGCCGTGGCCCTCGCCCTCCTCTTCTGCTGCCAGGACACCCCAACAGGCAAATGGTCCGAACGCTTCCAAGCCGCCGAGGAGAACATGTGCCGCCAAAGCGCTCAAGAAACCATCGTCGACGTCCCCGGCGGCATCACCGCCGCAGGTAAACGCTCCGGCTCCTCCAGCCCCGCCAACACCGACGAGAAGAAAGTCGACCCCACCGGCGGCGCCTCCCCAGCAGACATGGAGACGCAAACCGGCTCCCAGCAGATCCTCGCCACCGCCCGCGGCGAGGTCGTCCAGAAACCCTCTTTCAAGGATATCGCGAAAATCTGCGCCTCCCCGCAGACCTGGATGCTCGGCGCTTGCTATTTCTGCACCTTTGGCGGCGAGCTCGCCATCAATAGCATCTTGGGCACATATTACGGGATCCAGTTCAAAGCGGATAACCTCTCGCTGCAGGAGTCGAGCAACTGGGCGGCGATGTTTGGGTTGATGAATGCGCTTTTCAGACCTCTGGGTGGCGTTGTGAGTGATTACGCCTATCGATCGACGAAGAGCGTGTGGGCGAAGAAGATCCTCCTACACACCTACTCCATCATCGCGGGAGCCTTCCTGCTGGCTATCGGGTTGACCAACCCCACCGACCTGGCGACGTTGGTTTGTCTCGTTGGTGTTGGGTTTGCGTTCTTCTTGGAAGGCGCGAATGGACTGAACTTCTCCGTCGTGCCACATGTGCACCCTCATGCGAACGGTGTTGTATCGGGATTCACGGGCGCGGCTGGTAATCTTGGTGGAATCATCTTTGCCATCATCTTCCGGTACAACTACAAGGACTATGCCCGGTCGATCTGGATTATTGGGGTGATCATGATTGCGATCAATGTGGCGGTTTGCTGGATCAAGCCTATCCCCAAGGGCCAGATTGGTGGGAGGTAGATGTGGAAGTAGTACATTACGAGGGTGAAAGCCACATGACTGCCCTGTCTTACATGTTGTTAGCGCGAGATATCCAATACAAATCAAATGAGTACATGACAACGATGACAGCACAGGATCGCAAGTAATGTGCACGTGGAAAGAGTGTGGCCTGTTCTGAAGAAAGGCGCCAGCCGAAGCCAGCGTACTTCATTTCGCTATGGTGTGGTATGGCATGTCCTCCAAAGCCCTCTTTTTCAGGCACGAAGTCCAGGGTGCCCACTTATGCAGCAATGGTAACCTCGACCTCAACACCAGCCTCGATGTTGATGATGATCTGCTTGACGACCTCGGTGGGGGCGTTGAGATCGATCAGACGCTTGTGGATTCTATTTTCAATCTTCATGTCAGTCTCCTCATTCTCTCCTTGTATTCTCCCTTTCTCGCGGAACTCCTCGTCCAAACTCACCTCATCTCATACATATCCCAAGTCTTAGAACCCTCACCGCAAGGCGTCTTGCGGGTGGAGATCTTGAGGTTCTTGGTCGGGAGACGGACAGGGCCCTTGACGCGGAGGTCCTTGGACTTGGCGCGCTCGATGAGCTCGCTGCAGACCTTCTCGAGCGACTGCACCTTGCGGCTGGTGAGGGTGATGCGGATCTTGTGGATCTTGGGTGCGTCGAGCTGGGACGTCTTCTTTGCGTCTTGGAAAGACATGGTGGGCGAGGTTTTTTTGGTGAGGTTTGGTTTGGAGGTGGGTTGGGTGAAGAGGGAATTCCGACCACGACTGTGTTGGTGTTAGTATATTCGCATTTGGTCGTGGAAGTGTGTTTGTTGCGCACCTCGGTCTGTAGACTCGGCAAAGTGATGATCGGTGCAGAGGGAAGTCTTTCGCTGTGGTCGCGAGTTGGGAATTTGGACTTTGAGATGCCAAGATTTTAACGGGTAGTACCCGCAACTAGTCCCTAATTGGAGATCGGTGTCGATCCATTTCTCCAACATCACCTGCACTCCAGTTCGTCGTAAAAGGCAGTCACTGCCAATTCTACAGAAGACTCCGGAAAGGACTATCCGCTCTTTGCCTACCTGCTCAATACATTCACCATGTCGCTGCCGCCTTTTGCACCAATTCCACCGGCCACCGTCCGCATCAGCTTGGGACCTGAAGAGTGGGAAGCATGTCTGGACGCCTGGTTGACGCTCTCTGAAATGGCCCTGCGAGTTACAGTCTCCGAAATCAACTCAATAACAGGCATTGATGGATCTCTGTCAACGTACCTGGTCTCGTTCTATTCCGAAATCTCAGACCTCAAACAGAGCGACGCCACGCTGAGAAACGCTAAGACCGTGTCCATCCTCAAAGTCAACTTCCGACTTGTGAAGCGAATATGGATAGAGTCGGATGCAGTACCACCATCGCTCCTCAGTTTCGACGTTTTGTCGAAGTTCTGCCATGCGCATACTCGAGTGCCAGACCTCCCAGTTACACAGCAGCTCTTGAGTGAGCTATGGAAGCGGAGATCAAGCGCCTTCACCCTTGTCCTGCAGAAACAGAAAGACGCCATGATTCTTTCACTCGATTCGAAGAACACCGATAGCGTCATGAAGCCACTCACTCAATTGGCTCCACTGATGCATATGTCGTTTGACATTAGTGCCTTTTTCATGACCGGCTCGGACTTCATAGATTCCCTCAACTCAGCATATGATCGCAGTCCGATCGATGATCAGAGGAAGGCGATATCGATGATTGTATATCTTGGTCTGTTGTCTCTTGTGAAGACGGAGCCGCCGACGCTTTCACTTCTGTCCGACCACCTTTACTCCTTGAAGAGCTCAGCTGAGAAATCTCCGGGCTCGCTGTTGCTGGCAGATGTCATCTCAAACAGTCAGCTTGTTTCGAAAGTCCGACAATCACTGTCTGGCAGGGCACCAGATAGACTTTCAAAGCTGCTCGACTCGCTTGACACCTACCGTACCCCCAGTCTGACCAGACCAAAGAAACGCAAGAGAAGAGCGGCGTCGAGGGCCAAGGGCAAACAGAAGCAGCAGCAGCCAGATGCTGCCCTTCACATGCATCGCATGAGTCTCGTCACTCAAATTCAAGATCTTTTCCCAGACCTCGGCTCGGGATTCGTGCTCAAGTTGCTTGACGAGTACAACGACGATGTCGAACAAGCCACGGCACATCTGTTGGAAGACAGCCTCCCACCACATTTGGCTTCACTTGACAGGACTGAACAAGCACCTGTGCATGACAATGACTGGCAAACTGAGGTCGACCACCTTGCGCCTAAACCAACACCTCCCCTAACTGCGTCTTTCGTTCCAGAACGACGCAATGTCTTCGACGACGATGAGCTTGATCAACTGCAGCTCGGCACGAGTCGTTTGCACATTGGCAAACAGGACAGAAACGAAGACGCTGAGCAGCAGCCGAATAAAGCCGCCATCCTGTCAGCCCTTGCTGCATTCGACTCTGATGATGATGAGAGAGACGATACCTATGATGTTGAAGATGTTGGCGGCACAGTCGATAACGCACATCCTGATGGTGAACCAGGGCCTGCTGCCAGAATCTCACAAGAAGAGAACGACATGGCACTCTTCACAGCGTACAAGTCTTCGCCTGAGCTCTTCGGTCGAACATTTGATGTGAGGAGGGGCCAAGCACGGCAAGCCCTGAAGGCCGAGACAGGGATGACGGACGAAGCCATCGAAGGCTGGGCGATCATGCTGCAGCGAGATCCAAAACGGCTCAAGCGACTTGAGGCTCAGACGGGCGCTTTCGACGGCAGGCAGACGGAGCTCGCTAGCACTTCGTACCGCGAGAGTCCAGGTGGCACCGAGACCGAAGACTCAGATGCACCTCAAGGCAGCAGAGGTGGCTTCCATGGCAGAGGACGAGGTCGAGGCGGCAGAGGTCGTGGTCGAGGTGGCAACGTCGCTGGTGAATCCAATGACCCGGCTACTGCGCAAGCACAGCGACGCAAGGAGGCGAATAAGAGCAGCAGAGCCAACCATAACCGCCGGGATCAACGAGCTCGCAAGATGGCTCGCGGTGGCTTCCCAGGGTAAAATTACCATACGACTAGGCAGAGGCATTCACACCCGTCAATACCAACACGTTCACAAGTCTGTAGACACTCAAGTTTTCGAGAAGGTCGTCGCAGACTCTGTTTCCGCAAAAGCCCATCCGCTCCGGGCTCGCCACCGCCAAGCAAAGCGTAAGCCATATCGCCAGCCAACGACTCGCCCGCCCAGCACCCAGCCCACAGCACAACCACCGGCCGAGGCTCGCAACCCGCAAGAAGTGACAGTATATAAGTTTGAAAAACCTGCCCTCTTCCAATCATCACATCAGTCACCCAAATCAGGGGAAGTGGTCTAGCGGTAAGACGCGGAGGGGCTTTGGCCAGATATCTCTCACTACTGGTCCAGGGCGAGTTCCATCTCTACACTCAGTACCTTAACTCCGAGACGCGAGTTCGATTCTCGCCTTCTCCAATCTTTTTTGCTTCGGTGGTGGTTTCTGATGCTGGCTTTTGTGGTGGCCCCTGACCTTTTTTTTTTGTGTTTGCCCTGCTCCCTCTCTTCATTTTTCTTGCTGTGGTCTTTCCCTTGTCATCGATTTTCGACCGTCTATTTACACAGCAGGTGCTGTCGATTCAATCCCTGCATCTTCGTAATGGCAGCCTGTGCCATGTCTCTTACAATACACACAAGACGCTCAAACATTGTCACACTCAGCATACCATTACCCAATCGCTACGTAAAGCTGCTTCATCCGACATAAATCGACTATTTCTCAGCCGACACCAACGGGGGAATTTTTCGAAGAGCAGAGTAACGCTTCTGACCCGATTTCGCTTGCGGAGTCAAGGAGGTGACAAGAGAACTCGAACAGCTACTTCACGACCCTCCGATTTACAGTCGGCCTGGCAGACCGAGTTTCCTGGTACCTGAGGGCTGCGACAGATTAAGATGGATGATAACAAGAAGGACCTTCCAGCATCGTCTGCTCGTGGAGAGGCAAGTCGGGGTGATGGATCTGCGTAGAACATCGACCACACCCCAGTGTTCGACGAGCCACCGGGCATACTGGGCGAACCCCTAGACCTGCCCGATCCTAGGCTCAACCAGCTACACCAACCTCCTGCCTGCTCGAGTACTGTCGATGTCCTCCAATCCCATCCATTGCGACTCAACCCTTTCCGGGATGAGATTGTACCGCCACAGCCTACACAAGATGACGCCTTGAGGGACCTTTTCGATCTCAACTCTCAAGGAGTAGAGATAGGAAGAACTGACCGGGCGCTGATGCCACCCATCACTCCGAGCCCCCAGATGGTACCAGCACAACTTCCTTTGGATCCTGACAGCCTTGACACACCACTATCGCCGCGGACAACCATGGATCAATCTTCGATGCTCAGCACACAGGACACAGAGACGAAAAGTAGCTCGGACGAAGCGATGGATCTGGACCCGGATGGAGATACAGACGAAAGCGGAAAGTTCGTCGAGCAGCTGGATTCAGGTGTTGCAAGCACCGCCCAAAGCCCAGACAATATGCCGCTTTCGCAGGGTCATGGAAATATGCGAGGGATTCAGGAAATGATGGAACAGTCAATGGCAGCACCCTCAAAACCATCGATGGATCTTAAGAGCGAAAGCCCTGGGCAGATGCAAGTCGTTGGTCACCGGGATATGCCAATAGGCACCCAAACTCAAGAACAATCGATAGCGACGGCTTCTCAACAAACGGGGGGCATAGAAGTCAATACTGCCGGGCAGTCACAATCATTGCACCAGAGTGAGATGGCAATGTACTATCAGCTGCTTGGACAATCGACATCAGCGCCAATGAGTCCGGCGGCGAACCACCACGGACAGCAGCAAGCACTAGGTCACCACAACATGCAAACGGGCCGTCAACCTCTGGAACAGTCGATGACGGCATCTTCTCAGGCGTCGATGGGTCCGTCTGGGGATCTTTCCGGGCAGCACCAACCACGAGGTGGCATTCGTGACTCGGTGCAGGGTGACCAGAGCAGTCTGGCTGGGGACATCCAGCGCGAACGTTTATTGGAGGCCTTATTTTTATCGGAGACCCAACGTTTGTCGGAGGTGCTTGCCAGGCGACCTGCTGCTCTTGAGCAGTATTTTGGGGTTGCAAATCGTGGTGGACAAACAGTCGCCGGGCAGTCTTCGGTGGCGGGTGGAGAAAGAAATGTGCCCGGAGGAGTGCAGAACGAAAGGCTATCACAGATATTCGCCAGACAGCATTCGCAGGCGACGAGGCAGGGGCCTCCTCCACCCTTTCCGATGGCTCAGGCAGTGGCACCAGGCCTAGCGATGGCACCTCCTGCGCCATCGACGAACGCTGTGCCTTTTGGACCGGCGTTAGGATCCGCGCCTTCTGCATCTCAGAATATGGCAACACCCGCAACCTCACAACCAAGCGCACAGTCATCATTAAACACAATCGATACCACGCTGCAACGAGCAGTCCAGCAACTCAACTCGAGCACCAAGCAGGTTCTCCCCAACGTCCCGGCGAGGACCACCGACGCCTGGATTGTCCAACACCACATCGACATCAACACCGCGGATCCGCGCTCGTTTCATGCCATGTGGATCGGCCAGGCGTATTCGTTTGACGCGGCGGTGGAGAAGATGAAGGACTGCTTGCATGTTGATCCGCCGCTTGCGGGTGACCTTGAGCAGTTCAAGCGCGAAACGCCGCTGAAGAGGATCACGGATCCTAGGGGCGAGGGGTTGGGGATGGGGTATATGTTCTTGGGAGCTGAGAGTGGGAGGATGAGGAGGATTTGGACGAGGCCTTGGAGTGGGTGAAGAGTTCGCAGTCTGACTCTGACTTTCGCTTACGCCGTACGATATTGATGATGGAATGTAGTAATACTAATCATTCTGGCTTATCAAGTGCGGACACCTCCTTCTAGCGATGCAAAGCAATGGAAAGCAACTCTTCCGCGACCGAACCCTTCACTACAGAGCGACAATGAATATCCCCACACCGGCTGTCCGCCAGCAATGTTGTCCATCTGGCGGTTAACTAGTCTTCGTACACGGACGAATTGCCCTCATCAGGGCTGTCGTACGTCACAGCTTTGTTCTTGGCATCCTTGCCATCAGAGCTGTCGACGCTGAGCTGCTTGCGTTGCTTGCAGGGACGACAGAGAGACGACATGTCGACCAGCTCGTTCGAACGCAAGAGATCCATGGCAAGTTCAGGCAGGTCTTCCAGCATCTCCCAAAACTTCTTGTGAACATCAGGCTTGGACCGCTTCTCTTCGGTGACTAACGCAATTCTTCTGACGAAGGACTTGCGGAACTCGTCATAGCCGTCCGCCCCGTAAGCCTCTTTGACGCCGGTAATGAATTCGGCGAGTGGCATGACAACCATGGATATTCCGTATCGGAACCAAGCTTCTTTGGCGAGGCCTGGAATCTGGTACTTGTTGGCGACCTTGTGGACGCGCATGTTCTCGACGATAGTGGTCCGCTCTCTCGAGAAGTTGTAGCAGAAGTGGTACATGTAGCGCAGCATGTGGTTGACAGCATCAGGATCGTCGTCTTTGAGCTCGAGCGTGGCCTCTCCCTGCATCATGGTCAGTCAGGATCCACCCACCCTCACAGAGCTATATGGATTTGCATACCTTGGACAGTCCTTTCACCATCGCCTCGAAGACCGGCGAATGCTGGACCAATTGCATCCTGTGGACTTTCCACTTGCGTTGCTTGCAGATGACGGTCAAGTCGGAGTAGCTGCCAGAATCGAATGCGTTGCGTAGGCGTATGCTGAAGCTGTCGTCGGACGTGACACCAGGCATCTGATCGAGGCCGGGCGGCCAGCTTGACATCTTGAGATTCGGAATGGTTGGTGAAGCAGGAGAGCGAGGCTATGGTCAGGTGAAGGTGAGGTCGTCCGAGTCTGCAGGTGTTGGAGGTTTCACGTCTGCCGGCAAGCAGGAGCAAGCCAAGCGCGGCGCGCTGCGCTAGTCGCGGTGTCAGCTGACCGAAGCGGGCTCTTCTGCCAGAGCTCAATCTTGACGCTTTCACCATGTGCTCGTCACTTTCCGACATGCACATGTGATGCATATGATTTGAATTAACGTCTCATGTCTCGCTATGCCCCCTTCCATCAGTTTCACCCGCGAAAGTCTCCATCGTCACGCCAAATTTTGAAGGCGCCCATGACTCGCGTTTACTACAATCATGCGCAGGACCATCGCTGATCATCCGAGCCAATTACTGGACCTTGAACCATGAGCAGTACGTGCTTCAGTACATCCGCGTGGTCAGGGCTGTGCCGCATCTCGGTGCTCTCACGGTCTTGACCCCGGCAGCTGCTCCTTCCAGATTCAGATGGGGCTTGACTATATTAGGACTAGCGGGCTTATGGGTGAATGTTGCCGGACCAAGAAGCTCATCCCTGGAGGGTTGCTGAAATGCCCAGAAAACGACTTCGAGGCGTTTTTACGATGAGTGTAAGGCTTGCATGCATCCTGATCCACGGCGACCGCCGTGCGCTGTTCGTAAGGTATGGATCGAAACGGTAGCCCGCTTACTGCGACCAGAATCGCAGTAACCACCATGCTTTCCACCGAACCGACACGCTTCTACAGGGCGGTCGAAATGGTATACGACAGTGGCTGCATCAGCCTGGCCTTTTCCCATGATGGTATACCCACAGCCTGAAAGGTAAAACTTCATCTCCGACGAGTCAACGCAGGTTGAGGTACATCGTGAAATTGGCCAACCGAATACATCTGCCATTTTGGAGATTCATACATGATTGCATCGGCTCCAAAGTTAGCAGAAGACAGGCGTGTGCTCTTGCGTGGATTTGCACGCGTTTCCTTCGTCTCGAAAGCTGGCGGAGTTCACATATTTACTGTTGCTTCATTCGGCCCTAAAGCTTTTACAGATGTCTGGGAGGATCTCAGTGGCTCAAGTAAATACATATGCTCTTGCGAAATACACATATGCTTCGTTCGGCCCTAACGCCATTGCATACGTTTAGGCGGATCCCAATGACTTGGGCAATGACATATGCCCTTACATAGTTCACATATACTTCTTCTAGCTCCAAAACCTTTTCAGATGCTTCGGCGCATTATAGCGGCCTAAGCAATTAAATATGCCCTTGCATAGTTTGCATCTACTCTGTTCAGCTCTAAAGCCCTTTCAGATGCTTCGGTACATCCTGACGGCTTAGGCAACAGGAATCCTTCCACAAGGCATTGTATTCCTTAGGTAAAAAGTAGTTAGCCGCATTCTAACGGCTTAAGCAAACAGGAATGTTTTCACAAGGCATTTTGCTCCTTAGATACTAGGGAGATAGGCGCATTCCGACGGCTTAAGCAAACTTGAAGTTTATCACAAGGCTTTAGAGTTACTTGAGTAGCGGCACGTGGGATTTGATAGATTAATCTAGCTTTCTAGCGCATAGTTTACCTATTTAATAGAGCTTCCTCGTTGCAAAAAACACTCGTAGACATCAATCCAACTCGTTTCTTCAACAGCTATGGTGTGTTATATCTAACACATCAAGCTATATAAACGACTAACGCTTTGATTCAGGCTCGACTTTCACACCTCTCACACCAGGCTGCCCCTGAGCAACGACGGGTGCCTTATATGGCTCCAACAAGGCTGTCCACGGCTCAGTTTCACGCTTTACTGCGCTCTGAGGGTACGGCTTGCGGCGTTTGCGCAGCGCGAGCCGTTGAATAGGCGACCCGGTCACACGGTCCAGCGCACTGGCCTCCCCTTGCCGGTGTGCCGAAAGCGGACATATTCGACATTCTTCTCCGAATCCCCAGTCCTTCTCGAGCATCCACACCAACAACAAGAATGGTATCCATTCAGTCCTTGATGTTTCTTCGGGGATTGAGCGATACTAACATCTCTCACAGCCGCGCACCTACAACTCCGGGCTTGGGACGGCGCTCAGCGCCACCCATCTCATCCCAGAAGTCGCCCTTTCTGCCGTGGAGATCCTCACGTATTTCCCGTTGCACCTCGCGTGGCCCGCCATCACCGTGCGCCTGCTGCAGGCGGGATTTCGGGGCCCTGATATGGCCAAGGTACGTTCTTCATATCGACGCGTCCCACTTTCACGTTCTAACTTATGTACAGGCCCAACTTCATGCGCGTGGTAGGCTCACCAGAGCCGAGTTCGAGCGCCGCAAGGCCGCATTGCGGCATGGTATCCTCACCGCCGGCAAGTCCTTCTTCGCCGACACCAACTTCACCCAAACGGGATATGCCAACGATCCCCGTCTCCAAGCGATTGTCCAAGCCGCCTATCCCCATGGCGACTGTATAGCACACTACAATGGCGCGGAGATAACCACGACTATTGATGAGAGAAACCTGGCCCCAAATCTCCAGCAGGTGGCCAACGGGGTGATCAATCACCCAACAGTAAGTCCCTCTCCTAACGGCGCCTCCCAGAAATACAGAAACAGCTATACTAACGATATAATCTACAGGGCAACGATGCGGGAGTCCTGACGCAGGTCATCCAATGGGCAGCCGCCGCAGGCCAATTGGCCAACTACACCACCGACGACGTGCCAATGCTAGCAGAGCAACTTGCTGGAACTTGGGTCAACGAGCCAGCAGCTGTCCACGGTCCCAACTGGGATACCACTGGCCTTGCCACGGTGCAAGCTATTCAGAACCCGCAAGGGAGACTGGGAGTGGACTAGATGGGATTGGGATGAGCACGACTGTGCGTGAAAGCTGTCGCGGGCGTGAAAGCATTACAGACACATGATTGCTACGAGATACGAGCGTGAAAGCGGCGTTAGCGGATTCGTACTTTATGATACCCCTGAATGAGAGCAAGTGCTGTGAATCAGCACTTCTGACAGACTACAAACTTGCTGTAAGAGCCGATCCGAATAACATCTGCTTTATACATTGGTTTGACTCCATGTGTATCAAGTACAAACTCACATGAATGACAAGACGCGCCGAGCAGCAGCAAACATGTGAATTCGCCGAGCACATATCAGAAGTCCTAGAGTTTACTCCTCCCAACCTCCTCTCCAACCTTCGCAACCCCACTACCATCCCATCTAGCAATAAGATCCTCCACAACCGAGACCTCATCCTGACCCCAAACCAAATCACCAGTCTGTCGCCACTCCTCCACCGAACCTGCCTTCCTTCGAAACACGCGATACGTCGGTACACCACACAAACCCGCCTCCTTCGCCTCCGCGGTCCTCGCTCGAAGATCCTTCTTGACAGCATCGGAGTTGGCTTTCGAGAGTATAGCTTTGGCGTCGTGACCGGCTTCGGTGATGACTTGGGCAAGAACTTCGTCGGAGGACATGTTGAGGTTGCGTTCCCAGCAGGCGCGGTCTTGGGAGGGGTTAGCAGATGCGGATGAAGGAGAAGGGAATAGAAGGAGACATACACAATGGAGCGACAAGAGCTGGCTCGGCGATGGCTGCTCGTAGGACTGTGGGCGTGCGAATGGGAAAGATGTCGGCCCAGTAGAAGTCAATGGGCTGATCGGGACGGCCGTTCTGCTCGTTGACTGCATTCCACCACCTCACCCAGTCGCTGTGGTCAAGGTTTGAGTAGTTTAGTTTCTGCACTGATACCGCAGTGGACGGCGTGTTCGGCGCACCGATCCTGCACAAAATCGTCAGCACAGGCCATGGCCCAGGAGTAGGGTGATCTGGACATACTCCCGAAACAAGATCCCCAACAGAAAGGGCTTCATCACAATCTCTAGCCTCTCCCCAAACTGCCTCCTCAGCCTCTGCAACTGTGTCCACCCCAAGAAAGCCCATGGACTACTGAAATCATACCAGAACTCAAGCTTCACCTCTTCACCGTCTGGAATTCCTCCTCTCGTACACTTCGGCAACAAAGTCCCCAGATCTGTCGAGATTTTCCCGAGACTATCTCCATTTCTACCCTCATTCAGCGCAACAAGCACAGCCTCAATGATATGCATCCGATCCTGGCCCCAGTACAGTCTTCCCTCCTTCCTCGCCCCTTTCTTATCAAACCACACTTCCTCCGGAACCCAAAACCCAGGCACACCGGGCGAGCCACGCTTCACCGCCAGATCCGTCGAGACCTCAAGATCCCTTCGCTGTTTGTTCCCCTCAAAAGATCCATTCTCAATCGCCCTTACAACTTCATTCGCGCCGGAAATCCCCGCCCCCCGCACAGCGGTGATCAAAACATTTTTATCACTCACATTCTTCCCCTCGACCCAATACGCTCGATACAGAGCATGCGTCAGCGCCGGTCTATCCGCTCCATCAACAAAATACAACAGCCGCAACGCCGCGGTCGTTTTCTGCGGATGTTGAGGTGGCTCGCTGTAGGGAATCCCAACCCGTTTGATGGTCCTCTGGAAAGCCCGAGACGAGATGGCTTTCTTCGTGGGGTTGAAGACATCTGAAGCCGAGCCTGCGGCTCCTTGAGGAGCGTTTGTGGCGCGGTAGATGGCGCCTAGCAGGACGGGTTTCCAGTGGAGGGTGGCGTTTGTGCGGGCGGCGAGGGCTTCGATTCTGTGGCAGGTGTGAGAGTTGTATGGGTGTTGGGAGGGAGAAGATGCTTTGGCTTACTTTGTTGAGGCTATGTATGCGAAGGGGCAGGATATCTGAGGTTTTGATTAGCGGTGTTGGGATGGGTGAGATTGGGGATTGCTGACGTCGCAATAGAATTCCAGATCATGACCTTTTGTTGGAGCCATTATGTCACTGATAGCTAGTTGAAGGAATGTACTCCCAGTTCACTGGTGGGTTTCTCTTGAAGCAACGATTTTCTTGAGCACACAACGACTCGAATGTTGCTTGACAGCAATGCCTCGGTAGAGCTGGGAGGAGGTGAAGTCAGAGTGCGGAATCCCTTCCGCTCAAATCGGCAGGCATGTGGCAGGGATATGTTTGAGACAACTTGGAAGGCAACATCATGTGTAAGGCAAGTCGACTTTACATCCGTATTTACAGACTAATAACTTCAATGCCGTCGTGGTATCTTCGTCAAGCGAGCTCATCCGGATTCTCTACCAATTTACTCTCCCTTCAATCCAGTTTTGTCCGCCAGATATAACAGTAAATCCCCCCAGATCAATACCCTTACCATCCACCGAGATACTTCAACTTCAAATGCATGCCATCCTTCGGCTTCGTCGTCACAACTCCATGGGGCACAACGTCCTCATTCGGGTTCGCCATGACCATCTCGAAAGAACCAGTGAAAGCCGCAACCAAACACCTCAGCTCTGCCTTTGCGAAACCCTGTCCAATACAACTCCTCGGCCCGTGTAAGAAAGTCAAGATGGCATAATTGCTCGGCGCACCACCGTTGTTGTTCGGCTTCCGCTCGCCCGTCTTCTCATCGGCGTCGATCCATCGCTCCGGCACGAATTCATCGGCGTTGTCGCCCCAGAATGCTGGGTTGCGGTTCGTGGCCCAGGGGCAAAGCATAATCTGCGTGTGCTTTGGGATGTGCACACCACCTAGCTGGGTGGGTTTGTTGCTGTCGCGGACTGTGATCGGAACGGTTGGGTAGAGACGGATCGCTTCGTTGCAGACGCCATTGAGGAGGGGAAGACCTTCGATGACTGTGGCGATGTCGAAGTCTTTGGGGACAGGTCCGTTCGGAGAAGGGAGATGGTCCTGGATCTCCTTCCTCAGAGCACTCTGAATCTCAGGATGTGTGGACAGCAGGTATGTGGCCCATGTGAATGCCGAAGATGTTGTCTCGTGGCCGGCCGCAAGGAACGTCAACATCTGATCGACGAGCTGGTGGTCGGAGAAGTTGTTTGTACGGATCAGAAGCGATAGCAGATCCTTCGACACTCCTTCAGCCTCTGTCTTCATCGCCTCTTTCTTCTCCTTCACGAGCTGCAAGCTGATGTTCACAATGTTTTGCTGGATTATCTTTGACCGCTCGTTGAGCTTCCAGGGAATCTTCGCAACAACTGGTGGGGACAGAAGGATGTTGAGCAGGAAGTATAGGTTCTTCTCCTTGGTCGGCTCCAACAGCTCTTCGTAGTTGACAATAAGTGGGTCTTCTCCGTTCTTCAATGCATGGAAGTCTCTGCCCATTGCAGCCATACCGATGATATCCATGGTGACTTGGTTCGCCCAGTGATTCACCTCCACGATCGGTTCTCCATCAGCCGACTTTGGCGTTGTGCCATCAGTCAATTGCTGGCTCACACCCTGTGTAAGCTGTGCGGACTTTTCCCAAAAGATCGGATAGAGGTCTTTGATAGCTCGGAACGTGAATGCCGGCATAATGTTCTTCCTTTGGAATTTGTGGACATCGCCTTCCACGATGATGAGGCCATCACCAAGAATGTATCGTAAGAAGTCTCGAAGTGGCTTGGGCTTTTCGAAGTCGTACGATCGGGTGACGAGCAGCTCACCGAGGATCTTGAGGTCGGTGACGAGAAGGCGGTCTTGGTGGAAGAAACCACGGAAATAGATGAGGCCATCGTTAGGAATTGTCTTCATCCATCGGAGGAAAGACCGGCCAGCAGGACGCTCAAACACGGCCATGCCATTTCCAAGGATGGGCCGCTCTTCCTGGTGTGGGGTCAGTATTGGGACTGTAATCGAGCTCTGCAGTACTGACTCTTGGACCAGGAAGCTTTCTGAGTGGACTCAGAAAGAAGGGATATATGAACCATCTGTACACAGCATATGCCACCAGCTGGAGAATAGCAAGTCGAACGAATACACGGGACAGAGGTGGTGTAGGAAGATACTCGAGCGGTACAGTCTTCGTAATGACGGCAGATTCTGCTGCTGTCCCCAGCAGGAACAGAACTGGCTTGGGAATGTTGGATGCCATGTTGTCGTTTGCACCTGGAAGCTTGACCGTTGCTTGCACCAGCAAAACCCCGCGCCGGCAACAGTCGTAAATACTCGAAAGGAAAAGATGATGCCTTCGGCAGTGTTTGGGTGTTTGACAATACTGGCATTGCGTATGTGGCCCGAGCGTGTCAATCGATCGGGGCCCCACGTTCTGATCGTCGTCCCAAAGCAGCAGCTTTGCACCCCGCATGCATGTGAATCGTCCACTGAGGTGAGGGCATTTCTTACACTACCTCGGTTTGGGCGTAGACATCAGGTTCAATTCTTGCTGGTCTGCATTAGCAGGACGAATCGTTCTCGCTCTCGGAAAGTTCCATGGCCAAGTTCCATGAATGTCACGCACACTTTTGTTCCTGATCGCACAGAATCTGGAGAGGGGCTCGCTGTCACATGCAGAAGGATTCCGGTGGTTTTGTTGGAGAAGGACGGCCCGCAGAATGTACTTTTGTCAATACCTCAGGCAACACAATGGCGGCCAATCGTCTTCGAGATGTAGGTTTCTTGCCATGCGGTCTGAGGAGATCCTTCAGCCTTGCCACCGCTGCGTTGCACTAGATTTGTTGACATTACAAGGCGTAGATTGGTCGCTATCGTGTTGCCTCTTTCAACCAACGGGAGCGAGGTGGTCTTCCAACTTGGATGTCTGCATGTAAAACTGAAGGCAACAGAATTGATCAGAAATCTAGACATCCATTCGGATGATCCTACCTGCTTTCATTGCATTTGCTTGTGATTGATGGACCAACCTTAGGCCGTGTGAGGTGTAAAGAGCAAGGCACCCATTTCGGCGCCTGTCTCCCCATTCCAGAATACCATCGACTTTAGGGGATGTCGCTGTGACATGGAAGCGAAATGCCGACGTCCGGTCTGAAAGCGCTGCCTGGCCACCCCTTACTGCGTCTCATAGGCCTCGAAAGGTTGCCCGAGAATGTCAGCTTTGATCTGTATAGCCACAAATCTCGAATAGTATCGAGCATGTGCAAAGCCATGGCCAGTGTACCAGATGCCGTGATCTAGAAGCGTTAGCCCGACATTGGCACAAAGTAGAAGTCTCGACACTTACGCCCTGTCTGTCTCCAAGCTCCCAACACTTCACCTTCAGCATCCAATCCCCAGAACGGACGCAAGTGGCGAGACACTTCAGGTCCGAAGATCTCATGTGTTGTCGACCTGAAGTTGCTGGTGTATCCAGTCGCAAAGACAACCACATCCGCATCGATTCGGGTGCCATCATCGAGCAACAGTCCAGACTCCGTGTACGCCACAGGAAGTGCATCACTGCGAACCTTGACTCTCCCATTGGCTATCAGATCCCCAGCGCCGATGTCGAAGAAATGCTTGCCTTGCGACTCGTATATTTGACCCCAAAGATCACCGTATCGCCTTGTTTTGAATCCGTTGGCTTCCATCTGGTCAAACTTGGTGGGGTTGAGGTCAGCCATGGCACGAATGCCAGCCATTGCTTCGAGGCGCTGAATTGACAATGGCAGGCTCAGCAGTATGCGATCGCTGACATCGGTTAGAGTGTTCTCGTTGTACACCGGGTCTACAAGGGCAGAGAACGTTGATCCAGGAAGGACGAACGCTCTGGACCTCTGTATCAGAGTGATGGACTCGAAGTCACTCTTGTCCATGTCTGAGATAACATCGTGAGCGGAGTTTGCGGAGCCAATGACCACGCCGCGCTTGCCTTTCCATGGCGTTGCGTTCTTCCAGGCTCGTGCATGAATGATGTCGCCTTTGTAAGTATCATGATCCTCGTACATGGGAACGTTCGGCTTGTGACCCATGTCGCCAATAGCGAGTACGATGTGCTTGGACCTGATTCGTAGGGCCTGCCCTTGTCTTTTGAGCTGTGCACTCCATACCCTTTCGCGCTCATTGTATTCGGCTTTCTCAAGGCATGTCGAGGTCATGACGTTGGTGTTGACACCAAACATCTCAGCAAACCGTTTGAAGCCATCTGAAAGCTGCTGCCCAGTGAGAAGATACGGGTCGTCCTTCCCAAAAGTTGGTGGCGTCCCTGGCATCTGGTTATAGTGTTTGGAAGTATGGAGCCTGACAGAGTCGTAGCGATCCTTGGTCCAAACGTCGCCGATCTCTTCGTGCTTTTCGACTACAATGTATGAGAGACCCAAAGCTTTCAGTCGTGCCGCCATACAGAGTCCGCCGATTCCAGCGCCTACCACAAGACAATCCAGTGACAGAGATTTGCTGTCCTCTGCTGTGATTGAATGAGACCCATTCATGGCATATTGGCAGATTGCGCTGTCTGACACATTGCTGTTCGGGACCTCTTTCGGTGCTGTTTCAAGTCGATCGACATCCGGAAAACCTTCAGGCTGTTCCAAGACAGTACATAGCAGCCAGATTCGCCAGTCGGAGTTCGTTGAGGCGTTTGCAGGCGAGATACCGATTGTGCCAGAGCATCTGCTTGGCCGCGCCCCATGGATATGGAATGAAAATGTTGCCTGGATCCAGGACATCTCGGGTCCAAGCCGCATGATGAATGGAGATCCATCGTCAATCTGAAATTCATTCGGCATGGACTGCTTGGTCAAGTCTTGCCATGTCTGCAGTATTTTGTCGGGCCCAAAGAACGTCCGGAACGTGCCGCTGAATGCGAACGAATCACGCCAAATGGCATTGTCGGCAAGGCTGCGAATGTTGGGTTTATAGAGCTGCTGCAAAGTACTCTTTGCAACTTCGGTACAGTCAGTCGAATCTGGTATGTTGACTTTCGGTAGCGTTGCCGGATGCTCTGTTAACGGAATGCTCTTCCAAGCGTTCTCTGGTTCCATCGCGTTGAAGTGCTATACTGTCACCGATTCTGCTCTCGTTCTCTGATGGTGAGGGTAGAAGCTGGCCCGCAGAACTTCCAATTTGTCTGAAGTACAGGGTGTGGAAAATCACATTGATGTCAGTGAAGAAGGAAACGAGCTCACGCACCTCTAGCCAGATCGATGCATTAAGAGGACGGTGAGTTTAGCCAAGCCAATTCAGTTGCTGCAAGTCTCTTTCAGCCGTACTTGAGCCAGTGGCTAGATCGCCCAGACATGCAGCTATAAAAGGACAAGGCGCGATGCACAACATTACCACGCATTGCAGGTAAGCTGTGAAGCAAGCCATTGGACTTTCTTCTTGCGGTGCAGACGAAAAGACAACCCCGCAGGAGCTGAAACGAACTGAATTGGACAGCGCAGAGGGTGCTTTTCTTGGGCAGCGGTGGCCAAGCAATAGGAGTCGGAATACGAAATACGACGGCTGACCTTCGATACTGTGAGCAAGGTGATGATGGAGATGTTGGTTGCGAGAAGGTAGATGAAGTCGAGACGGGATTCAGCAGGGAGATGTTTTGGCGCGACTGACGCACAGACCATGACGCGGTTTTGTCGCCACGCCACGTTCTCAGACTTGACCACGAAACCAACAACAATCTCCAAACTCGTTCTCGCAAGGATACAGTCATCGCCGTCTTCATCGAGGCCATCAAGATTCCATGGATTCGGCGTAATCTATGGTGGCTCGATGCCTCCCAGCATCAAGACTTCAGAACCAGCGAATGCGCCACCATCAAGAGCATCGCGGGCCTTTATTGGTGGAGAAAGACCTATTTGCGAGGCGTTCATTCATGCCAGCCTTGTAAGGCGATGGCTGGCCGACCAAAGTCCCGAGATCTGCACGGAAGGTTGAGAAGGAGAGGCTGGTTCAGACCAGATTATTGCTTACAATACGCTCCTATATGTCTTCGCATGCACGATGTATGATTATACCTTTCGAGCGGCACATCCGCACTGGAGTTCTGTGGATGGACCTATGTACGACATCATGCTCAAGATCAGGTCTTTTCGTTGCGCAAACTGGGCTTTGACGAAGATGTCGACGGCAGACACCTTGTACCCTGACTCTATTGGAGCTCCCAATGGCGTTTTCACGGAGACATATACCGCAATTCAGGCGACATGCGACAAACCACCACGATACTCATAGAGGCCATTCGCTCAGCAGCCCCGGGTTTCAGATTGAACCAGATGAAGTGTGGATCTCGGCTGCACACTCGCTTGTGAAACGAATGTAAGTGTGCCTACTGACGCCGTACCTTGCAGATACGGCAATGACTGTATCTGTCGTCGTTCAACTGTTCGCACATTCGCTCCAATGGTTTATTGCGGGATCCATACCCACCTTATCTTCTTCCTGGCAAATCAACAAGACCTGTCAGGCTTGTTATCGGATGGACCTGACAGGGTCGATCGCGAATGGCCCATGATCCTCTCATTCCGCCTCTGAGGTTGGGCCAATGTCTATATTAACTGATTGACCGTCAACTTGGCAGCATATAATGTGGGTAACCTTGTTTACCATGACAAGTTTTAAGCCAACGCAATCCTTCTTCACATCCACGCCGAGACGCTACGGACACTATCTCGATGCTTGGTACTGTACAGACGTATCTACCTCCTGAGATAGAAGGTATCAAGCAGCAACTCCTTCGTTGGCGAGTCTACCTGCGCTTCGGGACACGTATTCACAACAACCTCCGTCGGCGTCGTTACTGGAAAGAGAGAAACAGCTTGGATGGACGGCATGCAGGAACTTGGCACAGCATGATGCCATGCATCTCCATTATCATGCAAATGAGAGCCAGACGGGGGAGACTTACTGAACATAAATAGCGAGCCATGCAGCGTTCTGTCTTCGATCGAAGGCATTCTATCTCTTCCATCCAACAAGCTATTCCACCTTCCAGCAGCCGTTAAGATGAACTGGCTACGTTCGATTCCCTTATTTGCTCTTGCGGCATTGCAAGCAAACGGATACCCCCTTGTCGAACGACAGAGCACAGACGGCGCTTACATTGTTACCCTCAAGAGCAGCCTCACCGCCGAAGCAACCGAAGGACATGTCTCCTGGGCTACAGAGTTGAGCTCCAACGCTTTGCGCCGCCGCCAGGAAAATGGAACGTCAAGCGACTTCAAAAAATACCAGATTCCAGGATTCAATGCTTACTCTGGCTACTTCGATGCCGCCTCGATCGGCGAGATCGAAGCCAGTGAAGAAGTGTGTTCAAAGTCCAGCTTACCACAAGACATTGCTGACAACTTCCAGGTTGCGAATGTGGAGCCAGACGTTCTTGTCTTCGCAACCGTCCTTACCTCACAAAGCAATGCTCCTTGGGGACTTGGACGCATCTCTACCCAGTCTGAGTCAGGTTCCGACACATATGTCTACGACACTAGTGCTGGAAGCGATACTTATGCGTACATCATTGATTCTGGCATCAACGTCGACCACGAAGATTTCGGCGGTCGTGCTTCTCTCGGCGAGACCTTCGTATCCGGAGCCCACGTAGATGATGCTGGCCATGGAACACACGTTGCTGGTACGATTGGTGGTAGCACGTATGGAGTGGCCAAGAACACCAACTTGGTCTCTGTCAAAGTCTTCGACAGCTCCGGAGTACGTACTCTTCATCGTCGAACGTACACAGATGTTGACAGATTTTCGCAGCAATCCGCTACATCCATTATCATGTCGGCCTTCGAGTGGGCCGTCAACGACATCGTCGGCGGCGGCCGAGCCGCACGTTCCGTCATCAACATGAGCCTGGGAACCACCAACCAGCCGATCCAAGCATTCAACGACATGGTCGACGCCGCAAGTGAGCAGGGCGTCCTCAGCGTCGTTGCTGCCGGCAACGGCGTACGCAATGCGATCACGGGCGTGACGACACCTGTAAACTGCATCTTCACTATGTAAATAGCCTGACAATGCTGACTCAATTCCAGATCGACGCCTCGAATGTCTCGCCGGCATCTGCTCCCTCAGCCATCACCGTCGGCGCAGTCGATAGCGACAACGCACGTGGCTACTTCTCCAACTTCGGCACCACCGTCGATATTCATGGCCCAGGCGTGGACATTACGTCGGCCTGGATTGGGTCGAACAGCGCGGTCAACACCATCAGTGGGACTTCGATGGCCACGCCGCATATTGCTGGTCTCGCGGTCTACCTGAAGGCGCTGGAGTCTGGATTGGACTCTGTCTCTGCCATTACTGCCAGGATCATCGAACTTGCCACTGAGGGCCAGGTTAGTGACGTTATGGGAAGCCCCAACTTGATCGGATACAATGGCAACGGGCAGCAGTAGATTGAAGGCATCATACTGACTGAGAGTTGTGACTAGCCACAACAGCGATAGTCTCTGCAATATAGAGATAATATAGAGCCAGGAGAAGCCGCTCTCAACGGCCATCGTCATCGTACTTCTACGCCATGGTTGCAACACTAACCTCTACCTAAGCTACACATATAGTATCTACGCTAACAGTTAATTAACGAACAAGGCTCACTGGCTATTTGCTGTCTTAGCTTTAGACCATACACTAAACATCAGCTGTCGACCTGCAAATCGGTGTCCGACTAAGAACGTGGTCGGAAACAGAAGGTGTGACTGGATTTTGATACAGTTGCATCGCATGTTGATGGTAACGACTAGATCTTAGCTCCCAACTATACCGATCAAATGCCACAGTCCATGCCTACAACAGACATAAAATCCCCTCTCTTGCCCACCTCATCCGCTCTTCGACTCGATCTTCCCATCCTCCATCCTGTTCTTTTCGAAGCAAAAAATCAGCATCATGAAGTACCAGAGCCTCCTGTCAATTCTCGCATACGCTGCCAGCGTTTCCGCAGCCGCCATTCAAGCCCGCGACTCGGATGCACAACTCACTGTGACAAGTTTGTCACCAAGAACCAATGTAGCAGTGGAGGCGAGGACTCCAAAGTCTACGACAAGACCGGATTGTTTTCGTCGGCGTAAGTATCGTCGGCCATGCAAAACATTGACCTGGCTAATTTGAACGTAGTCACGATTGCTACTCGATCGGTGTAGTCAGTGCTCCGACAATGTCGCTTCTCATCACTGGGGGTAGCGGTTTCACGAACAACAATTGCTTCCTCCATATATTCTCGGACGATGGGTGTTCCCAGCGACTGGCAGATATCGGTCCCATTATGGAAAGCAACGGCTACCCTGTACGTCAGATGCTTGCCCATTTTATCGCGATCGATCTGACCAGTAGTGTAGTACTCTCCAAGCAGCTGCATTGGCGTTACAGGTGAGTCCACCGACATGATGTCCTGGAGATTGCGTTAATTCTCTAAACAGATCCAAACACTGGAGAATCGACTATTGCACGAAGCATGACTCTTACTTGTTAAATCGTCCAGGCTGCCTCTGTAGCGAACGGTGGATCTTGCGAGTAGAGAGTATGTGCTTTCTTGCATATGAATCGGAAAGGAGGTCACGGGTTGCCCAGCGCCCAGAAGAGCAATGTCTAACGGCACACATGGCTGAGATAGAAGTCCACTCACACGCAATCTTTCCAAAGACCTACGCCTCTACACTTTGGTTCACCTTGTCCCAGCTCCTTTACAGGACTAAAATGTCCTTGTGTTGTCTCTGATAAGTGGACAACAGCTGTGTCAGCTGTTAGACGTCCAGCAACAAACAAAAGACGGTTGTAAGCTCTGCAAGAAAGCATATCCGTGTGATAACCAGAGCCTACTCTCACATGTATGAGATAGAGCATAATAAGACGTCTCGCATGCCGCATCGTGGTGGTTTTCTCCTTCACTTGATGTGCACAATTAGGGAGTACGAGGCGACGTTATCTTGCGAATCCTCTGATCGCCAAGCCAAGTTCGGCTGTTGCCGGAGCAACCCAGCCAAACAAAACATCTGAAAGGAGCCCAAGCTCCCGTGAAACCAAACGACGACACAACTTCATTCATCTGAATATGCAAACAGTGCAGACATAAAAAGGCCGAAGAAACTTCTGGAACCTCATGATGAAACGAAATTCCATTTCCACGCCGTGCCCGGCACCTACCGACGGTTCCAGCTCGCATCGCTTGAGCATTTCTTCGGCATACAACAACACAGTAAACGAGGACACCGCACACATCGAATATACACGCGCGTTTGAGCCGACAATCAGGAATACGAAACCCCGGCGGAGCTCTCTGGTGCACGGAAAGATGGCCAAAAAGGCACCTGTTACAGTGTTTGAGGAGGTCAAGGAGGATGAGGAGCTTGTGATTAGCAAGCCTCTAGGTAAGTCGACGCTGCTTTCAAAGCCAGCGAGAAAACCAGCGGTTGGGGCAATGGCGGGCGGTGGCCGCGGAGTAGAGCAGCTAGCGGGTGGATCGAGGGAGCTTGGGCAGAGCAGGGCGAGAGCGTCATTAGGCGGAGCAGAGCTTGGAATCAGTAGGGTCGAGAGGATGCAGCAGATGCCTGGTGTCGGCGGAGGCATGGCAGACAGGAGGAAGAGCATCCGATCAGAGGACTTGTTCGGTCCGGCTATCAAGAAGGAACCAAGGCGAAAGACGATTTTCATCCCCGAGGACACGACTATCTGCACCATCCATCCTGGCGCGAACACGACGGCTGGTCTGGACGATACTTTCAACATTCAGCTGTTCCCGGACGAAGTCTCTACCCAGCCAGAGGAGAAGGCAGAAGATAAGACGAGCCACCTTTCGAAGCCAGTTCGACGACCTAGAATGTCGCTTTCTGCTGCTCCAAGGCGCGTACCACTCGTCCCAATCCGGCCTTCAGAGTACACCGATGGATTCGACGTTTGTGGCCATGATACGGGCAAGGAGAATCTTGCACCAGGGGCACAGAAGTCTTTCAAGCCGACTACCAAGTCTAGTCCAGACGGGCGGCGTCATATGGAGAGAATGGCCCATCCCAAAGCAAGTCAACCTACTGCTACCCAGAGCCATGGAGCCAATGCGGTCCGCATCAACAGGACTGTTCGTCCATCATTGATGCAGCCGACAGCTGCGACCCATGCACGCCAAATCAATGCAGCTCGTCCAGCGGTTCCTGTCCCAACAGCACTCTCTCGTGCGTCACAGGCAACACGAGGCGCACCACCTCCGACGGCAGCTCCACGTGCCACCAAACCCTTGAGTGCGGCCACGACTGCGGCGAAGCCAACAATGCGACACTCTATGGACAACGCGCGTCCTTCGCTTTCACGCAATAACAGCCCGCGCAATTCGCCATCTTCCAACGCAAACAACGCAAACAACGCAACCGAGAAGAAGTCGTTGCGCCAACACATCGATATGAAGCGTCTCGAGCTTCAGGCGTCAAAGCTCTCGCTGTATCCAGTGCTTCCGGAGAACCTGTCACAACCAGAGTTGTACGAAGACCGATGGCTCAGCCAGCAAGAAGTTGCCCTGACGGAGGTTATAAACGAGATCTTCGCTGCCGCAGAACGACACAGTCCAATTGGAAGCCAGACCATGCCACTGCGAGAGTCCCTGATCGCCATCTACCACCAGCCCGAAGTCGCTATGCTGCACCAACGACTCCAGGCGTCCTTGATCTACGGCGCTCTCAGCAGGCCTAGGGCGACATCGACCACCGCGGACCCAGCACGCGACATCGGCCTAAGGAAGAAGTTCATCAGCTTGTTCCTGGAGACTTACGACGAGGACTCACTTCGAGCTGCAACAGAGGTCATTGTTGGCAGGCAGATCCCAAAGCGTGATTCCACGGGCGATGCAAATGGTATCATCAGTAGCGAGCAGATACTGGATCCACGTGCTGGCAGGCGTGCACTGACTGGATTCCTCGAGACCTTCTTTGTCTCACCTGCCGACATCGACTTTGCCGAATGTGCTCGAGCTGGTGACAACTCCGATCATGAGACGATCCGCTGGAGAAAGAGCATCCTGCGGAGCGTTCTGCTCGTCTGGCTGCTTGACCAAGCCAAGGCATCTGACCTGGTAAACGGCTGTCTCTTCAAGAAGACTTCTGCCAAGAAGTCATCAACTGCAGTACTGGTCACGTTCGCGGGCATGATGATGCCTTCGGTCGGCGACATCGTCCGTGCTATGAAGCAGTTCGACTACGAAGTCTCTCATGTGCAAGACCCACTTGATGAGGTACATTACGAAATCAGCAACCTGGCAGTCCACCTTCGAGATGGCATCATGCTCACTCGTCTAGTGGAGATCCTTCTCTACAATCAGAAGACTATTCCGGCAGCTTCAGACGATGCCAATGCCACGATCACCATCCAGATGCCAGACTCGACCCAGCTTCTGAGCGAGATGTACCTACCAGATACATCACTCAATGGCCGGCTCCTCTCCCAGCACCTGAAGATGCCCTGCCTTGGCCACGCGCAGAAGCACTTCAACGTGCAAATCGCTCTCAGCGCGCTCGAGAACCACGGCATCCGCGGCGCCAATGTGGTGGGAGACATCGCCACTGATGACCTGGTCAACGGCCACCGGGAGAAGACACTCAGCCTGCTGTGGTCTCTCGTCAGCACTTTCGGGCTGAGCCATCTGGTAGACTTCAAGTATGTCGCTCTCGATGCTCATCGTGGGGAGGAGAAGGCAATAGCTCAGGAGAGCCTCAACCACCAAGAGCCAGAGAAGCTACTTCTCGAGTGGGCCGCCGCCTACGCCGCCAAGCAGGGCGTGAAAGTGACAAACCTCACGACCTCCTTCGCAAACGGCAAGGCCTACTCCGCCATCCTCTGCGGCTTCCAGGTGTACATCTCCAGCACCAACAACGGGGCTACCACCCTAGAAGCCCGCCTCACAGCCCTAGGCTGCAGCACAGCCTTCGTGAAGCAGCTCACCTCCTCAGTGGGCAACATTCCCTCCCGCGAGACGACGGTCTCGAACCTCGCCTTTCTCGCCTCCCGTCTGCTCCCGCTATCGCGCCAGCATCACGCCGCGCTGATCCTCCAGCGCGCCTATCGCCAGCATCGCGCTCCCATGGTCGCCTCTCAGCACATTGCCCTCATGCGCCTGGCTCACAACTGCGCCCGAGTCGTGCAGACCCAGCAGCGGGCCGTAGCCGCTGCAGTTACGATCCAGCGAGCTTGGCGTGCTGTGCTTGATGCGAGGATCTCGAAGTTGAGTAGCGATGTGGAGGTGTTTCAGTCGCTTGCTCGTGGTTGGGGTGCGAGGAGGAGGATGAGGAGGAATGGTGGTTTGACGGGGAGGGTTATGGGAGGGTGGTAAAGAGGTCGCTTGAATGAGGAGGGAGCGGAGTTTATGATTCGGGATTGATGAGGGCGTTGAACGAGATACCCTTTCTGCGAGTTTGAGATTGAACGTGGCGATTACATTCAGCCTTCACGCCAGTGGACAGATACAGAGATACGAAGTGATAATACGCGACGCCAGCCATGTGTTCAAATGCTCGTGTTCTCGAGAGTCTCAAGTCCTATATACATGTCCTCTCCTGCTATGCAAACACGCTACTCAGACAACAACTTCGATTTCGACTGCATCCCCCTCAACCGACTCTTTCCATGTCCATTCTCCTAGAATACAGCTCCACCAATGATGAACACCCTTTCCTCCTCCCTCCGAATCCACTGGACAACACGATTCGCTCCTTGGGCGAGCGCCGCCCTTGAAGCATGCGGTCCCGCAACACAATACAGCTCGAAAAACGGCGTCTCCCACGCCAAAGCCGTGGCGTTGGATGCAATACTATGCTGAACTTTCAAGTGCGCGGTCCTCGAATGTATAGATTCGTGCATGAGATGATACAACGACATGAGTCTCCTCCTCGCCACGAGATCATTGAAATGAGGCTCGAAAGAGGGCATGGCGAATTGGACGTTTCCGCGGGATTTGTAAAGGAAGTGGCGGAGGACTGTGCCGGGGACGATCTCAGAGCACGAACCGTGGCCTTTCCGGATGGCGGTTTTGATGATGGACATGCTGCCGTTGGACTCGAGTTGGGAGACGAGTTCGTCGCGCATTTTGCGAAGTTCGAAGAAGGCTTCTTTGTTGGCGCTGATGAGTACGATGGCGAGTTCGTCGTCTTTCCCCGGGGTTTCGTCTGTTGGTTCCGTGGTGGTTTCTGAGGCGGCGAAGAAGCTGACGTACATGTACAGGAAGCCGGTGTTGTTAAAACCGGGTAAGCACAGCGGTATCCAGTTCTCTCCGCCGCCTGCTCGGACACTACCTGCTTCGAAGAGCATGTTGAAGATGAGGTGGAGGTCGCCTGGGTGCAGGGAGTGCTTTTTAGGTCGGACTACGCTGACCAGGCGGCCGGCGGCTACGATGAGGCCGTAGAGGAGGTTTTGGGAGCGGACTTGGAGGAGCGTGTCATTGATGACTTTACGATTGCTCTTTCGCATGCGGAGGCATTCTAGTGCTGAGAGGAGTGCTGATGGAGAACCTCTTGTGAAGCCGTCTGCTAAGCCGTCGAGAAGGACGTCGGTTCCTTGGAGCGGTCGTCTCAGGTCTGTAGAAGGTCGGTTTGAAAACATCTTTTCCATGCTTGGTAACGTTAAGGTCGAAAGGATCTGCATGTAGAGTGCCTCCAGTTGACTTCGCAGCTGAGCATCACTCTCTGGGAGACGACTGATTGCGACCAAATTTAAAGGCCCCTTGGATAGCATGACGAACCGAGTGCCTCCAGCAGTGAAGCCCTTCAGAGGATCTTTGGCGCCTTGGTAGAACGAGATCAGTGTCTGTGCAACGCCGACATAGTGACTGATTAGCTGGTCATCGCCATGTCTGCTGTATACCGGCTTCCCAGAGGCTGAAAGAATGAAGAAATGCTTTAGCTTCGCTTTCCAATTCTCTAGCGATACCTCCTCGCTTGCGCCGTCGGCTTGATCAGACTCAACGTCTTCGAACTCGTGTTGGATCTGATCACTCAACGCCTCGTCTTCGTGCGAAAAGATCGTCTGGAATGGATCTTCCTTCTCGGATTCTTCGTTCAGAGCGGTCCATGGAGGACTGCCCTCGTCCCCGCCCACATCACCAAGAATGCTCTCATTTTCGATGCGTGCATCAAGAGAAGGGATGTAGCTCTTGATACTGGCAGAGTCGTCGCCATCGCTGCTATTATTGTTGCTCACAAAGCGGCCAAAATGCGTAAAGCTGTGCTTCCTAGAGACAGCTCTGCTCGCCGGAGACGGGATTGAGCCGACACCGTCCTCTCCACTATAGCTTTGCGTATGTACATCGGCCAGAGAAAGCGCTGTCGTGGGAGTTGATAGTAGTTGTGGTCGCGATGGCTTTTTTGATAATCGCAAGGATCCGGCTTGTGAGAGTGGCGGTCGTGGCGGCAAAGGCGGAGGAGTGAGCTCTTGTGACTTCATCACCTGATCACTATTCTCGTTTGAATGTGATTCGGTGTCGTTCTTCTCCTGATCGTTGTCCCGGCCATTGTTGATATGGGTTTGCGGCTTCTGCGGTGATTCGGAGTCGCCACTCGGCTGGGTCGACCCAGGGCCCGGCGCCTGTTCTTCAGGCATTGCCTCATCTCAGCATCTCCTTCCCAGGTCAATTTGAGACGCGGCTTTGAAAATTAAGGATTAATGTGAAAGTTGATGTGAAAGACTTCGTCGCCGAAGGTCCAGATTCCGGAACGTCACGTGAAGAGGCATTCGCTTGACTTTCCTATTTAGGCCCTAGCGCGAAGCAAGGACGACGACGTGGACTTTCGCAGACCATCGCAACGTCGAATGTCTTTCTTTATGGAATGAAACACCGCAGTGAAGCTTGAATAGTGGCCACATCCCAGATGTTCCTCCGCTGATATATCTCGCGAACTTGTCAAACGGACGATGAGCCTCGAGGCCGCCCTGAGAGAACACGGCGGGATCTCACCAACAGGTTCTGGGCGGTCTTCGCCTGTGCCGCGTGCTGCGCGTCGAACTGTCGAAGATGGTACGCGTGTCTTGAAGGAAAGAGATTGCGTATGGACGGCTGATATATAGGTAGGGCTCTACAAAGCAGACAAGACTTTGAAGCGTTACGCAGCCACCATCGAACGAGCGTTGGCATCTTGGGAGATCTCACCAGAAGAATGGGCAGACTACATTGCCTTCCTGGCACGACTATTGAAGGCCATCCAGACTCATCCGAAGGACGCACCGTTTCTACCTCACAGCAGTAGTATCGCCACCAGACTTGCACAATGTCTCAACCCGGCCCTCCCATCCGGCGTTCACCAAAAGTCGTTGGAAGTGTACACGTACATCTTCTCGACGTTCGGTAACGATTACATCTCAGGGCACCTTCACGAGTTCCTCCCTGGCTTGTCAGCAGTGCTGTCTTTCGCATCGCTGTCTGTTCGCCCTGCGCTGTACGACTTGCTTGAGAGCCATGTCGTGTCACTCTCGCCAGTCCAGCTGCGGCCGGCTCTGAAGTCGCTTATACTCGGCCTGCTACCTGCACTTGAAGAAGAAACCGCCGAGGACTTCGAGAGAGCTTTCAAGATCTTGCGGATTCTTGAATCAACATTTGTGCCCGATTCGAACTCCATTAACTTGGCTCTGGATCCGGATGGATACTTCTGGCAATGCTTGTTCTTGGCTGTCATAACGAACCCTTCGAGGCGACAAGGTGCATTGAACTTTCTCGTTCAGCGACTTCCACCGCTGGGTCCGACCTCCGGAGAGACAGATGGCGGCAACAAGAGACTGGAATTATCAAAAGCTGCCGAATGCGTGGTCTCCCCAGAGCCAGGGCTCTTGGTGCGCTGCTTTGTCTGTGGCCTCTCGGACTCGCAGATTTTGATTCAGCGCGGCTTTCTTGACCTGCTGGTGTCGCACTTGCCGCTGAACTCTCCAGTTCTGCAACAGCTGGTAGGACCCAGTGACTTGGACCGCCTTGTCTCTGCTGCCATACTGGTGTTGCTTCGCCGAGACATGAGTTTGAATCGTAGACTTTGGAGTTGGTTCCTGGGCCCCGAACCGAAAGAACAAGCTACCAACAGTCAGCCCTCGTCACCGGTGCTTCAAAGAACATCATCAGGCGACAGCGAGCCAAGCGTGCAATTGCGTTATTTCTCCAAATTTGGGCAAAATAGTCTCCAGCGATGCATTCTCAAAATGCTTCAGGAACCGGCGCAAGTTCCATGGCAGAAGGCGAGGCCATATCGAATCTGCTTGTCTCTCATGGATCGATGGGAAATTGGTGGCTTACTTGTGCCTAAAGTTTTCCTCCCAGCCATGAAGGACCTCCATGCATACAGTACAGTTGCAGAGTCAGCCGATACTGCCGAAGTTGTCCGCAGCGCCAGTCTCTTCTTCGACGGTGTGGAGGCGAGTCTGATCTGGAGGTGCCTGATAGGGACGCTGCACGAGACTGTGCAGCGAGGCCAACCCGCACTACCAGCGCTTGACCTGTTCAACTGGATTATCAGCACGTTCAATGTCAAGGACGAGGAGATGCTCACAGTTCATATCCCTCAGGCCATGGCGTACTTGATGTCCTGCCTCGATTCGATGGACTTGGAAGCCGGGGCGAGGTCAAAGGTCGTGAGTACACTATTGGCGCTTCTGGAATTTGTTCCGGGGCGCATCTTTCAGACTGGAAGTACAGCAAGCAAGGCTCAGACGGAGACTCAATTGCAGATGTCCGCTGAAAGTGTTCGAGCTGCCGTTATGAACTTCTATCGGCAGACCAGTCATGGCAACAAAGAGACCACTGTACTCACTGGATGGCAAGTTGTCGCCCTGCTTACATCCAAAACCACACAGCAGCTTTCACGTGCATTGGAAGACCTGAATGCGGAGCTTTTCGCCCAACTGACCACACTACTACTTGCACTACGCTCCAAGACTGCTGAAAATGCTTTGCCCGTCGATGAAGACGTAGGCATGGCACTTGCAGCTACCTTCAAGTCAGAGCAGGAGTCTATCATACCATTCTCAATATTGCAGTCAATAATCGCTCTGGAATCGTCATCAACGAATCGCAAGATAGAAGGCAAGGGGTACAGCCGAACCGCGCTCGCACACATCGAATCCGAGGTGACCTCACAACTGTGGTATTATCTCTCACCCGAGCAACCAAAATACCACGTCGAAGCTGTCAAGACCTTTTGGCAACTCGATGGTCTTATATTTCCCAGCGATGCAGTGACGTCTTCTTTGATTGGTCTCTCGAGAAGCATGCCAGGCTGCGCAGAGTCTGGTGTTACGCGGGCGGAGACCGCCAGACGCTTCACGATCCTATGGGATCATTCAATCTCCACGGGCATCACGAAAGCTGGTGCAGGTCGTCGAGGAAGCGCAATGTCGGTGTTGCAAGATTCAAAACAAATGGCTAGGTCTCAACAAGTGCTTGAGGAGCCGCTTCTGTTGACTCTTGACGCTTTGAATGATCCTACTGACCCGGCTTTTGAGGTAGTCAAGAGCTGGCTGCAAGGTCTGTCTAGCCTCGAGCAGGTGTTGCAGATCTTGTTCAAGCACACGCTGGAGCTGAGTTCAGCCATCAAGAAGCAGAGCACCGACTCAGTCAGAAATTGCAGAGAGCGTGTGCTCAAGTTGGACTACATCTTGGGTCACCTGCAACACATCGTCGAGCATGGAAATCTTTGGACTCGCCGTACGCTCGGCAGAATAACAATATTTCAGGAAGGCAGGCCAGACGGCACCGAAGGACTACTACTACTCGCAGATACGTGTGTCGCGCTACTCTGCAGTGACTTTCACGCGTCCAAGGCTCTCAACAGGCGCCTAATCTTCATTCTCGAATTACTTCTGTCGGGCCCAAATGCGGCAGAGCTGAAACAGCTGGACCTTGATTCGACTTTACTGGACCAGTTGATGGTATGCATCGGCGGTGAGATGGAAAGCTTACAAGGTGGAATACTCAGACTTGCCCAGCTTGCCTTGAAGCTGCGACTTGTCCAACCTCCAACTGACCATGCCGCTGACAACCGACAACGAGGCTCAATTAGCTCCAAGAGACCTTCGATCGCTCCTAGCATGCGTCCGAACTCAAGCGCCTCGTCGCTCACTCTGGCGCCTTCGCCACCACATCAACTCTTCCGTTGCCTTCGCATGGGATTCTCGTCAAATCGCACGAGGTTCTACTTGGACCAATGGCTGGCTTTCCTGGGTGACATACTGCCCTCATTTGCAGATGCGCTGTTCACGAACCTGCTGCCTTTAGTTGAGTGCTTCTGTGAACAGCTGGCCAAAGTCCATGAAGAGATTGAACAACTGTCACGCAGATCGCCTACTGTTAACGCGGTTACTCCGGAGTCTGTCGCCATGAGCTTGCTGGAGGGACTTGAAATGGTACTCGACCGGGCCTACGAGTGTCTCCTGACCGAGAACGCCCCCGAGCCAACACCCAAGGACAGCGATAACAAGACCAATTTCTTGACCAATGTCGCTTCCGGGGTCTTCAAAGCTGAAGGTCCACCAAGCAGGACCAGCAAATCGAATAGCCGCCTCACTGTCATACTGGCCCTCCAAGATTCGATCCGAGCGGCTCTGAGAATGTGGCTGTGGGCCAGCAATCCGACAGACGTTTCCGATTTCGACTCGACGAATGCATCAACTACGGCTTATGTAGCGTTGAGGAAACGCAACAAGACGCGCCATCTACTCGAGCAGATCTTCTCTGTCGAGCCTTTGGAGAGCCTGGAAGTGGTAATATCACATTGGAGCAATGCCAGCAGTGAAGGTGAAGCATCGACTGCTCTGAGTCTGCTACACGTGATGTCGGTGTCAAGACCGAAGAATGTCGTGCCGGCAACTTTGGACGCTCTTTGCTCTCGCACGAACCCGTCGGCTATTCCTCCTGCGCGCAACTCAAGCCTCACGATTGACTTGAGCGCGTCTGACACCGCCACGTTTCTGTCGGCATACCTCGACTCCACTGAGGACGATGCCATTGATGAGCTTTGGCCCGACTGCGTTGCATTCCTGCGAGATGTTCTAGCAAATCCGTTGCCCTATCGACAAGTCTTGCCACACTTTTTATCTATCATTCTCCTGCTTGCCGAGAAGCTGAACAACACGAACTTTGGGGAGCAAAGAAAGATGCGTCGAGATCTTGGCGACATCTTTCAGAGACTCCTCACCGCGACTTTCACGACTCTACCCTCTGGCTACGTGGCAGACCTGGCAGCAAATGGTGCTTTGCAGAATGGCACCCTCAAAAGCAGACGCGCCACAGTAGAGCATGACATGGGTCTCGTTGAAGTGCTCAAAAGAGTCATGTTCAAATTGGACATCATTCTGGAGACGCAGGAACGGATGGCCTACGCGATCAACAACATCACCCAAAGCCTGCTTTCGCCGATGTTCAAATCGAAGGCATTCCCACAAAACATCAGTATGGACGCTCTGGCACTGGTTGTGCAGATGACCCGAAAAGCTCCAGGGGCCAAACCATGGAAGAAAGAAATTGCCGATGCATTCAACGACCCTAAACTCCTCGCTTCAGCAATGAGTCTTATGAGCGAAGGATGGTTCCCAGTACTGCATCAATGGTCTTTGCATGACAAAGAACGCATGCCTGAGCTTCTCTCTCGTCTCACGCCGCCAGCGAGTGCTGGCATTATGTTCGGAGTCGGAGCCAGTGCAGCCAGACTCGAAGCGGATCGCAGAACGCAACTCAATCTACGCAGGTTGTGTGTTCTTCTTCTCGCATCGCCTGAAGATACCTATGTTGCTCATTTGCGGACTATCGAAGAGAAGATTTCCGAGCTCTTCGAGGCCAGTCCTTCTTCCTCACCCTCGGCAGCCATCAAGGCAGAGCTCTTCATGTTGTGCCGCACCTTGACACTCTCCGTCAGCAGTGTTCACATGAGTCCGTTCTGGCCGATCATCAACGACAAGCTCGAAGCAGCACTGACATCCCTTCTCCCAAGCAGCTCAAACAGCAATGACTTCAACAACCTGTCCATATTACAGGCATGCAAGCTACTCGATCTGCTCGTCTCCCTCTCGCCAGACGAATTCCAGCTCCACGAATGGCTCTACATCACCGACACCATCGACGCCGTCTACCAACCATCCGACTTCTCACCAGTCGCATTATCAGATCAGATCGCCGAGACCCTTGGCTCAGCCAGCGTCGACAACAACATGCTCGTTACGCCAACAACGCCTGGTGGCGGAGGGAAGGGGAAGCGGCGGCAGTTGCTCGGTGAAGATCTTGCTGTAGACAAAGGCGACATCCAAGCTTTACCGAAGGAGGAATTTGTAAGAGCGGTGATTCGCCCTTTCTTGAGCCAGCTGAGTATGCACTCGTATGAGGGGGTTTACAGCTTGGAGCAAACGGATGGGATGGTGCTCAGGGAGAGCTTGCTGGCGGATTTGTTGGATCTGGGGAGTGTGGTGGAATAGACAGGTATGTTGCACTCAATGAGTCTGATGTCTCGACCAAAACAACTAGTACTGCTCTACAAATCCGAACAGCCTCTCCACTGCCGCTACTGCGGTGTCCCCTTGAGTTTTATCTGTCGCGGCGCCCAAAAGCGGCGTCGAAATAACATTCTGCTCCCACAGCTTCCCATACCTCTCCGGCGTTGGAGGCTCCTGAGTGTACACATCGATTCCTGCCCCCCAAATCACTTTCTCCTGCAAGGCTCGGAGTAAATCGTCCTCGTTAACCACACCGCCACGAGCTGCATTGATCAGGATCGTCGTCGGCTTCATCAGGCACATCTCCCTGTACGAGATCATGTCTCGAGTGTCTTCTTTCAAAGGGCAATGAAGAGTGACAACGTCGGCTTTCCGGACAAGATCGTCCAGGTTCTCGACCCGAGTATGCGGGATATCATTCCAAGTGGTCGTTGGCACATATGGATCGTATGCAATCAACGAGACTCCAAGCGCGCCTCTGAACGCTCGGGCGACCGCAGTGCCGATATTTCCCATGCCGATGATGCCGACTTTCTTGCCAGATAGGAGCTGCCCCGAGCACATCTTCTTGGCGACCGTGATGCCCGCTGTCTGCTTCCTGGTCACAGGTCCGAACTCTCTCGCTACAGCCAATGCGAGCCCAAGTGTCAACTCTGCAACAGCGCCCTTGTTGATGCCTGGCGTGTTGAAGATTTGGACCCCGTTGGCTTTACACGCAGCCTGGTCGATTCCATCGATGCCGACACCTTGCTTTCCAATAGCTCGGAGACGTCGTGCTTCGGCGATGTCTTTTGCTGTGATTTTGCATTGCCCGACCAAGACGTAGCGAGCTTTCTCTTTCCATTCCGCATTTTGAGGATCATTGGGCCCGATCAGATGGAAAAGCTCCCGGCATCTGGCTACGGCTCTTGGATGGTACGGGTCGAGCATGTATACAATTGGCTTGAGTTCGCCATGCTCGTCTACCATCTCAGCAGAGTCTGGATACTGCTCAATAGATCCCATTTTGAGTGATTGAATCGATATACTGTTGATGATCAGTGTAGAGACTTGGCACTTTCGCGACGTTCTTGGATCAGCTGGTCATCAACAGCCTTTTGAGCCGCACGGTGCCCAATGCTTAGAATGTACCATCTCGTACGAGTCGACTCTCATTCCCTCGAGATTGGAAGAGTAGTGGAGCAGGGGAATGGCGAAACCCGATTGTTGCAATTCCCCACGGAGTCGGACCCACACCAAGAAATCGCCACGGCGTTTGGCAACTACCCTTTCTGTTGGGTGGCTGGACATCCTACGCTCCTCTACATAGGTACGAATGAGAGTGTTGCAAAGGTCTGTCAAAACTAGCCAAAATGAATTTCTTCCCACCACCACCAACCGTCGAGGCGGAAGTCTACGTGCGTGTTCCCGAGGAGGTACGATGTACTGGCAAGCAATCAGAATGGGGCGACGAACTTGCTGGATTCAAAGGCATCTTTCTTGAAGGCCCCGTGGTCGACAAGGCTGGCAATCTCTACTGCGTCGACATTCCATATGGAAGGATTCTCCGAGTCGATCCTGACAAGAATGTCACGGTTGTCGCCACATACGACGGAGAACCGAATGGCTTGGCTGTCACCCCCGAAGGCGATATCATCATCGCGGACTACAAACAAGGAATCATACTACTCGACCCGTCAACCGGCAACACACAGCCCAAGATCACTCGTCGCCACCTCGAAAGATTTAAGGGTCCGAATGATTTGATCGTGGATTCGAAAGGGGACATCTACTTCACGGATCAAGGTCAGACCGGCATGACAGATCCGACTGGCAAGGTGTACCGTCTATCGACATCAGGCAAGCTAGATTGCTTAATCGAGAATGGACCTTCACCGAATGGCCTCGTCCTCTCCAAAGACGAGAAGTTCCTCTACGTCGCTATGACTCGAGCCTGTCAAGTCTGGCGATGCCCCCTATACGCAGATGGCACAACGACAAAAGTCTGCTGCTTCTTCCAATCGTTCGGCAACGTTGGTCCGGATGGATTGGCATTGGACGAGGAAGGGAACTTGCTCATCTGTCAGCCTAGCCTCGGTTGTATCTTTGTGGTGGACTCGAAAGGCATTCCCAAGACAAGGATTGTTTCTGGGTCGCAGGGTATCAATTTGACGAATTGTTGCTTTGGAGGGCCTGAAGGCAGGACTTTGTATATTACTGATAGTGTGGAGGGGAATATTCAGAAGTTCGAGTGGCACTGTAGGGGAGCTACACCGGTGCCGTTCGTTAAAGGGGCGGCGTAGACGTGCTGGGTCATCAATCGACCTGGGTTCTGTGTCTTCCAAGAGAGTCAATGTCACTGAATGAGACAAGTTGTTATTCTATACAGGTTAGAGAAAATGCAAATGATATGATGGGCAGTTTTCATTCAGTTCGGGACAATCTCAAGCCGGGTGATCAATGACTTCCACGTTTCGAAGGGGTTTGTGTCGATTTTGAGAGAGAACACAATTACATCTTTCATTCACTATAGCTGAAGGCTGCCTCAAGATTGACTCATCACTACCATTGACCTGATCTGTCGTTACTCAACGGCTGGAGCTACTCTGACCAACTTGTTTCCCAGCCATGTCGACGTGGATATCTTCCGTATGAGTGGCATCTCCCTCAAGTGTGTGTTTAGCCTCTGCGGCTGCCATGTAGTGCTCATTCTCCAAAACTGCGTCCGCTACACGGGCATGTGCAGCATCCTCCAGAGCTCGGAGAGGCATGTAATGGCCAGTCTTCTTCTTCCGCCATCTGGCCTCCATGAGCAAGACAAAAGGCAGTGTAGCAAAGCAGAGAGCAGAAAGTGCGAGTAGACCGACTGCTGCAGCAAAGCCTGGCAAATACCACGGCTTGTACTTGGCTGGGAAGATTTGTGGGCCAATGATACTTGCAATAGACAGCCCAGCCAGCGTGATTGCACCTCCAACTGCCTGCTCGGACGCCCCATACAGGGTCATGCTTCGATAGGTCAAAGCGGCAGGCTGAGAGATTGAGATCTTATTGGCGAGGAAACATAGACCTGAGTCGGTGGTCAGATATCATCAAACGGCTTTGCGACTCTCTGCGAGCAGAACTTACCATATAGGGTAATCGGATGTAGTCCCCCAAGTGACTCAATCGATCCGCAGTATATGTAGACAATATAGCAGGGAAGGGATATGATGATTGGAATGATGAAGTGCCACATTCTCTCTCGAGTCCAGTCTCCATGCCACGACCAGATGGCATAGCAAGGAGCTGACACAAGGAACACGGCAGCTGAGAGCTCATTTGATCGATGGGCTGAGTATTGTAGAAGCTGTTATAATCAGCGATGGTCTTGCATATTCCCCGTATGATGCTTACCGAGTTCAAAATCGTTGGCAGGAAGTTCGTCACGCCAATATTTGGGATCAACAGGCAGATGTATGAGATAAAGAAGACGTAAGTGCTCGGCCTCATCATGACCTGGATGAAGGTCTTCGTGTCCCAAGTAGCATCGGTCTTTCTCGTCGCTCCTCGTCCGAAACGGTTGATTGCTATGTGACGCTCTCGATCGTTGAGCGCAGTGCTGTTCTCCGGGAAAGTCAGGAGCAGGAAGTAGACTGGAACAGCCAAGGCGATGGTAACACATCCCTCCTGCACAGTTATTAGCGTTGCAATGATTAAATAGGCACCGAAATTATACGAACAATGATGAAGACCCATCTCCACGAGGAAAGCCCCAGTCGTCCATTCAAGTTGTCGATGCCATTGGCGATGAAGCCTCCAGTGCCGATGGCAATCGAGTTGGCAGCATGGAAGAGGCCAAGTCTCAGCGCGCGTTCAGATGGCTTGTACCAAAAGCTGAAGTACATGACGACTGGGAAGTCTTGTCAGCTATGCTTCCAAACCGAGAGAAAGACTTACCAGCAGGCACAACGCCAGCTTCTGGAACACCAAGAAAGAAGCGCGATGCCAACAGTCCACTGGCATTTTGGCTGGCTGCTATACACGCCGAGAGTGCACCAAAGCCTGCCATGATCATTGGGAGGAAGTGTTTCCCGGACATTTTTTTCATGAGAAGATTCGAGGGAAGGAGTAGGATCGTTGTGGCGAAGTATGTGATCGAAATGGCCCAGTTGAAAACGATGCCGTGAAGCCCGAGCTCTTTAGACAGTGTGTCTTTCGTCCCAGCCCGGAGGACGTTGACGTATCCCATATTGGCTCTGAGGAGGAAGTTGGACATAGTTCTCGTCTTGGTGTTGGTCACGACGGATGTGCTCACCTGTCAAGGTATGCACAGTAGTACAAGATGCAACACGGGAACAGGACTCGAAAATCCAGCTTCCATAGAAGAGCCCTCTCCTCTGCTTCCTCCCAATCGACAAGGACATTGGTTTCCTCGACTCTGTCCTTGGCATGCTCTGTATGAAACCTTCGTCAACGCTGTCGTACTGTCGTTATGCAGGTACCTTACTGTTGGATTTCGTTGCAGGCACAATAGCCTGCTTCAATGACCAGCCTGATCTTTCAATGTCAGTATACGAGGTAACGGCTATCACACAAGACGTTGCTCTTGTTCCCAACTGACCTCCAATGTAGCATCCCTCTGCTTCGACTGCCGCTCGAGCTTCGCTGAAGCCAAACATTGTGTTGATGGAAGAGCTTGATTCACTTCTCTTTCGTGGCAATGGACTGGCCTATGAGATCGACGAGTGTTCATATGCACCATAGACTTATTTCTGTTGACGCCCTTTAGACATTTAACGGCTTCGATCGAACACGGTTTCCACGGTGTTTCGGCCGCTTCCTGCAGCCCTTTGCTTGTATCGATGTGGGGCCCCCATGGGGTTATAATCTACTAAGCTCTGTAAGGCTTCTGTTGCGAGGCGTTCCAGCCTTGGGATTGATTTGATGGGTTGCTTGGCCGAAGGATTATGGTCGAAGTTTGGTTCATGAGCAAGGCGTGGTCGTTCAGCCGTCCGAAACGCCGTGGAGCTTCGAGGTCTGGCGATCAGTAACGCGAGGCATTGTCTTGCGAAGGGGTTAGAGTATACTTGCAGCACATGATACTTTAGAAACAACACACGGGGCCTCAGATATCGAGTGTACATGAGCAGATCGATTGCAGACACACAGAGGCATTCTTACCAATCCGGTCACAATGGTTACAACGAACGGAAACCATGTCACGCCAACCATCCAAGCCGACATTGCAGTTCCAAATCCTATGCGAGACAAAATGTCACAAGGAGATGTGGCTTCCACCCTCATTATTAAGATGATGAGCGGAGTTGAGGCTCCAATGCTTGCGAAAAGCACCGGATTCGATGGGATATTCATTGACATGGAACATTCACAACTAGACCTCACTGCAGTGAGCCAAATGTGCCAAGCTGCTCTTTTAGCTGGCATAACCCCTATCGTTCGCTCGCCTACCAAGGAGCCTTTCTTTGTGTCAAGAATCCTGGATGGTGGTGCCCTTGGTGTTGTGGTCTGCATACGCAAAGTCGTGCCTTCGTCACCGAGCCGTGCTAACATCGCATAGGTGCCGCACATACGAAGTGTCAAGGATGCCGAAGATGTCGTTGCCGCAGCCAAATTCGCCCCCATCGGTCGTCGAAGCGCAACAGGTGGACTGCCTCAACTAGGCCTACGACCCATACCAGCCAAGAAAATGAGTGTTGCTGTAAACCAATCGACGATAGTATGTCCTATGATCGAGACACTCGAAGCCTTAGAGGATGTTGAGAAGATCGCCGCCGTGCCTGGAGTGGATTCGCTTCTCATAGGTTCAAGTGATTTGACTGCAGAAATGGGAATACCAGGGGATTTTGATAATCCAAGGGTTACTGAGGCGTATGAGAAGGTCATTGCGGCCTGCCGTAAGGCTGGCATCTTTCTCGGATGTGGAGGCTTGACAGCTCGCCCGGACTTGATACAGAAGTTCTGCGAGAAAGGTGGTATCAGCTGGGTAAGAGATTCGCTCTAGTGAGGTCATGCCAAATCGGTCTGCTAATGAAGTTCGTACCACAGGTCATGGTTGCAGCAGACCAGGCTCTGCTATACGGGGCTGCGAAACAGAAGGCGGATTTCATGATTCAGATCAACGAGAATAGGAGGGTCAAGGGCACATCTTGAGAAGTCAACGGAACTGTTCTAGAGATCTGAACTGCAACCATCAACCTGTGGCATTTGGTTCCTGCTTGTGTGTTCATGTTAGAAACATAGATACTACGTTCGAAGATTCATAACCTAGATAGGGGCTGTCATCGTAGTCAGAAGTCACATGAAATACGAGACTTCCCTGCCCAAGTTTAAAGTAATCCCTTGGGTTAAAAGATCACTCAAATCATAATTGGCCACTCCGGTCACCATGCCGCTCAAGGCTGTGATAAAGTCCGTGCACCGCCGTTAGCGCGTGCGCAGGCCCACTTCTGAACCCCAGCTCCTCTTACTTCCTCCTTCCTTCTCCCTTCTCTCCAGTCACGCGGGAGACATCTCTGCAGAATCATAAACGCATGGCACCCTTCGCGGGTCTCTTTGCCTGATGCATTGTGTAGCCATTGATCATGTCATCCTCCATCGGGCGTGGTTCTGTGCGGCGTGAGCAGCTCCGTCGCTCTGGTCTTGCTCAAGCGTGCACCAGCTGTTACCAGAGAAAGGTGTGCTCATCGACTGACTCTACCTGATCCGCCAATGCTGACATTTTGAAGATCAGGTGTGATCTCAGCGCAAAGTCGCCATGCACGAACTGCTGCCTCTACCAGTCCGAGTGCTTGTAAGTTAGCCTTGTTTCCAGTGTTCTTTGCTGAACAGGCTCGCAGACCCAGAACTCGACGAAAACGGCGCACGACAAATGCTTGCAACAGTGATACTTCGCTTCCTCCAGCTTCATCCGTAGCACCAGCAGCTGTATCTCCATCTTCGCACGAGAACCGGTTCTTGCGGCGCGCATCAGAAACGAGTCCAGATGTTCTGAATGGCGATACAGCGACAGAGGACGAAAGCCGCTCAACACCTCAAACAGATCTTCATGACGGCCGGACCATGTATTTTGGAGCACAAGGAAGTACAGAACAAGCCACTACAGCGTATGCCGAAACTTCAGGGCCGTCGCCGCTTCAAGTCGCCAGCTTGCACATCAGCAACGCATTCGAACTACCATCACGAGCCATACAGGACTGCTACATTGATTACTTCTTCAGGTATTGCTTTCAGTGTGCGCCTCTCGTCAAGCGAAGTTGGCTTGAGCAGACAGCAACGCACACGCCTTCCATACTACTCCTGCAGACGGTCCTTTTCACCGGCAGCCGGTTTGCATCGTCCGTCGACCTGGAGGCTACAGCCAGCCATTACACGAAGGTCAAGAACCTGTTCTTTTCAAATCATGAGCAAAATCCAATCCTACTCATTGTGGCGAGCTTGCTACTTCAGTGGTGGAATCCCGCTGGACCCGAAAGGTTCTCCATGGACAATGCTGACTTCTGGCACCGCATCGGCGTGGGAATAGCTTTGCAGCTTGGGATACACAATGAGAAGCCGGCCATGAAGGACTCTGCGTATCGCAAGAGGCTGTGGTGGGCACTAGTGGTAAGGACTGGTCTCCCTTAAAACGCACAATTTCGCATTTCCAAGACGCATAACTTTTCGCCGTGGACACACGCAGTGACTAATCCAAGAACTAATCGACGACTCTACAGGCTCGCGACTGCCATTTAGCGACGGCTCATGGGAGGCCGAGAGCCATTGCTACGGATGAGTCGACCGTGTCAAAACTCTCCCTCGCTGACTTTCCATCTGGCAAAGCTGGCGCATATGAAGTGATGACCTACGTTGCAGTCTCTCAGATTTTCGGCAACATCGGCGAGTGCTATAGACGTAGCGCAATCACGGAAGAGCGGCTCAAGTCAGTCGGCAACGATCTCTATGTCTGGCTCCATGAACTTCCGTGCCATCTCCAACTTTTCAACCAGGAGCTGGGCGCAGGTCTGAACACATACGACTTCGTATCTCGACAGATACATGTGATTTACTTTACGACCTTGATTCTGCTCCTCCGTGCGTACTCTCCGACTGCCAAAGGCGCCGTGTTGGCAGCATCCTTCATCGCAGCTATTTTTGAGGAATTCCTCATACGGGACGAAGTCAGGTACTTGCCAGCTATCTATAAGTTCTTTCTGCTTACTGCAGGCATAACACTTGTGCCGGCGAGGAACAAATTCACTGAGGAGATCAATGATGCCTCGGCGGATCTCGCAATCATCAAGAAGGCTTTGAGAAGCTTCGCAGAACGACACCCTTCTGCGTTAGCAAGTCTACATACACTGGAACGTATGGAGAGATCGTTTGGCAAATCTGCTCAAGGACCAGATGCGCCCGCAGCACTGGACGGCAGCCCGCGGATGTTCTTTCGGACATTCGGATCTGGACTGTGTCGGCAATGGCGTCTTTTTGAGCAATATTCATCAGAAAATATCGTGCAAGAAGCTAGCGACTTCCCGTCCTGTGGCTTCACAGTGCCCAACAACCGAGCCCTCGCAGACCTGGCAGACGACAAGGGACAGGATATCGATATATCAGAAACCAACGGTAACCAGGCAGCCCCTACAGATTTCTTTGAGGGTGGTGCTGGAGCCGGTGACTTGATCTTGCCACTGCAATGGTACGATACTGTCGAGAGTACTTCGTGGATACTCAATGAATGGCCCTTGAATTTTCTGGAGGAGCCAATGGCTGTTAATAATGACGGTGCCCATGGATGATTCTACTTAGAAGATGCAGCGAGCGATAAGCGTTGCGTGGGCACGCCGGATGTGAGATGATGAGATCACATGCTAGAGCTGGCGCATGGAGTGGCACGTGCACGGCTTGCCTACAAATAGCGACACTCCTCGGCCCTTCTTTCTTCTTACCTTTTTGCACCAGCCACCGCAAAGTTGCAGAACTCGCGGTCATGCCCCCTTCTCCTGGAGCACGAGACATCGCTATGTCGACCAAGTCGGACAATGTCTCATCAGACGCCGAGGAAGAGAACAGCGACCAGGTAAGATTTCAAGAGCTGCTCTTGAACATGTGTTGACACAGCCATTCCGCCTTCTCGATCTGCCGCCAGAGCTATGGGTGAGAATCGGAAAATACGCCATAGACGGAGCCGCCAATGTCACTGATCACAACTTTCTGAGTGGTTGCGACTTGAAGCATACCAAGTGGTCATCAGAAAAAGAGGCACGCGCAGGACTCATTCAACCGGCTATCACCAAGACATGCCAGGAAATGTGCCACGAGCTGTTGCCATACTACTACCAAACCAAGTTTCGGGTGTCGTTTGGGTCTTTCGGTTTGTTGAGCAGAGTCCATCGATCCTTCGGAGACTGGCTGCGCTCTGGGTGCGGTGTACACTTTCATCGCATTCAGAACAACCTTCACGTGGAGCTGATCGACGAGGATGAGGAGAGGCGCGAGATGGAGATGAAAATGGCCAGGTGGAATATCGCGGTCAAGCTGGAACAGATCAAAGTGTTCTGGGCGGACGACCGCTATCCCTATCATCGAGTCTGGTTGCGAATGGTGGAGTACAGGATCAAGCTCGTATAGACTCGAAATCACGAGTTGGACTCAGGAATCCGATGGAACATCCATGGATCTGCAACGGGGAGTGAGAGCGATAGGGGTCAGATGAATTATTTCGAGAACCGCAGACAGATGCATGATGCAGAAGCTCATCATTCAATGATAATGCACAAAACCAATACATTTCTTCGACAAGTTTCACATGTGATAGTCTCAACCTTCATTCTGCCTCCTTCCTCTTTCAGATGCAAACAGGGGGGAAGCGCACGGACCCACTGCGTTCTCAAGCCGAACAGCGCCTTCTTCGCTGCAGCTCTTCTCATCAACAACAACCTAAAACTACTTCAGTTTGAAATCTCCCGTGCTGCAAGGTCGTCATGACAGCGACATCAAGCACCAATGGAGATGCTGCTGGAGACGAGAATGAGAAGGTGAGACCATCTGAACCCTCGCAGCACTTCCTTTGACTCACGTGTTCATAGCCATTGAGCCTTCTCGATCTTCCACCGGAGATTTGGTCAGACATCGTCAAGATGGTGGTCGACGAAGAGCCCAAGATCAAAGATCTTTGCAGGCTCCAAGGCTCCCAGCGACCCGCGAATGGTCACCAACCGCGGATCACACAAGTATGCCGCAAGATCCGCCAAGAGGCCCTCCCATACTTCTATAAAACGAAATTCAGCAACTGCTGAGACATCACTTGTGGTTTAGCCAGGCTAAGAGTATTCGGAAAGCTCTTGAAGACCATTGGCTGGCAGAATCGTCAACACATCGGTGGCTTGCGAGTTTCTGACAGTTTTACTCCCGCGCGTGATATCGATTTGTACACGTATTACTTGCGCCAAGTGTTTGAGTGGGACTTTGGATTTGTGCTAGAGCAACTCGACGAGCCATCACAGCTGAGCGTGCACGAAGATCCTACTTTCAAAGTCAGGTTCCTCTCAAAGTGAAGGAAGAAGCGGGAAGCATCAAAAACGATGAGGACGATAACGAGGTCTCTCGATGCAACAGAAACAGCGATGTCTTTGGCATGAGGTACTGAAAGTGAGCCTGCAAGTACGGGCACCGTAATTGAGTTCCTTCTGTGATCGAAATCATGTGCGTCGTCCCCATTTGCAGTTGCTGAAAGACAATGTTTGCCAAGTGCAGTAGAATTCTCGCAATCTCTAAACTATTTTCTGTACCATCTGAGGCGATAGAAACGACTTGCGATGGACGTCGCACGAGGAATGCTGTCACGTTAGGCGGGACCAAGCGAGCTTGTGATTGCCAAGGCCGGCCCACTAAAGGCTTTAGTAGGCTTCATTTTCCCGCACATGACTTTCAACTACAAACCCCCCTCCATTCCGTTGTGAAACACCTTTGATTCAGACACCTCACGATGGAGCGGACGTCTCAAGCCAACATATGGAGACACACTCCAGCCATCGCATACAAGGATGCCGCAAAAAAGGAGGTCAAGGTAATGCGCCTACGCCGAGCTCACATAGTCGCTTCAGCTCTGCTAACACTCAATCACAGCCCTTCCGACTGCTCGACCTGCCACCAGAGCTCTGGTCCAAGATCGGCAAGATGGTCATTAGCGACATCCCCGAGTACCCCATGTGTCTATTGTGGGCTTGCCGCTCTTTAGACTACGCAGCTCCGATCCTCAGGACCTGCCGAGTATTACGAGAGGAACTCCTGCCATCCTTCTACGAAGCCGGACTCAAAATCAGCTGCTGTACCGGAATCGACTTGGATGGTCTCAAGGGACTACTTGGGCACATGGACGAGAACGCTCGGCGTTCGATGCGTGGCGTGCGGTACACGAGCTATGATCATTCCATGTCTGAGGAGAGACTGTTGTGGTTGCGGAGTCGTTTGGGCAACATCGAATTCAATCTGACAGACCCATACTTCGAGGAGTGGAAGATGACCCCTGGATTGATGTCGAGCGTCTGGGCTGACGAGGAAATGCGTGGCCGCGTTATGAGAGTGCGGACATGGACCTTCAAATTTCTCTAAAGAGCGAGATCACACTTTCCGTGTTTCTGATGATAGTGGCGAGCGCAAAATGTAACTATAGTCGATTCAAAGCAGCCCCTTTTCTTGCCCAAGGCAGCCAGAGCGCGGAGGTGCTCTGCTTGAGAACCGATACGCGTGGTTCTTTGAAGCTCACAACGTCTCCAACTTCTCGAATTATCAGATCGCGGCTTCGGCTTTCTTCTTCGCCTCTTTCTTTAACCTCTTCATCTCTTTCCTCTTCGCCTTCTCCTCCTTGCTCTCCTCTTTTGCCTCAGACGGCGAGGCTTCCACTACATCCTGCGACTTTGTCGCACTGGGTGTCTCAGCCTCCGCCCCCTCCTTGGTCTGCTTTTTCTTCTTCTTTTGTGGTGTAGTCGACTCAGGCCAAGGCATAGTGGAGCCCCCGTTGACCATGTCCACATCCGAATTCCTCCGCTTCTTCTTCGACTTCTTGTTCTTCTCAATCGCAGCACTGGTCCCCGAATCAGGTTTTTCGGATGCTCCATGTGCGCCTAGTGCTTTTGGAAACTGTAGGGACTTGCTAGTCTTCTTCGCTCGAGTAACATCCTCGTCTGAACTATCTGATTCGGATCCTAGTCGTCCAGGATCGCCACGACCGAAACCTGGGGGCTTGTACCTCATCCGCAGACCTTTGGGCTGAGGTCGCGCATCACTAACAGGAGCTTGTGCGATGTCGGCCGCGGCACTGCTTCCCCTGTTCAAATCCGCTTGGAGCTTGCTCAGATTTGGTAGTTCGATCTTTTGCTGAAGTTGCAGTGAGGTCTCAACATGCTGCCCGACTGATTGATAGCCGGCATCTGATGGTATGAACACAGTGTCGAACTTTGTGCTGTGGTTCGTGTCCGCCGCCAAAATGTAGTCTACACCCTTGTGATTGAGGACGGGTGTACCACTCTTCACTGCGTCCAACGCAACTTCGGTGATAGATTTGAGAGGAATGCTTGAGGGTGCTACGATGTGCCATATCTGCTTGCCAGCAAGATTGCTTGCCGCGAACGGTGAACCGGTGCCCAGACTGCGCGAGTCCATCGCTGTGTATCCAGATGGTGGCTCAAACGGCTTGGCAGGTATGCTTTCGATCGTAGAACTGCCAACAGCTGGAGCTGATGCATCTTTTCTTTTACTGGGGATCACCTTCTCCTCCGATCCTGAACTGCTCTCCTCCTCGTCTGACGAATCTTTCGCCTTCGATTCGGAGGCAGGCTTTGCCTTGATGGTTTCCTTTCCTTTCGTTGAACTTGTACTCTTGGCTTCTGTGGCCTTCGGCGGCTCATCCTCTGATTCCTCGCTACCCTCATCCTCTGCTGACGACGAATCTTGCATGTCGACCTCTGGCGCAGGCTCTGCCTTCTTTGTCCTCACCACCGACTTCTTCTCTTCTTCCTCTTCACTGCTCTCGTCCTCCTCTTCCGATGATGATTCCTGTACATCAGCCTCGGGCGAAGTTTTCGCTTTCTTCGCAGGGGGCTCTTGTTCGCTCGTGCCCTCTTCCTCAGACTCTTCTTCTCCACTGCTCTCCTCTGCCTTTCTCTTTACCCCATTCGATTTGATTGGCGCGGGCGCGGGCGCAGGCTTATCATCCTCGCTCTCCTCTTCGCTGCTCTCGTCCGAATCGGATTCAGCTTTCTCTTTCTCAACAATCTTGGCCTTGCTCTTGGGTTCTGCCTTTTGCGACACGGGTTTCACCGAGTTTGCAGACTTTGCAGACTTCTTCGGAGCCTGCTTGCTCTTTGCGGGGCTCTCTGTAGCCGGTGCCTCGTTGTCGCTGTCCGAATCGACCACCTTGTCCTCGCTCAAGTTCGATGTCTTCGACTTCGTTGCCTTTGATGATGTTGCTTTCTTGGCTGGCGCATCCTTCTTCTTGGAGATCGCTTTCGTTTCCTTCGCCTTCGCCATGGCTGGCGGCTGCTTGACGGACATCTAGCAGCGTTCAATGGAGAAGTAAAACCGACAAGGATGCTTTCCGCAAGTCTCCAGTTCGCGTAAATTTCGTGAAGTCAATCGAAATATCTGGTCCCGCCGCGCGCACATTTGAGACCACTCAAAATCTCATCCTTCCCGATCGAGCATCTTCAAACATTTCTCCTTTCATGGCGCAGAAAAGAAAGGCTCAAGAGGCGTTTGGCAAGGCCAACAGTGAGTACGGCCTAGTTGAATCACTGTTAATACTAACATTCAACAGCCCAGCTCAGTGCGGTCGCGGCGGCGAAGCAAGCGAGACTGCGGGCACAACAGTCCATACCCGGCACGGATGCTCTGCAAGGCGACATCGATCGAGCCTCTGCTATTGCAGATACCCCATATGACGGCCAAAATGACGCTTCCAGAGAAGGAGTATCTGAACCTGATGTCGAGGTACCTATTGCGACCCTTCCACCAGCCAAGTCAAGTGTGAAGTTGTCGAATTTTTCGCGCGATAAAAGCACTGTCCTCAAAGAGTCCGACGAGCGATGGGAGTTCTCTTTGAAAGCGGACGAGTATGTCACCTTCATCGGCGAGTTTGATCTAGAGGTCTCGAAAGGATTCGCTTCGATTCACGGCGCAATATTGCATGCCAACTCTGGTGTGCAGCGAGTCTACGCATTGAGTCCGCAAGCTATCCCGGCAATAGTGGCACGCAAAGACGACACCATTATCAAAACAACGGCCATTGGCAGAGATCACAACGACTCTGTACTAAGCCTTGAACGACTTTCGCCTCTCTTCGGTAATATCGGTGCGAAGCATAAGTATTCGTCGAGGTCATTCGCTCTGCTGAAGGAGTCATCGGACGACCCTCTACAACGACTGCTCGTCGTACTCGAGGTAGACGATGACACCAAAATGGTACTTTCTAGGCTCAATGCGAAGCTGGACTCAAGTGACAGTGCACCGCGCATCATGGCCGTGGGAGCGAAGTCTTCAGGAAAATCTACATTCAACCGACTTCTTTGCAACATGATCATCACTCGACCAGGACAACAGCGGTGCTTCTACCTTGACATAGACCCAGGCCAGCCAGAATTTGGACCTCCTGGACAAGTGTCTTTGGTTGAAGTCACGACTCCCCTCCTTGGGCCGGCCTTCACACATCCAGCATCGGTCGATTCGAAAGCTTTCCGCCTCGTTCGATCACACACAATAGCCGCCACTTCATTCAAGGACGACCCCGGACACTATGTCAACTGTGTCGTGGACCTGACGAAGCGCATACCGAACGATGTGCCTGTGGTGGTCAATTCCTGTGGATGGGTCAGCGGTCTCGGCGCGACTGTACTATCAGATATAGTCGCTTGCACCAGTATCACGGACTCGGTCACCCTTGGGCCACTAGATGCTGACCTTGAAGATGGTCTCAAATCTCGAACGACTCTGCACAAGGTGGCACGGCGTCAGGGTCGAGTGTCTGCGCGAACACCAGCAGATTCGAGGGCTATGCAAACTCTGGCTTACTTCCATCAGAAAGACAGGACGTCGAAGGGAAGGCTACGATGGGACTCCAAGCGTATCAGTCAAATGCGGCCCTGGATCATCGGATATTGTGGCGAGAGCGCTGGCGTTGAGGCTATTTTATCGTACGGACAGGCCCCTCAAGCCGATTTTTTGAGCGAGGTGCTCGACGGCTCAATAGTCGCCATTGTTGAACACGATTCCGACCTCTTCAATGCCACAGCTGTTGAACGAACCAACAAGGAGGATATTCCCTACATCACCTCCAGAGAAGACGGCTTCTCGTTTCCGATCGATCCCCAGCAGAGCAAGTGCTTAGGCCTGGCTCTGATTAGAGGCATCGACATCCAAAACAAGAAGCTCCAGCTCGTAACGCCACTGCCCGAGAGCCAGATAGCGGAGCTATTACAGCGCAAAGTAGTCCTCATCCGTGGCGGCTTCGATTCCCCAGAATGGGCTTATCTGGAAGATCTCTGCGCAGCAGACAAGGAAGACATGGGCAAAATGGACGCGGAGAACGATCGGCCCTGGGTCACATTGAGAGAACATGTGGGTGTGGAGGGATCAGTGTGGAGGTTGCGACATCCGCCTACGAGGGATAGTCTGCGGTAGAACGTGGGTTCTGCGAGGAACTTCCTAACCAGTCGATGCTCGACAAAACAGAAGCTGTCAACGTCATGAGTGTAGACAGGTTCTGGAGCTCGTGGGTACAGCCCTGCACATGGCCGCAGGATCACCAACCGTCCGCCGATCATTCTGCACTGTGCCGCACGACTTCCACTGGTGGTATACGCTCTGTGATCGACCCGTACTCATGGTTGTCCACAGGGTCGCTCTCCCACGAGAAGCGGCCAAGCCCATCCTTCTGCGCTTACACAATACGCCTGCAGAACGAGTGTGCACTTACCAGCTTGAAACCCACCGTTGAACGTCGTGGAAGATGGTCGCAAAGCCTTCTGGATTCAAGCTTTTTTGTTGGATAGCTGAGCATATCGAAGTCGGTACACCAGCACGAACGTGAACGACAGGATCAAAAGAGCCAACTATTGTGCTCACGGTTTGATGACGGAGGGAGACTTTGACCGTATCATACAGCATTCATCGCTCACACCAAGGAAACGACGAGCATACAACGAACGCGATGTGAGGATAGCAAGAATCGAATAACTCCATTGCCTAATCTAAGTCGTCACATCATACATCATACGTCGTCAAACTAATCACTTAAGGACCATTCCATCTTCCTCCAGCCTCCAACTAAAACGATATCATTGACGATATCCTCACTCCCTCTCGTCAAGCCTCTATTTCAAGAAATCCGGCACCCAATGATGATCCATCAACTTCTGCACCTTACTCCTCTGCTTCTTCTCCTTATCCTGACTCCACACACTCGAGCGCCTCACATCTGCCGCACTCGAACGCCTCACCTCTCCATCCAACGGGTCAGGTCCCCGGCTCCTGCTGCGCGCACGTTCGGTCGACTCGTGTTGCTCGGCGAGGCGGGAGAATTTGGTCGCGACGGGGATGGACTCGTCGTGGAGAATCCCCGTCTGTTGTTGTTGAGCTTGTGTGGTGGAAGAAGTGTCTGACGGGTTGTTAGGATGCAGGTAGGGGAAGTGACGGCAGCTGGGCCTGAGTGGACGTAAGAACGCACTTGGGGGCTCTTGGTTAGAGTTGAGGGTTGGGGTTGTGGTGCTGTCGACCTTGGTGTCTTCCGGTGTTGTAGACATTGTTGCGTGAATGTTTGTGGGCTCTGGTAAAGTCGTCGTTGTTGCGTATGGATCGTAGTGCATCGGCGTGCTCTTGATCGTTCTTGTTTGATTGTGATGTCTTGTGTCGTGTGCTTTCTTTCGCAAATGCGATACTTCCAGGGAAATTGATATGAGCACACGACCGACTTATATACACCATCCCCTACCTTTCGATCGATCTCTTGACCTACGAAGCCATACCGTGGCGTGACCCGCGCTGCCCGAGAAAGGGTCTCACCAGCTTTCCACGCAATTCCATCATCCGGCTGCCGACCACGACAAATTCTCGGCACTGCCATCACCAAGGCCGGCTCCCAAGCTTTTGGGAGGCTATGCAAAACGGTAACTCAGCAGCGAGTCGTGTGATGAAATCAAGAAAGTGGTTGATGAAGTGAGCGGTTGTGGAGAAGAAAAATTGGGGACTTGAGGACTGGGCTCACTGGGCTTCCGTCAGACGAGACGAGAAGGGAGTGGGTTTTTTTGTGGGGATGGGTGTGTTTTGAGGGGATGAGGTTGGTTGTTGTCTTTTTGCATGTGAAGGCGTCTTACAAGACTAAGCCAGGGTCGTCATTGTTATCAGCAGTGAGAAGGAGATGGAGATTTAGAGAGCAAGTTGGACGACAGCCGTCTGTCAATACAACGACTGTAGAATCGATTTTTGATGAGCAGAATGCCTACAACGCCAAACACGATTGCAAGTCCAAACTCCTCATCTGTTCGTTCCTCATCAGAGACATGAGAATGATCAATTCAAAAAGCATCATCCCAAAACACCCTGCTAAAAATTCCAAAACGCTTCAACCCAACCACCCTTTCATTCAAATCCCTCCCTTACTTCCCCTCCATAAAGCCGTAGCTGAACAACTTCTTCACGGAGTTCTTGCTCTTCGCCTCGTGTTCTTTCCTCCACTGCCTCTCCTGGGCAGACATCTGATGCGTGTCCCACGAACCGGAAGTCGATCGACTCCGGCTGTTGACGCTCGAAGATCTTGAACGGAATTCAGTGGGTCGGTAGTCTGGGAGGAGCCATTCGGCTGTTTCTGAGGGACGGCGGGAGTCGGTGCCCATCGTGTTTGTGCTGCCGTTGCGGGTTTCCTTGTCGAGAGATGTTTTCGGAATGTAGTTGGGAGAGAGGTTGTCTGGGAGTGGGTCAGCTGTGTTTGGTATTTCACCGGGGAGAAGGATACATACTGTTGTTTGATGTGGTTGAGGTCGTGGCAGGCATAGTTGTTGTTGAAGTTGAGTTTGGTATGTTGATCTACTGTGAAGATCCAAGTCGCAAAGGAAACTGATCGCGTAGTAGTTCTTTGTCTGAATGCGAAATAAAAAGCGCATCACACGACAAGAGACAGGTGCTTTAATACCTCACTCTTGGCCCTCCTCACCTCACCCTTATCTCAGCTCCATCCATCCTAAACCCCGTTCGTCACCGGTACATCTGAACGACTACGGCCCATTAGCCCTGCCCAGAGCGGATCATCTTCACAGCAATCGCTCGGCTACCACTCATGCCATCCTGCAGTGTGGTGGCTGAAGAAAGACACTGGAGCGGTACGATACCCAACGCAGGCAAGTCCTCGCTCTGACTCCAGGGTCTGCCGAACGAGCACGCACAGCAACCAGCTCCAGAGCTCTTGCGTCAAGTCGCAGATCCAGACACCGCAGCTCTGCTTCTCACAAAGCAAAAGCTGGACGCTGCCCTCGCGTCCCGAACGAACAAGCTTTGCATTTCTTTCGTACAGCTACGAACCAAGCGTGGCTGTGCAGCGGAGACCATTCTTTGAACACAGTCGGCGGAACTCATTCACCGTCAGCGGGATGACATCTTTCCGCCCCAACTGAGATGTTGTTATCCTTCTTCTTCGTTGTGCTTTGTGCATGTGATGTGTTGCCTATAGTGAAGAATCAAGCCTTTCGTACTCGTAAGCTTTGAGATGGCGCATGCGGATCACGGTGTCATGCTTTCGCAAGAATCATTACCTACTTTCTGTTGAGGATGGCTTGTACAGTGCAAGCGGGATGCGCGCAGAACGAGACGGCTTGCGGTCAAGCCGAAGCCTTTGGTGCTTGGTGATGATGGCGTATGTCTTGTGTTGAAAGTCTGTATGTAAGTCATGATTTCAGCCTAAGTGCTGCGCCTTCGTAATCGTACTGTCTGATCTCGAAGCCGACTTTCGCAACTTCGCGAGACCCAACGTCGAGCCCTTGCGAAGATTTCTCTCTATCCCTCGTCATCTACAGTTCCTTCTCTGCCCTGGAATGCTGCGGCGTCTCTTTGACGCGATAGACAAGCTTGGCGCCGCTGACTTTCTCATTCTTCATGTCCTCCATGCCCTGAAGCACTCCTTCCAGGCCCTGAGAACCGACCTTAGCTGGATGAGTCTTCAGTTTGCCTTCTGCAAGGAGCTTCTCGGTGATGCCAAAGATTTCCTTTGCGAATTCGAAGTCCTCTGGAGTGGCCGGGAAGTCACGACCAGCTTTGGAGAAGGCCTCGTTGAAGATGGTGTACATGATTGTGGTCTTGCTTTCAACATCCTGTCTCTCCGGCAACTTCTGTCCAAGGATGGTACCATACTTCGTCCCAGAGCCATCAGAAGACAAAGCCTCTTCACAGATCTTGGCCGATGCAGGCAGCGAAATGGTATCCCACACCAACTTCAGCGCGTTGTTGGTATCTTTGTTGATGTTCTTGCCAACGTTCGGATCCTTGTAGTTGTAGACGGCATCAGCACCCAGCCCCTTGACGAAGTCGTTGTTGTGTGGGCTACATGTCGTGATGACCTTGTATCCAGCCAATTTGGCGAATTGGATTGCGAGGGAGCCGGTTGCAGTGGAACCACCCTGTGAGAATCGTCAGCATGTGATGACTTGAGCATGAAGGGAGGTGGATACTGACGTAGATAAGAACAGTCTCGCGATTCTTTGTTGGGTCCGTTGGAAGATACAGCTTGAGAGCCTTCTGGAAGAGCCCCTGCCCGACGGTCGACACACCCAGAGGGAACGTCGATGCATCCTCAAAGCTGAGGGACTCGGGAATCTTGACCAGCAAGTCGCCCTTGGCCACGCAGTACTCTGCAAAAGCGCCATCCTCGGGGTTGCTGAAGTTTCCACCGTGACAAACGCCAGCAATCCTGTCGCCTGCCTTGAGAGATTTCTTCACCTCTGATCCGACTTCAACGATCGTTCCTGCGAAATCGCAGCCAGAAATGCCATTGGGAGCTGCACGACTGTCCTTAACGTGCTTCCAATCTGTGGGGTTCAGGGCGACCGAGTCGACCTTGCAGAGGACGTAAGTCGGCCTGGTCTTCGGCACCGCGATCTTGGAAACGGCTGCCTTGTTGCCATTGATGATGATGGCCTGCATGGTTGCTGGGGCTTTCGACATGGTGCCAATGATTTGGTGGAGCCGAGCTGACATGTATTTGCTGGAAGGTGATCCGTTCCAGTGTGGTGCTCTCGTTCTGCTGTGTGCTGAGAACGAGACTGTCTGTTCTATGCGGTAACCGCGTAGATATAGTCAAGCATGCCACTTCTGCCACTTGGAAAGTGCGATCAGCCATTGAGTGTTTCCCCGCGTCATAGCCGAGCTTTTTCCACACATTACCAATTGCTATTGCTCGATCACAGTGGATTTTGGAGGGAGCTACCTGGCTTGCAAGCAGCCACTGTGGTCCAACTCTGCTCGTTGTGTTCATGTCCCGCCTGATTTCAGGTTTGGTGTGGCCGAGTTAGAATCCCACAGTGGCTCGAGATAATGTACATGTGGTCGTTGCATGTCCATCGTGCTCTTCAATCTGCGAGAATCGGATCTACAACTCGTATTAACAACCCTGCCTCAGGCTCTGTGTCCACACTACGAACCTTCCTCTCTCACGCGTCTGTTTGACCAGATTCGGTGTTAAGGCTTCACAGAAGGGAGTGACGCCCCTGTCTGTGCATCGAGATCATGTCAGCAGCTCTTCGCTTTGAAAACAAAACGGCCTTGATGATGGGCAGGCCGGACTGCGCGCAGGAGGCCTTCAGAAAGTCTTGCATCCTGTTTGACCATATATCCGCTCTCTCGGCCGGGTAAGACTGTCTCTAGCCATGGATATCGCTTCAGTCGAGCAAAGCCTTGTCACGCGAGGCTCCTGGATTCTTGCTTGTCATCCTGCAGACACATCAAGGGCGAGAAAGCCACAGGTGTGTGTTCTGGTCGCTGAGCAGTCTGAGTGCTGCCATTCTGTCGACAACACATGAACCCGTCACGCCGGCTGTGGACGTACATAAACTGGTCAGCTATGGTCCGCGCCGCTATCTTCATGCCTACGCGCCGCCATACCACTGTCAGATGACTTGAGACCGTACTGCGAATGTCGGACCTGAGAAGTCAGATTTCGTCGCATGCAGCGAGCGCGACATCACTACAGTACGACCACGTATGCTCATTGCATCACATTGCTCACGGCGACAGTGTCCATGCTGGGATGAGATCTGTACACGATGAGACGCGATATTGTCGTTGTTGTCGTGCCCTTGGTCGAATTCGAACTTCTTCCTACGCGTTGACGCGAAATCGGCCGAGGTCATCCACAAACAGACTGATTTACGGTTGTGGCTGAAATGTTGAGCTCCATACGGCTAGTTGATACCGCATAACTAGCTGACTTGAGGCAGTGCTCCGGCTTTTGCGTATGGAGGTGCGTCTACAGTAAAGCATTTGGTGATGGAGTGGGCCGGCCAACTGACATTCATCAGCGGCCACGTCGTTAGATGCGGGCATTGGCGTGAATGAGAACAGCTCGGAGAAGAGATGCGAAAAGTTATGCAATCTGGTCAATTACTAAGTGTCCTTTGGCTGACCGTTCCGAGCGGGAGGAACCTTGACCGGACGACAGCTCCGCTAATTTGCGTGAGCCGTCCGCGGCACCCAACAGCCACCAAAGCATACCGCGTTGTGGTTGAACCGTCTCACTATGCTGTCTGTGGCATACAACACCCGGTCTGTCCGGCCAAAACAATGCTGCTTGTCTTGACGATACCTGCAGTTACCACCAGAATTTGTCGATCACCCGGCTAAGAAGCCAGCCGCATTGTAGACGCTTGTTTACAAAGCACCGGCATATCTCTGCCATGCCGGAGTCGATAGGACGCGTGAAGGCATGCACCGAGTGCAGACAGCAGAAGGTCTTTGCGTCTCATACTGGCATCATCGCAAGCTTCGCCACTGACTCTGCATCGCACAGGTACGCTGTGATGCCTTCAAAGATTACAGTCGACCTTGTTCTCGGTGTCGAGCCGCTGGGCTGCCTTGTGTGATATCCAAAGACTTCCAAAGGCGACCACGTCAAACGTGAGATTCCTCCAATCAAAGCCTTACCATAGAATCATTCTAACACATAACGTAGCAAGGCACAGCTTCAATATGAGCTCGACCGGCTCAAAGCACAAGCCGAACCAGGCTCAGATAATCCTGTGGATCACCGAGCGACAGAAAGTCCGCATACCAGCACGACCCCGGACATGAACCGTCGATCGAGCGATCATGTACAGCACCAAAGATCGCATTCTCTACAACCGAGTTCATCACATCCCGAAGGAAATGCATCATTGCAAGAACTCCTCCGACGGAGCTCTTCAGAGCAGCAAGTGCCACCGCGAAAATCACCAACCCAGGCAACAAACGGAGCAGAAGGTACAGTAGCGCGGACCCTGAACGATATCACCCTGGACCCCGGCAAAGTGAATGACTGCTATGCATTGTACGTCTGTGAAGCATGCTCGCACAGCCCCAGCTAATGGTCATTAGGTTTCTCAGTCATTATGCAGCGTATACACATGGCCTTATCGAAATGGTCATCAGCCCTAACCAACGGTACCAACAATCACCTCTACTTTTCTGGGTCATGGTATGCGTTGGTTCCCGTGGATACACAAAAGATCCTACACTCTATGGGCGTCTAGGCGAACCAGTACTGGATCTGATGTTTAAGTCATTGATACGACCAGCACATGCGTTGCCAGTTATCCAAGCAGCCGTCATCCTCTGCGGATGGCCGCTTCCTGTCGATCTGATATACCGGGAACCCTCAGAGGCGTTGGCTGGAGCCGCGATGAGCCTTGCCATGCAGAATGGCCTGCACATGTACAGCCGCGAGCAAGACTTTGTGGTGAGGTCGTTGAAGACCAAGCCAGCATACTATGACTTATCTGGCGTGAAAACAATTCGCGACGAAGTCGTCAGCTTTCGTACGCGGATCTGGGCGTTCTGCAACATCACATTCCAAGAGTAAGCACACCTGACGCGAAGATGTGTTATACCTGACGATTTGCAGTGTGTACATGTGCGATGGCTTGCCGCCGCTCTCAATCGTCCCGTGCTTCCGACGCTCTGAAAGCTATGGCGACATCAACGAGCTCTTGCCAGAGAGATTAGGCTACAGAGTACAGCTGCATCGCCTGCAGACAGATGCTACGAACCTGATAGCTGGCTCATGTGACGTCCATGGCAAGAAGTCCGACCAGACACTTAACGCGCTGATAACTTCCTACGATGACAGCATCCGACAAGTGCCTCTGCCGCAAGACACGCCCTCATGTGCGTCGACGATAAGATCACCGGGCATTGAATTGGCTAACAAAGATCATAGATCGCTTTATGCGTAGCTGCACCCGTGTCTCCGTCATGGGTCTAATCTACGTCGCTCAGCAAGAACCAGACCACATCCATGCCCTACGACTTTACAGAGTTTCTCGAGAGGCGGTCGGACTCGCGCTCGACCTGGAGCGAGATAATCCCGGTTGCACCTTCTACCTGCCACACTACTATATCCGCATGGTGATGGCGGCTACGCACATCATACTGCGAATGTGCAAATCGCCCCTAGGTGCCAAGCTGGACGTAGATGATGCCGAAGCCGTGATATTTGCCATGGTTGACATTTTCCGAAAGCGAGCGTACTCGTCCACTGACCTCTTCGCATACCATTGCGTAATGCTACCTGAGCTGTGGGCTAGTAAGAAAGTCTTCGTTCGAGAAGGCAAGATTCAGAATGGGCTGAAGGTGAACATGCGCTATCGCCTTGTCTTGAATCCCGTATTTGACAACTTCTGGTGGTGGCGAAAGGAGTACGGAAGACCGTTGGAGGAAGCCCACAACACCTGTGCAGAGACCAGTGGCTTTCAAGACCCATCCACATCGGGTGCCGATGGCGGCGGCGGCGGTGTATGCAGTGGCGTCAGCGATGGCGAACACGAACCGAACTTTACGACCATGCTACCACCGCAGCCAGACATGGCCAACATGGACATGCCAATGCCCACGGGCGATGGCTCCTGGCAGAACTCCTTGGACAACGTGTTCGCGGACTTCATGCAGTGGTGGGATTTCACTGCGCCGTCTGACGACTACTCACCCGGGGATGGATCCTCTCTTCACGATGCCCAGATGACGCAGCCATACGACACACAGATGGCACAGCCTTACAACGAGATGCCGCACACACTCATGTCCGGCTCCGAACGGCTCATGTAACTCGACAACGACAGAAGACGATACAGGTATTTTGGATGGACATCATTGCGATTGTCTCAGAAACTATGAAAGACGTGAGTCAGAGTCTCACTTTCCGACGGTATCAAAAGCTTTGCCGCCAGCAAGCTGGTCCAGAGATATGCATTCCTGCAGCCCAGCCAGGTTGAAGGCCTCCTTCACTCCAGCGCTGCCGTTGTCTTCCGAAACCGTTCCATGCTGTTTGAGATGCTCAAGTTCACCGCGGACACTCTTGATGATCGGCCCAATGCAGACACCCGGCAGGATCATGATGCGGAATCCGACCTCTTGGGCCTCTGCAGCGGTCATATTCGGTGTGACACCACCAGGGACCATGTTCAGCAGGACAGGCGTGTCGCCAAAGATCTGGCAGACTTTGCGGGCCTCTTCCTTGGATGCGAGGGCTTCGAAGAAAAGAACATCCACGCCAATTTCCACAGCTGCTTTCAGCCTCTCCACGGCCTCGTCGAACCCGTATGATTGACGAGCGTCCGTTCTCGCAATGATCAGCATGTCGGATTTGAGCTGGTTTCGAGCATTCACAGCTGCGCGGAGGCGACTGTAGTAGATCTCACGATCAACTATCACCTTGCCGAGAAGATGTCCGCATCGTTTCTCCTGTGCTTGGTCCTCGATGTGCAAGGCTGCAACACCTGCCCTGGCGTATTGAGTCACCGTCCGAGAAACCATGATTGGGCCACCGTATCCAGTGTCAGCATCCGCCACGACGGGAACTGATGGATTAAGAGATGCTATCATCTCGACATTGCTCCTCATATCCGAAAGTGTAGCAATTCCCAGGTCTGCCCATCCAAGCGTTGATATGGAAGTCCCGGCGCCAGTCTAAGCAAACGTCAGCATTTGATGCGCCTCTGTATCAAGGGAAGGAATTTCACACCATATAGAGGCCTTCAAAGCTGGCAGCCAACGCCAGCCTTGCCGTCAATCCATCGAAGACACCGGGAAGTACTACTAGATGCTTTGGATCTTTCAGCAGCTCTCGCAACCGCTGAGCGCCTGTGAATGGTGCCAGCGCCATTTTACCAGACTCTTTGAAGGGTTTGCGAAATTTCGATGTTGACAATCGTTTCAGCAGTTGGAGTACAAATAGAGGGACTGGATCGACCCAAGTCCGAATGCTCGGCGAGCCTGGTCTTCACTATAGCTGAATGTCAGACCGATACTCGGCAGCTTCGGCCTCGCGTAGACGTATTCAAGCTGCCGGCCGACTTTCGCACAGCTAACTCCTACCACAGCTACCGTCGTCGGAGTACATTGTGTGGGGAAAGGTACGTACTTGTGCTCACTATAGACAGAGATGCGCGTGCAATCAGATGAGAGGCATTACATATAAGGCCGTCCGATACTGATGTTAACGCTAATATCTCTCCAACGGCATTTGCAAGCCTGGCTATGCACCTTCGTACATTATTTTGGCTTGTGAGATACGGACAACTTTCGACATGGCAATCGAAGCAGGATTCCGCAGCGCACAGGAAGCAGCACAACAATTCCATGTAGACTTAGCGGCAATACTTTCAAGCAGGAGAGGCATTGAGACTCAGGAATGGAGCAGTAACGAAGGCCAACATGCTACGATCGAGGATGTCATCACAGCTGCCGGCCAGAGCCTACGTCACAAAGGAGAGCGAAGAAGACTCGATGCAGACGCTCTTGACGACACACACAACAAGATCATCAGCAGCAAATCATATGGCGGCTTGGACATAGCACGCGAAACGATTCCAACAACCGCACAGTATGAGGAGATCCTCTTCCAAACCGAAGCCCACCTGGAAAGCGTCAACTCTCAGACCAAATCTCGAGACTTCCTGCAAGTCAGCAATGGGATTGTGCAAGGCGCAAGGCCCATGACCTTGGCCCAGAAGATCTTCACGCAACATGCCCTCAGCGGCATTCCCTCTGGCACCCACGGTCTCGCAGTAGGAGACGTCATCCGAGCTGGAGTAGACTGGGTCCTGGCGTCAGAATTGTCCTGGTCGTCGATGGCGCAAACGTACGAAGAGCTCAACGATCCGGGCATCTGGAGAAATGACCGCTTCTGGCTTGCTGGTGATCATGTCGTCCATCCGACCATCACGGAAGTGCCCAAGATCAAAGCGTACATCGAGACTGCGGAGAAGGCGAAGAAGAACTTCCGCATGACGCAGTATCAGGGGAGCAACTATACGATTATGCATACCGAGTTTGTGCGTGAGAGAGCCGAGCCCGGAATGTTGATTGTCGGTTCGGATTCGCACAGTTGCTCGGCCGGCGCTGTTGGGTGTCTGAGCATCGGACTCGGTGCCGCAGATGTTATGATGACGCTGGCGCTGGGAGAGACGTGGTTCAAGGTCCCCGAATCGATATCCATCGAGCTCGTGGGCAAACCCTTGTTTGCCATCTCGGGCAAGGATGTCATCTTGCACATTCTCCAAGAACTGAAACGCAACACCGTAGCCGCTGAACGCATCGTTGAGTTCTCTGGAGAGGGAGCACAACATCTTTCCTCAGATGCTCGCTTCGCCATCTGTAACATGTGCACGGAATTTGGAGCCATCACTGGAGTCTTCGTGCCGGACGCCGTCACGCAGGACTACATCGGTCGACGGAAACGCAAGGCGAATAAGTCGAGTTCGTTGTACTTCAAGCCTGATCCGGATGCTCATTACGCGGAGAGATGTAAGATTGATCTTTCAAAGGTCGAGCCGACGATTGCTGTCTATCCGGAGCCTGACAATGTCGTTCCTGTATCTGACCAGGCTGGCATGCAGCTGGACGGAGTATTTATTGGTGCGTGCACAACCACTGAAGAAGAGCTCGTGCTAGCGGCTTTGGTTCTCAAGGCTGGAGTGCAGAAGAACTTGCCGCTTGCGAAAGGCAATCGACACTATGTGCCTGGGTCTCTTCCCATTGTGGAGAGACTAAGAGAGTTGAAGCTGCTTGAGATCTACGAAGCTGCTGGTTTCACGAGAGGGCCACCTGGTTGTTCCATGTGCGTAGGTCTAACGGCGGAGAAGGCGGGTGAAGGAGAGACGTGGTTGAGCAGTCAGAACCGTAACTTTGAGAATCGGATGGGTAAAGGTAAGTGCATCTGTCCTCATTCTACAATTGCTTAAGCTAATCATAATAACAGGCGCCTTCGGCCATCTCTCCTCCGCCGTCGTCTGCGCAGCGTCAGCCTTCTCGATGAAAATCACAGACCCAGCCGATCTCCTCAAAGACCTAGACGTGGAGTTCTTCAACCACTACAGAGGCATCACCGACTACACTCTGCCGACCCCAACCTACTCTGAACCTCAACCCCCGGCAGACGGCCCATCCCCAACACCCAGCACCACCACCCCAACCACCCAAGCCGCAGCCCAAGACCCCATCTCAATAACCATAACCAGCAAAATCACCACCCTCCCAGATTTCATCGACACCGACGCCCTCGCGCCCGGCTTCACCCTCACAACCTGCAAAACCGACGCCGAATTCGGCGCCCACGTCCTCTGCCACACGCACCCAGACTTCCGCTCCAAAGTCTCCAACGGTCAGCGTGTCGTCGTCGCAGGCCACGCTTTCGGCGTCGGAAGTAGTCGCGAGAACGCCGTCTCCGCACTTAAGGGAGCGGGCGTGCAGGCTGTGATTGCGAGGTCGTTTGCGTTCATCTATGGACGGAATCAGCCGAGTCTCGGGCTGTTGGGAATTATTGTGGAAGAGGACGCATTTTACGAGGTTGCTAAGGAAGGCGTGGGGATCACGATCGATCTCCCTGGGAGGAAGATTGTGGTTGGCGAAGGCAATGAGAGCGGGGAGTTTGGGTTTGGGTTTAGTCGGATCGAGGAGGAGCTTTTGATGAATCGGGGGGTTACGAATGCTTATAGGCGGTATGGGAAGGGGATTTGGGAGAAGTTGACGGAGAAGAAGGGGGATGGGGTTGAAGGGGAGAAGGCGAAAGGGGGGAGTCATGAGGCAAATGTGGATAGTCGGTTGAAGTGGTAAGGTCGTGAGGTAGTGTGGCCAGTCAATGTGTGCTATACAAATCTAGAACTTTTCTGTAGCAGATTGGCTTTGCGTATGGAGTTCTTCGAGCCGAAGTCTGCCCAGCTTCCTGCTGCACCTTCCACTCACAGTCGATGTATCCTAAGGCATTGCTGGTAACAGTGACATTCGGAATGAACTAGCGTATTTATGCAGCAGTAATGAAATTGCCTCTGCATTTCTTCAGACATTGATATCAATCGCTCTAGTCCCCCATCCGTCCACCCTCTCACACAATGCCTACTCCCGGTCTCGTCAGATCACTCACCAACTTCCCCAACCAGGGCCAACATCTTCAGAACCTCCCCCATCGTCAGCGTAACCTTCGCCCTCGCCATCATGGAGAAAATCATATCCTGCCCCTTTCTCGCTTGCGCATCTAACACATAAATCAGTACCCAAATCCCCATCACTCATCACCCCCGAAAAATAAAACAAAACAAAAACAAAAACAAAACTCACCACTCCCCTTCCGATCCCCCGCCCCCACAAGCCGCTCATACTCCCTCTGCACGCCCAACAACTCAATCGCCTCCCCCAACCCCGTCGTGATCTCCGCTCTGGCCAGAATCGAATACAGAAAACTCCTCGCGGCCGAGTCCTCCGACCCGCCGACGTCGACGCAGACGTAGTTGAAAAACGTATCGAAGGCTCCCATTTCGATCTGCGGGCGCGTGCGCACGTCGACGATGGCGTGCGCGGGGATGTGGTGTGGGATGAGGAAGGCGGAGTCGATGTAGTTTTGTCCGGGGTGTTTGGAAGGGGGAGGCGGGATGGGGAGGGAGGAGAGGAGGGCGGGGAGGGGGAGGATTTGGGGGCGGTCGGAGGGAGAAGATGAAGAAGAGGAGGACTTTTTGCGGGATTTGGGGCTATGGAGGAGTTTGCGGACGGAGATTTGGAGAAGGTGGATTTCGTCGCTGGGGAGTTTGAGCGCCCAGAGTTCGGCGTGTTCGCGGTGCGAGAAGAGGGAGATGTAGGGCGTTGGCATGCGTTCGTCGCGGAGGTAGTGCTCTTCGATGGAGCGGAGGTAGTCGCTTAGGTAGTCTTTTGTGATGGGTGAGTTGATGTGGTCGATGGCGAAGAGGCCTTCGTCGTTCCAGGTTGTGTTGCAGCTCGGGAATTGCACTCGCCAGAGGTATTGGGGGAGTTGGGTGGAGCTGCGGTTGCGGTGGTGGTGGCGGGCCATGTTGAGTCGTCTTGACAGGTCTTAGATGATGGAAATGGGAATGCGATTGATGTTGAAGATCCATTTGTGACGTCTCTCGAAAGATGTTGCAGTGGCCTGTGCCACTCGTATGCCGGTCAAAGTTGCTAAATGTAGCCCCTGGCCCATGAGTTGATCCTTGTGCTTGCTGCCGCAGGCTTCCAGAACCGACGTTCGGCGGGCTGAAGATCCCAGCGCCGATTGATTTGATCTAATAGTTGTACTTGATCCTTGCTCGAATGATAGGTAGTTCTGTTGGACATCGAAGACTCCTCCCGACAGTGACGCGATATGGACCCTCGACGGACGACTTACCTCATGCTTCAAGTTTCGAGACTCTGCCTCGACTGATGATTTACAGCCTGATGAAGTCGAAATGCTCATTTGGCACTGTCTGTGACCACAATGCCGAGTCCCTTCTCCTCATCATCCAATTGCTAAACCTGCAGGCTTTCAATAAGAAAACCTGAAATGCGGATGATCATCCCCAAGATTATCCGCATCCTCCTCTTCCAACCTCCAATCCCTCTCCCCCCTCTCCCTCTTCCTATTCTCCAGAATATTTCCAATCAACAGCGTCAAGCAAGCCGCCGCACAGATCCACACCAGTCCCAGACTCACGCCGTAGCCTGTAGGATACCCGGGTGCCTCGCTCGTGATGAAGACGTTGCTGGCCACGATGCCGCCTGCGTTGCCGAAGCCGACCTGTAGCAGACATATCAGCTTAGTGGTGATTGAAGACGCTGGAGGGGAGAAGAGACGATACCATCACGGCACTACTGATACTCCTCTTATAATGCCCACCCATGCAATTACTCACCCATGCTAAGGTGACGGGCTGACACATATACCCTCCCGTGACAATCAGGAAGATGGCGAAGTACTGTACGCCAGCGGGGACGCCATGCTTTTGAGCTAGGAGGATTGCATATCCGACGGTAGCGACCAGACAGCCGAGTAGCGTAAAGGCGTAGCGGTGCTTCAGGCGATCGGTGAGGTAGGCGGTGGCTACGCAGAAGACCGTCGCGACGATGAAGATTGGGATGGAACGGACTTGCGCCTGCTCCGCCTTGTAGCCTAGCTGGGCGATGATGGTGGGCGTAAAGAACTGTTGAAGCTCTCATTAGCATCTCAACTCGTGCCGTCATCACTCGATCTTCGAGGTAGCACTCACCGACGTAGCATACCCCGTATTAACAATCCCAAAATACACTAAAAGCGAAGGGCGGAAGGTTAGCAAATGTCTCATCAGACATGGGATTGGGTACCTTCTGCCCTTCGGTATACGTACTCGCCGTCCCCACATAAATCTTCCAATCCCCCAAAATCCTCCCCACCGCCCTGCGATCCAACCGATTCATCTTCGCATCCGCCACATCAGCCGTCAACCTCGCAATGAGCAGCTCCTTCTCCTCGGCGTTCAGGAACTTCGCCGTCTCCGGCCAATCCGGCACGAACCACTTCGCCGCGACGCCGACGACGGTCGTGAAGATGCCCTCGATGATCAAGATCCAGCGCCAGCCGCTGTAGCCCGCGATGCCGTCCATTTTGGCGATGGCGTACGCCAGGAGGCCGCTGAAGGCGCCGGCGAGGATGGAGCCGGTGAAGAATATGGACAGGCGCCATTGGAGTTCGTAGCGTTTGTAGTACATTGAGATGAGGTAGACGCCTGGGGCAATGTTAGTGCTGTGGTGGTAAGTGTGGAGAGGGTAAGGGAGATGCTGACATCCTGGAAAGAAGCCAGCCTCGAAGAGACCAAGTAGGAAACGCATGGCTTGTAAACCGCCGTTGGTTCTAACCAGCCCTTGGCCGATTGTCGTGATGCCCCAGAGAGTCATGATGATTGCGATCCTATTTGACAGTTCAGCATTCTGACACCAACGATAGATGTCTGCTCCTGCCATGGAGTTGGCCCTACCATGTCGAAGGTGCCATGCGTTTGATCAGGATGTTGCTTGGAACTTCAAAGAGGATGTACGGAACGAACTAAAACGATGTTGTAAGTCATGATCATTTGTCTCCAGTCGTGTGCCCTTCTTGACGCCAACTTAGAGCTCTAGGAGGACACAGTCGTTCGTAAAAGGAAGCATGTGGACGTACGAAGATGAACAGTGCAATGTTGTAGTCATTTCCTTTCATATTCAAGTCTTCGGTCATGCCCTGGATCTTGGCATTGCCCTTGCAAGCAGACAGCCATTAGCTGACCATTCATCTACAAAGCGATCTGCTACGGACCACGTTGGTTCTGTCCAAGAATGCTAGCATGAAGAGGAACCATAGCACTGGTACGACTCTCAGATCGAGCTTTCTGAGCAGCTTCTTCTCCTTCTCGGGGTCGATCTCGAACTGGGCGATGTGGCGGTCGTTCGCTTGGACGCGAAGTTCTTCGACACGCAGCTCCTTGAGCTTCTCGTCGGCAATGTGTGAGTCCATGGCGGGATGAGACTGGTCGTTGGGAAAAGACGAGGAGTGGAGCAGACAATGGGGAGACTTATGGTGCGACTGTGCGACTGGAGCGTGAACTTGGCTGGGGAAGTGTTCCGCTCGTTGGGTGCCACTCGTCGCCAAGTCCTCTGCGATCTGACATCGCATCCTTCGTCGTCTCACTACTGGCCACGGCTATACATGCGGTTCGGTGTGACCAAGGCCGAGAGAAGCGAGCCAGTGGTAGTGGATGTACTTCTGTACCCCACACGTGGAGACCCCGCGATGCATGGAGAAGATCGCGTTGATCAGGGCCCCGGCATATTGAACGGCACGCTTCTTTGCGTGTTCGCTTGCAGTTTGGCGCATTGAACACATGGAAATGTGTCTCTAAGTGCGGCTTCGCAGCCGCTCACGGCTAGCATTCCGCCCAAACGACATCGACATGCTTATCTCGAGTTCTGACTCTGCAGACGCAAGGCCTCGATTTCCGCCTGGAAGGCCGTCATGTCTGCGAGAACGTCGCGTTGAGATTCCAGCGGGGTCACGAGAGGATGCTCGTTGTTTTCGCCAGGCTCGGCGACCTGTTGTAGACTTGACAAGAAGCCTGAGCGGTCGCTGTCGAATGAGTTGCCACTTGGCCGCGAATGCTCGCTACTGACACGTCTCGCCATTGTGTCTGGCGCGCCGTCCATGCTCGTCCTTTTCGAGCCACCAGCTCTGCGTGGTGGTGGAGCGGGTGGTGCGTTGGGTTGGGATGGTGCAACCGCTGCAAGGAATGCATCTCCAGGTCTCTGCGCCGGAGATTCCGAATGGCGTGGGCTGGGACCAGTCTTAGATGGGTGCCTTCTAGGTGGAGGCGGTGGCATGGCTTTGGGCACTTCGGTAGTCGATTGACTGGGTGAAGGTTTCTCAGAAGGAGGATCTGACGATATGCCTGACACGACAGCAGTCGGCTGTGGCTTTCTGGCCGGGGGAGGTGGTGGAGCCAGTTTGCTGGTTGATTCATCGTCGTCTGGAGGATAGCTGGGTTCTTGCGATAAATTGGAGGAGCTTCGTGGCCGGGCTGTATCACCGGCTTTCCGGCGTGTTGGAGGTGGAGGCGGTGCCTTTTTGGGAGTTGCATCTTCTGCGGTGATCGTGGGTGTTGGTTGTTGAGATGGTGGGAGACTCTTGTCGAGGAAATGGGGCGGCACTGCATCGTAGGTTTCTGCCGGAGGTGGTGGAAGTGGTTTGTTCAGGTCACTGGAGGATCTCGGCGTCGACGGTCTGAGAATGCCGGTGATGTGGGTATTGACTGGAGGTGTTCGGGGACCAGAAGACTGGAAACCTTCAGGTATGGACTGGTCAAAATCGGCAAAGGAGACTGTCTGCGGTCCACGGATCTTGGGCTTGGGCGGAGCAGGAGGTGCCAGGTCGTCGGACCTCCCCTGTCCCATGAGACCAGACTTCTCGTCATCGTCGCTCTCAGATGCGGACTCGTAGTCGTCGAACGAATTGCGGGGAGACTCCAATTGCATGCCATAGTTTCTGTCGAAGATGGAGGATGTGTCTGTATTACTGCTGCTGCTGTCGTGCGGCCTGGAAAAGGTGGTGTTGGGCGCGGCAGAAGGGGTAGCAGTTGCGCCAGCCACACTCGAAGGAGGAGAGGGCGTAGCACTCCCCGTCAACAGAATATTCTTAAAGGCGTCCACGTCCAGCGCAGCCCTCCCACTCCCAGCACCCTGTCTCTGCTCTTTCCCTTGCTCCTCTGCATTCTCCCGAATCAACCCAAACCCCGCATCGCTGCTCGCCAACGTCTTCGCAAAGGGATTGTACGGTGCTCTCATCTCGCTGGCCGGCGCTTTATCTGGCGAAGGCAGCGACCCGGAATTCCTCCTCGTGTTTTTCAACGCCTCCTCCAGCTCTGAATCAGCGGTCGCGGTCGAGTCTGACTCTTCCTCGCTCTCTTCAACAGTTGTAGCAGGCGGCGGAGGCGACCCGGCTCTTCCGCTGGCATCGGCAGCAGACAGTCTTCTCGCACCATTGCCATCGGTGAACTGGGCCTCTGGCGAATCCGGCGGGGTTTGGATCTTGACTCGCTTCTTCTTTGTTCGCTTCGCTGCAGCCGAGTCGTCAGAACACGACCTACCTGCGCACAAAGCCTACAGAGATGTGCTTACAAGGAGCCTCACCACCACCCGCATCTGTTGCGATTGGGGTTGTTGGCGGGAGTTGTTCGGGAAGCTTGGAGCGGCGGAAGGGGTTGGAGGACATGGCAGCGAATGCGCGAGACCAGCTCTATGGGGGAGGCATGCGACGGAGGTGGTGATAGAGGGATAGTAATACGGAGGTTATGTACAACGAGCTCACAGTCAACAGTGCTACTGTACCTTTGAGGTGAGCAGAGCCCCAAGGAACAAGCGATCGTCGCGTCCAGCCCTGTTCTGTGACGCAAGCCCCTGTCGCTCGTGCGCATCCACCGAAAAGCTTCTCGTCGCCGCTCAGGACAACACCTCTTCATCAACCACACTCCATACCAAATTGCATTGCTCTCGGTTTAAACGCTCGGTATAGTCCGGGTCCTTGCAATACACGACAATGCATCTGCGGCTTCTGCGTCAAGCCACAACAGCCGCCACTTGAAAGCGCTGCCTCATTCCCGAGAATCCAGACCAACACCATCCTGATTATCAAAAGCGAGCAGAGTAAGTGGTTCTCGTCGTTAGTCTTTCTGTTCATTTCCTATTGGTTTCACACGCAGTGTGTTCAAGTGGCAATGGCCTCGTCCTCGCCATAGCGTAGTCAAAGCTCGCGCTAGAGCGTGGCTGCCTTGGTCCAGCCAGAATCCTATCGACTATACATTTTCTGCTATATCAATGCACATTTCCTTCATCTTAAGATGCTACTTACCTCACCCTTCTTCTTTTCTGCTCCAACCATGGACGACGTGCCCCACGACCGCATACTCCAATTGATGAGATATGTCGGCAACATCGGCGGCCCTCCCGGTCGACGCCTTACTGCGAAAGACATCCGCGAGGCTGTAACAACTTGGGCAGAAGGGAAGGACTCTCGCATGAGTCCGTGGGGCATTCAGTTCCAACATCCCGACCCTAACACAGGATTCGTGCCTCCTATACCGTACCAAGACTCATCCGTTATTTGTGGCCGCTGGATCAGGGACGTCGAGGTGCCAGAAGAATTCTCTGGCCATCCGGTCGAGTGTACATGTCATGGCAGGCCACCACCGAAAATGACCTTTGCGGACACGCCATCGTGGGTTCCAAGCGTCTTGCAAGCTTTTCAACATGACGAGGTCACTGATGCGTCTTTGGAAATGGCAGAGAGCCTTCCAAAGACCACATTACTGGAATCCCCGTCCGGGAGCTGTCTATTCATGGAACTGCCGCCTGAAATTCTGGAGTTGATCCTAGAATACCTGGTGCCGACTGGACAGACATATCATTTCCTCCCAGCACGGAATGGCAAGAACTCCGTCCAAGTGGTGCAGAAGTTCGTGCCGGACGGGAAACGTACTGGAACAGCAACTTCCAAACATGCTCCACCGACAGCGCCGTTGAGCGCAAATCAATCGCCCGCCCCAAACTCGATGCAATCAATACAGATGTCCAATCCGAAGCACCCAGCCACAGGCTCGACCTACATGTCGCTGGCTGGGACTTGCAAGTATTTCCAGGACATCGTCTACTCGCGATTATTCTCGCAGAACGATTTTGTGTTCAATCTCACGCCGTACACGATCCACAGCGCCATTCGTTCGTGCGACTTCAAAAACTTCAGATGCTGGACTCGGACGACGGCGCACTCACCCAAAGCACTAGGACCACTGACAGCTCGCGCTGCCAAGTACCTCAAACATGTCACGCTCATCGCATCGCTCCCCTTCTCGCACAGCTCACTAGACATCAAAGCCCTCACAGCACTTTTCAGCGATACTGCAAGCACGCTCTTCGAAGCACAGCTGTCTCATCTTGCGCTGGCTTTGAATCTGGCTAAACCTGGGAGCAATGACAATCGCTTTGCCTTGCAAGCGCTGCCTGTCGATCTGTTGCAAGCGGAAGTCAAGAAAGATGGACTGTTGTCCCTAAATATCAGAGAACCAAAGGTGGACCCAGTCCGCGAGTCGAACAAGACACAGCGAGTATTCGCTCCGTTGCTGCAGGGACCGAAAGGTGTGAAAGAGGTTAAGTTCAATGGACCTTTGAGCGAGGGGTTTGTGGGCGAGTTGAAAAGCGCGCTGATGGAAGAACAAGTGTAGTATATAGTAACAAGACATTACTGAAATTACACGTTTGAGATGTGGAAAGATGAGTGGCAGTGCTCACATGGTCCGTGCGTCTCCAAAGCCCGGAGCAAGCCGACTTCACTTAATCCCGAAAGGGAAGGTGCGTGAAAGATATAACCAAACGGCACGAACGAAATACATCTGGATTGCAAACGCGGGCAGAATTGCAGTTATTAAAATAGTTCAATTCGTCAGAACGGAAATCACAATCCGCTGTCTTCCCCAAAATGTCGCTGCGACTAAGACACTGGGCTCGATATTAACACGCGTCTTATGATCAGAGTTTTGGAGATGAGTGGCGGAGTAGCATGCAGGAGGGACACAAACGAGCTGTATGTCTTGGGTAATACCGTCTCAAGAGCCTCGCGGGCAGATGTAAGACAACGCAAACTAAGATCGTAAAATTGCATGTGCATTTATGGCGGTAATGGCGTCTCAGTACATTCGAAAAAAAGTAAAGAACGTAAAAGCAGTCACAACAGTCTCCTCTGGGCAACATACGTGTGACAGGGTCGACAAAAAAATGCGAAACACTCAAAAAGTGCAACCAATAAAAGCAAAATTTCAAGCCCGGGAATCGAACCTAGCACCAAAATAGAAAAAAAAAACCGGCCGAGTGAGCCCACCCTAACACCCCAGATACAGTTTCCGGTTTCCCTCTGCTTAAAGCGAGTTATTCCCGTCCCAGGACACAACGTCTGCGCCTTTTGGGCCGAATCGAAATTTGGCTTACTCAATGCGCACCAAAACTAGACCATTGGTGCGGACTCACTCGACCAATGGAGCTTGCGGAGTTGTTGAATATGACACTTTGCGGGAGCTAGGCCGGGGATTAGCCGGGTCTTTCTGCCGCTGGCGGCGAGGGTGGGGTGGGGTGAAGAAGGCAGGGTGGTGAAGGTGCTTGCTGGGGAAGGGAGGTTTCTAATAAGGTGAGAGTTGTGGCAGAGTGGGTTTGCAAGTGAAATGACTAGCATATAGGGGGAGAGGGTGGAATTGTCCGAAAGAGGAAGGAGCGTGAAAGTTAGGCTGTACAAGGTGACGTTTCATATAATTTGCGTGGGATAGGAATGCGATGAAGTTCAGCAGATTCATATGTAGGAGAAGACAGTGAGGTGTGAAAGTGAAGTTAAGAGACTACATGCACAGGAATGAGAACAAAAGAACCCCACCCTCCAAAAATCCAAACTCCAAAAAGCAACCAAAAAGAATCCAAGCCCGCAGCATGACCGCACAGGATTCGAACCGACGACTACAAAAAAAAGTAGCGCCACAGTGACCCCAGGTCCCCCGTTCGGCTCCAACTAGCCTATGCATAGGGTCTCGGAATGCCTGCGTAATTTGGGCCGTGCGAGGGCTTACTCAATGCGCACCCGGTTATGGTAGAAGTTTTTTGAGGACCTCGACCACTAAGCCACTGTGACAGGAAAAGCAAAGTTCAAGTTGATTATAGACCTTAAGCTGGGCTGGCTGGTGAGCTGGGCCGGGGTTCAGCCGACAGGTGAAGCGGACGGAGGTTTTGAAGGGGAAGGAGCGAACGCCAAGCCGAGCATGTGAAAGGGGTGCGTCTGTGCGAAATGGAACATGCATGCACCGTCTTCGTTGTTGTTCGGTTTCGAATGTCTGTTGCTTCTAACAACATCCACCACACTCTACTGCTTTTTGTTCTTTCTTGCACGTCTCCCTCGCGTCGGCTCTGTTTCGCTCTCACTTTCTAAAATCACAATCACAATCACAAGCATCGTTCCTCGTTCGCCCGCCTCGCAACAATGGCACATGACAATCACGAGGTCAAAATGAGCAAGGCTCAGAAGAAGAAGTCGTTTTCGCACCATAAGCGTGCACAGGAGGAGCACGTGGTGGCCGCCAAACGCGCGGTGGCGAGGGAGAGGAAGGAGAAGAAGGCGGAAGCGAGGAGGGCGGAGATGGAGGAGAGGAAGAAAGAAGTGGTGGTGGTGGTGGAGGTGGAGGGAGAGGGAGAGGTGGAGTGCGCAGGTGACGGTGAAGAGGAGGAAGATGAGCAGGTAGCGTCTGCCGTTGAGATGGCGTCTTCTGCGTCCTCCCCTCTGTTGTCGCTCCAGCAGCAAGAGGAGCAGATGAGGCTAGCTTTCGTCAATGCTGAGTTCCAGAGGAACTTGGCGGCGTTTCGCGTAAGTCTATCCTCATACCCACAAGTGAAGCTGAGAGTGGAGTCTGGGAAGGGGAGAGGTGAAGCCAGCAGTGAGCCTGGCAATGAAGCTGGAACTGAAGGCAAGACTAAAGGAGACAGTGAGCTGACAGGTGATTCTTCCATAGCACATGCGTGACATCCCGCTCGCGCCTCCACCAGAGGCAGCTGAAGAACAGATGCCCGGCGAGTACTTCGTGCCGCCACCTCCCAACACCACCACAACGCCCAATTGGGCTGACGAAGTCCTCGAAGACTTCGACGAAGACTCCGAGATGCCTTTTTGAACGGCCAAAAGGTAGGCAGGATCCAGATCATATATTTCCGCATTACGATTAAACATACAGGAGTATTTGCTAACATCTACAAAGCAGGTGGCAGCAAGACGGGCGCCTACCGCTGCCACTTCTTCCCCTTCATCACGGCAGTGATCGCATGCCGGATGACGATGCCAGCTTTCTCCGTTTCCTTTTTGGACAGGCCGGTGGTGACGCAGACTTTGAGGGCGGGCCGGGGCTGCCACTCCTTCTCCTGATCCTTGGGCGACATGCCGAGCGCTGGCGGCATTGACTTCAACCGCGTGATGAGCACGCCATTGGCGAGACACTGTTTGTAAGTCAGCGGATGAGACGTGAAGGATGGGGATGGAATGCTTACCTCGTCTACACAGTCCTGCAGCAAGAACTCCTGCTCCTGTCGACTGAACCCCCGATCCTTGACATGTTGGTCCTTCAGCACCAACAGCATGACTGGATTCTCTGGCGTGCTTGTGCACTGCACCCAATCACTCCTTGGATCGAGCTGTGCTCGCATGGCACGAATGTTTTCTCGCAGGTTCTGGATGATGCTCGGCTCTTCTTGCAAGATGGTGACGGTTTCGGATGCCGTGGTTGCAAGCAGTGCAGGTAGTGCAGCAGAGAAGGTATACGCCGCAGCAGACAGACGCTGGTGTTCAACGATTTCTTCTGTGCTTGCGCAGAAGCCTCCTCCGCTTGACATGCAGCCTGCCAGTCCACCAATGATCATGTCCACATTGTTAGGGTCGACGTGTTGATGTTCTGTTACACCTTTGCCTGTTCGTCCCATGATTCCGTATGACCAGGTCTCGTCCAGGATGGCACGGAACTTGTACTTGAACTTCAGCTCGACAAGATTCCGAAGATCCACCACATCTCCAGTATTCTCAAATAAACCCTCAGTCACAATGAACCTTCTCGTCAAAGGTTTGCCTTGTCCCTCCTTTACCACCTTTGCCAGGACTCGCTCCAAATCCTCCATGTCGTTATGTTCGTACCATCTCACTGTACTCCTTGAAATCTGTAGACCTTTGCGAATCGGGTAGTTGACGGCCTTGTCCGCAACAATAATATCCCCTCTCTTACTGAAAGCCGGAATGACACTGCTGATAGTCGAGAAACTCTGCGCATAAATGATGCATGCCGGCATGCCCAGATGCGCCGCAATATCCGCCTCACTCTTCATGTGAACATCCTGTGTGCCATAGAAACCCGGAGGCGAACAAGGCCCAACACCATACGTGCGCACGGTATTAACCGCTTTCGCCGTGAGCTCAGGGTTGCTCGCAAAGTTGTAGTGGTTATAGCTCGCCAGATTCGTCACAGTCCTCCCATTCTGCAACTTCGTCTTGGGAGCCGCAGGACCAATAATCACGGGGATTCGATCATTCTCCAACCTTTCCCACTCACTCTGCTCGCCTGCCAACGGCTCCGGCGTCCAATCCTCCACCAACTCATCGATCTCATCTTCCGTCAAATGCACATTCTTCGTCTTCTTGGTGCTGTATGCCGGCGCGAGGAGATATCGCACTGCGAATATGAAGAGGACGAGTTCGACTAGACTGCGGATGGGATCGTTTTGGTAGGAGGAGCGGACGTAGCGGATGACGATGGCGGAGCCAGGGATCTTCTGGAACGAGGCGGCGGCGCTTTCGATGAAGGCGACGGCGGTGGGAGGCAGCTCGGTGCGAATGGTGGACGAGTTCATGCTGGTGGAGTGAGTCGGGGGTGATGGAGACGCGGCGGGTTCAGATTCGATCTTGACTGTCGCGTCCATGCATCGGCAGTTCAAAGTGGTCGCATATGTTCAAGTGAGAGATTGGAGGATGTCACAAGTCGTTTTGTCAATGAAAGAAAGAGTAAGGAGGACGTGAGACTTGCGACTGCCGACGCTTCCTCGAGTGAGGTCAATCAATGTTTCCTGGAGATCCCGGCTACTCGGGTGTCCCCGCGCGCCCTGCATTAGCTTCTTGACTTAGCGCGGAGGTCACATGCCGCAGAACACTGAAGACAACATGAACTGAAAACAGCGAGCATATGTTGCTATAGTCAAGATAAGCTTCGGTCATAGGCTTGTAATTGAGGCGCACATCACTGGGACGGCACATGAGTCTCGTCTTTACACACTCTATAGTCTACTGAGTCTGCTGTCGGGTGGTAGTCAAGCTTTCACAACGAATCCCTTCCATCCATCGAACGTGGCACGGCACTGAGCCTCGTAGTTGTTGATTCCCTGTATTGATGTTAATGCTTGCTCGATGAGTGAGAGAAGTCACTGTCGGCCATACCGCAATATAGGTCAGGTTCTGAGCTTTCTTTCCGGGTATGTTCGATGCGTTCCACCAGGAGTCTGTTTGCCCGAAGAGTGTGAAAGGTATCATCGAATCACACGTGTTCTTCCACTCTTCCTCCGCCTCTGCTGTTGGTTCAATGGACTTGGCTCCCTCAGCTTCCAGCTTCTTGATGATATCGACGGCCATCTCAACCTGTGCTTCGATGATCGTGGGGCCATTTGAGAGCGCTGTAGGTGCTTGGGGTGTATAGCTCAGAAAAAGGTTCGGATATGTTGCGATTGTGATGCCCAAATAGGTCCGGACGCCAGGTTCCCACAGCTCCTTGATGTCCACGCCGTCCTTGTTCTTGAGACCCATCTGTGTTAACGATCCAGTAAAGGAGTCGAAACCCGTGGCAAAAACCACCGCATCAAACTCATACTCCTTGCCGTCTTCCATAACCATGCCTTTCTCCGTGAAGCTCTTCAATGCAGCGGCACCGAGGTCATGCAGGTGCACATTGTGCTGATCAATGACCTCGTAATAGTCTTGCTCCAGGGGATTTCGCTTCGTGGCGAAGTAGTACGGCATCTTCTCCGGAGCCATGATCTTTTGCTTCTCGGGGTCTTTGAGCCTCTCGCAGACACGCTTGCGCCAGTAATCGTAGACAACCTTGTTCGACTCCGGAGAGATACTACATCACAACATTAGCAAACGTTCCTCATGCATCAAGAGGACTGATCCATCTTGATTGGCTTACACGCTGTCGGTATATGCACCCAATGAGAAGTTGAAGCCTCCAAGGTCCCATTTCTCATTGAAGTGTCGCTCTCGCTCTTCTGGCGTTGCTTCACCCATGCTTTTGGGATTTGGGACCGCCGGAAAACCAGCTCGTGAGTCGCGACCCGCGGCGAAAAGAGCAGGATAGAGATGCTTCATGTACTTCTGTTCGTCGGGTGTCATTGAACGCTGCTTCATGGGCAGATTGTAGCTCGGCCGCCGCAGGAATACCGTGAGTTCATCTGCCTGCTTGCCGAGCTCTTGGGTAATTTGGACGGCCGTAGCTCCTGCACCGATGAGGCCGACCTTCTTTCCCTTAGCGCTCCAGTCCTCTGGCCATGCTCCAGAATGATAGATCTCTCCTTTGTAGTCACGCAATCCGGGAAAGTCGGGAGTGTATGTGCGGTGCAGCAGGCCGCTGCAAAGTATCAGATACTTTCCTGTGGCGACATGTCCCTGCTGGGTTTTGATTGTCCATTTGCCTGCGCTCTCATCCCACGACGCATCATTCACTCGGGCGTTGAAGTAGGTGTCTTTTCTGAGATCGAGGGTCTTGTCAATGTGCGCCATATACCTCCTCAATTCGTGATGGTCAGGGAAACGTTCAGTGAAGTCCCAAGTTTTGAATACTTCTTCGATGTTCAACTGGTAGAAGGGAGCTTCGGAGTCAACCCTAGCGCCTGAGGAGCAGAATCACAGAAGTTCAGCAGGTGTCTCAGCAAGAGATAGTATAATGCCAGCCTATCTTACCCGGGTATCTGTTCCAGTACCTAACAATAACGTTCGTCAGCCTCATATTGCCACACAAATAGCAAATGCGACTCACCAAACACCGCCAAAGTTCTCCCCAGATTCGAAACATTTTACCTTGAATCCAATCTTACGTAGTCGATGTATCGCAGTGATACCAGAAAAGCCAGCCCCGATCACTATAGCGTCTGTCTCTATGGTGCTGCCTCCATTGGTGGTCGCTGCCTCTTTTGTGAATTCTTGTACTGCTGGCGCAGGGCCATCAGGCTTGGATGCTGTCTCTGCCGCTACAGGAACCTCATCGTTGAGGTACGGTACTGGCTCGTCTTTGGTCATGATGGCAACTTTTCTGGGGGAAAGCTGAGTTCTGCGGGAGAGTGTGCCTTGTGAAAGTACGACGCTCTTTTACTCGAGGAAGAAGTTAGGAGTGGATTGAACGTCACAAAGGATTCGCGAAAATGAAGTCCAGGTCTGGCAGAAGACGCGCAAGGCAATCCAGTCGATTATATCTCAGCACCTACTCGGTCTGATGCTGGCTCGCTAAAAGGTAATGTGTGGTCATCGGTAAAGATTCCTCACGTCCCTCCTACGCTTAGATAGAACCACCACGCAACCCGCGGCGCTAAGATAGCTGGAGTAGCTGAGAGAGAATTATGCGAGGTTCACGAGCTTCCAAGTCTCTTGAGCGGTCCTCTGTAAGGCGATTCGCAGTTCATCCCTGGCGCACCTCCACATCGTGGAGAAAAGACCCCGCACGGCTAGACGATGGCTCATCATAGGGCTGGTCGGTGGGATGCTGGGGGCGACTGACGTGCGGTCGCAGACGCGGTGTCTCGCAAGTGTCGCAAGTTTCGACTCGTACATCTTTTTCACGACAGCTGTCGACAGTCAGCAGGATCGCGTGGAAGGTTATCCGCGCGGGACTCTCAGCCTTTGGTGGAATGCGGAAGGTCGGTCTCGTCAGAAGGTGAGGTCGGATACCATTCAAGGTTGCCGCGGTTGACACGGCCAATCGCATCTCTTTCACGACCTCACTCGCATCCTGCACCACTGTTGTCTACTCTTCCTTCTCACCACTACAAGCATCGTCCGTTCTCCAAAGGAGCAATCCTTTACCGACGCTCGTCCGCTGACGCAGTCATATTGCGGCTGAATCATCCTTCTGTTCAGTCCCGCAGCTGAGCATGGCTCCGTATCTCGCACCAGCGCAAATCGCTATGCTGACGAAGGCTGCTTCTCAAACTCACGAACTAACGCAGTCTGCTGTACGATGTATAAGGAGACACAAGGCTCAGACGACTCGTCAGGTAGGCCAGCGGCTCCTCACATCCCGCCGAGAAGATGGCGAACACATCTCACCTCATCGAGCTCGCCAGCACCATTCAGTCGCAGGTGACGGAGTTCCACAAACTCCTCGCTGCATCTGGACAACCCGACCCTTCCCTCGAACTCAACGCCCCGTCTCCCGACTTTGCAGCTGCGGGCGTACAGGCGCAAGATGTACGCAGCAAATTGCTCGACCAGATCGATGAGCTCCACGACCTGCTCCTCACGCCCATGGAGATGCTGCTGGGCACCACGCCCACTGATCTCGTGAGTCGTCACACGCTGGACCGCTTTCAGATCTATCAGAAAATCCCCGTTGGCGAAACTCGAACGTACACACAACTCGCGGAAGCCACGGGCTTGCCGCTGACCGTTATCCGTCGGCTCATTCGACATGCCATGACCCAACGTATCTTCACAGAGCCAACTCCTGGAATAGTGGCACACACACCTGCCAGTAAACTTCTGACAGAGGATGTGAGTGCGCGGGATTACTGGGGCACAATGTCCGAAATCGTCTTTCCAGCTGCTTCGCAGACGGCAAACGCGCTCTCAAAATGGCCGGAAGAGTCGGGGTTGCAAACAAAGGAGACTTCTGGCTTCTATTTGGCCAAAGGCAAGACGGTCTATCAGCTGTTGGAAGATGAGCCGGAAACGCACAAGAGATATGATTCGGCGATGAGCGCCAATCGAAATAATATGCTGTTTTCTGTGGATCACATTGCGCGTGGGTTCGGCTGGCAGCCCTTCGGCAACGGTACTATCGTAGACATTGCTGGAGGCATTGGCACTGTGTCTCGATCACTTGCCAAGCACTTTCCAGACTTGAACTTCATTGTGCAAGATCGGCCTGAAGTGTTGGCTGTGGCACCGGCTATCGAGGATGAATCCAGCAAGGCCAGAATCACCTTCATGGAGCACGATATGTTCACCCCTCAGCCGGTAAAGGATGCTGATGTATACTTCTTCCGCCGAGTCTTCATGGAGTGGGACGACGACAAGGCTGTCCAGATCTTGAGAAACCTGACGCATGGTATGACTCCTGGTAAATCCCGCGTCGTGATTGCAGACTTCTACGTGCCTGAGCCGGGTGAAGCTCCGCTGTGGATCGAGCGCAAGTTCCGCAACTCGGATATGTTGACTTTGGTGCTGTCGAATGGTGGATCGCGAGACAGGGAGGCATGGATCAAGTTGTTCGCAAAGGCTGGTTCAGGCTTTGTTGTCAAGAGCGTCAAGCCGCTGAAGAACTCGGACATGATGATTACAGAGGCTCTGTGGCAAGGCGAGTAGGTGAGTTGGCGTGAGTGTGTGATGAGTAGACATGATTATGACGGTGTCACGTAGTTGTGCTCTTCACTGGGCTTGTTGCCACATGCGGCCGTGGCGACTGGACACGAGCCACGCTCCAAAATACCATTCGCACGTCGTAATGAGCTTTCCTTTCATTTCGTGATTCAGCAGTCGATGTTGTGGTGAAAGAGGACGTGCTCAAATCCGTGCACTGTCCCAAAAAGTGACGTCACCTCCCTTACTTCAACATCCACCACACAAACAAAGGGCAACTTCAAATTAACAACTATCGAGCAAAGATGGCAGCAGAAGCAGCAGCAGGAGTCTGGGCCGCCGAGGAGGTCGTCAGCACCGGCGTTCAGGCTGGAGTTGGCGCGTACATGGTCAGTGTTCATGCTTCACGTGCTGCACAGCTTCTTGCAACCTGACCTTCTACATTAGGTAGCCAAACCGACTATGCCCCTGAAGGCCACATTCAACCAAATTGCGACAGCAAAAGACGACGAAACAAGACTGTCGCTGGCCCGTGCGAACCATACTCTCACGGTGGTCCAGGGAAAGGCGTACGTCTTCGGTGGCGAGACTGCGAGTGACAAGCTCGCCAGCAACGAAATCCATGCAGTCACACTCGAGCATAGCGATGAGATTCCTCGATTTGACTACTCGGTCCTCCCTGCTCTGGCCGATGACATCGATGAAGGAAGCGGTCGAGTCCCAGCCGCCCGCTCCAAGCATGCAGCGTGCCAATTGAACGTTTGTGTTGCAGTATTCGGCGGCGTTGACGAAAGCGGCAAGCTGGTGGACAGAGACCCAATAGTCTGGCTGTTTGTTACCGCGAAGTCTTCCTGGCAAGCCCTCGAAGACGTGAGCGGCGGCATAGCTCCGTCTCAACGGAGCAATGCGAAGCTGTTCGAGGCAAACAACAACCTCGTCCTGTTTGGTGGCATCGATGAGAACGGTCAGGAGCTGAAGGACGTGTGGCACTTTCACTACGCGACGAGAGTGTGGACTCCGCTACCAAGTGCGCCGGTAGCCACTTCCAACGCCGCCGTGTCAGGCAACACACTCTACCTCATCTCTTCTTCCGACAACATGAGCAGTGATGCTCATGAGCTCAACTTCAGCAACTTCGAGTCCGCAGAATGGAAGTCGACCTCTTTCCCAACCAATCCTCTCACGCCAGGACCACGTCCGAGAGTCGGTGGTGGACTCTTGCCAGTGTCGACCGGCTTCGGCCGCAACTACCTTCTCTACTTCTTTGGTGCTCGGCAGAACCCACATACCTCAGAAACGACTTCTCCTCAAGACACCGAAGATCCAACACAATGGGCCGACATGTGGAGCTACCAGGTCGAGTCCAGCCAGCCAGAGGTCAAAGCCACCACGAATATCACCGAAGCACTGAAGCCGTCGAAGATCAAGGACGCCATTCGATCGAAGCTTGGGTATGACACGGGTAATCACAGCTGGGCCGAAGTCGAAGTACTGCCTCCTGGTGATCTTACGACTGGTGAAGGCAAAGTACATCCTGGGCCGCGTGCATACTTCGGAAGTGATATGGCCAGCGACGGCAAGAGTGTTGTCGTCTGGGGTGGCCTGAACGCAAAGGGCGAGAGGGAAGGCGATGGTTGGTTGATCACCCTTTCGTGAGAGACTTTGTTCACCTAGGGCCAAACGACAGCATGAAACCATGAGAACAGAAAAGGCACAGAGATCGGGATTGAAAGGTAAAGCATGCATTTGGGACGGTAGCTGACAGACCGAGCTTGCATTGATACCCAGAAAATTGAGCAGACTACAGGGCATGCATCGTTTCCTTATCGCGGTAATATCAACCTTCAAAGCATCTACTAATCATCCATACCATCTCAGCAGAGAAGTCGACCAAGATTAACACGCCAGAGAGTGAAAATCCATTGCTCAAAAACAATGGATCAGTAATCCACTATCACGACCTCTGTCAAATCAACGGAGCATGACCTAAAACGATCACACTTCACGCCGACGGACTGCTTTGACATTCTATCTACGGCATTGGATATATACTTACATGGCCCAGAAAGCTAAGTCCTCCCACGGCTACCAGCTTAGAGATTCCAGCCATGGACAAGCTCCTCGAAAGGACAGCGACGTCGTCGCGCGGCATCAAATACCGTTACTACACGTCCGAGGCAACCAAAGACAACAACTCTCGCCCAGCACTACTCTTCCTCCACGGATGGCCAGATAGTTCGGCGCTTTGGCAGTTCATCGCGCCGGTATTCCACGATCTGGGCTATCGCGTCGTCGTGCCAGATCTGCTTGGGTATGGGGGGACTTCGAAGCCCCTGGACGTGGAGCTCTACACCTTTGGCTATCAAGCGCAAGATCTCATGGAACTGCGTGATAGTCTGGGCATCAAGCAGGTTATTCCTGTTGGTCACGATTGGGGCAGTGGACTGGCGCAGCGGGTTTATCATTTCTTTCCGGAACGTGTGGTAGCGCTCGTCCTGCTTTCAGTAGCATACTTCCCACCCGGTAAAGACGACAGTCCACGCGATCCAGTCGCGGGTAACGACGAGTTCGAAAGGATAGACGGCTACCGACGCTTCCAATACCAGGAACACTTCATCGAAGACGACGCCCCAGAGCTCTGGAACGACCATCTCGAGAGCGCATGGACGGCCATCCACGTCAGCGACCGCGCCATGGCGATGAAACTATGGTGCCAACCAGGAAATTTCCGGGAGTACATCTCCAGCGACAGAAGAGACAACTCCGTGTACGACTTCGCAAAGAATCCAGCCATCAAAGACCCCTGGATCAAGTCGATGCGCGAAGGCGGCCTCGCCGCACCATTCACGTGGTATCGTGCGTTCTGGGCGAACGTCCACTCGACCCCCGAAAAGGACTTACCAGCCGAGCAGGAGAAATGGTGCTTCGGTTACCCCTCCACGGACAAATGCACCGCTGGCGACAGTTCTTCCTTTTTTGGTCGCGGTGTTGTGAGAGGGTGTGGGTGCGAGTGGGTAAGTTCGAATCCCGTTGACTGCTTTTCTTTTGCGTTGCCGTCTAGTGACAGGCATGCTTTCTCTGTGTTTTGCAACAATGCAGAAATTCTTCATCAAGAATCGATGTCGTATGCAAGTTGTCGTCGGACGTCCTGGCGATATATATACTTCTCAACGAACCTCGGCACGCCGTTGATCGCCCACCCATTCGGTGGCTGGATCCTTTACGCGCCAACCAGAGCTTAGTAACGACGTGGTCCGTACTTGCATTCGAACCTCCTGCGGACAGCAACACGACATCCATAGGGCCAGAAGAATATCGTCGTGGTACAGGGAGCCGCTACATTCCGCTCCACAGCCTTTCCGCTTGATGAGGCTGCGATCATGACACCCTGGGCGAGCGGGCGGACCGAAGAGCCCGATAGCGAGGAGCGACATCGCCTCTTGAAAGACGAGGAGGAACTCCTCAATGGCGACCACCCACCCGTGCATCAATTCGAAATCGAAGACGCCGTCGACGAGGAGACGACTTCTCAGCAGAATGGACGGATCCACCTCAGAGCTGATACCGTCGACCACAAAATCAGCAACAAAGACAGACTGCGCTTCGTACTGCTCCTCCCCATCGCCTACGCCACGGGGGCAGTTCAATCACTACTTTCCAACATCCGCCGTCTCCCATCAACAGCCTCCCGACTAGGCTTCTTCGGCACCCTCCGCGCCCTCTTCAACTACCCCGAACCCGGGCTCGAGCTGCGCAGCACCGCCTGGCTCGACGGCCTGCGCGGCCTCGCGGCCTTCGAAGTCTTCCTCTTCCACTACATCGACGGCTGGATCAACCGCTCGCACGGCTGGGGCGAAGACCACAACCTCCGTCCGGAATGGTACTACGCCCCGTTCATCCGCACCTTCTACGCGAGCGGCGATGCGGCGGTGTGTTTGTTCTTTGGGATTTCTGGGTATGTGCTGTCGTATCGCATGTTGGGTCTGATGCGGCAGCAGAGGAAGGAGGAGCTGCTCACGGCGCTGTCGTCGGCGGTGTTTCGGAGGGGGATTAGACTGTACATGCCGGTTGTCGTGGAGACTTTCACGCTGATGATGATGTGTCGGTATTTGGGACTGCCGAAGCCTGGGAATTATGAGCCTCAGCCGACGCTCTTCCTGGAGTTGAGGACGTGGTATATCAGCATCCTGCACTTGCTGCTACCGCTTCGATATCCCGACCGCTGGGACGCTCTGCAAGACCGCTACGATGGTGGGATTTCTTGGACCATCCCCCTGGAATACTACGGCTCCATCTACATCTACGCCTCGATCGTCTTCCTCGCCCAAGTCCGCAGCGTGACCGTCCGCCGCATGCTCTGCATCGGCATGGCGGTTCAAAGCTTCGCCAAAGACGACTGGATCGCCGCGCAATTCGTCATGGGCATGGCCTTCGCCGACTACCAACTGGAGCGCCAAAAAGACCCCAAACCCTCCAGCCCCCGCCGCCGCCTCGTCGTCTTCCTCATCTTTCTCTGGGGCTTCTACGTCTCCGGGCTCCCCGGCGGCATCCTCAAGAAAATCGACGACCAAGGCACCGAGATCCTCGAGTCCCGCCCGGCCTTCGACTGGGTCGCCAAGCCGGTCTTCTGGCTAGGTCTGTACAAAGACCGGCAGGCCGATCGCTACATCCTGTGCTTCGCGTCCATGGCCTCCCTCATCGGCATGGGCGAGACGCCCTTCCTGCGCCGCTTCCTCGAGACCCGACCCGTGCAGTACCTCGGCCGCATCTCCTTCGGCCTCTACCTCTGCCACATCTTCTGGCGCGCGTGGCTGGAGCCTTTACGCGTGGGCATCATCTCCCTGGTCGGGCTGGACACGAGCCTGACGTTCTTCGAGTGGGAGGACAAAGGGCGGATGTTCGTCGCGTATGTGTTGTTCATGATCCCGTCGATGGTCGTCAACTTCATCTTTGCCGGGCTGTTTGAGCGGTATTTGGATAAGCCGTCGGTGTCGACCGGGAGGAGGTTTGAGAAGTGGTGTTTGAGTTTTAGGGAGACGGGGCCGGCGGAGGCGGCGACGTTGCAGATGCATGAGAGGGAGAGGGGGAGGGAGAGAGGTCCAGCGTAGGGGTTGGTGTATAGTAATGTGTATTGAGATATGAGCGTTGATTGGAGATATACTGAGCTCTTGTGCCTTGTGTGATCGGTTCTTCCACCTGATATGCGTGAAAGAGAGCGATCGACGTTGAGACACAGCCGGACGCTGTTGACAGATGCATAGATGCACGACTCTTGTAAGGCTGGAAGGTCCTCATCATAGACCACCGCCAGGTTAGGCCCAATAATCCCAGCTCGAAGGACTTAGACGAGGATAACCAAGTCTTCTCCCAAACCGGCGACGGGAAGCCGTGGCGTACGAGGGCGAGACAGAGTACATTTGACACTCGTAAAACCAACCTCTCTGAACAACATTAATTACATCCAAATACTAAATCATTATAACATGTCTATTCCCCAAGAGTCCCCCGTTCTCCCAGACCAGCCAACGCGCACGCTCAAAAAAGTCCCCCCAAAACATACAACTCATCAACCATCAATGCCTCTCGGTCAAAACAAACCAACGTCTAGACAATCGCGGCGTTCGCCCGATTCGTCTGACTCCTCTTCAGATTCCTCCCCAAGTACCCCTCCGCAACCCCCTGCGCGGTATTCCACCCAGCCTGGGCAACAGTACTACTCCTCCTCCGCGCGAGCGAATTACCATCCTCAGCATCCTTCTCCTCGTCCGAAGCCGTATTCGCCGCGGCGATGGGTTCCCGCGGAGGAGCCTGTTGCTGGGCGTCCGTCTCCTGCTTCTGTTTCTTGGACTTCTTGGACTTGCCGGCGCTGCTGCGCTTCTTGCCCGAGCGGACGCGGAAGAAGTAGTAGAGGAGGACGGCGGCGGCGGTGTTGAAGGCGACGTACGCCCACATGATGCCGAAGTTGCGCCAGCGCTGGGACCAGTAGATGCCGGAGCCGGCGAGGAAGGTGTCGGCGTTGGAGATCTGGCAGTAGTTGCACTGCGTGGTGGCGTTCGGGTTGAGGAGGTAGCCGGTGGTGGTCGGGGCGCTGAGGTACGGGTTCAGGTAGGTCTGGCAGGTCTCGCCGGAGGGCGGGTTGAAGATGGAGACTTCGTCGGCGGCGCATTCGACTTGCCGCCCGGCGAGCATGGTTGCTGCCATGCCGGCGACCCAGTAGGTCATGGGGCTGACGCGGTACATGAAGATCCAGAAGCCTGGGAGGGCTTGGGGTGGTTGCATGACGCCGTTGAAGATGAGAGACATGGCGAAGAGGAGGGTGACGATGGATCCGGCGGTTTGGGCGTCTGGGAGCGCGGCGATACACATGTGTGCGAAGGTGGAGGCGTAGATGAAGAAGACGACGCAGAAAAGGAGGACAAGGCCTTGGCGCTCTGAGGATTGGATGCCGACCACGGGGTAGTAGAATGTGGCGTAGACGATCAGGCCGGCGATGACTTGGTAGGGGATTTCGACGATGATGTTGGCGATGAGGAAGGCGCGCCAGCTGTACGCCTTGCTGGGCCGCTCGCGGACTTCGTAGAGGGATCGTTGCGTGACGAAGAGCGGCATGATCTGCTGGACGAGCGTCGAGAAGATCGTCGTGACCATGAAGAGGGAGTAGATGACGTTTTGCATGCCTTGCAAACTGCTGTCGGCGTCGTAGAAGGAGAAGCCGATGAAGAGACCAGATGCCGCGGAGAGGATCATCTTTGCCATGACATACGCTGGCATGCGCCAGTACTGCTGGAAGACTCGGGACGTCACCTCCACCAGCTGGGTGGTGAAAGGCATGGCGAATTCGGAGTGAGCGGTTGGATCGTCGTCGTTCTCAGGTTGGCCGCCTTGTTTCCTGTGGATGTCGTCGATCTCGCGTTGGACTTCAGCGGCTTCGTGGCTGTCCTTCCAGGTGCCCACCCAGTCGGCGCTCTCGTCACCGACGATCTCGAGCATGTACTCAGCAGGGTTCTCCGAGTCGTCACACTTTCGTGCACCGTTGCCTTCGAAGTAGTCCAAGAGTGTTCTGGACTGCTCGCCGATGTTGCCAAAGTAGACCGTCTTGCCGCCCTTTCTCAAGAACAGTAGCCTGTCGAATTGCTGGAACAGAATAGCGCTGGGCTGATGGATAGTACACAACACCGCCTGGCCACTATCAGCCAGCTTGCGAAGGAATGCGCAGATAGCCCATGAACTCTGCGAGTCGAGACCAGAGGTCGGTTCATCCAAGAACAGGAGCAACTTCGGTTTCGCGGCCAACTCAACACCAATCGTAAGTAACTTTCGTTGTTCGACGTTAAGACCATCGCCAGGCACACCGACCACCGCCTCGGCGAAGTCTTCCATGTTGAGCATCTTGATGACATCTTCGACATAGTCGTACTTCTCTTGCTTGCTCACACTCTTCGGCTGGCGAAGCATTGCTGAGAAGCGAAGCGACTCGCGAACGGTGGCGGTTTCGAGATGGAGATCTTGCTGTTGCACGTAGCCAGTCTTGCGTTGGAAGCTGGAGTCGAGTGGAGCGCCATTGACGAACATGTTGCCGGTGACAACACCCATGGTGGTACGTTGAGCCAGGACCTGGAACTCACGTCAGTTTACGAATTCAAGTCTGAAGCGTTTCAATACTCACATCAAGCAGCGTCGTCTTTCCAGCACCACTCGTACCCATCAGCGCCGTCAAAGTACCAGGCTTCACATATCCAGACACATGGTCAAGCAGACGTCTCGGCTCGCCCTTGATCTCAATGTCATAGTCGACATCGCGCCAGGTGAAAATGTCCTTCTGCGGTGGAATGACATTGACATCAGCCTCTTCCTCGTCTTTCCTGTCCGTCTCAGCAACCTTCTCATCGGCAGCACCAATTTCCTCGTCGTTCGCCTTGCCCTTGGCCATGTCTTCCATATACTTTGGAACATGTCCCCTTCGGAATACCAACACCTCAGCGCTGGAGGATGTCTCAGAGTTGAGCTCCACAGCAAAGAAGTACATGGCCAGGAAGCCAAACAAGAAACCGAGGAGAATGCCAAAGTTGCGCCAGACGTGGCTGTAGTAGTAGCCGTACGAGACGCCGATGAAGGAATCGCCATTGACGTAGCGTTCGCCGGGGAAAGCGCCCTTGGACGAACAGATGAACTGGTCGCCCTGCAGGTTGTTGTACGCGGGAATGTAGCCCGAGCAAGTGAAGTTCCTGCCGTGGAATTCGTTGGCGATGAGGATCTCGAAGGCGTAGAAGACCGGGTTGATCCAGCGAATCCAGCCAAACCAATCACCCATATAGCTGACCGGCACGACGAAACCTGTGTAAATGACAATCGCCAGGACCAGCACACCCGAAAGCGCCATGGCCTGCGAAACAGTCTTCGTAACCGCCGCCATTGTTCTGAAAACAGCCGACATGACGAAGATGGCGATGAAGTTGATCAAGAAGAAGATGAAGAACTGCGAAGGCTCTCTCCTCAGATTCGCCAAGAAGTACAGCACCACGTTGAACGCCACGGCTTGCATGAACTTGAGCGGGATGTCCAAGACGATACCGGCGATGGCTTCCGTGGCGGGGTGATAGAACGCGTACGATTTGTGTTTTTCCACGATGGGTCGCTGGTCGTATAAGCTGTTGATTTCGGTGATGGCGGTCAAGGCGTTGAGCAGGACGGCGAAGAAGAGTACGGCGCCTTTGGCAGTGAAGCCTTGCGTAGCGTCGGGGGTGTTGTAGAAGACGGAACCGATGATTAAGGCCATGATGATGTTGCTGACGATGGGAGTGAAGGTGGACGCTTTGTCGTTCCAGACACGCTGCCATGCTCGTCTGGTGTTCAGTCGGATTTGCATGGGCACGCTGACCATGTATGAGGATTTTGGTCGAGTGTGTTTGGCGTGTTGATCGCCCTTGTATTCGCGGAAAGCCTGCAGCTCTCCAGCGTCGCCGTGAGGATACTCCTTCTCGTAGTCTTGAATCTCGCGTTGGAGGTCGGCGTATTCTGCGCTCTTCTTCCAGTAATCAGCGAACTCATCTGGAGTGCGAGGCACCTTGTTCTCGAAGCCTTCCTTGGCCTGGCGCTCGACAGGGTTGGTGACGGAGGTGAGGAAATCGCCAGTAGTCTGGCGTGGTGGACAGTACCAACCCATCTCCTCGAAATACTTCTGTGCTCGATCGGCCTTGCCAAAGAAGATCTCGCGGCCCTCGTAGAGGACAACGGCCTTGTCGAAGAGGTCGTAAATGGCTTGACTGGCCTGATAGATGGCAACAGCGTGCGAGGTACCAATCAAGTCTGCCGTTTGACGAAGAGACCTCACGAAGGTCAACGCAGTAGCACTGTCCAGACCTCTCGTCGAGTTGTCCCATGCACCAAGTAGAGAGCCCGCCAGTGCCATCTCTGCAATCGAGACACGCTTCCTCTCACCACCGGAGACACCACGCACAAAATCGTTTCCGACCTTGGTGTTGTAGGTGTGGGAAAGACCGTAGACAGCCATACACACCTGCGTAACATGCTTGGAAAGCTCCTGGCGAGATACCTTCAGAGGCCGATGTTGTGGTGTGCGAAGTGCCGCCGCGTGCTCAAGCGTCTCCCCAACGGTAAGATGCGGAAAGTGCTTATCGACCTCCTGGTTGTAGATGATCTCCCCCTTGAACTCCTTCAACATCTGCTTCTGCGGAATACCGTTGTAGTGAATGGTCGATCCCTGATCCAGATTCAAGCCGTGCATTTGGCCCGTCAGCGACTTGAGCAGCGTGCTGCATCCCGATCCAGGACGACCCAGAACGATGAGCAGCTCGCCACTCTTCATCACACCGTCAAAGTCCCTCAAGATATGTCGTGGAGTCTTCTTGCCGAAATTCAAGAGCTCACCCATCCGCAATGGCGACATGAGCATGCTGCCAACGTTGCTCTGAATGTTGAGCGCTGATCCCGAACCGCTGACATTGAGATTCTTGAACACCACACCAGCGCGCTTCTGCTTGACGCCTTCCTCGTCCATCATCTTCAGCGTCATCCGAATCCATTTGTAGAGATCGAATTTCTGGCTCTGTGGGTTGAAGACATCGTCGGTCAGCTCCAGCCCGGCGATCGTGTCTTTTCGTTCGAGTGCCTCGGCGTCGCCATTCGCGTCGGAAACGCTGCTGCGTCGACCAGAGTAGTAGGATTGTGTTCGTGAGGCCAGTCTCCTCAACTCATCTCGAGTGCTGGCATTGATGGGTTCGTAGGCATCGTCGCTGTCAGAGCTGGAATCGCCCTTCTTCTCAATCTGCTCCGTTGGGTCCTCGGCAGCCTCCTTCCCATCGTCGGTGATGTATCTGGCATGATTCATAGGGGTCGGCGTGTCGTCGCTCTGGTTGGCGTTGCTCGACATCCTGTCCGCCAATGCCTCGTCGAGAGGCAGTTTCTCCTCGTCTTTGTGTTGTGTGGAGATGTCCTGTTCGAGTCTGCCAGGGTCATAATCCGGGACCGGCTGGCTTATATCGTTCGAGTCCGCCATTGCGAACGAGAATAATGGACCAGGTACTCAGCCTCAGCAAAAGATTGACTCCGACACGATAGTGTAAACAACAATCGTCATAAGCAGTCAGCGGATAGAAAGGCCACAAGGTGTGCGCGGGCAGCAGCGTGAGTGTTGTCCGTTCAGCTTCCGTATCCGAACCTTGGGCAAAAGGTAAACACTGCCTGCCTCAGGGAACACCTGGCCAGGAACGCGCGCAGGGCCAGAATCCGAGCCAAACGATCCACGACTGGGATGGAGGGTCGGAGTTGGAAAAGCCGTGCTGTGGGAGCGGATGCTGATAAAGGAGGAGATCACGAACCGGAAGGGCCACGAGCCTTACCTTTTCATATCTACGTCCCACACATGCGGCCGCAGAAAAGCTTTTCCTCCTCCATTCTGTGGCACGGTCGACGTCGTTGGGCCAAAGCGGACTGACTTCATCTCCCCCGCCTAGAGCTATGGCAGCCCTACCATAGCAAAGGCTGAACGGACCAATTGCAAGGGCACAATTGAGAGGAAAAGCTGTGGGTGCTCCAACGCTGTCGCAAACTCAAAAGCGAACAAGTCGAAACGGCGCTCCTGCTGTGCGATGCGCCGCGGATCGAAGTAGGAGAGGCGTTAACGCCAAGGCGCGTTAGCACTGTAGATAGGCTTACTACGCTGGAGGCTGAAAAGGCGTCGAAGGCTACAGTAGTTATGCAGAGAACATCCATTGCAAGAGCTGACGAGCTGCCGAGCGCGAACTGTTTACCCGTTGCAGCGAGGCAATTGATGAGATGAGGACAGGGAAGAGGACTGACTAAGCTGACCAAACATCGACGACCTGGTTGCAGTGCGTCCAATTCCGCCGGGCGCCCAGGCTCAAATGACGTTGTTTCGCAGGTACCAGGCAATTATCGCATGCAGCATTCTCGAACTCGCAAACATTGCAAGAAGAAGAAGCATCTGAGCGGGCCGGTATCCTCTATGCCGTTCCCGACAAGCAGTTGTTGTCGTCGGACAGCACATGGCGGTGGCGAAACAGTAGTCTCTTTCTTCCTGCAAGCCATGCCGCGCACTTCGAACTTGGCTGTCGCCGCTGGCGTCATCGCCGAGATTCTCATCATCGTCAGCTTCTGGTGCTGGACTGGAAGTTAGATTTCGTTGAGGCCGTCTCGTTGCTGTGTGAGTGGTGAATGAGCGACAGTTTGGGGGTTGAGACGGTGGCGACCACTTGGACCGGCGTCGGGTTTGTACGAAGGCGGATGTGCTGCTCTCCCGAATTCCGACCAGGGTTGTGCAGCGGCTTTACTTCTTGTTCGCACGTCACTTGTTGAATATTGAGAGTCTCTGGATCTTTTCTGTGTTACAGTACTCTTGTACAGTATAGACGCCTTCTCCCCTCTCCTCTTGCAGACATCACGTATTCGTACAAGCTGTAGCTACAGGCATTGGCGACCTCCCCTGTAAATTCCAACAACGAAACCAATACCGAGTCCGGAAAACGCTCGTCAGGATGTCGCTTGTCTGCACGCCTGCCATGTCGCATCGATGCACCATGCATGTGAGTCCGGATGAGGTGTACGACGACCCTAGCAGCTGTCAATAATGCTGGAGGATCTCTGTCTAAGCGAAGTGACACGGCAACTAGCATACTCGTTCAAGATGTCCAAGCTTGCGGCGGTGGTACAGTGCCGATGACTGAGCAAAAGCCAAGTCCTTTAACTGCCTGACAAAGACATTCACTCGTTTCAACGTACATTTATCATTCAAGAGAAGGCTATCCCAGCTCTGTTTACCTCAGCGAGGGCAGGCATTCGCAGACTTTGAGATCAACATCGACATGTCGCCCTAAGCGACTTGAGTTCCACTGTTGCGCTTGTCTGTCGACGCGATGGAGCATATTGCGCTCACGTGGACGGTATTCCGCTCTTTGGCCATCCATCAATAATGCCGTCCCGAGGTCAAATCTGCCTCTTCGTCGGTTTTAGCCCAATCCAGCTTTGACATGAATAGATGCTCTAGGGTGTCCTAAATTGAGGCAACACACCAACTTAGGCACCCTCGGGATCCGCGGCGGTAGTCGATGCGCAATGGATGTGGCCAGGCTTGCGAGCTTGCAGGATCGTGCTGAGCGATTCTGAGTATTGTTTCCCGAGGTTTCCATGGTCTCTCAAGAGCACCGAGGTCGCATGATGGGCAAAGAGAGTGCACATATCAGGGCAATCATCCAGCCGCCGACGAGGTAGTCAACCTCCATCATTTGGTATGTTGACAGTACAATCCAAGGCGGTGTTGGACAATAGGCCGTGAATCGCCTGCCATGGGCAGACTTATCTCATTCTCGTGATGAGCGCGTCCATGTCAGTCGCGTCCTGGCTCGTGATGCGCAACACATCAACCCCTCTTCAACCCCCCAACCTCCCCTCCATCCCCTTCGCAACCTCCGCCAACCCCCTCAACATCTCCCTCTGCCTCCTCACCCTCTCCTCCAACTCCCCAATCTCCTCCTCCTGCTCCTCAACATCCCTGTCCACATCCGGCAACTTCTCCACCTCCCTCAGCGCATTCCTGATCAATCCTTTGATCTCCAACGCCGCAGTCGGCAGGTCCTTGGGATTCAACGGCTGCTGATGCTCGCTCGGATTGCTCTTGCTGTACGTCGCTCCAATGTCGCCGGGCGCGCCTTCGAGCGTGTGGTAGCCTTCCGGCTCGCCGGGGAGGGAGGTTTGGTTTTGGTGCTTGTCGACGCGGGCGAGGAGTTCGTAGAGGGCGGGGAGGATGTCGAAGGTCTGGGGTGGTGGGAGGTGTAGGGCGGCGGCAGTATCGGTGGATTGCGCGGGCGCGTTGGTGGTCGTTTTGATGGGTTGTTTGAGGGCCATGGTGGTGGTGCTCAGGCCGGCGGCGATGCGTGCGACGTTGTGTGGTTGCTGAGGGTGCGAAGAGAGGGGCATCACATAGTTGTTGTGAAGAAGGCGAGTGGCATGTGAAGAATGGCAGGCCACGAAGCTCTGGACCTGCAGCTGATCCCTGCTGGCGCGGGCGGCGATGATGTCGGGGCTTCAAGTTTGGTGGGATGTGATGCGACAAGCGGTGGGGTCCGTCCAATTTTCCGCCCTCAACACCGGTTGCTTTTGTTTGATAGCAACTCCCCTCACAATTGATTGAGACTGTAAGAATCGCACTGCTCACTTCAAACAGCTTCAATCGAAAGCCGGCTAATTCCCAGCTGCAGTCAATCAATCCCAAGCAAAGTTACGGTCAAGGCCATCATTGTGCTCCATCATGGTCCAAGTCAAACAAAAAGTCGCCCTCATCTGCATCGACGGCTGGGGAATCCCCTCCGACCGCTCTCCGCCAGACGGCAATGCCATCCTCAACGCCGACACGCCATGGATGGATGAGTTCGCCAAGAAGGACAGCAAGATCACCCAGGGCTACACCGAGCTCGATGCTTCGTCCCTCGCCGTCGGTCTGCCGGAGGGTCTCATGGGAAACAGCGAGGTCGGACACTTGAACATTGGTGCGGGAAGAGTCGTGTGGCAGGATGTCGTCCGCATTGATCAGACGATCAAGAAGGGCGAGATGAACAAGGTCGAGAACATTGTCAAGAGCTTCCAGCGGGCCAAGGACGGTAATGGCAGATTGCATCTTTGCGGTCTGGTCAGTGATGGTGGTGTTCATTCGCACATCAATCACCTCAAGTCGTTGCTGGGTGTGGCTAAGGAGATCGGTGTGCCGCACGTTTACATTCATTTCTTCGGCGACGGCCGGGACACCGACCCAAAGAGCGGCAAGGGTCATCTTGAGGATCTGCTGGCTTTCATTGAGAAGGAGAAGATTGGAAAGCTTGCGACGATTGTCGGCCGCTACTACATCATGGACCGTGACAAGCGCTGGGACCGTGTTGAGATCGGCTTGAAGGGCCTTGTCACCGGCGAGGGCGAGGAGTCCTCCGACCCCGTCAAGACCTTCCAAGCCCGCTACGATGCAGGCGAGACAGATGAGTTCCTCAAGCCAATCATCGTCAACGGCAAGGAAGGCCGCATCCAGGACAACGACACCGTCTTCTTTTTCAACTACCGCTCCGACCGCGTCCGCGAAATCACCCAACTCCTCGGCGACCAGGACCGCTCGCCCAAGCCAGACTTCCCCTACCCCCAGAACATCCACCTCACGACCATGACCCGCTACAAGACCGACTTCAACCTCCCCATCGCCTTCGCCCCACAAGTCATGGACAACGTCCTGGCAGACTGGCTCGCGCAGAAAGGCCTCAAGCAATCCCACATCGCGGAGACGGAAAAGTACGCCCACGTCACCTTCTTCTTCAACGGAGGCCAAGAGATCCAGTACGACGGCGAAGACCGCGAGCTCATCCCCTCGCCCAAGAGCGTCGCCACGTACGACCAAGCGCCCAAGATGAGCGCCATGGGCGTGGCAGAGCGGATGGCGGAGAGGATCGGCGACGGCAAGTACGAGTTTGTGATGAACAACTTCGCACCGCCCGACATGGTCGGCCACACAGGTGTCTACAAAGCCGCCGTCGAGGGCTGCACCGAAACCGACAAGGCCATCGGTGTCGTGTACGAGGCGTGCAAGCAGCACGGGTACACATTGTTCATCACCGCCGACCACGGCAACGCAGAGGAGATGTTGACCGAGGAGAAGACGCCCAAGACGAGCCATACGACCAACAAGGTTCCTTTCGTCATGGCGAATGCTCCAGAGGGGTATACGCTCAAGAAGCAGGATGGTGTGCTCGGTGATGTGGCGCCTACTGTGTTGGAGTTGATGGGTCTGGAGCAGCCCAAGGAGATGACGGGACATAGTTTGCTGCAGAAGAAGTAGAGACAGTTTGATACATCAAGAGGAATTGATGAAGATGATGGTAGATGTAGATTATGCGAGCGTGGCGTTGGGAAGGAGGGACACAATCGACCAGAATCGAATGATAGCAAGGTTAGACGTGGAACAATCTGAGTAGATGAAATTCCATGAGCGATGAAACGAATTACCAGCAACGAGCCTCCACACCATCTCACACTATTCATTCCATTCACCCCCGCTCCTCCCTAACCAACTCCTCAACCCTCTCCCCCACCTCCGCCGCCTCATCAAAAACATGCCACAACCCCCTCTCCAACCCCTTGAACGCCTCCTCAAACCTCCCCTTCTCATTCTTCCTCTCATCCATCCCCTCCACGCCGCTCACCCTTCGAATAAAAATCCCCTTCACCCACCCGGGCCACCGCCTCGCCACCTCGCCATAACTCTCCGGGTCCTTCTGCGTCGAATCCCCGATGCAGATGAAGCGGCGATGGGGAAACCAGGCGTGGAGTTTGCGCATGCGGTCGACTTTGTATTCCTGCGGGTTCTGCTGCAGGGAGGCAATGAGGCCGCCGAGGTTTTGCCAGGAGGCGTCGCGCAGGATGATGGTGCCCGGTGGGTAGTGGGCGTCGCGGAAGTTGTGGAGGAAGGGGTAGAGGTTGTAGGGGGAGGCGGAGAGGTAGAAGAAGGGTGGGGAGGAGAGGGTGCGTTGGAGGTGGGCGTAGAGGGCGGGCATGCCGGGGACGGGGTCGGGGGTTTCTTCGATGAAGGTGGAATGTAGGACGCCGAGGGGGGAGGGAGTGTTGGTGATTTTGATGGTGTCATCGATGTCGGAGATGATGCCCCAGCCATGTTCGGAGGCCGCGATGGTCGTGCTGGGGATTGAGAACGGCGGTGGAAGGGTTAGGGTGTTCGACGTGAAAGGTTCGAGACCTGGATCGAAGTGTAGTTGGTGCAATCCGCTGCTGATGCCAGAGTATGATGAGGGACCTAGCGTTTGCTGTTCCTTGTCGTCGATGGCGATTCTGACCGTTCGCTTGGGGAGGATAGTATCCACAAAAGGCTGGACTCGCTCTGCGATGCGCTTCTTGGTGGCCACATCCTCGTCGCTAATTTGCATTTCGTGGGCGATGTGGCCAACGACGCGAGACAGATCCCTGCCGGAGTTCTTCACAAAGTAACAAGCCACGAACTCGACTTCCCATCCCGAACCTCCCCTCACAGGCTGAGGTTTACTTCCATCTTCACTGATGCGTGCTGGTTGTGCAGCTTTCTCCGTGACTAGATCCGCCAGATCAGGCCTCTTGTCTCCGGGTTGCGGGGTACGGAAAGCCGTGTTGTCCAGGAGCCAGACAGTGTGCAACGCAGGGTCCACAGGTTCTGCTTTGTTCCATGGAAAGACCAGCGGGAAGCGGTCAAATAGATCAGGCATGAATGAGCGGAGTTCCTCGGGTACTTCGGGCGAGAAAGGCGAATCTTCATCGATTTGGGAGCTCTGGAGAGCATCGACAGTGGCGCGCCTGCCGACGTCTACGACTTCTTTAAGAAAGTCCATGTTGGTCGCGGGTGCCTGTGTGTAGGCCTGTGATGGTGGCTGATGTGGCTTTGTTCCGGATGACTGCCAGTGTCCAGGGCAGTGACGAGTGCTTTGGGTACCTCACGTGTCGTCCAAGGCAGAGATGTGTGACTCGACTGAACAGATGTTTGTCAAAGGCACCCGTCGCGTGCTTGAAGCAGATGCTCTGTTCTCCAGTCGGACGACGGACACCAAGTAGCCGTACTCAACAGTACCGTATCATGAGGGGACAAGGACTCTGAGACTGGCCCGGCTTCGAGATGTTGGCGTTGCCATCAGCGATGTGAAAGACTTACAGAGCACGAGGTGAGGTCCACGAGATCGGCAGCTCTAGAGTGGCGGCGGCAAGGGACAAGTTGACGTGCATCTCAAACTTGCATCACGCTGCTTCCATCTGCCTTGGCGGCGAGATGTCTGTGCCTGAGCGTATCCCTCGCAAGACTCTGTCTCTTCTTACAGCCACGGAGGCTTAGACTGCAAATATACGAAAAGAGATATGGTTTTTGAAGTGAGATCCAGGTGCAACGGCTCGACGGCTCAGGAATACCTCCTGTCAAAACCCCTGGGACGCAGTGGTGAGGACAGAAGGCTGAGTGCTGGGGAGGACTTCACCATATTGCTGCTTTCTTCGCCCTTCATTATATGGCCCCAAAAGCCTTCACAAGTCGCTCGTTGGCAGAGAATATCTACCCCCTGGTTTTCGATGACGGTTGTTCGACCTCTGGTCCGTTACAATGCTGCACTCGGCCTCACTTCTCCCGAACGCATCTCCCTTTCAGCAAAACCTATTTACTCCCCAGGCTCTACCCCATCTTCTCCACATCCGCATCGCCGCATTTGCTGCGTTTTTCGAGCGACTGTGTGTCTGATTTGGTTGGTGGAAGATCCAGATCTAAAGAAGCCAAGGCAATATGATATCTTAAGATAGTCCTTACTTCTCCTCCGCTCCTGAATGTAAGTCTCATCGATGGTTGTCAAGAACAGGCTCCCAATACGTAGCTATGATTTCCCCGCTCATCATATGCATCATATCTCTCCTTTCTCTCGCTGTCTGCGGTGAGCCAACATTAACCGCACATCTTAACTATGGCTCTTTCCAAGGAGCCTACTCTGCAGAGTACAACATCTCATACTGGATGAAGATACCCTTCGCCGCGCCGCCGACAGGAGAGAACCGCTTTCGAGCTCCACAGCCACCTTCGCAAATACAAGAAAGCATATATAACAGCACTCAGCCGTACGACTTCTGCCCACAACGAACCGTCAACGGCACTGAAGACTGTCTCTACCTAGGTCTATACGGCCGTCCGTGGACAGCAGGTCAAGCACTCAAACCGGTCGTGGTAGTCTTCTACGGCGGAGCATTCATCCAAGGCGGTGGAAGCTTCACCATCCCTCCAGCAGGGTATCCCGTCTTGAATGTCAGCTCTCAGAACGACTTCATCTTCGTCTACCCCAATTACCGCGTCAACGCATTCGGTTTCTTGCCTGGTCAAGAGATCGCGGATGATCCTAACAGCGAATTGAACCCTGGTCTGCTCGATCAACAATCCGCTCTGCAATGGACTCATAAGTACATCTCGCACTTCGGCGGTGATCCGAAGAACGTCTCCATTTGGGGCCAATCCGCTGGTGCCGGCTCGGTAGTTGCACAAGTCATTGCGAACGGTGGCAATACCCAACCTCGTCTGTTCAGCAAAGCCCTCGCTTCAAGCGCCTTCTGGCCCAAGACATATCGCTACAACAGCTCCGAAGCTCAAACCGTCTACGACAAGTTCGCAGAATTGACAGGATGTTCAGGTCCTGACTCTCTGAAATGTCTCAAGTCCGTCGACGTCCAAACACTCCGTGACGCTTCCTTACGAATCAGCGCAAGTCACACGTATAATACGTCTTCGTATACCTGGGCGCCTGTAATCGATGGTCACTTCCTCCGAGAATCTCTTTCAAAAGCAACAAGCAGATGTGCAGTCAACATCGACCACGGCTTTGGGATGTACAACCTCCACGAAGGCGAGAACTTCGTCCCGCCCGGCTTTCAAAACATCACAGGCGGTGGAACTCCCCATTTCAACTCATCCCAACCTTCATTCGAGAACTGGCTGAAAGGCTACCTCCCCGGCCTGTCTAATCTCGATTTGGCGGAAGTCAAGCGACTCTATCCAGCCTCCGGCATCGCCGAAGAATTGAAATACAACACAACCTACGTCCGAGCCGGTCTCATCTACCGCGATACCGTCCTCGCATGTCCAGCCCTATGGATGGCACGAGCGAGTCGTAAAACCGCCTACCTAGGCGAGTATATCATCCCGCCCGCAAAGCACGGCGACGATATCAAATACGTGAGAGCTCCCCGTCCCGCTGTCCACAAGAAATCATAGCTGATCCGAGATGTAGTGGAACCGCCCCAACGCCGTCCAGCAGACCGACCCTCTAATCTATCAGGGCTACGCGGGCGCTTTTGCGTCGTTCTTCCAGACAGGGGATCCGAATGCTCATAAATTGACGGATGCGTCTCAGGCTGGTGTTCCTGAGCTCAGGGAGACGGGGGAGCAGTTTGTGGTCAGGGCTGAGGGGTTTGCGAATGGAGAGATTGAGGTGTTGGAGGGGAGGTGTGCGTTTTGGAGGAGGGTTGCTGATAAGATACCGATTTGATTTGGTGAAAACGAGAGACTATGTGCACTGGAATCGATCCTTGCTCATCACCTTTATGCAGTGGTGGAGCCGCCCTTTAAGGAGGGTGGACTGGCTCAGTTCATCCCCACGTCAAGCTACGACGCTCAAATCATCGTCACAGCTCCACAAGCATTGATCGTCTGCCCGCTGACCCAACGGCTCCCTTCACCAGCCAACCACGCCACAATCTGCGCGACATCGTCCGGCTGTCCCGTCCTCCTCTGCACAGGCGTCATCGCAGCATCCTCCGCAATCCACTCCTTCTCCCACTTCCCCAGCATATCCGTCTCCACCACGCCGGGCGCCACAGCGTTCACGGTTGTGCCATCTGCGCCGTAAGCCTTCGCCATGGAGCGCGTCATGCCTTCTAGCCCGGCCTTGGACATGGAGTACACGCAGCCGATGGGGAAGCCGCTGCGGGCCGCGATCGAGGAGATGTTGATAATGCGGGCGGGTGCGCGGAGGTGTGGGTGGGCGGCTTGGGTTAGGAAGAAGGGGCCGCGGAGGTTGAGGTCCATGACTCGGTTGTAGTCGATGAGGGTGGTGTCGGCGATGGCGCCGAGGAGGTCAGTGCCGGCGTTATTGATGAGGATGTCGATTTTGGCGAAGTGCTGGAGGAAGGCTTCGATTACTTGTGCGGGGGATTCTGGGAGGCTGAGGTCGACGGCCGTGCCCTGAATGGTCGTGTTTGGGGAGAGGGCCTTGATCTTCTCGATGACTTTCGCTGCGCGTTCTTTGCCGCCCGAGGTTGGTGTCCAGGTGAGGAACAGCTACTCAGACATCATCAATAGCATATTCTAGACTTTCCAGAGGCCAGCGACACCAACATCGGCACCTCTCTTCGCCAGCTCCTCAGCGATCTGAGCGCCAATACCCCTGGACGCCCCTGTAACGAGCGCAACCTTGCCTTGAAGTTCCATCCTGATTTGAATGATGAAGGAGCTTTCTTCTGGAGTTTTTTCTGAATACAGTCTGAAGTTTTGGTTTGAACTGAGAACGAAAGAGGGGATCAATCGAAAAGGGGCCTTAAATAGCTGAAAGTCGCCAAGAGAAACAAGCGCCTGGAAGAATACTTAATCCGGATCCTTCCCACAAACCTCGCATTTTGAATTTCGTCTGAACGAAGGGTGTGATGCATGAGGTGACTGCTGTGCGATATTGATATCCTGGCTGGTTCGTCGTGTTTGGTGGTGAAGTAGACGCATCGTTCTTTCTTGAGTCTTGAAGTTGGCCAAGGGTCTTCAGTGGTGGCCTGCCTGTGCTTGGAGGTGATGAGGTAACAACGTCGCATCTAGACGTAGTCCCTGTAGCAGATACCGGCCAGAACTTATCCGGAAACAAAGTTGTTATGGTCAATGATGTTGCTGGAAAAGAAGCACAGCTGCAGGCATGTGACGTCGAACTTAGCGTCCTCGATTTAGCTTGCGGGCGATCCCGTCTTCCGCTGGTGCTCCCCGAACAGGCGCGTCCAGCAACATCATCATCAACTGCCCACCAACACCACACTCACAAGCTCCATCTCGACCTCCAAACCCATCAAAGCGATCCATCGGCTGAACATAGCGCACCCACCACCGACGACTCATACTCTACCCGCCCACCATGGCGTCCGCCGACGTTCTCAGCCCAGCAAACACCGAAGCACCCCATCAAAAACGCCAGATCCCATCATCCGCCATCGCCAACATCGACACCATCGAGGGTCTGGCAGACTCAGACGATCAATATGCGACATACAAGAAGCTTCAGCGACAGCTGGAGTACATCAAGCTGCAAGAAGAGTACATCAAGGACGAGCAGCGGAGTCTGAAGCGGGAGCTGGTGCGAGCACAGGAAGAGATTAAGCGGATACAGAGTGTGCCGCTGGTCATCGGGCAGTTCATGGAGGCAATCGATCAGAACACCGGCATCGTTCAGTCATCGACGGGCAGCAACTACGTGGTGCGGATATTGAGTACTCTGGATCGGGAGCTGTTGAAGCCGAGCTCGAGTGTGGCACTGCACCGACATTCCAACAGCTTGGTGGACATTCTTCCACCTGAAGCCGACAGCAGCATTGCTATGCTTGGCGCGGATGAGAAGCCCGATGTCACTTATGCAGACGTGGGTGGTCTGGACATGCAGAAGCAGGAGATTCGGGAAGCCGTCGAGCTGCCACTTACCCAGTTCGACCTGTACAAGCAGATCGGTATCGACCCACCTCGTGGTGTGCTGCTCTACGGACCTCCTGGAACTGGAAAGACTATGCTGGTGAAGGCTGTGGCGAATAGCACGACTGCCTCATTCATTCGTGTTGTTGGGTCGGAGTTCGTCCAGAAGTACTTGGGAGAGGGTCCTCGTATGGTGCGTGACGTGTTCAGAATGGCCAGAGAGAACAGCCCCGCCATCATCTTCATCGACGAGATCGACGCCATTGCGACGAAGCGTTTCGATGCACAGACTGGTGCAGACAGAGAAGTCCAACGCATTCTGCTCGAACTGCTGAACCAGATGGACGGCTTCGACCAGACTTCAAACGTCAAGGTCATCATGGCCACGAACAGAGCTGACACCCTGGATCCGGCTCTGCTGCGCCCTGGACGTCTCGACCGAAAGATCGAGTTCCCATCCCTGCGTGACCGCCGTGAGAGACGATTGATCTTCAGCACCATTGCATCCAAGATGAGCTTGTCTCCAGAGGTCGACCTCGACTCACTCATCGTCCGCAATGACCCGCTTTCCGGTGCCGTGATCGCGGCAGTCATGCAGGAAGCTGGTCTCCGAGCTGTGCGAAAGAACCGATACAACATCATCCAGCAAGATCTTGAGGACGCATACACGAGCCAGGTCAAGGGCGCAAGCGAGGCGGACAAGTTCGACTTCTACAAGTAGACGGCATCTGGTGCACGTTTGTATGTGAGAGAGTTTGAGGTTGGCTTGGTGAGTCGCCAGCATGGCACAATGAGTGCGAGCCAGGGAAGGAAAAGCAGTTCGCATGGCCATTCGCATGGAGCCTCTGTGCTGCAGGCAAAAGCATGATAATAGCATAGCATGCTCTGTACAGTATCGTATCGACGTTAACCAATCACCCATTTATTCACCGACCCGTGTCCCAACCAACCAGGTCAACGAGAACCTTACGGACACCCATTTGCCAAGACGGGAACAACTCGCGATTGCTTACCTACGGCTGCTTCTGCTGCACGAAGCGGGTATATCTGGCAGACCAGTGCCATCAATTGCACGTGCACTGTACATGCACTCCCAAGCGGCATCTGCTGCTGCTTCACCAGCTCACCATACGCGCCCTCTAATCGCAGCGACCGTGACGATATGCCCCACAGGAGCACATGGATCGCGTCGATGCTGGCTGTGTCGACGACTACCACCACGGTCACTCTTCGGAAAAGCTCGAAGGTTGTCGAACCCGGCCTCCTCCCTACGACGCGACTCTTTAGTACTCGTCACTATACCATTTATCAGAACCTCGAAGTACCTAGCAGAGAAACATTGAACTGTTATTGTCGACGTCACGACCCGTTCGGGACTAGTGGTTGCCTGTTCCAGCTTAACCGGGCCGAGGAGAGGACGACTTTGCTCTCACAGCTTTGATTCGAGAGAGGCGACCGCGCTGCCTCTACGTCGGATGGGTCGCCCGTGTCCGGCGTCGATATAAACCGCTCTGATGCTGGCCCAGGTCGGGTCAATTCTCCACAACTATCCCACAGTCTCCAATTTTCCTCCACACGCACGTTCTCTTAAGTGAGCAACGCTGCTGCACTCTGTTTCCTTTCCCCAACATCGCCTCCCACCTACCTGGAATCTCTCCCACTCACTGTCGATCGAGCAAACAACCGAAATCATGTCTGCCGGCGAGACCATCACCGCGCCCAAGCGGCCCAGCAAGCAGCTGCGTCGCCTCAGCTCTCAAGATGCCACCATCAACGCCCTGAACATGCGTGGGCCAACGGTGGTTGTGCCGCCAAAGCATCTCATGGCTCCCAGCAACGCCCACGAAACCGCGGCTGCCTTTGAGATGGCCAGGCTGGAGATTGAAGATGTCACAGACCCAACCTCTGAGCCTGAGACCCCTCCAGACACGCTCGTTACGGACAAGTTTGCATTCGCCTTCGACATTGACGGAGTTCTCATCCGTGGCGGACGACCGATCCCAGAGGCCATCGAGGCCATGCAAGTCCTCAATGGCAAAAACGATTACGGCATCAAGATCCCCTACATCTTCGTCACCAACGGTGGGGGCAAGACAGAGCAAGAACGCTGCATCCAATTGTCGAAGCAGCTCGACATTGAAGTCTCACCCGGACAGTTCATCTGTGGCCACACTCCCATGCGGGAAATGGCTGAAAAGTTCAAGACTGTGCTTGTCGTTGGAGGCGAAGGCGAGAAGTGCAGACACGTTGCTGAAGGCTACGGCTTCACGGACGTTGTGACGCCTGGCGATATCATCAAGGACAACCCAGATACCACTCCTTTCCGAAAGCTCACGGAAGAGGAGCATGGCAACTCTAGGGAGAGGAATTTCGCTGAGACCAAAATCGACGCAATCTTTGTCTTCGCCGACAGCAGAGACTGGGCTGGCGACCAGCAGATCATCCTCGATTTGCTCATGTCGAAGGGAGGCTACCTGGGAACTCGGTCTGAAAACTTCGACGAGGGCCCACCGCTCTTCTTCTCGCACAACGATGTCGTTTGGTCGGCCTCTCACGATCTGACTCGTCTCGGAATGGGCGCTCTCCGTCTTTCCATCGAGGCTATGTTCAAAGCAGTCACCGGCAAGGACCTAGAAACCACCGCTTTCGGCAAACCGCAGATTGGCACGTTCCAGTTCGCCACCAGACTCTTGCAGCAGTGGCGCAAGGACACGCACGGTATCGATGCGCCACCAGAGACCGTGTACTTTGTTGGCGACACGCCTGAATCAGACATTCGTGGAACTAACCAGTTCAACGAGGAGTCCGAAAACACCTGGTATTCCATCCTCGTCAAGACCGGTGTCTACGAGAACGGTACCACGCCAAAGTACGAGCCCAAGGCCACTGTCGACACCGTTTTGGACGCCGTCACGCACGGCATCCACCGCGAGAACCAGCGAGAGCAAAAGAAACTGCTCAAGGACGCCCTCAACATCACGGACAGCAAGCTGAACGGAAGTGCCATGTTGTCTCCAGACGCTTCAAAGCACAACACCAACCCATTGGACCAGGCTGCCGTCGCATAAGTGCCGCAGCAGCATTCAACAATATAATCCCTTTTACTACAAACGAAAGAGGCGTCATTGCATCGCGGAAAAAGGCGTTGAGAGGGAAAGGTTTGCTTTTAATTGATACCACCACGGCGTGTCTGTCTTGGAGACGAAGGCAGTCCACGATAAAAAATGAGAAACCCCCCTTACTACAGATGATAGAGGACGATTGCTGGAGAGCGAGGGAGATGATCCACGACCAACAAGACGGCTAGAGACTAGAGACGGCCGAAGACCCCCATTTCATTCATGTTGTTAGTTAGAAACGAAGCAACTCCAATCGCTGAGATTGTTGGTGATTGCCGAATTCGAATTTCGTTCTGGGTTAATCTACGAGCTGGAATGGAAGGGCAGCAAAAGCCTCACGGTAAACGATCATTCTCCTCCAACGCTGGCTCCAAGCATCCTCAAACTCAACACCGACGGCCATTGTTTCATCTGTACCACTGATCGCCCGCAAGACGTGAAGTCCACCGTGTTGTACGACATCGACTCAAAATCACCCGAAGTTGATGCGTCTTCGGTTCTGCACTCCATGGGTTCGTGACGCAGTGCCCTCTTCTTCTTCCCCATTCCCCATGATCGTGGAGAAATCCTGACCCGATGTCCAACCTACCTTGCCGTTCTTATCTCCCGCAAAGTCATCCTGGCATGCTCATCATCATCATTCTCGACGGACGGAGGAAGCTTCACCACCATCATCAAACACTACATGTACAAACTCCCGCATCCCTCCGCTCATCACCCATCAACGCCAAAACCCCAGAAACCCTCACCAGCCAAAAAGCAAGCAGGAGCTTCAGGATGAACGACGTCGTGTTGGGTCCGGCGGTACTCGTTCACATGCATGCCAGCTCCCGTCCCGTCCTCTTGTCCGGTTCGGGTTGTAGCCTTTGAGGAAACCCGAAGATCCCCACCCGTGCGCCCACTTTCACATGCTAGAATGCGCCCCTCCTCCGCCTCCAGCAAACAACCAACCGAACGGACAGCCAAAAAAGCCACGCACGTTATTAAATATGTGTTCCTGAAGCCGCTCCTCCTCATCATCACCGCCGTCGTCGTGTCTTTCCGTCCATCCTCCTATCGAATATCTAACCCTATCAAGCTCTCGACCCAACCCAAACCAAACCCAACAACAACGACAACAAAAAATCCATCCGTGTCTGACACATACGTATGTGGGGGGAGGTAGAAGCGATTCAGCTCGTTCGCACGACCCAAGCCTCTTCCTTTCTTCTCTCTATCATCATTCTGCAATTGCGGCATTTTACTGTATCTTGCATGCAGCCAGAGAAAGTCTGATTCTTTCCATCGACGATGAGTTCGAACAAGGCACTGGCGACTTCGGGAATTGTCGGTTCGTAGGTACATACGGAGGGAGATCCGATTGTAGAATGTACCTGTACCTAAGTACTCGGATGCTGAAAACGGGAAAGAAAAGTAAAGACTGGAAGTAACGAGGCTGAATGATGATGCTTCAGATGGAAGTTGATTAGTCCGTGCTTTTTTTTCGACTTGTTGATGACTCGGCATTCATTGATGCTGGGCCGTCTGCAGCAGCAGCAGTAACAGCCGCACGACGAATGCTTCAGCCGTCGCTAGCGCGCATCTCTTTAGATAAAAAAGACCCATCATCAAAATCCGAGGCTCCCAAGTCTCTCTTGCATGCATGCAGACCATTGACACATGCACCAGTCCCAGTCCATGCCGTCCATGCAAAGACACGACGATTCCGCTACCTGCGCCCAATAATACTCTTTGTACTCTTATTTAGATGCAGCTACCCTCATCCATCATCTCTTCCTCTCAAGGCCTCCACCGCGCAGCATTGGCCTCCCGTGCAGCCATCTGCGCTAGACTGCTTGCGCTGCTGCCGCTGGCTTGACGCTGCGATCCTGGACCGCTGGTAGCCGAGGAACCGACGACCGGCACGCCGTTGCTTGCCCTCTTGCTACCCGCCACAGCAGCGGAGTTGCCCGTTGCAACGCTTTGCCTGCGGTTGCCCCCGACTTGCTTGGATGGCGACCCCTGGTTGGCGTGGCTATTGCTCGATGTTGCAGGGGCTCCATTCCGTAATGCGGTCTGCGGTGTCTCTGGCAATGGTCGACTTCTCTCCTTTGCAGGAGTCTGCTGGGCCTGCTGCTGTGCGAATGCATTTCCCGAGTTCGTAGCCACGCCGCCGGTTGTATGTACCCGCTTTACCGGGCTGGGTATCCCATTGTTGGTGGTCGAAGCTGCTGCAGTCGATCTCAACCGCGCAGCGCGGCGAGCTTCATCTGGGATTCCAGGTCGCTGATTGAGAGGTTGATTCGTGATGAATGGATGGCTGATGGCATCTTGGGGCTTAAGTCGACGATCCGGGTCCCAACGCAGGCAGCGGGTGATGAAGTCAAGGAAGGCTTCGTCCTCTGTCTTCAAAGCCTGGGACAAAGTCTTCGAACTTGGCCTCCGTCGTCGGCCCTTGCTACTGACCGTGACTCTTGGTTTTCCAACAGAGTCAAAGAAGAGCTTCTTCCTGGTGCAGCGCTCGACGAGGTGCCGGTCTGGTGGCCCAAATATCTCCATGATGCAGGCTAGCTGTTCTTGTTCGTTCTCGCCGGGGAAGAGCGGATATCCAGTCCAGAGCTCAGCAAGGATGCAGCCAAGAGACCACATATCAATGCCTAAGCCATAGCTGCTTCCAAGAATGACTTCAGGGCTGCGGTAGAAGCGGGACTGAATGTACGTATACACCTTCTCTTCTTCCTTGCAACTGCTGCCAAAGTCGATGACTCGGACATCAGCTTTGCGAGCTTCGCAAAGCAGGATGTTCTCAGGTTTGAGATCGCAGTGAATGATGCGCTTGTTCTGCAACAGCACCAGGCATGTAAGCAGTTGGCGGGCGAATCGACGAATGAGTGGCAACGAAAAGCCGACGAAGTTGTGAGCTCGGATCAGCTCGTACAAATTGATGCTGAGGCAGGGCGTGACAATGCACAAGTGCGAGCGAAAGTAAAACGAGGACGTGATGGAGAGCGTGGCGTGAGCGCCGTCGGGATCCTGGTACCAATGTCAGCGTACGAACGTCAAACAAACGTGAACACACTCACCCAATCCCTCAGGCGGCCCAAGATACCGACTTCGACCAATGCCTGCTGGTGGAATCGTTTCTTGTTGCGGATGATCTTGACCGCCACTACACCTCCGTCCTTGTGGTCCACGCATCGAACAACCTGTCCGAAGCTGCCTTTGCCAAGGATGTCTACAACTTCGTATCGATACGCTAGGTGATCACCAAGCACGATGTTGTAATCTCCACGTTCGTCGTCGTAGCCGTAGTTGCCTGCTTTGGAGTCTTTGTCCCCTGACGGCGAAGGACTGAGACTGCCGATGATCTTCCGTGCATTCTTGTTGCCGGTGAAGTAAACACCGTCCTTTTCGTAGTCCATAACTTCGCCGCGCTCAAAGATGTTGAGAGTGCAGTTACGATCATGCAGAACGCGCTCTGGACTCATGGGGGAGCGAGCCACAGCACGTTTCTTCAATTCCTCGGTTTCCTTGGCAGCTGTATCGACATCTCGTCGCTTTTGGGACAAGCGGCGCATCTCCTCGTCGGCGGTATGGTCGTCCTTGTCTTTAACAATAGCGGATAGAGTTGATGCTGTCGACCCTTGGCGGGCTTTTGGTGCTTGCGAGGGCCCTTTCAGATTTGCTGGTCTTCCGTTCGCACCAATGTTGCCCCAACTGCTAGCTCTATTAGAGGCCTGCACAGGTTGTGGCTGCTCAGAATGTAGACTTTTGGTTTTCGAGGTTGGTGTAGGCGGCTCCTGTTCATTTTGTACATGGGCGCTGGAAAGCGTGTTGATGGGCGTGGCAGTTGACTTGCGGCGTGACGAGTCGAGGCTTGGTCTTGTCGTCGCGAACGGAACTGTTGGAATATCTCCTGTACAAGTTGCACTGGCCGGTAACCTTGGCGGTGGCATCTCACTCGCTCGCTTCTGCAGCTTGGCGTGCTTCTCTTTCTCAGACGCCGGTGGCTCTTGAGGGCTGGACTTGTTGTCAGGATGGTTGTTCGCCTTGCTGCTGCTCCGCCGCCAGCCAAGGGAAAGCTTCCGTCGCAGTCCACCTTCTTTCTTGCCATCGGCTTGACCTGATTCCACCGGACTCTCAAGAGAGTTGGGGGTTTCTGCTGTCTTGTAAGAAGTATTGGTCCCGCTTCTGCTGGATCGTGGTCCTTGGGGTTTCACATTCTGCAGTTGCTGGAAGGTCTCGAAGTTACTCATGGTGTAGTCATCATTATCAACGCTAGGCCTCCCTCGTGGCCGGCCAAATTCTCCTGACGCCTTTGGCAAGGAACCCGAGGCAAAGGGAGTGATGGCACTGCGTTGTTTGGCATGCGGGACTGGAACGCCAACCCCCGTGAGTTCAACGTCGGAATCATCAAAAAACTTTGTGGTATGGTCATCGAGTTGCATCAAGTCGCGTAAGGCATAGTGTGAGGATGCACTCCTCAAAGCCATTTGTTTTGCGTACTCATCATCCTGGCGACGGAAGAATGTGGCTTTGCTGGCGGTCATGGGCGTTGACGGGGTCTTTGCAGCACGTCTCGGCTCTGGGGTTTGAGCATTCGCGTAGTCGTCTCTAGTCTCTACTTCCTGGCTCGGACGCCGAAACCCTGAAGCTCTGTTCGAGTTGTGCTGACTGATCGGCATCAAGTTCAGTGGCGATAGGCGCAGAGGCTGCAAATTATTGTTCTTGCGGCCATTCGCATCGACTTGCGGTCTTGCTGGCTTCGGCGCCGTCATGTTCACGCTTCGTTCGATGTTCTCGATCGTGTTCATACGCTGATGTGCTCGAGGACGATCGACCGAAGTCTTCCGCCGCGTATCATTAGGCATCTCTTGGTTGGCTTTTGGAAGTTTGCTCGTGAGTTGAGTATCAGCTTCGAAATCCTCGCCACTGTTTCCCCCATATCCACTTTGTGACGACTTCAGGGGGCCAGTAAAGTATTGTTGTTGTGCCTCAGACTCTCGAGGGCTTTCATATGCCTTGGGTATCGCCGGAACCGGTGGCACCATCTCTTCGTCCTCGCCGTACTGGCCAGAACTGGAATTAACATTTCGAGGCTTAGGCGTTGGCAGGCGAGATGTTGAAGCGGATGATGCGAGGAGCGATTGATAGCTCGATTTGGTGCTGAGGCTCACGCCCCCGTTGCCGCCGTTGTTACCAACACGAGCTTCTGGCGAAGTGCGAGCTGACGTTGGTGTGGTGTTGCTGGTCCTCCTTGGGATCAGACTCGGGCTTGGTTGCGCGAGACGTGGCATCTCAATCTTCAGTGGCGGCATCTCCTCCTGCGCCGGCCCTGCACTACCTTTAGCCACGCTACTTGGTAGCGGAGGAGCCTGCATCATGGACAGCCGCTTGAGACGGCGTGCATCTGTTGGACTGATCGTTCGCGCTCCCAAACCTGACGCTCGTCCCGAGACTGTTGATTGTCGCCTGTTGCCGGACGAAGATGGAGTGGTGGCTCGGGTTGGATTTCCCTTCGAGACCGGCCGAGAGTTTGGTGTATTGGGATCTGGTTCACGTGGAGGAGGTTGTAAACTCTTCACTTTGTTCGCGCGAGACTGCGTCGTCGCAGTGACAGCTGAGATACGGGGAAGTTCCGCACCTGCTGATGTTGACGGCTGCATCGTGGTACGTCTTGACGACTTGGTGAGACTGTTCGTGCGGGCCAGTGAGGACTTTAACGTAGAATCCGGGGCGCTTGGCAGTGGATGAGATGCCTTTCTGCCCTCCATCATGGACGCAATAACACCAGGACCAACAGACTTTCTGGGAGCTCGGCTGCCAACTCCTGCAGGTGGTGGTGCAGGGCCAGAGGGCGGTGGTCCTTGAGGTGCTGTGCTTTGGCGTCTGCTTCGAAGTGAGAGACCACTCTGAGGAGCATTGCCGTTGTCCTTGGTGGTTTGGCCGGTGGTCTGCTTCCCTCCAGTGACAGAACTCAGTCTCCTCCGCAGACTTGCACTCCTGCTCACACTCGGCTCTTCTCTTGCCTCCACCTTGGGTACAGGTGGTCTGGAGCTCGCTGGATTGCTGTCCTTCACGCGGTTATTGCCCGTCTCTTTCGGCACCACTCTTCCACCGCCCACGGCTGGGAAATCGCTCAGAAGCGGGCCATTGCCATCGTAATTAGCAATTGAATTCTGAAGGTCGTCGAAGTTCACGGTTGGGATGAAATCGAATTCGTCACCAAGTCGTTCGGCAGGGGTCGTGGGGGAGTCGTTGTCGTCGTTGGAAGAGGGGTTGCCAAAGCTGAATCGAGGTGCCTCGCCGGCGTTGGGGAAGAATGGTTCGGAAGAGCTCTGCGGTAAGAAGGAACGAGACGTGTTTGTGGATTCGGTCACAGAAGGCGCGATTGAGCCAATGCTCCCACTGGCGGTTCTACCATGCACGTCAGTCTTTCTACACCCCCAACAATCCCACATGGCCGATGAACAGATCTTCGCAGAATGCCTACCTTTTGCCTGGGCTGGGGAACTCTCGCGGTCCGCTCGGCACCCTCGCGTTTTCTCTCAGTGTACTACGTCTTCGGTGGTGGCTGAAACCAGCCCGCTGATCGGGCTGAGGTCTCGATGCTGATGCCGGTATTGAAGGCTTTCGGAAGGTGTCGTCGTTGTTCGTGGCGTCGGTGGTCGTGCGTTGGAATTTGCGACGTATCAGTGATTCGGCTGCCTGGCTGTCAGTGGACTGGAATCGTGGTAGATCATGGCAATCGTGGGCCAGCTCACATTCATTGCCCGAATCGTCTGGCACGCCGTTTCTCTCGCGGTCCAGATATGGCTGCGCCTGGCCGCGGAGGTGGAAGCGGGAAGCAGTGTTCATGGCGACGTCGGGGCTCAATTAAGTGAATATCATAAGGATTCGTCTCAGTGTGCTGCTGTAATTGGCAATCGAGGGGCGGAGATAGCGCGTGCGCGTGTTTGGGATGTGCACAAGCCAAGGGCAATAGTCTGTCTCTGCGTGCTCCGGACTCCCGCATGCACTGGGTGTTCACCTGTCGATGGCAGCGGATGGGTGCATGGCGGTGCCCGCACGCTCAGTGCATGTTCAATGGGTCGGTGACAGTCTGGTGTCACGAAAGGCGGGCGATCTGTGGCACATCCCCGTCGTCGGTTGCCAGGCCGAGGAGTGGTGTTGTTATTAGTGTTGTTATTGTTGTCGCCGTCGCTAGTCCGCAGCGCTCCCGGCAGTGGCCGCCAGATGGATACGGTGCTATAGGAGGCGGTGGTGGTGGTGAAGTCGGCGCTGGGACGCGGACTGGCGCTGTGGTAGTACCCAACGAGGGGTGCAGTGGTGACAGCAGAGGAGAGCACAACACTCTGGGCCTGCTGCAAGCGGTCTGGCTGGCTTGGGGCAACGTTCTTCGATCCTGCAGGGGCGATTCTGACGCCGAGCGGTGGGGCAGCGCAGACTGAACAGTCGCTGCGGTTTAAGGGGAACGGCTCTTTTGGTGCGCGATCTGCTGGCCAGGAGTCCCGCGAGGCCTGGGTGATGATGTGGTCGGCGACTCGTGCTGCTCACTGCATCCTCTCCTGCTGCTACCCATGTCCAGGATCCCCTATTCAAAGCTCTTAAGGTTAGAGGCCCGCGCCGACTCCGCTGTTGTGCAGCTCGGATGCATCCTTCACTACTGCACTTCAAACAATTCTTCAACTGAGCTCTGCGCATGCCCACGTCGCACATGACATACACCGGAGACGCATACGGCACACATCACCTTTTCATACTCATAGGCCGCTGCGTCAACATGCCCCAAGTCCAGCATGCCTCGTGATCCCCTCATAGGCCTGGTGGGCAAGCCCAGTAGTGGTAAATCCACCACGCTTAACAGGTACGATCTACTGGTTCCAACATCGAGAGGCTCGCGATAACGCCCATTGCCGTGCAGTCTCACCGACACGGTGGTAAAAACAAACGCCGCTCCCTTCACGACCATCACCCCGAACCGCGCAGTGGGCTATCTGCAAGTGGAATGCGCCTGCTCGCGGACATCATTACCAGGAAACACGCCTTCCTCTCCAAACGAGCCACCGCCATTACAAGAGAGATGCAAGCCGAACTACGGAGCGTGCCAGCAAGGCGTGCGCAGTGTGCCTATAGAGCTTTTGGACGTTGCTGGTCTGGTGCCTGGCGCCCATGAAGGAAAAGGACTGGGGAATAAATTCCTGGACGACCTCAGACACGCCGATGCGCTGATTCATGTGGTTGATGTTAGCGGTACAACAGACGCTGACGGAAAAGCGACAAGAGGGTACGATCCCTCGCAAGACATTGCCTGGCTGCGATCAGAGATTGTGAACTGGGTGCTAGGGAACCTCAAGGAAAAGTGGGGAGGCATCAAACGACGCCATGTCGCTGTGAAGGCGACTCCGGTGGAAACGCTGCAGAATCAGTTCTCTGGCTATGGGTCTAACTCCAAACTGGTGGCCCGCGTACTGGATAAGCTGCAGCTGAAGATACCCCTTCAAGATTGGGACGACGACACCATTCGACTGGTCGTGGAGACCTTCATCGACGAGAAATTCCCGACGGTCCTGGCGCTGAACAAAATCGATCACAACGATGCAGACAAGAATGTTTCGAAGATTGCCAAATCCGAAAAGCCCGAACGAATAGTCCTTTGCAGCGCAATCGCCGAAGTCTTTCTGCGGCGACTCGCGAAACAAAACTTCATCCGATACATTCCCGGATCAGAATTCATAGACACCAGAGAAGACCTCATAGAGCAAGGCGAAGAAGACGGCGGCGGCCTGCTGGAGATGGACGACAAGCTCAAAGCTCGAGTCGAAAACCTCAAAGACATGGTGCTTTACCGATTTGGCAGCACAGGTGTCAACCAGGTCTTGTCTCGCGCTTCCGAGTTATTGGGCCTTGTGGCTGTGTACCCAGTGCGAAATATAGGCACATTTGGGAGTGGCGAGGCTGGCACATCAGGTGACAGGGCGGCCGTGTTTCGTGACTGTGTTTTGGTCAAGAAAGGCAGCACTGTTGGCAACGTCTACCGCAAAGTCATGGGCGATGCGCCACTCGCGTACTGCGAGACGGTTGGTGGTATTCGGGTCAGTGAAGACGATGTGGTAGCCCCTGGCAAGAACGACGTGCGTATTTTGGGAAAGTCTTTGCTGAGATCCATGCTAACACTGATGCAGATATTGTCCTTCAAAGTTGGCAGGGCTTGAGTGTTGAATCTTAACCATCAGCCATCGGCTGCTGCGTCTCACTAATCGTGCAGACTATCATCGACGCCCGATCTAGCCGTCGCGAGACTCACTCAAAGGCGTCGAAAGACATTCGCGCACGAAGTCTTAGACAATTGATCCTGGCGCGAGCAGAATGTCCACTGGGCGAAGTATAAGTACAGCCCATGGGCAATCTCAAAACTAATTCCCCCATTCAACATTCATTTCGCCTTCCAGAAGCTGGTCTTCTTATCCCCTTTTAATCCACCACCCAATCCTTACTCAACACATTCTCTATGTCTAACCAGAATCGACCAAGAAAGCACACGATGGAGCCGGCTCCAAACCATGTCCCTGGGCCTGATGTCCCCCGAATCGAGCAGAACATTCCTTTGACACCTTTCCTCGAACGTCCAGCACCTTACACCTCTGAGCATCAACTGTGGCCGCTGCTAGACACATCATTAGATCCACTCGCGCTGAGGCGATGGCCATCGGAACCTGAAATCTTCAGTTCAGTGCCAACCCAACAACCTGCAAGGCCATCTCTCCACTACAGGCGTTTACGGAGACTCGAGTGTCGTGTCATTGCCACCGTGCCAGGGCCTACTCTCGCTAGCATTGGCATCGATAGACAGGACACTCCACGAAACTTGAGCTCCCTCGACAGCATCTTGGATTCCCCCGAACGACCCACCGCTCGACCATTATTGCTTCCAACTCCACACTCGAGCGTCTTTCCACCAACGCCATGGGGGTTCGCGGCTGAAGAGAATGCCGAACCGAGTGCAGGCTGGAACAACAACAGCACTCATGCCAGTACACCTGATAGAGTATCGTCTGCAAACACTGGATCATCCACCCCAGTTACCTCACGGTTGCGATCTCCATTCGACAGACGCAATGCTCTGGCGGATATCAGGTCGCCGCTACCAACAAATGTTGATCATGAGGGTGAGTCAGGGCAGAGCGACTTGGGACATCCTTCAGAGCATACGAACGAAGACGACGCTTTACAAGCCCCACCCCAATGCGAGCTCAAAAAGAAGTGCCGGACTTCAAGATTCGTGGAGCATCTCGATATTAGTGCTCCGCCGCAGTACTTCGATAGGGGGGAGCTGCACGACAGTGGATATGATGGTGATGATGAGGAGAGTGCTTGATGCGTACAGAGCATGTAATTCGTTTTTGCTAGAGTGTTCCTTCTACAATGAATATAATAGTAATGTTTAATGTTCCTTGCGAATGATGTCCGTTCAACGTACATCTCAAACTCCCCATCAAAGTGTTACCTGAACTTTAATTCAAAATTGATTGGCCCCACTTCAACCAATTGTCTCGCCCCTTCCCCGCGGGGGTTCATCCGCCCAGCCATATCGCTCAGTGGAAACCAGGTGTCCTCGAACATTGACAACGAAACACTCCCACCACACGTCCAACTCCCACACCTCAACTCAAACCACCCAGCCTCCACCGAATACACACGACCACCGCGACCATGGACCCCTTCGGCGCCGAAGGCGAACTCGTCAACATCCACACCGCATTCATCCAAGGCCAATACCAATCCGTGCTAGACGACTACTTGGCCTCCTCCTTCTCCGACTCCAACAAACTCCCCATCCAAGTCCTCCAATACCGCGCCCAATGCGCCCTAGGCCAATACAACGAAGTCATAAGCGCCATCTCCGACTCGGACGCGAAATCCACCCCGGACCTCGCAGCGGTTCGGACCTACGCTTCATACCTCTCTCAGCCCAGCGACGCCGCCGTGAAGGAGGCGAAGCGGTTAGCGGAGAGCGAAGGGGAGAGTTTGAGCGTGCAGCTACTCGCGGGGACGGTGTTGGCGCGGGCGGGCGAGCAGGAGGCCGCGCTGCAGTTGCTGGCGAAGCACCAGGGGAGTCTGGATGCCGTAGCGTTGATCGTGCAGATCCACCTCTCGCAGAACCGGACGGACTTGGCGGTCAAAGAGGCGCGAAGTGCGCGGAGTTTCGCGCAGGACGCTCTGCTGGTGAATCTGGCGGAGAGCTGGATTGGAATGCGGCAGGGCGGGGAGAACTACCAGAAGGCGTTTTACGTCTTCGAAGAGGTCACGCAGGGCCCTTCGTCCGCGTCGGCGACGTCCCTGATCGCGCAGGCCGTGAGCGAGTTGCATATGGGACGGATTGAGGAGGCGGAGACGGCGCTGAACCAGGCTTTGACGCTGGAGCCGGAGAATAGCGCGGCGATTGCGAATCGGTTGGTGCTGGATACAATCGCGGGCAAGGAGACGGTGGAGTTGCAGAAGAAGCTCGCGAGCGTGGATAAGGAGCATGAGATGTTGGCGGATTTGGCGGCGAAGAGGGAGGCGTTCCAGGCGGCTACGGCGAAGTATAATCCCAAGTTTGAGCCATGAATGGGTTGGGCCTCGTGAGCGATGGCGTTGGTTGGAGTTGGTGGGGAGGGACAGGTCAAAGCATGATCACAGGTAGAAAGGACAAGATCAGGATCAAGACCAACGATGTCATATCAAGAATCATGAGCCCAACGCGTTGACATTCCGTCAAGCACTATTGATCAAAACCGAATCTTCGGCCCAACAAACACGACCAAAAAACACGCCACCCACAGCCCAAAAATCATCCCATACAACTTCAATCTTCCCAACATCCCCTGCCCCTCACTCATTCTCCTCAGGGTCGACATCTTCTTCCCCGCCGCATCCATCCCCTGCCCAGCCTTATCCAGCCCACTCTCCGCCTTATTCCTCACATCCTTCTCCGCCTCCAACGACGACGAAAACTGCAGCGAACTCTCCTTCAGCGCCTGCGCGAGACCCAGCAACCCCGTCGTGAGGGCTTCTTGCTCGGTGCGGTTGTGCGACATGAGCGTTTCCGTTTGGGAGAGGTTCGGATCTGGTTGTTCTTTCTCCTGCGATCGGCCAGAAAAGAGCTGTTCGCGCGCGGAGGTCGAGGCGGCGGTTCGGTTGTCTGTCGCTTGGAGATTCGGTTTTCGCGAGCGGAGTTCCTGCTGTTGCGACTCGTCGATCCGCGGTGCTTGCGTTTCTCCCGTCTCGAGGCCGGCTTCGGTGTCGTTCCTCGCGGGCGCGTATGTGTTCAGGACGTCCTCTTCATCCTCATCCTCCTCATCGTCGTTCTCATCCCCAGCTGTGTTGAGCTCTCGTAACCGCGTGTTCAACTTCTTGATCAACTCCCTCTTCTCTTGAAGATCCGTCTGCATGTGCTCCCTTTGGCTCTGCGTCCGTATCGTCGCAGATTGTTTCTCTGACGTCAGGAGCATGGCGCGAGCGTGCTCGATGTTCGCGCCGATGCGGTTGCGTTCGTATTGGGAGTGTTGGAGGTTGGAGTCCGCATCGGGGGCGAGGAGGTTATGCTCTAGACGTGCCAGGAGGCGATTGAGATTTACTGAGGAGGTCATGGTGGTGGTTTTGTACGTTCGAATTGAGGTGGGAGGTGGTTTTGAGATTTGGGTGGGAGATTTGAACATTTAACAGCTACGTGTGCATACAGCTGTCCAAAGCCACGACGTCAATTCCAAGTTCACATGCAAGCTTCGGAAGGAGCTGCCGAGAGAGACGGCGTGAACTTTATTTTGGAGCTCCATTCACTTCACCCTGTGCCACACAATCTAGTAGTCCAACATTCTCTCGTAAGAGCCCTCAGCACCAAAAATCACAACAGATAAAAAAAACCACCCCTTCACTAACAACATGCTCCAACTCGATTCCGCCCCAGCGCTTCTAGTCGTTGACATGCAAAACGCCTTCTGCCACAAACAAGGCAGCTTCGCAAAGATGGGCATGCAAAGCGACCCAACAGCGATAATTCCACAAATCAACAACCTCCGCTCCGCATTCCGCGCCGCCAACATCCCCGTCTTCTTCCTCAGAACAGGCTACAACGCCGACTACTCCGACAGACGCAGCCGCTCCAGAGGGGACAGCGTAGAGAAACTGCAAGGCCTCCTCCGCGGGTCTTGGGATGCCGAGATCCTCGAAGAGCTCACGCCCCAGTCCGACGAACACGTCGTGGAGAAAACGCGGAATTCAGGCTTCTTGAGGACGTCCTTGGAAAGTATTCTTAAGGAGCGGAGGGTTAACCATTTGGTTTTGACGGGCGTCGGGACGGATGTGTGTGTCGAGTCGACGGCGAGAGATGCGTATCAGTTGGATTTTGCTGTGACTACTGTAAGTGATGCGACGGGGACGTGCAATGAGCCGGACCATTTGGCTGCTCTCCACGCTCTGCGGATGTTTGGTGGCACGGCGTCGACGGCGGAAGTGATTGAGGCTTTGCAAAAGTTACCAGACTCGCGCAATCAGTGAATGTCGTAGACGTGGGGTGAAATTGTTCACTAGACTCCAATTTCAAACGAGCTACGAATAGCCTACTCTTGTGAGTGTTTGATTCTCTAAGTAATTCCTGGACGACCGACTTTTCACATACGCGAAGCCCAGACAGTGAGTGGATTAAGGAGCGTCCTTTAACGCTCTATACTTTCCGCTAAATGATTCTCCATACAAACCTCAACAACTTGCCCACAATTTACTTATCTCCAAGGGGGAAAAAATGCAAAAAGAACTAGAATCCCATTTCGAGATTCTAGAGAAAACCTCATTATCATTTTACTTTTGTTTTTCACCGCCGTTCGCCGAAACTCGAATGCGAATTTCGAATCGAAACGCTCTCCAACTGCGCCATTCAATTCGTACCTGTATCAGAAATTTATGATGTCAGCTCCCACCACCACCCCTATGATTCGCTTGGGTGATGTGGTGGACTGAGGGAAGAGGATTCGAAGGGCATTAGATAACTAAATTTCTCACACATAAAGTAAAAGTCTAGGCTATTCTTTTTGATTTGAGGAGCCTCCCCTTTTACGCTCGATACTTCGGCTCCAACTCCGCCAGACGATGCTCCGTGCCGATCTCGACGACTTGCTCGTTGTTCAGTTCTGAGGGCATTCTCTGCTGCCCGCCGCCGCCGTACGTCGGTTGGTTCCACGCTGTCCAGGTATTGGTGTGTCCTGTCTCTTCGGGGCTCTGGAGAGGATGGAAATGCGGCTGGTCGGTGTGAGACTTCTTCTTCTCGAGAATGAGGAGCCAGGATAGAGCCCCGATCGCGAGCAGCAGAGGGACGCCTACGCCCGCGCCAACACCGGCCATTTGCCCTGACGTGTATCCCTTGGCGCTGTCTGGCGACGCAGCGCCCGTCGCTGTGACTGTGACCACCGGGACTGATGTCGATGAGGTACTGTCACTGTCGGTGCTCGAACTCCCAGTATCAACTCCAGCAAGCTCCATCGCAGAAGTCAATTGATCAGACTTCAACACAATCGTATCCATGTCCTTCATAGTGAAGACAGAAGAAGTCACCGAACACTTGTCCGGATTGAACCTGCAGGTAAAGGTCGTATTCGTGCATGCCATGATCGCATACCCGCCGCCAGTATTATCTGATCTCAAAGTAAGCAATGCCGTCGTGCTGTTGCGCTGAGAAGATTTCTAGCCCGTACAGTTCGTGCAATACTGCCCGCACCCGTCCGCATCCCAGCTTTGATCGGTACACGAGCCACGGCTCAGGATGCCGCTGGACAAGCAAACGCCATTGCTCAGACGGTAGGATGTACTCGCACAGCAAGCGGAATGCGTGGCCGAGCTGTTGCATGGAACGTCCGTCGAGTCAGAGCCATCGGGGAAGAAGCATTGGTCTGCGAAAGCCGTTGTCAGGAGGCCTAGAGACAGGGCGATGGCCACTCGAATCATGTCTCCGGTGTGGTGAGGTGTTCCCGGGAGGACGGTAGCTGGGTTCGAGGACAGTGAGGGTCAAAGAACGAAGGATCAAGAGGAAGCTCGGTTGTGGCTAACACAGCAGGACAGTGAGTCTAATCGTTTGGATTTCCTCTAGTGTGTATCTTCAGGTGCAGCTTGTGCTAGCCATTGCCCTCATCGTGCAACTGCGCTGGCCAAGGTTGGCAAATGATGCTCGCCTCGCATGCGTAGCTCTTCAACCAGAATGCACGAAGGCCCGCACACACAAGTTGCCCTCCGCTCAGAATTCACGAATGCCATTTGGGAGCCGGGGTTTGATCAACGGCTTGAGTCGTTCCTTGTCCAGCAATGCAGATCGACCCGCTTGGCGTCGGTTTGGATGGCCGATGCCGAAGTCGTTCCAGTGGAGGCAGGCTTCATGAACCAGTAGGCATGTTAGGGCAGCTTTCTCGATGGATTTCCAAAGTACAAGTTGCACATACAGCTCGTCGTGCAAGTTGCGAGCATTACTCCTCGTAGGGCCCTCAATGCTGGAACGGGAACGTTTTTCCATCGTGTCCAGAAAGGACTCCAGCACGAAAACATCCGAAAGAAGGTGCCTTATGAGACAGAGCTTCGACGGAGTACTGTTGCCCAGACGCGGTAGCATATTCGTTTCGTTCAACTCCAGAGAGGACTACCGTAGTCGAGAAGTCAAAGTAGTCCCGTCCTAGAGCATTTCTTAATGATTTTCGAATGTGCAAATCCAGCTTGAGGTCAACCAGTTTCCCTTCTCATTCTCGATTGCGTCGAGTCCGGATCCCTCTCCCTCCTCACCACCCCCCATCACCCAAGCATACTCTTCTTCCGTCCCCTCATCCTCACATCCTCCAACCGCCTCAACGTCCCCCTCGCCGCCTTATAACTCCCCCCATAAGCCCCGAGCATACACTCCTCAAACAGCCCCTCCTCCCTCGGATGCGTGCTCCCAAAAGCCCGCTCCAGCACATAGAGGTCCACCGCGCGATCCTCCTCCTGCGTCGCCTGCGTCGCGAGCCCGAAATCAATGAGGACGATTTCGCCTTCCAACGACGAAGAAGGAGACCCCGTCCCTTTATCTTCTTTTTGTGATTGTGATTGTGATGGTGCTCGCCGAATCATCATATTACTCGAAGTAAGATCCCCATGCACCACCCCACAAGCATGCAACCTCCCCACCGCTTGTCCAATCGCTTCCAACAACTTCCTCAACTCCCCTTCCTGTGCTACATCCCTCCCCCTCAACGCCTCCTTGACAGTGACACCCTCCACCCACTCGCACACCGTCCACCCGTTCTCCCAGTCCAATGCGAGCACCGCGGGGACACTGACGCCCTCTTTCTTGCACTTCGCGAGGACCCGGGCTTCGGCGAGGATGCGCTGCCGGGTGAGGCGTTTGTCGAGGGTTGGGTGGCGCCAGGGTTTGGAGGGCCGGATTTTGAGCGCGGCGGGCGTGGTGGGGGTGAGGAAGGTGGTTTTGTAGAGGAGGGCTTCGGCGCCTTGGGTTATGAGGGTGAGGGGGGTGGTGGAGGTGGAGAAGGGTGCGGGGAGGGGATGTCGGGTGGTCATGGTTGTAGTCATGAGGGCCGTTGGCAATGCGGTTTCGGTTCGTTTCTCATGTTGGCAGAGGTGCTAGAACAACAATGCGGTTGGAGTTCAGAATTACTCACTTGAGAAGTAGTGGTGGGGCGTCCCACGTGACATCATATGAACATTCAATCAAACAGAGAAGTAGTAATGATTATGACAATCAGAGGCATGTTATACAGCCTAAATACGCAAAACTCCTGTCACCGTAGCTTGCGCGCTATTGAAGCGGCATGGGTATCGTAATATACATCCATCAAGCCCACCCAAGTCGGTCTTGTCTTCGTAGTCCATCAGTTGTCGCAGCCGTTAATAAAGTCAATCGTTCAATCTCGTTCCCCTAACGCCGTGCCCAGGATACATTTCTCAGGGTAGTCCTCGCCCGATCTGAATCAGTCCTCCCAGATCGTTTCCAAGTCCAAATCAGCTCTTCTCTCACCCCCGCACACCGACCAACGCTTCCTCTCGCGGTTGCCGCCCCGGGTAAAGCCAAAGCCTCGTGGTGCATCCAAGCTGCTCCGTCGACGAGAGTTATCATCGACATCTTCCCCACGCTCTGCCCGCTCTGCTCGCTCAGCTGCCAACTTCAACCTCTCTATCCGCTCTGTTTCAATAGCCTCGCTTTCAAGGTCTGGCGCATCTTCAATCGTATCCAGAGAGCTGATCGAGGGTGATCGCGAACGCTGCGAGGTTGGCGTAGAGGGTATGCTGCTGAACGGCGAGCTGCTCGCGAAGTGGTGGAGAGGAGGGTATGCTTCGTTGAATCGCTGTGGGCCGAGCGAAGGTGAGTTGGAGGTTGAAGAAACTGTGCTGATTGGGACGTTCTGGTCGATAACACTAGCGGGATAGGATGTAGGTGGTGTAGAGCTGTGTAGAGGAGAAGCCGGCCGACGACGCAGCGACGACGATCGGCCGAAGACTGGCATAGGTGATGGTCCAGGTATTGGCTGTCTCGGTGTGAAGTTGAGCTCGCTGTCCTCCTGTATCGACTCGATTGCGCTGCCACTGGTAGCGTCGAACCAGCTGGGTGAACGAGGTGGAGGGTTGTAACCACTTTCCTCGAGCGCTTTCAGAGGCGATCGCGGGCGGGCCGGGGATCGCATTGGACTGCCTGGCGATAGCGAACCCGTAGATGGTGTGGACAGCTCGAATGCTCTAGTGTGAACCGCAGGACTCGAATGTGCTCTTGTCATGGCCGGCGCATTCAGCGCCGCACCCGTCGATCGTGACCTGAGGTGGGAGCGAGAATACGGCGAGCGGTTGCGGTGACTGCTCGAAGGTCTCGAACTGGCGGAGCCGAAGTATCCTTGCAGCAGAGCAGACGGTGAAGGGTCGGTGACACTGCGCGCAGCTTCGGGCCGTGGTTTGAGTGAGTGGAGGGTATCTATGCTGTCTTCGTTGTGCCTGGAGTCGGGCTCGACGGGTGAGTCAGGCTCATCTTGATCGCTAATTACCGGCCGGGTCAGCAAGTTAATATTAGGTGCGAGATTAAGTTAAAACTTAGTCCTAGACAAACCAATTATTAAATAATGAATTGGTGTGAGAGGGTTCCTCGTTGACCCTCACGCGAATGACGTGGGGTTGAGCGGTCGACATGGTGCGAGGTCGGGTGTTTCAAGGGCCCGCGAATCCGTGCAAGTCCGAGTTGGCGGAGTGTCGCAGATGGTGGACAGCGGCGACACTGCAACGCGGTGTTTGTGCAGTGTCGCCAGGCGTTACTGGCAGAGTTGCAGATGCACAAGTCGCATAGGAGAGAGGACAGTCAACAGGCTGCAGGTGTATCAGTAGCACGCCACGCTAGGAGAGGCCTCGCCAAAGCCAGGGTCCTCTTGCCGAACAAGCGAGCGTCCCTGCGTGCAACGTGAGAAATCTCGACTCCAGCAAACACACGCCGTGCAAACCTAGCAGGAAGGAAAGAGAAGAAAGCCCTTTTTGAAAACAAAAACAAGACGGTCCAGACCTCTATGTATATGCCACGCGCCGCTATTACTATTATTGCAGGAGACACTCAATCACAAGATTGCGCACACAAAACCCAACGGGCGTGCCGACGCCCTCTCACAAACAAGCTGCAAGTCATGCGTCTCTCTTTCGCTGAAATTGGAGGATTTTGGCTGCGGGACGCAACAGCTCTTGTCGCTTGTGCTGCAGATCAGACGCCTCGTTCTTAACTCCTTCGCTTGGCGCTGCATGAATAAATTTTACAGAGAAGACAGAGTCATCTGCTGCCCGCCTCTGACTGTTGTCGCTGGACGCCTCGTCGCTATCTTCCTGTGCACGTAATCACGGGTGAACCACTTTACGCGTCCTTTTTACTGCTCTTCAACGGTTCACGTGGCGTTGAACGGTTATCGCGGGGCAGTGAAGAGTGGAGGCTAGGAGGGTCATATGCAGGAGAGCTGCTGGACCCCGAATTCACCTGACGTGCAAAAGAGCGTCACGAGCTGCAGATCTTACGAACCAAGTGCTTATCTTTGCAAGGTGAGAGGCAGGGGAATTGTAGCTTGTCGGTGAAGGAATATCAGGGTCCCTTGGTGCTTGGTGGCCTCACTTGGCTTGATGGCACACTCATCATCACCAGTAATTTTTGTCATTATTGTCTCAATACTTGTCAACTGTACCTCTCGTATCGCTCGTAGTCGTATCACTTCACTCGCTCGCAACCACTGGAGGACTTCCAGCATCCTCCTGTCCACCACTGTTCTCAGAGCTATCTGAATCCGCTCGCTTCTTACGCTTCCTGCTTGGACCATGAGCGGCTCTCTCGGCCCAGGCCTTCGCAGTCGTCTCAGAAATAGCCGCGTCCGCGTCGTTCTGCTTCGATGGAGGTGGTATGAGTTTGTCGTCGATGATCTGCCAGCCAGAAGAACGCAGTGTCCTCCACTTTTCGCCCACTTTGAATCGCACTAGATCGCCGGTAGCAATTGCATCTTCCAGTGAGTCGTGTCCGCGATCCCCTCCTGTCTGAATCTGGCGGTGCAAATGCTTCTGGGTCAGCATCTTCAAGCCATATCGCATAGGCAGGCCTCTCGGGTGAGGGTAGAGAACCATCGTGTCGATGACCGTGGGATGGCAAAGTCGTACGGTGTTGAGGTCATTCTCGATGGCGTGTCCTATCAGAGGGGTCTGCGGCGTGAGGAAGCTGCACAGAAGTTCTCGTGCGCGTTGTGGGCCGTCTACTATAGGCAAAGGCTTCTCTTCCGCCGTCTGTGACGGAGGCGGTGGTGGCGATGATCGCCAGTCGTCGTAGGGAATGGCGCTGGCGAAATGTTCCGGAAACACGCCAGAGAATCGGCTGTTGAAGTCGATGATAGCGCCCAACGGTCGAACAAGTATGTCCAGCAACTCCTCGCCGTACGGCCATGATACAGCGGTCAAGCGAATTAGCTCGAGCCCAAAAGCCGTGTAGCCCATTTCGCAGTCAAATGTCACTGCTTCAATGTCTTGTCCACGACGATCCTTGGCTGGCGACTCATTCTCTGGTGTGACAATGAACGGCATGATGGCCGCCAATCGACCTGGACTCGTCGTTTTGAAGACATGCTCGTCTCTGGTGATACAGCCTCTCGTACCCATTGGTTCGTTGCAACATGGGTAGTACGGCTCTTTTTCTCCAGTCTCCTTGTCCGTCTTCGACCGTTGCGGATACACCTTCCTTAGCAAGTGAAATGTGCACGCACCCGCTGAGGTCAGTAATCCTTCTTCATTTCGATCCGGAAAGACCTGGAATCTGCCTGCACATCTGTCGCAAATCTCGTAGTTCTTGCTTGCTTCAACTGCTGCTGCCGCCTCCGCTGCCTCGGCCTCCGTTGGAGGAATTGGAATGTACCCGTGGGCAGCCAGCGGCATCTGGTCAATCACAAGTTCAGGTAGTACGAGGTGTTCCTGTTCGAGTGGTAGACCTGTCTGGATGGGCTTCGCTGCTTTCTTTGCACGCTTCGGTTCATCAACAGTGTATGTCGACTTCACGTGTTTGATCCACTCGTCTTGTGGCATTTTCTTCAGAGCGGCAATTCTTGATTTGATCACATTTGCATAAAGCGTAGGGTGATCTCGCGCCGTCTTTTCCTCATCATCGAGTGCCAGTTTAATCAGCTTCTGCTCGGTCAAGACTAGCAGATGTCTGAGCTCGAGACCGGGTGTCTCGCTCACCTGCCGATTCAGTCGAGCCATCTCGGCGTGCAGATGCTTGAGATAGAGCGCTCTCTTCGTGTGGCCAGCAGGGTCATTGGGTATCAAGCGAGGATTCAGCGATTCGACCTTTTCAGGTTCCGATTTGGCACTTCCGTTTGCCTCGGGGTTCTGCTGGCCCGATGTTGTTTGCTTGCGCAATGCTGTATTGCCTGATGACGTGGGCTTGCCGTTTGTAGGCGGAGGTGAGACCGGCTTCACTAAGCTCGGTGGAGGCTTCGAGTTGTGTTTGCTTAGCTGAGACCTGGTCTCATTTTCCTGCTTAGACTCTGGCGAAGTCGATCTCGTAGCTGCCAATTGCCCGCGTATCAACTCGGCTCTGCTGGGTGGCATGTCGGCGAGGCTTTCATAAGTGATCTTGCGCCGTTTAGCTGCGGGTCCGGCAGACTCATCAGCTGCCACTTCGGTCGGCTTTGGCGCATGTATTGGTGAAGTCGTCTTCTGAATCTCCGATTCAGGCGCGTGCTTGGGCTCATGTGCGTAGATGCAGCTAGTTAGTACGCATCTGCTGCCTTCAGGGCATGGAATGCCTTTGAAGAGGTTGGTGGTCGAGAAGACCATTTTGAGATTGCCGGATATGATGGGCTCATGTCATTCCAGGAAGAGAATCTGCTGCTTTCGGAAGATGGGGCAAGCTGGAATTTTTCTTAGCGAGCGAGTTGTTGTGGGTTTGCTGAAGAGCAATGGTTAAAGTTTGAGAAGTGAACGGCATGTCCGCGCCGCCAGTCGCGTTCAGACCAAATGAGAGAAAGGGCAGGGCAAGCCTGTGATTGAAGTCGAGTGTCGTCGACTCCTCGAAATGGATAAGAAACAAAGGCCCCTGGCTTACCAAATGCGGTCTCCGACGCGTGCTCTATTTCGCCGCAGCTGCAGACCTGAGTCGTAGATGGCGAGCTGATCCAGCAGCGGGCGAATATACCAAGCTAAGTGCTTGTCCGGGAGCAGCTGTTTGCGGCGGTGTTCATAGCTGACAAGTAGTTGTGAAGTGTGAAGTGGCAGTGAGGTCGGAGGTAAGAGGAGCGCGCGGGCAGCCGGAGTGTCCTTCTCCGGCGCCGTTCGACGTTGGACAACAATCCCGTCGTCATCGTATTGCCGACGCAAGACAGGGCTTCGAGGGGGCTAAATTCCTCGCAACAACACTATCGTTTGTTTATGGACTTGCATAAGGTGGCAGTAGAAGGCGTTGTGGGTGTTTCTCCATTTTCCTACGTTTCTCATCTCGCAACATGGACGCTCAAACGCAGAAGAACCCTGACCACATTGCGGTGTTGATCCATGGGTGAGTGCCGTCTCGTACAGATCATGGACATTGCTTCTTTGTACTGATTCCTGTCGCCTAACAGCTTCTGGGGCAATCCGAATCACCTCAGTCACCTCCGAGATACACTCCAACGGCAGCACCCCGACGATCGCCTGTACATACTAGTCGCGAAAAGCAACAGCGACAACCAGACTTATGATGGAATCGAGGTCGGCGGAGAGCGCATTGTCAATGAGATTGAGCAGACATTGGAAGAGCTGGAGAAGGATGGCACGAAGATCAAGAAGATTAGCATTGCTGGCTACTCCTTAGGTGGGGTTTTGGCACGATATGCCATCGGCCTCATGGAAACCAGTGGGCTGTTTGACAGCATACAACCAGTGAACTTCACGACGTTCGCAACACCACACATAGGGGCGCGAAGTCCCAAGCTCGGTTACAGATCGTTTTTGTTCAACTACATGGGCGCCAGGACACTCAGCACATCTGGACAGCAGTTGTTTTTGGTCGACAAGTTCCGCGATACTGGCCGACCTCTTCTATCTGTAATGGCGGATCCCAATAGTGTGTTTATGAGGGGACTGAAAAGGTTCAAGAATAAGTGGGTGTATGCGAATACGCTGAACGACCGGAGTGTGCCATATTATACTGCATTCTTCAGTCGCGTAGATCCCTACGTCGAAGTCGACAAGATCGAGGTACACTACGAACCAAACCAGCCTCCGCCAGGCGAAGTTATCCTGGACCCTTTGGACCCCGTCACGCCGAAGAAATCTCCTTACGAAGATATGACTACTTACCAAAGGTTCACGAATGTGCCCCAGAGGACACTCAACAACATACCCTTCTACTTGCTGCTCATTTCGGTACTGCCTTTGGCAATACCGGTCTTCATGGTCAACGCTGGCTACCAGACATACAAATCTGCCGAGAGAGTGCGTCATCACGAGTCTGGGAAAGCATTCAAACTGGATCGATACCGAGTAAAACTGCTCGAAGAGGCACAGGCGGTGCAAGACCGGGTATACGAAAATGCAGCTGGCCGCTCAACTGAGCAATACCTCCCGACCCCACCTCCAGAGACAGCATCAACCAATGGAGCGCCACTTGGCAAGACCGAGTCGAAACAGTTAGCCCTCAGTCGACGAGAAACGAACAAGGAAAAGTCACATTTCCCGATCTTGGCTTTGAAAGAGGAGCAATTCGAGATGATTGATAACCTGGATCAGCTGGGCTTCACCAAGTATCCGGTGCATATCCAGAAAGTGCGACACACGCATGCGGCTATTGTTGTGAGGACGCCGAAGGAGACATTTGGTGAGGGCAAGATCATTGTACAGCATTGGGCGGAGAAGTTTGAGATATGACATGATTAATCGCAATTGGCACCGAAAAGCGTCCCGCAAAGACTTGAGCGGAGTATGCATTTCGAGAAGACACGAGTCGATTCATGGAAGACGTCTGGAAGAGAATGTCGTCACTGCGATGAGGAGAGAGTGCGAATAGATTTGGATACAGCAAGATGGAGGCGAAGTCCAGACTTCATATTGGAATGGCAAGGCCAAACACTTGTACATTCTGATGAGATTCAATTTGTGCTCAAGTCATTCATACGATGATCTCTTTCGCTGGCCTAGCCATTTAGCGCCCTCCCTCTTGCATGTGACAGCGGGAAAGGTGAATGATGTCGACGCCAAGCTTTTTGAACAGGCGGCCAAAAGTCTCCGCGTCACCCTCGCGCTTGCACGCGTCGTCGAAGTCGTGGACGCCTGCCCGTCCGAGCTTCGAAGCCAGTAGCTCGTCACTCACCCAACACCTCATCGACCGCAGAAGCTCGATTGAAGTCGGATGTCGCTGGTTGTTGCTCTCTCTTAATTATCGTGACAATGCCTTCAGACATTCGTTCTTTTTTCGGTGGCAAGCCCGCCGGCACTCCAGCACCCCCTCCTCCGGCCAAGGAGACGAAGAAGCGAGGCCGTCCAAAGAAGATTGTTAGCGACGACGAAGACGACGAGCCAGTGAAGAAGCCGACACCGAATAAGAAAGCGGCCGAAACGAAGCCTGAACCTGTGCTGGAAGAGACTACCGCCGACGACTTCTTTGGCAAGGGAAGTAAGCCCAAGCGTACTTCTGATTCTGTCAGGAAGTCGAATGGCAAGGCATCAACACTGGCAACTCCTCAGAAGAATGCGAGCAAAGCCAATGGCTCGAAAGCTACACCTACTCGTGGCTCAACGCGAGCTAAGAAGACCGCGAACTACACTGACCTCGCCGACGACGACTTCCCCGACGATGACTTAGAGGACAACGCCGATGACTTGTTCAAGAGCGGTGCTGCTGTCGGACGACGCATGGGAGATGACTATGAGGAAGGAAGCGACGACGAAGACGACAAGCCGATTGTTCCAAAGAAGAGGGGGAGCGCAAAGCAGAAGAAGGTGAAGGATGAAGATGATTTTGAACCTGATGGAGACGTGGACATGAAGGATGTCAACGATGAGGACCATTTCGTTGTCCCAGATGATGACGAGGAGATCATTGAGGACAAACCAGCGAAGAAGACGCCCGCGAAAGCTTCGAAGAAGAGGAAGTCGACCGCTATGGAAGAGGACGAGGATGATCTCGAGGTTGAAGAAGCGAAGCCAGCAAAGAAGGTACGTTGTAGTGGCAATCGTACTCTGAAGTTCGCGACATCCAGACCATTGTTTACAGTCACTACGGGGATTCTTAACTCCACTTTCTGTTGCACAGCTAACTTGTTGATAGCGGGCGGCCCCAAAGAAGTCGGCACCCAAGAAAGCCAAGGAAACACCTCAGGACAGCGCTGAGATGAAAGCCATATTCGATAGCATTCCCACGATAGAGCCACCACCGCCTCCTCCAAAATCTGGCGAGGAAGATGGAGAGGGCGAGAAGAAGAAGTTCCAATGGGGACAACAGCATGCTAACTCTGCTGCACCTCCAGGTGCAATATCCGATATTGATCTGCCGACTGGAGCCGAAAACTGCCTCGCTGGACTGACCTTTGTATTCACCGGACAGCTCGCGCGCCTTGGCAGAGAACAAGGACAGACGTTGGTGAAGAACTATGGCGGCAAGGTCACTACAGCTCCGTCAAAGAAGACGAGCTATGTCGTGCTTGGCGAGGACGCCGGGCCCAAGAAGTTGAAGACGATCCAGGATTATGGCCTCAAGGTGATCAACGAGGATGGCCTGTTCGCATTGATCCGTCAGTTGCCAGCAAATGGTGGCGACGGCGCGGCGGCGGAGAAGTTTGCCGAGAAGCAAGCCAAAGAAGAGGAGAATATCCGTAAGGCAGCTGAAGAGATCGAGAAGCAGGAGCGAGCCCGTCTCGCTGCTGCCAAGCCCAAGCCTCAGCCAGGCTCTGCAGCAAAGGACGACTCCCAGAGTAGCAAGGGCACGGGTTCTGCTCAGGGGCTTGACACACGACTGTGGACTGTCCGCTACGCACCTCAAAGCTTGAGTCAAATCTGCGGAAACAAGACTCAGGTTGAGAAGCTCCAACGTTGGCTGAGAGCTTTCCCCAAAAACCAGCGAACCAAGTTCAAGATGGCAGGACCAGATGGAAGTGGTGGGTACCGCGCTGTCATGATTCACGGTCCTCCAGGCATCGGCAAGACGACTGCGGCCCATCTTGTTGCCAAGACGGAAGGCTACGACATTGTCGAGTCGAATGCCTCGGACACTCGCTCCAAGAAACTGGTAGAGACTGGCTTGAAAGGCGTTCTGTCCACAACATCACTCCTTGGCTACTTCGGCACCGGCTCTAACGAAGTCGATGCGTCAAAGAAGAAGCTAGTTTTGATCATGGACGAAGTCGACGGTATGAGTGCGGGTGATCGGGGTGGTGTTGGTGCCTTAGCGGCTGTCTGCAAGAAGTCACAGATCCCCATGATCTTGATCTGCAACGATCGCAAGCTCTCCAAGATGAAGCCTTTCGACTTTGTCACTTTCGACCTGGGCTTCCGACGTCCTACCACCGACATGATCCGAAGCCGTATCATGACTATTGCATTCCGCGAGGGCCTCAAGATGCCAACGAACGTTATCAACGCTCTCATTGAGGGGACCGGCGCGGATATTCGCCAGGTAGTCAACATGATCAGCACAGCAAAGCTTGACAAGGAGAACATGTCTTTTGAGGAGAGCAAAGATATGAGCAAGGCTTGGGAGAAGCACATCATCCTCAAACCCTGGGACATGGTCGGCAAGATCTTGGGCGGAGGGCTCTTCAACCCTGCCGCGAAGTCCACTCTCAACGACAAGAGCGAGCTCTACTTCAACGATCATGAGTTCGCGCCGCTGATGCTCCAGGAGAACTATCTTGGCACCAATCCACAACGCTCGAACGAGTACAACGGGGACCCCAGACGCAAGAAACTGGCGACACTCGATCTGGTCAGCAAGGCAGCAGACTCCATTAGTGATGGAGATCTCGTGGATCGCATGATTCACGGCAGCCAGCAACAGTGGTCACTCATGCCGACTCATGCTATCTTCAGCTTTGTGCGTCCGTCAAGCTTCGTCTACGGCACAATGGCAGGCCATCAAACTCGCTTCACCGCTTGGCTCGGCAACAACTCGAAGCAAGGCAAGTTGGTACGGATGATCAAGGAGATTCAGGGTCATATGCGCTTGAGAACAAGCGCAGACCGGCACGAGATACGCCAGACTTACATGCCTATTCTGTTCGAGAAGCTGGTCAAGCGGCTTCAGGAGGAAGGCAAAGAAATCGTGCCTGAGCTCATCGAGCTCATGGATTACTATTATCTGACGAAAGACGATTGGGACGCCATTCTGGAACTTGGCGTTGGCGAAGCCGACATGGAAAACATCAAGATCGAGTCGGCCGCCAAAGCCAGCTTCACCCGCATGTAAGTTTACCCAAAGTTGCCGCGATACATGACATACTAACCAAAACTAGGTACAACCAACAGTCGCATCCCTTGCCATTCATGAAGGCTTCTCAGATCTTGCAGCCGAAGAAGGCTCCGGCCAAGGAGAAACCTGATCTCGAGGAAGCTCTGGAAGAGTCGGAAGACGAAGCAGTCGACGATGCCGAAGCACCTGACGAAGAGGACGTCGATTTGACCAAGGACAAATACGTCAAGCAACCCAAGAAGAAGAAGGCTCCTGCTGCCAAGGCTGGCGGCAGCAAGAAGAAGAAAGCCAAAGATGAGGACGACGATGAAGAGGAGGAGGAAGAGAAGCCCAAGAAGGGCAAAGGCAAAGGCCGCGCGAAGAAGTAAGCAGCACTAACGAAGCATGTTTGACGTTTTGGCAGCGAACAGCATCGGTGTACAATGATCGAGAACAGTCCAAGAGCGTATTGTACAGAATAGCGATGTAAGAAAGGAGCGAGCACTCAATGCAGAAGACTGACATTCTGCTTGGAGCGTGGTGAAGCCATACCCCCACCCACTCTTGAGCCCGGCCTATCTCTTCCTTGCGGCCAGTGGACCTATCGCCCCGCACTTCTTCAATGGCCCATCAACATCACCTCACCTACAGCGTAGAAAATCGAAAGGCAAGTTCACCATAATCATCTCTCATCCCTCCTCTCAACCATGTCCTCCCACGAAAGCAGATTCACCGGCAAAGTCACCCTAATCACAGGGGCAGCCTCAGGAATCGGCCGAGCCACCGCGCACAAACTCGCCTCGCAAGGCTCCCTGCTCGCCCTCCAAGACATCAACGAAGCCGGCCTCCAAGAAACCAACAACCTATGCGGCGGAAAGCACTACACCGAAACCTTCTCCGTCGCGGACCCAGCCAAATGCACCACCTTCGTACAAAATACCCTCCGCACCCTCCACCGCATCGACCACGTCTTCAACTGCGCCGGCGTCAACCCCACCGCGTACGCCCTAACAGAAACAACCGACGCGTACTTCTCCACCCTCGTCGACACGAACCTCAAGGGGACCTACAACCTCACGCGGGCCGTGGTGCCGCACCTCGGGCAAGGCTCCAGCATCGTGAACGTCTCGTCCACGATGGGGATTTCCGTCGCGGCGCAGTATGCGATTTATTGCGCGACTAAGTGGGCGATTGTGGGGTTTACCAAGGCGATGGCGTTGGAGTTGGGGGGGCAAGGCGTGAGGGTGAATGCCGTGGCGCCGGGGTATATTGATACGCCGACGAATGCGGGGGTGCTTGCTGGGAGCGAGGCGGTGGAGGAGCAGGTGGGACGAGTGGCGTTGGGGAGGATGGGGACGGCGGAGGAGGTGGCGGATGTGGTGGCTTTTTTGTTTAGTGAGGAGGCGAGGTATATGAGCGGGAGTATTGTTGAGATTACTGGAGGTAGGAAGACGTGAGACAGGTAGGTATGTTGTTCATACGGTGTGAGATGTTTATCCTAGGAGAATCCGATTCGACCCATGGGGTATCAAGAAAACGTTCTTCAAAACAAACGAGCCTCTATCCGATTTTTTGTTCGTCGCCGCCGCTATGCACACCAAACCTCATGTCGATCGATCGGTCTTTTGTTCCTTCTCGATTTTCCGCAGCTCCATCTCCACCAGCTTCACACAGACGTCGGCGACATCGCTCCCCACCCGCCATGTCCTAAGGGTGACTCCATTCCTCTCCAGCACGCTTTTCGCGCGTGCCCAACGTTGTTGCCACAGGTACTCCTTCTTGCTGAGTCCTTCTCCGGGACTTCCAAAGCCATCGTCACTCCATGTCCCAGATCGTCGATGCGAAGACTGTCGCCGCTGGTTCAGAGCGTACGATGAGATGTTCCTCCGTGGTGGAGGTGGAGGTGCCGGTTGATTCATGGCCGCGTCTGGTAGATTCAAATCCTCAAATGACTTGGCCGATGTCATGGGTCGTGCGAGAGGAGATGTGGGCTGGCTTCTGCTGGGATTCGATGTGTTGCTCCTACTAGTCAACGGTCTTGGTAAGCTAAACCCAGTATCTCCAGCGTAGTGTCGGCCAGGCGAAGGGGGGAGTTTGGGAGAGGGCAAGGCTTTTGAGATAGTGTCCTTGGTCCATTCTCGATACGTCCTGGGCCTGGCTGGCAAAGCGGGTGGAATCTTGGCCGTTGACGCTTGTCTGGTTACTTGAGAAAGTGGAGAGGGTTGATGAGTCTGCAGCTGAGGGAGGTTGGGCTTGATGGCGGTAGATGGCTTTCTGGGCCGCGGAGGCGGTGGTTTATTGGCATTGTCAGGAGAGACTGATCGCTGGTCTGGTGCAGGGCTTCGCAGGCCCGCTGGCTTTGGCGGCGGTGGAGGTGATGGCGATGGTCTTTGGCCTTGGGTCACACCTTTAGCATGTTGATGTGGCGAAGGAGTCTTTCGTTCGGGCGGTTCAAGCCACGGTTTGGAGGGAGGCGGATCGGAGAAGTCAATCAAGTCTTCTTCATGATGATCTGGTTGAGTTTGCCGTCTAGGAGGCAGCTTTGGCAATGGTCTTGGACTCTTCTGACGGTTCTGAACCGTCTCGGCATTCACTGCGTCGGGATTAATCGACCTACGGGCGACTCGAGCCTCTTCCTCCATGTCCTGCAGTGATGCAGCCATCGCAGCTTGGAGATCGGCATCGTCGTTGCGGATATCATTGGGACGAGCAAGTCGCTTAGACATTGCAAGTGCATCGCCGCTCTTGTTGCGTGAGTGGTTCCGGGAATGATTCTTGCTTCCGCCAGGACTGTTGTTTGAGTCAAAGTAGCCGGTCCTGACGGTAGTGGTGACATCCCGGATAAAGATTCCAAGGACACGTCCCGGGTTGTCCAGCGCCGTCTCCGTGTAAATTTCAAGGTCGGCCTCTCCGCTGTCGCCGATGAAGATGAACTTTCTATCAGGAAAGTCGCGCATGATCTTGTCCAGCGACGATTTCTTGCGCTCAGCGACTGGCTCGAAGATACCCTGCAACATACCACTGTACTGCTTCAGATGGAACGATCCTCTGGGAAGATTTGCCAATTTGAAGAAGCTTGTGAGCACAGGATACATTTGCCAGGGCGAATTAGATACGTAATGTATCTTGACTCCCATGTCGTGGAGGGTGTTGTACCATTCTCGCACTCCATCAATTGTGAGGTCACCGAGTTCTCGGATAAAGGCATTTCGAAAGATTTCCCTTGCACCTGCACTGATAGCCGAGTGCTTGATAGTATCGTCAATGTCGCTTATCAAGCTGACGCCTTTAGGCGACGTGACGAGAACTTCCTCTGTCGCGGAGAGCTTCTCACCAGCCAGCACACGGACATGGGTTGGTATGAAGTCCAGGGCTGCACGGAATGTGAAGTGACCAGAGCCGTCTGTGTATACAGTCTGCTGCCTCGAAGCTGACTCGTTGTAGAAGAAGGCGCTGATAGGCGTGTTGGCCAATGGGTTTGCCATGAATGGCTTTAGACGAGTCAACAGATGTGTGTTGGCCACAGCAAGCTCTGCAGAGCTCATCTTTCCGGGTATGTTCCATGACTGTCTTTTCTGAACAGGAGTTGGCTGTCCAGAGTCTGAATCCTGGGATGACACAGTGCTTGCAATCGACGCTCTCTGACGGCCCCGATCAGACATATCAAAGCTGTACGTGCTGCCGTATATGCTGTCGGTATCCTTCGCCTGACTTGGCCTCTCAGAAAATGCTCCCCTGCTTGCATAGCTCTCTTCTTGACGGCCTTTGCGAACAATGTTCTCAGCTTCGAGATTGATCAACTCCTCTTCCTGCTGTCTTGACGGGCTTGAAGCTCTGCTGGGAACAGCACTCGACCCGTTCGAATCACCTGGCCTGTTGGACGGAGGAGCAGGAATCCCAGAAAGTTGTCTGGCCAGTCCGATGAGTAGTCTCTGCTTGCGCGTGTTCTGACCTCGAGGTGGTGTATAAATCCAGCCACGAACGTCCACATCCACTATGGCGTTAAGATCTTCATGCTTGTCCCACTCTCGCCGCCAGAACTCTTCCTCTGTCATTTCACGGCCTGGCGTAGCAGCTTTCCTTGTTGCAGTTTTGTGATGCTTCCTGGCATAGCTAGGGAACAGTATCATCTCTTCATTACCACTGCGTACGACAGCAGCATCTGGAAAGGCTCCAGGTCCATCCTCCGGACCGTGGACATCTCTGGTGCCATCCGCACTGAAATAGTTCTGCCTCAGCTCATTCGCGGCCTTCAAATAACCTGCTAGCTTCTTTCTCCTTGCACCTGGTTCTCTTCCCTCTGCCCGAAAGCCCCCATAGTCTCCATACGTATTATTGCTACCGGATCCCGAATAGGCCATGTTCCGATGCTCCAGTCGCGGCCCATCGTTCGAGGGCGGTTGTCGACGGATGGGAGGGCTCGCAATTCGGCGCCTGCTTTGCTTGCGCAGCTGTCGGGCGACGAGATAACGGTATATCTGCGACTGGGCGCGCTGCCTCAGGGATGGTAAGAATGTCTGGCGAAAGCTCCCGAGTCCAGCTCTTGCCTGGGCCTTCGCCTTGGGAAACCACTGGCGTCTCAACGGCCGCGTAGTCGCCTTTCCATGACGAGGCAGGAGGGAGAAGAGGCGTAGCAGGGTGCTCCACGACGGCGCCAGGATGGAGAGTTGGACGTCGAGGGCAAAGGATTTTCGGTCATCACATGCACGTCGTCTGCTGCTGCTGGAGCATCATCCTGGGCCACTCAAGTCGATGCGTGGAGGTCTGGCCGCTGTCGTCATGGCTGCTGCCCGCCAAGCCTTTCATCCAAAGCTTCGACCTGGTCTTGTTTTGCGAGTGAATGGCAAAGGAAACACGTCCAGCCACTGTGCCAAACTGCAGAATACTGCTTATAAGGCTGGCTACGCGTCGGAAATGCGACCTGCAAAGATTCATCACCGGGAGACGCGACAATGTCCTCGTTGACCACATCCTCCACAGCTGCGGGCCTGTTACTGTCCCCACCGCGGCTCTGTCAATCATGACGACCGCCACGACCTGCTCGCGTTCGCGGTGGAGCGATGTCTTCTTCACAGATGCGCATTCGACTAGACAAAGTGACTACGAGAGGACAGACGGTCATACTTCACGCAAATTGACATTGACCAGAAGCCGACAATGGTGTTCCCTCAGCCGAGTACCTTGATGGAGATGCAGATGGATGCAGGCCAACACGCTGCCAGCTCCAAGCCCCAGACACACATCGTCAAAGCGAGCCATGGGTTTGCCTTCGAGGTCAAGAAGGGCGACCGTTTTCGAATCGTCGATTTGCACGGTGAGCAGGTCGTCGACTTCGCCGCTTGGGTCCAGAGTACCAACTTGGTGGAGAAACTGAGCATGGCCTACACACGGTGGGGAGCACTCCTTTTCTTGAGCCCGTGTCTAAATCTGGCACTGACAACGAGGACCCCAGCTTTCATCTGTCCGGAGCCACGCCTGCTATTGGGGAATGTCTCTGGACGAACAAGGACGAGCCGATTCTGAAAATAACCGACGACACGGTCAAAACGCATGACATGACGTTTGTCAGTACATTCAACGCGATATGCTCGCTACTCTTCAGCATTGGGGAGAGACTGATGACTTTGTCCAGATGAGCTGTTTCCCGGAGATGTACTCGAAGCAGGGAATCAAGAATCACAGAAGCTGCGCGAGCAACATCGCCGAGGTCATGGCGCCGTACGGCATGAATAACTATCTGGAAGTCACCGGTCAGTGCACCGAGTTCACCATGGTATACATACCATTTTGACGACCAGTCGCTAATGGTTTCCTCGATCAAGATCCGTTCAACATCTTCCAGAACACCCCTAATTACACTCTCAAACCTCTGGGTAGCAGCAAGGCCGGTGACTACATCGAGTTCGAAGCGCTGAAGGACATGATTGCTGCGGCGTCTTGCTGCCCATATGATCTAGGCGGCTTCAACGGAGGAAAGGTCACAGACGTTGCTGTGGTGACAGGTCTAGGCGCGAACGACGCGTCCTGATGACTCTTACTGCAGCGCCGACTGGAGCCCCGCCGGCGGTCGCAGCATGACTTGCTGACGGTGATCAGATCTGGAGGACAAGCAGAGTGATGGCGTCGGGCGCTACTATGCTATTCCAATGGCACCGCACGAGAGCATGACGAATGAGAGGTCCTTGACAACAGTACCGTTATGAAATGCCCGGTTTCGCCATCTCCTCTTGTCCGCGATCTAGCAAGCAAAAAGCCATGATGCCAGTTTGGGCGACCGTTTTGAGAGCCCTCGCAACTTGCAGGGGGAAGTTTTCTCCATCGAAAATGCCCAAGATCTGTCAAAATTCCATTGGCTAAGTATGTAGCAAACCTGGAGGCAGGCTGCAGCTGTGCAATCCCGCCCAGCAACCAATGCTTCTGTAACAACGAGGAAGGGCTAGACGATCCGAGTTGACATATCACAAGACACGATCCTTCAAATAAACAACGCGATGCTGCTGACAAAACTTCCAGATTGACATTCCCTCAATGCAGGTAGTTTTACTCGACCTCAAGACAGAGTTCTGCCTGCACTGCAGACCTTTATAATCCGGTGTCTTTGGCAACAAGACGCGATATCGAACAACAAACACGCAACACCGGAGGACCATCGCATTCTACTATACGGCTGGCTCGCTACCCGGCAAGCTCCCAGTCAGTGCGAGCAAACATCAGCCTTAATCAAATTCGACCGTGGGGACGTGAATGGTAGCTTCTGCGAGATCCGGAAAGAGCGTGGTTGCTCTACCAAACATTCGGGACGCGCCCCGTGACCACGCGCCGCTCCTCAACACTGCACGCTGCAAAACAGCACTGCATGATCTACTGCGTTCATCCAATATTCTGCATGGCAGTCCTGGAAAGTATTCATGAAGCGTTCATGCGATCAAGCTGCAGGGCTAAAGAGGCACGCAGGCGACAAACATCGATCTGTCCCAACAAGTACCTGTGGAATATGTGTCACAGATGGCTCCACGTTCGTACCACCAGTGCAAGGTCACACCCTCGAGGCCATTATTGTAGACGCCGTGTGGCCAAAGCAGCTGCTGTGGCGACTAGTATCCTGGAGCAGGCGTACCATACCTGGCCGAATCCTGCGAAAGAATCATGCCGCCCAGCTTTGTTTTGGTTCTTGGTCAAACGCTCGTACATGAAGAACGTATCCTATCCATTGGCGCTCTCGAACCAGACCTCAGTCTTATCCAGCAGTACAGCCTCGTGGTAGGCTTGCTGTTCTCGGGACAACGCCAACTGTCGACAACAGCAAAACATCGGACACGATGCCGCAGCGTAACGCTGACTATAAGTCCGTTGTTGTTCTTATCATCGTCATTCTGCAGCGACTCTTGCTGCTACAGATCACCACTCTCTCTGTAACAGTATTATACCGCTATACTCACAAATCTCACGTTGCACAGATCCTCATTCTCGGTTGTGCCTGCGCTCACGCACTTATCCGTACACAAGCCTAACAGTACCTGCATATCTCCATAAAGCAGATAGCCGTCTGCACGACGACAAAGAAGACGAACCGAAACGACGCATAACGAAGGAAGAACGAAGGAGCGGACCCCATGGAAGGCTGTTTGTGGTGAAGACGAGTCAGAAGCTGAGTCTGCCCCATTTCTATTCTACTTCTCATCTGCAGGTGCGACGCAAAGAGGCACAGGAGTGCTGTCAATCGGTCTTTTCCGCTGCGCACGTGCTACGACAACGAGACGAGACGTACTCTGCCACAGTCTACAACATTCGGAGTGCGACGCAAAGAAGCACCATCGCGTGTTGCCAACCGGGTTTCCATCTTGCACTGAATAGTTGTACTGCAATACGGCAGGGTATTTTCTCGATCGTACACCATTCGTTGAGACGGCCAGCAACGACCGAAAGAGACAGAGATACTCTTGTGCTGCCAACCGGGCTTAAATCTTGCACCTCTCCTTGACCTTCCCTACCCTCCTTGCGCAGCATATACGGACATTGATCTCGCAAACGCGAAGATCGGTCCGCAATGCTCGCACACAACGTAAGTCTTGTCAACCTTGCGATCCTCATCTACATTGACTGACACCCCATAGCTCCTCACTGTCGCCCTGCTGGCTGGCACAGCGGTTGCGAAGCCTGTTTCACGCACTCACTTGTTTAAACGTCAGTATACGAATACTTCGATATCTGAGATGACGCAAACTTCTACAGGTGACAGTGTCCCTACGACCGTCGAATCGACACCCGCATGCTCAACGACATATACACCAAGTGAAGGTTAGTAAACCGAATCCAACTCATGCAACTATCGCTCACTATTCTACAGATCAAGATTGCCACGACATCGCTTTGAAGCACGGAATCCAACTATCCGAACCAGAAGCCGACTACGACTCCGACTCGACCGAATGCAAGACGATTCTCCGTGGATATGGCATATGCCCCGACACGGCGAATGCAGAAGCGAGTATCACGACGTCCACGTCTACATTCGCGACGGCAACGCCCAGCATCGTCCCTCCCACGAATGTGACGAGCTCGAATAGCACCATCAATGGCACGATCCCGACGAACTCAACATCAAATTCGACGACGACAAACTCGACCTCGGTTCATCTTGGCGTGGTGACGCTCACGGACATGAACACACAGACGCTGACCTATACTGAGGGAACTGGATCGGCTACCCGACAGCGTGTCGTTGTGGTGACACATACGAATATCGACATCATCACGGACTCTACATCGACGACAGCCAAGGTCAATGGAGTTGCCACGAAAGTGAAGTCCGGAAAGCAAACATCAAGCCAGTCTACTGCGAAATCAGGTGAAAAACCTAGCGCGTTCGCCACCAAGGACGACACTGCCTCCAGCTCCAGTACCGCCAAGACGAGCCTGTCGATATCAGTCGTCGATGTGGGCTCACTTCCCACGACCACAACGACAAGCATTGCCGCCCACACCACAGTCGCCAAAGTGTCCACTGCTGCGGGTTCCTGCGCTGCTACCGTCCCAGCTCCGGCACCCACGCAGCTTGGGGTCGTGTCTGGCTGTACGAAGTGGTATGTCGCCGCACCTGGCGACTACTGCAGCAACATAGCAGACCGATACGGCATCACTGCGGAGGCATTCATGGAATGGAACCCAGCTGTGACTAGTCCAATTTGCTCGAGCATGTTAGCCGGGAGCGCATACTGCGTGGCGACTTGCGAGGGGGCTTTGGCTGTGACATCCAGCATGTCCCAGCTTCTACCTACTCTTGCGGCGTCTAGCGCGAGTGTTGTGCCCTCGGTCCCTTCGTTGAGCATTTCTGGCGTCTCGACGTCCAGTACTGCTAGGGCGGCCCATGCCAGTGCGAACTCGACCACACCTTTGCAGTCCGGAGCCGCGACATCGACGACTCCTGCGACGCCGAGCTCCTCGTCCAGCACAGATGTGTACAAGTCCTACACCGGCGACGGCTCCGAAGCAGCAGGCTGGCCGTCCGAAAAGCGCTGGCTCGATTTCGACAAGATGTAAGTCCACCACAAACAAGTTCAAACTCCCAAAGCGGTCCCACTGACAATACTCCCAGGTTCACGGCCAACCAACCACAAATGAAAGGGTCCTGCGCCCAATGGGGCGTACCCGACGACACCGATGACGAGATCTCCGAAATGAAGGCCGCGATCCAGCAAGTCGCCTCGTCCAGCGGCGTCGATGCTCGGTTCATCTTGGCCATTGTGATGCAGGAGTCGACGGGGTGTGTGCGAGTCATCACGACGCAGTACTCCGTCTTCAATCCGGGTCTTATGCAGAGCCATAACGGGTAAGTCCTTCCACATCCACACACACAACGTGAATATAGATCTTCCCAAAAGCTAACAACTCCTGCCAACATGTAGCACGGGCTCCTGCAACGAAAACAACGTCTCCACGGCCATCGCCACCTCCGGACCCTACCACTCCAACGGCACCGTGCAAACGCCCTGCCCGCAATCCCAAATCCACCAAATGATCCAGGACGGCACCCAAGGCACCTCCTCCGGCGACGGCCTGCAGCAACTCCTCGCGCAGCAGAAGGGCGGCGGGTTCGCCGCGGCGCAGGCGTATTACCGCTCGGCGAGGGCGTATAATGGGGGCAGTGTGGCGGCGAGCGGGGCGTTGGAGGATGGGTGTTGTACGAAGAGTTATGCTAGCGATGTGGCGAATCGGTTGATGGGGTGGGTTGCTGCGCCAAGGACGTTTAGTGGGTAGGGTGTGGTTTTGCTTTTTTTGTGTGGTTTTGGGTTTTGTTTTTGGCGTGTGGATTGTGGTGTTTTAGAGAGCGTTTGGTTGATTGTAAAGGAGGGCAAAAGTTGGGGAGAAAGGGTGGGTGGATGTGAGATGATGATGATTATGAGAAGAAGAAGAACGACGTGTTGTGAAGAATTGATTGGGAGGATTGGAGGACGACACGATACGATACCCCTGGACGATTGATGCTTTGGAAATGGAACGAAACGGGAGACGACCTAGAATGATGGAACTACGCAGTATGGCATAATATCGTATCTAATAAGACTTCTCTTTCTTCCCCAGACCCTCCACTCACTCCTTCCCACCCATCCACCCCTCTCACCGCCCCCCAATCTTACTCCCCGTCCCCGCCGCCGTCCTCAGCGCAACCCCCTCCCTCAACTCCCCCCTCACCCACTCCTCCACGCCCACGGGCTCCCTCCCCAACAACCACCTCAAAATATTCGGACTCCCCTTCAGCCCCCTCCTCCGATAAAACAAAACCAACCTCTCCGCCCCATCCCGACAAATATCGCCCCTCCAATCCCCCTCCGCCGAACCCCCAAAATCCCCCCCTCGCCCCTCGCCAAACAGAAAAAACATCAACCTCTCCACCCCGCCCTCGAACGTCGGCTGCCGGATCTCGACGTCCTTCTCGATAACCCGCCCAATCGTCTCGATAATCTCCCGATCACTCACCGGCAACGTCCCGCAGAGCGGATACTCCGCATAATAATGCCTCTCCCCCTCTCTCAGAACCCTCTCAATCGCGGCCGCGATATCCCGGAGCGCGATCACGCTGCTGGGGACTTCGGGCGTCCACAGCCGCTCGATCGCCGGGGTCTCCATGCCCGCGAGGAGTTGCACCGGGTACGCGTCGAGGAAGTTTGTGGGTTTGAGGATCGTCCAGTTCAGGGAGGCGGGGGAGATCATGAGGCGTTCTTCGATGTAGGATTTTAGGTCGTGTTGCATGAGTTGGCGGTGCTGGGTGTTGAGGACGGAGGAGAAGATGAAGTGGGTGAAGACGGCGCCGGGGCGTTGGGTTTCGGCGACGGCGGCGTCGACCATGTTGAGGCCGATTTCTTTCTCGCGCGAGTGGAGGGAGGGTCCGATGTGGATGGCGGCCGTGGCGTCTTTCAGGAGGGAGGTGCATGATGAGGGGGAGGTGAGGTCTGTGGGGACGATTTCGGCGGTGGGGTAGGTTTTTTGGAGGGTGCTGGCTGAGGACTGGGTGTGTGCGGCGAGGCGGAGGGTGTAAGTGTTGTTTTGGGCGAGGAGAGGGAGGAGGTGGGTGGCGATTTTGCCGGATGGGGAGGTTACGACGACGATTGGGGGCATGGTTTGCGTGCGGTTTGCGATGGGGAGTTGTTGATTTGCTTTCGAGGATGGAAGGAGGTTTCCAGTCCGTTGATATATTTCTTCGTCTACCTGACGTCGTCGCAGAGGATTCTTCCCATTCACCATAGGGTCTTGTTCAGTATTACCCGATTGGGAAGGTGCGGTGGATTCAGCTGGGATAGAATAGGGCAGGAGTAGGAAAGCGCTCAAGCTCACACCCAATTTTGCTTCGCGGGACCGTGGCGCGTCCGGGAAAACCACACCGCGTGCATCGCGTCCTTTCGGGCGAGAGTGATTGCTGACCGAGGATTGATCTACTTGTCGGTGAGCCCACTTTTGTTCGATCCATCTTGCATTTCGACGCTTAGGGATCGGCGCAGAGAGTTTTTTGGATAAACATTACATTACGTCCTACGGCTATCGTTATATCATGGCTAGCAATGCCAGCAGACAGAGCATCAATGCTGATGATGTTCGCACCGTGACTGCGCCTGCTGTCTGTGTTGCAACACTCGCGCTCGCAGAAGTGGCCCTGTTCCCGCCGCTGGTTGATGGGCTTGTCGTCTTCGAGGAGGTATGCGACTGCTGTGCACTACTACTACTACTTGAAGACGTCTCGTTCTGCCCGTTGATCGCGCTCAAAATGTAGTGTCCGATGTTGGCTGAACTCGTTGATGTCGCTGCGGCGCCAGCTACCAGCATTGTCTCGCCTGCTTCGTTGGTCTTCAAAGCGTATGCGGTGTTGTCGACCGTCACAGAAGAGCCGCCGATCGAGAGTGTGGTGTCAGGTGAAACGACGTATCCTCCTTCTGTGTTTGCCTTCAACACGTTGGTGCCGACGGTGATGGACGCCGCGTTGTCCGCTGCTGGAGTGACCGCGATGGAGACTGTGCTGCCGCCAACAACAGCTGTCTGGCCACCGGAAAGAAGTGCCACAGGAGTGTTGTTGATAGTGACTGTCGCACCGTTCGCCGATATTGTCTGGTCATTCACGACAAAGTTGGACGATGCATCAGCCGTGAATGTCTGACCTCCAACTGTGACGACCGCTACTTGGGTTGTGCCTTGCTGAGACGCACCACCGTTCGGCGCAGGAATGATGCTCGAAACTACCGTAGCTTGACCGTTTACCAACGTGGTTTGCTCGAGGACAGTGGTCACTACCGCAGGACCTACAGCTGCCCCATCTGCCGCCTGCGTGGGCTGCTGTTGAACCTCAGTAACAACGCTGAACTGTCCGTTTACCGAAGTGGTCTCCTGAATGATTTGCGAAGCCGGTGCTTGCCCAACGATCTGCGTGGTTGTATCAACATTTCCTGGCGCGATGATGGCTGCCTGCGACGACTCAACCTGTGGAGTGTTGGGCGATGGCAGCTGTTGTCCGCCGCTGCTGGTCATGACCGCATCAGTGGCTGTGCGAGATGGTGTCTGCAGCTCACTCGCTGTTGACTGAATTGCCGGCGAGAGTAGAGTTGCTGATTCACTTTGCGCTGGTTCTAAGGCGCTCTCCGAAGACGCGACGACCGGGGATGGCAACGCAACAGGGCTCGAAGAACTCGACTGCCCACCATTGCTAGGGGTACTTGCTGGCGGTGGTGCCGCGGAACTTGTGTCAGCGGAGCTAGTCGGCGTCGTATCAGGCTGGGCCGTGAAGGTGCTGGTAGCAGGAGCACTGTTGGAAGTACCGGTGCTGCCAGGCTGTGCTGGAGCCAAAGTTGGCTTCACTTCAGCCGCTGCCGCCGTCGATGCCTGAGGAGGATCATATGCACCGAACCCCTCAGCCGCTCGGCAGTGATTGTCGACCCATTCTGGTCGCATGCTGATGAGAGAGTCTGGGAGCTGCAAGATAGGATGACATGGATCTTGCTCGACGGAACCGGCCAGGTCGTTTTGAGGATCGTCCGGGAAGTATACGTATCCCGGCTCAGACGAGCAGTTCTTTGCCAGATCGCTGTAATGGAGGGGAGACGGTGGTGGCCTGTAACCACCCGCGGTAATGAATTCAGACTCGGTCGTACCATCCTCCGTGGTCAACGAGTAGCTCGTAAACGTCGTGACGTATGCGTTGACTGTTGTGATCTCGTTCGGATGGAAGCCGATGGTTGTGTTGTACCATACGTCTCCCACGGTCGAGCAACGATTTTGTGCATAGAGCGAGCTGAAGGCCATGTATACAGAGGGCGAAGTAAAGGTGAAGCCATTCGGCGCAACCGCCGTCACTGGAGTACCGCTGCCGTTGTTTGAGACTGTGATGCTGCCTGCTGTCGCAGTCGCAAGGTCCGGCCACCAATAGAACTGGATGGTACCAGCACTGATTCGACATGTAGAGCAGCATGGAGGTTTGGCTCCACCATTCGCGTATGCATCATTCGGCCGCTCGGTGTATGTGATGGTTCTTGTAGAGTAAGTCTGTGAGACTACCGAACCTGTCTGATCGCCAGTGTCATCGAAGCCCTGGTAATCCGTGATGGTGGAAGTGATGAGCTCGGTCGAACTGTAGGTGCTAAAGAAACTACTCTGTTGCGCCTCGCAGTATGAGGACAGGTTGAAGACGTTGGTCTCGGTGACCATGGGCATTGTGCCCACTGCTGATGTTGGTGGAGCTGATGTTGTGCTGCCATTGTTTGCTGTGAAGAATAAGCATCACGATATATACGTATATGAAGATATCCGTTCATGGCGACAAAGTCAGGCGTTGATCGGGTTGAAACTCACCTCGTAACCCAATAGCTCGATACTCGAAATGTGGTGAAGTCCATGCTAGTGAAGAAAATGCTAGCAACAACGACAGGCTGGAAGACATGATGTCGTTCCCACTCAACGGACCGTTCAAGAGAAGAACACAACGAAGCAAAATCGACAACGAAGACGCAGCAAATGCGGAAAGAGCTGCATTATATGAAGCGTAGATGTACCTACAAACCGAAGTGATGTTCGACTTTAAAGTTGGCAAGGCGTCCAGCAGACAATCATTGCAGGCCCTACTAGTGCTTGTGTGGGCCGCAAAGGGGTGTCACGAAACAGCATGCCGACGGCAAGTGCTCCACGCCAATTCGGAGCCGTCGTCTTGGGCTGGGGCATCATTATGTCATATATGGCCGCGTGGGACAGTGAACCTGGTGTAAGGCTCCTCTAGCAGAAGATACGTGATGAAGATGGATCTGCTGTGAGATATAGCACGGGCATGCAAGATATGCTCCAACAAATCGAACAAGCCTTCGAAGTTCGCGTGAGATCTTGTCATCAATGGAGGATTCCCACGAGTCGGAGGTTTGATTCCTGAAAAGCTTGTGCGGGAGTCCCTTTGCGGATGGGCGAAGTGATGACCGTTGCTGGCGCGGGACGCCTGAGAAGGCAATGCTTTTCCGTCGGTGATGAGCAGTGGCCTCGGCTTGGGTGATGAAGATGCCGAGAGGGAGATGAATTGCTGTCAGGTTAGGAACAGGAACGAATCGTTCGTTTCTGCAGTTGGTGTAGCTGACGGAGAGCAAGCGAACGAGACTTGCCGAGATAGACTTTGAGCAGCCTTAATCATCACCAAGCGAGACCTGGCGGCTGGCCCCAAATTTAGACGGCGACTGCAGGAACTTGTCGCAGCAGGTGCCGTTCAACATGCAGGGTGGCGGCTCGACGTAACAGAGGCGTCCCTGGCAGAGACATGGTGACAAAGAGATGTCGTCGTGAAATGCGCTCCAGGTGGAATTCGGTGACGGGGGAGATGTCCACGAGAAATAGACGCGATGAGTGATCCTCGGGCTTGGGGGCGGCGGACCGTCATCTTGCCCCAAAACGTCCGTCGCTCGCCGCATCGTGTTGCTGCTGGAGGATGAGCCGAGCTGAGTGAAGCTGAAGCCAGTAAGCGCTGGCGGTGGACGAGACTACCAGGAATTGCCAGTGCGACCTCTTCGTTCAATCCCAGCACTCCCTCGTCCGCTCTCTCCATCCTTTTGCCCTGTAGATTGCAGTCTCCCACCCACAGGCATCATGCTGTCTGCGCTGTGAGTGGCATTGCAGTGCGAACCCCCTCCATATCCATCGCGCATCGTCCCTCTTTGCGACAACCGCCCTCGACCGTCTTCGATCCGCCCACGCCTGCCGCATTCATTGTCGCATACTTCCTCCAACCATGGGTTCCGACGCGGGCGCCCGCCCTGCTGCCCTTGCGCTCGCTCTCCTTCCACTCGCGTCCGCCTGGTCGATACCGTCGCTACGGAATGAGCAAAGACTACACGCAAGAGCAGACGAGAACAAAACAGCAATCCCCGCCGCGATAGACATTGGGCCCAGTCAATATTGGGATGGCGATGGTGAGGAACAATTGCTATGGTGAGACGTGGACAGCGACTGACAATCCTTCCAGACGGTCCGTGGTCGTCCTTTCCGCTCCAGGTCGGCACGCCGGCGCAGAACATACGCGCTTTGATTAGCACACAGGCAAACACCATCATCACAGTCGGCACCGATGGCTGCCCTTCATTTTACCCAAGCAATTGCAACGATTTGCGCGGGCAACTGTTCAAGCCAAATGAATCCTTGACTTGGGTGCCCAACAGCATCTTCAACATTGGAATTGAACAGAATCTTGGAATGGACACCACGTCTGACGCTTTATTTGATACCGTTGTCTTGGGATGGCAGGGCTCAGGGGGGCCATCGGTTCAGCATTCTACAGTCTTCAATCTTGCCGATCCGAACTACTGGGTGGGAGCTTTTGGCCTAAGACCGGATCCTGCAAACTTCACCACCCAGAACGACCCTCAGCCGTCATTCATGCAGCAGCTGGTCAACAACAAGACGATCCCATCATTGACTTATGGCTACACCGCCGGAAACCAGTACAGACTCAGCAAGGTCTTCGGATCCTTGGTGCTAGGGGGCTACGACCAGAATCGATTCGATGGCACTAAGAATGTGTCGATGGGCATGTATACTGACATCAATCGGGATCTCCTGATCTACCTTCAAGGCATCACCACCGACGCGGGGTCGCCTTCAAATCTGCTTCCTGACGGAGGAATCAGCATCTTGATCGATTCCACCATCGCTCAACTGTGGCTTCCAGAATCCGCCTGCACGGCTTTCGAACAGGCCTTTGGACTGACATACGACAACACCTCCGAATTTTACCTCGTCAACTCGTCTCTCCACGACACCCTCCAAGCGCAGAACGCCAACGTCACCTTCACTCTCGGAGCACAGCAGACCGGCGGCTCGACCGTCGACATCGTCCTTCCCTACGGCGCATTCGATCTGTCGGTCAAGTTCCCCAACGTGCAAAATCCAAACACTTCCATGTATTTCCCGCTCAAAAGGGCAGCGAACGACACACAGTACACCTTAGGCCGTACTTTCCTCCAGGAGGCTTACTTGATTGCGGATTACGACAACCACAACTTTACAGTCGCGCCGTGCATTTGGGACAGCGACAAGGTCTCCAGCTCAAGCCTCAAGAGCATCCTCCGCGCGAACGAGACCTCATCAGCCAATAACGGCGGTTCATCATCCAACACCGGAGCAATCGCAGGAGGCGTCGTCGGCGGCGTCGTCGGCGCGGTCCTCATAATCGGCGCCATAATCTGGTTCCTGCGCCGCAAGAAGCAAACCGCGAAGAAGCGCCTCGCGGAGCTCGAAGCGACCAACGCCCCCGGCGGCAAATCCAGCCAAGACTCAGCCAACGAAGGCAAGCCCTTCATCTCGCAGCCCATGGGTGGCGAGCTCGGCGGCGGCGAAATCCACGAGCTCAACTCCACCCACAAGCCGTTCGCGCAGGAGATGGAGTCGCCCTTCAAGATGGACCCCAACAAGCACGGATACTCGGAGATGGACGGCGGTGGGGAGTTTTATGGACCCAATGCCAAGAATCATGCGGCGGAGATGCATGGTGATACGCCTGTGTTTGAGATGCCGGGGAGTGATGTTCATGAGATGCCGACGCCGGAGGTGAGGCCGCAGGATCGGAAGCCTTGATTTTTGTTTTGAGGTGAAGGTTGTTGCATTTATGGTTTTTTCTAGAAGCGTTTTTGGCAGCATTGTTCGGCGATCTGTGGCGTTATGTATAATCGATCTCGATGACGGATGAACGGTACGGCATTTTTGGGGGTTGGGAAAGCTGGTGAGATGAGACGTACAGAGAGATTTATTCTTGTGAAATGGAAAGCAATCGGAGAGTTGTGAGGACTCTCTGATCTCAGTCAATTCATGACGAATTCTATGCTGTTTTATCTTCAGACTCTCTGGATCGTGTCTGACGAATTGTAGCTAGCAGCTTCTCTCACAGGTAGAGTCACCTGCCCATGATCTTTGGACTACCCGAGCACATCCCATGGATATGTATCGATCCCTTGCTCCCGTAATCCATTCCATACGCAATCAGGGGTATCTCATCTCAAAGCAAGCAAGCAAGCAGCTAAACGCTCCCTCCACCTCCAACCTCTCCGCCGCAGAAATCGCCCTATGAACCCCCTCACCCTGACCACAACCCCAAAACCAACCTCTCATCCATCGCCTCCGTCGAATCCTCAAGCCTCACCCCTCCACCCTCTTCACTACTCTCCTCCACCTTCACAGAGTTCCCTCCCAGCTCCAACTCCCTCACCCGTCCCCTCGCCACCCGCACCTCCCCCCTCAAGACCTCACAATCCACCCTCAAAACCCCCTCCACAAGCCCCATCTCCCGCACCACCCCCTCCAACCTCCCAACCTCCCCCTCCGCGGTCTGCACCGCCTCCGTCAACCCCGCCACATGCTGCCTCAACGCGCTATTCTCATCCGCGAGCCCCCGCGCGAGGACGCAGCCGTCTTCGATCTGTGCGTTGAAATTGTCGAGGAGGGTCTGCGCGTCGTCCAGGTCGGAGGTTAGTGTGGCGATGGTGGTTTGGTGCTGGGAGACGCGGGCGAGGAGTGACGTGTGCAGGTGCTCGAGGTAGGCGATGTGTTCGGAGAGGCGCGCGATGGTATCCGAGGTTACGAGGTCCTGGCGTTTGCGCTCGAGGGCGGAGATGTTGGTCGTGTAGCTGAGGAGGGTGGTGCGGTCGTCGGGAGAACTGGTGGCGATGCTGGTGCGGTCGGTGTCGGGGGCCGTCTCGGCTGGTGGCATGTCTGCGATGAGGTGTTGGTGCTCCATGTTATCGAATTCGTCCATGTAGACGTTGTATTCGCGGCTAGCGCATGCGAGGCGGTTGTTCGCGTAGAGGTACTGGAGGTTGAGGCCGTCTTCGAGGTAAGGGTCGCGGTTCTGGTCACGCTGCTCATCTGCTTCTTCGTATGCGGTTTGAGCGGCTTCGAGCTCTTCCGTGAGCTCGTCATGCTGGCGTCGCATGTTGTTGAGGGCGTGCGTGTGGTTGTTGTCAGTTGAAGCCTGTGGTCAGTAGAGTCATTGTGGGCTTGGCGGGGGTGGGCTGGCATCAGTCCTCAGATTGCGCTAGTCGATTGGGCCATCGCGATGGGTCTCCCGGCATGGTGTCGAGGTGAAGAGCGGGAATAGACGTCGACGTACGTGGAAGAACTTATCGCGAACAGGATTGATGATGGCGTGCCATTGCGGTTTTGTCCTGGGCCGAGGCGAGGTGAGGATTGAAGGGTCAGCGTGGAAACGATTCGCTCGATCAGAGTAAACACCAGATCTCGAACGTCTCCCAGGTCTTCCAGGCCGACTAGGCCGACTAAGCCGCCAATAGTTCCACGAAGAGTGTTCTAAGTCGCCCATCTCGCGAGACTGTCGACCTTCGCATCGAGTGAAGCTGCTCATCTTCAAAGTAATTCAAGAACCACAATCAAACTCAAATCAGCATCTCCATTCACAAATACATACTCTTCACACTCCCGTCGTAGCAGGCAACCTCTCCGCCGCCCCCTGCAAACTCGGCTCGGGCACACTCATCCTCGGCCGTCTCAACATCTCCTCCGTAACCCCATTCCCCAACTTCGTAATCCCCATAACCGGCGGATCGCCCTTCTTGACAAACTCATACAACCCGGGCAACTTATTCCCCGCCAACCGAAACGCATCTCTTACAACCTGCTCGTGAATCTCCCCCTTCAGCTCAAACAGTATCCGACTGACCGGCACGCGACACGCCCAGTGATCAAACGACCCTTTCCCCTTGCCCATACGCTGGTCATTCCCGCTCGTGTATACGCCAATGTTCGCGGAGACGCGGTGGTAGAGGCGGTATTTCATTCCTCGCAGGCGTTTCTTGATCGTTTCGTCGGCGATTTTGAGTTGTGCGGCGCTGATGCGGCGGTCGTGGTCTTTTAATCGGATTCCATATTCTCCCCAGACCAGGGTCGTGCCTTTGATGCTGCCGCCGGTGGGCACTTTGGGGCGCCCTTTGCGGGATTTGCTCGATTCGCCGGCTTTGGGGGAGAGCCAGTTGAGGGTTTGAGGGGAGGAGGAGAAGGCGCGGGTTTTCGTTTGCGCTTGCGTGCAGAGGGATTTCAGGGCGCTTTGGAGGCCTGGTGGATGTTAGGATCTGTGTGTTTTCAATGGCTTTGGAGGAACTTACAGCATGCCCGGATTGTGAGAGAAGAGAGAAGGGAGGTCGGCGCGCTCGATTTCGCAAGGGAGGCCATTTCGAACGACCGGTCTCCTACAGTATCCTCTCTCTATTCCAGATGATTCGATCCTCGTTCAATGGCTATCATGAACAAATGAAAGTGATGGGATGAAGTGATCTCCTCCGCGTTCAGGAACTGAAGTCCGCAAATGCGGGAGCAGCCGAAGGAAATCCTAGTCAAATATTGACTAGGTATTTGATGGAGCGGAACAAGTCTGGCAATCAGATAAGACCAACAAGACAACTTCTTGGTTTCTCAAAAGCGCTGTTGTCTCGTAAACCATCAATTATATCTCTAATCAAACGGCACCCTCCTCAACTGTCCCCCCTCCCCATTCTTCCTCGCCTCCAACCTCGCACCAACAGCACTAGGGACCTTAATCCCACAACAATCCCCCCAACTATTCGCGCTATGCACATGCTTCATCCCATCAACTGTAACCTCCACCTCACCCACATCGTCCTCGCCAACCCTCTCCTCCGCATCCTTACTCATAGCCTCCGTAGCAGGCAGCAAAGACCCAAACAAGAAATGCTGCGCTACAGGCAATTTCCTCAGAACTTCACCAAAAAACATCTTCCGCATCCCGCCTTCGACTTTCGCCCAGGATTTCGCGGATGAGATGTCGTCCAGCATCGGGGAGTGCCAACGGAGGCCTTGGACTGTCTTTGTGGAGTTCACCCAGTGGATTTGGTCGAGGTAGAGGAAGTCTTTGCTGCATTCTTCGACGATTAGGTCGTTGTGGATGCTGAGGGGCCGGATGTGTTTGTGGTTGACCAGTTGGCTGGCGCCGAAGAGGAAGGGGAGGAATTGGTAGTCGTCTAGACCCCATACTCCGTGCGAGCCCGCGGGTTCGAGGTAGTAGGTGCTTTGTACGTCACGCATGACTTTGAGGTATCGGGGGAATACCAGCAGGGCGAGAGCTGGGAATGTCTCCTCTTTGACCACGGATAGCTGTCGCAGACAGAGGAGCCATAGGATGAAGTTGAGCTCGTGTCCGCTGCCATAGTCTATCCTCGATCCATTTCCAAACGCATTTGCCAGATACGTTCCAACTTCTTGCTGTGCCTCTTGGTCTTTCACTCCTAGCTTATCGTGCCAAGAGGGGAGTGTGTTCTCGACAGATGCGAGGAAGTCCCGGAAAGCTGGGTTTCCAAAACGCGAGCCAGTGTCCAACGCTGGATGTTGTTTGAGGATCGCATCCGCTTCGTCTAGCACAGCCAGGAGTGCTACAATCGCTGGATCTTGAGCCGCAGTTGATTTGGCTACATTGCTGATGGTGGTATCGCGGACCGAGTCGGAGAGGGTGAAGACAAAGCTGACGATGAGGTTGTGAGTCGGCGACGCAATGAAGAGTTCATGATCGCGTTCGGAAAGAATCCGTCTGCTAGGCTTCAAGAACTTGTGTCCTTCAAGACTTGGTTTCTGTGGCAGTGCTGGTGTCGGCGGAGCGTTTGAGGGTGACTCTTCTGGTTGAATTCGACGGCGAGGCGTAAGTTTAGGCAGCTTCTTTGAAAGATCTGGTGGATGGGTCGGTATCTGCGCGTCGGGGAGAGGTACGGCGGTAGGCATGTTGTGTGACTCTTATTGTGGGTGGTAATGTCGAAGGTTGAACTTGTGTCGATACATTTCAAAGCACTCCACGTCCAGCTTCCAAGCCCTCCTCCATCATTGTCACAAGCCGACGCCACATCAACCATTCACCAAGCAACAAGCCAACACAATAAAATGGCAGAACCAACCCTTCTAGGCCTCCCAAAAGAACTCCGCGAACAAATCTACCTCCTCACACTCCCTCCACAACATCCAACTAACGCCAAAAGACCCTATCCCCGCGAACCACCCCTCCTCCAAGTCTCCCACTTCCTCCGGCAGGAAACCCTCCCCCTCTTCTACGCCAACACTCCCCTCTCCACGCACACAACCATCGACCGCACCTCCTACAACAAACCTGTCCTCCGCTATTACCCCTGGTGGCACCACTTCCCCCCAACCCGCTTCCAACACATCAAACAGTTCGATCTACAATTCGACTTCCTCGAGAGGTATTTCGGCGAACCCGTGACCATTACCTTCACCATCAAATTGATGAGGGGTGTGCATTTTGAGATTGAGCATCGCTTCAAGGAGGGGTGGTGGAGGGATCCGAATCGGAGGGGAGATCCGAAGGATTGTGAGGAGGTAATCGAGGTATTGAAGGGGCATTTTGGGAGCGTGTTGACGGGGTTATTGCAGCCTGGGGGAGCTGTGAAATTATCTGCTGATGATTTGGATCGGTTGCTGGAAGTAGACACTGATACGCTACCATGAATTAATACTAGATGGCTTGAGCACAAGATGGCGAGTCTTTTAGGAGAAATATCTCTTAAGACTACTAGACGGGTTGTACATGGAAGCGCCTGTGAGCCACCATGGCAAATCCAGGCATTCGCAGTCCACACTCACCACAACATTCGTCCATTTCATCATCTCCATCGCCGTCATCCCAGCCAGTATCCTCATCTTCATCGGCGTCAAACATGACGTTTTCAGCTTCCTCGACGTTTCTCTGAGCAGGCAGGACCTCATGCTGTTTTTCAGCTTCTGGAAAGCTGCTACCATTTAGCTGCACCGTAGACAGCCCTCCCGCATCTACCTTTTGTTTACCGACAAGCGGTGGTGGACTGTCATCAGTGACCCGGAAGTCCTTGAGCACATCCTCCTGCTTCCTGAACATGTTGGAGATGTCACGCCCATTGGCGGTCTTGCTTTCCCCAGCAGCTTCCGCCATGTTCGTGACAGCAAGATTGACAAGACTGAGGTTCCAGCCTGCTTTCTCCGGGTGGAGCTTGCGAAACATGCTGATAAGTGCCTCACTGACGAGCTTGTCTGCGAGTCGTTCGATGGTCTCGTTGAGGCTGAAGACGAAGTTCGGCAGTGGTGCTGAATGGGAGATTCGTTTGAAGGATCGAACACGAGTGCCGTCTGGCTGCAGAGGTTGTCGCGGCCGAGTAGTGAGACGAAGAGTCTTAGGGTGAGCGAGCCATTTCTTGCCGATGGTAGTAGCAGGCTTAGCTGGAACCGCGCTGTGCTCCAGATCGCTGTCCTCATTGGTGGCCTCGAAATCATCTTCGCTGCCCAGCAGATCAATCCGCATGCGAGTTAACAAGCTCTTTGCGAGAATTGTCAGTTCCTTGATGATCTCCGGCATAGTATCAAGGCGGATGTAACTATCCTCAATACTGATCTGACGCGGCACTGCTCTGGCAGAGCTGACTTCGGAATCATCCACGCCATGCAAGAGACACCAGATCTTGTAGCCGATACCATGAGGTGACCCGGGACCCGAAAGCAACTTCTCCAGAATCTCGGAGTTGACCTCTGGATGACTGCGCAAGTCGGCAACGGTAACACGTTCTTTCGTCCCGCCGTAAACAAGTCCAGAATCGAACTCTGCAGGTCTTTGCAAGTAGAACTCTCGCAGTTTCTGTGCGAGCTTGAAGCCAACGCCAGGAACTTTACCAATTTCGTGATCGTCCATAAACTTCGTGACGTTGCTGGATTCACCGTCCAGACTGACAAGTGGTGGCATTACCGTCGTTTGGCCTTTGGGCTTGTTGAGATTACCGGCCAATTTTGCTAACAGCTTGGACGTCGCAATACCAACAGTAGAGGTATATCCTCTCTGCTGCTCCAACTGGTGGCGAAGGTACATTGCTACATGACTTCCAAGCCGGAAACGCAACGTAAGGTCGTCCGGGGTTTGATCAGATTCAAACGCATAGTCCTTAGGATATGGATGGCCGGCGATGGCTGTTGCATCAAACGAGAAGCCTACAGTCGGATCATCTTTCGAGATCTGAAAGAATGACTCGTGGAGGTTGTTCCTGTTCAAACAGCTCATGTTCCATTCCACCATGTCCGTGACATCCATCCATACTTCATCAAAACCCAGTCGCTCAATTTTGTCATTCCACGAGAAGCTCTTGATGAAGCCATACAGCTCTTTACTGGCATCTCTGAACCTGCTGATATCCTCTCCCAGCTCGATAATGACCTCAGGACATGTGCGTCTTGCATCTTTAATCAGCTGCAACTTGTGCAGGCCTCGGCGACGTGCTTCATAGTTGCAGGTCACAATGATCTGCTTCTGCTGGACAGCAAATGGCAGGCTTCGCAGGGCTGGATTCTTCGCTTCGAAGACTGAGGCATAGAAACAGTCGTAGTCGAAGTGGATGATTATCCTGTGGTCTTTCCGTGCCGGGACCTTGCGGGCTTCCATCGCGTCTTCATTTTGTCGATGGCTTCAAAAGGGGGTGGTTGAATAGCCGACAGTGACCATCAGCATCAAGACGCGTCGGGTCTTTGCCGGTGAAGGTGGATAGTGTCGTTGTCGAAGTGAAGTCGAATTCGACGTCCATCGCTGCCAAATGCAGGTCGCGCTTCCAACGCACGGACTCACGGACTCAATGTCGCGACTAGAACACGAGCACACGAAAGACACGACGACCACCTCCGTCCGACTCCATCGCACCATCTGCAGAATGCGCGACCACTCGGCCGACCTCCACGGACAACTCGCCCGCTCATGGCAAAATCGATACATGCGTGCAGCAGCTCGTACTCAGTCACTACTTGGCCCGCTCCCAACGTGCTGGGATTATCCAGCCTCCAGATCCTACCTGGCGTCGAGGAATACGATCTCGAAGGCAACGTAAGACGAAGGCAGACATCTCGTCTTTGGCCAAACCACCGCCAAGACCGTCTTCGTACGCTCAGCAAGTACATCGACCGTTTGGTCTGAATCAAGACGCCTGCAACTATGGCTTGCGGCTGCATAACAAGTGCGTATACAGTGGTTAGACTTTAGTCTTGCATCTTATATTCCCTCGAACCAGTATTGCCTATAGCTGCCGGCGTCTCTTTTGGGATGAAACAAAGTACTTCCCCAACCGCCACATGGCATCCTCCGACCCTCGCCGTCGACACGAGGCGGGTCCAGCAGCAACAGTACGAGACGACCTTCCTTCGACTCGAATAGCTGCATTCGTCTCGATCCAGCCACATTGATGTCTCGTCGATTGCTCCGGACATCGCACTACTCACCAAGGCTCGGCCAATCGACGGAATATCAACAGCAATCAATCGTGAGATTGAATAGTATCCGTGATATTATCGTCGGGCCCTGTCAGTTCGCCGGCTGGCTCGCATGCACCTATAAGGCATTTACTCCGGCTCCCTCGCTTTTTTTCGACGACCGTTGCAGCCTTGTGACCCCGAGATGGCAGTCGCCATATTGCCAACGAGTCATGATCGTAACCGAGAGGCGAAACATCTTCGCTACCAGGGCAGTTCTCACAGTCAGCAGCCATTCCCTCATGCCCGCCGCAAACTCGGGTTTTGTTGCAACATGGTCATCAGATCTAATCCTGTCAGCCAACACGTGCCTCATCTGAGAGGCGTCCAACACTTGCGATCCCATGTACAGCATGCTGGAGTGCTTGTGGCTTCAAGGGTGAGCGTTGGACGACGGCAGAGAGCTTGCATCCCCAGGATGGCAGCATCTACATGTCGTCAGCGGCGCCTTCAGAGACGTCGCCAATGCACGCCTCTCGTCAAGACTTTCACTGCAGCAAGTCTTCGAGAGCTGTCCATGCAAAGCGAACGCTGTGCTCCAGACGTAAAGTCTGCTCGCAGTTACACAGAAAGGTTTGAGCAAGCGCTGATCATGTCGTCGGTGCAACGCGGCAAACAGTCGGAGAATGCGCGGTTGGGGCGAGACAACACTGCAAATTGCGTAGGCCGCGACACACTCCCATGTCGACACGCGGCAAGACGGTGGAAGCCGTCGACGAACGCCCTCAGCCTTGAAAATAACCCAAAGCGGTCCGTATGATGGCAAACAGCAACAAACACGCAACAAGTACGGCGCCGTCGGTCGCCGCTTGCGAGTGGCCGGTGCTATGTTTCGCACGCAAGACAACTAAGCCTTGCAAAGGGTTGCGCAGCGATCCATCTGTCGCCTCCGCCGATGCTTCTTCGACCTCCTCGAGAAAGTAGTTGCGACGAGGTAGGACGGCTCTCGGGACAGCTGCAATCATCGACAAAGGACTTGTGCCCGGACGCAAACTCGACAGGATGGAAGATCTGGGAGAAATCGGTCTGGCCCATGCACATCGAGGGCTCGGTAGAGCTTGCCTTTACACCGGCGCCAACCACGCTGGAGGCTAGCCTCCCGGACGCGCCCACAAAAGGCTACTGTACAGTAATTCAAAATAGCGACCGCTGACAAGGGTGTGGTCTAAGCGCCCACCAACGCTTGTCCCATTTGCCACACTATTTCCGTCAGGTTTGGAGGCCTTGGAGGGGAACGTCGATCATTTAGACGTGAGCCTCCCTCTTCGACGACGATTGCGTCCGCCGTCTCAATCACCGCAACAACAATATCGTCGTCCAGCAACACCGCGCTGGGACTGATCTCGCGTCATCCGCCCCATGCGCACGCCCGTGAGCGCTGCCTGCTGATCGGTTTCTTCTATTTCCAGATCTGGCACTACCTTTCCTTAATCAGGCGCCTTGCCGGTCCTTCAATACGAGCTGGAACCCCTCCACACGACTGGGACGCTGCCCCATCCGCGGTACACTTCTACACGAGGCGTGCAGTTGTGCCCTTGACACTTGCCTTGTTCTGCTCGCGGTGGATCTGGTGGAACCTCAGTGGCTGTATCAGAGCGAAGGTCATGCTCACCTATATGCCCTCGACACCTCCACTACCAGTTCACCCGCCCTTGTCCAGCAGCACAATGTCACTTGCCATCCTCCCCTCTGCGCCTATGGCTTATAATCAATCATCTGGTCCGACGCTCCTGGCGCCGTCTCCTTCGCCGGCGAAAAGGCCCAAACTCTCGTTAAACACGGCGAATGTCCCTTCAGTCTTTGGCAAAGGTTCGACCAGTTTAAGGCTGGACACGCTCTCTGCGACATCACCTACAACCCGAAACACCTTCAGCAATGCCTACGACCAAGCACAATCGCGACAGACGGTAAATGCTCGACCATCGAAACCGAGGCTAGCGCCACTTGCTACAGACGTTGCGAACGTCGACGATCAGATTGCACAAGTCGACTGCGAAGATCGAAACGATTCTGCTGCATCTTCATCGTCGACGTGTTCGACCGCCTCGACCGTCGACTTCTCCACAGCAGAAGTTCCCTACCGGGTGCCGTACAACGTCAAGTCGATCTTGGTCAACAGTCCGATAGCTCGGAAACCAGCTCGAATAATATCATTCGCACAATCGAAACCGATGTTTCCCGCCGCAAAGAAGGTCGCCTTTAAGGCTCCTTTGACCGAGGATATCCAGACTACCAAATACACGATGAAGCACTCGGACATTGAATCGTCGACGTCGACCATATCAACCCTCGAGCTTTCGCCATCTGAAAAGACCTCGACCGTTGACGAAGACGATGAAGACGACGAAGATGAGAAGAGTGAAACGGTTGAGGTGGAAAAGAAGGAAGCATCGTCACCACACACCGGCGACAAGCGAGAGTCTTCGGACGAGGAAGACGACAGTGATTCCTGTCCTGCGACTCCCGTGGCTGGACGCAAGAAGCGCCATCGAGACTGGCGATGGACTCTTGACCCTATCGGACCTTCCCAGGATCAACAACAACAGCAACGGGAAGAAACAGACAACGTCGATCAGCAGAGTTCTGGCGTTTGACTCGCGCACGTTTATGCATTGTTGGGACATTTAGTTCTACCCCAGTGAGAGGAATTGTGGAGAGGTCGTTCGAGAGTGTCTATATGAGGAGTTCATTAAGGGACGGGCGTTATCTGTCTTTTGAATGATACCCACTTGCATCGATCACGGACGGGAGAGAATGAGGTTCATGACTATTCTCCGACTTTTGAATTATTAGTAAACGCAATACATACTATCGTTCAGGTATGGCTGTCTCTGGACAGGCTCATTACCATCAGCCACTTATTATCCTTTGTTCATCTTCTTCCCCAACAAGATCATCATGTATTGCTTGACTATCGACAACCTTCAGCGGCTTGGCGTTAAGCTTCTGCATTGACCTGCTCCAATCCTTTCCTTTGTCTCGCTTCCCAAGTCGTCATCTCCACAGATCCACCCCAGCCTCCTTCAACGGCTCGGCAAACTTCACAACGGCTGCACAACATCATGGGTCTTGCGTTTATTAGGCTCACCCAACACACTGGACATCATCCTTGACCATGGCGGGCCTGGCCACTCTACTCGATAAATTCAATCCGAGGATCCCCTTCGGTCGGTGGCAATTGTTCGAGTTCGCGGACCTGTGGATGTGCGTTGTACAGATTGGAATATATAGCATTGAACGATAGTAAAGCTAATGCGGTATATGCAGTATCCCTCCATTCATCAAACACGACCAACAAGACGCCCTCTCCGCGCGCTGGACGAAGAAACTCATAACCCTCCCGCAAGACCACACCCCAGCCGAGCTTCTAGCCGACATCGTAGAAACAACCCTTTCCGACCTCTCCTCATCCTCCCAACAAAGTTCCTCAACCTGGACCGTCGTCGACGTCGGCTCAGGAACCGGCGGACCCCTCCCCATAATCGACAGGCTCGTGAATCATGGCCGGACCGAACTCGGCCAGAACCCGATTCAGTTCCTGCTGTCCGACCTGCACCCTCACCTCGACTCCTGGATGCGGCACGCCTCGCGCTCGGAGACGCTGAGTTTCGTGCCGCAGGCGGTGGATGCGCGGAATCCGCCCTTTTCGGTGATTTCTTCCACCACGGAGGGGGATAAGGAAGCGGCGTATTTGGAGGGGTTGGAGTCGAATGGGACGAAAGTTTTCAGATTGTTCGCCTCGACGTTTCATCATTTCGACGACGAGACGGCGCGGAGGGTGTTGAAGTCTTCGTTGGAGACGAGCGATGGGTTTGCGGTTGTGGAGTTGCAGGAACGGACGATCTTCAGTCTTGTTATGGTTTTGCTGGAGAACTGGTTGCTTTTGCTGATGGCGGTGTTTTGGTTTTGGAATGATCCGGTGCATTTGTTCTTTACGTATTGTGTTCCGGTGTTGCCTGTTACGCAGTGCTTGGATGGGTTGGTCACTTGTCTGAGGATTCGGTCGTTCGATGAGGTCTTACGACTGCTTCCGAAGCAGTACGAATACAGCAGGGACAAGATCGAGACTGAGAAGGATGGCGAGGTGGTAGAGCTTCGTGACTGGCAGTTCGAGCATACACGGGTCTTGCATACCTGGCCATTCGGATACATGAATATCATCGTGGGGACTTGCTCATCGTCAAAAGATGGTATTCGTTGAAAGTATTGGATCTGTAAAGACAGTGGAGCATGCCAAAGCACCCCAGAAGCCTGAACGCCGCATTTTCACAGCACAGTTCTCATACAATACATCTGCAACTCCTGCATCCAATCACTCCTCGACGAAGGAACCACAACTCTAGCATCGAATCTGGACCGAGTTGATATTGCTCAACAACTCCGGATCCTGACACAACCCCCTCTGCGCCCGCGAGAGATCAATAGCAACAGACCCGGCTCCCTCATCACAGCCAACATTGCGGAAAGCAAACAGCCTGCAAGTACTAGCGAAGGCCAAGTTCGATGGTAGACTCTGGAAGATGAGACTGCTGATCTGGCCGTTATCAAAGCGCCCGCAGCTGTCTTCGCCGCTATCAGGAGTGCTGAGTGTGGACCAGTCGCCCGGATTGGTGGCGCCGATGACACCGCCTTGTGGGATTGTTAGGGAGACGAGTTGGACGTTGGGTCGGGAGCCGGATTCCGCGACGGCGGGGTTGCCACAGCGGTTTTGTTGGAAGCCGACGACGTTGATGAGTTGGGTTGCTGGGGTGGTGGGAGATGGGCAGCTTGGGGTTACGGTGGATGTGACCGTTTTCTTTGGCTTCTCGATTGTCGTCGTTGTCGTGATGGTTTTTGTCTTCTTGGTGCATGGCGTCGTTGGCGGTGGTGGGATTGAAGTCGTGGCGGTGCATTTGCTGATGGTGTTCTTGCAGCTCGTGATAGTGGTTGGGACAGGGAAAGAGGAAGTCTGAGTGATTGTGGTTGGGCATTGTGCTCGTTGGCCGTCCTGAGGAGCGGCCAGGACCGCCGAAGCCAGAGCGAGGGAGACGTATGCCTGTGTATGTTAGAGATGTGCCGCCGAGTACAACGCTGGGGACTGACCGAGAAGAGCATTTTTGCGGTTGTATAGTGTTCAAGCGAATGCTTCTAGGTAGATGCTGCTGTGTTGAGCTGGTTGCCTGTCGAATCCAAAGAGAACCGTGAAAACTTCCTACCTTATATGTTCCCTACCTCACGACTCAATTTCCTGCCCATCATGCTTTCATCACGAGAGTAGAACTTCAATTATCGTCCGAGAAGCCACTGCAATAGTTTTCGTGGCACAATGAAGTAACAGAGTACTTGCTGATCCGGGGCTGTCAAGTATCACGCACGCAGCCACCAATCGTCAAATCTCCACGTCACATTCTGAATAGGACATCGCTGGCCATATGCGTTGGAGCAAGGAACGGAGAGGCCGAGAGTCTAGGCGAGAAGCTTGTCAATAGATGGGCGTGGTCATGGAAACTTGCGAAGAGACCCCGTGGGCTGGAGCTGCGTCCGTCCTACTGTGGCACCAGCCGTGGCTCTGGAGATGTCGCAAAGGGTTAGGCTGGAGATGCGCTGTGAGGAGCTCTCAAGTGCCTTCTGATTCAAGATTGCCATTTGGTGGAAGGCGATCTCGGGAGTGACAAGCCATCTGAATGTCCAATTTTAGGATGTCCTGATGTACCCTTCTACAATTGCCTGATCGTCGGTCATGCAAGTGGAAAAATTCGCTTGTGGCGCTCACTCTGTCTCTATGGTCGTTTTTAGCACGTGAGCAAGGTGATTCTGGCATGCTTGCCATAGGGTTTGGTTCCTCGAAACTGGGTGCCTGAAAGCACCAGTAGCATGGGGATGGCGAAGAAGATGAGATTTCGACGAAGTTGACCAGGGCTCATAGCACAGTCCCATGTGGCCACTCGTGCCTGAACGTGGTCAGAGTCGCAGTACGTCCGCTCTGTCCTACTCGGACTCGTGTAAGGCGTCCAAGCAGCTGTACCAATAGAGCAATCGGAATCAGAGATTGAGTCAAGGCACTAGGCCCAAGGACTCTGTGACCTGGCGAGTGTGCTGTAAGATGAAGCCGAGGAGTACCGCAGGAGGCCATCGAGTGCCCTTCCCGACTGTTACGCACTCACAAGTGCAGTTTCGTTGAGCTGCATGGTTCGATTGACTCACAAGACGCGAACGCGATGGACCTGATCCAGGCTGGCTCTTTTGTTGCTGATATTCAAGGCATGCGTGATCTGACTACCTTTTTCCCAGATGCGCAAGTGCAGTTCAGGTGTCAGGCCTTGTGAGGTTTGCTGATCGCAGGATCCTCAAGTGTCGGAAGTCTTGCTGCTGGCACGAGTGGTAGATAGCTATCATCATGGTCGGCGGCAAGAGGGTCATCTCGTATTCGCGGCGATGTGCCTTTTGTTTCCCAAGTGCTGGTCTTCCAAGTAATGTTTCTTTCGGTGCATAGAGCGTAGCGCTGAATCCAAGCCTTGGCGATCTTCACATTGGAGACTTGTTCTTCGAAGTTCTTGCGGATACATCCAGTCCGTTAAGAAATATACATCCATATACTAGTATCGATACAGTCAATCTGCATGATTGAGTTGATGTTGGAGAAAGAATGCAGGAACAGAGGTGAAGTCGCGGAAAGAGTGGATCCCCGATCCAAGAGGCACCTGACCGCAGCGCTCCGCTTTCGACGACTGCTGTCATGCAGCTTGATCAACACGTTTCCAAGATCCACTGGCACGACTGGGCACCGCGTCCCGCATGCCGTCATTGCCTCCTTTCGCTATGAATCGGCAATCAGATCTTTGCAACGCTCGTGGCGAGGCTGAACGGCGTGTGAAGGGAGAGTTGAGCTGATGACGACGCTCGGGTTTTGTTTACACAAGTCGTGAGCTCAGGTAACTTTGCATACGCAGGACTCGGCGCGTACCGAACGACAGGCAGGTGACCATTGTATTCGTCAACTCGACTTCCTCTTTGAATCACACTTGTTTAAGCACAGCATGTCTGGAAATGGCACCAAAGACCTGGCCAAAGGCGCCCCAGACCCAGGGAAAGCGTCTACGCCCGGAGAACGTCAGCAGATGTTGGAGGCTGTCGCCGCCTCTCAAAAGATTGCAAAAGCACGGGAGTATGCCCAAAGTCTACGAGACAAGGCTGCGAAGGCCAGGGATCCGAAAGAGAGGGAGAAGTTCTTCCGCGAGGCGTATGCCAAAGAGGTCGAGGCACATGGGGAACAGAGCAAGCTCTCACGACGCATGCAGTCGGGGACATGGCAAGGCATGTTTGGGGGAGGCGGTATAGGTCTAGGAACCGGACTTGGTTTGGGCGCAGTGGTTGGCACCTTGGTTGGCACGATTGTCTCTGTGCCGACTACAGCACTGGGGACACTTATTGGAGCTGGCGTTGGAGCGATACACGGACCTTGGATCACTATTGGCGGTATCAAGAAGAAGTGGACCGAAGCCTCGCCCGAGGAAGTAGTCGACTACTATCAAGCAGAAGAAGGAAAGGCTGAGGCTGCACAGCAACAAGCAGGTATGGCTGCTGAGGGTGGTGGTGACCAGCCTCTGCCTCACGCAGAGCCTACTGGGACCGCTGTCAAGAGAAAGCCCCGCAAGTTGGAAGTGAGGTCGAAAGCAGTTGCAACAGGGTCTGCTCCTGCTATAGAAGAAGCCCCTACTACCACCGAAGTTCAGAGGCGGAAGCCGAGGAAACTCGACTCCAGGTCTCAATCGAGAGATGCAGGTCTTCAGAGAAGTCGAAGCAGCTATGGGAAGGAGAATCTAGGCGAGCTACCTCCGACCAAAGAGGCTGAGGATAGTGGCTATGCTGAAGATGGATGATCGCTAAAACGTATCTCCCGAGGTTCTTGCACGCAGACCGATTGGAAATCGTTGTCTGTCCACGGCCTTCACATTGAGTCACGCAGAGAAGCACCGACTTGCAAGGCTGCCGAACGGTCAGGTATGAGCTGTGGCGATGCCCACAGTCTCGCGTGTGCCCAGCCTCATCGACTTCACGAGGCGCCTCTCACCCTTCCGTGCAACCTCAGCTCAGTCGTGCTCTGGAGAACAGAGGTTGGGCGAACAATTGCAAGCTGGGAGTGGGCCCCGGATCCAAACGTCCCGACTTCCATGGAGGATCTTCGAAGTGCAAACAGAATCTCGCAAGAACTGCTCTCGAAGCGTCCGGTCCTGTCGATCGAGCGGCCATGGTACGGTCTGAAGCTACATCAAGACCTTCACATAGAAGAGAAGGCCTTAGCAGTATTGATGTATCAAAGATTGTTGTCCACGTCAAAATCGCGATATGTGTTTGTGCGGCATTGGGAAATGTATATCTGGTTGTCTATTTTGATCTCGGATCTCCTCTCTATGCCGAAGGATGATGATCGCAACCGACTCGGCTCCGACCCACTCAAACGGAAGCCCAGCCTGAAAGCCCGACCACACAGCAATGTCTGTTCCTGTAAACCACGTCAGCGGTTCTCCAACCACTGCAGGCATTTGATTGTGAAACGCAGCAAGGCGAATGCTTGCGTGCAGCGGACTCCTGGGAATAGAATTACTGGTCAGCATGGAACAACGCAGCCACCATCGGCAATGCATCCACCACTTCACATGCAGATGGCTTGCTCCCGCCTCCTTGATTGACTAGTTGTCTTTCGCACATTGTTGCTTATTAGCTGCTTAGATTCACGCTTTCTCTTGTTCGACGCGTATACCTCACTCCTCTCGGTCTTTTAGCAACGACCCGAAATCCATCCTAGATCGTAGAGTCAAAAGAGCAGGGCACCCTCGACATTCGCTACCCTCTTCTCAGATCTTCAACGACAGGCCTTCGATACTACTACCAACATGACGCTCACTACTACTGCCGCATTGCTTGCTTGTGCTACAGCAGCATACGCACAAGGCTTTGGCGGCTACGGTGGTAACAATCCATATTCCAATGGCGGCGACAGCAGCAACGACAACGATGGAGACAACAACAATCCATTCAGCGGCGGCAACTCCGGCTTCAGCTTTGGCGGCTTCAACCTCTCCCACTACCACACGGTCGTGATAGCCCACGCTGTCCTGGCATGTCTGGCGTTCGCATTTCTATTCCCAGTTGGCGGAATCATGATCAGGCTTGCATCGTTCAGAGGGCTCTGGTTCGTCCATGGAATCTTCCAAATTGTTGCGTATATTTTCTATATCGCAGCGTTTGGCCTTGGAATCTATGTACGTACTCTAGACAACAAATTTGGACGGCGCCGGCGAGTACTAACATAACTAGATGATCAACTCAAGTCCATTCGAGAACATGATCGACAACGCTCACCCGATCATCGGGATTGTCCTCTTTGTCGCGCTCTTCTTCCAGCCGTTCCTCGGAACCCTCCACCACCTGTTCTTCAAGAAGCATAGCAGACGTGGATCCTTCAGCTACGCCCACATCTGGCTCGGTCGAATTCTAATCACATTGGGCATCATCAACGGAGGGCTTGGTCTACAATTTGCGCAGCGTTTCAGGCTTGCACCGCCCACTACTGGTGCCATCATTGGCTACGGTGTCGTTGCTGGATTGATTTGGTTGATTTATGTGATCTCTGCATTTGTTGGCGAGCGACGACGGCACTCTACGAGAGAGCTTTCTCCTCCACCTTACAAGGAGGAATACAAACCACGACAGTACGCGTAGATATCGACAGGTTCACTCAGATATTGATTTTAGCCAATACCAATCTGCTTATTATTCAATCTTGCATTTCATGGCCATCAAAGTCAATGCCTGAGGCACAAAATTTCGTCTCCACACCAGAATCTGGAGAAAGCAGGCCTGTCAAAGCCGCCTGTTGAATCCCGAGGCATGTGATAGTGCCACGATTTCCCCGTTGCATGTGACGATCTTCCTCCCAACACACCCCGACTTTCACTCCACGACCGCCAAACAAACGTAGTCTGACATATGTATCACCTACCTTTCATCGCTCCCAGCTAGCCGTCCAAAATGGCCGTCCAATCCACCCCCACCCCGGTCCCCATCTCCAACCGCTCCCTCAAACAGCTCTTATCCGATCTCACCTCGCTCTACGTCAAGAACCGCACGCGCATCTCCCGAACCATCTACGTCGCCCTCGCGCTCGCCTTGATCCATCGAATCCGCGGCGCGATCAAAGAGCAGAAAGCCGCCGCGGCCACAGCTGCCGAGAACCGGCGCAAAGGCCTCGGTGGGAAAGAGGATGGCAAGAAGAAGGCGGAGCTGAATATCGAGTTCTTCAGGAACTTGGGACGACTGTTGAGGATATGTATCCCGAGCTGGAAGAGCAAGGAGGCGAGGCTTTTGGGGAGTCATTCAGTGTTCCTGGTGTTGAGGACGTTGATTAGCTTGTATGTTGCGGAGCTGGACGGACGGCTCGTCAGTGCGCTGGTGAGAGGGAAGGGGAAGGAATTCATGAAGGGGTTGGTATGGTGGATGCTTGTTGCCGTGCCTGCGACGTTCACGAATTCCATGGTGAGGCTGAAGGGCTTCATAGATGCGAAGTCTATCGTTGCTAATCCCTGTGCTAGCTCGCGTACCATCAGACGACGCTGTCTCTGGCGTATCGATCACGACTTACGAACCATATCCATAATCAATACTTGGGGAATTTGACATTCTACACGCTCTCGGCTCTGGACGACCGGATCAAGAATGCGGATCAGCTTATCACGGTGGATGTTACCAAGTTCTCGAACAGCCTTGCCGAGCTGTACTCCAGCCTCTCAAAACCTGTCTTGGATCTACTGATATACAACTGGAGTCTGTCGAGGAGTGTTGGAGGCGAGGGCTTGTTTGGCATGAGCTTGGTCGTGCAGATGAGCGCGGTCTTGATGAGAGCATTGACTCCGCCATTCGGGAAATACGTGGCAGAAGAGGCGAGACTGGAAGGAGAGTTCAGAGCATCTCATTCCAGACTTATCGACTTCAGCGAAGAGATTGCGCTTTATGATGGACATGAGGCCGAGAAGGACACAGTCGACAAGGGGTACTTCACGTTGATCAAGCATGTCAACCGCATTCTGAGGAGACGGCTGTATCATGGAATCATGGAAGAGTTTGTCGTGAAATACTTCTGGGGCGCGCTTGGACTGCTTCTGTGCTCTGTGCCGGTATTCTTCAAACTCCCAGGAGCACTGCCAGGAAGCACTAGCACAGGTGACCGGACTGAAGCCTTCGTCACCAATAGACGACTCCTGATGTCGAGCAGCGACGCATTTGGCCGTCTCATGTTCTCCTACAAGGAGATCTCGGAACTGGCCGGCTACACGAGCAGAGTCAGCATGCTCATGGACGTGATTGCCGATATCCAGCGAGGCCACTTCGAGAAGGCTCTGGTGTCGTCAGCTTCGACTGAAGCCAACGCGGCAGTGCTCGCCGGTCGGGGAGAGCTGGAAGAGGGCGAGGACATCAAATTCGAAGGCGTGCCGATTGTCTCACCAAATGGTGACGTCCTGGTCAAAGCGCTGTCGTTCCACATCGGACGAGGCGATCACTTGCTTATCGTCGGACCAAATGGATGTGGTAAGAGCTCATTGTTCCGGATTCTTGGTGGTCTCTGGCCTGTCTATGGCGGGAAGGTTCGCAAGCCACCCAGCGAAGACATCTTTTACATCCCACAAAGACCGTACCTGAGTAAGGGCACGCTTCGGCAACAGATCTTGTATCCTGACAATCTGTTGGATATGCGCGCCAAAGGCATCACGGACCAGGATCTGATCAGCATTATGAGCACACTTGGGCTCGACCCATTGTTGGAGCAAGTGGGTAATAAGACATCGACGGTCGATCCTAGTGCACCGAGCAGCCCCGTGGATGCTCGCCCTGCAAAATCATCTGCCGATCAAGGAGCCCTCGATGCAGAACACGAATGGGCAGATGCGTTGAGCACTGGGTTTCAGCAGAGAATCGCAGCCGCCCGACTATTCTACCACAGACCCAAGTACGCCATTCTGGACGAGTGCACGTCGTCCTTGACGCCAGAGGTAGAAAAGACCATGTACGATGAGGCGAAACGTCTGGGTATCACCTTGATGACTGTTTCCCACCGACGCTCCTTGTGGAGGTACCACGGCTGGATCCTGCAGTTCGATGGACAGGGTGGATATGTCTTCACTCAGCTGGATGCAGAGACTAGGCTGCAGCTGGAGGATGAGAAGGATGAGCTGGATCTTCAGTTGAGAGCGGTGCCTGAATGGGAGAAGCGTATTGCTGAGCTCGAGGCTGGTGAGCGCGAGTGAGGTGACTTCAAAATGGGGAGCCTGCCAATCATGACGGTACGCCCAACCAGGACAAGAGGTCCAGGACCGAAGCCTGTTCCATGGGCTTGTTTTCGCCCTGTTGTGCTGGCAAGACCAACGAACGGCTGAGGCTGGGGTCGAGTCAAAATCTCCGGTGCAACCAAAGGGCTTCGAACACGAAGTCAGCACATGAAAATCGCAGTCTGCGTACCTGCAGATAGATGAGGCGAACGTGACTTCGAAAGAGCGTGGCAAAACAATGCAGAGAGTGGGTGTGGTTGCTCTCAACGTGAGGCGAGCGGCGGGTAGGGCGGCCTTAGCTCGAGCTGGTGAGGCGCAGCGAAAGCGTGGGTCACGATGCTATTCGCGCTTGTGCGATATTATGGGTGGCGACGATGAAGCGAGACTGGTGGTTCGCGCAAGGCAACGATGTGATGAGCAAACATATATAAATACTAAAGTAGACAGAAGTGAGTAGGATGCAAAGAAGCAGCATTAGTCTCGTCGGCTCTTTCCCTTGATGCCTCAGGCACTTCTTGCGTAGGCGGCCTCCCAGCCCCCTTTTCTTCGCTCCCCGCTCCTCGACTCATGGTCAACCTCCACCGAACAGGGATATGGTCGACTGCACCTCTGCATCTCGGAAGACAGAGCCGTGAATGAGATCTGAAACAATCTGGGTATATTACTAACGCCGGACTCAGTGCTGGGACGTCGACCCTCTTGGATCTGCTCCCATTTCTTGGACCTGGAAGGCTGTGGGATAATATCGTTCTCCTGGCATCAGACCGGACACCGCCAGGAACGGAACTTGGATATCTTTGAATGCGACATGAGGATTCGGTCAGCCTTCCTCGATAAGATGGCCACGATCTCAGCAACGGCTAACAGGACGGCCATTGACGGAACCAAGGCTAAGAGGATCTTCCCCCTCGACCACCACCACCCCGTTCACGACGTCGGTCTCGAGAGCTGCTTGCTGACTCCAGATATGCCTCTCCGCTAAGAACGCCCCTCGTTAAGAGTTCCTTCGTCTGTGCCGTATTGATGGCCTTAATCCTCCAGAGATGCTCCACCAACCGGCGGTCAGGGCGTTTCGAAACATTTATACTGCCACCAGCGGAGTGACAGGTCCAGATATGCGCCCAACGATGTCTCCAGGCCTCGTCACCGGAAGCACATTCCTTGGACCACTGACATCCAAGGAACGGACATTCAACATGCTTCGGCAAGTTTCCAATACCAAGAAAATGGCTTTGGCAGTGGGAATCCCAATCCTCCATATTATCCAACCTTTCATTGCATCGCAGGAACCAATATGGACATTGCCATGTTTCAGCGTCTGGCCTCAGGAGGACTCCATCGTCTCCCTCGTCAAGGCGGCCAGGAGCCTGGTAACGGCTGAGTGCTGAACTTCCGCCACTTGTTCTCAGGGTAGGGCCACTGGATACTGTTGTCGCCGAACGTCCCGCCAGCGAGGGTGCGTATGAAGACAAGCTGTACTGACTCTGGTTGATTGCCACAGCCATGGACGACGAAGCATTGGAAACCGGCCCACCACGATAATTCTGCACGTTCCTCGGCTCTCCTGGAAGATAATACCGTTCTACAGCGAAGCGTTGATGGAAGTCCTGGATATCATCACCGTGCCAGTTCTCGTCCGCGATTATGGGCTGTGTTGGACGGTTTCGCAGAGCCGCAAAGCTCGACGCCACAGTGTCGTTTGATGTGCTGTCCATCTGCATGCGCGGCCGACCGGAATAGGTACTGCCCGAACCGCCGTCGCTCTCGGCCATACCGCAATGCTACTGTGAATAATGGAAGGATCTTTAAATCTTTGGAGAGAGTTTCAAGAGAATCCTGCTGGATCAGCCTTGGAGAAAACAATAGATCTTGAGGACGGACTTCGCACGGCTCTATATCTATACGGCGCGACAAGCAACAATGTGTCAGAGACAGCATCGAACACCTTCGACCAATGACAACGCACAGGAAGGAGCAGATGATCACTTTTCCAAGGTCTATCTGGGGATGGGTGGTGATGGGGGGTGGAGGACGCAGAGCAGGATGTTCACAACGGTGAGTGATCGGTCAGCCCGTGCCCGCTGGACACACGCCTGGCGTTTATCACCGCTCCTGTAGCGCGCCACGGACGACGCCAGAGGCTATCCAAAGTCCTGGATCTCATGTTCAGTGGCAGGCAACAGTATCCACACAGCGAACGAGAGGCGGACACGAATGGCGGTTGTCAATTGCATATAACCTTACAGGTGGGTCTCCTGGATGGTGTACGCCTGGACGATCGGCTGCACGTCAATATGCTATTTCACGAGAGGGCGCCGATGATACGATGTGCTCGCGAGTAGCAAGCGCCCGGCAAAGGCCCTCTATGTTGCGCTGATCACTGAGGCTCATGATACCAGATGAGCGGCACAGCAGCGACGCACGGCAATGGCGACGCTCACGGGACTCCAGGTACGGGAACACTACAAAGATACACACAAGCACGCCCGACAAGCAGGACTGTTTGGAGACCTGCAGCATGCTCGCGCTGGTTGCTGGTTGATGAACTAACCAGGGGATCCCCGAACGGCAGCAGCGAAGCGTTCATTGACGATGGGTCCGGCGACAGCGATGACTCTTCCACTCACATCCAAACGAAAGAGGGAGAACGAAACCAAGATCTTGTGGACCTACCCGAACCCGCCATGCAATCGACTTGACTCGCCTCGAGCTGGATCCCTATTCGCCTATCCGCCAGACCGGTGAACTGCAAGATGCCGCACATCCCGAATGCATGGCATGCAGCTTCTGGGCTTTGTCGCTATAGGTGCCGATATGACGTTTCTACGCGCATCGGTAGGCGAGTAGTCACAAGGAGCAGGCGCTCGCAAGGGAAGAGGGGCCTGAGGGCCTCCCCGCTGCAGAGCCTCATTTTTCAGGACTATCGCTGCTCCCTGCGTCTGAGCAGCAGCTTGTGCTGAGCTTCTCTCTGCCCAGCTTTAACGCCCAAGACCCGCCGAACAACTTGAGGAGAAGGAGAACTCTCCGGGAAATCAGATGAATCACTGGAATGGACCACACAATCACTTGAATGTTTAGCTCGTCGAATCGTTGGCATTGCAAGCATGCAGAAGGTCAAACTCGCGACGATGGCCACCGTCGACTGACTGACTACAAGGTAAGTCCTCGAGCAATCAAATTACCATCGTAGGGAAATCAGTATCAGGACTCTCATTTCGTTCACCTCTTATCAGTTTCAAAAGATCATGCATTCCGTCGACCGTAACACACCCTCACAGGCAACCACGTCCGCAGTCCATCCTCCCGCATCTCCTTGGTGATACCATCCACCCATCTCTGATACTCCTCCACACTCCACCCCAAAATTTTCGTATGCAGCGTCTCCCCAAATCCATACATTCCCTGCAACAGGTTCTGCTGGCCCATCCTTCCCAGCGCCTGATTCTCCTCATCCTCCATCCACGGCCCCGTCAACATGCGGAACTCCGCCTCCTGGACATCCTGCAAAGCGGCGTTCTTCATGAGATCTGGCATGTCGTTCATGATCTGCAGGTTGAGCTTGATTTTAGAGCCCACTGAGATCATGGAATTGCTCCAGGCGATGAATTTCGACGTCGCTGCGTCTTTCTCGTCGAGGCTTTTGCACGGCATGCAGAATTCTTGGATCTCGACACTTCCGCCTGGTAAGAGGTGTTCGTGGCATCTCTTCAGTAGGGCGTGCCAGTCTCGAACACCAATCACGATAAACCGGGCGTGGATATAATCGAACTCTCCCAAACCAGACCAGGTCTCCTCCGCTTCGAGATCGGTTGTTTCGCGAAGTCGATGGCCCAGTTTCCGGTCCCGCAGCCGATGTCCAGGACTCGCAAAGGTTTGGATGTGTCGAGTGGTGCGCGGTGGATCCTTGAAATGTGCGGGTTAGGAGAATGTGTTGGAAGTCGAGACGGTCGGATTCGGCGGCGTTGTTGGGCAGGACGTATTCGCGGAATTGGGCGTGGGTGGCCATCTTGTTCCGCTGGAGCTCTTCTTTAAGGAGCGGGTGCGAGAAATCATGTCGCACAAGCTTCTCTTATATACAGGAAGGAGCTGAGATGGCTTAAACGGTAGGAAGTCTTGCTTACAGAGTCACACTTCGGTAATTGGACTTACTCTGGGTGAAGTGCACAGGGCCGGATTTTCATGCCACAAGAAGCCAATCACTGTACCTGCTACAAAGAGTGTTTGTGCGGATACCCTGATGCCGTATTATTGTAGGGCTTCGCGAGCAGGTGGTGCTGATTCGGGCAATATTTAGTAAGGGAAGCTCGGCTTTTGATCGTCGTGGAGTAAAACGTGCGAGCTGTGCGAGCCTTGAACGTGCTGTGTTGCGCTCTTTACTACTCTGGTGGTGGTTTCCATGGAAGGTCCGTGAGATCTAATGAGCTGGATCGGTTGTAGGGCTTACATAGGTTTTGGAGGAGACTGCCGACGATGCGACGTCTTCATATTTTCGCCTTCGTTCTTCCTGTCTGATCCATCTTCAGGGCTGCAGAATTCCGCGTATGCAGTTGGAACAGAATCCTATGGCCAGCAAAGGCGAGTACGGTATCGATTCCACTTCATAGGATCCAGGATCTCGGCCGATGTCAGAGAGACAGTCCGCGAAGAGGAGGAAAGTCCGGAGGAGCAAGCGCGTCGTAATCCCTGGACAAGACGTGTTGGCGAGTCCGAGGAGGACTTCTTCGAGGCAAGAGCATGAGAGAATAGAACGAAATTTACGAATGTTTCTCTTCTCGCAGGGCACGGTGGCTCCAGAGTTGAACTCGAAGTGAGAGAAAATGAACGGAAACGTTGAGATGCAACGTAGAAGCAACTTGCCAACCATATCGACGTAGTGAGCCAGGGACCGAGTATTCTGGAGAGTACGCCATATATATTGAGGGATAGTAGAGGGTATGTTCAGGAACAGGCGTAGATTGCGCGACGTGGACGTAAAGTAGATGTTGAGGTATTGACTTGGCTCGTTCACACAGGGCGCGCCTGGATTGCGGAGAGCGACATGCACTGTCGGCAGGTCGGCAAGAAGGATAACTAGCATTCTGAAGTGATGCCGCAGCAGTCGTCGTTCTCGGATATTGGCGGCGATCACGTGATGTTTTGCTCTTGTTTACAGCGGTCAAGGAGGTCCGTTTACGCTATGGCCCGTTCCGAGAAGCTGGCAGCGCGCACAAGCCAGACCCGCCGTCGCTCGCTGCTTTGACATGTGACAGATCGTTGAACTCGACACCACCACGCCCACCGTCAACGACACCCCGTCCGCCCACCGCCCGCCCGCCCGCCAGAATCCGCCATACCATGGACGCATTCTCGCTGTTCGTGTAATACTAATCCGGTATTTGCAGAAAACCTCAGGCATTGCTACCCGCCGCCCTCACCGTCCGCCTGGCGGATTCGATTTCTCCACTTCACTCAGCGGCGGCGACGGCCTTGCTGCCGTTCACCAAGAGCCATAGGAAGCCGAAATAAGCATACCGGCTCGAAGCCATTGTCGAAATCGACCCACAGTGAAAGACCGCAGTTTATCTGCGCCGCTGTGCTCCAGCCGCCTTCCTCTCCACTACAAGACACACCACCACCAGACCATGATCCTTCTCCTCGACCAATCCAGTCAACAATCACTACCCATCTACGAATAGTCCGCTGCCCTCAATAGCAGCATGCGCACGCAGCAGGAGGAGGAGACACACCAAGACGACGAGCATCAGGAGTCTTCTCAACACCCTCATCAAGAGCAAGCCCATTTTGGCGATATGGCATTGGTCTTGGACCAACACCTTCCGCAGAGCTTGGAACCTGGCTTCGGCTTAGGAGGTCAGTACATCGTGGAAGGGTATATCTCTCCACAATTGCTGACGGCGTATACTCCAGAGTTCCAATACGGCGACCCTGGCGATCTGGGAACACCGCCTTCTGGGCCACCGGTGTTGACCCACTCAGACCAGTCCCTCCTCAGTAGCTTCTTCAACGACCCCAATGGTATCACGTCGAACCTCATTCCCTACGATACCGGCCTGCCGCAGGGCCACGAGGCTGCGAATAGCGGCTTCATGTACCAATTCGGCAATGGCAGCGGCTCTGCGCTAGGCTCACTTCACCACAAGTCGCACGTAAACGGCAGCAACGTGCAGATCGGCCACACTGAGCATTGGAATCAGCCGCCGGCACAGCAGCACATGAACGCCGACGATATCTCGGCTGCTTCTACGATTCACAACTTGAAGGCGCCAACGCCGACTCCAAACTACTCCGGCCTTCATGTCCCTGGTATCAGCGCATCATGGGGCAACTTTGCCATGCCAACTCCGATACAGAACTCGGCTCATATTCCAAGCGTGCCAGGCCAGGCTCAATTGCGCGCTGTGCCTACGCAGACACGTCATCACTCCTTCACTTATCCAAGTCAGCCTATTTTCAGCCACAATCACATGTACCCGCCGCAGCCGCCTCCAAGTGAAGCAGCGCACGGATCACAAACGCGACCTCGTCACATGTCTTATGGCGAGCAACCTCTTCATCAATGGTCTGACTTCCAACAACAACAATACCAGTCTGGCCACGGTATGAGCTTTGGCACCGACACTTCATTTACCGGCGGCGGTTTTCAATCCGCTACTCCTACTCAGGCTCACCACGAAGACAAGGAAGGCAATCTACTCAACGTGCCAGGTGCAGAGCAAGCAGCAACGCGCCCACAAGCACATCGCACAATGAGTGACCAGCAGCAGAACGGCTCTCAGGGCCAAGACAACTCGAGACCTCCTACCAACGGCGGCTCAGGTGCCTCTCAATGGGGCAACATGACCTCATCGACGAGGAAGCAAGATGAAGGCGAGTTTGCTGAGCCACGCGACCGCAAGCGTCGCAAGAGCCAAATGGAGGGACCAGGCGAAGCGCAGTTCACATCATATCAAGGTCGGGGTGTAGAAGACGTGGGCAGCATGGAGTCGCCACACAAGCGTCGCAAGTCATCCACCATGCCGGGACTCCCAGACTCGCCGGAGGAGTTTGACCGGAATGGTCGGAGCAAAAAGAAGAATCGCGAGACTCTTACTGATGCCGAGAAGCGGCAGCATCACATCGAGTCGGAGAAGAAGCGGAGAGAGCTGATTGCCGGAGGCTACAAAGACCTCGAGGGCATGGTGCCTTGCTTGCAGCCAGGAAAGTCGGGTCTGTCGCGTTCAGAGGTCCTCCAAGAGATAGCATCTTATCTGGAGACCCTGAAAGTGGGCAACATTAGGCTTGCCCAGGCGCTGCAGACTTATGGACTGGACATCACTGCCGAGCATCCATACGCACCACAGATCAAGACCGAGGAAGGTGTCGTCAACCATGTCTTTAGTACTTGAAGTGCAGTCTCGTTTTGACCGACGATTTTCGCACTTTCAGGAAATCTCCAACCAAGAGATGGACAGGACACCCTCATCGATTTCACACCCTCACCAACTTCACCGACTCGCTCATCGACTCCACCACCACACCACCTCATCAACTCCTTATGCTCATCGACTCCACTACCTCACCGACTTAACACCTGCTACGACGAAATCTGCCGAGTAGGAGGAATGTCTGAACATATCCCAAAGAGACAGCTACACCAGTAGCTGTGCTCACACGGTACATACACCTACCTCCTTTCGACTTTGTCACTTGACACTATACCCCCGGACCCGAATGCGATAGATGAGAACGACATGATGCTTTCAAGACAGACCAGCCGGCTTACGGCGTTGGGAGGATATACCAGGACTGCTGCTTTGTGTTTCCTCTTTTTCTTTTTTCTCGACACTTGAGTTGGAATGCGTTGGAGCGGAGATATAATGGCAAGGGAAGGGAAGGAAGACAAGCTGGAACTTCTTTTGTTACGGCATGGCGAACGCCCGACTGGAACCACGACGATCTGCGACGACCATTCCGACCACCGACGACTACGACTTCACATACTGCTCTTGGCTTTTTGGGGGAGGAGGGATGATGTGGATACTTCATTTGGAGACTGTGAGGAGCATCATCGCCCAAGTGCACTTTGGCTGCGGATTCATCAATTTGCGGCTTCGGCCAAGGGCTTGACGAAGCACCCCCGGTCGTCCCTTTTGTATCTTGCGCCTTCTGACCTTACAAAGGCTTACTCTTCGTGTACTTAAACTTCTGATCCACTTTCGATAGCGAAAGGGGGATAAAAGCTTGTTGAAACTACTTTCACGTCACGGGGTGTTATTACAGGATTTCACGTACTATTGTGCCGTTGTTGATTCTGATTCTTCGGCATCCTTCGATCTCCTTTCAGGGGTTGCAGAATTGCTACTCAGAAGTCCAAGGAAAATCATTCCGTGAAATTCGAACATCGCAGTATGTCATCGTGGCGTTTGATTTATCACGACTGTGCCATTCTCAAGCTCGACTCCATCATCCTCTGATCTCTCCTGCAGATTCCTCAAAACCGCAAAGTAATACACCACCCCAAACACAGCACCACCCAAATGCGCCGCATAGCCCACGCGAGGCCTCTGCTGACTCCAAGACCTACTAGTACTGCCACTAGCTTTGAAAACCTCATCCAACCTCAACAACCCCATCACATCGCCCAAGACCTGCATGCCCGAGAGAACCCACACGGGCGCGCTGAAATCGACAACTGGGATGCCCAACCTCGCGTTCGGGGCAGCGACAGCGGCGAGGGCGGCGAACGCGGAGACGATGCCGCTGGCGCCCATGGCGGTTCTGCGATCACCGAAAGCGCCGCCTAGGGGGTGACTGCGGAGGCGCCACTCGAGGAGCTGGGCGGCGCTGGCGAGGATGCTGGCGCCGAGGGTTATGGCGCCGACGTGCAGGGCGGACATGCCGGGGATCCGCGCGCAGAGGGGGGAGTACGCGAGGAGAGCGAGCATGTTGCCTAGCAGGTGGTCTGGGCGTTCGTGCAGGAAGCCGGAGGTGAGCCACGTCCATAGGGGGCTTGTCGAGGAGAGGCCGAGCCGTTTCGTCCAGAGCAGAGTTTCCTCTGCGCCTAGGGATTTGGAGCGCGTGGTGATGATGCGTTGTTTCCAGTTCCAGCGTTCGAGGGTCGGGGAGGTCCAGCGGCCGAGGAGGGAGGATTTGGACCAGGTTTCGTAGCTTTGGATTGCTTTGAGGGTGGCGCGGGATTTGATGAGGGTGTAGTTGATGAAGGCGGGGAGGTTCAGGAGGGCTATTGCTTTGAAGGCGAGGTTTGAGTGGGGATCGGGTTTTTGTTGTTCGAATTCATTGCGCTGAGAGATTGATTGAGGATTTGACTCTGTGTGAGTATTTTCTGTTTCGCTAACTTTCCGCCTGTGAATCCATCGGCTGATCTGGGTGTATTGAATGGGGGCGAAGTCCATGTTTGATGGGATGAGGTTGGTAGTTGATTAAAAGCTGAACGACGTTTTATTTCCATCGCCAACGCTGTTCTTTTTCGTTGAAGCTCACACGATGGAGAGCATTTTCCGACAACAATGATGAGACATGAAGTATCACATGTTGTCATGACAGCGGAAGTGAAGTCGAGACCAACAAGTTCCCCTGCCAAGCACTGTCCAGGAACCGGAGGGACACACCCCACTTGACCCCACATCAACGCAGAGCAACTGATAAGAAGCAGATGAGAACTTGCTCATGGTTTTGTAACTGCAGCACAAGATGGCACACTCACACGACGGTCACTCGCACTCCCATGAAGGTACAGCCGACCATGGCCATAGCCATGAGATCCTCGACGGGCCAGGATCGTTTCTGGGTCGCGAAATGCCCATCATCGAAGGTCGTGACTGGAAAGAGAGAGCTTTCACCATAGGTATTGGTGGGTATGTCCTGAGAAAGATCCGATTCTGTGATCATGTTGGGATCAGACTTACTCACATCCGGCATGCAGACCAGTCGGCTCCGGCAAGACCGCCCTGATGCTCGCTCTATGTCTTGCACTTCGTGACAAGTACAACATCGCTGCTGTGACCAACGACATCTTCACGAGAGAAGACTGCGAGTTCCTCACCAAACACAAAGCTCTACCGGCAGAGCGGATCCGAGCGATAGAAACAGGTGGCTGCCCGCATGCTGCAGTGCGAGAGGATATCTCTGCCAACTTGGCGGCTCTGATCGATCTGCATAAAGAGTTTAACACCGAGATTTTGCTCATTGAGAGTGGCGGTGACAACTTGGCTGCCAACTACTCTCGAGAGTTGGCAGACTACATCATCTACGTGATCGATGTCAGCGGAGGTGATAAGATTCCACGGAAGGGCGGTCCGGGCATCACGCAGAGCGATCTCTTGATCGTGAACAAAACGGACCTGGCAGAGCTCATTGGCGCGGACCTGAATGTCATGGACCGAGATGCAAGAAAGATCCGGTGAGTTGCGTTGCTTCCTGCAAGAGCGTTGCCTGGCTGACCGTCGTCGGGTAGTGAGGGCGGACCAACGATTTTTGCGCAGGTCAAAAACGGGAAAGGAATGGACCACATTGTAGACCTCATCCTGAGTGCCTGGAGAAGCAGTGGAGCAGCAGCGGCGAGTGGCAGATCGAATGGATCGACGTAAGTTCGAAGCCAGACAATATTGGACGCCGGCAATTGAAGGAGAGTGTTCGAACCACTGCTAAATATTCCATCACTCTTCACTCTTGCAGGCAATGCAGAGCGTGAGAAGCCTAGATATCGCCATGGTCCCTAGCAAAGTTGGCGAGGACGGTATCCGTGAGTCAGTCAAGTCGTGGCCTGCATTGGGTTGAAAGTCCAGTCTCAAGTCGAAGTGCTGTGATCAACTGGTGGCGTTGACACTTGAAACAGGCCAATGCAGCTCACAAGTCATGCATGCACGTTGATATCCGCACTGTCTCCAGATCCGCAACGTCGAACAAGCCTGACATGCATCGCTGGGAGAGGCACGCGTAACACGGAAACCGGGTGGAAGCTCGCATCGGAAGGGGCATCCCGTCCAGCAGATGTTGTTTAGCTCTGGATAAGCCCAGAAATAGCTCGGCCGTCTGTAATTATCAGCATCAGCGACATAATGAAGCTTGGGAGAGCATCGGTGAATGAGACTGCTATGCACGGCGGTAGCATGTATATCGATGATCCGCGTGAGGTTGAAGACGGCGTGGGGAGAAGAGTGTTGCAGCGGCGTGCCGGCCAGGGGTTGAGAAGCGAAAAAGAAGGCTTCTGGCAGATGCGCTACCGAACTCTACCCTCTTGTCTCTGGAGTGTCTCAAAGAGGCAGGAGCGACTGTTACGAGTGGAGGCGTGTGGCCGTCACAAAGCAATATCGCGACGCTGGACCACATTGCCACGCCTCTGCGGTCTGACCAGCGCACAAGACCATCAATCCAGGTGAATGGGGGAAGAAGCTGTCGCGGGACCCTTGCATTTGGAGGATCTGCTCCTTCCAACTTGGCGGGCGCAGGGCGAGGCGGCCATTGGCTGGATCTGGGCCGTGAGCACGCGGCTGCGCTAGTCAATTCGCCGCTGCACCTTAATCGAGCGTGCTAAAGCCAGCACTTCACCACCACACACTCTCGGCCGCCCATTTTCTGCTGCCCATGTTTCATTGCTGTCTGAGTCGCACTCTGCCTTCCGCCCCGGCCATTGTCTCAATGTGAGCGGTCGTGCATGTCCAGCTGCCTGACGAGCGCCGACTGGGTTCAGTCGTCTTGAGCACACCTTCATGGCAACAACTTTGAGCTAGCGGCTCCTCTCGGGCGTGCTTCACCTTGCCGTACCAAATTGTCGCCATGCATCCCGGGAATCCATTCACCAATGCCCCGGCTCTGCCCAGGCCCAAAGGCCACCTCCATTCGCGTTCCATATCACGCTCGCCGGCTCGCCAGCATGCTCGTGACTTCGACCCGCTGTTGCGAGACCTTTCGCCTACCACCACGTTGCGAGCCTTCGTCTCCGATCCAGAAGACATGGGTGGCCAAGAGCCGGACGTGTTGATGAGGACTGTACAGACTACGTCCATTTCAGAACGAGCTTTGGGAGCAAAGGCAGCCCAAGCATGCCTCGATTTGCGGGCATGGACCAGGGAGTTGGAGGACTGGCAGTGGTCGGGCACATTCGAAGTCCCTGAACCAGCTCGAAAGAAGATGCGCATGTCAAACTTCGAACACAACAACACATCTTCGGCAAACGGGGTCGACGCCGACGAGGAATATTGGGGCAGTCTTCCAGCAACGACCGTGCAAGAATACGAGAGACGAGCAGATGAAATTGGGCACAGTCTGGACCAGATCAATGTCGAGGAGTTGAAGGACTACGTCTTGAGCTCGCACTACCGGGTCGAATCAAGGCCACAATCAAGAGACAGCAACTTTGGCGCAAACAGCACAACGACAGACATGAAGAAATTGGACGATTACACAGCTGTCGTCACTGCGACGATTCTACACGCTTTGCCCTTCCTTTCCAAACTTAATCGGTTACTGGATACTTGGACAATCCGTTTGATCATCCTTCGCAGCGCTCCAAACTACCTGCGCGATTTGAAGCAGGCGAGAACAGACCTAGACGATGGATGGGCAGCGCTAGCAGCGCCTTCTTCTGCCATTTCGGATGTCAGCCAGGAGAAGTTCGATAGACAGACAATGGAGGAGATGAAAGATACGCTAGAGGCACAGGTTAGTAGCCTGGGCGGCAAGCTCGATCGATTCCTGGACAATCTGGAAGGACGAGATGACTCCTTACCCGACACGTGGATCGATGACTTCGAGCTATTAGAATCTTCCTATGGGGCTTGGGTGGTGCAAGCAGAGAGGAAGGTGCTCGAGCATGAGTGGCGTGGGAGCATTCATCGAACAGAGCTTGAGGCTCGACCGCTTCGATCAGATGCAGAGGACCAGCGCCCTGCCACGAGAAATCAAATCTCGGAGCTCGAAGACGCTGCACTCGATCATGATGCCGTTCGACGACTGTCTATGCGATCTACAGATGCGGCTGGGTTTCTAGCTAGATCCCAAGAGCTTCCAGCGGCAACGACTGGAGCACTTAAGCCTGGCAATCATGCAGTAGAGTCGTCCGCCGACAGTGGTCCAGCCGAGCTCGATACACGCCCTGTTCCGGTTCTAATATCGAGCGACGTTGAACCTACTTCAGCTGTTGAAGGACAGGGCATTGCACGAGTCCCGTCATCAGGTTCCGTCTCTAAGGAAGATGGAATGGGCCAGGTCGCGAAGAGACGTGCACAGTTCTTGAACGACATCGAACGAAACCAATCATTGATGAAGACGTCCAAAAGCCCAGTGCGGCCATTTGAGCACGCTAGTAACGCGTTCACACGGCTGTTCAAGAAAGATCGAAGTCCTGAGCAGGTCAAGCCTAAGAGGACGACCAGCAACAAGTGGAGTTCGGGCACCAACGCGGACGACAGGTCTGTCTCCGCAGAACGAAATCCGCTTTCGCCGGTCTCAGTTGCGAGCTCGAAGTTCAATGCTACCAGCATGGCGAGCTCTGTCCCGTCGGCGACAAGCTCATCGAAGACATCTCAAGTTGGCAGTCCTGAGACTGATCAATTGCCTGCGAAGCACGATGGGTCAGTGTTTGACCAGTATGACACCGGCGAGTCGCATGAGGAGCCACCGTACTATACGCAGGACCACTACCGCGAGATCAACGAGATCATGCGAGATGAACCTCAGCCGTCCAATCTGTCATCCCCTTTCCACTCTCCTGCTAAAGAGAGTGTACCAAATAATTGGCCTCTGGCGTCCCCTGCCGATACCCCCCAAGAAGACAACATGTTCGAGAAGCAGGACGTCTTGCCTTCGAACAGTTCTAGACACCGTGCAGACTCTGGACCTGAGGTCAATAGCCCAGACCTCGCGCTCCTGAGTGACGAGTTCGACCGTATTTTCATTGAGTCTCTGCCCGCTGCACCAGAAGAGCGGCCGGGTTCCGCAAGAGCGCCTACGAGGACGACACCCTGGACGAACACTTATCGACGACCAGCCTCGCTTCCTCGGAACGTTCGAAAGCACATGCCGGAGATGTCAAAGTACTCTGGAAGCTACCTGGACATGGTATCTGTCAATAACCAGCGCACTGGATCCTCTTCAGGTTTGCCGAATGGTGCAAGCCGTTCAGATGTTCCTGCAATGTCCAGACCGTCTAGTAAAGACCAAGCGAATGGATCGACGCTGGATCATGGAGGCGTGGGCTCTGACGGCAGTGCCATGGACACTTCTCGCTCCTTGAAGCTTACCATTCCCGAGAATGAGTCGAACGTGGACAGGCCTTCGGAGAAGAGACCACAAGCCGCCAAGCGAGCTTCAATCGCATCCATTGAAGCCTTCCCTCGCTCTCAGCTGAAGACGATTGATGTTCCACGGCTATCGCGACGTAGCAGCGCTTCTCCAGGAATCACACCGCCCCAGACACCTCCACGGTCCCGAGAACCATCGACCGCAGGGGGAGCAGACGCAGATGAAGCTGGGCCCATGTCGTATAAAGGGATGGTTGCCTTTCCAACACCTCCTCCACGTCGTGTCAGTGCCTCAAGTCGTGCCACGCCGCCGCCAGCTTTGGTTGGAAAAGAATCTCCGACTGTTTTGCGCAGTCTCCCGCGCTCTAGTCCAGCCAAGAGCGACGTGAATGGCTCTCCTCTGGGAGACGAGAATACTTCCCCGTCCGCTCCACTTAACGTTGCTATGGCCAAGCGACGTGGCAAGAGCACGTTACGAGTGGAGAATTCGCCTTCGAGCCCGATCTCTTCGCCTCAAAAGACATCGCATTCGCGGGTCGTGGAGGAAGATACGTTCGATCGTCACGTATCAGAGGTTTTGGAGACTCTGCCTGGCCAAATCCGATTCGCTTCAAGGGCTGGTGCAGAGACTCCCTCACTTCGCCCCGCCTATAACGGCCCACGACCGAAGATCCAATCTGGTCGTTCTTCTCGTGCCGCAGGTATGACCATTGCGCCTGCAGAATCGTCTCCCAAGAAGACGAGTTCAGCCTCAGAACCAGAGGTTAAGCTATACCACCTCACGACATCTGGGCGAGACGAGCCCATCAAACTTTTCGTTCGCCTTGTGGGAGAGGGTGAGCGAGTGATGGTCCGTGTGGGCGGTGGCTGGGCAGACCTCGCAGATTACCTTCGACAATACGCAGAACACCACGGCAGCCGGACTGTCTCCGAAGGCAATCTCGAGGTGCAGACCGTGACCAGCGCACCTGGATCTCGCAAGGCTAGTGGCGCTGCTGAGATGAACAGGGCAAAGTCACCGGTGCCCGGCCCTCTTGGGACCCCGCGACCATCCAGCAAAGACAGCGATAACGAGTGGTCGTTCCCTGTATTGTCGAACGGACGATCAACACCCAGCACAACAGGACGACAGACGCCGACGATGGGATCAACCCCAAAGTCATCTTCCGGAAGCTCTCGCCCCTCGACCGCGAATGTGTCCCGACCGCCTAGCAGGCAGAACACAGGAGAAGTCGGGCTGGCGGGTCCTTCCAGCGGCAAGAAGTCTGCTCTCCCTGAACAGAAAGCTAAATGGGTTGAAGGCATGATCGAGCGTGCCAAGCAAGCAAGCGCAGAGAAGTCGAAAGATGAGAAGCAGAAGTATTTCGGGGAGCTGGGCAAGGCTGGAGGGACGAGACGGGTGATTTTCCGGTCGAGTTCTGGGACGGGAGAGAAGCCGTCGAAGTGAGGGAAGAGGACAGCAGAGGGGTTGATGATTTTGAGCGAAGCGTGGCGTTTGTGTTTTTCGTACTGCAAGCGTTTTTTCGTTTTGATCGGTGAACAGGGGAAGGGAACTTTGAAACAAAAAGAGCAAACCAATGCATACAGGATTGGCCGTGTTTGAAAGAAAAAAACGACCACGCCAAAACACAGAGAGAGATACCCATACATACACACAAAGTAAACAGACAGTAATCAACAATTCCCTCTTCGTTAAAATAAAACAGTTCAATTCCCCTAGATGATGATGAATGCCCCCCATATCTACGCCATTCTTATTCCCCAATTTTCATCACAAATCACATTGCTTCACTGTGAGGTGTCAAAGTAAGCATGCATTTCATCAGATCTCTCAAGATACATGTAATAACGCCCCCCAGCCAGCTCCAGCATCGATTGGGGGGGGGGAAAGGCGACGGTCGGTGTTTGGTGGTTGTGGTTTCTTGTACCCAAAAATAGTTGGGATCAAGGGTGGTTGTGGAGGTAGGTAGGTATGGTAGGTGTGGTGTTGGTGTGGTGGTGGTGAGTTGTTGAGTTATTCACTAGGCACTGTTATTCTGGGTAAGAGCCTTTTCCACCGATTTGGGGAAGTTCTTATGTTTGGGGCGGTTGGATCGATTTGATTTGATAGATGCTTTGGAGTGGAGGCTGGAGCATGGCGAGGCAAGGCAAGAGGGATGATGTGTGAGGATTAAGGGAGATTTGGTAACTTACTATAACGACAGGGTCAGGTCCCCGCGAATGCTGGCTTTGAGTTCGATTTCAATGTCGAGGTTCGCTTCTAGCGAGAGCTTAAGGCCGTCTTTGTCTTTGAGTTCAGACTGTGAAGGTCCATGTCAGCCTCGTCGTCCTTTACTCCCCATTTCTCCCAAGGGATGGTGGATGGTGGAGGGGGTGGATGATACGTACGCCGCCCGTCGCCGGTTCCGGCGTCATGTAGTACGGTTGATTCGGATTCGAGCCTCGTACGGGAATCTCGCCCCTCTGCGCCCTCGCCATCGTCACCGGCCCATCCATCGACGTGCTGTCCGGGCCGATTCGCTCAAACGGCCGCATCGCTTGCATGTCGCCGTTGGCGTCGGCTTCCTCGAGCGCCTCCAGAGAACCTGTCTTCATGTACGTCCCCTCCTCGAAGGCCTGCTTGATGCGTTTGCGGCGCTCTCGTCGCGAGGAGGAGCGGGAGCGGGCGGTGTCGATGCCGACGTCGCGGCGTTCCTTTTTGATGAGGTTGTCTTGTTTTTCTTGTTGTTGCACGGTGCGTTGCTTGGGGGGGTTTTGGAGGGTTTCTTCGGAGAGATGCTCGAGTTTAGGCTGTTCGATGAATCTGCGGCGGTCGGCTTCGTTGGCGGCCATGTTGGGTGGGTGGATGTGTTGGTTTCCAATGGGGTATGGATGCAGGTCAATGGGGGAGGTGTATGTCAGAGATGGGCGAGTATACTAGACAGATCCAGACCAGAACGAACAGGAAGCAGAGTACGTAGAGACGAGCTCGACCCTTCACCCACCTGAGACCCTACAGCAGCCGCCGGCAGGCCACTCACAATGCGCGCACACTCTCACAGAAACCTGTTTGCCATCCGATCGAGGAGGGAGGACTGGCCCCAAACTGTGGATCCCCGGCTCCAGCATCCCATGCATTCGTCAGCCACAAATCCAAAACCCCACCGTCCCCACCGTGGATGAAGTCATGGCGCAGGTGGCTCCTCGCACCACCCAGACACCGGCTCCCCAGCCTCTGACGCCGCAATCTCCACGCGGCCGTTGTTGCTAAAGTGCGTTAAGATTGTGGCATTCGTGGCGATCGTGGCATTCTCGGCCATCAGAGTTCAGGCACGGCGACTTCAGCTGAGGCGTTCGAAAGTTGGCAGTGGAGGCGCTAGGCATGCTCGGTCTGTGGGAGGTGAAACCATTCTCGCTGGGATGCAAGGATGGTTGTGCTGCGATTCTGTCATCCATCCGATCTGACGGAGTGGAATTTCGTCATTATGGGGCGAAGGTGGTTGGATGATTGCTGGGGTGGGTGAATCGTGACGAGGCCGAGAATTTGTTGGCGGATGGGGAAAGTCTGCGTGAGGTGAGTAAAGGTACGCGGTGGACGAGAGGAGGTGTTCAGGAGAATGAGAAGGTTGGTTGGTTTTGAGGGACATGAAAATTCAAGCTACGGATAGTACAGTTACACCTTTCCATAATCAACTCCAGACACACAATAGGAAACTACGCAAGTAAAATACAACATCCATCCCATCTTCTAGTTGAGCAGACCAAGAGTAAGGTCACCGTGAATCTTCGCCTTGAGCTGGATCTCAATGTCGAGGTTAAGCTCCAATCGCAGACGAAGCTGCTCCCCACCGCCCTCCTCCTCACCTCCCTTGTCACCACCGCCCGTCAATCCACCCAATGCCTTGCCGGCAGTATCGCCGACTTGGTTGACCGCATCGCCAGCAGTGTTCTGGACAAGATCGCCAGCCTGGCCGACGAGCTCGCCGCCGGGAACGTTCTCAGTGACGCTGTCGAGTGGGCCGCCCTGGGAGCCCTTGGTCTGGGCTTGCTGCTTCTTCTGGCGTTGTCGCTGGCGACGACCACCTTGGGCGCTCACGTCGCTGCGAGCGATTGATTCAGTATCGCTCTCCTGGCCGCCCTTGCGACCACGGCCGCGGCTCTGTCGTCGACGGGATTGTTGGCGTTCTTGCTGAGGTTCGGGTTCTTGTGCTTCTTCCTCGCCGTCGGCTTCTGCTTCTGCGCCGGCGTCTGCTTCCGCTTCGCCTTCGGCTTCACCGTCGGCTTCGTCGGTTTGGGCTGGTGTTGGTTGCTGTTGTTGCTTCTGGCCCAACTTCTTGGGAGTGCGCTTGGTTTGTTTCTGGCTTGCTTGTGCACTGCCGGAGGCGTTTGCGCCAATGTTGAGGTTGCCCTCGCCAGAGGCGGATGCTTGTTGCTCTTCTTGCTGAGACGACATGATGGATTGAACTTGTTGTAGTCAGAGTTGAATGTGGGTTTGGATAGACGCTGGAGGAATGTCAAGAGAAAAGTCACGGTTCGAGAAGAAGACGCACACTTAGCTCACCCCCCAAACCTGTTTCAAGACCGCCGCAAAGACCAATGCGCATCGCGGTTGCGTCAATGCTCCATCCTGCTGCGTCTTCAGCCACAGGTTGCAGGGGTGGACTTGCTTGTGCCTCCGATCGATCAGAGCGCCTGCAGATCGCTTACAATCCTTCGGGCTTGCAGCCGACGCGACGTGTGGCGTGAACACTCACGACGAATGATGTGAATATTCCGGGGAGCGACGGAAGAAGCATCTCGATGTTGCTTTTGTGGGATTAGAATGTCTCCATTCGAGGAGAAAGGGATGAAAAAAATGAAGTCTGACGCAGCATCACCATTTCTGGTGAGTTGCATCGCGGGAAGCCTCGTCGACATGGCACAGTCGATCACACTATTCGATCCGGACAACATGTGACGGTACGCCAGCGATACCCATTTCGCTCATTTACGAGGGCTTGACGACTTGATCATCGATGCATGCGATTCCAGCCAACATCGAGGTTTGAATTGGCTCTCAGCCGAGCCGAAACGAAATGGTGTCAGCACGTTAGTTTCTCACAGAGCTCAAGTAGAGAGGGATGGTAACAGGTCGGTTTCCATATTCGACTCCGAGGACCGGCGTTGTACATGTAGACCCATGCTGGCTGACATGAGGAAGTCAGTGTACAGAACTTCATTGTGCTCAATCGAGCGGACTGCAATTGCCTTGGCCTCTTCAGTGTGTCAACGACAATCACACCGGAACACTGTCTTATACGTGCTTGCATACTTCTTTCAATGCTTCTGCTTCTCCCGTTGCGACTTGACCAGGTCCTCAAACCGTCGATATACGAATTGTCCCTCGATGAAACAGCTGAAAGTCCAAAGCCACCAAGTGGATGATCTCGGATTGACTGAGTGAGTTCGCAACTTGTGGAGCGCGAAGTACACTGCCTCTGCTCCATGGATGCTAACCATCGCAGCAAGCAACCACGGCTGAATCGTCCAGCTAAAGTGGGCGAATGTCGATCCAAGTAGTCGCTCGACAGGACCTCCCGCGGCGAACCACCACCTTTGGCTGTACGAGATGAACGTCGCCGAGATGATGAGGAATTCCAGACGATATATGAGATTGTTCGGCGGTACGTATTGCCTCACAGTCACGTCTGAATGACCTAAGGCTTTGCGACATTCCTTATCGAGTTCGACCACTCGCTTGCGAGCTTCTCTGTATGAGGACATCGCCGGCTCGAATGGGACGCGATACGTCTTTCCTTGGCAAGAGAGTGTCAATTCATTGAGGTCGACATCTGTCATTCGGCCTGAGTATGCGCTTAGAGAAGACCGCTTCCCATAGTGCTCGAGGTAACGCACGATCTGATGTAGAGTCAGTGAGCTGAAGGATTCGCGGAGTTGTACGACACTCACGCTGTCATGGTGATCCTTGTTCATGTGGCTGATGATTCTGTCTTTGGCGGCTTGCTCTTGGCTGGCTTTTTCTGCCATGTTGGCGAGAATATTGTCTCCCAAGAGATGTCTTGAAGGCGATTGTGCGAAAAGTTGCAGATGGTTCGATTCGGTAGCAAGAACGAACTGGAGAGGAACGCAGGCGCGATGGCCAAAAGTCGCATAGTCTTCGACTTATGGCACAACATCCGCACTCCTTCCCTCCCAAGCCCGCGTCCCATGTCTGCCTCACGCTCATATGGACTTCACGTGAACCCGGGAGTGATTTTACAACTGAAGGGACATTATTTCTCTATGCCCATGCCCAACGTCTCCCACCTCTGAACTTCAATGGAAAAGCTGATGGACGTCTCCCTGTCCTGACCCAAAACAACTCCGCCACCATCTCCAGCTCTCGCCATGTCGAACCCATTCTTCTCAAGTATCGACGGCGAAGACGTACGAGTCCAGAGCGATTCAACCAATCATGGGCAAACATCATCGGCTACTTCAGAAAGTTCAAAATGTTCTCGATCCTCGTTGTCGTTGAACTCATCTGCCGCGACTTCCCCTGGAGCAACAGACCCATTCTGGTATTCACGAAAGGACCCCAGTCAGTCTGACCGAGCGAACGCCATAAGATCAGACATTTCCAACTTTCTGGCGCTCGGTTGTCTATGCTTTGAGGACTTTTCCAACTCAGAAGCCAACGATAGCCCTGGTGACTGGGTGGGCATTACGACACTGCCTGTGCTGGCTTTCGACCAAAGCATCGCGTCGAATCTTGCAAGGTTGTTTAATTACGGCTGGATTCGAATCCAGTCAACAAGATCGATCACGAACGATGCATGGCTTGTTTTTCGAATCTATCTTCTCTACAGCGATGTCGGCAATGCAGTCATCAATCGCAGCGACAAGAAACTCGTCCAGGCACTGGAAGGTCTTTTGAGTGAAATCGACACTTCATCAGAGACATGGAACGGTCGCTACCTCTCGGATCAGAAATGTCCTTTTGACCTCTGGGCGAGTGCGGATGAGGACAATTCAAGCTTGTTTTACTTGTTCAACAAGCTGCCATCTCCCAATCCTCGGCCGTCAGACATCGACCAAAGATATCCTCGAGAAGCTTTGGAAGATCTTCTGGACTGTGATTCTACTGTTCGTGGACTGAAAACCCCTCTATACCCTTACCAGAGACGCTCAGCTGGTGCTATAGTCCATCGCGAGTGCATGTCTCGCATGGAACTCGATCCTCGATATGAGGAGAGGATCGCTCCAGACGGCAATCGGTTCTATTACAACGCTAGGGACCTGGACTTCCCACGAGACGCCCCGCTGCAACAATCATGTCAGGGCGGCATTCTCGCCGAGACCATGGGTCTTGGGAAAACTCTCATCTGCCTCGCTCTCATCCTGTCAACTCGCGACCATCCACCGAAGGTACCCGTGCAGTACTCATCGATACCAATCCGGCCACAGGTGGCAAGCCTGGCTGAGATGGCAGTGTCGGTTATCAACAGGAAATCAATACCTTGGAAAGTCGAATTCGAGCGTGAGCGCCAGGCAACTGGAATTGAATTCAACAAATGTGTACAAATGCTCGATCAAAATCCGGGAAGCTATGAAATTCCAAGAGTCCCAATCCGCTGGAACCGCAACACTACACTGCCACCTCCACAACGAGTTATCCTAACAACGACGACGATCATTGTCGTGCCGCAAAATCTGCTCAAGCAATGGCGCAGTGAGATCCAGAAGCACGTCGAGACAGGAGCTTTAAAAGTCCTTGTGATGGAGGATCGCCGCAAGGACCTTCCACCGCCCGACGAGTTGCGAACATTCGATGTCATTCTCTTCACGAGGAACAGATTTGACATGGAAAGCAGAGATGGGCAAGACAGCGAAGGCAGGCGAGTATCGAAAGCGCCCTTAGTCTGCCGTTGCCCCTACATCGGAGCGACACGTCGCAGGGACTGTCACTGTTTGCAAGAAGATGCTCTCTACGATTCGCCATTGAAATACCTCCATTTCAGGCGTATAATCGTCGACGAAGGACACTTCTTTTCGAACAGCAACACCAATACCGTGATTGTGGCAAATCGCTTGGTGAAGGCCGACCATCGGTGGAGTGTCAGCGGCACACCAGCACGAGATCTTCTCGGCGTCGAAGTCGATACATCCGTCATCTCCGAGTCAAAGGAGAGTAGAGATGCCTTACTCGAACGCAGACGCACTTTCAACCCAATCGAGGACAGATCCGGTGCGATCGATAGTCTCGGGTCGCTGGCAAGCACCTTCATTAACGTCGAGCCCTTTTCACAAGGTCGAGCGATCTGGAAGGATTACGTTTTCCGGCATGAAGACCACCGGCACACCTTCTCAGGCTTTTCCACATGTCTACGAAGAACTTTGGAGGGTATGGTCGTCAAGACACGTCCAGAGGATGTTGAACGAGACATTCAGCTCCCGCCACTGCACCATTCTGTCGTACGCCTCAAGCCCTCGCTCTACGATATCTTCACTGCAAATCTCTTCACACTAGTCCTGACAGCGAATGCTGTTACGTCAGAAAGGACCGATGCGGATTATTTGTTTCATCCCAACAGCCAGAGATCGCGGTATCAGCTTGTCGGCAATCTGAGAAAGAGCACATTCTTCTGGACCGGCTTCAGCGAAGATGACGTGTTGGCATCGATGTCAAACGCGAAGAAGTATCTCGCTAAGGAAGGCACGGGATGTACTCAAGAAGATCGTGTGCTAATGACCGAGACACTGAAGTGTACAGATGCTATTCTGAATTCTCGAGGATGGAAAGCCTTGAGCAAGTCCCACGAGCTAGGTGTTTTCATCGACGAATGGCCAGAACAATCAGCTGAGCATTGGGCTTTTGATGATTCAAAATCGCCTGTTCTCACTGGTATTACCCAGCTACTGGACGCGCAGCGATTCGTAAACGAACGCATCGCACAGGATGACCCAGGGGAAGGCCTATCTGGTCAGGGCATTCGAGCTCTTGCGGCCTTGCAAGACTCGCCGACGGCACAGCAGGAAGCCGCACAAGGTGTTGGCGATGCACACAGTATGGCAACGAACACGGACAAGACGAAGATCAAGAAGCCAACAAAGAAGGGCGCAATCAAGGCGGCTCTCGCGGAGAAGCAGCTCCTGTCCAAGTCTGGCATTCCTATGTCTTCGATCGACGGTGAACCTCGCAAACGAAACGACAAAAGTCCTCGGCTGCCCATGAAAGCTTTTCGTGTTACTAAGAAACGAAAGGAGAAGCCTGCTCGCAAGCCGAAGAAGGACGATGACGATCTTGAATCAGTCCAACCCAGTGCTATCCCCGATCCTCAATTGCGGTCCAATTCAGAGTATTCGCGAGCTCGCGTCGTGGGCACGACATCAGCGAAGATGTCATACCTTATATCGCAGGTCATGAAGTACTATCAGGACGAAAAGATACTGGTCTTCTACGAGGGCGACAACATTGCTTACTACATTGCTCAAATCCTGGAACTGCTTGATGTCAAGCACGAGATCTATGCCAAGACCCTCCAGAATCGCCTGAAGTCCGAATACGTCGTTGACTTCGACTTGGGAGCAGATACCAGAGTGTTGCTCATGGACGTTGGTCAAGCTGCTTTTGGTCTGAACCTGAGCAGTGCTTCGAGGATATACTTCGTCAACCCAGTATTGCGACCTCAGATCGAATCGCAGGCGATCAAACGTGCGCATAGGATTGGGCAGACAAGACGGGTGCATGTGGAGACTCTTCTTTTACAGGACACCGTGGAGGAGAAGATGTTCCAGCGATCAAAGCGAATGACTGCCGAAGAGCATCGCGTAAAGGCCGTCGAAGATGACGGGGGCATGCGAGAGATCATTCAAAGCTCCCGCATTTTGAACGTTCCGGAAGAGCAGCAAGCGTCATTACAAGATCAGATGGCTTCGCTTGAGTCTCCAGAGCAGCTTTGGGCCAGACCAGGGTGGAGAGATTTCGTACTTTTCGCCAACCGCAAGCGAAAGCGGCGAGGAACGCTCGAGAACGGTACATCTCCTGAGGACGAACAGCAGGATCTGATACAACAGGACCGTCAGCACCCTCAAGTCGTCATCAAAAGGCAACGAACAGAGTCAGTCGACCTCGGTGATTCAGGACATACTCCAAGTGCGAGTGACAACAGTAACGTCCACGAATTTTTCCGGAAGGGCAGCATTTTCGGTCCAGATTCAACTTTCCCACCCATGGCGGTCTAACCCTGAGCACGTCCATGAACGAGGTCAGCGTTGTAACACCGTCAGATGTGTACATTGATCAACATCAACATCAATCACGGAGTCATATCCTACTGAGCGAACACCTCTTTCTCGATCCAGAAGCTTCCTGACACCTACCACAAACCTTTCTGCTAGTATAGGCGACTAGCATCCAAATCAATGACTTCAGTATGTCCACACTATCAGCCTGGCTGATCCCCTGCCGGGATGAGCGAGACAGATCATCTTCCGGGATTCTGACAGCTGCAGGCATCCGTGGACGGGTTGGCAACACAAACAAATCACCAACAGAGTGTTTTTCGCATGGCCATACGCGCGTTCATGCTGCTTCCCGACGAGCCCATCTCGGGTAGCAACATAAGGCTAATTACGCTGCAGACTGCAGCTGACTCCCCCATCCTTTGTTTGAAGCACAGTCAGGCGAGCCAGAACGTCGCATTCGATGGATCGAAAAGGGTCGATCTCGAGCGAGGGTTTTGTTTGCTTGGCTGCTGAGTGGTAGGACAAACGTCTCCGCATCATTAAGTGCACGCGCGGAAGCACGAGCCCCGGGTCAAACACGTCCAGTCCACACGAACGAGCTCTGTGAGTCCGGGACGAGCATCATGCCAGCGTCACACTGGAGGTCGTGAGGCATCCACCGTGTTTGACACCGCCATTTCGTCCTTTATCCAGGTGCCGTCACATGCAATAGCACATTGCGTTGGTGTCCGCCGGCCCAAGTCGTGGCCCACCGAATCACTCTAATTCAAGAATCGATATTGGTGTTTCGGCTATCCTGTACCCTTCCAGGCTGCAGTCGTGGGAGGCACCATCCAGCTCTCAAGCCATCATCTCCGTCATGTTCGGGATATTCAAGGTCGACGCATATTGCCTTGGCCAATGACCGAACTCGCCCAGGTCCCGGTACTCTGGCAACGCCTGATGGAGTGCAGACAGATCGCCGGTGCAGCGGCGAAGCCGTCCACTGTCGTTGCTCGAGAGTATAACAGGACAATAATTGAACTGGCCGTGTGGGTCGCACAGCACGCTCGCAGAGTTGCAACAAGGTGTAACATTCCGCTGTGGTGTTTCCATGGCGATGTTCTTCTGCCATGCCACTATGGTCTCCTGTTCCCACCTCCTCAAGCGTGGCGAGGTGGCCCACGGGTGTGCGGGCGTTTGTGCGCATTGTGGCAGGCTGCATTTCTTTGAGGCGCCTCCTTGCATTGCTTACCGCTGGAATGTCTCAAAGGCAGCTGACGTTTCGTCTGGTTGCTTCGCGCTTCGGCTTGGCCGTTTTCGGACCCGCTACACACCCAACAAAGAACAAAGAAAGGCCCGGCAGTATCGACTCCGCAACAATCGCAGCATTGCGCGAGGCAGCCGGCGGCCGTGCTCGTCATTGGACAAAGAACCGCATGCCACATGAGGCTTGGGATAATAGGCACGAAGATTCTCTGCCTCTCCTTCAATAATGGACGGAGTTGATTCGTCAGGCTCTGTCATTGGTACGCTGGGGGCTTTCATTGTCGTCGAATGCGAATGCCAGTGGAACAAGAGGCCTGTGAGACCCTCCCTCCTTCTTCCCGATGTCTGCTGTCCATCAAAACTCGTTGCAGCCGCTGCCATCCCATTGGATTCCCCCACCGCAAACGCAGCCCGCAAATGATTCCGGCCACATCATCTTCACAAGACAGCTGTGGCAGCGAACCATGAATCAAAGTGATCCGGTTGTCTTGAACAGGTCTCAAGCTCAGGAAACACGAGGCAGCCATAACAGCGCTACTACCCCTAGCCGACGCACTTCATCTTCCGCGTCGTCTCGCTCGCAGAGGCGGTCTCCCAGTCCCGAAGAACGCAGCGGTTCGAAGACTCCGCTGACACCAGAGGAGAGTCCGCCTTTCAAGTCGACCGCAACAAGGAAACGAGACGCCGGTATTGTAGAGGCAGAAGACAAAGAGATTGACGACAGCGAAGCAACTCCAACTCACGCCAGGCAGGACAGCGGTGATAGTGGTATCCACGTCTGTATCTGCCAGCCCGACCCGAAGATCCGCCGACCGAGAAACGGTAAGTCATAGATTAGAAGCTGAATGTTGGAGACGTTGCTGACGAGTCATAGCGTTCATATTATATCGACAGCACCATCAAGCCAACGTTGTTGCTCAGAATCCAGGTCTTGCAAATCCAGAAATCTCGAAGATTATCGGTGAGCAGTGGCAGAATCAGTCTCCTGAAGTCAAGAACAAGTGGAAGGCCCTTGCCGAAGAGGAGAAGCTTCGTCACCAGCAGCAGTACCCGACCTATCGTTACCAACCCAAACGCAGCGGTCGTCGCAACAGCCAGTCCTCTGACTGTAGTGGGAAGAAGGCCAAGTGTGCGAAGTGCGGTGGTAGGAGTATCTTGGCTCCATCAACACCTTTTTCGAACGTGCAATCCAGCAACCCAAGCCCAGCAGGACCACAGACTCCCAGCTCGGCGATCACTCCAGTCTCCAGGACTCTTCCAGTGCTCAGAGATCTGAGCCTCCAATCACCAGCAGCACGTCGCTTGGGCAAGCAGTTCCCTAGCAGTAACATGTCACCACTCCACGCACACCCTGACGACAGAGACGATCTTGGTCCTTTGAGCCAAGATCTCAAGCGGCGTCGATACAACGGAGAGCATGCCCCAACGCTCAGCAGAGCCATGCCAACTCGCTATGCGGCTGCTCCAGCAGCTCCTCAGAGCGGCCCGGGTACCCCATTCCCGTTCGCACAGGCGCCTCCACACCCGTATCCTCCTGGCGCTGCGCATTCTCGTCGTGAAAGCTTGCCTGGCCTTCGCGGTATGGTCAGCTCTCCAGGCGCGATGGCACCTCCGCCACGTCCTGGCCCAGGCTATCAGCAGCACCGCTTGTCCCAAGGCCACATTCCACACGATCGGTCCCTCACTCTGCCACCACTGCAGACCAGCACTACTGCGAACGTGCCAAGTGCACTGGCTACCGCAGGAGCAGGCAAGACGGCCAAAGAGCAGATCATGAACTTGGACTTCCGGCACAAGATCAGCGTGCTGCGCCGCGTTGCGCCTCCAACACCGTTGAAGAAGTCAGCTCTGCGTGGACCTTTACTCGTTGTCGAAGGAGACAACGTGGAGGCGGTGAAAGATCTTGGAAAGTGGCTGAGTGATACGCTTCGCAAGGACGACGATCTCACTGTGAGCCTTCGCAATGGACCGACGCTCTCCGCAGACGGCTCCAAAGAGAAGCTCATGGCGCAGTATCACCGTCTTGCTGCGGAGTGGTTGGATAAGAGTGGTGGGATCAGAGACTCGTTGGCGATACGGACCAGCTCACCGACTGACTCTGTCATGGTCGATGCAGCGCCTGCGGTCGTGAAGGCTGGAAGAGACATTGACGAGAACTACGACGATAGCGACTCATCGACGTCCAAGGCCAAGGCCGAGAAGGCAGCTGAGGGACGGAAGGAGACAGGCTCCGAGCGTGCCAAATCCGACGCCTCGAAGATGGACGTCGACACGGCATCAAAGGGGTTTCGCTCGTCGATGGGTGATTCAGCCATGAAAGACGGCGGCTCTTCGTCCAGCTCCGCCAAGCCGATCAGCATCATCGCCAACTACTCACTCCACGCAAGCAACTTCTTCGCGTGCAACATCCCCATCGATGCGCATGATCCATACGCGCCGACTGATCATTGGCAGTGGACGGCCACGCAATGGCGTGGCATCATCAGCCCTGACTTGACTATCTACGTCCGCGATGGGGTTACGGGCGATAGTGGCAAGCAGAGCGTCGACATTCTGGATGAAGGCAACCTGTTTGTGGTGAAGAGAACGAAGGCGGATGGAAAGGAGACGCTGGAGATTGAGCCGTCTACTCTGCGTCGTCTTGGGTTCGAAGTCAGCGAGTGGGTCAGAGCCTTTGGGTCGAATGCGGAGTGATTTTGACAGAGACAGCCGGTGTTTGGACTTTTAGGTTCTTGCTGTACTTTTGAATCTTGGAAGATTGTAGCCTGGTGCTGAGAAGGGAAGGGATGGGTTGGTAGAATAGAGCGATAGCAGTGTACGTGTAGTACATCCATTCGAAGCCCCGTGTCTTTCCCAGGACTTTTGTGAGCCGGAGAGTTTTGCCGAGGGCCGGCAAAGGGACGAATCGGAGGAGGGCCAGTCATGCTGCACGTGTGAGGACGATGTCACTCTGTCAGCTCGAGCCGATCTTCACATGTCAATCTACGTACCGCTGCATGTGCCCTTCGCCGGCGGGCTGGGTCACGATGGCTGCTCTGCTTCGTTTTGGACTTCCTTCCCGTGACCATTTCTCTCTATCCCTATCCCGTTCTCATATCCCTCTTCCTCCCTTTCTTTGTTTGCCCTCTGAATCCTTTGCGGCTACTTCGGCCCTCGTCCCTCCTTCTGCTCTACCGTGGCCGTCTGTAACCGTGGTAGTCACCTGAGAAGTCCTCCTCCACGAGACTCCATGGTATGCCGATGGGTAGCGGACTGTAGGCTTCTTCCGCCATGATAGGTAGGACACACACACAACACCCTCTCCTTCCTACAAGCGATAGAGACCCAGACTGACAACATTACCCACCATGCTAGACCACATCCTAGGCCGCCCCTCGACCCGCTTCCGCAAATACCAAGTCTTCTGCGTCGTCCTCCTCTGGTCCTTCTACCTCGCCAAATTCCCCCGCCACGGTCCCCCGGGCGTCCGCCGCCTCTCCAAATGGCTCTCCACAAGATTCACAATGCACCAGGCGGTGGTGGTGTCGTGCGTGGGACTCTACGTCTCGCGCAACTTCGCGAGGGTCGTGGGCTTGGAGTCTCCCGAACCGCTAGCGAATCTCTACGAGAGGAGCTTCTTCCGCGCGACGTGGGTGACGACGGCGTTGGACGCGGGGTTCTGGACCGCGATGCACCTGCGGCCGAAGTTCGTGAGGAGTATCTGCGAGATTGTGTTTACGGTGTATTATCTCGTCTGTGCTGAGCAGGCGGATGAGATGGTCAAGAGGGTGAGGGGGGATCTGAGTCTGGATCATCTGCGGGTCAGCTGGAATAAACCGAATACACCGATTTTGAGGTTCGTCACAAAGCTCCTGAGGCCGAAGTTGATGAATTGGCCTGCGAGGCGGATTGAGATTCCGAGGCCGAAGGGAAGTGATTATACCAGACCGACGGAGGCGTGGATTTACTTTGAGGGATCGCGGGAGGAGTTGTTGCATCAGGATAGAGTCATTCTGGATATACCTGGTGGGGGGTTTGTTGCGATGGACCCGAAGTGTCATGATGATAAACTGTTGGCTTGGGGCGCGAAGGCCAAATGTCCTGTCGTCGCGCTGAACTATGGAAAGGCACCGGAATTCCCTTATCCCTACGCGCTGTATGAGTGCTACGATGCGTACTACCAGATCATTGCTACGCGGGGCAAGTGCATTGGTCTGTCTGGAGAGGTTGTTCCTCGGATCATTGTCAGCGGTGACAGTGCGGGAGGCAATCTTGCGATCGCGATGACCCTACTATTACTCGACAGCGATTCTCAACATTCATCCTGGCAGCCTGGATCAAAGGGCAAGAATCTTCTCCCACCGCCGGAAGCTATTTGTGCGATCTACCCAGCCTTGGAAATGAACATTGGCAACTGGATGACAGACGAGCAACTGGCATTGCTCAGACGGCCACAGCAGCGGAAAGAAAATAAAGATCTCCTACGACGCAAGTCGGAAGACTATAGACGATTGACACCATCTACACCTTACGCCTCGGACGACGAAGACGACAGTGACGCAACAGTGAAACCCACTCAAAAGCCAGTGCTCGAAAGACGACCGACAAGCAGTCAAAGCAATCGAAAACCTACCACGAGACTCGCCATGAGCAGCATGATCTCCTACTTCAACGACCGCATCCTCTCGCCTGAAATGCTGCGCGCCATGATTCTGCTCTATATTGGCGAACACAACAAACCCGACTTCGCAACGGATTACTTCCTCTCCCCCTTACGAGCCCCCGAAGAACTCCTCTCTAAATTTCCCCGAACCTTCCTCCTTTGCGGCGAACGCGACCCCCTCGTCGACGACACCGCCATCTTCGCCGGCCGCCTCCGCCAAGCCCACAGCCTCGAATTCAAGCGCCGCCAGGAACTCGGCCTCGAGCACGAAGACGCCCGCTTCGCCCCCAACAAACACGTCGAAGTCCACTTCGTCCCCGGCGTCAGCCACGGCTTCCTGCAGTTCGTCAGCGTCTACCCGGCCGGATGGCAGTACATCCACAAATGCGCGCGCTGGATGCGGGATCTGTTCGACGAAAACGACAAGTCGTTCGAACCCGCCAGCAGCGTCGCATCGAACGGAGCCCCGGGCTCCTCGGATTATTTCAGCTACGCGCCCTCGCCTCGCTCTCGAAGGAACTCCCTCTCGGAAGATTCGAAACCCCTTGAAATCCCCTCCAAACTCCGCATGACGTCCATTACGAGCAATAGCAGTAGCGGTTCATCTCACCGCAGACGCGGCAGCAGCACAACAGCGACGACGACGACGAGCGGGAGTGGTGCGACGAGGAGTCGCGGCCGCGTGCAGAGGAGTCATTCGGGACGCAAGAGTCCGGCAGAGGCGAGGCATTTTATGATTTCGCGGCTGAGTTCGACGGAGGATTTGGTGTCGCGGCGCATGAATGGCGTGACGCAGAATTTGGGCATGGATTCGAAGAAGGAGGCGCCTGGGGGGTGATTATCAAAGGGGTGAGGCGGACGTGCATGTGTTGTTGTGTTGACAAGGCATAGATGGATGGTAGATGTTGGGAGGGGATTTTGAGTGTCAGCGATTTTTTGCGTATGAGGGCTTGGGAGAAAAGCGTGATGGGTTGAATGTACTTTTGTAGATATCTATGTACTACAAAACCATGGCCTCTCTCGAGGCTTTTACCCAAAGATACTCGGCCACTCACGCACCACCCTCGCAATCGTCTGCTGCAGATTCCCACCACCCCCTCCTTGATGCGGCCATCCCCATCCATAGCCCGGCGGACCTCTCCCACCCTCACCCTGACCATCAGACGTCTGCACCTGCCACCCCTCCTCAAACTCCAGCAAACTCCTCCTCAACGCCTCATTCCGTCCATTCGCCCCTGTTGTGCCATTCAGCGTAAACTGCACAAATCTCTCCCATCTAGGCAAATAATACCCCCTGACCAACCCACCCCACTGCTTACTCGCATAGTCGCTGATTTCGCCGTCAGGTCCCCACAGCGTGATCTGGTTGCGGGCGTCGTATTCGTAGAAGTCCGCGAGGGAGGCGTTGTTGGAGGCGTGTTGGCGGGCGGAGGAAATCCAGGCTGAGAGGTGGAAGTGGGCGTGTGGGCTGGCGGAGAGGATGGCGTCGAGGGAGGAGAGGAGGTGGAGGAGTTGTTGGCCGGTTTGTGAGGCTTTTTGCGCGGAGTAGGTGGGTGAAGTGTTGTTTGACGTGCTGACGAAGGTGGTGTAGAGCGGATAGAAGGCGTTGGCGAGGACTTGGCGGGTGATGTCGGTGAGGTCGAAGGTGTAGGCTTCGTTGGCCCAGAGGTTGGGGTTTTGGGATGAGGCGTGGTAGAAGGCGGTCCAGGCGGTGACGAGGACGGCGGGCTCGTATTGGATTGTCGTTGGGTGGTGGCCTGTTCTGTTGAGGAGGCCGGTCGTGTTTGGGGCGAGTTCGAAGATGGATTTTGTGACGGCTTGGGCGCGGTTGAGGTTCGTGTTGTTGTAGACTGTCTTGCGCATCGTATCCCACGCTGTGTACAAGCCATTAGGCAGCGAGCGAGCGCCGTGGTAGCGTGAGGCGACCCAGTCGTGGAAGTATTTGTCTGTGTTGAGGGGTTGCTTGGACCAGGCTTGGTCGAGGAGGATGTCGTACATGATCTCGTTGCCTTCTTGGCCTTCCATCGTCAAGCCCATGCCTACCATTGTGCTTGAATCTGCCAGAGCGGCTACGGGGTTGATTGTCACGTTTTCGACTTGGCCGTAGAGACCCATGTTCTCTCCGTAGTCGTGCAGCTCGCACCAAATCCAAGGTTTGCCAAAGTAGGATGATGTTCGCTGCCACTGAGGTTGGGATTCTGAGAAGAGGTCTAATATCAACATATCTGAGTTGTCGACGCCGCTCAGATATGCCTCCACTCTGTCGTTCGTCCAGAAGCTTTCCGAGCTGTAGAACAGCCAGCCTTGGAGTAACCATATCGCATCAGGATCTGCAGCCTTCAAGCTCTGAATCGTATTGGAAGTCACATTCCGCAGGTAGTCTAGATCTCCAGAGTATGGATTGTTCTCATTGTACTGATCCAGGGTGTAGATGTCCGTTACATCGCCATAAGCCGCTGTCTGTTTCGTGATGAAGCTCTTTTGTAGCGTCGTGAAGAGGGGATCGAATGGCTCGAGGAAGGTGACATTGGTATATTCCGTTTCAAAGCCGCTCCATCGACTTCCGTTAACGAAAGACGCATTTGGATAGTGCTCGCCAATCTGCCTGGGGACGAAACCAGTGAAGCAAGGCAAGACTGGAGTCATTCCGAGCTCGACCATTCTTGCCACGATCTGCTTGTTGAGTGCGAATTGAGAGTCAATCCAACTTGGAGGGAGATCGCCGCCCCAGCTGCCTTGGATATTGCCAAACCGATTCCAAGCCTGGAAAGCTGGGCCTGACAGGAAAGTTGCAATCTCAGAGTTGCTGAATCCAGCTTCTGTAAACACATCGGACAAGATCTTCTCATAGCCAACCCAGGCGAGCGGAAGGTTGATTCCACGCAACGCCATCCAGTCGAGCTGGAGTTGCCAGTCATCCCAATCCCAAAAGGCAGACGTGTAGCTGAAAGTGACCGTGTTGAAGTGGTATCTCCATGGGACCGTGCTTGCTCCATGATAAGTCGAATTCAGGCGTGGTAGTCGAGCGGGAGCAAGGTCGAGTTGAGAGCCGATAAACCAGTATATGTCGACGTGGACGATGTTGGTCAGGTACCACCTCAGTCCAGTGGCGAGGGCAATTGGCGAATTTCCAGAGATGTGGATTTTCCCATTGGGTGCGTTGGAGACGGTATACTCGTCGTTCGCTGGTAGTGTGGAATTGGTCTGCAAGGCATTATGGCTCAAAGTGAAGGAAAAGCTGTTGACATGATCTGGAAGTCTTCTTCTGACCAACGCCTCAATTCCAGCAGTCGAATTGTTGGAAGTAGTGATACAGCTCCCAATGCTAGCAAACGCAAGGCTAGCCGCCAAGGAAAAGAGTCTCATCTTGAGGAGTACCTACTGAAATGTTGTACAGACCCAGCATGTTGGGCGACGGGTTTTCATCATGCCTCGAAGGAATCGTAGCATGTCGATCCTGGGGCACGTTGCATTTTCATGGAGTGATGTTACTGTACGGCGGAACTCGGTCCCCTAGCGGCCAACGTGACTCCATCGCGGCAGCCATTGGATAGATAGGCCAGCCCAGGATTCTGCGGGTACGCAAGATGTCTCTGAATGCGTGCGTGACGATATGTTCAATCGTGGCCTTGCCATCGATGGTCAGTCGAAAGTCGGTCCGCAAGCCGGCTTTCCAGGCAGATCCGGGCTGGCATCAGCAGAACGATAGCCATTGCCTCCAATAGTGATGATTCGCGCCATAATGATCATTCGAGAGCCGAGAGCCATGACGGATCAATGACAGGTGGTTCATCACCAAGTGCCTGTGGGAAAGAGATCCTTGAAACCTCATCTCAGAGCGGGAGTAGGTCCGGCGGCCGTGGTTGCCCTGCCAACCTGCCCACAACGGACTCCCATCTGCCTTTTCGCGGAGGCGACATGCTAGACGATTAGCTGCATATTCGCGATGCTCACGAGATACTACACTGTGCATCGCCTGATTGAGTAACCTGGTCAATCGCACAATCATGGAGTCGCTCCTTTCCCTCTCCTTCGACAACATCTCCTCCCGGGACGGCACCAAGATTCGAAAAGGGCTGCGGCAAATCGAAGGCCTGCTCGCTCAAGTATGCCTCTCCAAGGCAAGCTCCAGGTCGCCGCACAAAAGGAAGAGCTCAGCTTTGGATGGAGGAGGCAGACAGCAAGGGTCGGCGAAGGCGCTGGGTGAATTAAAGCAAGATCCTGCCTTTAGAGAGTTCTTCCGGTTACAAGAAGGCTTCCAGTGGAATGGTAAGTGATAATATACCTCAAAGCCATCGATACGGACTCCTGACACGCTGCAGTGGCATCAAGATTACTGTCAACACTCGAATGCCTCATGGGCATGGGCAACCCCTCCGACACCGACCTCCTCATCCTCGCAGCGCTGGAACTTCTACAAGGCGTGCTCCTCCTCCACCCACCGTCGAAATGCCTCTTCAGCCGAGAGAGCTACATGAATCTCTTGCTCGACCTCCTCGACTCATCGAACCCGCCGAAACTGCAATCGCAAACGCTCCTTGTCCTCGTCGCCTGCTTGCTTGACTGTCCCCGCAACACCAGAACGTTTGAAGCCATCGACGGCTTGCTGACCGTTACCAGTCTCTTCAAGAGCCGATCAACTACCAAAGACGTAAAGATGCGATCACTCGAGTTCTTATACTTCTACCTCATGCCCGAGGCGCCGGTGGCCCCACAAATCAGCGCCAGTGCACCCAATACGGCAGTTCTACAAAGAGGGCAGCATAAATACCTGAACGCAATTCCTGGGCATGCAAGGACACATTCGGGAGACAGCATGGACATCGATGACGAGGACTTGGACACTCGAACGCAAGAGGACAAGCAGGACTTGCTCGGGCAGTACCTGAGCAATGTCGATGAGCTCGTTGCGGACTTGCAGGAGAGCGGGCCTTTCAACACTGCAGTCACTGCATAGAAAGAGCTTGCAAGGTTGCATTTTCGTGGCGTTTTCTGCAGCGTTCTGTCCCCTGCTCTCTCTTCCAACCGCATGAAGCTGGCGTTTCTGTTTCTTTCTGGAAAGGTTCATGCAATATACCAGCTTGGGTGGCCAGCGTGCCCGGATTTTGAGGGGGTTTCGGTCTTCTTCCGCAGCGAGAGGCGTTGGCTGGCGTGCCTACTTGTCGTTGTTCGAGGGCGTTCACTTCGCCTCACCAAGGCGCTGCTTACCTCCAAGCGGCTTAGTTATAGCAAGTCTGCATCAGACTTTGAAGCGAGCACATACTGCTGTCTCCGAGCCAACCCTCAATCCTCTCTTCGACTGCCACGTCCGAACGAGTCTCCTGCAAGCGTTGTTGTATTTATCTCGCGGACTGAGGTCCGGAGACGCTGATTGGGAGTCCGTGCGCAAACGAACATCTTCAGCGCTTAGAAGCCCAGCTTCGATGTCCTCTCTACCACTCACGCACGACAACGCCCATCATTGTCCTTTTCGCAGCCGCCCAGGCGCCTGAAGGACGCAAACACTCAGCCATGACGAGGAAGGCGGCGGCAATGACGCAGAACGCGAAATGGCGGTGGTGTTTGATATATGGTCTGGTCCCAAGGTCTGGATATTTCCTCCTCGCGACGCGTCCTGCTGAAACGAGTCACGATTCTCCTTGTGTCTTGTCGTCCTTCTCATTTCCTGTCTCCTTCATTCGATTCGATATGCTGCTGGCCAGCCCTCTAATGACGTTACAATCTTCGTAATACTGCTCTGGGATAGACGGGTTCTTCTCCTATGCAAACTTGTACAGTACGATGCCTTCGGGCCGATCACAATCAACAGACGGCGAATCGACAGATCAACAGTCACCGCAGGCCACGGCGACGACCACCTGGATCTTTGACCTCCCGCAACAGTTGGAGAGCACAGTACCGCTGTGTGCGAAAACTTGCGTCTCTTCCTACATCAGCCAAGACTGGTCTTGCTCAACAAACAACTTCACTTGCTTGTGTTCCAACTACAGTACACAGGGATATACTCTGGGCGAACTTGCACTCCTCTGCATCACTCTCGATTGTTCAAACGCGAGTGAAGACAAGAAAGTCGATGCGTACACTGCTTGTGCTTCCGAACCAGATGCGGTCTCGCCCACGCACAGCACACTTTCCCTACCAACCGACATTCCAACAGGGACCCGAACAACAACTGCACCAAGGACCTCGTTACCGCACACTACCTTCAGTCAGTCCATCGCTTCGACACCGAGTTCATCAGTGTCCGCAGCTGTTTCCGAATCTAGCTTGTCGATCACTTCGGTCCCGAGCACGAGCATTCATTCACCTACAGCAACACCGGCAAGTGCCGCACCCAAGGCTCCCAAAGACTCGACGTCGCTCACCACTGCTCAAGCCGTTGGCATATCGGTAGCATGCATGGGAGGACTCATGGCGGCTCTCGGACTGTTCTATCTCTTTGCGTGCCTCAAACGTCGAAAGGCCAACAAAGCCAAAGAAGACCGTCATTCATACGATTTCGTGGACGACGCTCCGCCACGGATACCATCGTCCGACCATAGGCTCGCTGACCAGAGAGGACCTCTCAGTGGATACGCAAGACCCAGACCGGAGTTAGCTACGGAGAAGCATCGTACTCAGTGGCCTGGACCGCACAATGACCCGTATCCATACCGAGAGTCTCAACCATACCAATTCAATGAGAAAGGCATCGACAGAAATACGGGCTTGAGGAGGCCTGTGTCGCCAGAGAGCCCTCACAGCGATTGCAGCATGCGGACCACATCTCAATTGCTGCCGGACAAGCCGAACAGTATACCTCCTCGAAACCTACCGAAGTCACCGCCGGCAGAGAACTTCTCGACGCCGGAGACTGTTTTCGAGGAAGAGCGAGGTGCCCGAATACCGGGTGCTTTAATACCTGGAGGTGGTCTACCAGCCCATCCCGCGGTGCTGAAAAGAAAAGCACCACAGTACACCAACCACTACACGCGGTCACCAGAGCCATTGAAGCATCCCTCTTTATCGCTCGAGATCCCCCGCAAAGCTTCTGGCTCCGATTCGCTTGGCTCCCTGAGCGGCTTTCCTCTCCCTCCACCAAGAGCAGCAGTGCCACCAGACGACGTGCAACGCAGTAGTGGGCATTCGAAATCTCGGTCCAGTAATAACAGTCTCCTCAACTACTATGCAAGTCCGGATTGCGCCTCACCAGACGACCTGTACTCATCCACTCCAATTGAGGAACTTGGTCAGATCCGCCGACCACCACCAGCTGCGGTCACGGTGACGAAACCGACTTACCCACCAAAGGCTATTCGAATGTCTACTGCATCAGATACATCCCGTCGGACGTCCTTCGAGTCGACCGATCCAGATGAGCCTACTCCACCCGAGGAGGAAGAGAAGCAGTTGACACCGGTCGCTGAACTAGAATCGCCGATTTCTGGAATCAGATACCCCAAAGTACCAAGAAGTTCGGCGCAGTCGGTGCCCAGATCGCCAAACTACAAAGGGTCTCCACGGTTGGGCACTGAGTTTGGGAGGGCAGAGATGCCTCAGGTTGTGCCTGTGACACCTGAACAGCAGAGGCCCTTAAAGCACAGTCCGAGCCCTTCACTGAGCGGTTCCACCCTCGCAGCAAAACGCAGAGGCGATGATGCTGCACACGACCTGGAGAAGGGGCTATACATCAAGGGTTCTTCACATTCTCGGAGCAACAGCCAGACCATGGCACCGTTTCAGAAAGAAAGCCGATCAGCTCCCACTCGACAAAATCAAAGGCACGAAAGTCCTCTGAAGGGCTATGGCCGAGTTGCCAGCTCGCGAACAGAAGCTGAATGGCCTCTGAGCAACAAGCCCGAAATGAACACGGCTGTGGATGCACCAATGAAGAGTCCACTATGGGAGCCGAAGCTGACGCCGCGAAAGGAGGGCGATGATTTGTACTTGAGTGTTTCTGCTGCCACGCCGAAGGCTGTTCGGTTTCATGTGAGGTAGCGGCTAGTTGTGGAGATGTATTGATGCGTTCCAGCGATCTTCCGGTTAAAGTAGTCGATATAGATTGTGTTGTACAGATGCACGTCGTGTGAATTGAGGCTCACGAGATCCCTGTCCCCACGAGTTCACGATGCTTGCTTGCTGCAGGATGACATGTGGTGCTGCCGTTCGGCTTGTGCCGCCAATGTTGACTTTGGTGAACCTTCAATCCTCCAACGCTCGCGTGTGAACCGTTTCGTGTTTATTTGCTTGAGCAGACCCAGGGACAGTACACCCAGACGACGCGTCCGACATGGAACAACTGCGATAACTCACACGTCTGGCGCGGGCAATGGAAGGTCGTCCAGCACGGAAGCACCATCTCCACCACGCCGCATTCCTCACCACTCTCGCATGGCAGTTGACATGAGGTTGCTTGGGCAATGACCTTATCTATGAGCTGGCATTTCCCTCGAATTCCGTACGCCTTTACCACACTCTTCACTCTCATCACTTCAATTGGCGGTGGACTGACATGCGACTCTTCAGGTGGCATAGCCGACGACGCTCATTACAAGAGGAAGCATGACTTCCTACCACGCCTCCTCGCACACCCTCCGACTCACGCCCTCCAAGTCCCCCTTCTTCAAATCCCCGAGCCCGCGATCGCCGACCAAGCAGAGCAAACAAGAGGAGCCGGGGTTACATTTACGAAAAGTCATCGGGACGACGACAGCTTCTGCGAATGGGTTTGACTGTTTATCCGCTTCGAGGAAGTTTGCTTTCACGGCGGGAGCCGCTGCTGTGGTGGCTACTGTGGATGAGGAGTTGAATGTGACGCAGCATTTCTTTCGGGGGAACCCGAGTTCTTATACTGGAGGAGGAAGGGAAGGCAATGGAGGCTGGCCGCTGTCGCCGACGCCTCATGATCCGAGATTTCGAGGGGTGAAAGAGCAGGCTACGGGCGGCTCGCCTACGAGTAGGGATTGGTCGGATTCACCGGGACGGACAACTTCTGCGAAGGATCGTGTCAAGGCTGCGACTTCTGTTGCGCTTAGTCCGAATGGAAGGTGGCTGGCCGTGGGAGAGACTGGATACAGGCCGAGGATCTTGATCTTTTCGGCAAGAGATGGGTCTTCAGAGAGTCCTGTATCAGTGCTGGCGGAGCATACGTTTGGCGTGCATGCGCTGAGCTTCAGTCCGGATTCGAAATCTTTGGCCTCGCTGGGGACGGTCAACGATGGTTTTCTATACGTCTGGACTATCGACGAGCGAACTGGTGCTGCAATACTATCCGCAAGCAATAAGTGTACCACCATAATCCACTCAATGGCGTGGATGGGTCGAAGCATCGTCACAGCCGGACTTCGCTATGTGAAAGTCTGGCGACCTGAAGAAGATGTGGCCTTGGACAAAGTCATCGACAGTCTACGAAACAGTACCATATCCACCCCTCGCAACAAGAACGAGCCGCGAACATCGGACTTTGGGAACAGCATTCTCAGTCCGAAGCATCGTGCACTCGCAGGGAAGAATAGCTTACTCGGCGACCTTCTCGAAGCAACCTTCACCTCCGTCATACCGATCTCTGAATCGAAAGCCATCATCTGTACGGAAGCAGGCGATGTTTGCTTGCTGGACGATAGTGGCAGAACGCAGACGCTGTCCTTGGCAGCCAATGCGGGAATCCGAATCTCAGCCGTTCGCATCGACGACAACAGCATGCTGCATGCAGTTGGTCCCGATGGCAGCGCTGTATCGTTTCTCGTTCCGGATCTCGAGAGACGTGCTGGTAGCCCTGGGAAACCTCGGCAACCTTCTGCTTCGAGCATCAAACCAAGTCAACCTCAGGGTACGGTGATAGTAGCCCTTGGTACATTGGGAAATGCTGTGGTGGAAATTGACTCGGATCGAGTTATAAGGCTGTATAACACGCAAGATGGCGCAAGTACCGGTGCGGTACTATCACAGCGGCAACTGACTGCACATGAGGATGCTGTACTTGGCGTTCGACCGATTCGATCGTCGACTCTCCAGGACGCTGCCTTCTTCACATTTTCAGGACATGGCACGATCCACTTCTGGGACAGCGAAGGAGACTCTGTAAATGACGGCCTGAGAATTCCAGTCGTCAACTCGACGGAGATGTACGGACTGCCAAATGAGCTGAAGTCTGTCGAAGCTCTGGCTGATGGGACGATGCTTGCCTCCGGGGACAAGTATGGCAGCTTGACTGTGGTCGAAATTGCGACAGGTGCTGTTCTACATCAAGTAAGAGCGCACTCCGCTGAAGTTCTGGATCTGGTCTCGTTCGAGCGGGCTGGTGTTCAGTACCTGGCTTCCGCTAGTAGGGACAGGACTGTTCAGCTGTTCATGTGCCGTGATGGCATATTGGAGCTCATTCAGACCATGGACGAACATGCTGGAGCCGTGACCGGACTGCTTTTGTCCCGCGATGGCGATCAGCTATTATCATGTGCTGCGGATCGTTCGATCGTTGTTCGACAACGATTTCTCCGAGACTCCCGCGACGGCAGCGCTTTGGCCTTTGGCATGCTTCGAGCCATCACGTTGAAATCCTCGCCAACGAGCATGTGCTTGACTACGCAGAGAGACACCATTCTGGTCTCCACAGTGGACCGCTGCATTGGGAAGTACAGCACCAAGAGCGGCCAAGCGGGATTCAGTTTCAAGTGCTCTGACAACGATGGCGGAGAAGCAGCGGTCATGTCAAAGATTTCCTACTCCCCGTCACTCAATGGCAACCCCACGATCGCTGGGGTGTCTAGTAGCGATAAGTCTGTCCGCCTGTACTCGGAGTATGGAACTCTCATCGCTCGAGACTGGGGTCACACTGAGGGCATCACAGACATGGCCTTCGTCTCTGGTGGAGATGGGGACGGCGAAAGACTGGAGCCGCCCAAGATTGCTACAGTGGCTGCCGACTCCACGATATTCCTGTGGGACAGCCTCATTGTCAGCAATCGCTCAGGCGCAAACAGCGCCGACAGTGAAAACGTTCAAAACGGAAACCTCTCAACACCCTTGGGCCCGCCCCTGAGGAAGGTCATTTCCCACACGGAAATGTCGCGCTTTCGTCGTGACAAGTCGATGGATGAGCACGATTCGCCGTCTCCACCTACGAACCCAGGACCAGCGCCGCCTTCTCCTCAGAAGATTCGCAAGAAGACTTCGAGACTGTCTCTTGCGCAGACACCCCGTCTTGAGCCTGGCTTTCGCTCCAACTTTGATCCGTCTAGGCGACGTAGCTTGAGACAGCGCTCACCTTCACCTCCAAGTCCGCGGAATCCTGCCAAGAAAGATACCAGCCGGCGGCAGACCTTGGGTATGTCTCTACGCTCCAAGAGCAGCGAGAATATCTTGAATACCGGAAGCAGCTCGACTGGCTTCGGGACACTCACCTCATCGACCGAATCGGTGTGTCGCACATTACGTGCCTATCGAAAGAAGCTAGGCAACACAGCGACAACCGACAGCATCACCCCCGAAGCGCTGCGCGAGCTCGAAAAGGAGTTGAAACTCACTGCACGCGTAGTCGGCGAAAAATCGCAAGGCAAGACGCTCGATGAAGCAACCATCGCCAAGCTGCTGGATCAAGCCTCCGACAAGATCGTGGGTCTTCTAGATGAGAAGATCAAAGCGCGAGTTGAAGGCGAGCTGAAACGAGGAGACATATCTACGTCGGCCGGCTCGACTCGTTTAGAGCCTCCTGCGGAGCTGGACGAGCACAGTTTTGAGCGCTCGGAGACGGCGCCTGGGGAGCTAGAATCACGCCAGCCTGGGTCGTGAGAGCATTACTTTCAGATCATCTTTGCATTTTTCCGGATGGTCATGGATTGCATGAGCTGAATTGGGTCACACCAGTCTCCTTGGTGTCAGGACCGGAATAGGGAAGGACAGCAGGCCCAATGACTGCCCCGTCATGTGGCGTTTGTTTTTATTGTGTTTGGAGGCGCAGGAGAAAAGAAAGATACCCATCTCTTTTTTGATCGTATGTACTTCTACTGCTACTATTATGTGAGCCGAAAGGTCGGTTCGATGTCTTGTACTCATATCTTGGGACCAGCCGCTTGGCGTTGACTTGTTCCTTACCAGAAGACCGCACTGAATCGCGATAAATTACCGACACACCTAAATGCAACTTTGCCGCGACTTCTACATGTACATATTATTCAGCCAGAAGCTGCATCTTGCTTGCTTCGACGCAGCTGATCCTGGTAAAAGAACTCTGGAGACCTGGCTGGTCGACTCGAAGTCTCCTTTGGACCCTGGACCTAGATCGATATTGACGACATGCACCCTTCTGCTTCGTACACCGCCATGACTCGAGGCGTCTGGGTACATCCTTGAGCCGGCTGGCACCGAATGGCAAGGAAATGCAACTCCAAGTTCTAGCAGCATACTTCGTAGCGACGACTCTGGAAAGGGCATCAGTCAAATGGATAGGTTTTGGGGCATTGGACTGACGAAAACAAGAGAACATCGGGTCTGAAACAGCATCAAATTGTGAGATGGACCCAAGGACCCGATGCGAGCATTTTGTGTCGTGATGGGAGGATTGCCATGCGAACCTCTGTACTCATTCCGGTGCTTGGGGAGAAGGCTACGCCATGCACCGGAAACCAACGATCACTGGACGGCTCGCGTGCGCAAATGCACATGCATGCACTGTGACACCTAGTCGGATGCCCATGACACGGTCACTGGTACCGTCACCATCGATTGTTCCCCATTCGAGGCTTTTGGCGGTGCAGGTAGGATGTTTGTCTATCTTCGCACACTCATCACAAGGCTCTTGCTTGACCTTGTCCAGGCTTGAACTGCATTGGACATGGAATAGGGTGTATATCCATCCACAGCTAGACAAGGACCCAATCTTGACTCCGACCACGAACTTATCACACCACGTTCGCAGAGCAAACAAAAAGCCTGCACATGCCCACGAGAGCGCGCTGATGCGTTGGCCGATGGTAACGAACGCAGACGATTGACCGAACTTTGAAGGCCGTCCTCCTGCGCGGTGACACGAGAGCGTTCGGTACTTCTGCCTTGGAGAGAGAGGGGGTCGGCGCGCACGTTTGGGATGCTGTGCGACGTCGACGAGACACAGGATCCTGGTGCAGCAATGGATGGCGTTTTCGTCGCTGGTCACTCGCTCTTTTTCGAGGGACTTTGACCTCGTGAGGCCTCTTCTGCGACTGTTCAGAAGGCGAGCTCACGATGACGGTGTCAGGACATGCGTCTCCTGAGGCGGTAGTCGCCGTGACCGTGGTCTTTACGGTGATGGCGGTGGTCGTCGTTGCGGCGAGATTGTATGCTCGACTTGGAGTTGGAAGAAACGCTGGGTTGGACGATCTGTTCATTGGAATTTCATTGGTACGTCTAGCAGGAAGTCGGTGATGATGGATTCTTTCTGATGAGGATGTATAGCTTTTTGCCGTTGCCACCACAATCACGATGTGCATACAGGCACGATATGGGATGGGAAGACATATCAAGTCACTCAGCCAGGACGAGGTCAAGAAGCAGCTCATGGCAGTGAGTGCATCCAGCACGGTGTACAGCGTTGCCCCCACAGCTGATGATATTGTAGTTCTACGTCTCGATATGGGTCTACAACCTCTCGCTCTCCTGCACAAAAATCTCCATCCTTCTCCAGTACCTCCGAATCTTCCCTCAACCACGGTTTCGCAGATGCTGTTACGCCATGCTGGTTGTGGTCGTTGTTTACAGCTTCTACACCTTCTTCACCGCCGTCTTCGCCTGCACGCCGATTGAGTACTTCTGGGACCAGTCTGTTGGAGGGCATTGCTTGGACAGGTTTGCGGTTTGGTCAGTCGGATACCAACACATAACTGACTGCTGTGGCTGACGTTTGTAAAGGTTCGCCAACGCTGGCATCAACATCGGAACCGACATACTCACAGCCATCCTACCATTACCAGTGCTGAAGCAACTCGAGCTCCCCAAACGCCAGCGTTACGCTCTCATGACCGTCTTTACCTTGGGAGGCTGTCAGTAACGTCCAAGTCCCCTATCAACCATTACCGCTAACAATGCTTCCACCAGTCACCTGCATCGTCTCCATCCTCCGCCTGCAATCCCTCTACGTAATCTCCCGTACCAAGGACACAAGCTGGGAGAACCCCCTCGCAGCAATCTGGTCCAACGTCGAGATCAACATCGCAATCCTCTGCTCCTGCCTCCCCACGCTCCGCTGCATCTTCCCCAAAATCTTCAAATCCCAACTCTCCCGCGACAGATCCGGCACCAACCATGAACCCCACGAAGACAGTGGCGGAGGACGCTGCACGCCCAAGTTCCTCACCAGCCTCGGCGTCACAAAACTCCTGAGCAAAGTCCACTCCTCAAGTTCCGGCGACACGTCCTCTCGCTCGTACAACGCCAATCCCTACCGCTCCCACCGTCCCGCTGCGCAGAGCGAGACTAGTCTAGAGGCTTTCGGGAGGAGTCTACACCACAGCGTGGGCGTGGGAAAGCAAAAGAGCGCATGCGTCAGGACGCAGAGCAGTTTCGACGATATCGATCTAAGGGGGTTGGACAGGAGTGGTTCGTCGAGGAAGAAGGAACCGCCGAATGGCAGGATCCATGTGTTGACGGCGATTGATCAGCAGGTGGAGGTGGAGAGGAAGGGGGATAGCGATTGTGAGAGTACGAGGGATTTGGTGAGGGATAAGGGGTACGTGTGAGGGCGTGGCATTTGGCTTGAGTTTTCGAAGGGGCGTTTGCGTGGAGTGGTAATGACGTTACGAACATGGGAATTGCTCGGGCTTCTGGGAATCGGTATGGTTGTACAGTATCTGCAGCTTCGACTTTCTGTACATGTATTTCGTGGGCGCCTGTTCGAGCATAGACGGCTGGTAGGCTCCTTGGTTTTGCGAGACTGTTGCATTGAGTTCCTGTCGAAGGCGCGTGAAGAGAACCTTCATTTCGGGGCTACGCTCGGCGGACGGCTCCTTTTCTTCACTTGATGCAGAGGCCTATCTCCCTCGTTGAGAGCTCGTGGCACGACTTGCTCCGTCTTGTTCAATGGTAGGAGTCGCTTTTCGCTGCAGATCTCCCTGTACTGGCTTGGGCAGAACCCAATGGCATGCATATTGGATACGCGAAGCTGCTTCCAAGAGCTTGTGAGGGTGGATTCCTTCCAAAGCATGAGGAGCTCGCGGTGGAGTTCTCAGTAAACCGACAGAGCATCCTGCTTCAACCTCCTTTCTTTGCGAATCTCGCAAGAGCAGGACCAAGTTCTTCTTGCTGCTTTCCCTCCTTGATCTCCTTCGCACGTTGGCGCTGCTTCTCTCTCATCTCCGTGACGCGCATCTTGTGCTCGTCGATGACGTTCTTGTTGCCCTTCTTCCTCATATACTTCCTCAAGCTGCTGTTCTTTCCTCGGCCACGATTCTTCAGCTCCTCGACACGCTCCCTCTCGGCTTCAACTCCAGTCTTGCGGTCCAGATCCTTTTCCAATTGCCGCTGTTCGTGTGAAGCTTTGTCGAGATTGCCCACGAAGTCTGGGTTCAGGCTGATCATCTCTGGCTGCAGCTTGTTCAAAAGGGATTTGACTTCGCCTTCTTGTCGCTGCTTGGCATTCTCGTAGGGGTTGACTTCTAGGGCGTCAAAGTTGGGCTCGCCAGCACCAGGGACGATGATCGACGTGAAGCCTTGATTGTGACCGATGCCTAGAACGTCTTCAAATGGGCACCATCGTACTCTCTCGACTGTCTGCCCTTGAGCGCCCCATGCCACATATGGCGACTGGACCTTGACTTGATCGACGTCCGATCGGTGCTTGGAGAATAGGTCTTTCCAGACTGTCGTCTGAGTGCCCCAGCCAACGGCCGTGAGATTTCGATCGCTGATTGCCACACTAGATCCTGGCTGTCGAAGGAAGTACTCATGTACAGGCTTGAAATTCCGAACATCCCAGACCGCCATCTTCGAGTCTTGACCAGTGCTGACCATGTAACGACCCTCTCTATCCATAGCGAGTGACCGTACTGGACCACGATGGCACAACATCTTCACGAGTGGAGTGGTTGAATTCGGTGACCAGAGCGAGACTGTTCCGTTCTGATGTCCAACGTGCAGAACTGCGTTGTATGGGTTCTGGCCGAGCGCTGTTGGCGTCCCTTGCTTCGTTCCCATTTGCATGACGATCTTGCCAGTCGACGTATCTTGCCATTTCAACCATCCGGCCTTCCCAATTGTTGCCAGCAAATAGTGATATGGTAAGAACTCCATGTGCGTGACTTCGATGTGCTGGTCAAGGTTGTGGATTTCAACGCCGTGATGATCGTAGATGTACACATTCCTCTTTTGCGCAACTGCAAAGTATTGGTTGTTGTGAAGCCACTTCGCATCTCTCACAGTCTCGCCAAGTTGCAGCTCACAGCCTAGCTTTCCGCTTCTCCAGTCGATGGTCGCAACATGTCCCTTGCGACCAGCAAGTAGCAGGTCCTTTCCGTTCCGCGTATAGTCTGCTGTGTATGGTCCCAGCTGGTCCAGCTTCAACTCGAATGACTTCTTCGCAGTCTCGATAGCCACATCCGTCTTGATCTCATCCTGACGAACTTTGTACGTCCGTTCCAATTCTCCTTCTGGTTCAAGAAATCCTGAGTCGTTCTCGAGAAGAATCTCTGCATCTTTCGCTTTCAACGCAGCCTCTTGGTATCTTTCTTCCAGCGCTTTGAGATTCCCTCGCAGCTTCTTGTCCTTGATGCTCTTGGTCTCTATCCCCCGGCCCCGTCCATACTGCTTCTGTGCTTCCTGTATTCTCTTTTTCTTTGCCGCCTGCTCTGGATCCAGTCGTGCGGTCGGCGGGCCCTTCTTGCGCTGGACCTTGACCTGCCCGTTCGCACGAACGAGGTCACTTGTCTCGAATTCGGCCATGTGGGCGGGGTGGTTTACAAATCGGCGGCCATGGTCGCGTAGATGTAAATTCGCAAAATCTCGAATCGGGTATTGAACTTTTGGTCGGAGCTTCTTAGCGCCGGGTGGTGGCGCCACCAGTCACCAGCCACATCGGCCAATAGCCGAACCCCAGCACGCTAAAAAGTTGGAGCTCCCACAGCAACAACGGCTCGAACGGTTCAATTCCCTCAAACATCCAATCCGCCATCGGAGCTTCCACTCTTGCATTGGCTTTTCTCGTCATACCATCTGATAGCAGCTTCCACTTCCATCACCTGCCGCACCGCAACCATGATCGCCAAATCTGCTCTCCAGCGAGCAGCTGCCACTCCAGCTCGCAACGTCCTCGTCCAGCACTCCGTCCGCGCTGCCTCGGCCTGGTCGCAAGTTCAGCAAGGTCCTCCAGATGCGATTTTGGGCATCACCGAAGCTTTCAAGAAGGACAGCAACCCAAAGAAGATCAATCTCGGCGTGGGAGCATACCGCGATGACAAGGGCAAGCCTTACGTGCTGCCATCGGTGAAGGAGGCCGAGCAGAAGGTCGTCAAGGCGAATCTGGACAAGGAGTACGCTGGCATCACTGGTGTACCCGAATTCGCCAAGGCAGCTGCTCTACTTGCCTACGGTCCAGACAGTGCCGCTCTCCAGGAGGGTCGCATCGCCATCACTCAGAGCATCTCAGGTACTGGTGCCCTTCGGATAGGTGGTGCCTTCCTCCAGCGCCACTATCCAGGCGCAAAGACCATCTACATCCCAACCCCATCATGGGCCAACCACAAGGCTGTCTTCTCCGACAGCGGCCTCGAGATCAAGCAGTACCGATACTACAACAAGGACACCATTGGCCTCGACTTCGATGGCATGGTCGCCGACATCAAGGCCATGCCAAAGGGCTCCATTATCTTACTCCACGCTTGCGCGCACAACCCAACTGGTGTCGACCCAACTGAGGAGCAGTGGAGAGCTATTAGCGATGCCGCCAAGCAGGGCGACCACTTCCCATTCTTCGATATGGCGTACCAGGGCTTCGCTTCCGGCGACACCAACAAGGATGCATTCGCTCTGCGCTACTTCATTGAGCAGGGCCACTACCCATGCCTTGCCCAGTCATTCGCCAAGAACATGGGGCTCTACGGCGAGCGTGTCGGTGCCTTCTCCATCGTGACCTCTTCACCTGAGGAGAAGGCTCGTGTCGACTCGCAGATCAAGATTCTCGTCCGACCACTCTACTCCAACCCACCAGTCCACGGCGCTCGTATTGCAAGCACCATCCTCAACGACTCTGCTCTCAACAAGCAGTGGCTCGGTGAAGTCAAGGGTATGGCCGACCGCATCATCAAGATGCGTGCTCTCCTGAAGGAGAACCTCGAGAAGCTGGGCAGCAAGCACAACTGGGATCACATCACCTCGCAGATTGGCATGTTCGCGTACACCGGCTTGACTCCAGAGCAGATGACCAAGCTTGCTGAGGAGCACTCGGTCTACGCTACCAAGGACGGCAGAATCAGTGTTGCTGGCATTACGTCCGAGAACGTGGGCCGACTCGCCGAGGCCATCTACAAGGTCAAGGGATAAGCTGCTCACCGTCCTGGTGGGCGTCGATTCGATGATTGACGACAGCCGAGGCTGGATTGAGAGGTAGCTCGAGGTGGAAAAAGTAAGATACGATGAACGGGATGTACAGTAGTCATGAAGCATTAACATAGCGGGCGGGTAAAGGGATGGCTTTATGGTCGATACAACAAGACAGCCTCTGGCAATTGATGCTCTCTACTCACGTTGTCAACAAGTGCCAGTGATTTCTCGTTGTGAGGGCGAAGACTCGTAACGCAATGCTGGACGCGAAAAGCGAACTATAACCCCTGCGCCGGCTGCTAGCGGGACGATCCGTGCTCGAGTGAAGGAGGGCGCGCGGCATGAGCCGACTTCACTCTTGCACTTTCACATGCCATCAAATCGTACCTGGTAACCATTACCATTGTATCGTACACAGATCAGCCTATTTGTGAATCGACCATCAACTGTATCTGAAATGATTAGTATCATGCACCGAGTCGAAACGAGGGCCGGAAAACACGTACAAGTTGCTTGGAGCCCTTTGAACTTTGATGGGAATGTATAGGGTCGACACGTCGGGACGATGAAATATTTAGTAGAGCGAGCGGCTTGATGAAATTGGAAGACTCGGTGGTTGACAAGTGAGCCGTCGTCTGCGATCGAAATGGGATCCCAATATGTCGTTGTAGCTTGCAGATGAACAGTAACATTGGATGCTCTGAAAAGTGTAGAGCTCTGCGGCGGGGAAGGCGGTTGGATACGAAGGCGTCGATTGCGACACCGTCTTGGGAAGTGAAAGAAGGAGGACAAAAAGTCGCAGCTTCGGGTTATTTACGCCGTGTGCTGTGTTCGACATTCATTGCGAACGTTTCTAAAAGGATTGACTTAGAAGGTCGTGTGTTGATCGATATTGTCTGAGTTTCTGCAATTTACTCGCGCGATGTTGCATCCTCGTCGCAATATGCCGTGCGGATCCTCTATGTTTATCGATCAGCGACCAACGCCTCAAAATCAGAATCAAAAGAACAACCACCCGCAAACAAATCCAACTCCCGCCGCCGCGAATCGAACACTTACCCAACCAAACAATATCCATCCACACCCAAGGCAAAAGCAAAAAAGGAGAACTAGACATCTCCCACCCCTGCTTAGTGAGGGATATGGGTAACGATGTATCTAGAGAGGACAAATGTCATTTTGATCCTACTTTTTTGTTGTTTTGTGTTTTACCACTACGCCATCGAACCCCAACTGGCAACTTTGGGGCGCTTGAAGGTGTAGCGTGACGTAGGAGAGTTTGGAAGGACATATAAGGGTCCATTTTGGGGTTGGGCCGGGGTTTTGGCAGTGCTTGGCCTGGAGGGGAGGAGGGGGTGGTTTGGATATCTTTTGCTAAGAGTTTTGGGCACTCCGAGAGGGTTGTGTTTGGTGATGGATGCGGTGGGTGGTTTGTCTGGATTTGCGTGCTAGTGTTCGTAAATGGCACCGTTGTTCACGACAAGGTGATAAGCAGAGCAGATTCTACATGTGATGCGACGCTTTTGGCTCAAACGATGACGAGACTCTGTGTCAGATAGTGATATGTTATCCCCTGCTCAAGATGCTACAGCTTAGATTGCTGCTCCAAATTGGCCTGTGCTGGTTATGCAGGTACAGCAGTATCAGGCACCGAGGGCTTCGGCATGAAGAGTTTGGGTGTCACGAGACAAGTTCGTTCATCGAATGACGACTGATCCATGTCGACAAGTCTCTTGCCAGGGCGCCTCGTCATTCATCGACAACTCACGAAGGTCCATCCATTCTAGCTTCAAGTCGCCGGCTAAGTCTAAGAGCAAGCACACCGAACCTCAGGTCCAGCCCTAGAGGTCAAGGAAGTCTTACAAATAGCCTCTTCTGCATGACCCTGTAAATCTATAGGCCGGCATCGTCAGAGGTTCTCGTTCGTCTCGCGAGAGAGCCATTTGGTTATTCCCAGCTTGGCTGGGAGATCTGAGAGACTAGTTCGATCGGAAACCATGGTCAGTCATTACCTACAACTACCTATTTTAGCGAGGCAGCGGTCTCAGGGTATGTTGTGAAGAACTCTCGAAATGCAATTCCGGACTCAAGTTGTCGAGGGGTCATCGAAAGGACGTATTCACAAGACTGAGCAGACGAAGGTTGGTAGTGCTGGCGGCGAATCGGTGTTCCGCTACTGAATCTAGTCAGACCTCATCGATGAGGCTTCGGTTACAGAACGCGGACTGTCTTCTCCAGTGCCGCTACGATGATAGAGAACGGTGTTCAACCGCTCAAAGTGGAACGGCTTTCAAAGCAACCAGTGTCATGATCGTACTTCGGATGTCTTGGATAGCTTGAGAGATATGAGGATGTATGTTCTACTTTCAGCGGTATGTGGAGTAGGTCAGGGGGTCAAAGAGGAGGGCAGAGCGAATGCTTGTTCAGTTGGAATGCCAGCATACGCCGAGCGACTGAATCGACATACCTTCAAGGCCGGTCGACATGTCACCGCTGAGCCTAAAAGATACAAATCCCTATTGCGTCGACTGCCGCCCCGATCATCGACTGCCATTGCTGGCTGACACTGCAGGTGACCTGGCTGTTGAAAAGCTTCTCTCCCGCGTTGGAGACCACTTTGAGTAATCGAATTATCTGGCAAATCCTCCTACTGGACGCAGCAGGAGTGGCTACCTCGAGGGGTCGGCGTCCACGCGGGCACGCTAGAACTTCGTGATACACGTGAAGTTCCGGCGATCGCTAGAGCTCCGAAGGCTCCCAAAGAATAGCACAGGCATCGGATACCGGTAGCGCTACCTGAAGCAGTAAGACCAGTCGCATTCTCCTTCGACGTGCATGCGCTTGGCGTGCAAAGAGGAGCGCAGATACGTCAGGCTGCCCACGCTCGAGTGCGTCCGAATGCATCAGACGTGTCTTTATCGCGCTGGAAATTGCTATGTGGTGCGCGAAGCTTTGCCCGTGGTGAGGAGTTGAGGTCTAGACTTGAATGTGCGTGACAGCCAACAGGGTCTTTTCGCGCCGATCTTTCGGCTGGCGGAGACATGACGTCAAATTATATAAAGAATTTTGAGGAGCACAGCGAAAGCGCGATGCAGCGGTAAAGCTGGGCGGAAAAAAGGTCAAAGGTGTGAGAGCCTGGTCGCGGCAAGGCTCGCATGCTGTGGAAGTGAAATTGGCATTGCAGGCGGCTCAGGGTGTTCTATCTGGCAGCAGACGGCAGTCCTGGGACGATGACGAAAGCGAAGCGTGAAGGCTTGACGTGCGCGCAGCTGAGAGACGAACTTTGAAGCGTTTAAGGCAGTCCAGCAGTAGCAGTCTCCACTACGGCCATCCTTCCAGCATCAAGCGCAATACCCCACTGCAGATAATTCCTCACAGCACACCACCACGTTGGGTGCGCGATACCGCTCCGCCGAAGGCACCCTTAGCGACACGTGCGACTCGAGGTCCCTGACATTGCAACCACACCACCACCTCCTCCGTGCCTCCAGCGCCTCCGTCTGTCCATTGTTCTTGCTGCCAGAGCATCGCACAGCACGCTGCGTCGCCGGCTACCTCTCCAGCAGCGCCCCCGGCACCCTTCTGAGGCCAACCTTCCCAGCAGTTGAACCGCCTGGCTTGCCCCGGTTACCCAGCTAGGAGAGAGGAAAGTACAAGACGTGCGCGCCTCGCGTCTGACATCATCGCCCGGCTCCAGCGAACGAACGGTGAAACCTGCGACAGACACTGCACCGAAGCGGTCAGTTCGCAGGTCGTCGACGCCCTCAGCCTTCCATTCTCGGACCGCAGAAGAGGCGCCAGCCAGCCTGCCTATCGCTACCACCACCCGCCCGCTGCTCTAACCATGGCGGCTTCAGGAAAGACGGATGCCACAGTACGCTCCTCCAGCTCCCACCGCAGTCTGCAAGACCGCCCGCGACTGGGCGACAGGTCTCTGCCGAGATGTCAGTCCTACTGCTGTTCGCCAGTCAGACCACAGCTCAGTCGCAGTGCCGCGTCTCATCACTCTGCTTCATCCGCCAAATCCCTGTACAGCACTGGAACTGATGGTTCACATGCACAGTCCGAACCCGTCCTGAAGGGCCTCGACCTTCCTGCAGATGACCTCGATATCACTACTTTCGAGCAGGTACGAAAAACCTAACCGTGGAACAATGTGATCGGGAACAGCGGCTAATATACATGTCCAGATCCTCGAGATGGACGATGATGAAGAGGAACGTGACTTCAGCAAATCGATCGTCTACGACTTCTTCACGCAAGCCGATGGCACTTTCCAAAAAATGAAGTCCAACCTGTACATTGACTCGCCCCCTTGATTGTGGTTCCCCTTCAAAGGAGCCTCGCACGCTAACATTCGCACTGCAGGGAGAAGAAGGACCTAGGACAGCTCTCCAGCCTCGGACACTTCCTCAAAGGCTCCTCGGCGACGCTCGGACTCTCAAAGGTGAAGGACTCCTGCGAGAAGATTCAGCACCTCGGAGCGAAGAAGGACGAGACCGGCACCCATGATGAGACTGACGAGGACCTCATCCTGAAGAAGCTGGACACGGTCATCAAGCAAGCCGAGAGCGAGTTCAAAGTCTGCGAGAAAGCTCTACGGAAGTTCTACGAACAACAATCGTGATTCATCTCCCTCCTACCATCACATCGACCCTTTTTAGACCTACAGGAGATGGGAACTTTTGGGGAGACACGGCTCGGCGACTCATGACCATCGACAGCATCTACGTCTTGCATTATCCCTAGGTTGAGAGAGATGGGCGGACGTTGGATGCTTACCACACGATGACCAAGCATATCACTATGCACAGTGGGTAGCAGTAGGGGAAAGGATGTCTGGGAAGACGGGGTTGTGTGCTTGGGTTGTGGATTTTGATATGAAAGCATGCGAGCGCGCATTGCCCCCCTACGAAGCTACCGTCACAATATGCATGAAACCCTCACCCGCTTCTTGTAGTTTTTTACATCGCATAATAAGGGATGACCTGCCCCATGATCCCTCTGTCTTGCAACGCCATTTGAACGCCATGCCGTCTGGATCTAGCAGCAAAATATCTGCCGCATACTCTTAATGAAGTGTGAAGTTTGTCTTTGGGGTAACCCTATCGTTTCCGCTCCTGGTCGCGAAGCTCACGCCATCGGGACATCAAGGGACCCATTTCCTCCTCGCAGTTCCTGGCGGGGTCGCGTTGGCAACCGTGGAAGTTTGCCACGAAGTCGCCTTCTTGGTAGAGGCCTGCAAGCATGCATTGTCAGCACTTCAAGACATATTCCTCGAGCTTGATTTGGAAAGCCTACCTTCTGTGGTGCTGGTCCCCACGTCCCTGGTATAGCTGTTCAAGACCCTTTGAGGCACCAACGCCAGCTTCGCCAGTATAGTTCCATGCCACTGCACGATATGTTCCAGGGCATGGCCCTCTGCTTTCTGGAAGTTATAGCTGCGGTACAGCGGGTCGTACCATGCATCCAAGAAGAACTTGGCCCACTCCCCTGACTTCAGCATCACGCTGCCTCCCGCCAATCCCTCCTTATCCTGGGTGATGATCAGCTCGGCGCGGTCGCCGTGTAGGTGCGAGAACGTCTTGATGACGCTGTCCGGCGGCACGACGGGTTTGTCGATGATCATGAGACTTTCGAGCTTCTTGGGCTCAGTGAGCTTATCGTGTAAGCTCTCGCGGGTGTTCATGATCAGGGCTGTCGAGGTCAGGTACCACAGCCACGGGGTATGGGGATAGAGCGCCATGGCGTGTCGAAGGGCCGGGACGGTGCTCCAGCTCTGCGGCGTCTTCTCCATGAGGTCGTAATCAGTCGTGTTGGGGAAAAAGGTCGCGTATCCATGTCGCGACGCATAATGCCTTCTGTTCTCCTTGATCGCCTCTTTGTATTTCTCTGAGAGTTTCGGGTCCAGGGTCGTGACTATGACCACCTCAGGTGTCCCTGGCGGTATCCGCACGCCGGTCGACGAGCCGCTGAAGAGCCATAGGAACAGCCATATCAGCGCGACGATACCTAGAAAGGGTGGGCCGTAAGTTTTCAGCGCTCGCCGTTGTCGGTATGAGGAGGATCGTGTGGAGGTGTAGGCGGAGGGTGTGGACGATTTTCGGGGATACGGAAACTGCATGCCTGGCATTGTCGTATTCACAAGCGCACGGAGGTTCGAGACAGGAGGGGCCGGGTGAGTGGGCGGTGGTTTGTCCTGTCGCTCAGGATGTCTACTCTTTCATTGCGTCGCGGGCGCGGCGTGCGCTGTGGAAGTATTCGTCCGGTGTTCGTTTTGGCGGGCGACGTTCAGCTGGGCGAGGTGGATATTGAAGTATTGGCCAGAAACGCCGGCTCACGAAAGATGTAATAATAACCCAGGGCATGCAGGGAGAGACGGCGACTCCCGCAGAGCCTCAACCCGCTTCCTTCAGCCCTATGATGGATCTGGAAAGCTTCTTGCGATTTCACGTGCAACTTTCTGAACCTTACATTCCTTTTTGCATCGGGCACGCGACCTTGATGTTGAGCGTTATCAGACCCGCGAAGCATATCGCCACATCACTCCGAGCTGGTGTATCGAGAAGTGCGAGGGACAGAGCTGTGGGAAGCGTTTCCACGTACACTCTGCTTCCGAGATGGCATGAACCAGGCATCAGGCGCTTTGGGCGCTCAGTAAAAAGATGGCAAGAGACGAAAGCAGAGGGGGCATTGGGAGAATTGGTACAGAATGCCGCTCTAGTTGAGCATGATAATTTTGCGTTCGCGAAGACGCTGCCAGTTGTATGCCCTGGATGCGGCGCTCTGAGCCAAACGATCGAACCCGAGTCACCAGGCTTCTACAGCCGGAAGAAACGCAATGTCAAGACGACACAAAAGAGCGATGAGGACAAGATCTTTCAAGAAGCCATGGCCAGGATTGAAAGTTTGGAGCAGCACCAGCCAGCACAACAAGAGACTGAACAGGAGCCAGAGAGCAATCGAGCGAATCTGATATGCGATCGATGTCACGATCTCATATACCAGTCTAAGGGCTCATCGATACTCCATCCATCAATGCAATCGATCCAGGACATCATCGAATCGAGTCCTCACAAGCACAACCACATCTACCACGTCCTCGACGCTGCCGATTTTCCGATGTCGCTCATTCCAAACTTGATGTCCGCTCTGAAGTTGCCTCGTCTGCGCACACAAAATCGGCGCTCCAAGAGTATACAATACGCCCGAGATCGAGTTGCGGATATATCTTTTATCATTACGAGATGCGACCTTTTGGCTCCTAAGAAAGAGCAGGTTGATCGACTCATGCCGTACATGCAAGAAGTTTTGCGAGACGCGCTCGGCCGGACTGGACGAAACGTTCGGCTGGGCAACGTGAGGTGCGTCAGTGCGAAGCGTGGGTGGTGGACGCCGCAGGTCAAGGAAGAGATCTGGAAGAGGGGCGGTGCGGGCTGGGTTGTGGGCAAGGTCAACGTTGGCAAAAGCGCACTATTCGAGGTTGTCTTTCCTAAAGGTCGGAACTTTGACGCTGTTGAGACTGCGAGAACCACAGCCTTGGGCACTTCAAATGCTTCACACGAGCAGATTGAGGGTGTTGCTAATTCGGCCAAGTTCACCCCGTTCAACGATGAAGGCCTAGCTCAAATCAACTCAGCCCTGTCTGAAGATGCCACGGAAGACCAGGGAGTAGTGGATGAAGGAGAAACAGCCCAACGACAACAAACACCCGAGGAAGACGACGAATTGGACGATGATAGCGATCTGATGCTTCTCCCCCCTGCGCAGCCCGAGACCCAGTACCCTCAGATGCCCATCGTTTCTTCCCTCCCTGGTACCACTGCTTCTCCAATACGTATCCCGTTCGGCAATGGCAAGGGAGAGCTCATCGATCTTCCCGGTGTTCAGAGGAGTTCACTTGAAACCCATGTTGCCCCTGAGCACAGATCATCTCTTGTCATGAAGAGCAGGATTGTGCCGGAACAATACTCGCTCAAACCAGGACAATCGCTTTTGATCGGCGGCATCGTGAGAATCACGCCCAAAACTGATGAACTTGTCTTCTTGGCATATCCGTTTACACCTCTGCACCCTCACGCAACCGGCAACCACAAGGCCGTTGCGATTCAGACTGGTGTTAACGAAGATGGCACGCCTTACACTGGTACCGTTGAAAACATCGGCACGGATACAGCAAAAACGCGCATCAAGAGCGCGGGCACCTATACGCTGGAATGGGACGTCACCAAGAGGCGTGCAGGGCCAGTGACCGATAAACAAGCAGGAAAGCAGAAGGCAGAGAATTTACCCTTCGTCGTGTACGGCGCCGACATCTTGATCGAAGGCGTTGGATGGGTTGAGCTGGTCTGCCAAGTTCGCAATAGACGTAAAAGTCTCATATCTGATGCATTGGGCGTGGAATTTGGGACAACCGATCAACCTGTGAACGCGAAGCCTCAAGTCGAAGTCTTTACCCCCAAGGGCAAATTCATTGGCATCAGAAGGCCTATGAACGCCTGGTTGGATGGCGGCCCCAAGAAGGTCGCGAAACACGCACGGAAATCACGACCACGCATGACCATCTCGATGCAGAGAAGAAAGGAGGGGGGCAAGAAAGGAGGCCAAGCAGCCAACGCCGTACTATCATGATCATGCCCTGCCGACTCCCGTCTTACACGCTAAGAAACACGACTCAAGGGGAAAAGCATTCTAATCTCGACTCCACATGTTGTTCTCCGTCTCCTGGATGAGCGGCGACGGACGTATCCTGCCACCTTCGACATGCGTGGCTAGGTTGGAGTCCTTGTTCAGGCGGTTGACCTCACCCCTCAGACTGTCCTCATCAGCATTGTCCTCGAGATCGTGGTATGTGATCGCTGGACGAGGTCTCGTCTCTTCCTCCGTGTTATCATTTGGCAGCCGGATCGCGGATGGAAGCCACGGAGCATCGAAGCCTGGAGCCAGGAACAACGCCACTTTCCACAGAAACACCGCCACGGGCACGATGAGCAGCATTATGGCAATCTTCCGCTCCGTCGTCCTCCACGGCTCCAGACAACCTATATCCCGCTCAAAGCGCACCATACATGTGTCCGCCCCGTGTTTCTTATCCGGAAACGGCCACGCCATATCTTTCGGTCCATTGAACCCACAACAATTGAACGCATCCTGTATCCGCTGAATACTCTTCGCATCCCTACTCGTGCGCATTTCCTGCCACTTGTCGTGCAACGGACACCACAGCCCACCAAGGGGCGCGATATGTGTCCCTGCCAACGTCGCCAACACCGTCTCATAGATCAGAAAGGTCACATTCACAGCCTGGAAGACCTTCGAGGTCTGCAGCTTGCCTTTGCTGACGAGCTGGTGCTGGAAGCTGATGATCGATTCGAGGGCGATGCCGGCTAGGGGCGGGAGGGCGACCGTCAGGGCCGAGAGGACATTTGGGATTGGCAAGGAGTAGAAGTTGGTTTGGTGCAATGCGTAGGCGGCAATCGCGGTGAGAGCGGCGAGGTACTATCGCGCCATTTGTGTGAACAAAGCATCTGTTGAAGATGTGCAAGCTGGACTCACGAGTGCGCTGAAGCCCGTTATGAGCTGTCTTCGGTTGAACTTGGCCATGATGGCGAGGTCGAGCTCGTTGTGGTGAGAGTGAGGCTCAACTCGGAATTATCGAGTGGTGTCGTGGTGGGTTCAGCAGAGCTGTCGTCGGAGTGAGCTCCTAGTCGTCGCAGAAACGCATCATCTGCCGGCTGCACCGCAGAAAGAAAAGCAGCACGACCAAGATAAAAAGAATTCGAGGAAAGAAGTCGTAATTCGAAAACGCAAGAAACTCCGCCCGTTATCAACGAAACAGAGTAGATGTGTATGCTCCTCGCTTCCCGGAGCTCTCATCTCAAGCACACACCAACTTCTCATTCCTACGCCTCCTTGTCTCTACATGTACTGTATGCAGCCTGCCAGAGGAGTGGACGAGTCGTCGTACATGTACTCGAGTATCTACCCCGCTCATCGTGCGTTTACATGCAACACCTGATGACGAGCAATCTAAATACTCTTTCGCCGTTTGCTCGAATCGCTGATCGACCGAGTCGTGTGTGTGAAAGTCACGGAGCAGGCAGGAGCTTGGGGAGGGCGGGATCGTCTGTGTGGGTGTGGGATGAGATGCGTGGGTGCATGATGCTGCATGAGATGTTGGATTATTCGGTACGCGGGGAGTGCATGGCATGGCATGACAGCTTATAGTGGGTGGTGTGGGTCCGTGCGTTTAGCGCTAAGAGTCCGTCAGGTGAATCAGAGGTTGGCCCTGGGTTGCCTCTTGACATGTGCGTGGAACATTGATGCTGTTCGATTGATGTTCGCTTCGGTTTTTGTGCTGCCCACATGTGTGCTAACCACATGTAGAGCAATGTTCTGTGCAGATGTACAGCAGCAGTGTCCCTCACAACGCTTATATTGCATATCTCCTTATACAACCACTCCTCGCAGTATATCTTCACATGCAGACTGCTTCCGCTGCGTCTGCTGCGGGCCTCCAATCGTGGCTTCAAACGCCCTGCAGAAGCTAGCAATGACTTGCAGCAGCGCGGCCTCCTCATCCTTGCTATCGCCTAGCTCGACCACCACCTCTTTCATGCTGCTACCCCTCTGGACGAAATATCGCTCGTCTATGGCGTGCCACTTGGTATTCACAGACTCTCGCACCTGCTTTTCTGCTACAGCTTGGGTGTCTGGCCAAGGACATAGTGGCGCTGATCCAATCTCTGGATTCTGGTAGAACGCGCCATCTGAACGGTGCTGGAGATGAGCTGCGATGGTGACAGCTTGCTGTTGTAGTGCTTGCACTCGCCTCGATAGCTCACCTCCAAGCGACGTCGCTCGCTGAATGTAGGAGGTGATCGTGAGGCATGAGTTCCCGACGCCAACCATGACTCCCAGCATTCTGAGAACTCGAGGCAGCCTCAGGAGGTCTGCTTTGAGCAGGACGTGATCGCACTGCAAGCATATGCTATGCAGGATGCTTGCGATACTTTCAACAACAGCCAAGACAGCCTTATCGTCTTCGATTTGGAAGTTGTAGAATATATTGCCAATGACCCGTCCACATGCTTCCAGAATCGGCGTGGCTGGTATCCAGAAGCAAGAACTTGAAATGGCCTTTGCCACGTATGCCGGGAAAATAGAAGTCAGCAAGACTGAACGAAGAGTCGGTCTGTCCTCGTCTCCTAGCTCCTCAACATCGCCCATTGCAGCTGCCATCTGATTCACCAGGTACGGCTGTTGATTGTCCGTCGCCGCTCTTTCAGACACAGTCTGAATGAACATTGCGAGCTGTGTCCGCCCACTAGCCTCCGCAAGCTTTGGTATGTAGCTCCTGAGTCTACCGACGACATATGTTGGATCCGTGGCAGGCAGCGGGAATGCACTGGAGTCGGTGAAGAAGCGATCGACTTGGCAGATTCCGAGCGCGTATTGTTGCAAAAAGGAGACAACATTCTGAACAAAATCCACATAGCCGCCTTGTAGGCTTGCGTTTGCCACTGAGTCATTACGGCCATTCTGAAGATCTTGATAGTTGGCCTTCATCGCCTGCATCAACTGGCGAAGCATTCCAGCATATCGACTCCTCAGCTCGTGTCCTCTGCTTGTACTTTCGCAACTGACCTCATCATGATGCGTTCGCATGTTGTGTAGAACTGAAGAGAGCAACCCAAGTCTCCTCTGACGAAGGTCAGTCAATGTGATATCGTATCGATCAGAGCTTCGTTCTCTTGTGAAAGGCAAGTTGCTCAGCAACGGATCATCGCCGCAAAAGTTGAGAAGCGCAGATGTCAGACAATGCTGAAACTTGAGTGTAGCCTCTCTGTCAACCAGCGATAGGAGCCATGCCACGAATGCGGCTTCTTTGACGTCTTCATGTCCATTGGAGTGCACAAGAATCTGCGACATGAAGTAAGGGGTGAACTTGCGCTTCTGTGTTGTATCCCGGAGTTGGTTCCAAGCAGTTGCGCCATAGTCGTCGACGTAAGTGGACCACCTCTTTGCGGAGGAGCTACACACTGTAACGTTGGCAAGGCGAGTCCATACATCGATGACTTGCTGAAGAAGAGAGTCTTCCGGCGCGACATCAGCGCCAAACACGTTGGATAAAAATTGTCCCAGAGGCGTGAGCAAGGCGTCTGCAATCATTCCCCGAACTGGAGATGTAGGAGAATTCTCGTCTGCGGCAAATGCTTCAATCGCGCTGATATCTCCAAAGTCCTGACTATCGTCGTTGGTTGTTTGTGCACTCCCAGGAGCTGGCTCGAACCGTTGCTGCATGTCCAAGGCAGCGTCGCAAACCAGAAGTGTTTCTTGCATTGCGCTGAGTAGTCGTCGTTGTGATGGGTCGAAGAGATCGAATATGAGCACGAAATGTGTCTGGTCAACCAGAGCTCGTGCCTTGGTAAGATCGCTCGCACATCGGATTGCACGCTTCAGACCAGCAAGGGCGTCGATGATGATCGCAGCGATTTGACGCTGATTACTCGCGATCGTGGTCTCCAGCATTGTATGATCCACTGAAGCTTCAGTAGAACCCTCAATCTCCTGCCTTGCTCGTTGGAAGTCTTGCTCAGCCTCCACCTTTGCCAGTCGATATTGGGCGAATGTCGTCTTGATTGTGCTTGAGAACCATCTCGTGAGCTCTTCGAGAGCCTCCACAGGCTCCAGAGATGAGGCTTGATAGCAAGCAATATTGGACCAAGCGCGGACGCTGAGCCGGCACGCTTCACGATGGGAGGTCGCATGATCAACAAGGCCAAGTACTAGGTCGACGCCTATGCGGCCCTTGGTAGGTGAAGCGTAATAGAGAACGCTGAACAGGTCATGTTGGTTCCGCAATGCATCCAAGTCTTTCTTGTGCAGATCTGTGTCTTTTCTGTACATGCGATTGTGATTTGGGATGAAGCGCCAGATGATGCTGAGGATCTTTCGATCTGCATACACGTTGTACTTTTGCATGCCCCGGAGGCCAGTGGAGAGCATCTTCAGGAAGATGTGGAAGGAGCAGTCTTCTGGCGCAACATCCAGAGGGACGTCAGAGGAATGAAGCTCCTCGAGGAACTTTGGTGACCCGCGAACCTCCTCCTTTTGCAACAGGTTGAAGCTTCTTCGAGCAAAGAAGTCGAAGGCAGTGTTCAGAAGAGATTCGCATCGCCACCAACCCCATTTGTTGACGAGGCAATGGCACCTGGCCAGCAATGCCCGCACGTATTCATTGACTGAGTAGCCTCTTATCTGGCTAGAAGAGTCGTAAATTCCGAGCACTCTTGACACAATTGCTTTGACCAGGCTCCAATCATCGAGTTGGGTCGTAAACCTGGATCCGGTCTTTACGATTCCAGTAGAGTCCACTTCCAGAGCTGGAAGGATGGTCAAGATATTCTGCGAAAGCACCTCGAACGTTCTGACATCGCAGACATCTGTAAGATTGCCCTGAAGAGCTTCCGAGATGGCGTGCCAGAAGAGCGTTGATTTAGCTCGTGAGTCAACCAAGGTGTTTCGGAGAATGACCAGGCTGACCCAAGGCACAGTCTCGTCGAGAATGCCAGATTCCCTGTCAGCAGCCCTGCGATTGTCTTCATAAAAGGAGCGTAGCTCGGCGAATCTCCTGCCGATGCCACGCTTGGCGAGACTCCTTGAAGCACGCAGGAGCAGTTTTTCCGTGCTGCTCTTCAAACCAAATGGCACAGCCGAGTGATCGCACAGGACGACAGCCTGCTTGGCAATCACGACTTGATACTGGAGCACGCGAATTACCACCCCCAGCAGAGATCTCTTGCTTGTCCACGACTCTGTCCCAATCTCCAGTAGGGTTGTGACCAGGGCGTTGAGAGTTTCGACACATGATTTCCGGTCCACTGGATCTATGAACCAGACACATTTCGAAAGGTATCGTATAACAGAGCGAAGCAGGTAGTTGATATTTCCTTCCACGGTGCTGAGACGAACTGTTGGGTCGATGTCTTCCTCGGGGCTGTCCAGCGTCTGCAGTGCATTGGAGATCAACCCTGGTATGCGATTGACTTGCGCTGCCACGTCCTCATTCCAAGCATCCCATTCGAACGCCTGTTCTTCGATCTGGACGCGGACATGACCCAGTCCACGATCCAAGTCTCGATCTGGTATGTTGAGCGCATCGTGGAAGTCGCCACTGCCAATGAATGTGCTGTGGTGAAAGAAGATACCATGGTCCAGAGGCTGCATGTCAAAGTCAATAGAATACCTGGTGCCAAAAGGCCTCAAACCATGCAATACAGGTATAGAAACGTCAACGGCTGCGCTTGCTTCAATGACCTCAGGCTCATCGATATCTTGAGGTAGGGGCTCGCTGGGTTGTCGATATTCGCGTGCTTCAACATCTAGTCTCCGAGCCGTTGCCTTGCGTGGTCGATGTGCTAGAGTGACCGTAGGACGACTTTCGCCGTCGGTTTCCTGCCTGTCACCAGCTTGCCGCTGACGAGTAGGTTGTATCTCAGGAAGAGCAGTGCTGTCCGCACGTAAGAATCTGTCCAGCTGGAATCCAGCTGTCCCTGACCGCCGAGATGATCGAGCAATGCTCTCAGTCATGCATTGCATTCGACGCTCGAACACCGCCTCGCGATGGCTTGCGTCAAAATCACGCTCTAGAGTCTCCAGCTGCGCTTCGCGGAGACGCTGAGGTCGTGGAACCTGTCGAGATGCCCTCGCGACTATTGGCGCTGATGGAGTTTTCCTTGTTTCGTGGGTCATGGGTTCGTGGGACCCAGCGCTCAAGACAGTTGGATGAAGTCTGGTCTGTTGCATCCTCCTTCTTTTGCTCGAGTGCTGATTGAGATAGGGCCTCTTCCGCACAGTCGAGGCAGAGAAAGCTTGTTGTACTTGCTCACGTAGAGGCTCATTATCCGGCGAATGGCCAGTGTCGTTATTGAGCGGTAGGTGAATATCATCCTCGCTGATCCAGCCATGGTCGTCGCTACGTGGAGCGATTGTTCCCTCTCGCCAAGCGCGTAGTACTGAAGACGCCTCCTCAGTGTCGTGGGCAGTCGCTAAGCGAATGAGTTTGTTCGTCGGCGAATGTCGTCCTCGATCAGATTCGTGCCTTGTTTGACGCACCGCCAGCTTGATGAATTGAGGTAGCTGTTTCATTTCCGCACGCTGCGAAGTGGTCACATCGGCGATGCTGAGATGGACTGCAGGTCTGCGTCGTTGCCTCCTGGCACCTTTCGTTTTGGAGACACGTTTCTGCCGCCCGACTGTGCTTGAAGATATTGTGGCGCACCGCTCTTCCGTGAAATCATGATTGAAATTTGAAGTGCTGCGAAACGACTCAGTGATCCGAGGCTGATGTATACCCAGGCTCTTTGGTTTACTCTGGCGCACACGTCCCGCCAGCATAGGATCGATGAAGTCGTTCTCCATGAGGTCATCGTCTACAGTCAAGTCTGGCGCTATAGACAAACGGTCAGGCCGTAACTCGAGTCTCGGTTGCGCACGGGACACTTTCGGGGACATTGCAGAATCATCTGAATCTGACGTGTCACCCGGCAGCTCTGGTAGGATTGGAGACTGACTTCTCTGCGTAGCTCTGCCAATCTTGCGGGCTACGCCTTTCTGGGCTTCTGCCTTTGCTGGGGAAGCGGTGCTGAGTCGACGACCTCTCGATACAGCGGGTGCACTTTTGGCCTGCTGCGCCTGCAGATCTATCTTGAGCCACGATGCTGGTAGCACCCCTCTGATGCGCTTCCGTTCGTGCTGTAGACGCCTCACTTCGAGTTCAGATTGCTGATCAGACTCACTCTCAGAGCTGGAGGGAATCGAGATAGCAGACTGGGTGCGAACTGGGCGTCGTCCTGCTGACATACGTGATCTCCTGGGCGGCGAGTCTGACGCTGAAGCATCGTCTATGTTGCGTTTTACGTCAGACGAGACTTGTGGTGTTGGCAATGGTACTGGCGTAAGACCCAATGGTATTCGGAAGCCTGTTGCTGTCTGCCTGAACAACGTTTCCGAATCATCCACATTGCTCAGGTCGCTAGACGTACGAGGCGGTGAGGGTGGGATCGAGAACTCATCAATCTGAGACCAAGCATTCCTAGGTTGAGGCGGGGGCCGCGAGTCGTTGACACTATTTCGGTCTTTGCTCGACACGTTCCCCAACTTCTTCCGCTTTGGCAAGCGGTGCGTTTGAGCTACTTCATCAGAGGAATTGCCCATGTCGAAGTAATCGAGCCCTTCGTGGCTCGCCTCTTGTGGACGTAGTAGCTTCGAGCCCACAGAGCTTGATGCCGCGGAGCTTGGATAGGCGATCTGGCTGCTGCCAGTCTGAAACTGCGAGTCAGCTTCTTCCTGCGCTGACTCTTGCTCCATCAACCGAATTGGCCTCAACCCTCGCGCTTTCCATTGTTGGTGGTACTGAGCTTTGTCAAACTGGTACGGAGCGAGCTGGATGGCCTTACGAGTGCGCAGATTGCGTCTGATGAAGGCCGTGGATGGAGGTAGTTCGGCATTAGGATTGCCACTTGAGCATTGTTCGCCATAATACGTGGGTCGCTCCCGAGACACAGCAGGAAGAAGGCCTGGGGCTGTCGTTGGCAACTCAAAGCCAGGTGGCGGAGAGACTTCGCGCTCACTCAAGGGAGAAGATGCGCAGCTGTTCACTTGTCCTTCATCGTCACGCTGAGGGCTATCAATGATCGTGTTCAGATTCGGCAAATCCTTCGATTGGCTTGATAGTGCCGCCTGTTGTTCTGAAGACTTTTGCTCAGTATCGAGGCTTGCGACATGTGGCGTGTTCTGAGCAGGTTCCAGTTCTATAGGGTTTCCATTCTCGCTCTGATCAGACCGCGATTGCTCGATCTCTGGCTCTGCACTGGCCTCTCGAGATGCCTTTGCCTTCCGACTATAGGTCTTTGCCACCTTTGGCCGGATCCAGTCAAGTTTCTCTCCATCTCGGTAGTCTGAAAGATCTGTAGGCCTCGGAATGAGCACAATCGGTTGTTTCGGGCTGCTATTCGATGCTGGAGTATGCTTTGCTCGTTTTCGTGGCCTTTCTGGACTCTGCGACTTCTGTGATTCGGCGTCCAGACTGAGCTCATCATCTTCCGAGTCCTCCACCTCGCCTCGGTCCTGCCAACGCTTCATTTGAGACTTTGCGCATGTCGGATATTCCTGTGAGTCCAGATTGTAGGTGTTGCAGAGGTGCAGATACTGGCTGTAGGGAGCAAGTGAGGTCGAGACTGGATACGCGTCCAGTCGCGTGAAGTGCTTTGACTTTAGGGCGCTCGGCTCCTTCCGACGTCGTCTCGTCTCGGTGACGCACGCGGGCACGTGAACACAACTGTCCGCGCAACGTCGACTCGAAAGGTAACACTCTTGGAACACTGAACAACTCTCGACTCACGACGAGAACGACCTAATCGCAGACGAACATCGACGGCGACCATGGCTCAAGATCCCCGTGCGCTCCTGCAAAAGGTGGGCTACACCACATGCGCCATGTCAAGACAGATCATTAACCCATGATCAACAGGCAGATAAAGCAGCACAATCAGCGAGCGGTGGCTTCTCACTCTTCGGCGGCCGGACAGAGAAACTCGAGAATGCGGTTGAGCTCTACACACAGGCAGCAAATGCATTTCGAATGCAAAAGGCCGGCAAGGAAGCAGGCCAGGCATTCGAGCAAGCAGCTGCATTACAATCTGGCAAGCTGAACGAGCCTGACGACGCCGCGAATACCCTCACTGAGGCATACAAGTCATACCGCAAAGATGAGCCGGAAGAAGCTGCGAGGGTGCTCGAGAAGGCAATTCAACACTACACACTGAAAGGCAACTTCCGAAGAGCGGCCACGCATAAGCAGAATCTGGCGGAGCTATACGAGGTGGAGTTGGGCGATCAGAAGAGGGCAATGGAGGCATACGAGATGGCAGCAGGGTGGTATGAGAACGACAACGCAGAACAGTAAGTTGCAAGTCTATCTTGCGTTACTTGGAACAGCTGCTGACACGGTGTTCTGCTTAGACTCGCAAACAAGCTATACCTCAAGCTTGCCGACATCTCAGCTCTTGAAGGCGACTACCTCAAAGCTATCACCAACTACGAGCGCATCGCCAAATCCGCAATCAACAACAATCTCATGAAGTGGTCCGTCAAGGAATACTTCTTGAAAGCCGGAATCTGCCATCTTGCCAACGGTGACATGGTTGCCATGAACAGAGCGTTGGAGTCATACCGAGAACTCGATCCTGCGTTCGCTCAGACGCGAGAACACCAGCTCCTTGTCGACATGGTTGAGGCGGTAGAGGAGGGCGATCAAGAGAAGTTTGCGGACAAACTCTTCCAGTTTGACCAAATGTCCAAGCTTGACAAGTGGAAGACCACCCTGCTCTTGCGAGTGAAGGAGAGCATTGAAGGCCAGGAAGAGGATTTCGCATAGATTGGGTCAATCAGCATACATGTGGCGTAATTGGCGTCTTGATGTAAGGGCAGCATCCACGGAACGGATCCAGAGGTCAGGGATATTTGGCCGGATCAGACTATGTTCTTGGACAGGATGGAGGATATTGACATGAGTCGGCCATGAGGGTCATCTGCTGCTGTCTTTTCGGTCCTCTGCTTGGGATGGCGATGGCTTCGCTGTGGATTGATCGGTGGTCGATTGTTCCTTGGACCCAAATAAAGCTTTACGAATACCCCATGCGAAACCTCCAGTGTTCGTATTCGTCGCCTCTCTTTTCGCCTCTTGCAAGTCGCTCATGATTGCTTTGCTTATGATCTTCTCTTGATCCTGCGGTGACTGATGCTGCTCTCCGAATGTGCCCTCTCTTTCCTGCTTCTGCCTCTCGAGCTCGGGTTGGAGTGTGGTGTAGGCTTTGAGACGTTAGTGATGCACACTGTCGCTCAGGTAGAACCACATGCCTGTAAACACGCCACACACTGTTACCAGTATCAGTCCTGCTGCAGGTCCTCCCCTCATGATAGCTTCTGTAAACACTGTTGTTTGTAGAAGTAGTTCGAGTCGATGAGCGCATGTCCATTGAAGAAGCCGCGGAGGTCGGAATTCGCGCCGAAATGCCGCCTCCAACCTCAGATATGCTTCTGTCTTGACACAACAACACGCAGCAACAAATTGGCCAGACCTGACAGACTATGAGGCCAAGAATATTGAGAGAATGTAGTTCGACGCTTTTCAAGCCCAGGAACTACCGGCCTCAGCCTCTAGCTCAAGCCCATGGATTTTCCAGTCGCTCCTGGGCGGCTTCATCTCGCGATCAACAAGTCGACATCGAACAGCTCTTAGCGAAGCCTTCATGGTCGGTTTCATCTCTACTTCCATCCAAGGAATCCAAGTCCCAGACACCAGAAATAACGAGCAAACAACTCCACCATCTTCTGCGACTCTCGGCCCTTCCACCTCCCAAGGACGAACAAGAAGACCAGAAGATGCTGTCTACCTTGAGCTCTCAGCTACACTTCGTCAAAGACATCCAAAAAGTGGACACGACCGGAATCGAGCCATTACGGAGCCTTCGTGATGAGACGGCCGAGGGTGAGAAAGAGTCTGAGCTAGGGCTGGATGCTATGAAGGACGCCTTAGCGATGGAGGAGATTCGAGGGAAGCACCATAAGAGGATAAGGAGGATACGATCACCTGTCAAGAATGTTGAAGGCGAGTGGGATGTGATGGGGAACGCTTCCAAGAAAGTCGGACGATACTTCGTGGTCGAAGGCGGCAAAGGCCGATGAAAGACAGAATGTCGCAGTCATCAGTTGTGCTCGAGGGAATTTCCAGGCAACGAAGTCTACAAAACTGCTTCTCCGCGATCAAGATGATTGGACTTCGAAATCGTACTGCACCGTGTCTGCCACAGCGCGCCAGTGTCCGAGCAGTGTCCGAGAGGCACTGCCATGGAAGGTGATGATGGAGGAGCCGGTCGAGCGTTGACAGTGAACCCCAGCAGTCTGAACAGCCGAACTCTTCCCCATGGAAGGGAGGTCTGGTCTCTCGGTGATGCACCGTCCGCCATCAGTCGAACACGACGCTCATATTACCCGAGGAGAGCTCCAGAAACAAGTCCAATGGATCGTGAGATATTGCAAAGTGGACTACATATATCGGGACCAGAGGGTGTCTTTGTCTGCGAGAAAGCAGTTATGCAAGTCCACGGCTAGTCTACAAAGACTTTGCCGACTTCAACGCTTGGTGCACCTTGGTCACGCCCCATTGCCTTCGGACGACCATTATGGTGTTGGAACAAACATAGCCAAGGTACGGGCTTGCGAGCATGTGGAAAGGTTGAGTGGGAAATAGATGGTGTCAAAATATAGGGATCCAGCGTCTTCATTCGCCTCTTTACCCTGGGTATTCCGCGCAAAGTGGAAGGCTCATCCCCATCATTCGCAAGCTGTCTGATTTGCCTGAGATGTCAACAGAAGCGTGGTCATTTCCAAAGAATCGGAGAGATAACATTCCCATGCGTTTCGCTTTGAGCGGAACGAGGAGTGTAGAATCAGCTGTGATCTTAACGTAGTACGTTAGATCGAATCGTCGGAGAAATCGTGCTGCGCTGCGTCTGATGTATGTACTCCATCGAATATGTTTACGTTCGGCCGTTAAATGTTACAATGCCTTGGGTCGTCCCAATATCTCGGCACCAACGGAGACCGGGAACGAAGAACAGTAGTAAGCAGCAGACACCGAAGCATTGCTCAAGCACGTACCCCACCACTGCCTCAGCCAGCGCCTTCCTTTCCACCTGCAAGGGAGATCTACCTTCGATCTGTTGAAACGTGAAGCCTCCACTCCAAGCACACGCGCCTCCCACGCGATCGACCGACCCTCGAATGCGATTACCTTCTCCACCACCTGCTCGAGCGGTGCAGTCAACCTGAGGCAATGCCGTCCGCCGGCAGCATCTCACCGCACCCTCCAGCCGCCCCGGCCTCGACGATGTCTGGCACGGGCGGCGTCGCCTCGCGTCCGCCGTTGATGAAGCGACAGTCGTCGCAGTCGTCGAATCAATCGAGACACGCCGTCATCAGCCCGGGCTCCGTCGAACACCAGCAACCTCTCCGCCACCCGGTCAAGAAACATACCAAGATCATCCTCCCTCGAAACCACAGCTCTGGTCGCAACTTGGCGAAGCTCAACCGACAAACCCAAGCACAAGCGCAGGCGCATGCTGAGGAGTATAGGAGACATGGCAGACAGCGCTCCCACGAAGGTGAGTCCAGCAGCACGTGCGTGCACCGAGGCGCAACCAGGCACTTTTGACTGCAAAGCGATAAGGCTCGCATGCGACTCTGTGCCAAGATAGAGCAGGATTATAGAGGGGACATGACCATTGTGCTAACGCATGTAAAGGCGACACCGAGATCCGGCTACCCGGTAGCCTTGACGAGAGCGTACGACCGACGACATTGCGACGCAACATGACGGCTTCTCAGCTACCGAGAAATACGTCGCATGCCAAACTCAAGAAGAACTTCTCTCACGGGCAACTGACACGGCTTGGATCGGGAAAGAATCTCGCCGGATTGAACGCAGCCGCCAATAGAGCGCCGCCATCTCCGGGGCTGAGAGGCAAGCAGAAAAGACCCAAATCTGCGGAGATGAGCGCGGTTGAGAAAGATGCACATGAGCGAGAGACAAGGTTACATCAAAGGAAGGGATTGGGGAAGAAAGTCGGATTCGCTGTGGGCAGTGCTGGGGATGCCAGTGATGAGGAGGACGCACCTGAAATGGAAGGCAGCATGCAGGAAGACGAATGGACTGAAGAGAGTGCTAGTGCGAGTCCGTACAGCACGCGGCAGAACACAGCCAACAATTCGAGGAGGACGAGCATGGTGATTGACAGAGCAGCAGAGAAGTTGCCTCTTGGGACTGCGGCAATCTCTCAAGATGTGCAGGCCATGGAACAGGAACGCCAGGCGCGGCTTATTCGCGAACAGCAAAGGACAGTACCGGATGTGGAGGAGAGGAGAGCTCCCCGACCTCACGGAACGGGGGAAATAGTCCAGAATGCGCTCGCGAAGGGCAAGCAGCCTCTGGGTCAAACGACGCAAGAGCCCCCAAGCGAGCGTCCACACGAAGAACAGCAATTCCCGCAACAGCCTGTGCATCCGAAGGCTCCACAGCGAAGTCCATTACATGCGGCGAAAGAGCACGCCAATCCAGCAACTCGACGGCTGCTAGACAAAAGTCAGCAGCTGCCTGCTCCTGCTCTCGTTAGCAACGTGAGCGCGATGGATGACACACATAGCAATCGTGGCTCACCGGCAGCGTCGATGAGGTCTTCAAGGTCCAATCTTGGCGAGGGCGCCGGTGACCAGCATGAAGATGAGTTGGTCTCTCGATTTGTTCCAAGTGCGTCTCACCCATCGATGGGGAGTGGCACGAACACCGCTGTTGGGACGCCAAAACACACAGCACCTCATACACCGGAAGATGAAAGCACATTAGCCGGCCAGAGGCGTGACAGAAATCCGGGTTTCAACATTGGACCAGTCAGCCCTGGATCAACTGTCTCTGGGACATCCTCAGGTGCTGCAACGCCAGCTATTGGGCGGTCTCGCACAGAATTGAGGATGTTGCAAGAGAAGGCCATGGCAGACATCGAGTCTCAGGCGGACCAGAAACCCCATCTGCCAGCCCATGTTTACGACCGACGGAACGAATCGCTTAAATCATACTTAAACATGGCACCGCTCGGTGAAGGGCGAATACCACATACAGGGTTGACCATGGGGCCTGATGTGTTCCAGGGCCGCTTCCGCGCCCTCAACACCGAGCTGAGAGTTGTGCAGAAATTCCGTGACCCTATAGGTGAAGCCGTGGCAAGACTGAAGGGATGCAGAGGGAGCGCGCTGAACAAGCGCTCCTCTCCGCAGAAATCGCAGCAAGGACCGGTACCCTCTGGCTTGCCATCGAGCAAAAGCGCCATTTCGCTCCCTGTACACAGAGCGCAAAAGGCTAGCGATCTCGCGAAATCTGCCTCCCCTCCCAATGCAGCAGGTCCGCTGAAGCGAGGGACGAGCACCTCTCAAGTTCAAAGTCAGGGGGCCGAGCGACAGAAGCAAAGGAGAGAAGTGAGCTTTCGAGCACAGCCAGAGACAAGAGAGTTCGAACGGAGCGTCGAAGAGTTGCCTCCAGATGTCATTGCTAGACAACTTTGGGAGAGCGTTTGACGGCCGTGAGGAGTACGTTTACTATGCATAGCGCATGCATGTGTTTTCAAGCCATCGACAAGTGATTGGTGGTTGGTGTTGCTGTGCTTTTCAGCGAGGAGTTCTGGGTTGCCTGGGGCTGGAGGATTGTTATCATGGAGGCGCGATAATGGGCGCTGGGGCGCGATGGCACAAATTACGGCTTTCAAGTCGTGCTATATGGTGTGCACGAAGGGCTTCTTGTCCGTCCGTCGACGGCCTCTTACTGGCGTCGGGTGGTTTAATGAATTCACGCTGCTATCTTCCTTTCCCAAGCGAGGGTAAAGCACATGGTCTCCTTGTGCCACGCTACACGCAGACACTAACGACACTCCCCGAAATGAGCGCTATATCTTCGCCGTCGACTCTTCACCAACAAAGGGCGAGATGAGACGAGACAAGACCGACGGGCTGCAGGAATCTCGACATAAGGTGTTTGTATCACCGCGTGAGTACAGCGTGGTCAATCTGCTTGTGCAAGGTCGAGTGCCTTGCTTCGGTCTGCAAACGTTGCTAAACAAGGCATTGATGTCGCACAGGACCTGTCGCAACATTCCCTGACCTGCTGGTCTCTTTCATCGTCTTCATCACCCGAGGTCTTGTCTGCAGAACGTGGACCGAGGGCAAAGCGAGCACGACCTTTGAGTTCGGGCGTCAATCGAACTTGTTGCTGGAGTTGCCGGGTTGATGAACCGTTTCGGCAGGCCTTCCCTTGCCGCGATGCAGTGGAGAAGACATGCCACGCTAAGGCAGGAACGTTTCTAACTTTTCCTGTGGAGATCGCGTGCCAGCTCAGAGCCTTTCCGACGTTGTCAACATCCGATGTTTGGTCTGGACGCGCCTTTGCCGACGACGATGGATCTGTTGGGGAGTGGAGCGCACGCTTCAACCAAGCGTTCGAGACTGTGTTGTGTTTGTCGTTGTTGCTCATGATTTTGTTATTGCGACGGGATTTTGCTCTGCAGGTTCAAGCAGTGTGTGACTTCATCCATGCCACCCGACATTACCGCGATTGCAGTGGAAATTGCGTTAGAAGTATAAACGAAATGATTCGCTGCGCAGAGATCCCCGGGGCCTTGATCGATGTGAGACAAATGATTTGTTGGTTACATTCTACTCCGCTTCCACGGGCGCGCCCAGGCACATGTTCTTCTTCTCCTTCAGGCTCTTCGCTGGGCTTTTCTTCTAGCGCTTGCAACTAGTCCATCCTCAACGACTTGAGCGAAGCTCCACTCTTTCGCCGCTCTCTTCTTCCGCCATATTTGACGGGCCTCCCGCCGCGACGCCCATTTCGTTCGTTTGCGACAAACGCTGGACCTTCGCTTTTCCTGTTGTCTCGAAGACGACATCCACTGCTCTTCAGCAACCCACAGACACCACTCATTACTTCGCGCGCGTCGCAGCTTGAGCACCGCCTTCACTCTCCGACGAGACACCAGCAGCCGCCGACCTCTACTCGAGACAAATTCGCGACACCGTTCCCTGCGTATATCATCAGCGACTTGCGCAGCGACTGTCCATCGACACCACGTCAACAAACAAACCAAGCTTAAAGCTGCACTCCCACATTCCGATCCAGCGTCATAGTCATAGTCGATCCGAGATCTCGCCAGCCGATCCAGTCAACCAGCCGCCTCAATCGCAATGCGCTCCTTCGACATCTCCGCCACGGCGCTCTTCGCCGCTGCCGCCGTTGTGAACGCTCAAACTCCCGACAGCTATGGCAGCCTCACTTCTGCAACGACCACCTACACCATCACCCGCACTGTGTCGCGTGTCGTTGAGACTGTCACTGCTACCAGCAATGGCTCGACTTCAACGTTCGAGAGCACCAGCTCCCTGACGACCTCCATCTCCATCCCATTGACCACGACGGCGACGGCCTACTCGCACCCACCTTCATCGATTGCCAGCGTCACCATTCCCTCTTACGGCAACGGCACCACTGTCGTCGGCGGCACCGGCACCGGCGCTCTCCCATCCGCTTCTGCTTCTGGATCATTCGTCCCACCACCAGCATCGGAAGGCGGTGCAGGCAAGCTCGGTGTCGAGGCCCTTGGTCTTGCTGCCATCGCCGGCATCGTCGGTCTTCTCGCCTTTTAGGCACATTCTTCACTTCACTTCTTGCGACCTTGCCACCCAGCCAAGGTCACCCTTCTTCGACACTCCCAACGTGGATAACGACTTTACGTGTGATGGAAAGCGAGCGTTTGCTTCTTGCGGAACCACGAAACGATGTCTGCTTTTGCTGTTGTGAGAGAGATTGTGTGTTTGATTGGTTTTTCTGGCAATACCCCCGAGGTGCTCATGATGATGATGAGTGGGAGAGAGAGAGATGGGACTTCACTTCTTCTGTTCATACTTCTAACCGATTCCCCTTGAGGTAGCAATCTGAGAGTTTCTGCTCCTCTATATCAATCTCCGCGTCCTTCTATGCGTGCTTCCCGGTTGTGAGTAGACCAGGTTCATCTCCGCTTTCCGTCAAAGTTCGATGATGAATAGCGTACATGCCATGTTGATGAAGACGAATGAATTCTGCAAACGTGAATCGAGAGGTGAGGCCACATTAAGCTATGTGATCGTCCCGTCCGAGCTCAATCAATATTTGACGTTAAAGCGGTAAGAAGTCAATGATCACTGCTCAATAATTGGTCACAGCTCAATCAAAAGCCTATCTAATCAGCTCTCCATCAAAAGCTACGAGTCATGCGCTCATGACGTTCTGAACATCCACTTTCTTGAGCTCAACAACACACTGCCAGCAAACAAACAGTGCTCAAAAACTTTCGCCAAACCTCTTGCCCTGTCAATGCCGCAACAATGCAACGCAACAAGAACATCGAGTACGACGAAGACGAGCTGTATTCAGACGGGGAAGAGGAGTATGGTGAAGAGGGAGGGTATTCGCAAGAGGACAAGGACAACTTCGCGACTTTGACACCCGTCGTTCGGGCAGAGCTTGACGAAGCTGGTGTTCCGGTCACGACGCAGCAGATCGAGGAGGCGCTGTGGCATTACTATTGGGATGTTGGCAAGAGTGTGGCATATCTGAAGAACTCGAGGACACCCAGAGAAGGGCAGAAGGAGGCTAAGAAGGAGGAGAAGCCGAAGAGCAAGTTTGATCAGGCGGCGGAGAAGGCAGGTGAGTCGAGATTGTTTTCTTGTTCTTCTGCTCTTGGGTTGAGGCGTGGGTGTGAAGGTGGAGGGCTGTATGATACAGGTGCGCACTTTTGCCCCATCAATGGCTGTGGAAGGTATGGCTGACGGTATTCTGGACAGTAGGGACTCGATGCCCGACCGTTACGGCAGCCGACTGGTTTAAGGATACCCCATGGACGAATGTTCCCTCAGACATCCTTGGTCAACTGGTTCCAGTAACGCCTGAACCGCCACGAATCAAGCTCCTTGGAGGGTCTTCGAAGTTGGCCAAACTCGCAGAGGAGCGTCGCAAGAAAGCTGCCGCCGCCGCACAGCCTGCTCAAGCACCGACGACTGACTCCACGCACTCGCTGGATCGGCTCACCAAGCCCAAGGACGTGAAGGAGAACGTTGCGCCTGCCCCCAAAACAGAGCCGAAGAAATATGCCATTCGGCGCAAGAGATCGCCCACGCCTCCACCAAAGGAACCGACTCCGCCACCTGAAGAGCCAAAAGAGCAATTGCCTAGTCTTCGCTCGTCACCTTCTGCGTTTGGCCGAACACTGTCTTCAAGCTCGGCTCAGGCCAATGGCACTCGCCAGATGGCTCTGCACGACTTACTAGGCTCTGGCTACACCTCAAACCCTTTCGACGGACCCTCGCCAGACGATACTGTCATGCGTGCTCAAGATAGAAGTAAAGGGCTGAATAAATGAACTGGCTAACAGGATTCAATCTACAGAAAAGACAAAAGCACAGCAAGCATCGAATGGATTAGCGAAGAAGACAGAAGCACTCAAGATCGATGCCACCCCGGCAGCACCATCACAGCCGAAAGTACGAAGTAAAGGCCTGGATGTGCCTTCCTTATGGAACGAGGAGAAGTCGAAACGAAAAGCTTCGGCGGCCTTTGTGGTGATAGGTCATGTCGATCACGGAAAGAGCACGCTCATGGGTCGTTTGCTCCTGGACACTGGAGCGGTATCTCAGAGAGATATCGACAAGTATGTGTTGAATCCACTCGAGATGGCTTACCACCAGCTAATGACTCTAGGTACAAGAAGCAGGCCACAGAGCTTGGGAAGGCATCCTTCGCTCTGGCATGGGTTATGGACACAGGTGCCGAGGAACGAGAGCGAGGTGTTACCGTAGACATTGCTCAGCACTACTTCAGCACTGAAAGGGTCGACTTCACAATCCTGGATGCACCTGGCCATCGAGATTTCGTACCAAACATGATTGGCGGGGCTTCAATGGCAGATCTTGCGGTGCTCGTCGTGGACGCGAATCAGCTGGAATCTGGTATGAAAGGGCAGACGAGAGAGCATATCCTACTAGCACATGCTGTTGGGCTACGAAAGCTCGTTGTGGCAGTGAATAAGCTGGATTCTACGACTCCTGCCTGGAGCAAAGATGTCTTCCAATCGGTCAGCGCAGAGGTCTTGAAGCTGCTTGCACAGACCGGATTCAAAGAAGACAACGTCGCCGTGGTTCCTTGTAGCGGACTCAGTGGCGAGAACGTAGCAAAACAGCCAGGAGGAAACTCAGCAGCATCATGGGTCTCCAAAGAACATCCAACATTATTGCAACAACTGGAGAAATTCGCCCCACATTCGACATCCATCGACGTGGTCAAGAAGCCTTTGCGGCTGCAGGTTGCGGACGTGTTTAGAGGCGGTATCACGAACCCATTATCGATTGCTGGACGGATAACGGCTGGCCATGTTCAGATTGGCGATTCTGTGACAGTGCAGCCCAGTGGCGAAACAGCCACGATCAAGGGTGTCGAAGTCGGTGGCGACGGCAAGGATTGGACGATAGCAGACGACATACCGACTCTTCATCTGGTGGACATCGAAGCTCAACATCTGAGGAGCGGGGACGTGGTCTGCAGCTCGCAGAAACCGATAAAGGTCGTCAAGAGCGTCACGGCGAAAGTGCAAGCACTTGACAGTCTGTTGCCACAGAGAGTTGACATTCACGTTGGACGGTTGCATGTACCTGGCGGCATCAGTCATCTGGTGGCTACAGAAGATGCGAAGGGCGAGACTTTGAAGAAGAAGCCTCGCATTGTAAAGGCAGGGCAAAAGGCAGTGATCAGATTAGCACTCGATGATGGCGTGCCGCTTGAGGATGGAGACAGGGTAGTGCTCAGAGCTGATGGCAGTACCATTGCGGCTGGTAGAGTAGAGGCTATTAGCATGTAAATGCAATGGAAAAGATTACAGCAGTTGATCGATGTTCATGTGCAAGTCTCGGCATGCGATGGATTGGATCCGCTTAAATTTGATTGGCCAAGCGCGGACAGCTTTATTGAAGTGCCTCCTAGATGACCGCACTTCGACCTTCCAACCAGGCACCAGGTCCTACCAACACGTCTGCACCACCGCTCTCTGACACCGACCGATTGACCTCTGGCTATCCCGCCTGCAACAGTATCCCTTCTTCTCACCGCCTGCCCTCGCCACAGCAATCATGTCCCGCCGACCGCCAGCTCCAGGAGCAGACCGAGCAGAACAGAACCGAGCAACGCTCAAACAACTCGTGAAGCTCGAATCGAACAAGAGCTGCGCCGACTGCAAGCGAAACAAACACCCACGATGGGCGAGCTGGAACCTAGGCATCATCATCTGCATCCGCTGCTCGGGCATCCACCGCGGCATGGGCACACACGTCTCACGAGTCAAATCCGTCGACCTCGACTCCTGGACCGACGAGCAGATGCAACAGATGCTGAAATGGGGCAATTCGCGAGCGAACAAGTACTGGGAGCATAAACTCGCCGAGGGCCATGTCCCCAACGAGGCGAAGATTGAGAACTTCATCCGGACAAAGTATGATAGTAAGCGGTGGGTGATGGATGGGGGGATCCCGGATCCTACCACGCTGGATGATGGCGAGGCAGATGATGATGTGCCGTTGAATGTGGTGCAGCAGCAGGTCAAGGAGAGGGAGAGGAGTGCTAGTATAAGGAATCGGAGTGCGCCTAATGCGGTGCCGCCTCCTCCTGTTAAGGCGCCGCAGGTTGATCTTTTTGGGGATGAGCCAGCACAACAGCCTGCGCGGCCGAGTACGACTGAGCCTGCTGGGAGTAGGCCTGGTCCGCCGAAAGCTCCTGCTGCTGCGACGAAGCAGAGCAAGCCTGGTGAGAGCTTGCTTGGATTGGATTTCTTTGGCGGGACGCAGTCTGCGCCTCCAGCGAGGCCATCTAGTACTGGACCCAATACGCCTGGTGTGTCTGGACGGAGCGATCTGAAGCAGTCTATCCTGTCTTTGTACGCGTCAAAACCAGCTGCACCTCCACAGCCGCAACAACCAGCGGCGAATGCGTTTGGGGGGATGCAATCCCCGCCGTTGGCATCTCCAACAACACAGCAGTCAAACACGCAAGCACTGGGCGGCTTGGGCGATGCGTTCGGCTCGCTGTCATTCAACGCGCCAGCTCAACAGAAGCCGGCGCCATTCTCCAACTTCACAGCTCCAACTGGACATTCAAGACAAGCATCTCAAGTCTGGTCACCACCTCCGTTGAGCGGTGGTGGGTTCTTCGACTCGAAATCTCTCGCGCAACCAAAGCAAGCCTCACCTCCGGTACAGCCTGTGACATCCACGCACAGGCCCAGCGATAGCTTTGGTGCGGACTTTGGCGATTTCTCATCAGCATCGCCAGTAACTTCGGCCAAGAGTCCACTTCCAGCAAGCAGCTCGATGGGCGATTTGTTTGACATGTCGACCCCTCAACCTCCTGTAAAGCCGGCTGCTGTACCTGCTCCTGCTCCTGCTCCAGCGCCAAAGCCTGCTCAGCCCGCACCAATCAACTACTCCGCCTTCAACCTCACTCAACCCGCTCCTGCACCAGCAGCAGCACCTAAGGCCGCACAAACGTCTTCCATCCCAAGTATGTCCATGAACAACATGGATGCTTGGGGCTCAAACAACGCCTGGGCCGAACCAGATGAGCCAGCACCCGCTCCTGCTGCACCAGCCAAACCAGCCCCACCACAGCAGACCTCGCCCGCAGCATTCAAGTCGACTCCAGCACCGCCACCGACGAGTGTTCAGACGCCATTCGACTCCGGCTGGGGAGACCCAGAACCTGCTAAACCAGCGACCACATCCAGTGCGAGTGGCTTCCACGTCCAGCAGGATGAGGAGTTTGGTGGCTGGTCCCATGCTAGTCCAGTTGCGACGACTTCTGGACCCAAGCAAGGTGGTCTGGGAGGCAACTCTGATGATCTGTTCGGCAACGTTTGGGAGTAAGAGGTAGATGGGTAGAGGAAGACAGAACTTGGGCCTCATGAGTGCATAGCGTGGATGAATAGAAATTGAATCAAAATGTGATTGATAAATTGTTGAACTGATGCCGTTCTTTTCACGTGCCGTATGCCCTTTTCCTCTCTCTCACTCTTGCAAATGTGTCTAAACTCCTCCAGCGCCTTGCTCAAATCAATGTCCATGCAAACCCCTTTTTCACAACCCACCCCAACCGAATATCTATGCAACCCCCCCCCCCCCCCCACCCCCATCACCCCTTCAGAAAAACCAACTCCCCACCCACCACACCAACACCACGACCCCAATAATCATCCCCGCCAACTTAAAAATCGCCACTTTATTCCCCTGGCTCGCCATGACACCCAGCCGCCGCGCGGAGCCCTTGAGGGACGTGGACATGGAGGAGAAGGTTTCGGAGGTGGAGTCGAGGACGCCTTGGTCGCGGGCATTGTCGTAGATGTCGACGGTGACGGAGCGGAGTTGGGAGACTTTTTGTTGGAGGGAGGTGAGGGAGTCGTTGTTTTGTCTGTTGGTGGAGGGGAGGGTGTTAGTGGGTGGTGGGTTTGGTGGGTTGGTGGGTTGGTGGAGGGGGGACTTGCCGTTCTCGTTCGTAGGCTTCTGACATTTTTGCCTAAGGGGATTGGGATATGTGTGTTTGTTCGCGGTTGTTTACGAGTCGAGCTCTCCGCGGATCGATGGAGAGTTGGTGGCGGAGTGGTGCGGTGTGGAGAGGGTCGTTGCTATTGCTGTGCCTGGCTGACGACGACGAAGGCGGCTGGTTGATAGAAAAGCGTCTGCCTGGAGAGGACAAGACGGCCGTAGCAGGATTACTGGCAGTTGGAAGTATATTCTTTGTCGCAAGCTACTACCGCATCAGCTGCAGCCCGTGAAGACGCGCAAAAGGCCGGCTCGGCCTTCGGTGACGTCGCGGGGCTGTGCTGTCTGGCGCTGAGAGCCGACAGCTCCAAGTGCATCTGATCTCGAAGGATGCGATTTGTCTACGACTTACTCACCACCACCGCCTGAGCCTCCGAACGAAACAAACATAAGCCCCTGGGCGCGCTCCTCTTCGTTCAGCAACCGAATCATCCGTCTTGTTGAACATCGACGTCTCGACTCAACATGCCGTTCATCAATAACCCTCTCCCCTCGTCGATGAGGAGTGAGTTTCTACCTGCCCTTCAGCTGAGAAGAAACATGTCCCACTGACTTTCGACTACAGGCGAATGCAAGAAATGCGGCCGCATCCTCGCCTCCTTCATCGACCCGCGACAAGCCTTCGGCCCAGATAAGATCATCCCGCCCGCCATCCTCGCCAACGCCAAAGGCCTCGCGATCCTCACCGTCTTCAAAGCCGGCTTCCTCGGCTCAGGTCGTTTCGGCAGCGGTGTCGTCGTCGCCCGTCTTGCGGATGGAACCTGGTCGGCCCCGTCGGCTATCGGAACACTAGGTGGTGGTTTCGGCGGACAGATCGGCTTCGAACTGACCGACTTCGTCTTCATCCTCAACGACGCCAGCGCGGTCAAGACGTTTGCGCAGGTGGGGTCGCTGACGCTCGGTGGCAATGTCAGTATCGCGGCGGGCCCTGTGGGACGCAATGCCGAGGCGGCGGGCGCGGCGAGTCTGAAGAGCGTGTCGGGCATCTTTGCTTACAGCAAGACCAAGGGTCTGTTTGCGGGTGTGAGTTTGGAGGGCAGCGTGCTCATCGAGCGAAGAGATGCAAATGAGAAGATGTACAACCGGAAACTCACCGCGCGGGAGCTGCTGGGCGGGAACGTGCCTGTCCCACCGCAGGCGGAGCCGTTGATGCGTGTGCTGAACTCGCGCGTCTTCGCTGGTGTGGGAGGATCGGTCAGTGGGGACAGTGCCATGTACAACGACGTGCCCGTCTACGACGACTCGCACGACGATGTCGTCTGGCAGGGCCGGACGGGGAGTGGCTATAACGCAGGCATTCCAACGCAGAGGACCGGGGACTTCAGCAGAAACGACGACTTCGACAAGCCGAGCAGAGCATCGACCTGGCAAAACGACAACTACGGAGGCGGAAGCAATTCCTTCGGCCGCGCGAACCCGAGCGAGACGTTCGACCGGTTAGAACAGACCAGAGGACGCTCGTCGACGTTTGGAGACCAATCTGATTATGTGTACAGCGATCGTAAGGGACCTCCGCCTGGACGGCCGAGCGCGCCCAAGCCGACTTTTGCGTCGAAGGGGTCGGCGGGGCCTGGGCAGGCGATTGCCAAGTTTACGTTTGAGGCGGATCAGCCGGGGGATTTGGGGTTCAAGAAGGGGGATATCATCACTATTATCAAGAGGACTGAGAGTGAGGCGGATTGGTGGACGGGGAGGATAGGGAGTCGTGAGGGTATGATTATCCATCCATTGGACTTGGAAGATTGATGTTTGCTGACACGAATCAGGAATCTTTCCCTCGAACTATGTTGAAGTGGTCTAGTCGATCAGAACCAACAGACAAGGGAGCCTACAACGACATCGAGTCATTCACCCACACCTTCCCAAACAGGAAACACGACGCGACGACCACCACCAAAACCCCAAAAGCACCACGAAACGAATGATCCAATTCTAGGAGTCCGAATACAGCATTACGAACGACCGAGAGAGAGAGAGCGACTTTGTTGTTGATGAGAAAGAAGATGCCAACCCCCAATTGTAGATAGTGCGGCGTCTTTTTGACTTTTTCACCGGAGGCTTTTGGTTTGGGATTCTCTGATTCTTGTTGATGATGATGCAAAGGAGGGAGCTCAGCATAGCGGAAGATACTCTACGATTCAATCAAGGCGTTCAAAGGCGCGCACGAAAAGGATGTTTCGTGTCTCTTTCTTTTGTCGTGTTGATTTGCTTGTCCCACTGTAGGGGCTGTGTGTCTGTGCTATTGTCACGATTCAGGATCTTGTGGTATCGAGTGAGATATTCGGGGGAGAGGCCTGGAGTCATGTGTCTTTTCCTATTCATGGTTCTGTGGTGCTATGAAACCCAGGTCTCATTAGACCAGTGCCATGTCCTCTTCCCTTGCCATCTCAGACTCGGGTTGCTTCTGCTTTGCACCGCCGTCGTCGTCGGAGGCCGTCACATCACCTTCGGATATGCTCGAGCCCAGAGCCCGTACATCCCCTCCACTCATCTGCACGTCTGGGATCTCATTGCCTCCCTCTCCCTCATCCTCATCCTCGTCCGTCACTCTTGCTCGCGCTTCGTCAGGAGCATCTACCACCATCTCCTCATCTACACCCTCTTTCTCGGCGGCTGCTTCCTCGCCTTCGTCTTCGACAGAAACCATCGCTTCGAGATCCATCGATCGATCCTCCTGGCTCTGAGCCTCTTCTCCATCTCCTTGTTCTTCCTCATCCTCCACCTCCCCCTCATCCTTCCACTCCCTCCGCACAACCCACCCCTCCCTCCCCACAACAACCTCAAGCGCCATCCCATCCTTATCGAAATTCGGCACTTCCCCCAACTTCGGCTTCCCCGCCCTCGACGCCTTGATCTTGACCTCCTTAGGAAATTGATGCAGCCATTGCCCATCGAAATCAAAGTCCGGATCCGCGAGCCAGACGTGGATGGCGGGGATTTCCGGGGCGAGGAGAGCGATGCAGGCGTCGCGGGCGAGGTGGAGCGTTTCCATCACTTCGGGCAGGTTGTTGGCGATTTTGGTGGTTTTGGAGTAGTCGCATGCCGTGATGTCTGAGGCTGATGAGAGACAACTAATTAGTTCGGTCTGAAGTTATTTGGGGCAAAAGGGAGTCTTACGAGTGTAGTGGTCTCGGATCCATTGCATGAAGAGGTGGTCTTTTCGGACTCTTTTCTTAAGGCCGAGGATGCTGAGGAAGATGTGCAACGGAGGCACAAGGCTGTCCAGCTCTTCTTGCTTCTCCTTGTCATTTCCCGAGACCACGAATCTGGCCGCGTGTCTGCTGGCCTTTTGTAGCTCCTCGATGGTCAGTAATGTGGCTTCGTTGTGGACGGAAAATGCTAGACTCCGCGCTCGTACGCAACGATGGTAGAGACTCTTCATATCTTCGTTCTCTGCAGTCACTAGCTGCTCGTGGTAGTCGTAGAGCTCATCGTCCAGGATGTCGAGTAGGTTTGCGCGGTAGCTGTTTTTGTCGGATAGAACGATGCCATGAGACAGCCACTCGCCCGTGTACCAGTCGTTTGTGAGCTTGCTGACCTGACCAGGCTTCCAGTTGTTCCAACAGCGAGCATTCGTGACTCTCAGCAGACGCTCTGCAGAGTAGAATTTGGTGGAACCAGCTCGGGTGACCGTGCCGTTGTCCAGACGCAGGGCGATCGACTGATCTGCGTTCCTCTCGACTTTGTACTCTGACTTGACAATCTTGGCCTGTTGCGCTTGCTCGGTATCGACACTGGTGATGTGGATGCTTCTCTCCCCTCGAGCCTTTCGAGCTGTACCTAGAACCAGCACGAAGAGCATCGAAGGCGTCCATGAGAGGAATGGATCGCTATTGCGGTCGTCCCACATGAGTCTGTGGCCCAACTTGCTGATGATGTCTCGCTCCTCGATTAAGCTGTTGGCGATGTGGTGTATTCCCTTTTCAAGTCCTTTGCCGTCGTGTTTCACACAAGAGATGGCGGGAACGTGGATGTCTTTGCTGTCTAGACCCTTTGTCGATTGATAGTGCCTGGCGCTGATGTCCGATGCCACGCGGAAAAGATGCTTCGGCGTATCCCATTTCGAATCTGAAGAGACTGTCAGTATACCACGATCAGTCAAACCTTTCCGGCTTTGTATCTCACCTTCGAGCTTTTCTTTCTGGCGTTCGCTCAGCATCGATGAACTGAACCCATAGTAGGCAAGTAGTTCCTTGAGTAGCTTCTTCTCCCGCCTGAAATATTTCACGGCCTTCGCGTGGTCTACCAACTTCTGCCGGTCAGTCTCGAACTCGATGGGATCCGAATGGACTTTGGCTCGCATTTCATTCTTTTGCCATTGAGAGATCAGGTTCCGCGCATGCATTCGTCTCCGCTGGGCCCTCGCCTTCTCTCTCTTGGCTTCTTTATCCGACTTCGTTTTAGCCGCTGGTGCTGGCTTCATCCAAGAGCGGCCCATGCTGTCGGTAGTGTCTTTCTGTATCAGCACTTGTCGTTGTAACTGTCGCCAGATACGTTGCAGGGCTGTGGATCTTTCAGCGCCGTGGTCGTCTCGCTGTAAAGATTCCACCTCTTTAGCGTTCAGTCATAGCTGCTTGATAAGTAGTGATGACAGTCTTGGATGATCTGTGAAAGGGTCGTGTTGCAAGCTCAAGTGCCCGCAGCGGTATCTTGCTGAATGATTTGTATTGTTGTTGGCGTCGAGAAGATGAGATTCGGAAAGATCTAAAAATGATTATATAGCCATCTGATGATGTTAAGTGAAGCCAAAACGTCATTCGGTGTCTTTCAGTCCTGCTGTTGGTATCACGATATTTGAACCGTGCGTTGGGGGCATGTGATGGAGGAAGGCAAGTGAAGGGGAAAGAGACGGTTGCATGCAGCTCTGGAGAAGTCAATTCTGCCATCACACTGTTTCACGTTCCACGTATGGTGCCAATGTGAGGACTAGCTTTTTGATATCGTATCATCTTGTAGACCCAATTCCTATTGCGAATGCAGATCGATTGTTCTTGCATTTGTATGAGGAATACCATAGTGGCTCATTGTCTACTCGGTACGGCTGGCATAAATATACCGTCTCCGTCTCTTGGACTTTGCACGCGACTGTACCTACAGTGCAAGCTCAGTGTGCTCGGTATGCGTATTGGAGACGGCAATGGGCAAGAGGACATGTCTTGGAGACAATCTGCTCCTGCCTCGTCTTGCAGATGGCCATGTTCAGCGGCAACTCAGTTGTCGAAGACAGAAACATCACATGTTCTCCACCGAAAAACACCAATAAATGCCAAGCACATGTTGATGTCTGGACCCAAGCATGTGATGGAAGTTGAGGTGAAGTCGAACGAGCGCCAAGGGGCCGGTCCTCGGCTCGGCGGGTGCAGCGCTTGGACGCACTGAGGAGACGACGGAGTCGGGAGCGGTTCGGATCAGATTAAATAGAAGTCGAGGAGTCTAGGAGAAGGCATCGAGGTGATATACAACGCCGCGCGTCGACCATCGCTCTGAGTTGAGTCTAGGTGGTGAGTAGTGCCAACTGGAAAGACGCGCAGAGCTTCGTGCTGCACCTGGCGAGCTCCCAGGCCAAAATCTCTCTCTCCACTGACGTCTGAAAATTCGAGCTCCGCAGCCGGGCAGCATCCCACCCTGATTCACTCCCATTGATATAAGACCACTACCAGCCGCGCCCTGGGACTTCTTCTCCAGCTGCCGCATGCTCCTCGTCGTCCACCATGCAATCAATCGCTCGGCCGCTGTGCCGGCAAGCTCTTCGCCAGCAGCGTCGCACTCTCGCCAGACAGTCTAAGGCCCTCACCATCTCGCGGCCAGCTGTCCAAAGAGTCCAGCAGTATGCCACCTCCCACCGCGCCGACGAGAGCTCTGCTCGATCCGCCGTTATTAACGTCCTCAACAACATTGCCTCCAAGCGAGAAGTCCAGCAGTACCTCGCCCAGTTCACCTCGGTCTCCTCCCAGCAATTCGCCGTTATCAAAGTTGGTGGGGCCATCTTGACCGACTACATCGATGTCCTCTGCGCATCCCTTCGCAACCTGAACCAGATGGGCCTCTATCCTGTCATTATCCACGGTGCAGGACCACAATTGAACAAGCATCTCGAGGAAGCTGGGGTGGAACCCAAGTACAATGAGGGAATTAGGATCACAGACGGCAAGACACTGGGCATTGCTCGCAAGCTGTTCTTGCAGGAGAACCTGAAGCTCGTCGAGGCTCTGGAGTCATGGGGTGTCAGAGCTCGTCCAGTCACCTCCGGCGTACTTATGGCAGACTACAAGGACAAGGAGACTTACGAATTCGTCGGCGAGGTCAACCAAGTCAATGCCCAGAGCATCAAAGCTGCCATTGCCGATGGCTACATTCCAGTGCTGACCTGTATGGCTGAGAGCGAAGATGGCCAGGTCTTGAACGTCAATGCCGACAAAGCTGCTGCCGAGCTTGCCAAAGCGCTGGTCCCTCTCAAGATCGTGTACCTTTCTGAGAAGGGTGGCATCTACGACAAGGAGACTGGCAAGCTTATCGAGGCCATCAATTTGGACGAGGAGTACGACGAGTATATGAAGAAGCCTTGGGTCATTCATGGCACTCGCAGTAAGATTCGGGACATCAAGACTCTGTTGGACGAGCTTCCACGCAGCTCTAGTGTGGCCATCATTCACCCCGAGAGCTTGGAACGTGAGCTTTTCACCCACTCCGGAGCCGGTACATTGATCCGCCGTGGCACCAAACTGCAGTCCGCTTCTTCCCTCAAAGAGTTCGAGGATGTCAACAAGCTTAAGGAGACCTTGATCCGAGACCGTGAGGGCCTTGACGCCGCCAACGTCGTCGACCGTTACCTTGAGATCCTCGAGTCTCGCCCGTTCAAGGCTTACTATGACGAAGGCATGGAGGCCTTGGCCATTGTTCTACCACCCGAGAATGCTTCCAGCCAGCTCGGACATTTGGCCACGCTCACCATGACTCGCAACGCTTGGCTCTCCAACATCGCCGACAACGTCTTCCAAAACCTCAAGCGTGACTATCCCAAACTCGCATGGACCGTGAAGCAGGACGATGAGAATCTGACCTGGTTCAGCGAGAAAGCTGACGGTTCCATTGCTCGACGTGGCGAGGTGCTCTTCTGGTATGGTATTGACACTCCTGACGAAGTCCGTGAGCTCATGGCCGAGTTTATTCAACACGGCCGCCAAATGTTCGGCGATATCAACCTGGAATCGCAGCTTCACCGAGCGGCAACGGCTGCTGAGCGCATTCGCAACAAAGCTGCTGAGCTTGCAAGGGGTCGACAAACCCAAGCAAGAGCATTCAGCACCAGCGTGAGACCCACGAAGCGGGCTCGCATCGGAGAGATGCAACAACAGTTCAGGTCCTACACCACGAACCCTAACCCACCTCTTGGAATCAAGAACAGCGAGAAGGACTACCCATCCAAGATTGCTGTCATTGGCGCTCGTGGCTACACCGGTCAAGCTCTGATCGACCTCCTCAACAGACATCCCAACATGGATCTCTGTCACGTCTCTTCACGAGAACTGGCCGGCAAGAAGCTCAAGGGCTACGAGAAGAAGGAGATCATATACGAGAGTTTGACTCCTGACGATGTCCGTAAGATGGCAGAGAACAAGGCCATCGATTGCTGGGTTATGGCACTTCCGAATGGCGTATGCAAACCATATGTCGATGCTATCGAGGAGTCTGGGCACAAGGAGGCTGTAATTATCGACTTGTCGGCTGACTACCGCTTTGATTCAACATGGACATACGGTCTTCCTGAGCTGGTTCAGCGCAACAAGATCGCCAGCGCCACCCGTATCAGCAACCCAGGCTGCTATGCGACTGCTGCTCAGCTTGGTATTGCCCCATTGGTGCCATTCTTAGCAGCGGCACCAGCAAACCCAACTGCCTTTGGTGTTTCAGGTTACTCGGGTGCAGGTACCAAGCCATCGCCGAAGAACGATGTTAACGTCTTGACGAACAACCTCCTCGCCTACTCGCTTACAGACCACATCCATGAGAAGGAGATCTCTTCACAACTAGGCCGAGAGATTGCATTCATCCCGCATGTTGCTGTCTGGTTCCAAGGCATTCACCACACAATCTCTCTGCCACTCGCAGACAAGATGGCGAGCCGAGACGTTCGCCAGCTCTACCAGGATCGATATGACAAAGAGAAGCTCATCAAGATCTCCGGTGAATCTCCTCAGGTCAAGAACATTTCAGGAAAGCATGGTGTGGAGATTGGCGGCTTCGCGGTCCACTCAGGACAGAAGCGTGCGGTTATCAACGTGACCATTGACAACCTTCTCAAGGGTGCTGCCACTCAATGTTTGCAGAACATGAACCTTGCGCTTGGGTATGGTGAATATGAAGGCATCCCACTGGACTGAACGTCGAGACCATGGGGAAAGCGGTATTCAATGCAGAAGCCGGGAGCAACCTCGGATGCTTGACACCTAGCGCACTCGCTCTGGACGTCCAGGCATCGCAAAAGTGAGCGTTCGCAGCATGGACAGGCGTTGGTAAACTTCCTTGGGGAGGCCAAGCCACTGTTGGCTCTTGATAGATGTGTGATTGTAGTTATAGCGACCATCACTGGCGCTGAATGGAGCGTTACGATTTTGGGCTAGCACGAGCGATTATCTGCTCTTCGAAATACCTCAGCTTCTCACTGTGGCTGCGCGTGAAACGCGTAGTCGCTTGTTCGCCGTCAATGGTCCGTCTGTGCTTGCAAAAGTGAGAGACCGGGAGAAGGTACGGATCGTGATTGCTTCCTGTTCCCCTTATGGGTGCAATTGAATGTTTAGACCTTCTCTGGCACTATCGCTGGATGAATCGGCATACCAGCATAGGCGGGTCTTGGGGTTAATCCTCTGGCCGGCGTAGAGAATGTTATGTCAGAAAGGATTCGACACCAATGAAGAAAACGATGCGAGCTGAACGATAGATGACACTGGACCATAAAATCTCACGTCTGGCAACGACTTGCCTGTAAGATGCACATCGCAGCATCCTGGCAATGGCTTCGCAGAAAAGCCGCAAGAATGTCCTCCTTTTGACTTGCTCTCGCACACGGTCGAACCTCGTCTTTCGCTGGATCTGCACCAGCCCAGACGTCCACGCAATCCGGTACCCATTCGTCGCATCGAGGAGATACGGCAAGACCGAGAACAGTCTGCTCTACCATCTTCGCCACAACGAAGCGCGGCATGAGGAACTCGTCAACTTCCACTGTGGCGATGACACTCCCGAGGACTCCCTCGCTGCTCTGCGCAAAGACCTGCGTGCCGCCGCCGACGAGGGCAAAATCGCTGTCATGGTCGATCAATGGGAACACATCGTCAGGCTGCAGCACGGTCTGGAGATCCTCCGCGCAGAGCACTGCGTCCTGCCCCCGAATCCCACACACCTCCCAGACGACATCCTCACCTCCACGACAACCATCATCCTCATCCGCCACCCGGCCGCCGTGGTCGACTCCATCTGCCGCATGGCCCTCGGGCTCTCGCGCAAATACAGCCCGGACGGCGAAGACTTCCGGCTGTTCGGCTTGGTCCGCGCTCATCGTCTCCTGTTCGATAGTTTCTCTTCTCAGCACATGCAGCCGATCGTCGTCGATAGCTGGGACGTCGTCACGGATACCACCCGGGTTCAAGCAGTGCTCGAAGAGAGACTTGGAACTCAGGGCATGACGGACGTGTGGGAGCCGAGGACGCAGGAGGAATTGGCGAGTTTCCATCCTATGACGCTTGCGGCTACGAGGGTTGCGAATGAGAGTTCGGGCATTAAGAGACCGGAGAGTACTGTGGTAAGTCTGCAATGTACTTTTTTTTACTTGATCAGCTAGTCTGCCATTTCTTGTTGCTGCTGTCCAGATCGCTAACGACCTTCATCTAGACTTCGGAGGGAGACAGCAAGAATTTTTTCTTGGAGTGGCAGGAGAAGTATGGGGACAAGGTTGCGAAACAGTTGCAGGGGTTCGTTGACAGAAATCTGCCGGACTACGAGTATTTGAGGCAGTTTAGAATATAAGGATGCTGTGTTGTTTATGCCTCCCATCTCTGAGCTCTTAAATTTGCATGCGAAGTGACTGAAGTCGGGATCCAAGTGGCCATAAGTCATCATCGGACCGGAACGACGGTCGGTAGTCAAACCTTCCGTACTTTCGACTTGCCTCAGTGCATGACGAGATGTTTCCAACAAATACCATGCATCTCCTACCAAGCCATGAACAGGCTCCATGGCAGGCCCGTCCCCTCGAATACTCTCCTACGATTCCTACGAAGCCAGCTCGACGTCGAAACCTCGCATCGATGCGCTCTAAAACCCCATTCGTTCCCCCGGCGTCGAACATGCCCGTCGACGAGGCAATGCGGCACTTTGGGGCCTGCGAGTAGACCGACTGCTACTCACTCCTCTCCATCGATATTCACGAATCATGATAGAATGCACGACCGCGACTTCAGTAATTCTTCAAGTCTTGCCGCAGAAGCGTTCTGGCGACGTTTGCGACAACCTAAGAGCAAGCAATTACTCCGGGAGGACCTCCCACCCCTATCAGGCTTCCTAGACGACAACGCCGGCCTTGGTGGCAGAATCATCAAGCCCAGCAATGAGCTCAAATTAAGATGCACGGAGTTCGACGAAAATGGGAACGTCACTTTGGTCAATGGCGAGTTCCGCAAGAGCGAGTTGACGGCCAAATATTCTCTTCTCCCGCGAGACCTGCGCAAGATCGACAGCAGTGTGCTTCCGCATATTCTGGTTCGACCCTCGGCGATCTTGATCAATCTGCTGCATTTGAGGTGTTTGATCAAGCATAATCGCGTGCTGGTTTTTGATGTGTATGGTTCGACGGATTCGTATGCGCAGAGTCTTTTTATGTATGATTTAGAGGGCAAGTTGAGGCAGAAGCAGCAGTCTAGTGCGGCTGGGGCTTTGCCGTATGAGTTTCGCGCGCTTGAGGCGGTGCTTATCAGCGTTACCGGCGGACTGGAAAGCGAGTTTGAGGGTGTGAGGGAGCCAGTTGTAAGAGTTTTGAGGGAGCTGGAGGAAGACATTGATAGAGACAAGCTGCGATACTTGCTCATTTACTCGAAGAAGCTGGGAACGTTCGAGCAGAAAGCACGACTCGTTCGAGACGCCATCGAAGATCTCCTCGAAGCCGACGACGACCTAGCGTCAATGTACCTCACCGAAAAGGCACTCGGTGAAGAAAGAGACGACGAAAACCACGAAGAAGTCGAACTCCTCCTCGAATCCTACCACAAAGTCGCCGACGAGATCGTCCAAGTCTCCTCCAACCTCGTCTCCGCCATCCGTAACACGGAAGAAATCGTGCGCGCCATCCTCGACGCCAACCGCAACAGCCTCATGCTCCTAGATCTGAAATTCAGCATCGGCACGCTGGGCATAAGCGCTGGTATGTTCATCGCTGCGCTCTACGGCATGAACCTCGAAAACTTCATCGAGGAATCCCACTATGGCTTCTTCGGCATCTCTGGCATGTGCACCGCCCTCTCCGTCGTGGCTTGCTACTACTGCTTCGGAAAACTCCGCAAAGTCCAACGGATATCCATGTGGGGCGAAGGCGGGCTCACGAAGGCCGCGAAGGATCGTGCTTCGAGGGGGAACTGGCGAGAGATTCACGAGAACCACCTTTCTGGTGCTGCGGCGGCTGATATGGGCGATAAGCCGCTCGCGGAGGCGGTTGCGGGGATCAAGAGGGCGGATCGGTTGAAGTTGTGGAAGCATGCGCAGAATGAGCGGTTGAAGGCTATGCAGGACGAGGCGAACCGTCAGACGCCGGTGCCTTTTGGGCCGTTGAGATGATGACGATGGTTTGTATTATTCTCTCTACTCTGGTAGATGCTCGATCCTAGAGGGATGGTGCTTTTGTATATGGACGTGGGCATAGCGATGGCGTTGAGGGGATGGATAGACTGTACAGTATGCCTAATTACGAATGGAAGAGAGATACCACTCACTACTGAGGGGGAGAAGCTGTTTTTACATCAGAAGCAGTAGCCCGAGCCCCTGGATTACTGAAGCTGTGAGATCAACAGCTATCTCAAAGGCGGAGCTTCAGCAATGACGAAAAAGAAGCGGAATCTGAGCACCGTTCACGAGTACATTCGTCTATCCGAGATCTGCCAACTAACTCACTTTCTTCACACGTCGATCAGTCGTTTCTAGTGCGAAGAATTCGAATTATCCGCGCACGAAAACGCAGACCCTAAGGTAATATGTCAGCCTTCTACCCCAACCGAAGCTTCAAGGATAAATATCAAACTCACCAATCTGCCCATCAGCATACGCCTGAATAATCTCCTTGATCACACCATACGTCCCGCCCACAAGAAAGAACAACCCCAGCGGAATCAACATCGCATGGAACCAGAAGACCGCTTGCCTCAGCAGACTCCCCCTGACCCAATCCTTGTGGTCGTGTATCCACAGCCACCCCGGGAGTGCGATAGCCAAGGGCGCAAAGCAAACACTCCCCGTCAAAGCGATGAGGTAATTGAAAATCGGAATCGCCTCCGCCAGCACGAACGCCAAAGCCGCGAGCCCAAACGTACAGCTCAGCCAGGTGCTCCAGTGCACGAGAGTGTTGGCCTGGAGGTGCTTGCTGTTCCGCAAGATCCGCACGAAGACGTACTTGGCCGCGACGTGGAGGTAGAGGCAGGCGCTGACGATGAGGCCGATGAGGCCGACGCCGTAGGCGACCATTTTGACCGTTTGGCCGGCGGAGCCGAGTGAGGGGGACGCGACCCATTGGCCGCACCAGCGGTAGACGACGAGGGAGAAGGCGAGGTAGGCGGCGGTGACGAGGGACATGCAGACGAAGAGGGCTTTGCGGTAGTCCTTGGGGTTCTTCATCTCGGAGATGACGGGTAGGAAGGCGGAAGTGCCGGCGGACGAGACGAAGATTGTGGTGGAGGCGACGACGCCTGCGGCGAAGGTTACGCCGGAGGGCACGACGTAGTAGCCGAGTTCGAAGTCGCCTGTTGCTGGGGCGGCGGCGGGGCGGTCGCGTGTGGTGACGGCGACGACGACGATGAAGACGGCTACGAAGATGGATATGAAGCCTGCCCAGGTGAGCCAGCCGATTTGGTGGAATTTGCGGACGGAGGCGGTTAGGGCGACGACCATTGTTGCGAGGAAGCTGGGATATCGTCAGTTCGATGGAGATTATGCTGGGTTGCGTTTGTACGTACGCCCACCAGACTGTGCATGCGGCGTGGTGTGAGAGGGCGTTGAGACCAACTGATACGCCTATGATTCCGGAGCCTTGTTTTCGAGGTCAGTCTTCCCTGCTCCCTCCATATCGTCCTTCGACGCAGGACTCACCAGAACATAGCACATAAGCAATGATGAACAAACCGCCAACAAGCTCCTGCCCACAGCGAACCATATTAGCCACGATCCCCCTAACTCTCAAACTAACAGGAGTTGAATCATCCAAGGAAAAACCCACCCTCATCCAAATACCCCCCACCTCCTTCGCCATATCCGCAATCGAATGACACCCGGGATGCCGATTCCTAAAATCCCCCTGAATCACCGCCGTATACGTATTCAACGCTCCCCACCCGATCACATTCAGCGCACCGCCGACCGCCCCGAGCGAAACCATGGCCGTCGGGATGGAGAGGACTCCCGTGGCGAAGATGATTTTGAGAAAGATCACCGAGGCGCGCGGCCAGCCGACGGTGCGGAAGTTGACTTCGCCATCTTTGCGGAAGACTTCGCCGGCCTCGAAGTCGGTGATTTGGCCGACGATTGCTTCGGGGTCGGAGGGGTGGGTGTCGTGGTGGGCTTTCTTTTCGTTGGATTTAGTAGAGGGTGGGGAGGACATGTTGTGCGGGAGATCTGCTTCGAGGTAGAAAGGTAAGGAGAGGGAGGGGAGGACGTTTCGGGGGAATATCATGGGAACGATATAGAGGGTAGTGGTAGAGAACGCTTATCAGTTCACACACTACGGTCAACATGACTCGAAACGATAGACGAGGTCTCCTGGCTTGTCGACATACTATCATCAGCCAGCCAGCTCATCACTACTACACGAGGAGAAGGAGAGAGCTCCATGGTCAGCCAGGTCCAGTGTGCCGGCGTAACGATACAGACCAAAGCGAGGTCCTGATGAGAGGAAGGGAGAGAGATAGGCGACGCGCTTTGGCCGAACAGCAAAGGAAGAAGGTGGCGTCCGACCTGTGCGTTGGAAATTCATGTCTCCAGAAAACCAAGTAGATAACTAGCCGCAGGACAGCCAATCCTACGCTGATGATCCTGCTGGTGTTCCTCTTCTGATCCCTCGCGTGGCAAGTCCAAGGAAGGCTCGTCGATGGCTCGGCAGATAGCCCGTCCTTTGCATGTGGGATTTCCTCTCTTTGCACGACTCGTGCTGTGAGTGTAGGGACTTCTCATTGGTATGCCTCCGCAGGGCCCCGGCGATGTGGCTGCCATGCGGTGCTTGCAGCAGATCTCCATTGCTCCCAAGGCTCGGTTCTGGGTGTCGTTATCTCTGGGTGGGTGATAAGGGCCAGGCCGCCGGCCAAGGTCGTGAGTGAGAGTGTTGATGGTCAGGTTGAGAGACAGCTTTCGAGCTTTTGAATCAACAACGCTTCCTCATATTTGCTTGGGGTGGTGATGTTAGTCTCTTGATGCTGATAGAGGTTCCAGGTTGTCCGCTGGGCTGGCCTTCACTCGAGCGTCTGGAGTTGTGACGTCACCCTAGAGCAGGCGGCATTTTTGTCTACCTTGTATCTGTTAGCAGCATCACTCACCCTCCCAAGGATGAGACGTACAATGCAACGATGTTCTCTGTTTGTATTCATCATTCAACATTATCTCTTTGTATGTATCTCCAAGCCAACTAATTGGTGATCAGACTCACAAACTCCTTCGCAAAAGACAGAAGCAGTTCCTTTTCCCGCCTTCCTTCTTGAACTCCTCTGTCCACGTTGTCCATTGCGCCTCCTCTTATATGTACAGTCGTCGTAAGTAGTTTCATCATAATTCTAGCCTTCACAGAGACACCTCAGCCCGCTGAATGGTGTCGGCGTGCTTCGACTCCGTCTCATCCTCACCCTCGGCGTATGGACTGGACTTCACGGACTCGCCAGATTCGTCTTCCAGCTTCACTGTCTTTTCCGTCTTGCCATCCTCGGCGTCACTGGTCAAGGCTGTGCTGACTGAACTGCTCCTCGGCGAACCACGGATATACGCAGAGGATCGATCTGTCGTGTTGGACTCGGATTCGGTAAGTGAAGGGGCCCGTGAGTCTTTTGTCTGTTCAACGAAATTGTTCGATGCTGACGATGCAGATGATCCTGAGTCTACGGCTGTGTCAGTTTTTCGTTGGCAGAGTCTGTGAACTTCTGGTGAACTCACTTGAAGGTGGCGGTGGCGGTGGGGGCGCCAGACGGGCTGGGGAGGTCTGAGAAGCACGCAGGGGCTTCGTGCTGATCACATAGTTCGACATTGGCTCATCCCAGGCTCGGTGCGATGGCCGTTCGTATACATCAGAAGATGTGCTTTCCTCCACTTCCCAGTCCCCTGCTTGTTCCTTCCCTTTACCCTTGTCTGTCTTGGACCGCAAGTCTGGGAGTGGTCCCTTGTGAGTGAAGTAAGGCTTTTGCCGCACAGGTGCCGGGTTGGGACGTCGAGCAATCTCCGGTGTGTAGCCAAAGCTTGGCGTCGATGCTCTGCTAGACGCATCATTATCCGCCTGCTCGCCTTCTTCAGCAGAAAGACTCATCTCCTGCATGGCTCCATCCACGTTCTCGACCTGCGACTCTGGAATCATCTGTGGTATGTTCGCCTGGCTTTGTATGGTTCTTGGGCGTGGCCTCTGGGGAAAGGCAGGCGGCCCGTTGTATGAGAGGCCCTTCCACTGCATGTCCCTGTAAAGAGGTACTGCTGGCATCGACGAGTGCCTCTGCATCGCCAAACTGCGTAGACTGCTGCTGGAGCTACCCGGAGTCGCTGGATCAAATGTAGCATTACGGCTGATGTGCAGGTTCGGATGTGTTGAAACTGCGTTCAAGTTCAGCGATGCTGTTCTGGCATGCGAAGATGATGACCGTGAAGAAGAGCCGGTGGAAAAGCCAATATCTGAACACGTCCGCTTCAAATTCGTCTCCTTTGCCTTGGCAACCAGATCAGGTCGATCTTCCACAGGTACTGACAAGATCATGTCTCGCTCAACATATCGAGGTGTGTATGTCCTCCGAACTCGTGGTCGCTGACTCTGCTCGTCTTGCGGCTTGCTGATCGTATCGCTGGCAGGTTTTGCGGAGCCTGGACTGGACTCTTTCCGTTTGAATATACCACGCAGACCGCTCTTCTTACTATCGTTCTTCTGGTCCGGCATGGTCGTTGCGTGAAGCTGTGTAGGTCGACGATCCACGTCGATAAATTCTTCGCAGAGAAGCGGTGCCGGGCGGCGGTACGACGCTCATGCAAGAAGCAGCAATAAGATGCAGCCGGTAACAAGCGTGCTGGTTCGTGGAGAGGGAAGAGGGTCAATGTGCACTTCGTTGGGTGACCGACACAATATACAACAATTCAGCGCGCAGGGTGCTATCTCGTGGCCTAACTTGATCGCGGAGAACGGACCCTCAACAGCAGCGAAATCCGCTGAGTGCGCTAGCTGGTTCTCACATGCCTACCGGTGGGCGCGGTCTGGGAACTTTCCATGCAGCCGGATTTTGGTTGATCTGGCCAGAGGTAATCAAGCTGTGCCCGGCGCACCGTAGAACATGCCAACGCGAGGTCGGCCACTGTACTACTGAGGGACCGCGGCATGTTTCAGTAGTCGGACCTTCTCTTTGGTACGAAAGATGGTCAGAATTCCAGCATAACACCTGCATTGATAATATAAGAGTGGACGGCTTGGAAGCATAAGGACGAGGTGAAGTGTAGGTTGACGCTTGCCGAGATCCGATTGGCTTTGAATCAAAGTTCGATCAGCGCAGCCTCCTGCGCATTTGGAACGCCATCAAGATTTGACATGGCCGGAATACACCATTGGCAGGCCCGACTGGGAAGGTAGCTGGCTGAATTGTACTATTCGGTCGCGAAAGAGGTATAGCAAGAATTTGCTTTGCATTATGGATTCCTCTTACGCAGAGTGCGTCCAGGCACATCTTGCTTGACAGCCGCAGGCTTCTTTCCTGTCGGAGCGGCTTTCGCGGTAGTCGTCTTCTTGGGCGCGGGTGGCTGCTTTCTCTTTCCTGACTTCGTGATGATGGTGGTGCCGGCACTTGAGTTGCTGGCTTCGCTGGTCCTGCCCTCCGTGCCGTCAGTGGCCGCCCCAGCACGTTTCGTCTGTCGACTCGGTGCGCGTGTCGAGCGTTTAGCTGGTGCCGGCTGTGCAGAGAGTTGGGGTTGTGCAGGTAGGGCTTTCTCTGGTGATAGCGTGGAGGGCTTGATTGGCGATTGGGGTAAGGTCCGAGAGTTGTGGGATTTTGGAGACAGAACGCGGGCAGGTCCGGCCTTGCGGGATGCGGTGCGAGTCGCTTTCGAGTTGGCGACTGCTCCTGTTGTCTTGGTGCGTTTCTTTGGGTTTGCAAGCTCTGACGCTGGGTTTGACGGTATGTTTTCCTTGTCGTCGCCGGTCGAGATCTCATCGCTGAACGACATTAGCACGTGCGCACATGGGTCGCTGATCCAGGTACCTACCTCTTTCTCTTCTTCGAAGGCTGTGTCTTTTGAGCTGGCGCTGTCTGCGCTTGTTGGGCCGTGTGTGATTGATGTGCCTTAGAGGCGACTGGCATGGGAGGTGGTGGTGCAGGTCTGGACTTTGAAGCATGCTCGTCCAATACCTCTTGAATGTTTCTCTTCCTCAGGGCTTGTGGAATTCTGTTGACGCGCATCTCTAAACGCGTGCGGAGTCCTTGGGCCTGCAACGCATACTGCGCCCTGAGCTTGCGGGCTCGCTCGGTGACTGCACGCGTCAGGTCAGTAATGTGCTCTGGACTCGGCCATGTAGGATTCCGTACTCTCGAGTTGCAAGTTGTCAGTTAGCGCTTGCTTTTGCGACTGTGTGATTCCAGCCATCTTCTTTGTTTCTGCTGGGCTTCGCAGTGGTATCTGTGTCGTCTCTTCTGAGGTGGGAGGAGCAGGGAAGGTGGGGATTTCTTCGTCGGAGGAGATGGACGTGTCCTTTCGCGCCAAGGACATTTAATTGCGTGTTCGGTACTTCGTAATGGTGTTTCGTGATTCTCGTCTCGGTTGGTCGTGAGATCGGGGGGTTGCTGGGGTTGTAATGTGTGGTGTTTGTGAAGCGATGTGTTTGTTTACCACGACACTGATCGGCGAGTCCGCGGGCTTCAAGCTGTGACGCCACACGCACGAGCCACACAGCTTGACAGCCTCATCACCCAGCTCACTTCCAAGCCAACTCCGACTGTCTGCCTCCATCACCATACCTTCATCTGCTGTCCTCAACACGACCTCAACACCAAGACGAATACAACCCCATCGTACTTGCATCCCCAACAAATACCGCCATCATGGTGCTCGAGGCGACGATGATAGTGTACGACACCTCACGTGCATGCCGATCGACCATACTAACGTCTACGCAGCGTCGACAACAGCGAAAGCAGCCGGAACGGAGACTATGTGCCGTCGAGATGGGAGGCCCAAGTAGACGCCGCCAACCTCATCTTCCATTCCAAGACCCAAGCAAACCCAGAATCATCTGTTGGTCTGATGAGCATGGGTGGCAGCGGTCCCGAAGTCCTCACTACCCTCACCACGAACCCCGGCAAGATCTTGGACGGACTGCATCGAACGAAGGTGAAGGGAGAGTCGCATCTGTACACCGGCATCATGATCGCTTCGGTATGACACACACAGTCCATCTGGCATGAACTGCATCTCTGACCTTCAAACCCCACAGCTAGCACTCAAGCACCGACAGAACAAGTCACAACGGCAACGCATCATCGTCTTCACCTGCTCGCCCATCACCGACTCCTCCGCCACCCTCACGAAACTCGCCAAGCGCATGAAGAAGAACAACACCAGCATCGACATCATCGCCTTCGGCGACCTCACAGACGAGAACCTGGAGAAGCTCCGCGCATTCAACGAGGCCGTCAAGTCGAACGAAGGCTCGCATCTCGAGATTATACCCCCGGGCCCCAACCTCCTCTCAGACACCATCGTGGCATCCCCGATCCTGGCTGGCGAAGGTGGTGGCGCACCGACAAACGGCGCGGGAGCTGGTGGCGATGGCGGCGCGGGAGGAGAGAGCTTCGAGTTCGGCGTGGATCCCAACCTAGACCCAGAGCTTGCTTTGGTGCTGCGCATGAGTATGGAAGAGGAGAAGGAGCGACAAGAGCGTGAGAAGAAGGCACGGGAAGAGGCAGAGGGCAAGACAAATCTGGAGAGCGTGCCGGAGAACAGGGAGGGCGAGGCGAGTGAGAGCCAGCCGTTACTGGATGGGAATGGTGAGCCGAGTGGCTCTGCTTCTGAGGCCAAGAAGTCAGAGGATAAGAAGGATGATGATAAGATGGACACTGCGTGAGTTGTCAAGAGCCTCAACTCAAGCCTACATGAAATGATTACTGTACCATACGGCAAAGCAAGGAGCTAGCTTTAGACTACAAGGCATACAGCTTTATTGCTGATACTCATGTTGTGCAATGCTGTCCCACCATCCTTCCGTTCTACGTGCCCTAAGTGAGATCGTCAACTCCGAGACATGGACAAGCGACTCAGCTCACAATCATAGCTCAATATGGCGTCGTGACTGGGGATAGGTAGACGAGGAGATAGAAGTCAGAACTAGCCGGAACATTGAGACAACTTGACGAACGAGCGGCACATGTTACATGTACTGGAAAGCGAGAGCAAGCGATGAAGACACTGTGCATGCATGCCAGCTTTCATTTGATATGGTGCACAACAGCACGCTGCCACTACTCGCCAGCATCTCATCTGAGCCTCATCATCCATCATTCGCGTCCAAGGATACGGACACATCCGCCAATTGATCCCTCCCACTTTCTTCAAAAGGCTGTGAGATGTTGTAAGGATCAGTGTCGTGTCGTCCAAGGTGAACAGGACGTTCCGCCAGCATGAATCAAGCGTACAAGCCTACAGCGTCAACGGAGCAGGGACAGCGCCAAACGAGCTGTCGCCATTCATGCCGGCGTCCTCAGGCTTCATCGTGCCGTTGAGGAGAGGGCACAACCTTGATCACAGAATTCATGTCAGTTCAAAGTCTCATTTTAGGGTTTCGGTACAAACAAGAAGAACAGCAAAACTCTGCAGAAGTATCATATGTGGAATGACTCGACTCGACTCGCCCACCTCCAATCAATCACAGAATGAATTCAGAGTACGAGTCATCCACGAAGGAAGTAGTAGCAGCCCGTCCACCATTGGCGCCAGCGGCAGCTTGCGCACTGCTCTGACGCCCGTGGGAGCCACCACCCTCTCCATCAATCTTCTGCTTGGTTTTGCAAAACTTGCAAGTAAAGGTAGATACTGACTTGCGGTTGGTCTTGATGTGGCCGGCCTGACCACAGTTGGCGCACTTGCGCGTGGTGCCGTCCTTGCTGCGCTTGGCCTTCTGTGGGGTGTTGTCAGCGGTGCCAGTGTTGACGGTTGACGCTGGTCCATCGGCATCAGATGGTCCTGGTGAGTTGGCTACAGAAGGCGACCCATCAGTCTTGTTGCGGGCCTTGGCTTTCTCGCGAGCCTCACGACGCTCCGCGTTGCGTTGGATACGTTCGAGCTCTTTCCGGAGCATCTCCTGTGCGTAATCGTCTTTCTCCTTGTCGCCGGTGGGTTCGAACTTTTGGAGGCTAACCAACACGTCAACACCCTCAAAGGGGGCATCTTCTGTGGAGTCATACTTAGCGTTCTTAAAGTCTCTCTCCATCACACGCTTCCGGTACGCCTTGATCACGCGTGCATCGGTGATGGTGATCTCCTCAGCCGGGCGTGGATTTCCCCACTTGTCATGTCCCCCGGACCGCTGAATCACAAGAGTCTTCTCGCCACGACCAGCGCTGTGTCCACTAAACTGGCTCATGTCGTCTTCCTGACGGCTCGCAAAAGCAGCTGGAGTGCTGAAGGAGGAGCGTGGAGTATTGGCGCGGCCGAATGAATAGTCCTGGTCGTTCTCACCATCATCATCCATGTCGTCGTCGGAGAAGACTTGGTCGTTGCTCAGGCTGTTCTTCTGAGCGTCCCAGATCCGGCGGATGGAGTCATCATACGACTTCTGTTGCGCTGCTACATTATATGAGTGACCGTTGTTCTGTTTTCGCTTCGCCGCACTGATTTTGTCCTCTACGCTCTCACCGATTGCATGGAACCCACCCTTCATGGAAGTCTTCACGAAGCTGAAGCCCTCGCCACGGTTGGTCGGATCGCCATCACCGTGAAGCTGAAGCATTGCCTTACCTTGACAGGCGTTGAGGAAGTTCTTGGTAGCACGCCATGGGGCGAGTTGCTGTTCGATGCCGGCACTCTCGTCGATGTCCTTGTCCTCGTCTGCATCCTTCGTCTCGCTAATACCGAGATCAGAGAGGTGCTGGACACCAACTTGCATAGAGTCCAGCAGGCAGACGTCCTCGGGACGAATCCAGCCGCGGAGCGTGTCTGCATCAGGGACAATCGATCCAGGTTGTGGAACCCAAACGCCGCTGCTGCCGTCGCTGCGGTTCGCAACTCGCTCGTACTTCATGAATTCACGCATCTTGCTGCGAGTCTGTGGCATGTCATGGCCAGGAAGATGAGGCATGAGGGTAGCGTTGTCGAGGACCTTGTCTTTGCGATCCAAGCTCTTCGTGTAGATGCGGTAGGACAGTGCACGGAGGCGCTTCTTGGCTGCGTCGGTGACCTTGCGGGAATGCTGACCTGGTACCTCCGCCAAAGGGAACTGCTGGCCGACGATATGCAGGTTCTCGACGTTGCGCAGGAAGAAGCGATCACCCGACTCGTACGTGCTGCTGATACCAATGATGAAGTCGGTAGTCTTAGCGGTGTGAGAGAAGACTGGCGCGCGGTAGAGTCCGTTTTGGATGGTCGGTACCGTCTCGCCTTTGTCTACGTGACCAAAGATGGCGAAAGGGCTCTTGTCCTGCGGAAGGAGAACCTGCGCCTCGCCGATGTCACGCTTTGGCCGCTCGTTGTCGTCTGTATCCTTCTTGCGGTAGTAGTTGATCAGGCGATTGCCCATGCCGAAGTTCGACATCATCATTGGCGCTTCTTCAGAGTACTCGAGGAGCAACATGGAGGCGTTGTCGCCCAGAGAAAGATCTTCGGCTTTTGCGAAGACTTCCTTTGCCTCGCGACCCTTGACGTTCTTGCGCTTGATGTGCTTGGGCTTCTGGAAGCGGTACTCGCGACCTGGCTGGTTCTTGAGTTCCAGCTGTGGGCGGTGGAAGCCGCGCTTGGCCTTGTTGTCGAGGCCAACCTTGTAGAAAGGATACTGCAGCTTGGTGGCTGGGAAGCTGTGTTCTATCGCCATGCTGCCGAGCGTGCTGCGGACCTTGTGCTGATGGTTCTCCTTGAGCAAATCATAGGCCTGGTCGTTGCTGATGTTGTAGCGCTTGGCGATGTCACGGCTCAAAGCTGCGTCTCGCCTGTCTCCCGGCACCCGCTTGAGCTTTCGCGTCGTTCGTGGCGCATGCTCGTCGATGAGAAGGTTTGGATCGTTGAGGTCCAGTGCCACTGACTTGGCGAGCTTCGCTACAGCGTGTTCAGGATTCTCAAAGGATATCTGCAAGCCTTCAAACGACAGCGGAAGACCAGATGCGAAGTCCCCAGTCTTGCGCTTCTTGGAGGCACGCATTTGATCTTCAACATCGTAATCGCCGTTCGAGAGGCCATTTGGAGCACCGTTTGCAAAGTCCACCGCCGAAGTTGCAGAGTCCACGCTTGCGAAATCCCAGTCCTGGCAGATGAAATGCAGATCTTGCATGGAAAGGCCGCCGACGAGTTCGTTCTCATCAAGAGAGCTTGCATCGAGATCATCGTCGCTGTCTCCTTCGGCAGCAACAGCATTGCCGATCGTGATGATGCTGTTGTTGAATGTACTCTCCTGGCCTGGCTTGTGCTGGATAGTGGTTGTCTTGAAGCTGCGCTCTTGGTCTTGGAGAAGATCGAGCGAGAGCTTGGTTGGAAGTACAGCTTTTGGCGGCTTGACCGGAACCTTGCCCTTGTATTCGACACTGCGTGGTGGGAAGAGCTCGATGAATTTTGGCGCTTCGGTAGACTCGTATCCTGGGAAAAGAGTGTGGAAGAGCTCCATGTCGGTCTCGATGGCCTCGCTATCCACCAGGTCTCCCGCATGCTTCTTCTTCGCATCCCTGAACATGCGCAGCTGCATTGCCTCTTCCTTGCTGAGCCCTGCCATGTCGTCCTCATCCTCGCTTACTTCCGAGGGAGACATCGCCGAGCCCTCTCGGTCGCCATAAGGAGGTGGACTGAGAGAAGAGGGGCTTTGCTGTTGAGCCGCACGAGGTTGCTGATATGAGCTGACCATGCCAGGAAGTGCAAGTCCAGATTTGGAAGGCAGAGCCAAACCACTCGACCGGTGCTGCGGAGGTGCTGGGCGACGCTCCTCCTCTGGCGATGAGACGCGGTCGCCGAAGAGGTCATTAAACTCATCGGTCTCGCCAATAGCATCGCTGCTCGGGAGTTCTTTGGCGTCGTGGTAGCCGTTGGGGGGCTGCGCAGAGAAGCCACCGAGGCCGCCTACGCTTGGTTCGAAGACATCATCCATATCCTCTCCATCACCAGTACCCTCCTGCTCTTCTGGCAAGTCATCGTCGCTGATGTCCTCGTAGTCGATCGCATCATCCGCCTTGCCTGCCTGATCAAAGCTACGCTCTTGCTCCTCCGCGTCGGGGTTCAGGCCAGAGCCCAGGAACTGCTTCACCACATCGTCCTCGTTGACTCCGCCCATCATCTCGTCCTCGGTCGCGTGCGGCATGACGGTGGGTTCAGTCGAGGGATTCAGCGGGTTGCGCAGTGGTCGAGTGTCGGGGAAGTGCGCCCCTCGCGGCGGCTTATGAAAGGATGGTGGGTGTTGACATGTGCGAGTCGCGGTCGCGCAGCGTGGAGGGGCGGGGCGGGCGGGTTATTTATGCGTTCTCGAGGCGGGTGTGTGATTGCGCGCCGAGCGTCGGTTGCCTCTAGTAGTGAATAGTCGCAGTCGCGGTGGAAAGTGGAAGTGACGACGACGGGAGGCGGGACGTCCCGAGGCCTCGTAGTCACGTGACTACGTCAAGAAACTTTCGAAAGATCAAGGATTTTCCCATTCGCGCAGCAACTTCATTAATGATTAATGGCAATCTGGAGCACAGTCAGTGCTTCCTGATCGGAGAATGATCGTTAATTGCGGTGGACCATCGGAGTCAGAGCTCGTCGGAAGACAACTCTACCTCGCACAAGGATCCCGGATGTACATACTGGATCATGGCAATAGCAGTGGTGCATGTGCCGCTTCGAGCAAGGCATCGACGCCTGGCCTTGCGCTACATGTTATTGCGAGATTCCCCTCCAATCACCGCGACCGCTATCTACTACATCGGACTGGGACACTCGCAGCAGCTTCCCAGATACACACATGCATGCAAGGCGCCATGACAGCCGAAAGTCTCGCAGCCACAGCCGGATAGAGCGAAGTCATTGGCGCAAGCCAGGTGCTAATGCTACCCGTCGCTGCGAAGGGCTAACTCAAACCTTGGGCAGCTGCAGCTACTGGCTGCGCGCCGCGAACGTGCACAGCTATTGACGCAGTCATATGATGATGCTAGCATCGGATTACCTACGAGGAATCGTGCTTGCGTGCGTGCGTACGTGTGTGGGCCGCCCCATGGCCGCCTGTCCTGGTCATTTCCGGGTTGAATCGTTCGGTTTGACGTGCGCCACAGATGGCACCGACGATAAGATGGCAGTTGTCTGAGACCAGGCGGCCACGCGCGCTGCTGACGATGAACAGCAGCGGCGCCGGTGCTGGCGGGTGGCAGGCAAATAACGACATTCCCAGCGCGGGCATCGCTGACCATGCGCTCGAAACGTCGAGCGAGTGTGTTTTAGGGCGCCACGTCGGACGGACTGCTCGCCAACAAGAAACAGCACGTCTGGCGGGCAGAGGATCGAGCGAGCTGGGCTCAAACCAAACATTCAACACCTGCTTCTGATCACCAATTTGCGACGTCGTATAGCCGCGACACGAGCCAATTGGCACCCCTGGCAAGCGCGCACGAACGCTGGTACTGCGACCAAGTCTAGACTGAGCATTGCCCGTTTGGGCCATCCCTCCTGGCAGCACTGGACCTGCTATTCTTCGCCCGTGTGCTCTATCGTAGTAGTAATGCCACTGGAATGCCCGCCCACAAGGCCAGCTCCGTCGCGCGGCCATCGTCAGGCCCTCTGATCCTGCTGCCCGTCGTGGAGGGCGAAAAGCGTATAGTGGCATCTATTATTCGAAATGGCGCCGGCGTGAACTTTGAGTTCGACAGTGGCTAGTAGGTTGTCTCCTATCATACTACTTAAAGGCCCTGCATCTCCACTATTGTACTAGCCTCGATTGAATTCATATTTGACCGGCCCTCCATTTGCTCGCGGCTTGCCTGCTTGCTTGCTTGCCTGCCCGCCGTGTAGGCTCTCTCTCGGTTTCACCGTCCCTGCCGCGCCCAATGCCCCAGCTCCTCCGGCCTATACGTATATTGGAGGTATGTCCATCGTGTACAAGTACTTGTGCCTGCCTGCTGCTGCCGTCCCGCCCAACCGTTTTCTGTTCTAATTGTCCCAAGGTTCTGCCGCGCTCTACGCTCCCGTCAAAAAGCACCGCGCTGACGTCGCCCAACAAGGAGCGTGGATAAGGAAGCTGCATTATTGCTGAGCGAAGCAAGTTTGTGGTGCGCCTGTCCCCGCTGGCGATGCTGTAGTGTCGCGCAGCAGGTGTTTCTTGCAGATGCACGCCGCAACGCCCGCGGGTGGTATGGAGATGGACAAGACTGCAGACGGCGCCGATCGCTCACGCGCAGCTTCTTCCTCGACCCACGATGTGGCTATTCGCGAATCTGCGCCGCCACTCCACCGATCCGTAGATCATTCACGACACCCATCCATACCGGCCAATGGCCCGGATCGCCTGCCCAACGATGTCTGGACCAGCGCCATCTCCCGCCTGCAGGCCCAGGTGTCGTACAACACCGGCATGCTGGAATCGCACCGTCGCCAGTTCACCGAAATCGAAGGCGCCATCACCAGACTGCACCAGGAAGTCGGCAGCCTCGCGGCGACTGTGAATGATGTCCGCGCAGAGATGCGAGCCAGGCCTCCACCCGCCGAGCATGCCAGGCATGATCCTAGCGATCTGGACGTTCTCTCTGTGCAGCTGCAGAGGTTGACGAATCGCGTCAACGAGGTCGATGGGTTGAGCATGCAGATGGACTTGATCAAGAATCGCATGAAGCGGTTGGAGGAAGGCGGCTCGGCACCACCACCAAGTCTACGACCTACGTCTTCGCAACACCCAAGAGATCCGCCCTACTACCAGGAGTCAGCTCCTCCGCCCTCTGTGCCTCAAGGTCATCCAGGTCCTCCAAATCCTCACCTCGTCCAACATCCACCACTGCCGCCTATGAGAACGGCATCGATGGCAGCTACCGAAGCAGGACGACCTCCAAGCTTCCCTGCGCCTGCGCCTCTCGAGTCCCAAAGCTCGCATTCGTACCGTCCGTCAACGGAATCACGACCATTCTCTCGAGAAGACCACCCTCCAGCAGGCGGCGCGCCACCACCACCAGTTGCACCATACCGTCCTGGCGAAGCACTGCCTCCACCTTCTGCTCTCACTGGTTGGCGGCCGGCCGAGTCATTTCCTCCGGCGGGGGCATCGCCTGCTAATCCTCCCCTAGGACCGCGGTCTCACGCAGGAGAATCAGAAAGCAGCGGCAACAGTGGTTGGGCGCCAGTCAATTCGAACCCAGCGATAAAGCGACCTCCCGAAGAATCGCGGTCACCTTACGAGTCTCCACTCGTAGATGGCTCCAAGCGTCCTAAACTTGCCCCATTGATGCCAAACATGCCAAGAAGCAACTATCCTGATGATGGTTACGGCCCGTCACAGCCTGCATACCATTCACATGCCACGTCTAACCCTTCAGACGGCTCTCTACACCCTCGAAGTCGAGCTCCTTCCGATGGCTCCCAATCGTTGCATTCTCAACCAGGGCCTCCTACAGGTCCACCTGCGGGACAGCACAACTTCAGATTCATCACATCCACCACGCAGGCAGACTCCCAGGAATCATGGCGTCCAGAAGCAGAACGGCAAGCCGCACCACCTCACGGACGCGGAGGCCGAGGACGAGGGAGAGGTCGCGGACGAGGAAGAGGACGTGGAGGCGGCGGGTCAGGAGCAGCACCGATAGTCGCCATCGCCCACCCAGAAACGCAAGAGCTCGGAACGCCAGAATGGGAGGGCAAGTCCGAATGGACAGGCAGCCAAATGTCACCAAACGGGTACTACAATCCTATGCACCCGTACTCGCCCAAGATGGCATCTCGTGGCGGTATCGTTCGCAGGGCTGACGCGCATGCGCCAGCAGGGCCTGAGACGCAGCACGAGTTCCCATCCACACCGATCCAACACCCTGGCCCTCAGGACCCGCATGCCGCGGCGGGCGATGCGCAGTCGAGCAGTGGCAAGAAGACGAGGACGAAGCCGATCCGTAATGCGGAGGGGATTTTGATCAGGAAGGATGGGAGGCCGGATATGCGGAGTGTGAGTTCGGCGAATAATCTGAGGAAAGTGCATGCGAAGAAGGAAGCGGAGAGGGCGGAGATGGAGGGTGAGTCGCATTTCAACAAACTGCAGGTGAGGGTACCGGGTTCTAACATTCCTCCCAGACGACGACGGCACGCGCTCCGGCACGCCCACCAGCATCGCCCCCGGCGAAAGCGAAGCCACCGACGAGCACCACCACCAACAAGACACCCAAGACCGGCACCGCGAGCTCATGAACAGGATCTTCCCGCACGGAGGAGAATCAGGCCACCGAGTCGCCGAGCAATTCTTCCCTCGCCACCACGAAGAGGCGATGAAGACGGAAAGCGAGCGAGACGATAGTCGAGAGGCGAGCAGTGGCGGAGGAGGAGGAGCAGGTCCACCACCAGCACCGACGACGAATGCGAATGCAAACGCGGATGTTGTAATGAAAGAGTCGAGCGAGGCGCAAGCCGTCGAGGAGGAGCGGGAGAGGAGGGAACACGAGAGGGAATATGCTATTGCGGAAGAACAGGAGCGGGAGCGGAACCGCGTGGCTGTTGAGACGGAGCGCCAGCGTCAGGAGCAGCAGGCTGGTAGCGGTGGTAGTGGTAATGCCATGGATGAGAGTGGTGATGGTGGTGGTGGTAATGATACAGTGGCTGCGAGCGGTGCGCCAGCGGCAGAGCAGCCTGCTGCAGCAGCTGCATGAAGATGAAGATGAAAAGAGGAAGAAGTAATTTCTCTTGGAAGTGAATCGATGCCGCTGTGTGTGTTTTTTTCTGATTTTCTTTGTGTGGTGTACATATTTTAACTCAGGAGATACCCCAGGGCTTGAGTACCTCCACTCCTGGCGTATGATTTTAGAGAGAGAGAGAGCAAGCGCAGCAATGCCAGACGGCAGAGTGTCTTCAGCAGCAAAGGCCCAATGCCTCTAGTTTCATACTTGTATATCACTTCACCGTGATGAAACCAATCCCTCTCCGCGCCATCTCACACGCCTTCCTCAACTTCTGCTCTTCGACGTCCGTCCACTGCACGCTGAGCTGATCCCACTTCTTGACGCGATACTCGGCCTTGAATTTCTGCTGTTGGGCTTGCATCTCCGTGAGCTCCCTCGGATCCGCAGAGCCGCTGTACACGACCAGCGCGCTGCAAGGCGGCAGAGCATCGTACACGTCCTTGATGTACTGCACCGTCTGTTTCACCATCTCCTCCAAACTCTTCTCCTCCGCATTCCCAGCAGCCGATGACCGCAGAGCCTCGGAGTCGACCAGTTTGGACTTGTTCCACCACCCACGATGGACCTCCAACTCACGCATCCGTGCCCAGATGAAATCGCAGCCTCCCTTCGGCACTTTCTCGCCGAGTTCATCTCCCTCAAGGGCGCACTTAATCCCCGCAACGACGTCTGCATCGGTTTCGCAGCCAAATGTTACTTGCGCTTGGGCACCATATCCGCGAGTGGGATCACCCCAGTCGATGACGGCACCAACCCTGGGCTCATCATCGCCGCTTGGGTTGACCTTGTCTCGCTTGGGCCGAATCGAGCGTGACAGGCGTTTGAAGATGCTTTCGGCGCTGCCGTCCGGGGTGCCCCATGCTTTGCCCTTTTCAGTCTTTTGCTTGACGAGATCTAAGCAGGCGCGGGCGTCTTCGATGCTGTCGTGGCCGGTGGAGCCGTGACCTTTTTGGATCTCGCGGGAGAGGTATTTCTGGGAGAGCCATTTGAGGGATGATTTCAGGGGCGGTCCTCGTGGATGTGGGAAGAGTAGGGCGGTATCGATGATGAATGGGTGAGTGAGCTTCAATGCGTTGAGATCGCTGTTTAATGAATGGCCAATGAGAATGGTCTGTGGAGTGATGATGGACAAGAGCTTCTTCTGAATATCCTCCAATGTCGTGGTAACACCTTCCAGAGAGGCTGGTGTAATGCCGGAATATGGCGTCAGGTAGTCGGTGATTGGGTCTGCCGGTTTGACATACTCATCGAGCACAACCTTGCCGTCCCAGTCGATCAACGAGACTCGTGTTAGACTGAAAACCTGTGGAGTTTGGCCTGCTGGAGAGGTAATACACATTTCGCAATCCATAGAAAGAATCTTTCTGCCCGCCGTGACAGATCCTTTCTCGATGTCCTTTTCCGGAACCGCGCCTGCAGCTAGATCGGGGATGTCAAGCGTGTCGACCCATCCGTTTGAGGTCGAGGTTTTGGATGATATGCGACGAGCAGCTTCTGACTCCTGTGCAGGCTGGCTCGCGAAATGAGCCGGATGCATGGCGTAGCCCTCGTCGACCAGTTCTTCTGTCGTGGCTAAGAGGTCAGTCACTGGCGTGCGCTTGTTCTGCCAGTTCTTATTCTCAGCCGGTGGTTTGGGACCTTTAGTCTTCTTGTCTTCTCTATTTTTGACAATTGGCGCCGTCAGCATGCCAGCCAGAGGCGAGTGCATCTTCGCGTATTTGTCGTCGCCTGGTGTCTTGATGGGCCACAAATGTTCGAAGAGCTCAGTCAAGGGTTGCAATGGACCTGGAATCTCTTCTTGCTGCAACTTGATGGGATAGTATTCGTCAGGAGACCTCGTCTTCCCGTTCGACACTTTCGTCCATCCGTTCTCTTGGTCATCGTGTTCGGCAGATGGCTTGGCTTCGGTCTTCGCAGGCTGTTCACCACCAAGTGAAATCTTGCCGTCAAACATTCCAGCCTCCAAGCCAGGCACCATCAAGGCCACAACCTTTCGAACATTCGCGTGGTGTTTGACGGAGCACCATTGGGGCCCGGTGCCATCAGCGAGCATGTACAGAATCAGATTTTGCAAGTCACCCAATTTTACGAAGCTCTGCAGGCGGGAATTTGGCGAGTGCGATATCGAAGGATAGCTGCCTGACTCCTTCTTAGGGAGCTTCTTGCGCTTCTTGCTGGATCTCTCGACAGTCTGCCATTCGCCGCCGCCAGAATCAGAAGGCGAGTCTTTGGCATCGTTGTCAGGTTCACGCAGTGCAGCGAGCGTCTCACCGACGCCCATCAAATTGTCGCCTTCATATTGGCCGCGAGACCGCTTGCGACCGCCCATCTTGGCGCTCAAGTTGGTTGGATTGTGTAGGCAGAGCAATTGTTGTTGTCACAATGTGCAAGATCCGCCTAAAGTTCAGATGTGATGGAAGGAACGAAGGAGCGGCCCGAACTCCCGCCTCTAGCGCGATTCCCCGTGGGTCAAAGCTTCAACGTCCTCGTCCTAGTGTTTGTGACTTGGACAACCCATCTTCAAAATAATGAGCACGATGAGGCTCAGACTGCGATGATACGACCTACTTGTTCCAGGAAGCACCGTCAGCTGGACTTCTCAACGCTTCGCATAGCTGCGCCGCCATCCTTGCCCCTTGTGCGTTGACTCATGGAGGCGCAAGCGCTTATGTAACGACACTGCTTCAAAAGCGATATCTTGTTAGAACTACTTCGCCCAACATCCATTCGACAGACGCAGCGCAATCATGAGAGTCTTACCGCAACCGCATAGAGGACTTCATCCGGCGTACCCAGACTGGACGGAAGGCTCCTTGAGAAATCGTCTTGGCATCTTGGACTTTCTTCTGATAGCTGGGGGTTTGGCACTGCCCTTCTTGTTCAGGCGACGTCAGCCCTTGGCAACTACTATTAAGGCTGCCGCATATATCGGCAGCGGCACCATGCTATGTGTTACTGGCTTGCACTACGTCAGCTGCCGCACTGCCAGAACGTTTCTCGAAAAGCAAGGTATTGAGGTTCCTGATGGCAAGATTGTGGATCGAGTGGGGTGCTTTGACTCGGATGATGCGGTTCTGTCTGGTGGCATCGCGGCTATGTTGGTCTCTTTTGCGAGCAGAAAGCCCCCCAAGGTCCTTGGATGGAAGCGATATGTAGGGACGTTTACGTTAGGAGGCACGCTCGGCGCAACTTTGTGGTACGGGCTTATGTGGTATAGACTTGGCTTTCACAGGTTCGCGCAGATAGCAGCGCACGATGGCGAGCTCGTCAAAGAAGCTGAAAAATGTAAGTCAGTCATAAATTCTTCGCCTCCACATTCAGGTATCGGGGGCCTGGCTGCTTTAAGATTGCCACTACGAGGAACATCAAACGACAGGCCCTCTGGTGCTCAAGTCTCACTTGGCCAGCCTGGCGCTGGACAACAAGCGGAAATTCTCAAAGATGGCCCTCACATCTCGGTACAGATTCCTGGAGAGCGAGAACCAGTACCCAGGCCCCAGACGAATTATGAATGGTCGTCAGACCATGAGATTGAAGACCTTGAGAAGCACATTGCCAAGTTGCGCGAGAGACGACAGCGTGTAGCGCAGGAGAGCGAGTGGCTTTGGGCCTGGCTTTCAGAGAAGGAGGCCGAGTACTACAACAGCGCAGACTCCAAGTCGGACACACCAAATCGCAAGGAGATGTTGCGTTATCTCGACTTGCTCTCCGCAGGCCAAAGACTCACTTGGAGTGAGGTTTCGATGGTCGACTGGATGATAGCAGACTCCCAGAAGAGACTCAACCAAGGGCGCTCAGCATCGGACAATCAAGGCCAAGTGACATGGCGCGCCTCCACAACTACTCAGACTGTACCAGAGGTCGCCCTCACGGGAGCTCGCAACGGAATTCGGGAGTTAGATGGCGTTGAAAATCAGTTGCGGCAAGCAAAGACCGCGATGGCCATAGAGATGGCTGACCCTGACTTCGACATGAAGGAGGACAACCAGGTGTATCACCCCGTGAAGCAGAAGACGGTCAGCGAGAAAGAAATGTTCCTCGAAGCGAGAGAAGCATTGGACAAGCAGCTGGAGGAATTCGCCTTGCAACGTAAGATCTTGGGTCTGATCATCGAGGATAGCCAGAAAAGGACGCAGTAAGCGTCAAAGAAGACTTGAGTGCTGGATCTTTTATCAGGTCACGAGCATGTACGAAAGGAAGAATGAGAGGATCACTGCAGTGGATGGGGTGCAGCTCCAGAATCAAGGGCTGGGAGAAAAAAGCGAAACGGGAATGTGGTCTCCGTATTGTCACAGTTTAGCTGAGGGCCTTCATCATAGCGTGTCAAAGGAGCGACTATCGCACCCTAGGAACTTCTTGCGATGGATCAACCCTCCTGCTTACACATTCCGCCTCCAGCACCATCCAAAGGCTATGACGGATTTCCGGACCCGTTGCCTTTCACGGACAGTTTGTACCTCTTCAACCTCTTCATCTTTTCAAAACTATCATCCAGGCACCTCTCATCTCTACCTTCCTCACACATCTTCATCTCGTAGTGACCATGTCAACCGATCAAAAACGTCAAGAAGTCGCCACATGGCTACAATCCTGGTACGACGTGGCAGATAAATGCGTCCCGCCCAACAGCGTCAAGTTCTTCGCGGAAGACTGTGTCGTTCGTCAGTAACAACCCCTAAAACCACCACACCTTCCCTCACCACACTGACATATACATCAGGCTTCAACAACGCCCCACCCGTCCACGGCGTCCCCAACGCCCAAAAAGAATTCGAATCCATAGCCCCCATCATCGCATGGATGAAGCATGAAAGCCTTGATTTCGGTATGGCAATCACCACATCTACCTTTCCCTCATCGAGGTGATCCTGCAGAGGAGGCTTACTTCCGAATTCAAAAGACATCGTCGACAACAAAATCTACAACGAGTGCAACGTAACGTATGTTTTGAAAGGAGACCCGGAGGAGAAGCAGATCACGATGCATCGGTTCAATTTCTACGAGCGGAACGCAGAGGGGAAGATCACCAAGTGGACGGCGTACTTTGATAGCTCGCCGATGAAGGAGCGGATGGCGAAGATCAAGCCTGGATCGAGGGTCTACTGAGCAGAGAACACCAAGGAACGAGGAGAGTCAAGGGTTGAATAGAAGAAGTCCACTGTTCTTGGATTGCAGAAGCTACGCCGAAACACCTCGCTAATAATGCTGAACCCTGGGTATCATGTTTTCTGGTCCGTTTCCCACCCAATTCAATCTGTCGTGAATTTCTGATTCCGTGAATGAAACGCCTGCTTTTGAGTCTTGCTCTGAAAAATGCCTCATTCTGTGAAGTCTTTCCTTATCGATCGAGCATCTTCAATCGCTGAATGAGGGTTGTAAGAACCCATTCGTGCTGAGACTGCGCCTTGGTTGGATCAAGCTCCAAGCCTGCAAGGGATGGCAGTCAGCTCGAGTGTTTTGGTTATGTTGATGAATGCGGTGGTGGGTATCGTAAGCGAAAGACACTGCTGAAGGCGAAATCGTAGTATCACTCGCGTTTCCCTTATCCAGTTGTCGAACCAGAGGCTCAAGTCTTCATCATCAAGCTCGTCCTCTGAATGTGGAAGTGCGGTCCACGACGACGATACAGCAATGATGAGAGAAGCCTCGTTCGTGTGGAACACAAAGAAACAGTTCACATGAACTCACTGCTTTCTTGGGCGCTGCGTCTCAGTTTGCGGTTGTAGACCTTGCGCTTGTCGTCGCCGCCCCAGTAGAGTTCAAAGGCCTCGGGATGGACCATGGCGCGAGGGTCGTAGTTTGGTTTCTTATCCTCAATTGCTCCGACGACAGCCTCGAGATGCGAAGAAATCTCATCAGGCTTTGCAGGGAAATAGCAGAGGTTGCCATTGCTGCTCACTCGATGGTGGAACATTGGCACTTGCAGAGTGACACGAGGTTGTGTCTCGGGAAAGGTGGGCGAGATGTGCAGCTTCATGTTGAATATGCCGCCATCTAGGTCGGTCATGGGTTCGCCGAGAAGTGTGAGATCCCATACGAAAGGATTCTTCGGATTTGACAAGTTCAACTCCAGTCGAGGGCCACTGTACTGACCTTCGTTCCACTTGTATTGTAGTTGCTTGAATTGGAAGGCAAGTTGAGTAGCCAGCTGTGTGGCGTCTTCAACTTGCTTCATTCCCTTCTGTTCCCAACCCATCTTCTCTTCTTCCAGCTTCTCAAGTATGGCCAAAACTCGTGCCCGAAGTCCCTTGTAGTCGAAGTGGCCTTCCATGCTGTTCGGTGGGTACTCGAACTCCATTCTCTTGAACGCAGTGCCGTCTCGCTGTTCGCCGCCGTAGGTGTTGATACTTCGCAAGTATGCGTCGTAATACCAGAGGAATCGACGTTTCATGAGATCTGCAAATGGATCCCATTGGGTCAGGTCTAGAGCGTTGAAAGTGGCCTCGGCGTCGTACTCGTACGCTGCTGGTTCTGTCGATGGTGTCGTGGTATCGGCCGAGGACACGCTGCCGCTAGGCGATGGCGAATTCTCGAATGGTGTTGACCCAGTGACAGTACGCTTGAGCTTCTTATGCACAGGCTCTGAGGTCTTTTCCGGTTGCATTCCAAGCAGAGCCTCCAGTCGCTGGATGACGGAAATTCGAAGGGTCTCATGTCTGATCTTGGCGACGTAGGCAGTCGGGTTTGGTTCCTCCTTCTTCGCCGTCTCGTGGCCTGGCTCGTTCTCGTATGGGTTGGAGCTCATTAGAGATTGTATGCTCAGTAGTACACTCTCGAGGCCCTGTGCACTGCTCCACTCTTCACCCGGCTGTCCACGCCATGTGCCGAGGATGGAAAGGCAGACCTTACCCTCAGCATAGATGTTGGGGTTGAAACGAGTCTTGCCACCATTTGTCGTAATACAGCGTACGGTAGGAGACTTTATGGGATAGTCCTTGCCAAACTGGAGATCTGTGAGCGGACATGTCCAACTCGCACACCGTTTGCACTCACCTTCATGTCGAATTCGAAGAAGCCAAACTCGTACGGAGTCTCTGGAGGACCAACGATCAAGGCACGGACATTGCGAACATCGCCTTCTCGGAAAGCGACTGCGATAGAAAGGTCGGTGCCTTTCTGAGCGCTCATGAGCTCACGGGTGAGCCGGGCGATCGAGCCAGCCGTGTTGGCGTTCGACATGGTAACGGTGGCGATTCGGAGAGGATGTTGTCGGTACGAGTGGCAGTGGCAGATTGGCAACAAGCTGTGCCACTCATGCCTGGGCGAAGAAAGGTCAGTCAGATGTTGTGTGTCGAGTTGGGAAAGATCAAGTCGGCGAGCCCAGTTGAACAGGTGAAGCGAAGCAGGCAGCTCTCGCGCGCTAGCCGACCGGGGTGCCGCATTAGCGCAGGGCCATCCCTGTCACTTCTCTTTTGCCTCAGGCACGACTTCCTGCCGTCGGTGTTCCAGTTCAGGCTACACATCTTCTGAACAAGAACACATGCCAATCACACAACGACGACCACTTGTTTGAGAAAAGTACATATGCCAATTCTACACACACGAAACTGACCTCCACCCTCCAAAATGGTCGTCTTCGCGCTCCTCATCATCAACAAAGCCGGTGAGCGTGCCCTGAACTCACACCACATAAACCACAAATCTAATCCCGATTCATAGGCGGCCTCATTTACAACCGAACCTTTGCCCCTGGCCTGCAGAAGCTGGATTCGAATGACTACCTCATTCTGGCAGGAACCTTCCATGGCATCCACGCCATATCACGCAGCATAAATCCCGCCCCTCCAGCTCAGCCCGCTCCTGGGAGCAGAAAGCCTCCCACGACTGGTATTGAAAGCCTGGAGAGCAGTCATTTCAGACTGACTTGCTTTCAAACTCCGACTGGAGTCAAGTTCTTACTCTTTACGAGTCCGGAGCAGCCCAACACGGAGCTGGTAATCCGGAGGTGTTACGAGATCTATGGAGACTTTGTGATGAAGAACCCTTTCTACAGCATGGAGATGCCCATTCGCGTGGAAAAGTTTGACCGAGCGCTCGGCGGCTATCTCGTGAGGCCGTCATAGTCATTATTACAATGGCGAGAAAAGCAAAAACTTGTCCTCTGGATGATCATCTCCGTCAAGCAGGTGCTCATCTTCCCCAAACCGTGTTCGGGCCGTATGGCGCTACTCTGTGGCCATGCTATGGTGCAGGAGATTCTACCTCAGCACAGTCTTGCTGTCCTGGAGGTTACACGGCTCCCATGGCACGGGCGTCGTCTTAGCACAACCATGCCAAGGAGACGCCGATCTTGGCTACTACTTCACGCCGCCAGAGCACATGAAATCTTTAAACTGTAGCAAGAACGCAGGAGAGCGGACTGAGACGAAAGGGCAACACAGCAGTGATTGTACCCAAGGAGACACTTCCCGCGCGCGGGAAGTTCGCTGATGTATTAAAGTATCCAAACTGTCGCAATGACCAGCATATACACAGCAAAAGCAAACGCCTCAGGTCATGGCATGTGTTCGCACACCGTGTCGTGTTGTGCGCCACAGCTGAATCGTACAGGCCGTTGACCCCTATCGTCCCAAGACTGACTGTGGTCTTTCCCTCGAACTCTTTCTCTTCGCGACTCGGTCTCGATGGTCGGGTGTTTAGCAGCAGTCCATGCAGCACTGTGGGATAGTATGTCAGTTCTCGTGTTATCCACAACTTGAGTCGCATCCTCTCTCTCACCTCGCAGCAGTCGGCGCAGCATTCACATCCCTCCTCGCAGACGAAGCAACAGCACAGCGTCGCAAGACAGGCGCCCAAGCAGCCGCGATCCTTCGACTGGCGTGGCGGTGGTGCCTGCTGTTGTGGTGGGTAGTATTGCATTGGTTGCTGAGGTGGTGGTCCTTGTGGGTAGCCACCGCTATCACATGTTAGCTGGGACATCGCCAATCCTTGCGAGGTCGCCTTACTATGACTGCGGTGGGTATTGTGGTTGACCATACTGTGGCTGACCGCCGTAGTAGCCCTGGTTCGACATTGTGATGTTGATGACTGAAGGAATGTCAGTGGCACAGCTCTGCGATCGCGGGCTCAATGTGTCCAAGTTGCGGCGTACAGTTTGGAAAGAGTCGAAAAGGTTTGTCTTGTGATGCCGAGTGAGATGAAAGTGACGAACGAGTGGTGGGCGGCGAGGGTTTAGGGATGCGCTCGGAGTGAGGTCGAGAAAGTTGAGAAGAGGCGGGCGCGGTGGAGGAAAGTAGTAAGTGACAGGTGAAGGATGCGATCTGCTGCTCTGGTCTGGTTCCAGCGGCTGGGGAGCGGCGCTATCTTTGGCTTGAAGCTTGCGCGGGTTTAAGCTGCTGATTTCAATGGAACACGTCTTTTGACGATGGAGATCAAGCCCGACTTTTTATTCAAACCTGCGAAACAGCGACAAACGCTTGCCAGCGATTCGCGCAGGCCCGGCTCGCTCTGCGGCAATGGAATTACGACGACACTGATGAAAGGTCTCAGCCACGCTACTAAACGAAGCAAGTTGGCACGGAAGAGGATCCAGTCAAGTGCCACATCGCCTCTTCTTTGCTGCACTCTGCTCACCTAACGAAGGCTCGAGCTACTATACAGCACTGCCACCGCTGCTCATACTTCATGCATGCACACGTCGGCGTGGTTTCAACAAGACATCGCTGAAATGATGGCGATGTCATCAACGACCTGGTCTTTGCCCTACCACGCTATCCCTAATCTTGGGAGGAACTGCAATGCTTGTCGGTTCTGCCGAGACATTGAAGCTTTTCATCGACGGGCCGACAATGCTTGGCTGTATTCCTGGACAGCTTTTGCCGACTCTGACGAAGGACAAGATAAGAGCCTGTTCACCCGAACACTCTCACTGGGATCTTGAGTCTGGTCGCGAACACCTTTGGATTGATGGCCCGGGTATTTCGTTCAGGCCGGACCAGCCAACCTCACGAACAGGAAGCATTTCGACCGTATTACCTCACAATCGTAAACATCTCTGAATCACCATAGCAGAGACGGGCAGCTCTGTGAATCGTAACCTGGAGTACTGGACACTGCTTCTTGGAACAGTGCACATTGCTCTCTGCCTACGGATACGATTGCGACCAAGCCACCCAGTAGCTTGTACAAAGACCTGCTTGGCCCTTAACCCACTAGCCTCGTCGTTCTACTCAGTAGTACGCATGCACATGCAACAGCCGATTCTCCTCTTGTTCACAAGCAGCTATCCTCCTAGTCGCACTTAACACCATTCAGACTTGCGATTGATGGAATGAATCCTCGACTTTTAGCGGAAGACCCCGGGTGCGCATTGCGAATGCTGCACGTTCGCCGGCTCTTGGCACTCTCTGGCGATACAAGGTCTTGACCTCCGCAACATCAGCATCTGCGGTCCACTGGCTCGAGACAGACGATTTTTACATATCCTCACAACAACCAGTGACACATGCTCGACGGGACACAGCCGGCGCTTAGAGGCACCTGAGACCTCTTCCCGTTCGCCACGCGCCGTCCTCCGGCCGTTCGTGGCCGCCGATAGCGCTCGACGATGGCCAAGACCGCAATATGGTCTCGGGAACTGCTCTCCCGACTTGACTGGAAGATGGTAGGTCGACACCACAGACGTTCTACTACAGGGCTGTGGCCAAAAGATTTCGTGATCGCGGAAAACGGGCAACAGGATAAGTAGGCAACACGCTCATCGATTTCCCTTGTGTATTCTACAGTCTCTTCCTACAATGGCGTGTCTGTATGACTGATGAGCAGAGCAAACTAATCTCAGCGCATGCCTGGACTGGTCACGGAGGCAAAGTAGGAGGCGGTCCAATCAATCGCTTCGCATGCCACGGCAGTTTCGCCAAGTCGATACTCGTCGACTTTGGAGCGACGGTGTCTGTGTCATTCAGTCATTTGAGTCGAAGAAGAACGTGAGGTGCCTCTGATGTATGAGTGCATGGAGAGTGTGCGCTAGGAGGAGATGGAGGTGGTAGGGTTTGAGGTTGTCTTGGAGAGTGAAAAGGGAAAATATCGTGTTCTCAGCTGAATCTGAGTAATACCTTGGTATGTACATGTCAACGCCAGTGAATATACCGAGATGAATGCGTTTCGCTTTCGTCAAATGATTCCCTCGCCGATAGAATGCCAATGCCGTCGACCATCATCAATTCGCCTCGCAATGCTTTCAAACGCCATACCATGCAAAGGGTCATTCACTCATCCTGCTCCAGCAAGCTAAGCACATCCAACTCCGTCCTAACAATCCTCGTGAATTCCTGCCGACTCATCCCACTCGCTTTCGCCAATCTGAACAGACTCTTCACATCGGTGCTGATATGCTGCTTGATAGCGAGCTGAGCCGTGTCGGAATCTCCAGTCGAGCTCATCTCAGCCGCCCTCTCTTCCAGCTTGTCTATACTCGAGTGGGAGCTCGTCGGTGAGATGGGCCTAGGCATGGAGATATCGTGTTCACCATCCAGACTTCGCTCCCGTCCTGTGTGTACTGCTGAGTCGTGAGGCTGCTTCCACCCCGCGTGTGGTTGTAATGAGCTGAGGTAGTCTGCTTGGTCGGCGATCCCGTTGCTGGTTGAGGTTTGAGGTTGCTGTAATAGGGAGTCTCCACGAAGGCTGCCCCCTTGATCACCCATGTCTTCGTCTGGATCGTGAGGGTCCATAGCTGGTTGCACTTCTGAGCCGTATCTTTCGTAGTAGTCCCTTTCTGATCTGTCTTGCGTTTGCGAGCGGTTTGTCATTTGTAGTATTGATGAAGAGTTTGGTGCCGGGGAGCGGTTTGCAGGTGTCCTAGAAGCGGGTGTCTTGTTGTATGAGTCCCAGTAGTCGTCATCGTCATCCTCCTCCTGTTCAGCCTTTTGTGTCGCCTCGTTGGCAGACGGTACTGCTATTGATCGACTGCTTCCTGCCTCGTTCGCTTCTGAGGGCGAGTCGAACCATTCTGTGCCATCCTCGAGATCGTCCAACGTCCGCAGCTCGAAAAGCTTCCAACCTGCCTCTTCCCCGCCCCGTTCGTCCTTTTCACACCATACGAAGATGGGCAGCAGTCCAAACTGCTCCACCTCAATCCTCGCCTGCAACGTCTCTTGATCCAATCTTCGATACTTGGCCGTATTTGTCTCTTCAAGCTCAAGTTCTCCCGACACTGGATGCGGCTCTAGATCCATGCGCTCAACCACAGATGGCAGCTTTTTTGCTCTTTGAGAATCCCATGACAGCAGCGGCAACCAGCCATCACTACCAGCAGAATCGCCCGCGAGGTAATTGACACGTTGTCTGAGGAGTGGCGAAAGAAGCGGTAGGAGGACTGGTGGCGGTCTGGGGGCAGCGAAGGAGGTGGGAAGGCAGGCAAGGAGCGGCGGGAGCAGGTCGCGTGAATTGGGCGGCGGGGCGAGATGCATGCTGCGGTGTGTGTATATTGTAGAGAAAGACAACGACAGAGCTAACCGGCGTGGCGAGAAGGAAGGCGTAGGTAAGTGAATGACAGCGGTGGGAGGGCTGTGGTTAGGTCACACGGGAGAGGTGAGGTGAGGTGAGGTGTTGCAACAAGTGGTGGTGGTGGTGGAGGAGTAGAAAGGTACAGTACAGGTGGTACTTAGCTGCAGGACGGTGTAGTTCGGCGCATTAATTCACATGCTGCTCGCACGAAGGGATGCGACGGCGTGGTTAGTGGTTACTAACATTTGCCGTGGAGTCTTGGGGGGCTGTGAGTGACGTGCGCTGGGCGGGCAAAGGGAGACTCTTTGCCGCAGCGACGTCCGTGCGCAATACTCGCCGGGCGAGGCTGGCCGGTTCACGTGCAACGCCAACCTCACTCTTACTCCTTCACCGCATTCTCGCATTTTTGTTGAGTCCCGCGCTGCATCCTTCACCTCATTCACTCACCTCGACTTGCCGGCCCGTCGGCATCATTCCGCAGTTCGGACTATATTCTCGCTGTCTTATCACTCTCTCTTGCGGTAGCATCGCGGTCTGGCCGGCTAGCCCTACTACCGCCGCAACTTGTTTCAGCCAAGCCTTTCCACTACAATAGCCCGCCTTTCATTGGCACGCTCCCACCAGACCTCATTCACATCCCAAGCAACACGTGCACACGCACCCGCTTAACCAGACCCTGCAGCCATCCACTCTACTCTCGACGTGACGCGCGCGGGGAGCCTGTTGCTTCACTCTGCGTCAGACACACTGACACTGCAGCCGCGACGGTCGACCATGTCTCGAACGGACGGTGTCTCTACATCAAGGCCTTTGTCCTTACTCGACCTGCTCCGCGAGTGTTTCATGGCGTTCCGAGGACTCGAGCAGCTTAGACGCATGTCTTCACGCGACATATGGCTGCCTTTTTGCCCAGGTGTTGGGAGTTGACCTTCTCACTTTCTCTTTGCATCTCTTTCCCTCTCTAGAAGATACATTCGCTTGTACATTTTGCCCGTGCAGGTAACGCGGCCTATTCATTCCTTCTCTTAACAGTCCTAATCCTTAACGCTTAAGCGGCTGGCTGCTATCCAATGGACTTCCTCAAAAGCATCTTGTTTGCATTACTGTCGTTCATTATTACTTTCGCTCTTTCAGCACCGGCTATTGTAACGACTGTCGTTACAGTCACTGCCCCAGAGGCGACACCATCAGCATCAGCATCGACTCACGAATCTGGAGGCGAAGAACACATCGTCATCATCGACAAGAACGCACCAGTACCACCACAGGTCGCCGAAGTCCTCAAACGCCTGGATCTGGATGAAGGCCACTCCGATGTCCGCCATGTCTTCAACAACAGCGCATTCCAAGGCTTCGCCGCATCGATGAAATCGCACTGTCTCGATCTCCTAGCCAACATGTCCGACGTCTCCATGGTCGAAAAAGCCGTCACGGTCAGCAGAGCAGACATGGCCCGCCACGACGCCCCATGGGGTCTGCAACGAATCTCGACATCTTCTGATTTCGCCGGTAGTCCCCAGGACATGGACTACACATACACTTACACCGACAACAATCTCGGCGAAGGCTCCGACGTCTACATCATCGACACAGGCATCTACACCTCGCACAACGTCTTCAACGGCCGCGCCTCGATGCTGTGGTCCTTCGACGGCGACATGGACGACAAAGACGGCCACGGCACGCACGTAGCAGGCACAGCAGCCGGCTCGATCCTCGGCGTCGCCTCCAACGCCAACATCTACGGCGTCAAAGCCCTCGACGCCGACGGCGGCGGCTGGTCCTCCAACGTCGTCGCCGCCATCGACTACGTAATCCAACGCCACGACTCCCAGAAGAAATCCACCCCCAACTCCAACTTCGCCGGCAGCGTCATCTCCATGTCCCTCGCGACCTCCGAACCCGTCACGGCAATCACCCAAGCCGTCACCGCCGCCCTCTCCGCCGGAATCCACACCATCGTCGCCGCTGGGAACGCCGCCACAGACGCCTGCACCTCCTCGCCCGCCTCATCAGGCGGAACGCACGGCTCCGCCTTAACAATCGGCGCCATCTCCATAACCAACACCCCGGCGTCCTTCACCAACTACGGCTCCTGCGTCGACCTCTACGCCCCCGGCGTCGACATCGTCTCGAGCTGGATCGGCTCCCCAAATATGGTCAACGTCCTCTCCGGGACGTCCATGGCGACCCCGCACGTCACGGGCATCGTGGCGGTCGCAATGGCGGGGAACGCGACGCTGGCGAGGAATCCGGGGCTCATGAAGGAGTCGGTGAGGATGGTGGCTGTGGATGTCGGGAATGGGGTGCTGGTGGCGAATAATGGGATTCGGCAGGGGGCGAGTGGGAATGGGAAGAGAGAGGTTGTCGATGGGAAGGGCAAATGGGAGAGGGCGTTTTCGGGGCTGGATGCGTCGGGGAGTTGTAGGAGGGAGAGTGAGAGCACGACGGCCGCGTGGCTCTGCAATGCGAGAAGATGACGAGGTCCCTTTTTGTTGGGACGTTTTCATGATGGCTGACAGGGGAAGCGGGGGTTAGACTCACGGCTGGCTGTATCATAGACTTTTTCTACGGATACGGAGGATCGCGAAGTACAGGGCAAAAGAGATGCGTTTTCGACCGCAATTTATACTCGTTCGGGGTGCAAATTTCCGTCTGTATCCCAAGAATGGGGTAGTTGCGCACACCTGAGTGTAGCAGTGGACAGCGCCGGCTTAGGCAGTCGGCAGTACAGAGCGAACATGTTGCCTATGGAATTTATTGACCTTCATGAAAGGCTTATCTTGCTCGTCCGCGCCAGCTCTTTCCCCGCATAAATGTCTCTATGATCATAATACACGGACGGTAAAGCCATGCCTTGCCTGGGTATGTGGGACGCGGTCTGTTAAGTTCCAGAGGTAGGGTGAGATGTTCGACCAGAATCTTGCGTACAGCAGGGCTGCAGGCAATGAGGCCGTGAATGAAGGCGCGAAGCCGAGCACTCCAGCTGAAGGTTACTACTGATTCCAGGTCATATGGATGCCGCGCCTTGTGCAAGTGCCTTTCCACAGCATCTTGTGTAGGGCTGCTACATACATGTCTCAGCTCTTCCAAGGTCTATGCTCTTTCTTCCAGGATAAGCTATTGCCTAAGTCATCTGTGCAAAGTGGGGGATTCTTTGGCGATGCAATAATCCGATGGCTGTTAAGTTCGACACAATAATACCGTCGCATACCTTCCAGTGACACGTGTCTCATTACTTCGGTTCATACAGCTAGGCAAATGTAGTGTGCGGATAGCCACTTGTCCCGAAATTGCACACTCGCGCACTGTGGCCGGCCTTCATGCATAACGAGAATGTGTTGACCAGTAAAGAAACCGGCGGCCGCCTACCTCATAGGTACTAACGCACGCCGCCTATAAGACAACCTTCTAACCTCACCTCTACACTTCGTCTCGTCTCTTTATATACTAAAGCAATCGTATCGGATTCTAACATCTCGTTCAGTGTTATTAATAGCGCTATCTACCTGTAGAATTCTACTCTTATACTCTTAAGGTATTTACGAGCCTTCCTACTACTTTTTATAATCTCTTCGTCGAATCTTTACTTCTAATCTTAGTATAATAAAAAATCTTCTCTTTCTAGCTACTACCGCTTTAGCGCCGAGGCTATCTAATAGCTAGTATCGGGATTCGAAGCGTTCGAAGCGTTCTTTAGAGGAGGAGGAGAGTAGTATCTATATAGTTATCGTTACGTATTACTACGACCGATTTAGTAATAAGTTCTAGTAATACTATTAAGCTTTAGGGGATTCCCTAGTATATACGATAGGGTACGTCTAGCGTTACTCGAACTTACTAGAAATATTAGTAAGTCGTATTATAACTTATAGGTAAGATCTTACGTTTTTATACCTCTTTTAGTATTTTTAGTCTAAGCTCGTATCTCTTTTATATAGGAGTTCTTCGTAATAGATAGATCTCGGTAGGGTTAGAGGGATTATCCTTTAACGCCGCTATATCTCGATATCGTTTTCGGTATCTCGACGGTATAGGATTTAAGTATAGGATAGGTAAGAAAATATATAATATAATATATAGGATAGAATCTATCCTCGTTATTTGTTCTTAGATTTTAATAGAGATTAGTAATCGTCTATTACTAACTCGTACGTACTATATAGCGTATATATCCTTAATTACTTTAAACTTATTACGTCCCGTAAAGTAGTAGATAGGTATCCTATAACTTTCGTCTACGGCCTTTTCGGAGTATTAAAGAACTTTTCTAAAGATAGTATAGTAATAATAAAGACCTCTATATATATAGCGATATCTTCTTACTTATAATCTACCGCCGCCGCGTATCGCGTTTATATAACTAGTAGTATAATTTCTTACGGGTAGTATAATAGCTAGCGCGCTAAGCCGGTCTTATACCCGAAGTAGTAGTATAAACGAGGCCGTACTTATAGCTACGCCGCCTATCGCGTCTAGTTTATAAGCGTATATCCTAATACGGTAAAGCGTTTTACCTCTCGCGTTTTACCGTTCGTTTAAAGAGCTACTATATCGACGTCGGAATCGTAGCTATAGTACGGATAGTTAGGTACTTTAATAGTTTATACCCTAACTTCTTCCCGCTATACGTATTTCTCGAGGAACGTAGATTAATACCTACTATCTTCTTTAAACCGCTAAATCCCTCTATACGATAAACCGAATTAGAAGGAAAGATCGGGGCGAGCTAGGCTATACGGTATATATAGGCCTATTTTTACCGGCGCTACCTATACTACCTAATTAAATAAGACCTATTAGCTACCTAGGGTTACGGCCGTACTATCGTCCGATCGTTATTATTATAATATTATATCTATATATCGCTATACTTTCGAGGTACCGTAGACGGTATATTAACTCTACCTTTTTATAGACCGTAGCTACTATTTTATATCGATAAGGAGTATATAGGCTTTAAATATTCCGATCCGCCGACTACTCTTCTTACGCCCTCCGTAGGAGAGCGCGAATTCTCCGTTCTATCGATCTATAACTTTAGCCGAACTAACTAGCTTATAGATCTTCTATATAGACTACTACTAGTTTCTAATATACGAGATATACTATCGTTCGGTTCTAACTCTTAATCGAGCCGCTTTACGGTTAAGACCTCGCGGCCGAAGAAAAGGAGACGTAACCCGAGAATAGTCGGGGGCTTCCTATATACTTATAATAGCTATTCTATAGTCTTTAACTAAGAGGTTAATTGTACTAAATACGCTAAAAGCTATCTCTTATAGTATAATAGAGCTTATACCTATCCCCTCTATATAAAGGCTTTCTACTAGCTAAAGGACCTCTAAAAGTACTAAAGATCTATATATAGATATAGTATTACGCCTATCGTCTTAAGTACCTATATTCCGAAAAACGGTGTAAAGTTAACTAATATTACCTCCGACTCTTCGAATACGCTAGCTCTATTTTCTAACTACTAGATTAATACTTCTCGGCTTCTATAAAATACGTCTTTAGAGTACTAGTAATTTATCGAATTACCTAGAGCTACGATACTAATCCCTTAGGAATCGAGCTTTAAAGCTACGTCGTCTACCTATAATATCTACTCGCCGCTAGACGTAAATAGCGAATTTCGTATTATTAGACTTCGGCCCTAGTATTTAGGAGGTAATAAGATCGAATACGAACTAATATCTTATCGACCGGGCGGTATTACCTACGATATACTATCCTACGTCTAGGGTAAGATACCGATAGAAGAGGTTATATACGTTAATAGGTATAGTATACTAGTAAGGTCTAACCTTTACTCCGTACTACGGAGTTTACGAGAGCTAGATCGGTCTCGCTACTTTTAGGTTAACGTAATTTATATTAATTAGGTAGATTATAATAAAAAAGCCTCCTAAGTATAGATAATATCCTCGATTTACGGTAACGCGGCTATAGTCTACGTCTAGCTAGGCGAATATAATAAAAATAGTACGCTAGCTATAGAGTTTATAGGATATATAGAGAGTCTATACGACCTAAGATCTAGAATATAGAACGTAGAAAAGTAGTTAGTACTAATAAGTCTAATAAGTCGATAATAGTTCTTACGCCTTTAGGTAATCTAGGAGGTTACGCTAGTATAGCGCGCGACTTTATACTACGGTAATACTTAAGTATTTTAGATAGCCTTCGAATAGGCCGTAACTCTTCTCTAATCGGAGGCCTTTAGATTATCTTATAGGAGTTAATAATCGCTAATTCCTAGCGCTATTAACGATATTAGTTAACTCGGCGCGGTACGCTTAGTTTATACGAAAAGTACTTTATATAGAGTTAATATAGATAGTAAAGTAGCCGAATTTCGCTTATTATTAAGCGATCTTATTTCCGCCTCGTAGTTTCTAGAATATAGCGATCGACGCGATAGAGTATATACGCTTCTAGTACTAGCTAAAAATAGCTAAGATATATACTATCGATATTAGATAATATAGCCGCTATAGAATCCGCCTCCTATAGCTTATAGACTTAATAAATAGCCTAACCTCTCTTCCGACAGTTTAAATATAAGTCGAGAGGTAGGATCTATATAGACTCCTAAAAATAGTTATCGCTCTCCGATATAAAGTATAGCGCGGAATCTCTAGTAAAACCGTTTTACTCTCCGCGTTAACTACTCGATATCGGGGCTATAGGTCTATAAGTAGATTCTCCTACTAGCGTCTAACGAAGAGAGTTCTACTGTTCTCGATACGTTATATCGACTATAAGGAATCGATCTTAATCTTCTATTTTAGGCGATAGACTTTAGATCCGTACCCTTTTACGTCGCTAAAGATCTACGCTCGCTATACGTATATTAAGTTAGAAGGATAAATAGTAATCCTCTCGTCGGACTTATATCGCTAGACGGCTCCTACTATAACGTATACGGATCTCTACGGGCTAAATTTAGTCGAGACTAGGGCTTTAAAGACGACGAGAATATTAATAGTAGTATAACGGCTTTATACGTAGTATACCTATTAGGTTAGTTTAAAATAGTAAAATTACTTCTCGAAGCTAGAGCCGACCTAAATTATCGGGATCTAAGTCCTAACCTCTTAGGATTTAGTTATAGCGGATAACGTCTTAGATAGACGCTATTATACTATACGTATCGCTTAGGGAACCCTTTAATTATTTAATTACTACTAGAGGTAGGCGCTAGTCTAGATCTTATAGATAACGCTAATACGGACCTAATATATATAGGCGCTAGTCTAGATCTTATAGACTACGCTAATACGGACCTAATATATATAGGCGTACAGTTTTAAATAGAAGAGCTTTCCTTTACTAGGTTACCTCGTATAAAACGAATAGAGGAACGAGATTACCTATTTATAAATAGCTTTATCTTAGACGAGTTTAACGAGCTTCTTAATACTTCGTAACGCGGTAATATCGCTAAGGATTAGCTAGCGTTAGGGGGCTACGATCGAGGAAACTTAGATACGCTAGACGCCCTCTAGCGGACTCTTATCGTAGATCGAGGTCCGAAAGGTACTAACCTACCCGCGTACTATAAACGAGCCCTCGAATCTACTATAGGGCTTAGCGTCGATAGGATAGATATAAATTATCTTAGAGTATCCGAAGATAACGCGCTATTAAATAAATTCTTAAATCGTATAGAAGGTACCGTCTAGAATAGGCGATTATTTCGAAGCCGGAGATATAGAAGACTTAGGCTTTATCTAAAAGCTACTTAAGTAGGTAATAGTAATTACTAAAAATAGATATACTATATAATCCTAAGTAGCTAACCGTTAATATTTATAGTAATTTATATTATAGTAGGTCTTAGCGTACTAATTGTACTACGAAAAGTTAAGGGTAAATACTACCGAGTTATTAGCGAGTATTTTATATATAGCGTAATAGACGGTTAGGGTATAGATATATTATTACAATAGCGAAGAGACAAAGCACGCCCCGAAGAGACGTAAATATTAGAAAGCGACCTCTCGCTATAGATCGAGAAGTTTCTACTAGTTTAAATAACTAGTACGAGTATTAACGCGGCTAGCCGTATACGGAAGTTCTCTAACCGCGATACTAGGAAGATTACGTATATAGAGACGTTTACTCGGAGATTAGTTAAAATCTATATTATATATATTTTATATTAACGGTAGAGTAAAGCTATAAGACTTTTAGTAGAGAAGAGGTCCTAGATAAGGGTAAAAGATACGTTTAGCGTACGGTTAGGCTTAGCTATCTAGGACTTATCGTAATATATAGTTAGTAAGTAAAAGCCGCTATAGAAGTCGTTTTATATATCTCGAGGTAAAGTTTAAGCCCTATTAACTTAATTATATCCCTTTTTACGTTAAAACAACCTAGCCTAAGGATTCTATTATACGTATTACGTCCGCGTTATAAGGCAAGTCCTTACTCCGATAGTAATTCTAGTCTTCGAAAATAGTATCGCTAATACCGCCGACGTCTTAATCGTATAAGTAGCTAAACGCTTATCTAAAGGTAATCGGCGTAGTATAAGCGTCGCCTAGGAGTTTAAAGCCGTCCGAGTCCGCTTTACGAATAACGAAAGGGAACGGGGCGCTACTAAAAAGATAAATACTATTACCCTACCTAGATATAGAAAGTACCTAGGCTATAATCTTTCCGCCGTAAACTTTAACGATTACAAAGTTCTAAGTCAAGTCTATTATAGTATATAGTCCGTATAGAGGTCTCCTCCGCTCCTATAGTAATACCTATCGAATAAGCGTAGATAATAACTCTACGTAACTAGCTCTATTAGCTTCTAATAGCTTAGAATAATACTCCTCGGTAGTATTTATAGCGGTAATATCTTCGGGCCTAGGCCTTTTATTACGATACCTCTCGGTATTAATATTATAATAGCTATAAGTAAGAAAGGTTAGAAGCTACTAATTAAGACTTAGACGTTATCTAGTCGTTACGAAGTAACTCTTATATCGCTAGTACTATTTAGCTATAAGAGTATATATCGTTTATAGGTCTTTTATATTATAACAAGTTACGTCGAAGTAGCGGTACTTAGGTCGTAGCTCCTATATAGTTCTAAATACCCGGCCCTTTACGAGAATCCGATTATCCGAAGGCGAGGGTAACTTTATAATAAATACTAGTAGAAAGCGTCGAAACGGGCTAATCTCGATATAGTCTAGGCGCGAGTACTATTTATATTTATATCTAGTCCTCTCGCTATAGTAGTAAAAGTTCGGAACCTAAGATAGCTTACTAGGTACTAAGCCTATAGTCCTAATAAAAGTAAAAAACTCGTAACTTTTATAGTAAAGCCCGCTTTCTACTAGATATACGTATACTAGTCGCTAGTAGACTTCTACTACGGCTAGCTTATAGTCTAGTATTAGTATCTCTATTTCTTCGACTCGGAGTACTAGCCGGACTACGAATACTCGATCTCTCGGATCTAAGTATACGAAAGATAATAAAGAGTATATAAGATCTAGGACGTTAGATATCGAGAATATTCTACGACTAGTTCGTAGATTATAGCGAGGAAAGTAGATAGAGATTAGGTCGGATAGTTTATAAGCGGAAGCCTATAGGTTTATATCGAGATCCCCTACTAGCTCTTTACTTAAGAGCGCGATACTATATAAAGAGCCGATTATAGATAGAAAATTTAACTAGCGGGCTCGATAAGAGCCGACGTAGATTTCGACCTTTTTAGCGGATAGAACCTCTTAGATTACCTATATACGAGTAAAGTAGCTTCGTTCTAATAGTTTCGTTAATATAGAAATATATTCTAAAGCCCGATCTCTTTAGATCTCCGCTACTATATAGTAGTAGTAATAGCGGCTTTTATTTTAGAAGACTATTATAAGTCCTTCTAGATTGTAGTCTTCTAGATAAAAGATATATATATACTTCTCCTCGAAAGCGCCGAGGCTAGCGAACGTAGCGATATCTAAATTTTAAAGAAGGCCTAATTATATAAGTATAGTTATAGCCGAGCTATAGATCTTCCTAAAAAGCTTAACTTAGGCCGTCTTCTCTTCGTCGTTTATTTAATCGATATATATAGCGTCCGCCTATAACTTTCGTTATCTAGTACGGTACCGGAGATACTATAAAGCTTAATATAGAGACTCCGTAATAGGCTTAGTACTATAACTATTAATATAGAGCTAGCGATCGAAGACCGGAGAACCCTAAGTATATAAAATAGCTTCGAAGTTCTAGGAAGCGTTTAGTAAAAGCCGTAGTCGTCTCTATAAGTAGCTACTCGACGTATCTAGTAAGTATCTAAGAAGGACGTATTTAAGCTTATAGCTAAAGGGGCTACCGGGTTTCCTAGGTTTTAGATATAGAATACGTATTTCGCTAGGTTATAGGTACTAGTATCCTAAGTTAGTAACTCCTCTTAAGCGCGAGATAAATCTTTCTAGCGGAATATTAGTAAAAGTACTTACTCAGCGAGTAACTAAATCCGAGTTCTTAATTATTTCTATAGCTATACTTAAAAGACGCGGTTATATAGTAGCGCTACTATACTACGAGAGTTACGAGTATATAAACGACGAAGAGTAGGCGGGCCGTATTTCTACTTCCCTAATAACCTCGAGGCTTAAGAGCGTATACGATAGGAGAAACTATACCTCGAGGGTTACGATACGTATAATAGTAGTATACTTAACCGTATAGAGTTACTACGAAGTATACCTTAAAGCCTACTTTTAGCTAGTCGATAACGTAGGCTAACGTTTTACGATATCTCTCGGACTAAACTATAGCCTATAGCTAGGTTCTAGCTGTTTATATACGAAGTATATACCTAATAGCCTTCCTATAAGCTACTAATAGAGTATCTATACTCGCTTATAATTTCTATATAATTACGATAACTTATAGTAATCTTTAGGTTATAGGGTAAAATATTTAGTTTATATAGTATAATAATACGGAATAGACGTCTTTACGTATATCTACGTAGTCTATTAGGTGTCTACGTAGACTTAGCTAACCGAGATATAGTAACGTACCGGTTTAAGGCCGCCTACTTACCTTAGCGGTTCTCGACTACGTACTAAGAGTATTATATACCCTTAATAGAGCTTAAGGCCTAGTCGAGGAGGCGGAGTAATACTAGATAGTAGGTAGTACTTCTATTATCTACTAGAGCTTACCTAGTAGGAGAGACGGATACTAAATTCTAGCGAGGATATACCGTAACGTTTATTATAGTATTATTACCTAACTATAATTGCCGCGAAACCTACAGTCCTAGTATAGCTCAAGCGCACTTTGAGTCATTTGTGAATTGCTTGCGGCATGTCTGGAATGTTACGCTTAATTAAAGACAAAGGGTTAGCAGTGGCCGGAGGCGAAGTGAAGTCGTTCTGCGGCCAGCGCTAGCCGTGTTCAGGTCACGTGTCAGTCTACATACGTTGACATTGTTCGAAGCGGACACAGACCGTGCGCGACAAAGAAGAGGGAGAGCCACTAGTGCAACAGGCGACTGGACCTTCGTCGAATACGGGCGCTGTTGCCCACTCGTGCTGACTCCATAGCAGCATTTGCTCACTGTTCCTTGCCCGTCTAGCTACTCTTTTAGTTCATGCGGCACGTCGGTGGGCAAATCAAAGGCACAGGAGCCTCAGCCCTAGTGGCGATTAGGAGCTAAGGAGTGTTCATTCAAAATCCGAGTCCTGAAGGTGGCGGTCGATTCGAAGTCCCCGCCTCGTGCATCAACGCTGTGGTGTGTGACCCTAAGGGCGCTTAGGGTTTACGAGGGGCGATAAAGCCTTGTGCGGACTGCACAAGGCAAACGCGTCCGATCCCGCAGAGGGTTTAATCGTCGAAAATACGTACAAGGGAGGATAGCGATAGAAGAGTTTCGCGGCGCAGCGTGCACAGAAGAGCGCGAGGAGAGACCAGGAAGTTTGAGGACGGGCAAAAGGTGAGGTCGGTGGTTGTAGGGACGAGCTCCTAGTGAAGGGCGCCTAACTTGAAGTGGTCTGCCCTGACCACAGACTACGAAGGAACGAACAAGCATGTTGACGACAACGGAGGGGTTTTCTTACTTTTATACATTCTTGCATGCATCGCTACATCTATGACTACACTTATGATATAGAAAGGCTCTCTCTCCCTCTCTTCTGACTTCTGACTTGGGAGCCGGAGTGGATCTGTCTGGATCTTCATCTCTCTTTTTTGTCGTTCCTTTCTCTTACTTTCTTTTTTTGTTGGGAGGGGGTATATGCTGAGTTTGGTGTTCATCCTCCACCAACCAACGCCATCGATATGCTTCAATGCTGGTCGTCAAACTCGAGTACTGCTGCCACCAAGACTCTCTGTCAAACATCTACCTCACTTCCTCAGCATGATTCTCCTTCTCAGCGTTCTCGACATCCGCCTTCTTTTCCTTCTTGCGGGGCTGCTTCTCCTGCTTCGGCTGCTTCTGCTGCTCGACCTTGAAGCGAGGCCCATCCTTCGGTCGAGGGGTCTTGCCCTTGCCATGGTAAATCTCTGCACGAAACCACAGCCCTCTCTTGCCGTCTTTGGTCCCAGGGAAGACCTCAATCACATCCCCGGTATGTAGCTGACCGTACAGGTACTTGCCCTCGGGACCCGCATCGAGTTGCACGCCATTGACCCTCAAGCCGTTGCTACCGTGCGTGAGGATGCCGGTGTAGAGGCCAGGCAGCTGAGTGATATCTTCGCCTTCCGGCACATCCTTGATGCCATCAGCGTAGAAGAACGTCAGGACTGCCGTTCGAGGAATCCGTGTGTCTAGTTCTTTCTGATAGATGTACGTATTGCCGGGCGAGCGACCCCAAGACATGTCGCGACTCTTCATGTCAAGCACGATGCGTTCGAAAGAGTCCGAGGTCGAGACAAGACGGCCCAAGATCTGTCCTGCGTCTCCTCGGAGGAATTCTGGCGCTTCGGTAGCGGATGCACCGTTCTGGGCATATATGTCTGGTTCCCTCGTATCATCATGCACTCTGCTGGTCTCGGCACTGCCTGGGAGACTCTGCGTGGTTAATTCTTCGGTGGACTCGGCGGAGCCATTTGCTTGCGTTTTGAACTCAGCAGCAAAGTCACGACCGCTGGCTTTCGACGCATACTCCAATGTATGAGTGCTCTGATCCGCAGGGTCGAAATAAAACGACGGCGGTACGGGGATGTGAATCTGTCGATTGAACACCGCTGGTTGGGGTGGCCGTGGCGTTGGATCAATGTCTGCTGAACCTGGCGAGTGTTGTGATGGATCATGATGGCTCAGCTCTCCAAAGCTGTGCTCAGACTCTGGAGTTGCCGGCTCTTCGGCATCGTCATCATCAGAATCGTTGACTGAGTCCATGTTCATGTCTCGTACCATGGACTCTGCACCAAACAGGCTTGGTGATGCTCCGAATTCGTCTGACGATCCTTGCTGTGCGCTCTGCTGGCTGCGGTTTGACGTGCGTGCGTGGTCAGATTGTATCGAGCTGGAGGTATTACCAACAGCGTCGTTCGCTCGCATGTTGAAAGCCGGTCCTTGCAAATCAGATTGGCTGATCTCTCCAAACAACTTGGATGGCTTCAATCGATCTGCTGTAGCTTGCGTCCGTTGCTCCGTCTCTGGCTGGTGCACTATGGGAATGGAATCGTAGAGCAGCTCCGGGCTGGAATCGAGGAAGTTTTCTTCTTCCTCCCGCTGATCCATTTCGTTCGTCTTGAAACGCTTCGACTTGCGTGGGTCGAAGAAGTTCATGTCTGAGGAGTTGATGCTGAGATCGCTGTTTCCACTGCCAATGCCACGTTCGACGAGACTCAAAGCAGCGACGTCAGGATGCTCGGTTCCCTCTTCTTCATCCCTGTCTGCCCCAGCTTCGGCTTCGACGTCTTCTTCGATGTCTTCCAACTCGAGCACAGGCTGAGACTCACGCTTTGGGCCCAGAAACCTTTCGCCGAACCAATCGTGCCGCAAGCAATCCTCTGCCGAAGGTCGTGCTGCAGGGTCGGTATTTAACATCGAAACTAGCAAGGCAACAGCCTCGTCCGAGACTCCTTGCTTCACCAAATCGGCGGCATCCAGGGGTGTCATCATGATCTTATCGAACATGCCACGGCCGGCATTACCAGGCACGCCTTCGAATGGAGGTCTGTGACACAAGGAGTACCACAGCACAGCACCAAATGACCAGATGTCCACGGCTTGACTGTAGCTGTGGAATTTGCTCGACTGCTGTGGAGGCGGCTTTCGTGGGCGCTTCGTGCCTTTACCCGAGACATGCGCATCGTAGTGTGGGAACACTTCCGGCGCGCAGTAGAGGAGTGTGCCACAGAATGTCTTGAGGAAGGTGTCATTATCCTTGACCACTTTCGAGAGACCAAAGTCGGAAAGCTTGATGATGAAGTTATTTGGATCGCGTGAACCGATGAGGATGTTGTCTGGCTTGATGTCGCGGTGCGTGATTCTCTTGTGATGAAGATAGTCCAAGGCATCGAACACTTGAGTCGCCATCTGCTTGGCAACAGGCTCATCGAGTGGTCCAACTTCGGTCAAGTACTGCTGCAAGTCGCCACACGGAACATACTCCATGATAATGTAGAGATGGTTGGCGACGTCCTGGTATTCGTGGTATTGGACAATGCTCGCATGCTCGATCTGCTGCATGATGTGCATCTCGTTCTCCAACTTTTGGTCGAGAACGCCGTTCTTCATGAACTTGCGCTTTTCCAGCTCTTTCGCCGCGAAAAGCTGTCCATCTGCCTTTGTCGCCAGCTGATAAACGCTCGCAAAGGCGCCTTTCCCAATCTGACCCACAACGTTGTAGGTCTCACCACCATTCCAGTGCATGCCGTAAGAGTTGTGAACGATGGGTGCCTTCACCGCGGTGTTTGGTAGTCGTGCCTGGCCGGGGGAGAACTTCGGTGCGGCCATCGCCCTTCCCTCTTGCTTATCAAATCTGACAGCGGCGACTTGCCTCTCAATATACTCGCTGAACTTGATCTCATATTCGTCCATGAAATCGACGCGCGATGGAATGCGCACAATGAACTTCAGTGCCTCGGTCGGAGATGGGGACAGGATCTGAACGATACTTCCGTGGTTGAGCATCCGCTGCTTCGGTCCATTGTGATTTCTGCCCTTCAACAGCACTTCATCGACCATCGTACCATTTGTAGACATGTCCTTAAGCATGAGTACTCCTGATTCGTTCATGTAGATGCTGAAGTGCATGTTGCTGACGCGCTTGTGGACGTCCGACGAGACTGCGATGTCGCACATGCCCATGTTACGGCCAACGACGAATCCCAGAGCTGGTCGGTGAAGTCGTGACGAGAAGCGCAACGCCAGATCCAGCGCCTGGTTCGTGCTATTTCCTTCCAAAATGAATGTCTCTTCCTCTTCCAACATGCTAGGACTGGCGGCATGCTGGTTGCGATATCCATATACATCCTGGAGAATGTGCTGTGGAGAGCGACGTGCAGTCTCGATCACCAATTGGAATGCTGCTGGGGTGGAGGGATGCAGGATACACATAACATCCGAGACATCTGATGGTGCCAAACCTGAGTTATTCCTGCCCATCCGCCGCGGGTCCATGGTGCTCTGCGTGCCCTGCGTGGGCTGCGTGAGAAGGTCTTCCAGCTCCATTTCGAGGTGTCCTGGCCACGGGCCGAAAAGCTGGGAAGGATCGACTTATATACCTCCGCTCGCTCGAAGGGCTGACAGGTCCTATGCAGAGTATGATGGCCAGGCAACCAGTGCCGTATGCCCGCGAACCCACCGCTCGCTTATGCCGCAGTATCACAGGTCTCTGGCCGAGGGCGCAACAGCAGCGGCCGTGAAGGCGGACCGTGAAGGGCGTCGTCGAGGGCAATGCAGCGAAAGACGAAACCACCCAAGTCCAAGCAGCGTTGGCCGAGGCGGGCGTGTCCCCGCCTCAATACCTCTTTCGTATCTTGTCACAGTATCATCCAGACGTCGTTGTTGTACCAATTGGTTCGAGTCGTTCCTTCTCCTTCACAACACCTCTCTGGCTCTTTCGATTGTTCCCCAAGGTTCGCCAACCGTGAAACAGAGACTTAGCCAACAACGGAATCGAGGAGGACGGTCGTCCAGCCCACGACGAGTGGGGTGGTAGGTAGAAGACGAGGTCTGCGAGACGAGTAGTTTGACGAAAGTTGAACGACCCACACGTGCGGCCTCAGGCGTCAAGCTTCAGGCAACCATTGGCCCTTGCACGTGTGCATGAACAGATCAAAAAGTCACTTGCTGCAGACCAGAGCCTGCATGCTCGAAATCACAAACAGGCGGGCGAATGTTATACACTCGAGGTGAAGTGAGTAATCCACAAGATCGCGGCGGGTTGGACGTCCAGAGAAAGACGCGATCGTCCCCGGCAACCTTCCCCCACTAGCGCAAGGGGAACTGGTTAGTGCATCCGCGGAAGGTTTGATTGGCTGGGGTGCCTCGAAATCAGAAACAGCAGACGGACTCGAGTTCACACCATGTCTTGAAGGTTGGAAGAAGCACGAGTGTACTGATATGCTCGCTTTTGATGTCCACTTATCTACTGCTATGCGCCAAGCCTGTCGACCACTTCTACAGCTCAAATCCCAATTACTCGTCGAGTTTGACGTAGTTGCTAGGAAAGATTAGCACAAGATACCTTCGATGGACACTGCTGGTACTTACCTTGGGAATAGGCCAACCTGGCCTCTGTACTCACCCTGCCACCAGTTGTCGTCTGGAAATTCCTAGTCGACGTTAGTCAAGCTTCACAAGGCCTCAACCCTCGACAACTTACAATGTTGATGATCTTCGCGCCGTCAGGGAAGCTGAGCTCGTTCTCTTCCGCAGCCTCGTAGTCGTACTCGGCAGTCGCAGTTGGAAGTCCATTACCAGCAAGTTGCGGTGGGCCTGGAGGAGGTGCTTCATCGACCGCAGGAGCTGGGGGTGGAGGCACGGCTGCAGCACCGCCTGAAGCACCAACCTCGTCCAGCTCGACGTAGTTCGAAGGAAACAATCCCCGTTCACCACGACTGTTCTCGCCCATCCACCAATCATCGTCCACCATATCAATGTTCGTGATGCGCTCGCCTTCGCGCATGCTGATCTCGTTTTCTTCGTCCTTGTCGTAGTCGTACTGTGCAACGGCTTCCTTGCCTCCAGAATCCCCGGCGCTTCGTGGATCCTCGGTCTGACCGAAAGTGCCGGCCGCGGCGTGCTGTGCGGCCGATCGAGAGATGTCTTCGTCCTGTGCTTGCGGTTCAGGTTCGGATTCGCGGTGGCTGTCAACAGCTTGAGCGAGCGAGTCGGTAGGAACAGGTCGTGGAGGTAAGGGCTCGGCTGGCTCAACTGGATCAGCACCACGACCCACGGGCATTGCAATTCGCACGGGCGAGCCTTGTGGTAGTGGTGCTGAGTCGTCTTCATCTTCCTCATCATCTGGCTGCGGCCTGGGTGGTGGTGGCGGAAGGACTTGATGCTGCTCTGCCGGCACGTCAGGTTCTTGCTGTTGTGGAAGGCCGGGTATTGGAATGCCGCGAGCTCCAGCATTCGGCTTGCTGGAGGTGTCAAGTGGCGGAGGCTCTGGAATACCACCACTTGGCTCGCGCGCAGCTCCCATGGGCGCAGCCCCAGCAAAGCGGTCTTTGATCGATGAGACACCGCCGGCTGGAGGCTCATTCTCCTCTCTGACTGGCTCTTCTTGTCCAGTGCGCTGCTCACTAATACCGCTTCCTCCTGTACGCGTTGGAATCTGTACATCCCACTTCTTGCCTCCATACCCACTCTGCCAGCCGCCACTTTGCTGGCTCCTGATAGGTGATGCGGCGCTGCCAAATCCTCCCGGTTGCTGGGTGTCGGCAGCACCACTTGTACCCCTCTCGCGTGCCTTCTTCTCGGCCCATTGCTGTGCTGGAGTCTTGCCGCCTTGATCGGCGAAGGCCTTGTTCACAGCGCCAACCGGTGCCGAAGATGTGAGGGCTGGCTTGGCCTCGAAACCTCCAGGTGCTGGGGCTTTGGTTCCGGCAAACGTGCTGGCGGCTCCCCCAAATCGATTAGCGACCTTGGGCTTCGGTAGCTCGGTAAGAGGTTTGGACTGGTTGAAGGCGGCAGATCGTTCAGCGAGAGATTTGGGCCTATCGTCCTCTTCTCCCACAGGTTGTGACGGCGGAGGGGCTTGCACAGGTGGTGGTGCGCCTTGTGCCTTTCGTCGAATCTCGTTGATATCAACCTTGCCCACGGGTTCGTACGATCCTTTGACAACAGTTGGACGGTCGTCCTTCAGGCTGCCGCTCTCCTGAGCCTGCTTTCTGATAGCCGCAATATCAACCTTGCCCACTGGCTGGTAGCCACCGCTCACAACATCCGCTCCGCTATTGTTTGGCCTCAGAGGCGCTTGATATCCTGACGATTGGGGCTGGCTTTGCAAGCTCGCCATGTCGACTTTGGTAGGCTTGTAGGCGGATTCGACCTTTTCCAGCTGCGATCTCGTAACTGGAGGCGCATCATCCCCCCACCCGTCCGCATCTGTTGGGCCAGATGGTGCAGGTTCGCGGGATCTCGAGCCAAGAGGCTGGAAACCGCCAGCAGCTCCAAAGCTTTTGGTAGGCAGTACTGGTTTTGATGCCACCGGTGGAGGAGGGCCGGATGATGCCGGGGTAGGTACAGAACCTCCGCCGCTGTATTTGGAGCCGGAAGAGTCTGCTACCTTCTGCACAATCACCTCAGGCGTGAGATCTCGGTCAGATCGAGCGGTGACCTGGACATGATACCCATGCAGTACTTTTGCTACGGCATTGAGGTGGCTGGTGAAGTATCCCTTGGTCCTCTCCGGCACTCCTTCGCCACACCACGCAACGAGTACGCTCTTAGGGAGAGTAGTATTTGGGTCCTTGACCTTGACGAATGCAAACTGGATGCGCCCATCCGAGAACTCTTCAATCAAGTCCGCCAATTCCCCCTCGGCTGTTGTTTGTACATTGAGGACACTCTCTTTCCCGGAGTCTGCCTGGAAGGCATTGGCGAGGGGCGCTTTGACGGAGAAGACAGCCCAGATGCCGTAGGTTGGCGAGGAAGAAGCTGGACCGGACGGAGAGGAATTGACGATCTTCTGGTAGCTGGCGGTGATGGAAGGTCCGTTTTGGGACAGGTTTAAGGTAGCCATGATGGGGGAGGGTTTGGAGCAGGGCACGCTCGGCGGGAGTACGGAGTGGTTCGTTCAAGATATTGGTCCAGCCGTGGTGTCGAACGGCAAGATGTTCCAAGTGTTTGAAGGGTGTCTGAAGACGTGAAGGCTGCAACGCGCATAAGCCAGAGAGAGCTGGGACAGCCAGCTTGTGCTTAGGTTAGCGAGCTCGCAGACGTCACAGCACGTGGCTGAGGAAGGCGTTGCGACCAGGCACTCGTTTTGTTCGTACAGAATACGCTGCTCGCATTCGAGTGGAAGAGAGGCTCCCACTGTTATTCCGGCAAGGCTACGACATTGTACGACGCGCGTAGCAGAGCAATGGGAGCCTGGGCAGAGCCAGCGCTATGTGCTATAGGCACGGTGCGAGGCCATGTTGACAGCTATACTGTGTCTGCAGTAACAATAATGCAACGACAACACTACTCAAGGCAAAGTTATATTGCATCGTCTCGTCCCACTTAAACACGTACAGACACCAATATGCCATCACTTTTGCACTGTGACCACGAGGTATTGCACCGGCCTGATCGATCCCCTTTCCCTGTGCCAAGACTTCACGCGGGAACAGCCGCTCACTCGCCCTGCTTTTCTGGTTGGTCGTCTTTCACTGTCGCAACACCCTAACCTCTACACACACCACACCACCACCCGCGCATCCAACTGCTGCAGCAGTGTCCGCGCGCAAAGGCATAAGATCCGCCTCTCCTCTTCTCTCTCACCTCACCTTTTTTGCTGCTGCGCGCCGCGCCTTCACCAGCCAGAACTCGCTTCTGCCGCTGTCATCAACAAGTGTCTTTCCTTCTCTCTGTCTTAACCCTCCAGCAGCTGCCCGCGATGTCGCTCCTTTCTATTTAGACTGATCTCTAGCCGTCGAAATGGAAGGAGAGGACTGGCGCGAGTCAAGCGAGGCGCGCCCCTCGTCCTCTGAGGACTTTTACGCCCAGGACATACCAATGCACCACCAGCCGCCGCCGGAGTGGAATGGGGTCGCCGAAGCCAGCGACGTTGACGACGACTCCTCCGAAATGGATCTCTCCTCGCCCAGCCGTCCTGCCACACCGGAGCCACAGCCACAGCCAATGCCAGATGCCGTCGCCGCCAACACTCTTGCTGGGACCAAGCGCAAGCTGAGTGACAGTGACAATGCTGACAGTCCCGCCAGTCTCCTCGCTGCTGAGCGATTCAAGAAGCGCAAGGTGTACATGGCCCGCGCCCAGCACCAGCCTGTCGCTCCACCTACTGCCGGAATGCCCGTTGAGATCTGGCAGCGCGTTTTCTCGCAGTACCTGTCTCCCATCATGCTTGCTCGTTGTTTACGCGTTTGCAAGAGTTTTTCCCAGTACCTTACTGCTGTACCAGCCCAACCTCCAGTGGCCAAGAAGAACCAAGGCAAGGTGCAACCCGTGGAGAGCGAGAGCATTTGGACCCAGTCCAGGAAGAACTATTTCACCACCCTCCCAAGGCCGCTGAACGGCTTGTCTGAACTCCAGATGCTCCAGTTGCTAGGTGGACGCCGCTGCCAGTTTTGCGATAAACAGTCGGTACAGACACCAGCAACATCCGTCTACACCGCAGGTCCAGGTCCTGATGGTGTTCGGGTGATATGGCCTTTCCGGGTTCGCTCGTGTGGACAGTGTCTGGAGGACCGAATGCTGAAGGCAAGTCCCTTACTATTTTCTTCGTACACTGCTGGACTGACTAGTGGACAGGATATTCAAGTCCTCCCAAATCCTGATTACGCGCCTCTACGCAACGGTGTTACCCACGGCTTTCGATCTCAAGACCACCATTTCGCCACCGAGTCCCTACGCCTATTGGCAAACATTCCTGCCAACCTCCGCTTTTCCAAAATGTACTACAAACCTGAGCTAGACGCGATCAAAGATGAGGCAGAACTGGCAAAAACTTTAGGTGAAGGCGCGGCGGATGAATGGCGCAAAGGCCTGGTCGCCAAGGGCAAAGAGGCCATGGCAGACTGCGCCCGCTGGGAGAAGTGGGAGTTGAACATGCGCGCAGGCACGGATCTGGCCCAAGTGCTCAGGGAGTATGATCTCTCTTCTTTTCCGCGCCTTGTTCAGGATGCTCAAAGTAGGTCTGCTGGAGTCAACGGGACTCAGCCGCCTGTGGCGGCCAACGGTAAGCAATACTTTCCACTGTCGAATGTGTTTATCCTCCGATCTTCGCATGCGTCGCCATCTGCTTCATGCGCTTGCTACGCGCACTTATCAGCCAAGAGATCTTCGTTTGATGCGAACGACGGATACTGATCTTGACGGTACAGGTACGACTCATCCCTTGCCCCAACCCGTTCATGTCCACGGCAACACCGCTGGGTTGCCACAGGCTCCATTGCAACACTATCCTCAGCCTCACTTCACCCAACACTCCATGCCTTTTGCACAACCCTTCCCGCACTTCCAGCACCAGCCTCAGCAGCACCATCCACGAGCCGGACGGAGCTTACAAGAGGCCGAACAAGCCCGGCAGTCCAGGAAGGCAGACATCGAGCGGCGATGCAGGGAACTCGAACCGCCATTGGAACCAAACGTGTTGCAACACATCGATTCTTTCCAGGCTGCCATGCAAATTGCCCTGCCAATGACGGACGATGCCTGGGAAATACTCAAGCCTAAGCTCCTGGAGAAGAGAGAGGCCGCCGAATGGGTTGAGCACGAGCGAGCATCCCAGCTTGCTGTCCTCCAGGCCGCGATGCCCTTGAATTCAGCAGATGAAATAATTCCCAAGCCGGCCAAGGAGACGTATGACCGTGAGTATGAACAAGCTCAAGAGCCTTTGCGCAAGACCTTGGGTGAGTATGCGGATGACTTCATCAATGGCCGATGGAATGCTGGAAAGCTCGTGGAGAACAGCAATGCTCCCGTCTTTGCGATTCATGTCTTGTTGCATGTTAACCAGCGGTATACCGAGGACAAGCAACTGGGCCTCCTTCCAAGATTCGAGCCCCCAAAGAGGAAGGACAATGGCAAGCAGGGCACACCGCCTTTGGAACCGTTCTTATCCCTCGACAACATGAAGTGGGTATATGACAACAAGGTGAGGCCTTTGACCGACGTCCACAAGCGTGAGCTTTTCCTTTGCCCTGGCTGTACCAAGGAGAGAAATCCCAAGTGGTTCGCGTTTGAAGGCCTCATCCAACATTACGGTGCCAAGCATACCACGGCGTTCAGCAAGGGCAACATTGTTGTTCATTGGCAGACTGCCCAATGGCCTGAAGACCCTCCGTTCCATACCAATCCTGGACAATGGCTCGCGGTGGACCGTCGTCCTTCAGACTACAAATCCCATGGCAGAGCTCGTCACACCCCTCAGGCCAACCATGAAGGTCCATTTGCGGCTCCGAATCCAGCGCCACAGCCTGCCGACAATCAGTACCACGCAGCCCACAACGGATATTCAGCCTCCAGCCACAGTAGACCTTTTGCTTCGCCCGCCTCGCATGCCGGACAGAACGGATACTTCTATTCACAACCAGCGCAGATCCAAGCGCAGCCTGTGGCGGACATCAGCCATGATGCCCAGATCACCAAGCTTTCCAATGATGCCCGCGAAATTTGGGATGCCCTTGACGGTGTAAAGAACATCTTAGAATGCATACGAGTCCAGACTGTCATTCATCATGCAGCCGTGCGATATGTGGAGTATTTCCAACAGCAGCCACCAAACCTAGATCTCCTGACGGATGCCCTGGCCACAAATACGGTGATGCGACCCTTGAAGAATGCCCATGGATTGGCCTGCAAGTCCTGCGTTGCCGCACAGCCGAATGGAACTGGCAATCACTCTTCGTATTGGACTCGTGTCCAAGGTGCGAGAAAGTACAATACTTCATCTCTGATCACCCACTTCAAACTCATGCATCAGGCTCAGTATCAAGCTCGTTATGCGGATTGGACAAAGGACATGATCGAACTGCCAGAAGGCCATGTTGTGAGCGAGCTCCTCCGCACGCCAGGCATGGATGACAGCAAGTTGGCTCTGATCGCGGTGGCTTTTCCAAAGGCTTTCCCGAACCCACTGCCCAAGATTGGATTGGTGACCGAAGATGCTACGGAAGCTACAAACGATGACAACCCTGCTAGGAGTCTGATCGAGCGACTTGCCAGGAAGTCGCAGGCTTCGCAGAAGAAGAAGAAAGGGGGACAGCCATCCAATGGTGCCGCGGGGCGCAGCGTTTCGCAAGAACCATTACCGGAGCCACGAGAAGATGAGTATGACCCGCGCCGGCCTATGTTTGTGCAGCCAAAGAGTCAAGCACCAGACCCCTCTCAATTCGACACGGACGCTGGCAAGGCGCGGGTCCCATCAGTGCCACCACCAGCTGGGATCAACTTCACGCCCGAGACACTCGCTGCACTACAGGGCATTCAACAGCGCCAAGCAGAGCCGGCGCTGGGTAGGCAAAGCCGAAGTCCGTCAGTCGGACGGCCTTCTGATGTTGCTACATCTGCACCAGGTGGACAACCGGACATTTCCGCCATTCTGGCCGCCCTCACTGGCCAAACTCCGGCGCAGGCAGGGAATGCGCAGACGTCGAGCACCAACAGGCCTGCCAGTTCATCATATCAACCTTATGTTGAGCCACCTTCGCGGCCAGGTTACGAGATCACCGGCACTCATCAGAGTGAGAGTCGACGGTCCAGTGGCCGTCACGAGAATGCGCATCAAGCATCGAATGACCCATTGGCCGCTCTTCAGGCAGCACTTTCGCAAAACAGCCGACAGTTCGACCAGAATCAGCGCAATACCTATGTCGAGGCACGCCCTGAACCAACGCCAAGGTATCAGTACGGGTACGATGGCGATCGACAGTTCGCCCAGCAACCTGCACATGCGCCAACGTACAGAGAGCCTCCTGTGCAGTATGTACAGATGCCTGAGCGTGAGTACGCCTCGTACTCGCATCAGTATGAGCGCTCCGCGGCCCCCAACCCCATTTACGTGGATCAGTATGGCCGGCCATTGGAGCTCATTCCCATCGACTCTGCGCCAGCACCGGTGCAGTACGCGCCAAACCCGTACGAGCAACAGCAGTACGTACGGCGTCACGAACCTACTGTGTACACAACTCTCCCTCCAGGTGCACACCCACAACCCATCTACGACGACCGCCGTGATGACCGTCGTCCTGTGTATTATGAGCCAGTCTCTCATGCTGGCAATGGCGTTCGGTATGCATACGACGACGCCCGTGCTTCGGTGCCGCGTTCTTAGCGAGAAAAGTTGGGCTTGTACGAGTATGCTTTGCTTTGTAACAAGCGCCTATACTATTTGGCGCATTTATGGAACGAGGATTGAAAAGGATTGAGAATCATTGAGTGGAAAAGCGTTCTGTTGATGTCAAGCTCGCTTTTGGAAAGGCGAAAAATACCCCCTTGTTCGGTTGTGGCACTGCTTGACTCGACCTTTCCGCTGGAACAGGGTCGTTCTTTGTACTACTACCACTTCACCCTAGTGTAATAATCACATGCTGGCTTCTTGCTTACCTCACGTTCCGTGTCCAGAGCTCGATGAGGCTGTAGATTCGGCGAAATGCTGCAATCCTTTCTGGCGAAGTGGACCTTTTTCACTAGCTCGCTCCAATGCATCGAATGTTCCAGCCGGAGTAAGTGCTGCTTAACGATGAGAACAAAAGCCCCGCTGATAGCAGCAGATTTTGCTGTGATTGCTCATCCCGATGACCGAGGGGGGCGACGATCCCGGTTATGGCTCTCAACCGGAGCAAGATCCATCACGCAACGATAAAGTCAAAAAGCATATACGAACCTCATCCTTGTTACACAGTCCGTCATACACACTCTTCCGACCGATCAAGAGTCTTTCTAGACTGATAAAAGGCTGTGATGATGGGCGACGCCTCCTCGTCGTCCAAGGCATATTCGCCACCGGATACCGTGAAGCACATATCCGACGACAGCACCCAGCCGGTGCTCATAGACGAGGACAATGAAGAAATATATGGCCAAAACGATCCCGATTCCGTCCCCATAACCGACCTGGAAAGAAAGCTCCGGCTCAAAGTGGATCTACGACTGTGCACCATCGCTGGTATCCTCTGCTCGCTCAACCTCCTCGACAGTGGCATTATTTCCTCCGCCAGCGTCACCTCTATGCTCACCGACCTGGACCTCACCCTCGGCAACCGCTACAGCGTCAGCATCTTCATCTTCACAATCTCCTCCATAGTCTTCCAGCTGCCCAGCACCATCGCCGTGCGGACCTTCGGCCCGAGGATCTGGTTTGCGTTCATAACGTTTTGTTTCGGGCTCATCACCATGTGCACAGCGTTCATACATACCTGGAAGGAGATGATTGCGTTGAGGGTGTTGCTGGGCATGGCGATGAGTGGGATTTATCCTGGGTTGACATATCTGATCAGTACGTGGTATTTGAGGAGGGAGCAGCAGACGAGGTTTGCGTTTTTGCAGAGTGGGGAGGTCATTATTCTGGCTACCGGGGGGATTGTCAATTGGGGGTTAAATCACCTCGATGGGAAGGGCGGGTTGGAGGGGTGGAGGTATATGTTCCTTGTCCAAGGACTCATCGCCATGGTCCTTGGTGTGGTGACGTATTTCTGGATCGTGGATTTCCCTGACCAGGCGCACAAAAGTCTCTGGTTCCTGACCGAAGAGGAGCAAAAGTTGGCCGTGGCGAGGATCCAGAGAGATCGTAAGGACGTCCAGGTGGATCCCTTCTCTTGGGGTAAAGTCTTGCAGCACGCGAGTGATTGGAAGATCTACGCTTTTGCGTGCATGTTCTTCCTGCTCAATCTGGTCTCGACGTCGTTATCCTATTTCCTCCCGATCATCCTCCAATCTGGAATGGGCTTCGACGAGGACAAGAGTATCATCCTTGCCGCGCCGCCGTATTACTACGCCGTTATACCGGTCATCCTGTCCTCGATCGTCGGAGACAGATACAAGTTACGAGGACCCGTCATCATATTCAACTGCATCTGTTTGATCATCGGCTTCTGCATGTTGGGCTTTACAGAGCAGGTCACCGTTCGATATATTGGAACATACCTCGCAACTGGAGCCTACGTTTCGAACTGGGCGGCTATAACAACCTATCAAGCGAACAACATCACTGGACAATGGAAGAGGGCTTTCACGGCGGCTGCTGTCACTGCTATGAACGGTGCGGGAGGTATCGCTGGATCTTGTAAGTCTCGACCACACCCACGAGACTGTAGTACTGACATTCGTTCTAGTCATTGTCCGACAACAAGAAGCACCAAAGTACATGACAGCCGTATGGGTATCCATCGGCTCACACATCCTGCTCATAGGCTTTGTGCTGGCGTTCTCGGCGTATTTTTATGTTGCGAATAAGAGGCAGAGGGCTGGGAAGGTGATTCTGGAGAGGACGGAGGGGTTTAGGTTTACGTTTTAGGTTGGCGAATGAAAAGGTCGTTGCTTCTGATCTACTTTTGCAGTTCTGTATCGCATGGTTTCTGTACGTTGGCGTGCTCGTCTGATCTGAGTGGCTGCGTGCTCTTGTGATAGGGGTTGAAAGAGCAGGGAGGAGATGTTGGATGATTCGTTTGCTACTGACGAGTAGAAAGAGACGCAGTGAAGGATTAATTTTCCTTCTGAAGGTTGAAGCCTCATTCCTTGCAAGATCAACGATACAAGAGGCGGGTTTGGGATACGTAATGGCGCGACTCTCTCAAGGCGGCAGCCTACAGAAGCCGACCAAAATCGTCGGTCCACGACGGCCGCGCGGGCCGATCATGCAAATCGTTGGACGCTTGAGACAGGAAGGCCTGTGGAATATACGTTGGTACGAGGCTGACGGCCAATTCGAACGGCTGGAGCTGCACAAGACGAAGATCAACGGAACGACGCTGCTCGTGAAGAGCGGTACCGAGCATCATGAAGAGGACGAGGCGGCAAGCCAACATGTTAGCCAAGATGAGCCTCACCAATCTCCCGAACAACTTCCCCATCAACAGCCAGCCTTGTCTGTGCCTCCAAAGTCTCATGAAGACAGCTTGCGTGGAGAAAGCACTACAAATGAGCAAGACCTGAGAAAGAAGACACCACAAAAGGATCTGAATGTGCCTGGGGACACACCTGAATTAGCACAGCGGTTCCTAACGAGCGTAGAGGAAGTACGTACCGATTCCTCCCCATTGTCAAGACAGACTCTCGAGAACCAGGCGCCAGAGGAGGTGGACCAGCAGGAGGAAGAAGAGTACGTCGATACAGAGGCATCACAGGGGCAGAAACGAGCCGAGGTGGCGACACGGGACTCTCGTCCGCCCTTGTCGGAAGAGCAGATCCAAGAGATTGAGTGCAATATCGCTGCAGACAAGGCTGAGAGGGAGAGGCGGGAGCAAGCTGCTGCTGCTGCACGAGCGGCGAGAGATGGTCATGGTGTTGGGCCCGAGGAGTTGTGGGAGGATGATGTGGAGGAGGGGGAGGTGTTGGATGAAGACTGACGGGCATGTATTGATCTTGCGGGGAGGAACGCGGCAGAGATGAAGGTCAGTTAAAGGTGTTCATTGATCGACTTGTTAGCGGTATGGCAAAGGGCTTGCAGGACGTATCAATGCTGTCGATGGCATTCAGTGAGTAATCTCGATTCCCCAACCCCTAATTAGCACCTGTTCCACCATCAATCTCCATCACACCTGGGCTAATCGTGGAGAGCGTAAGCCAAGGCTTGTTTCAAAGAATGCAGTCCCAAGCAAGAAGCACAAAATGTTTGCTACACGTCGGTCCAGACAATGTTTTGGCTTTGACAGCGGTTGCATTGAGACGGATTGCCACTGAATAAAGAGGAGTAAGATATAATGGAGAGCATAGCAGGACGGAGCCTGAGGTCGGACTCTTCTCCTTCCTCAACTCATCCCGAAACACGAATTCCAGGCCATCACCATGCCACCAAAGAAGACAAATACTGCCAACGCAGCGCCGAGACTGGTGAGGCAGCCCAGGAAGAAGTCCACCGCAGTCGACCCTCCACATCAACCATCTCAGCCTGCCACCCTGCCTCAGCAAGAACAAGAGCAAGATTTCGCCGAGATGTCCAAAAAAGAAGGGAAGAAGCCTGTTCGAGACAAACCACCAACCCGTTCGACCGCTCGTCAAGCTCCGCCAGTTCCTGCCAATCAACCAAATCCACCAGCTCAGCCAGCTCATTCAACTCGTGGCAGAGACCAGCAGGCTCCTCCCCCAAACCCAGCGGACAAGCTCCAACGCATGCCACTCGTGAACATCCGAGGCAATCTCAAGCTCGATGGCGTCTGGAATTTGCGGTGCTACGAGTACAAGTACGTCACGGAGTGCCTGCAGTTGCATCGTTTCCCGACGGACTCCACGCCTGCCACCAAGGCAAGTCGGCCAGAGCATGATGCACAGAACGAGTCCAATCAGATTATCAAGAGAGGTGGAATTCTGACCACGAAGTCTACGGGTGGAGATTCAGGGGTAGGCAGCAGTGCTGGAGGCGCTCAGGATGTGAGCAATGCGCGGGACGCTCGTTCTGAACATGACGAGGTAGAAGTGCTGGGCGGATTTGATGATGGGCAGGAGATCGTCTCGGCTGAGGAGGATGTAGAGAGCCAGCCTGACGAACGAGTGGATGAGCCTGAGGATGAAGACGGCAACGAGTACGTTATAGAGACGGCTGGAATCAAGCCTGATCGTGGTCCAACTTCTGGAAGACCGCAGGCACCACCACCTGCAGTATCCCAAGAGAGCTCGAGCAGACAGGTTGAGAACGTAAGTATCGCAGATGGCGATGTTGGCGCTGTGGCGGATGACCAAGATCTTATCCCCAAGGTCGAAAACGAGTCTGAGGAAGGAGAGGTTGCCGACGACGGAGAGTCAATTGCTTCGGCCAAGACTGAGGCTGTTCAGCCTGCTACTCCAGATGAAGAAGAAGAGGATGCACTGAGTAGTCCAGAGGCCGTCAACTCACGATTGAGCCGCATCGATGAGGAGGATGAGGTCATGGAGGACGACGAGTCCGAGGGTGATGCTGTGTTGAAGCAGCCCAGCATTGAATCGATTCCTCCGCCATCCGAGCCTCAGAGACAGCCGAAGTCGTCGAGTCAGGCTGTTAACACCGGAAAAAAGAGAGATCCGGAGTTCAGCAATTTGCTCAATGGGGCCTTTGGTTCTAGGCATCCACTGAACAAAGCCAAAGCACCGCAGGGTGCTGCTACGCCAGATCAGGAGAGTCCCGAAGCAGACCCAGAGTCGACGGGTCGAAGAGCCACCAAGAGTAAGTTGACACCATGTTTTTAACACAATTGCTTTTCGATGCTAATCCTTTACCAGGTCGAACCAAGAGCCCAAGTCCCTCGAAGAGACGACGTTCCACCTTCGAGAGTGCGAAAACTCCGAGTGATGATGGCAGGGAAGGCTCTGAACCCTCGGGCGTGCACGCCAGTTTCGTCGGCAAACACATCGCCGCACAGTTGAATTTGCCAAAACTGCGTTGGACATCCGAGGAAATGGCGCCGGACACGACGGCTCGAGTCAAGACCGAGGGTGAGGAGGAAGGTGAGAGAAGTGCGGATGAGCCATTGGAGGAGTCTCCGAAGAAGAAGGCGAAGAAGTCAGAGGGGCCGACAGCCAGGGGTCGAGGAGGTCGAGGTGGACGAGGTGGACGGGGAGGGAAAGGAAAAGGTCGGGCAAAGTGAGGATGCTTTCATCGGTTCAAGTAGTCGTTGTCTTTCGTTTCGTTGAACCTGTTAGGGCGGCGGCTTGGCTGGTTATGATCCTGTCCAACGAGATATCCTCAGGGACGAGTGTTGTGATGAGATAGACGTATCGTGGCCAGGCGATATTGTAGGACACCCCCCCCCCCCCCCCCTCCTCTCTAGATGATCAGTATCAACAATATCCTTAATATCGAGAAAAGTTGACTTGCCTTCCAGCATGAGCGGTGCCCCGTGAGAGAGCTGCACATCTGTTGTTTGCTGATATACGCTGCATGGACAGGACGTCTGCAGACGAGACAATGCGTCAAAGACAAGGGCATCTCGCTCCAGGTGATTGCCCCTTTAACAACAAACAAAGGTGGATGAGAAGTATAACCACGGGCAACGCTCAACAGAGCCCCAGTTGAGGAATTCCGCCGATCCAAACCATTGCCCGTCCTTACTCTTCGCCATGGCAGCAAAGACAACCAAGGCACGAGACAAGCAGAGGGCCGCAGCAGGCCAGCCACCACCTCAACCAGATCATGCTGCTCGCTCGGCTCACCAAGCGCAGAGGAATCAGTCTCTCCGACTCGCGCAGCCACGGCAACCCTCTGGAACACCACAACAACAACTGCCGCTACTACCACCACCACAACGACCACCACCAGTCAGACACTCTCCTCACAAGCCCATGGTCAGAATCGATGGCCGTTTGCAGCTGGATGGAGCCTGGAACCTGCAGTGTTATGAGTTCAAGTACGTGACGGAGCACCTGCAGCTCCACAGATTTCCCATCGACCGTGACGAGAGACGCAAGGAGTCCGAGCCAGCTGAACAGTTCAAGGCTACACGAGTCAACATCAGCAATGGAGTTATCCCGAAGCCAGCGGCTGAGGTAAACACCGCGAGTGGTGAGAAACCCAAGGGCAAGGAGGTGTCTGGACTTGGCGCAGCTGGAGGCCGTAGTATTTCAGGGGGAGGTGAGGTCGGGAAGTCATCCCAACAGGCCACGAATGAGCCTCAGCTCAATACGATGGAGGAGATGTCGGCGAACACGAAAAGCCATCCTTCCACCGAGAATGTCATTGCTGCAGATCCAAAAGAGCCAGAGCAACGTCCTGCAACACCTCGAAGTGCTTCCTACGGTAACGCCAATGCAAAGACGACCAGCCAGGAAGCAGCAGCCAAAGATGTCCCTTTGACGGATGAGCCTGTGGTCAAGCGCAAGTCGATCCTGAACGACATCCTTGGTCCGCCGGGTCAGCTCGGCGGCATCACAGCGGCCAGGGACTCATCGATGAGAGCCGGGCTCAAGTTCTCTGTCAGTGGTCTACGAGCGTCCTCAAGCGCAGTTGCCGACACGAAAGGTATGTTCCCATTCGGTCCCGATGCGTAGACTGTACTGACATGGTTCGAAGTTCGTGCAGGCTCGGAGGCACCGTCCTGGCCACCAACAAGCCAACAGCCACGGAACCAGCCAGACGTTGATTACGACGAGAGTTCTGAAGGGAGTTCTCTTGAAGGTTCTGAAGAAGAGGACGAGGAGGGATTCAATCGGGAACTCGACAACGACTTCGAAAAGCGCCGTAGTAAGATGTTGTCCATCGCAGATATGGCGAATCGTGAGGAGGAGACTCCGACCCGACCCAAGCGTATGTTTCTCCTTGCCCCTTTTCTCCTCCTCCCCAAGTAGACTTGCATGCTGACAGTCATCAAACAGAACCCCAAAATCACAAAACGTCTCCAAAGCGGAAGCTGTCCAGTGTCAGTTCGGATGCCAGCGACTACTACAACCGATTCCCAGACAGCGACGATCCTGGGGAATCCGCCGTTGCAGAAGACCATGGCAAAGACAAGCAGCGTCGCCCAAGCTTCAACGAACAGGTCTTCGACGAGTCTTCGCCATCAAAACGTCGACGCACTTCTTCGCCCGTTCCGCCAGAGAGGACGACGGTGCGAGTCAAGAAGGAGATGGTGGAGGGTGCTGAGATGGACGTGGGAAAGGCAATGCAAGGGACGTCGAAGAAGGGCAAGAAGACGGGAGGACTGGCCGCGGGAGGACGAGGACGGGGTGGCAAAGGTAAAGGTCGGCTTGAGTGAGCGCGGATTTCCTGCGTTCGGAGAGACAAGGTGTTCTGTTAGATGTGTGCAGAGTTATGAGGTCGACCCGTCCTCTGGTCATCATGTTCCATGTCGAGTCTTCTTGGCATCAAGCGATAGATAGATGGATGTCCTGCAAATGATAGATTTCCTGTGAGACGCTCCCTTCCCGTCTGGTCAGCAATCTCAACCATCCCCACAGCGAAGGATATCGACTTGCCTCCCTGTCCTAATCGTCTTCCTTGCCTTCACGCGTGTCTTGTCGTCGGCCAGAGCGGTCCATGTTTGCTTCGAGCCTGTAAGTTTCATTCAGTGCACGTTTGTATGAAAGACCGCGCAGTGCTAGACGCTTCGCGCGTCGACAAACTGCATGATCAGAGACAATTCGTCCTTGTCTTGACATGCCCACGGTGCTTTGTTGCACCTCTTCAGCATGAGATTTATACCTATCGCTGCCGTCTTCTCTTGCTTGGATCATCAAACTTTCCAGTCGAAACCCCCACGCAAGCGTACGACAATGTCCGTCAACCTCTCCGGTGAAGTTCAACTCAATGCCGATGCCACTTCAGCTACAGGCCACTTTCACAAAGTCGACGTGCTGGGCAGCGTTGGCTTCGATGGCGAATGGGTCCTGTGCAAGTTCGCTTGCGATGGCACTGGCGACACGATCAATCTGGAGCGGCGTCTTGATGGCGTGGCACCGATTGCAGAGAAGCCTGAAGCAGAAGAAGACACGGCCGATGAGGAAGTCGAGCAGTACCCCCATCACGTCGTTCTGCCAGAAGACCAAATTCCCATGACAAAGGAGCAAGAATACAAGGAACTCATCGAACAGGCCACCAAGGGCAAGTCTCGTCCTCGCAGGGGCCAGAGTAGACAGGACTCGCACATCAATCTCGCCGGCGAATCCAATCTAGCCACAACAGCAGACGCGGCAGCTTCCAGCAAGGCCACCAAGAAGAGGAACCGACAGCCGTCCACGGCTGATCCCAAGCCGAAAGCCGATACGACCCTCGACGACGATGACGGCGAAGACGCACCACATGAAGACCAGCCACCAGTCTCTAAGAAGGGGCGGACCAACAGCCGTCCGAAGGCCACGGCTTCGGCTGCTCCGGCCAAGGTCAAGACGAAGAAGGCATCCTCGGTCCCAAATCAAAATCCGCCAAAGATTGGTAAAACGTTCCCAAACCTCTCGCCAAGAAAAGTGTACGCTGACCGGATGTGAAAAGACGAAGCCGAGCAAGACGAGAGCGAGGACGAAGATGGCAGCGAGGATGACAGCGAGGATGACAGCGAGGAGGCTGAAGAGCAGCAAGAGCCGCAGACTGTCCCCAAGGGACAGAAGAAGGTTGGTCGACATCGTTCGTATTCCGTGGGCGTTGCTAACAGTGCCCAAAACCAGAGGAAAAAGTCGGCAGCATGGCCTGCGAAGGACAAGAATATGCCCCGGAATCGGAACAAGAAGTGACAGAACTGGCGGAACTGGACCTGGGTTTCTGTGCTGTGGGAAAGATGTTCGCATGGGAGTTTTCATTAGTCGTGGATCGTTGTTTGAGCAGGATGTAGATTGTCCTGAGGCTGTGCTGGATACTCAGGACGTCCAATCGTGCCCTGTCATGCCTTGCACTGAACTGTCATCATGTTTGTTAGCAGAAGGATCAGATTGTGGTGTGCTGAAATGAAATGCAAGGTCTGCTGCGTCTCTTCACGTCCCATGCTCGGAGACTTCACCTTGTGCCGAATGACTTTCGTACAGGATAGTGATTTCGGAGTTTGTCTATACCGTCTCATGCTATTCCGTTCTGCCCTTTCTGAAAACGAAAAGGTCGGCTATTAGGCATATGTACAAAGCTGGGGTGATAGGAAGCGTCATTTCGCGATTCGAGGCTCCATAGAATACACATGCGCCTCTTCCGACAGAGGTATCAGAGCTGGTCTAATGTCATCGATTGAGTATGCCCTTTCACCGTTCAAGGTCTGAGCACACGGAGGCCGTCTCGGGAGGGCGCGGTTGCGCGCTTGAAGCTCTGGAAGACGTATTAGCACACATGCCCAGATATCCATGTTCGCAGCTCTTTGGTGTTGTACGTACGCTATCACATTCTTCCCAAGCTCTTCCAGCACCAAATCCAAGACCTGCCCAGACTGGCCACGATCTCCGCTTGAACAGGAGGACGGAGAAGATGACGCCAAAAGATGCACCGAGCGTGCTTCGAATGAGGAGGGTGCTGAGGCAGTGGTCCCACTGGTGCATACAATGTCAGATCAAGTTCTCCAAGTTTCATAGATTATCCACCCGCGAGGGATTGCAATAGCCTCACCTTCTCGTTCAACAATGCCTCGCTCAATGGCCGGTTGGGGCGGGTTGGCGGAGGCACGGCGGGTGCGGTCGAAGTGTTCTTGTCGGCCATTGCGGTTTGTGGATAGGTTCGCGCCTCAATTGGCCTGTTCGGAGATGTTTGTGAGGCGTGGTCGTAGAGCGAGGTGGTCGGGTCAAGCTCCTGTGGTTGTTGGAAGTGCTTGTTGCTGCTGGGCCAGGGACGAGTGAAGTTGAGCGAAGACCGCTGGGCGGTCCAAGCTTCGCTTTCTCAAAAAAGTCAAGACGACATCTGAATTGGATATTCCATTACAGCCCGACAACAACACACGAACACACCATGGGAGGCATTTCAGTGCCTGAGCGGTCCTCGCTGGATCGCCTCAAGGCGCTGGACAGCCTTCCCAGCCTCGAGGCGCAACTACAGGAGGCCAATTCTCTTTGCGATCACAGTTCACGTGCCGAGATGATATTGAGATGGCTGCTGGGGAAGTTGAAAGCATCAGATGAGGCAAGGAACGGAAGCGCCACCTGGGAATTGCTGTCTTCTTGCATCCGGATCATCTCGACTTCGCGAATCGCTTCTCTGCTAGGATCGAATGGATTCATCGATGCATTGCAAACGATATGTTCGGGGACAGATCTATCAACGGAGTTGATGCATGCCATTGCCGGCAATTTGGATCTACTTCTTGAGCTCTGCGAGAGCGATTCTGGAACCGCCATCAAGTCACTCTTCAGCATCGAGAGCTCGGTTGCGGCGCCTATCTGTGGCAATTGGTTTCGACTTGTGTACGAATCTTCCCACGGAGATGAAGGATCGAACTCGATTACAACGTATGCTTTGTTGGAGCCAGCATTGAAGATCTGGTCACTCCGGAAGAGAACAGGCTCTGATGATGAGCTGTTCAGTGCGAACTGTATCGTCCCTGCTCTGCTATTGCTGCGGCAAATCTCAGACTCAAGGCGCTCGGAGTCCCACAAGCGAAAGCGTGGTTCAATCGATGTGTTTGATGCTCGAGCAGCTGGCAATGCTATTGAGGCTATGACAGCCAAGCATGTCATCTTGCCTGCCAGAGCCGTGTTCTTCAAGGATCGCGAGGGTCGCTCAACCAAGTCACGACAGCGTTCTACGGAAACCAACCAACCGGAGATTAAGGAGCGTCTGGGACCTCTCAAGATGGCCGTCCTGAGGGAGGACAGTCAGCAGATCGCCAAAACGATCCCCTTACTGCTCGATATTGCTCTACGTTCAGTTGCAACGCCAACACCCAAGCATCGCTTTAACGAAAGACCGTGGCTCGAGACGCTACTCGACTCCCTCCGGAATTACTTTTCTACTAAGGACCGGAGTCTTCGCAATCAGGTCCTCGCAGAAATGCTGGATGTGATACACCGAGAAGGCCACCAAGTCGCTCTTCGAACACTTTCCACGGTGGTGAAGGATGATGCCTTTTCAAGCGACAATTCGACTGACGTTGATTGGAATTTGATCGCCAAAGTCGCAAGGCTCGATGCGAACGTTTTCGGTGACAAGATACTCCTGGAGACACTATTCAATGCGATAACGTTACATCATCCTTCCTCTGAAGAACATCAGCTGCTGACAGGAGAGATTGCAATCCCTGTGATGAAGGCTCACGCGAAGAGCAGAACTTTGACCTCGTTCATCGACTGCTGGAGTGAGCAACTATCACGGCCCCAAGGACAATCTGCAGTGTCAGTCTGGACAGATTTAGCCACTCCATTCTCACAGATCTGCGAGGAAGCAATGACCTCGGAGCAGATAGTGTTTCTTTTCGACAAGCTGGCATCAGGTGTCAACAGCACACCAGATTCATTGAAGCTGTCGGACGACCCGTCCTCATCCGGGCAACTTCGCGCAGGCTTCACTGTCCTAGATGGACTTCTATCAGGCATTCGAAACGAGAACACGATTGTTAAACTGCAAGGTGGCCTTGACAGGCTACAATGTAGCTTACAGACCCTGGCATACAATAAGACTACGAAGATCACCAAAATGCTACCTTTTGAGCTCTGGACATTACTCGCCCGTGTCTTCAACTTGTGGTATCCGTCATGGGCTGTCCAGCAAAAAAATCGAGACAACATCATCGATTCTGGCCTGAACGACAATCTCCGAGGCGTCTTTAAGTCTGCCTTAGGTCAATGTGCCCCCAAACAGGATTCTCAAGACGCAGTTCGCATTGCACAAGCCGCTCAAACGTATGTCGCCACTATCTGCACCTCCTTTGGAAGGTATAGTGAGTCTAAGGACTGCCAAAAGGTGCGCATAGAGGCCGTTGAGCGTCTCAGTCAAGAAAAGGGTGCCGCTCTTCCCGTTCTCCTCAGATTCCCCAGCTTACTCGCATATTGCACGCCAGATGCCAGAAAAAGTCTTGTGTCTCACTTGTTGGCTGAAGCAAGTGAAGCGGAAGCTCTAGGACAGGAACGTCAAGAATTGTCCGTTCTACGACTGCGGGCTTTGGTCTCTACTGCCTCGAATTTGCCCGAGCGACCTGTACTTGATGACTGTATCGCTCCTCTCCTCGACTGTCTTCGAGGGAAGGATGCCAGCCAACCTACGTCGGAGCTCGAACTTGTGGTCTTGTCAACATTCGCAGCCGCCGATCTGGCCACGTTTGATCAGGAGCAACGAGTGGAGATTTTAGATGCTCTTCTACAACTCCAACCACCTCCGTCGACTCAGTCTGGATCAGTTCAGCTTCAGCAGCGCCTGGCCTTGATGGTTGGCCTTTTGCGCTATCCTTGCCGTGGGGCTCGTTTGCTGGCGGACGCTGAGGGCGTGTGGGATATTGTAAGCTGGTTCAGTGACAGCCGCATAGGCAAAAAGTCCGCTTCGAAACCTGCCCACCCTCTCGACTCGTTGAAGAACTTGGAGATCTTCGACGAGTTGGTCAGATGTCTCGTCGGATCCTTGATGGCCACACGAAACCAGAAGTCCACGCGCGAGATTCTGGTGAAGCACTCTGAGCAGACCAAGAAGAGAATTGAGCAAGTACGCACTGGCAAGGAGCTTACGCCAGCCACTCGAACGGCTTCAATCGTCCTCTTCAAGAATGTCTTTGGGGCAGTGGGGCAAGGTGACTCAGATACAACGGGAATCATTCAAGATTCAGACGCCACCGCCCTCTACCTCAGTGCTATTGCAGCCGAGTTCAAGTCGCTGATCTCCACATCAGGATCTTGCTTCTCTATCTGGACAGAGGGCGGCAAGTCGGGGCCTCTCTTGTGGATATTTGACGCTTTGGTCATGATACCCGATGCACTCAGACCTTCACCGTCACGTATGGAGCTTGCCGATATGGTGAAGTCGTTAGCGTACACCGTACTGGATTTCGAGGATGAAGGTCTGCCAGGAAAAGGTTTCCCCGAATTGTCCAGGATCAAGGTAGCCAGCTTTCAGGTTGCTTGCAAGTTCGATCCCACTGCTGGGAGAAGATTGCTCCCTCTCGCACAGAAGCTGCTTCAGCGAGATCTTTCGGCGAGAGAGTATGTGACCGTGCTTTCAACCTTTGAGGACGCTTTCGAAGCCGACGATGACGAATGGACTGGTGCATTGCAGCAGATGATGCTTGACGAAAGCCCTCAGACTCCGGCTTCTCTCATTCTTCAGCAGAAAGCCATCAAGAACTTGAGTCACGAGGATCTTGAAGGATCGCAGGATGGCACGGGACATTTGAGAGGCACCGAGTCCTTCACGGCATACCAGATCTTTGATCGGACTCTGGCTGAGGCTGCCAACAACACAACCCTTCAAGCGAGGAGAATCGCCCTCCAAACCCTCGCCATCATCTTCAAGGACAAGTCCTTCATGGTCAACCAATACGGCATCGAACAAACCCTCTCGACCCTCCACAACCTCCTCAAGACCTACAAACACGCCTCAACGCTCTACCCCGACATCTGCAACGTCCTCTCCACCCTCTTCGCATCCCACCGCTCCCGCCTCCAAGGCCGCTTCCACCTCCTCGTCGCCCTCTTCCAAGCCCTCCTAACCCAACTCTTCACCGCCACCACCCCCTCCAACCCCACCACCCCCATCCACCACGCCAAACTCCTCGCCCGCCTCCTCGAATCCTTCTCCAACCCGCAAATCCGACCAACCTCCAAAACCCCCCATTCCTCATCCCTCATCGACTCCACCCGCAAAGCGCAATCCCGCGCCGGCCAATACGCGCCCTACATCCTGCACCACTACTGCGCGCAGCTGCTCGCCGGTTCAGGCCCAGAAGGCGTCCGGGAGGCGTTAAAACCGGGGCTGTGGACGGTGATCGAGGCGATGGAGAGGTATCATTCTGAAGGGGTGAGGGTGTTGAGTGCGGCGATGAATGCTAGTGAGAGGGCGGTGTTGAGGGGGGTTTATGAGGAGTGGAGGAGGTTTGGGAGGTGGGAGGGGTTGTAGATGTGTGTGAAGGGTGGGTGGTGGGTTTGGATGATGGGGAGTGGGATGTGTGTAGGCTGTTGAGCGATTTGGTTGTACTACTGTGGGGGTTTTTCTCTGTGATAGAGCCGTGCAGTGTGGAGAGCAGACGGAGAGACTGTGGTTGGTCTTTGCACGACGATGATAGTGGTGCGTCGAGGCCCTGCATTCTGCACACCCGCACATCTTCACATGCACATACACCCTCTACAGCTCCAGTCTCAACCAAAGATCAAGCCCGAACGCCAGGGAACTTCAATCCCAACTCGTAAAGCGGTACCGTGACACAACAGTAGAACCTTCTTTCCAATTTCGTCCCACGAGCCCGTCTCCGCGAGTCTGTACTCCCCCCTCACATGTCAAAAAAATCCAGAAAGAAGCTCGCCTGGACTGGCTGGTAGCGAATAGTGGAGGAGGTAATCTTTAATTGTACATATATAACTCACACAGCTCCCGCGTCATGCAATGCCGCTTTGCACATGTTATATACGTATTCACACTGTCTAAAACGATTCGAGCATACCGCGTATCAGCCTGGACTGCTGACTGCGGCAAATCGCGGTTCTGCAAAAGTCCTTCGTTGGCATCGGTAACTCTCGCTCGCTGAGTCCTTTCGTCGCTGTGCGGTACTGATTGCGAATAGCAGAGCCTCTTGGCGAAGATTCAAACCCTCCCACGTCCACACCATATCCAAGACAAAGAAAGCCATATCCCTCATGTGCGAATTCGTCACCGGCACCCTCCACGCGTGCGGGCACCCACGCACCCGCACCCTCGTCGAGAAATGCCAAGCAGCGACGCGAACTCCGACTCCATGCCCGCGGCCTTTACCAATCAAGATGAAATCATATTGCCACGAGTGTGGTGGACCTGGAGCAAAATCGGCGAGCATGGGCAAACGACCGGAGTGGTGGCCTGCATCGATCCCATGGGGTCGACCAAAGAGTCGTGGCAGCAGCTCGGGATCAACATCTGAGGTCGAGGAACAGGGCAAGCGTGAGAAGTCGTGAATTCTCGGAGGGGCTGGCGTTGAAAAGTTGGTGGTCATGTACAGGCGTTGATGGGTGCGGACTTGACTCTCGGTTGTACAGGCGTCGGTGGATGTGGGATTCGGATTCGGCTGTACTGTATGGGATAGCGAAAAGCCTTGCGGGTAATTTGTAATCGATAGCCATGAGTGATTGCAATCGAGGACGAATCTTCAACGCCACTGAGGTCGTCATCATTTGGCATAGTCCTTTCCTCAATCCACGAGGTCGTTTCGGGCTGTCAGACGCCGGACAGGGGGATTTGTCCCGTCCACAATGCCATTCGCAATCTGCCACGGAATCGCGTGACATCGGCCGAGTAAACATCGAGATGTGGCGTCGTAAGATACAGTTCGCAGAGTCATCAAGTTCAGCCAGTCAACTCTGCGGCGGCGAAGTAGCCCTTGTTTTCGATGACACCTCTGTTGCGAACGACGGCCGTATACTTGACGACCCACTGAGGCTGGACATTACCCTCGAGACAGTCATTGCAACGTCCGTTAGTCTGCTCTTCCCCGTGCAAGCTCTTTCGCTTATCGCCTGCCTTGCTTGGCTCTGCAAGGACACCAGCTCCGTCAGGACCTTGGCCAAGCAGTTCGCGAACTGTGCCGCGTGGGAGAATGTTGGAGCAATCGTTGTGGACGAGCAATTCGACCTTCTTACTCTTAGCAAGGGCCATGAGGTCTTTGGGCACAGAGCAGCAATCGCGAAGGTTGATCTGATCGACGGCTGGTGGGATTCTGGCTTTCTCAAGCAGCGATTCCAACCTTTCCTCTCCAAATTCTGCGATTCCAAGCTTCAACACAACGCCCTCGTCGCGAAGTTGCTCTATTGTACTCCATGCCTGCAGTTGGCTTTCAAGCGGTTCAGGATCAGCTTCTACTGGTCCGCGAGTGGAGAGTTTGTCGGGACAAGCCTCTTGCTCGTCGAAGTAGATTCCGGGAAACGACACAATCAGAAGATCGATCGATGGTATGTGCAACTCTTTCAATACAAGCTCAATCGCTTCTCGTGTTTGGGTGGCTCGTTTCTCGATCGATGCGCCTGGCAGGTAGAAGAGCTTTACAGTGATATCGTACTGTTCGCGTTCTTCTTGTAGTGCCGTGTTGGTGAAGTCTAGACTTGGTATTTCCAATGTATCGTCTGTTTTCCTCGTCCATGTCTTGTAAGACGGCTTCTTGACCTTTCCATCGCCATTGACGTGGATGTCTTCAACGCCCGAATGGTCCGCGAAGTTGGCCCGGAGAGAAGATATAAACTCGGCGTTCGATTTGGATTTGGGAGAGAGCCGGAGCAAAGAGCCTGCGCCCACGATATTACTTCAATCGTCAGCACAGCCACTTGATTGTTGGAGTGGGGAGACCAACGAGGTGGAAAGAAGAAGCTTCATTGTGATTAGAAATTCGAGGTAGGAAGCCGATCTGAAACAGATCCGGCTGGCGGAGAGAAAGGACAGCCAATGTTACGACTGGCAGCAAGGGAAGGTGGCGAGGCGCATGTGAAAGAGAGTGGGCACAGACTGTCGAGGAAGAGGAACAGCACATGCATTTAAAGAGGCTGTCATTGTGATGTTGTAAGGGCTGTTCGGGCGGTCATTGCCGCTCTTTGCTTTGCTTCCGGCGTGGGGCTCTCCGCTGGCACTTCGGCGCGCAACCACCCACCCACTTCGACGACTTCTTTTTCGCCCAGACCACCGCAAGTGTGCTCCCTCCCCCATGGCCATCCGGTACGTCGTCGACGTCCTGCTAGAGCCACGGGCTATGACTGACGCCGCTCGAGGTATCTGATCCTGCTGTCGCGGCAGGGCAAGGTCGTAGGTCTGCCCGTCCCCCTTCCTCACCCGACAGTCTGCTAAGACGCCCTCCCTCCGCCAGCGCCTCGCGAAATGGTTCACCACGCTCTCGCCCAAGGATAAGGCCAAGATCATCAAGGACGTTTCGCAGCTGGTCCTGGCGCGCCGCACGCGCATGTGCAACTTCCTCGAGTACAAAGGTATGCCGCTGGTCACCCTCCCTTCAATCCTCCCCGTCCGCGGCGGCTTAAGAAGACCACAAACCGTAATCCCACTTCATTTCCTCGCCTGACCTGACATCTTCATCCTCAGACACCAAAGTCGTGTACCGTCGATATGCCTCGCTCTTCTTCATCGCCGCCACCGATCCCACGGACAACGAGCTCATCACCCTCGAGATCGTCCACCGCTACGTAGAACAGATGGACAAGTACTACGGCAACGTCTGTGAGCTGGACATCATCTTCAACTTCCAGAAGGCCTACTTCATCCTCGACGAGCTGCTGCTCGCCGGCGAGATGCAAGAAAGCAGCAAGAAGAATGTGCTCCGCGTCATTGGCGCACAGGATAGTCTCGAGGATATGGAGGTGAGTAACACTGCGGCTGTGCGGGCCACGTCTGTCTCCTCTCCTCTCTGCTCTCACATGATGACCGTCATCTTGTATCACCACCCGCTGATGCCTTGGCTCATTAGGTCGAGGACGATGCTGTCACAAAGATTGGCTGAATCGAGTTGCATTATACATGACCTGAATCTTCTCCCTTTACATATCTTCAGCCAGCTGGGCTAACACGACTGGCACATACAGACAAATGCAGAGATGAGCAGAGAACTCGAAAAGTCACTGCAAGATGCTGGTCTTATGTAGCTGCCTAGTACCCTTTCAAAGATTTTTGTCTTGGAAGCGGGAAGAGTACGCTTCCAATGCATGGCGTTTGTGGCGTCTATTGGAGTTACAAGATACCCATGGCTTGATGGCTGTTGTTTTTGAAGCCCGCCAGTTGTAGGTATAGCATCGCGCGTCCTGGGCACTGAACCCAGCAATGAAATGGATCAAACAAGAACTCTATGCCTCCTGTCCCTCAAGACCGATACATGAGCATGGCTCGATACTGACCACAGCAAACTGGATTGCAACCACATTCAAACATCACCAAGGTAGGTACATCATCCCTCCTCATCCCACCAGAATGCTTGCTGAACGTGATTTGGAAAGCCTTGAGCATCCCAGAGGGTACGTCCTAGCTCTGAGCAACAGCAACGTCTCGATGTACCACGAGGATGGCGGGTGTGTACGGCCTACATCCAACAATGCGTTGTCTTGCAAGCTGGAGAGTGCACGAGAGTTCACATCGTTGCCTGATTGGCGCTTCGAAGCTTGCAACTCCTCATCACGTGATGATTCGTACCCCGATGCCCCGGCCAAGGAGCTGACAACATCCCGCTTGCTGGCTCGACCTCGCGGCGTCGCAACCTCCACTCGCGCGCCCTCGTCATCCCCTCGACAACAAACACCACCACCCCGCCACGACATGTCACCCACGAGCGTATCCGACGCCTGCTAGACGCACAGCGTCTAGTATCTAGTCTCGCGCAGACCCGGCACCCGTTGGAGGGGTGTGTTATCAGGCATATCTCAACGACTCCGAGCGACCCAACCGCACCGAATCAGCGCCGTGGCAGCTGCGGCCTGCCTGCAACTCATCACCGACTCGATTCTCGACATTTTCGAGTACCACGAGCTGTTGCGCCGGAAGACCGGGAAGCATCAAGACACGTTTGGCAGAGCCCGGCCGATGGGCTTACACTCGCGAAGATGAAGGTGCGTAGAGACACAAGCACCATCGCTGGTGCGCAGGCAGAGATATTGAACATACGCAGACTCGATGAGAAGTGTTCGAGAGTCTGGCGACTTCCGTACTTGATATGGTCGCATTCCGCGCCTCAAGTGCTCTGCCCGCGCATCGGTGGTGGTTGGCTGACTCATCGGCGGAATTGAACCTCAACTGACAGCTCGTAGTACCTACCACTCCGCGATATCGATATCGTCACGAATGCGCTGAACTTCTCGACCGCCGACTCCCACGTCATCGGAGGATGTGATATCTACACCACGAAAGCCGCAGGAGGCGACAAGAAGCTGTATAAGAACATTGAGCACAGCCTCGAATCGCAGTATGAATCTCTTGTAAGGCTTTCGGCGTCCCTAAGTCCACCATACCGGACAGCTAGTGATGATGGAAATGGCAGCGAGAGGAATGGACGTAGCAGACGAGGACACACGGTTGATCCGATACACGAGATCGACCTTTCGCGTGCTTCGCCTTTCGGACCGCTGAGCCAAATTACCGCGCGTCGGACCTTTGCGTATCTGATCGCAACGCTCAATGCGTCACACCCAGACTACGACTTCTCGCACATTCTGCGACCGTCAGACTTTCGCAAAGAGCGGAGTCTCCGGACCGTCATGCATACCATCGACTCCACGCTCCAGAGCTTACGACCGAGGCAGACCGCGGCGTTGAACTACTTGTCCCCGCCGTCATTGTCCGGATCTGCGCCCTCTGGACATGGATTGATGAATGAGATCTGGAGCCAGAACATGTGGAAGCTCATCGACAAGGAGATGAATCTACGCCAGTGCGAGAAATACTCGTATGTCCCAGAGGACGACCCATTCGACGGAGAGGAAGGCGCGATCTGGAGCATGCACTATTTCTTCTTCAACAAGGAAAAGCGTCGCGTCTGCTACCTCTACCTGCGCGGGTTCAGCGTGTTATCCCATAGTCCGGTGAATGCGCCAACCCGCCCAAAGCCGGTGCAGCGCAAGATCTCGAGTCTCTCCGCGAATGAAGGTGCTGGAAAGCGAGCTTCGTTCTGGCTCAGCAACGACATGCTCCAGAGGAGCGTGGACACCATGGGCTACGGCGAAGACGATGACGACGAGATGATCATCCCCGAGCCCGGCGATGACGAAGTCGAAGTACCCTTCATGCACCTGGACGACATCCGCAGCGATCTGCTGGAAGGCAGATACAACTACTCGATATCTGAGGATGACGAGTACGGAGTCGAAGAGTCATGGAAGGCTTCGCAACACGTCCGCGGCTTGAGCGAGGAGATTGGAGCTCAGATGGAGCTTGATGATTGAAGTGCCTGATGTTGATGACGGCAAACCTCACGGTCTGGAGTTTTTCAGTTGACTGCATTATGGGTGGTTGCGGCGTTCAGGGGATGATCATTGCCACTGTACTTGACTCTCTTATGGGATGGACGCCTGAGCAGTTGGTGGCGCTTCTGGTCGGCGAGGAGTAGGGATGGGTTTGCTATGATACCTCTTATGCGTGCTCTGAAGGTCTCCTACTTTAGCGTGAAATCGAATTACTTGAACTTTGAAAATTGTGCTCTTCCTCTTCTCTGTATGTCATCGGCACTGTGAGAGACTGTTGCTCTGTGATGTGATATCGAACTACCGAACTACTCTACATCGCTCAAAAGGGGTATCATGTTGTAGCCAGCCCATACCTACACGCCTTCCGATAAACACATCATGATCAATCTTTCCAAAAAAAATCAACTCCACCGCAAACTATCATTCACACCTTCACTCACTCTTTAACTCAAGCCTTCGTAAACGGCTCCGCATTCGTCTCCTTATTCATCCGATCCCACTCCGCCTTCGCCGCCCACTCCGGCACCTTCCACACCTGATACTCCGCCTCCACCTCCCCCTTCACCACCTCCACGGGCCAAAACACCTCCCACCCAACTGCCTCGCGCTCCCCTTTCCCCGCGCTCTCCTTCGCCTTCGTCAGCGCATCCTCCAACCAATCATCCCAGACTTTCGTCTGCGGCGCCGCACCGCCCGGTCGCACCCACTGGATCGACTGCGTGAGGAGTATGGCTTTCCACAGGGCTTCGGTGAAGTTTGCGTTTTCCGGGCCGGTCGAGAGGCCCTGTTCGCGGACGTCGTAGCAGGACAGGTCCCAGTGGGTGTTTTGCGGGAGGGCGGCGGCGATCCAGTGGGCGATGTTGGTGATTATGTAGGCGCCCGCCCAGGCGACTTGGAGGTAGAGTTTGGCGTTGGCGAGGGCGACGATGCCGAGCATGAGCATGAGGGTGCCGATTAGGGAGAGGAGGCGGTAGGTTACGGGGGATTTGATGGCGTAGTCGATTTCTTCTGGGGCGAAGTAGAGTTCGCGGGCGACATGTTCGTTGCATTTGACGACGAGGAAACTGCCGTTGGGGTAGCGGATGACCACATCACCCTTGGGGATTTCGCGTTTGCCTTTGGGGGGTTGGGGGAGTTCGAGGGTCCATTTGTTGCAGATGCCTACGAGCGTGGAGAGGCCGGCTAGGAGGATTGTGGCGATGAGGGACATGCCGTCGCCGAAGACAATGGAGGCTATGAGGAGTGTGAGGGCCTCCATGAAACCGATCAGTGTTACCCAGGTGAGGGGTCCAGTGGCTCTGGCTCGGACGAGGGATGGCGATGGATTGTCCGATTTGTTGGTTCCTGTTCGTTTGGGCTGCCCACGGAAGACGAAGTCGGTCCATGTTTGTTCGCCGCCTTCTTCCTATAATATCGATCAGCCTGGCTACCTCAAGGCCGTGGAATTCTCTAGTCTTGCCTCTCTGACTTCCACGCAACGGACAGTGAATGGTTTCATGGGCTTGCCACTGTAATTGATCGTTAGCCAAAGTCATTCGCCTGTAGACACGTCAAGGACTCACAGAAGGATGTTAGCCACATGGTGTACATGGTCCTTGACGTTCCCACTGACGACCCCAGTCACCTTGCCATCACTATGCGGCAGCGAAGTAGGCCTGGCAGTTCGAATGAGTGCCTGAGGTGCAGGCAGAATACGAGGGAGGTAAAAGAGTCTCGAGAGAGCAGCAACCTGAGCATTCGCTAGCACCGCCGACTCCCCCAGCACGGCGAGGAACCCAACAATGTCGAGCTGGAAGTTCTCAACTCCGTTCCACCACCAGACGCTCCAGTTCTCCTGGTCAGGAAACGCCACGGTGATGTTATTGTTGCCGGACATGGCTGCTAGGGTAGGATCGTGCTGTGCTGAAGTTTAATCGAAGCGATGAGTCTAGCGTACGACGAGTGAATAATGATGACACGAAGGGAGCGAGGATGAGGCCAACGAAGGAATCATATACTTCGGCCTCTCGAGAACAAGGCAAATGGCAGCTGATGTCTCGTCAGAAGGCGACGAGTTGCGAGACAAGGCTGGCGCTTGAGACGGTGGGTTCCAAGCCTTCCCCGCTGCTTTCTGCAGGCGGCTTTCGAAGGGGCATGCTGAGGCCGCCTATCGATGCATGAAGGCGTCTATGTTCAAGACCTGTCCACTGCGATCAGTCGATGAGTATGCATGTCGAAGAACGGTCTTGTTGATGATGGAGCAGAAACCGAGACATTTACGCGAGCTGAAGTTGGTTCCCTCTGTTGCTGGCTGGGCCTTGGGCACGGTGGGGCGCGTTCGCGTCGCAATCAAACACTTCACCTCTTCACCTTCGCGACTACGATAAACTCTTCAATCTTGCATGCCGCCATCTCCATGTTCAATCGTCGAGATAGAATGTGTTGAAGAAGCACCTTGAAGCAGAGGCCGCCCATAACTCGACCTTGCCTTCGGTTGCACAGCTTCGCGTGACTCCGAAACGAGGCGCAGCACGAGTGCTACTGCGGTCTGACCTGTTCAGTATTCGCTCCAAGCACCCGAGAGCGTCTTGACCATTCGGGCCCACCGTGGCAGAGTGTCAAAGCATCAGTCAGAACTCAGAAGCTTGAATCACGACAAAAGTCCCACTCGGCAGTCACAATCCTTGTGGTCACGAGCGCCACTGCACTGCCGACATTGGACTCAACAGACGGCGTCCAGTTCAGAGCGCCTGAGATTTCGGTGTACGCCAGCGCGTATATAGGCTCATCTGAGAAAAGGCACTGGCAAGTGACTCCGGTTTGTTTGTTGTCCTCGAGTTCATAACTTCAATTGTTTGCTCACGATGCCCGGTGATAGACTATATCTCTCTAATAATGTGCCCGACGCGACACTTCAACAACAACACACGCAGAGACTCGACACCGCCAAGATACCAGACATGCGTGGTCTCGACTCGCTGAAAGACAAGGTACGAGGTAGCGATGAGTTCTTTGTTCAATTTCGCCGCAACCGGCTACCATTGTCGCGGCATAAGAACACGAGCTGTCTTCGCGGAGGACCTTTTAGCCTCGAGACATCTGACATTCTGTAGTTTAAGCAGCTGAAAACGCCTAAGGAATCAGCCAGTACTGTCAATGGTACTTCGAGTGATCAAAATTCGCCACCTGGAGATCAAACCGCCACGATCAACACCAACCTCAGCCAGCCAAATATGGCATCCATTGCACTCGACGATGGCACTTCAAGTCTCGAAACATATCAACTTGACAGGCAAACATTGTTGGCGAATGAGCGCAAGTCAGCTTGGGACGAACCGGCAAGACAACGTGCCTCGTCATTAGAAAAGCAAGCAGGTGAAATCATCATCAAGCTCAGAGAGCATGAGCGCTTTCGACTATTCGGCAATGTTGGTCGTGAAGAACTGCCAAAGTCCGATCAGCTGGACATGGGCGGCCGGTTCCTTGTCAACAAGGAGCGGATCGAGCAGAGCAAGATCTTCGAGATTGCCTGCCTGATGCCCAAGGGTGCACACCTACACCTTCACTTCAATGCTGAACTTCCTCCCGAGAAGCTCTTCCCACATGCGCGGAGATTGGAGGACACCATGTTCATTCGCAGCAAGCAGCCATTACTGAAGCCTCAAGATTTTGCGGAAACGGAGATTCAATTCAATGTTCTGCCGCAGGACACAAAGACGAGCAACATCTTCAGCAAGGAGTATGACTTCGATTGGAAGAGCCCAACAAGTGCATCATGGATGAAGTGGATCGACTTTCGAGAGCAGTTCCCCACAGGCGAGTCCTTCAGCGAAGTGCCCATGGAGTACAGAGCGGATGATTGCAACGGACAACTTGATCATGCGGAATGCTGGGCTCGAGAGAAGATGATCATTACATCCAACAAAGCCTATGCTGAGCACCAAACGACCAATGGTGTGTGGGCGTGCTTCAATCAAGGTACTCGTGCGTTCAAGGGACTTATGAACTATGCGAGCGTATACCGCTGGTACATTGGCGACGCTATCGACAACATGGTCCGAGACAAGGTCATGTATGCAGAGCTCCGACCCATGCTCATGGACAAGTCAATACCGGCGGACGATGGCGTGGGCAAGCTCGGTCACAACGAACAGATGAAGATTGTTTGTGAGGAAGCCGAGAAGAAGAAGAAGCAACACGGTGATAGGTTCCCATTCGGACTCAAGATCATCTACTGCACGCCCAGAAGCATACCACCGGCCAAAATGAAGTCAGAGCTGGAAGACTGCATCAAGTTGAAACTGGCGTACCCTGATCTGGTCTGTGGGTTCGATCTGGTCGGGGCTGAAGACCGTCCGAACCACATTGGCCACTACGCTGATCTCTTGCTGGCGTTCACGAAGACATGTGAGAGACTGAAGATCAGCATCCCATTCATGTTCCATGCTGGCGAGACACTCCTGGACACCGGCGGCTTCATGCCACTAGACTCTGAGGCCGAGGCAGGCTTCCACAACCCGGACAACAGCAATCTCTACGACTCACTGCTTCTCAACGCCAAGCGGATTGGTCATGGCTACGCCTTGCTAAAGCACCCGCAGCTAGTCAAGAAGTACTCAGACGCGAAGATCTGTTTGGAGCTCTGCCCCATCTCGAATGAGCTGTTGGGTGTTTGTGGCAATGCGAGACAGCACATCTTCCCGGAGCTTCTGGCCGCAGGACTGCAGTGCACATTGAACGCCGACAATCCCGCGTTATACAGGTAAGTCGCATTGGGTATCGTGGTGCTCTTGTAGATTACTAACAGCCATAACAGAGGGCCCGGACTTGACACCTATTCTTTATCACACGAGTTCTACCAAGTCATGGTCGGCGACCTGCGCATGAACATTCACGGATGGAAGCAGCTAGCCGAGTGGAGCCTTGAGCACGCGTGCCTCACGCCTCAGGAGCTAGACAGAGCCAAAGCCATCTTCCACAAACACTGGGAAGAGTTCTGCGGCAACGTTGTCGACACCTTCGGCGAATACGCGAAGTCCCTGCCCGACAAAGTCAAGGGCAAAGACCTCAAACTGCAGGTCCTGAGCACCGGATCCGCGAACCTGATCCCAACCATGGCATCTGATACCAAGTGACGCCCCGCGAGCAAGATGTGAAAGTGATCAGACGCACTCCCAGCCGGCAGCTGCACCTTCCCGAGACTAGCTTCAGGGGGAGCACGGGTCTGGGCGAGCAGCAATCAAACCCGTGAAAGAAGAAGATAGAGACGGGAGGTCAGGTGGAGGGATGTGTGCATGTTGGTAGAAAGCGACTTTTGCAGTAAGTCGTGGAGCTAGTGTTGAGGCTGGGGAGGCAAATGCAAACAGTGATGTTGAAGTTCTGACAAACGCTGCACGGTTGGGCTTGGGCTTGGCTGGTCACATGTCCGCTGGCTTCTTGCTTTCTTTTTCCACTTCACGTCCGACTTCGCCGATCGCGTGATGTCTTGATCCAGCGGCTTCGTCTTGAGCAAGTGCTCAGGAGTTCGACATTACTGTTGACGTCTACAGATCGTCCCACCTTCATTCAAGTCGCTGCCGTAACATTCACGACTTCCGCCACGCTTGTCTAGCACCGAATGACTTCCTCTTCGCTCAAGATGGCACTTTCGCACTTATTGGTGTCGGCACTGCTTTTCCACTCTATTTGTGGCCACCTCATTACTCCTGCAGCAATAATACCCGCGAGAGCGAGCCAGCCTGCGACTGTGGGCTCCGGTGGTGACAAGGAGGTGGATGTGCCATTGGCCAACCAGCTCTTCAAACGCGACACTCTTTTCTGCGACGGTGCTACTGGAGCTTGTGAGTATCCAGAGCCGTTGTCAAAGGCTCAAACTGACACCGAATCTACAGTCAAGTGCACCATAGGAACCTGCTACACAGGCCTCGATGGATTCGTCGGGTGTTGTTCTGTGTGAGTTTCAGCTTCATTGATCACAATATTCACATGCTAAGATTCAACAGTTCGAACTGCAAACCGCGGACTACGTGCATGGATTGGCATCCTTCAGTCGCGGTGAATGTCGACGTCGACACGGTCGGTTTCATGTATTGGTATGGACTACCTCCAAGACCTTCGAACGTCTGGGAAGCTAACATTGCCCAGCTCCGATCCATCGCTCCCACTGTGCAATACCCTCTCGAATAGTGTTGCAGACCAATACATCATCTGGTGTGGTGCGACGGGCGGCCTACAAGTTACGGGGTACCCAAATCCTGTCACGAAAGGCTCGATGGCATCCGACTTACCTTCGCCATTCGATTCTGGCCTACTTTTCCCATCGACCACAACAGAGTTCACCGAAAAGCTCACGGCCAAGGCGACTCCGTCTGTGGTCACTGTTGTATCTACTCAAGCACTGCCAACAGCAACATCCTCACCTACCGAGGACGAGCAGACTAAAGAAGCGGGATCAAAGAAAGAGCATGATTCGACTCCACATGGCGCCATCGTGGGCATTGCCATGGGCGCAACAGCGGGAGGAGTGTTGCTTCTGGCTGCTCTGTGGTACTTCCGACATACTCGCAAAAGCAATGGAAATGCGCATGGAGACGGAGAAAAGCCGACTTCTCCATCCCCTGACACTTCACGGCCACCATCCAACGACAGTCAAGGCTCTCCGTACGCCGCGTCAAAGTCGCTCGCGCCAATCGACACGAAGAACAGCTCACCCGTCTCTCGCTTTCCTGGACATCCAAACCGCCTCAACGACATCGGCTCACCAACCAGCTCAGCCGTCGAATTCGGCAGCCTCCAGCGATACACGGTCACAAACCCAGACTTAACCTCACCAGGAGAAACCGCCGCTGCCAGCCCAGTCGAGGCCCCATCATCGCCATACACCTTCCACGCACCAAAGCTCCAACAAAACACCTCCCCAACCTCCCTCGTCTCCCCACTAGTCGGCGACACAACCCGCGACTCCACCGTCTCCGCCCTCTGGCCGAGCCCAGCCCGCCCCCCATCCAGCACCTTCACGCCCTACACCCCCTCCAACTACGCCCCCTCCGCCCCCTCCAGCCTCCCCCGCTCCACAAACCTCCAGCCCCCAAGCCTCCCGCAACCCTACTCAACCGCCACATTCGCAACAACAACCACCTCCTCCTGCGCCCCCTACACGCCCTCAACCTACCGTTCCGAAGCTCCCGACAGCATCCCGCCGACCCTCAGGCCTTCGTGTGTGCTTCCGCAGGAGTACTCGGCTGCGACGGTTGAGTCGGAGCGCACGGAGGCGAGGTCGCCGGTTTATCGGGGACTTAGTGGGAATGCGGCGCCGTCGGATTTTTTGAGTGCGGAGAGGGCGATTGGGGGTGGGTGGGAGAATGGGAGTCCGACGAGGGGGGAGCGTTGATGTTGGAGCGCGAGGTCGAGGTGGGTCATTGCATGATCATGGGTGGTGTTTTGGAATCAGGGCGCGTGGAGTGGTTTGCTTGTCACACGGTCAGCGAGGGTTTGAATGTCGAGAGAAGAGAGAAGGCTTGTTTCTGTTTGATGCGCAAGAAGAGGAATGGGATCGCGAGTGCGGTGTTCGGTAATGTTTTCTGATGAATTCAAAGTCTACTCAAACATGTTCCCCTGATGTTATTCCGAAATGCCATCGTCCTGTCTGTGTCTACCAAGCTGTCGAACCGGCTGCCTTTCCTTCGCCTCAACGCCAGTTCCCCTGGCTCAGCGAAAGGAGACCTTGCACGCAGTCCAGATCGTCATCACCCGCTACGCCAGCTTTCCTCTGTTCTCCTCCTCGCGTGAAGGCCGATAGTTCTTCATCTTGCTCGGGGTCTGCACCCACGCCTTCTCCGGACCTGTCAGGGCGGACGTGGGAGAGTCTGATGCGTTCATATGGCCCGGCATCTGAATGAGGCGACATGTTCTCCTTGTCAGAGTCACCGCGCCCTTTCCCAGGCAGCGGTGCTGCAGACTCGGAGTGCTTCAGTTTTGGTGCATGTCGGGCACTTTCGGCAGGTCGTCCTTGGAGTCTGCCCAAAGACGTGTTGGATCTTTGCAGTGGAGGTCGCTTGTGGTCCAGCTTCGATCGTTTGTTTGCTTGATGTACTGAGAGCGGTGCGTTCCTTTTCGAAGACAGGCTGCCCAGGATGTTCCTTCCCGACGTGGTCCTCAACAAACCAATCGCACCTGCCGCCGAACCACTGCCATCCTTCTCGGCTGTGTGCTCGAACTCACTTCGGGATTCCTTGTCACACCAGAATTCCCACGCCCGAGAATCACGAGAGCGACCACTGTATGATCTCTGTAGGCGGTTTGATGAGTCTGTCGAAGGTGTCACGTCTGGCATTAATGTCTGCGGAGGCCGTGGTGGTGATGGAGAGGCAGCATCTTTGGTGACGACCTCAGCCTTGCCTTCTGCATTCAGTGAGAGACGGACGAATGATGCGCTCTTCTTGATCCGTCGATCTGGATTAGCCGTCGCCGTTACTACCGGCTCCTCTGGTTCAGTGGCAGCGAAGTAGAGAGATGCAGCGCGCCGCCTGTTTGCCAGGTATCCCAAAGGCTGTGGTAAGGCCGATGCTGCAGTAGGCGCTAGTGTGGAAGGAGCATCAGGCTGGGTTGTAGCATCGGCTTCTGTTGATATTTGCTCAACCCTCTCTGTAGCTGGTGGGGTTGATTCACGGCTGTGACTGTCGATGTCTTGTTCACAATGTGGAGGGCTGCTCGACTCAAGACTCGATGATGGAGAGCTCCCTTGCATGGCCGCCCTTGACCGTTGATATTGGGCAATCTCGTGGGGTAGAAGTGGCCTTGACTTCCTACGCGAGCTCTGTCGTCTGTTTTGAAACCAGATCTAAGTCCGTCAGCCTTTTGGTCGCAGACACGGCCCTGTTAGCTGTACCTGAACTTCCTTTTCTCCCAAAGCAACACGTTTGACTAGCTCCAGGCGAGCTGTCTTGTCAGGCTTTGGATCATCTTTGTATGCAGCCTCTAGGATAGCTTGGTCTTCAGGACTAAAGCCAACAATCAGTACTGACTTGCAATCTATTCCATCTCCAAGATACCTGGTCCTTCTACGCTTCTGGCGGGCAAGAGGCTTGTCGTCCACGCTCGGGGGTAGGTTATTCGGCACGGTCGTGGTCGAATGGTTCAAGAATGCATAGCTTCCTGATGCCGATGACCTCTCGGTTTCGTTGTCCATGGCTATGAGCCGGTGTCGATTGCTGCAACGGAGTAATGTGAGTGAATGTCGAGATGTATCCATGTGTTGAGACGCGTGTAGATTGGAGGACGCGACTGTGCACTGTCCAACTCGCTTGATGACCAATGAGAGCCAAGCTTCGAATCTCCTCCCATCGACCTCATGTTCTCTTCACCTCACTTCTCGCACTCTTGTCCCATCACCAGCACATTTGGCAATCCTCCTTTCGAAAACAGCCTCGTGGCGTTGCCTGATGATGGAATACAGACCGCACAAAAATGTCCACCTTTGAGAGCTCGGCCCCAGGACAGCTCGAGCACCGAGTCCGAGCACGAACGATGCACGCCGGCACGTGTTGTGTTGTGCAGAGCCCCGGGTATCTTCATCAACGATCGCCCACAACTTGCATCAACACTGCATAGACGACGCATCAGCCTTACCAGAGGCAACTGCTCCTGCTGCAGGCACTCTTCACCGGTGGGAGTCTGGTCTGCATCATGCGTCCAACCTCCAGTACACGGATCTGCGGCCACAGGGTCGCCTGTAAGACGGCCTAACATTTTGCCCTCCCAACATAGGATCGGTCGCGGAACACGCACGGCGCAAGCTTCTTCTCATTAACCGAGCTCTATGCTTGGTCACTCCAGACCTCTGGCGGATTTGCGAATGTGTGGACAATGCAACATCCAATCCTTCTGACAGTGAGCCCTCGGAAATGGTGCTGGGCGGACGGAATAAAAGCGTCCATGTCACGACTAGTGAGGAACCTTAACCGGGGTCTCCGTTGATCTATCGCAGCTACAGGCTGCAAAGACCGGGTGGCACCAATCTAAAACTTATGAACATGACATATGAATATGCGCGTCGCGAATACTTTGGCGCCCAGCTTCAAAAGCAGTGGCTTGTTCTGCCAGGGAGCTCCAATGCGGGAGGTGCCTGCCAGAAGTGGATGGGCTAGCGAGCACCACATCAGATGCTCGCACAGTCGACAACGATATAGCCGAGAAGACGGAGCATACGCGGAGAAGACGGCTGTTGCGCTCTTGTGCGTGTGTGTGAGGACCGAATGTGAGTTGCCCGAGTGAAGACCTTAATCTGAACCAGTCCGAACCCGCCTTCATCCCATCTGGCCCGACTTGATCACATCGGCTTGACGATCAAGTGTGCATACCGAGCGGCATCTGCGCGCAGAGCAGCCCAAGAGCTCGCTCGATAAGCTGGATCGTAGACACCGAGCGTGATTCGCATGGACCTTGACTGCGTCACACGTGCTGGGGCACCTGTCGGCTAGGTGCCGTCCACTGAGAGCTAGTGGGTCTCTTGACCGTCTTGGGTTATGAGAGGGCTGACCGGTGAAGGTCTAATAAGTTTGCTGGTCAGCGGCATGCAATGATGTTGCAGATTGCAAGTGCTCTGGCGTCTTGAAGTAACGCCGCCATGTTGCGGCCACGCTACGTGAGCCTTCGTGCCGTGCCTGGATGGATGACCCCCTTGGCCCACGGGTAACAATGCAATTGTGTCAGTCGCATGGCTCTGACGACCTCCCAGATCTTTGCGGTGCCATCCGGTCCTCCTGATGGCATGCCATTTATTGGTCCTACATGACCTCCCGTCCGACGCCCACGCCGCACAGGGCCCACACATCTTGATCAGAGGTCATGTGCGCTTGTCCTCCACCAGATCCGATCGTTGACGTACAAAACTTTCAGTACGAGTGCAAGATTTCACTGATCCCTACTTCTGATGCGTCGTTTCAAAGCCAAGCCACGCTGAAAGGCTGACCGGACCAACGACCTGCGCTAGGCACCCGGACGACCTGGTGCGGTGGTCTCGTCGACGAACCAAAACGAGTGGAGACTGGCACTCATCGACACCCAGTACGTCCCAGGCAACGGCCCGATCGGCGGCTGATGGCAGCCTTGCTATAAGCCACTGATGCTGGGATCTGATTTGTCCAGAACATACCTTCAGGTCTTCGAGTGTTGTCCCGGTGGACCTTGATTGGAGCGTGGTTCTGTGCCATCCGGCTCCTGCAAAATAACCAACGCCCTAGTTGATCGTCTAACGTGGCAGGAGCTTTCCGGCATCCGATACGTATGTGCTCGAGCACTTCGTTTAAGGATATCACCCTCCCATTTCATCGATGAGCGCAGCCGGATTCTGCAAGATCATTCGTCGATACACTCAAGTAACGTTGCCTTCTCCTGTCCATGCTCTCTACCACCATGCGACCACCACACTTATTGGAGAGGGCCAGACGCAAAACACGCCCCACGCCTTGTTGGCTGGACGAAACCTAAGGAAACGTGGTAGCCACGTACACACAGTTGGACGACGTCCGAGTAGCGCTGTATCGACTTGTTCACACCAGGCAGTGCCCTATTGCAACAGCAATGGGCAGCAATAAACGACCAGAGGCTCCACGACGCAAGGCAAAGCAAGATCCGACGAACATGTCGATGATGAGGATTGCGGTGGCCGGTACTGGCGGCCTTGCTCGTCTGATCGCCCACTACATAGACGAGGACACAAGTCACCATGTCGTCTTCTTGTCGAGAAGCGTACGTCTGTCCACCGCGTCCCAACTCGTGGAGTCGGCTCGCGACCGTAATCACAATCGTGACGACCAACATGCTGATGAGAGGGCAGCAACAACCACAGCTTAGCAGTGCTGGCTATCAGGTCGCGGTAATCGACTACAGCGAGCCTGAAACGCTGCGCTTTGCATTACGAGGAATCGACACAGTCATATCGACTGTAACAGGTCCGAATCAAATACAGCTGATACAAGCTGCTGTTGCTGCACGCGTTCGACGGTTTGCTCCAGCAGAATTTGAAGGTCCTCCTCGACTACGAGCAGCGAACGACCCATTAGACCGCGGACGGAGCGTCGCCCGCCAGTGGCTCAACCACTATGCGCAAAACATACAATCTACGGCATTCGTCTGCGGAATCCTATATGAGAGATTCCAACCAGGAGGATTGGCTCAATCGCAGATAGGGATGGCCTCTGGTTTCAGCGGCGAGGGAGACTATATCATGAACTGCAGACTCATGACAGCACAAGCTCCAGCATACGATCACAACAACGAGCCGAATGCAACAATCTGCATGACCGCAGCACAAGACGTGGCACGGTTTGTCACGCAGTCGTTGGATCTGCGGACGTGGCCGTCTGAGCTGCGAATGCATGGCCAACGCATCCAGGTCAAAGATTTCGTTCTGCAGGTTCAGCGACTGACCGGTACGTTGTAATAGCGCTGGGACGATGCACGGCTTCACTCGCTAACCTCCCCCTCAGGACGGCCTTTCGACATACAGTGGCACGGTCCAGTCACCCTCAGGGCCGAAATGCAAGTCGCCGTGGCCCAGAACGATAACGCAAGGCAGACACGACTTCGAACCTTGATGAACACTTGCGAAGGACGATATGATTTCGACCACTCGAACCTCAATCAAATGTTTGGCGACATCCAGCCGATCGACTTTGACATGTGGTTCACGGCGAAATGGAACCCTCAGCAACTGTGACAAACAGATGGAAACTTTATGGACGGGTTTCTGGACTCCAATCTCCTCTCAAACGCGCGAACAGATCACCATCTCCACGGATGCAATGCAGAATCATCCGAGTACCTGGGAACGAAACGTCGTTCGCGACACAAAACTCAAATATGACTTGTCAGCCACTTTATCAGCTACCAACGCGGAGTTCACCAACCACAAGTCATCGGCAAACTACTCTCAGATCATAGCTATACATAAAGCCGTCACACAGGCAATGGGGAAGGTTGTCCCCTGCTCTTCCAACGACTCCATCTCCGAAACGCCGAGCAAGTGAAGTCGCAACAATCTTGGCATCAGCCTCAGGCAGAGTGGCGAAATCCTTCAATTCACGCCCATATCCAATCACAGCATGACCCTAACTTCCTTCCTATCCGAGGAAAGGATCACAATAATCCACCAGCACGTGCAGACGCGAGGGCAGACAGGTCTCGATATCCAACTCCGACCGGGCCGTCAGAGCCAGGGCTGAAAAAGTACCATCAAGAGTGCTGTTAGAGCTGATGTGAGGGAGGAAAACTCAAAACTCACCGCACACCGCTCTGCTCTGCTCCCCTCGAGCTCGTTTCCCGTTTGAACCAGACGGCGAAGAACGCAGCAGAACACAGCTGGACCCTACAGACAGTTTGCCGCTAAAACCGACCTGGGCCTTTGGACGAATCCCAGGTCTGCGGCCGTGAATCCTTTCTGGCCCCCAACGATGCAACGTGGAGCGGTAGTTGGATACATATCACCACTTGAGTATGCATTGACGGGCACCCTTTCCTTGTCGAGGCATGGGTACGCGAGCGTGGATTGGTACGCTAATGTGAAAGGAGATGGGCCCAACGCGAACGAGATCTGAGCCAGGGCAGGCCTTGCCGCGAAGGTCGGACATGTTCCGTCACACCGGCCCGTTCGAAGAAGAATGTTCGGTGTGCGACTCTACGGTGCCGGATTTTAGGAGCTCGCTGTCGGTGCAGTCGACGGCCAAGCGGATGTTGCAGGGACGACGACACCGGTCTTGGTCACCGGTCCTGTCGACCAATGCGTGGACCAATCCCACGCATACCACATGAGAGAAGCAGATGAGGAGACCGGTCGATACTATAGTACACGCATTACACCGACTATCTTCATGACTCGTTATTCTGACCTCCGGTCAAGAACCATATGCTTTGCTAACCCGAACGCCAAGCCATACTGATGGTAGTAGTCAGGTCCAGACGCACAGGCTCTTGCATGCTGAAATACCATCGAGACGTTACATCTAGGCGCTAGCATCTCCGCCCAGCTTGTCGAACGACGACTCTCCGTCGATTTGGCTCTGGCGAGGCCCAGCACCACCTGCGACTGGGACGTTCTCCTGCTCCTGTCCCATGGGGTCAGCACAAATACAGTCAAGGTTGTCTCAAGAAAAGAGATGACTTACGAATTGACCAAGCGCGACACGACCTGGGTCTTTCTTGCCGCCCACATCCGAGTTGAAGCTGGCGTTTGGAGCAGAAGAGTCGAAGCCGCCCTCCTGGAGATTCTTGCCCTTGGGTGCGAAGTTGTCGCCCTGGTTTGTCGAGCTGCTCACGCTGGCGTTGTATGTTGGTCCCACTCCTGACTCCTTGCCGAGCTTGCTGCCGGCGTTGAGCTGCTCGGCCTCACTCCACTCGCTGCTCGCCAACCGAGCCTCCGCGTCGGGAGCTGGGTCTAGCCGAGTGGCGTTCGAGACGTCGGTCGTGTTGGTGGTGGTCGAGTAGGACGGTTGGCCGATGGGGCCGCGAGCGTCGCTGTTGGCGGCGAAGCTGCCGCCCTGCTGGATCGACTCGCCGGCGAGAGAGTCGCTGGTGACGACGCCTGGGTTCTCGTTCTTTGGGTTCTGGAGAGTCTCGGGGTCGGTGGTGACCTGGAGGGAAGAGTTAGCCATGCTGTCCATTGTCACATGCTCGTTTGCCATCCTACCTTCTGGCCGTGGGAGGAAGCCATCTTGTGATTTGGTCGAGGTTTAGTTGTTGTTTGGGTGATTTCTACGATGACTGGTTAAGTCGAGAAAAGTTGGAGAGTTGTAGAGGGTGTTGTGGTGTTTGAATGAAGAGGTGGAAATGCAGGTCGAGCTGTACATAAAACATGAAGCTGTTGCTTGGTGACATCACCGTGAGGCAAGCAAGATCAGCCTTCAAGTTCTTCCATGCACACACCAACTCGGTCAATTTCAGTGGAGCTTCTTGACGGCATTCTCTTTAGATGTGAGTGAGTAATAATGCTTATGATATTGTGTCTCTGCGATCGGTGATGTGTGATGTCTGGTTGCCGGAGAACAGGAGATTCACTATCTCTACTGGGGCAAGATGGATCCGCATTGAACGCATTTACCCTAAGTGGTAGCTCGACACGTGAGGTTTTCGCAAGCACTTGTGAGGTTAGACGAAGCCATGGATCACAGAGAAGACGTATTTGTGTGAAAACTTTGAAACTGTTTTTGAAGCCTGCTATCTCTTCTAGCGGCTATCTCAATCCCTTTTGGCCTGTCCTGACGCCTTCGTGGGCTCTGAAGTGAAGCTTCATGCCGTCATGCAAAGCATTCAATCGTACGACGTACTGTCTCCCAACGAGAAGTGTAGAAAGCAGTCCACCTTCCGACGCTTACTGGTTGGTCGTGTCCTCGAGACCAGCCTTGCCCTTGGCGCCCCGTGCGACTGCGTCGTTGGGAAGGCCGCTCAAACCGTCTGCACCCTCACGTCCGACATTCTGACCGAGAACCTGCTGACCCGTCGCTGATGGGTCTTCTCGCACTGCGCTGCCGCCAGTAGCTGGCTCGCGGAGGGAGTCGTTGCCGTGGGAGAAGTTGCCAGAGGTGCTGCCAGAGCCGACATTGACTGTCCGTGCGTCTGCGCTGTTGAAGTCGGAGGCCTGCGGTGGTTGATCAGGGAGAGGGAGGTTGGCCTGGCGCTCTGCGATGATCTCCTGCTTGTTCTTGTCGGCTTGGTCGACGATGGACTGTACTCGGTTGTTAGAAGCTGGGCCTCCTTCTTTTGAAGCTTTTGTCATGACTGACCTGAAGACCAGCGGACTCAGAATCTGCTGGGATGTTGCCGCCGTGGGCCTTGGACTCGCGCTGCTCGGCCTTGCGAACGTCCTCCTTGGTGAGGTGGTATGCTTCTTGGGTGCCAGACATGGTGAAGTGTGGTGTAGTTGCTGAAGAGTGGTTTCTGCGGGGTAACGTCTCTCAGCAAATGTTGCGATTAATGAAGTATCTTTGTCAGGGTTGGTAGCTTACATTGAAGAGCTTTAATGGAAAGCTGTGTGAAGCTGTGTTGTTGTCGTGTGATGTTTGAGGATTGAAGTTGAATCAGAGTAAGGAGCTCATGAATTGTTTAAAGCTCTCGCGTGCTGTGGCAGGCACGATTGAAAAGATGACGCGCCGTGACGCAAATGTGGGCAGGGACGACCGTCGTGGAAACGTCGGGCGCTTTCCTCGTGACCGTGCGGCTCTTTAAGCAAATAGCCCACTAAATCTTGATTAGGTTTGGGCGACAGCTCCACTTCACATGCACGACCCCATCGCTCTACACGAACTCGAGATCCATCGGCCACGCCCAAAGTGGAATATCTATCCTTGTTAACAGCGACCTTCAAATTCATCTCGAGCCGCGATCGTCAGCGTGGTCCACCTCAATATTGGGGAGGCAGGGCGAATATACGACGAGACAACTACGCTCCGAGCACAGATATCTATCCACCATGGCCGAACTCACGACAACGAAGCTTGACCCAGATAACCACCTTCTACTCGACCAACCATTACTTCGCTTGCCCAACGAGCTGCTGCGGAAGAACTTGAAGACGGCGCAACGGAACATCGAGCAGACCAACAAAACTATCACTAAAGATGTGCAAGCAGCAGTCAGTCAGCAGCCAGACCAAGCCCTGGCGGCACTCGAAGCAACTCTTGCCAAAGCACAGAATCTGAAGCGCAAGCTCGAGCAGCTCCATGCCGAAGAGCAGAGCCTCCAGCGCCAGCAGCGCTTGCGGATCGAACACTTGCAACAGCTCCACGAGATACCGAGCCTCGCAGATGTCAAGTACGACACGTGGTCGCATACCCGCTTAGATCGCCTACTTGTGGACTATCTACTTAGACAAGGCTACACGGAAAGTGCTCGGGAGCTGGCGGTTGAGAAGAACATCAATGACCTGGTCGATGTTGGTGTCTTTGAAGATTGTGGGAGGATAGAGAAGAGCTTGGTGGATGGTCGGACGCAGGAGTGCTTATCGTGGTGCAGTGAGAACAAACAGGCTCTGAAGAAGATCAACAGCAATCTTGAGCTTGAGCTGCGGTTACAGCAGTTCATTGAGCTGGCGAGAAGTGGTGATGTCAAGAATCAGGTGGATGCGATCGTTCATGCACGGAAACATTTGGCTGGTGGTCAAGATACCGAGTTCGGCTTAAGAGCTGGTGGTCTGCTCGCACATCCGCCCGACACACTCGTGGAACCATATCGAGTAAGCCAACGACTTTCATGTCAATGCGAGTTCTCACTGACTTCTGGATAGATGATGTACAGCCCCGAACGCTACGTTCACTTGGCACGGCAGTTTGTCAAGACACATCATGAGCTCTTCTCACTACCATCACAACCTTTACTACACATAGCACTGAGCGCTGGTCTTTCGGCATTGAAGACCCCCAGCTGCCACTCAGAGTACGCTCTGCAAGCGAATGCGAATACTGGTGCTCCCGTGTGCCCGATCTGCAGTACCGAACTGAACGAATTGGCACGAAATGTTCCATATGCACACCACACCAAAAGCTACATGGAAGATGATCCTGTCGTCTTACCGAATGGTCGTGTGTTTGGGAGAGATCGATTGAAACGATTGAATGAGAAGCTCGGGACTGATCCTGGCAAGATAAAGGATCCTACAGACATGGAGACGGAGTGGGATGAGCGGGAGCTCAAGAAGGTGTACATTTCGTAGTCTTGATACTTCACTCGGTAGTGATACGATCATTTCCTCTGACTATTAATGCGTCCTCATACAGCGTGTACAATTGCAGAGAACACACGAAAAGGGATAAATCCAACGGTGACACACCTTCTGATGGCATCATACCTTAGCTGCTGCCTGGCACCATCTCTGCGGCTTCTCTTGCGAACTGGTCTCATTTTCCTCAAGTACGGCCTTCAACGTTTTTATTTTCAATTTGTTAATCCATGCAACCACAATAGAGCTATTGTTGCAAGTGTGATTTGGATGCCTCTTGTCTCTCTCCCGCTCGAGGTTCTTCAACACATCGCAGCATGTGTTGAAGCAGCACATCAACCTAGCGTTCAAGCCTTTAGCTTGACGAGCCAAGCTTGCCACGAAGCCTCACTTTGTATCATCTTTCAGCGAATCAGTATCACAGTCCGTGATCGGGAAGGACTGCGGCGCGATGTCGACGCACTTATCGAGGCTCTCGAGGGTACCAATTCCTTCCGCTACATTCAACAAATCACTATCAAAGGAGCTTTAAGGCTCAAGTCCAAGAAGAATGAAGGCTATGCCACACGTACACCTTACCTGGCTTATACTGGCCTCAGTGAAATACTGGACGAGGAACCAATCTCCTACAACGGCATGTATGCGGTCTATGATGAAAGCGTCATCGAAAAGTCTTCAGAAGAGGATATGGCATGGGCTCCGATGGTCAATCTGCTCCAAGCCCAGCTCCCACTAAAAGACCTGGTGTATGACTGCCAGAGTCAATTTCCGCCAAGTCTGCTCACGACACTTCACGAGCAGCACCCCCAATGCAGGCTCCATCACCTCACGTTCAAATTCCGGACCTTGTTCTGGGGGGTTCCCTATCCTTACGAGATGGAGCTTGCTACATCACCATCTCTCTACAGAGTGAAAGCCATTTGTGCTCAACGCGATAGCGATGGTGACGACGATTTCAACCTGGACGCTATTATGGAGCTCACTACTGGACTTGCTCCCAACATAAAGGAGGTCGTCATTCTGCACTTTTTCCCAGGAGGCTCCGGGAGATCAAGGCGGCCTCTAGGGACGTTCCAAGGCCTCCCAGGATTTACTCACGGGAAAAAAGGATCGTTGAAATCACTATCGCTGAAAGGGTGTACGCGACTTAGGACTCCAACGGTGGTACAAAATTGGGCCAGACACATAGACTTCACTGGCTTGCAACATCTCACTCTTGGTGGATACCTCGACTCCACGGGATGTGGGCTTAGTGGCGAGACAATGGAGTGGCTGGCCCAGACTCAGTCGTTTCCCCAAGTCAAAACACTTGGTGTATGGCTTACGCGCGATGACTTATGGTTGGAAAGACCTCGCTACAGTGAACAAGCAGTCTCCTTTTTCCGGAGTTTTGATAGTCTTGAGCAACTGAGCATCGACGGGCCAATCGATTCCAAAATCCTGGACAACGTCCTTTACCATCATGGACAGACGCTACGGAAACTCAGTTTCCGTCCTTATGAGGACAACCTCTCCATGAGCAACGCTCGTGAGCGACTGGACATACCCTTTCGGTTCACTAAGGATCGCGTTTTGCAGATTGAGGCTCAGTGTCCGGTACTAGAAGAGCTCGCAATCCCGGTCAAGCGCAACAACTCGAGTGCATCTGAGGCTGAGATCTACAGATGCTTCGGGACAATGAAACGTTTACGATCTCTGTTCCTGATACTGGATTGTTCAGATTGGCGGATTTACCGAGATCCTGCGTATGCACGCGATTTTGATGAGGAGGATCAAAAGCTCGTAGACAGAGAACATTTTCCCTTTTTCAAAAGGGGGAACTTGAAGGAAGCCTTCATCAATTGCGCAGTGGACGAGACACTGGCCAACTCAATCTGGAAGGTGGTTAGCGAGAATAAGAGCGGCAGACAGCTGGAGCGACTCAAACTGTGGCCGACTGGAGCGGGCGAATATGGCAATAGCACCGGGCCAGCACACACCTTCGCATGTCTTGCCCGCCATCTGGCTCGATCATGGCTATTCGAGCGGGTTCCGCGGGATGACACAGACGACTTTACTGTCAGGGAACTGGGGCGAGAGACCAGAAAGGCTCTCAATGAAGGCGACGCCGGTTACTTGAACTACGGTCATAATCCTGAGATTTGGGAAGTCTTCCGTGCTCTCTGGCCCGCTAAAAAAGGTAGCAAGGATTTCTCAGATGATTGGTCGGGCGTTCCTCTGTAGGAGAAGTTATGGTTGTTTGTAACTGGATGCCGAGGTGCTGTGTCCTTGTTCTAAAGAATCATATTTCAATACTCGTCCACCTGAAGTCCCAGAGTAGTCTCAGACGCAAATACACCCCCTCAGACAGTGCCAAAAAAGCTAGCTTAATGAGCCCGCCGTGCGGTCTTTGCACGTGAGACTAGTCCTAGAGGTTGAGGCAAATCCTTGTCACTGCCGTTCTTTACAGCAACACAATCGTCTTTATCAACTTCGCTATCGACACCATTGCTATATAGCTGGCCGGCCGAGCTTCTATATCTACTGCTCGTCTGGTCTCCTTTCCAGCCTGCAAATTTGGGCAAGGAGTTAAGGTAGGTACGACAACGGCGGCCCTTTCTTCGTCAGGCTGCCACAACTGGCATGTTCACCCTTTCCGATTTATATCATATTATTCTCGTCCAACTTCCAGCGATGCCGCCGTCAAATACGGCTGTTCTGCCCTACACTTCCTTCGCTCTCCACATCCTTCACTAGCATATCTGACGTAAAATGGAGCAGAAAGAACACTGCAACTACTTGGATCGAAACGGCATGTCAAGAATCAAGACGGACCTACACAACCGACGCTCTTATAACGACGCCAACGATATGCTTCGAACCGCTGTGGCAAGGTCAAGACAAATCAGCGTTGGCATTGTAGGCGCTGGGTTTGCTGGGCTTCGATGTGCGGACGTCCTGCTTCAGCATGGCTTCAAAGTTACGGTTCTCGAAGCGAGAAACCGTCTCGGTGGGAGGGTCGCTCAGAGTAATCATCTGGGCCATTTGGTAGATCTGTAGGTGAGAAAGCTAGTAGAATGGATGTTGATCTAACAGAGACTTATTGGATAGTGGTCCAAATTGGATACACGGCAGCAACGATAATCCAATCATGAAAATCGCCCATGAGACTGGAACGAAACTCCATGCGTGGGATGAAGAAGCCATCGTCTATGACCCGGAGGGCAAACCTCTGGAAGATAAGGAAGTCGAGCAACACAACGCCCTCCTCTGGGATGATGGCCTCATCGCCGCTGCTTTCAAGTACTCCAACGAGTATTACGATTCCATCGATCCGCAACGAAGTCTGTTCGATTTCTTCTCGGAGAAGGTTGAATCTTTGTTTGAGGACGAACCAGCTGATATCGCCAAACGGAAACGAAAGACTTTACTTCAGTTTGCAAGTCTTTGGGGATGCTATATCGGTAGTCCAGTGACGAGACAGTCTCTCAGGTTCTTTTGGTTGGAAGAGGTGATCGAAGGCGAGAACCCTTTTGTTGCTGAGACGTATCACAAGATCTTGGATGCTGTTGCTGGACCTGCGAAGCAGGGAGCAGACATCCGTCTCAAGCGGGAAGTTTTGAAGATCCATTCAAAGGCTTCAACGTCCGAGACCGATGGCCATGCACCTGAAGCGAGCGTGAAACTGGCCGATGGAGAGAGCTTGGCCTTCGATGAGGTTGTTGTAACATGTCCACTGGGTTGGTTGAAGGGTAACAAAGCAGCTTTCGAGCCAGAACTGACTCCTCGCCTCTCATCTGCAATCGACAGCATCTCTTACGGCACACTAGACAAGGTGTACATCACCTTCCCCAAAGCATTCTGGAACTCGTCTGGCCCGTCGCCTCTGAGCAACACACCCAACCGAATCGATCCGGAAGGCACAACGCCAAATGTCACGGCAACAACAACTCCACTCCACCAACCACGTTCAGATAACAAGACCACCCCAAGCCCAAGTCTGCTCAACTGGCTACACCCCAACTACGCCTCATCTACAAACCCGGAGCAATGGGAACAATTCGGAATGAACCTAGCCGCCCTCCGAGAAGACTGCGCCCAACCAACAATCCTCTTCTACATCCAAGGCCCACAAAGTAAACACATCGGCGAGCTCGTCGCCTCCTCCAAGAACGAGCAAGACCGCGACGAGAAACTCAAAGCCTTCTTCGAGCCCTACTACTCCCTCCTCCCCAACTTCTCCACGAAAGATCCAAACTGTACTCCCAAAGCATTTTTGGCCACCGCTTGGGCGATTGACAAATTTGCTGGATATGGATCGTATGCGAACTTTCAGGTTGGGCTGGAGAAGGGGGATGAGGATATCGAAACGATGAGGTTTGGGATGCCCGATCGGCACGTTTGGCTGGCGGGGGAGCACACGGCGCCGTTTCTTGCGCTGGGGACGAGTACGGGGGCGTATTGGTCTGGCGAGGCTGTTGGAGAGCGGATCGTGAAGGCGTATGGCAGGGAGAATAATAAAGAGAAAGCGACGTCGTAGAAGCATCAAGTGACAAACCAAACGAGACGATGAAAAGAACCCACCTCAACCACTTTGAAATGTTACGTCAATCATCTTCAGATTCCCACCGAAAACGCCTTCTTTATACCGACATATCTATAGCGCTCGTTTCTCGCCGTGGTTCCCATTGAGCATACCAAAACTATCAGTCCTCTTGTTCCGCCTTCCGATCACCTCCCTCGACCACTCGCTGATCTGGAAGCACCAGCCTCCAGCCACCAGCAAACCAGAAACGACGTTGACCAGCCTGATGAACAATGCTGGTATTGAGCTCCACTCTTCCGCGATCGTGAGCTGGATAGGCTCAATATCGAACTTGACGAAAATCCCCGGTACAGCATTCTCTGCGACTGCATGCGACTGTTCGGTAACAGCGTACTGGTTCGTGAAGACGCTGTTCTTGCTGAGGCGGTGCGGGTGTTGATTGAGGCCGTCCTCCCCTGACGATGGCGATTCGTGGTATTTGTCGATCTTGCGCAGGGCTTTGGCGTCGGTGGTGTAGATTGTTGGGACGATGGAGGTGTAGTATTGGAATTTGTAGAAGTGGGATTCGGTGAGGCCGTAGGTGTTGTCGAGGGGGTTGGTGAGGGATGGGTAGAAGGGGCCGAAGGAGAGCTCATTGATGTAGTGGCTGAAGTTGAATGCTGGGAAGGGGTCAGTCAGGACGATGCCTCAGCCTTGCACTTTCGTGGTCTTACCATTGTGATCCAAATGTGCTCCAAACTCCATGTAGCCATGTCCTCGCGCGGTAATGTGGAAGTCTCCCTGCACTTTATTGCCATGCAGACTCCCGTATACCCTGCAGCTATCCGCAGTTTGTCCCCAGGGAAGCTTCGGCGTCTTCTTGAACTTCTTGCTCTTCTGCGCCGCGCCCAGATAGTCATGCACATCCTCCTCTTGATACTCCCGTCTCTGCCCTGCCTGCTCCATCCGTTGCTCTTTCTCAGCAGCCAAAGCATGTGCTCCTCGACCCCACGACTTCCAGAACGTGGGATCTTTGTGAAGGGCTGTACCAGCCATGACCCGATCTCCTGACGCATCTTGCACGTTCACATGTACATCCGCGCATTGCATCGCCACGACGATGTCGAGGTTGATTTGCAAATCATGTCCAACTCCTTGCTCCACCGCGAACGCATGCGTCGTTTCGCCTGACCACCATCTTGCCAGTTCGCTCCATGCTAGGAACACCGAAGCGGCTATAAGTCCCACTGTCCAGATGCCACCGGTCTCTGTTCGTTGCGTATACGAGGATTTGGTCTTGGGGAAAGCGTCAAACGAGCTGAGCGCAGTCTTCTCGCCGAAATTGGAGTCGTCCAGACCGCGATCTACGAATCCATTCATTTGGGCGTTGTGACAGCGTCGGCGCTGTCTGCTTGTAGTGGTGGTGGTGGGACGAGGCTTTTAAGCGAGTGATATGAACCTCTCCATTCAGGTGGCCGTGTTCTGGTCGTTCAATGTGTTGTCGGAAGTCGCATAATCGAGATTCAAGAACATTAATCTCGCACGTGCTGTACGTGGCTGAAAGCTCCAGTTGTCATGTTTCCTCTTGCAATGGCCGGCCGGCAGCCCTGCATCGGACGCGGCCCGCTTGTCAGCCCCAGGAACTTGTGCTCTTCTTCTCCTGCAATCTCCTGCACCAACCTTGTCATCAACGACATTGCGGTTGGGGACCATCGGAGAGAAGAACTACGAGCTTCATATTCGTGTTCATGGAAGCTCATCACTGGACATGCAGAATATGCTATGGACGAAGACCGTGATGGCCTCGACCTCCGAATGAGCAGTTTCCCGACAGACACTACAACCGAGAGACTGGAAAGCCACTCGCTGTTCTGCAAAGTAGATGCATGGAAGTGCTATGTCGCAAGAATTAGACAGACGAAGCTCGCAATCGCAGATCGAGTCGCTTGGACACCTTGCAATTCGTGGAGATGGACGTTCGATTTAAGCAGAACACCCAGGCACAATGAACGTCCCATAATATGTTCTATCAGGCACTACGTAACGATCTACCAAGGCACCTCCTCCATCGCATTGTTCTCCCAAGCCCAGAAGCCAGGCTTATACTGCCCCTTAGGAGCCAATGCAAGCTCTGCAGCAGATTGAGCCCCTTCCAAAGGATCTTTCGGCCCTCTGAACCCATTGAAGCCCGTCTTGCACCAGCCGGGATTCACTGCTTGAAACTCGATATCCGGATGAGTGTGGCTCAGCTCGACTGTGAGCAGATTCAAGGCCGCCTTGGAAACGGAGTATGGGATGAATGCCGTTGGTGGGTTCTTTCCCGTAGTGACCAGTGTCAAGGAGCCTCGAGCGGAGGACACGTTGACGATTCGTGGATCCTTGGCCTCTCGAAGTAATGGCAGGAAGAGTGTCGAGACCAGGCCGACCGAGGTCACGTTCGTGTTCAGGATCTTCTGGTACATTTCCCGGAAATCAGAGTTGTCTTCAGCAATCTTGCCCGCGATGCCAGCGTTGTTGATCAAGACTAGAGAGTAGGTCAGTCATGCTGATGAGCTGCTAATATCACGTCGGACTGCTTACCATCGAGCTTCCCATAGTTTGCCTTGACTTCCTCAACGGCACCCTTGATGCTAACATCGTCCGTAACGTCCAACTCGATAGGTTGGACATCCGCCTTCAGACCCAATCCTTGCAGCTGAGATACAGCTTCATTGGCGTTGTCCTTGGATCGAGATGCAACTAGGAGCGTGAGGTCGGATGAGCGCTGTGCGAGTGCTTGTACGATGGAGAAGCCGATGCCACGGTTGGCGCCTGTCGTGAGAATGACCTTGGTTGCCATGTTGCTGATATTGTGAAGTTTGGGCTGAACGAGATCCTCTTCGCCGCCGTCTCTGCGGTCTTATATTCGCCATGGAAAGATTGCCTCCTCGTTGACATCGTGGACCAAACTCCAAAACCCGAGCGGCATCCTCGCGTTTGGTATAGATCGATGGGGCGCCTGATGTGGTATGTTGGACTAGCAGAATGTCTTTGACGTTCCTTTCTATAACAGTCTTCGCAAGTCGAACCTGTATATGTAACTCCGTCGTGAGCGGAATGCTGAATCGGGTAACCTGACTGTAGCGTCGAACTCAATTTGAAGACAGCCTTGCTCTCCAGCAGTATCATTCCCATACTGTCTATACATACGGGATATCGTCAACTGCCATACTGCTGAGTCTCTTGTTGGTATCCGTGGCCCTCATATCGTCTTGGTCTTCAGTATAGCCTCACGATCTGATCGATCCTGATTTGGGCTCCACAGCCAAGGCCGTGAACCATGGCTTCGGACGTAGTTGTGAAACGCAACAGTATACTGTTGTACCACTTATGATTGAAGTCGACCAAGAGTCGATGATGAGTCCGTGACCTTTCACCATGCAGTCGTCGTCAGACTTTTGAATGTTTCATGGTGATTGTTGCGACTCGTCGCAAAAGACACACACTAGCGTCACTGAGAGCTGGTCCAATCAGGCCCTGTCGTCGCGGTACAGTCTGTCATGAAATGGAGACTCCTCTTCTCCACCTGTCATCTCGTCGATTTGTTGGACTGGGAATGGATTGGGTCTTATTGAATGTTGGAGCAGCACCATTGCTTGCTCCAATATCTTGGTGTTCGTGAGCATTATAAGCGATTATGATATGGGTGGTCGTTTGGGAGGGCGTTCAAAGTACATCAACTAGCGTCCTGGGTTGATGCTCCAATCAGTCTCCGTTCGAGGCCGTGTCGACCAACACTATTCTCATTCACCTGTCCCCTGCTGTACGCTGTGGCCTGTTGGACTTGAGATCGAATCCAGAAGGCTTCCTCGACAGCTCAAGCCTCATCAATCGTCCACAGTTCCTATGGTGGGAAATACTTGGGGGATTATCGTATGGCTGGTCCCTGGCCCGTAGTGTAAAGAACTTGCGTTAGCGTTTGAGACTTCTGTGCCAATCAGGAGTTGCTCTAGAGTCCTTTCTCGCGAGCTTTAGAGTCATCGAACATCTCCCCCGTTGTCCCACTCTTCCAGGCGCCAGCATGGTGCCAGTAGTGACTCAACACAGCCAGGCAACCGCATCTGCCTATTGTTCCCAGTCCTCCAGACGCACATAAAAAGCCCACTCGCCCTCTCATCAAAGCCCTTTCTTCCGGTAGCTTCTCTTGCCAGTTCGGCTAAGATCAAGTGTAGTATCTGTTCTTTGAAAGGGTGACCCCTTTCAATCACCGAGAAGACCGTTGTGTCTTCAAATTTCTGATTTTTGGATTTCAAAGTTCCTCAGACTGCTTGGGTTTTAATTCATGGTCTTGGGGAACGCTCGTGTCGCTGGCCTTGCACTATCGCCTGCTGATGCGTTATACTTTTTTCATCAATCATTCGGCACTTTGATGGTGCTGGGTGTTGGAGAAGAAGAATCAGTTCTTGTTGTTGTGAAAGTTAGGTGTTGTTGTTCGGGAAGTCGTTGTTTGTGCTTGCCTTGGAAATTTTAAACCTCGATCGTTCTTGACGTCTCTACCACTTCAAACCAACAACTAAATCACCACCAATATGGCGACGAACGGCGGCGCTGGCATCATCCAGCCTGGCATTTTCGAAGACCTGCAAAAGAAAATTGACGAGGACACCGCCGTCAAAGATGTTCGTCAAGATGGTGCAGACGAGACGAAGAGCCAACATTGACTTCTCATTCAGGCGTTGCGCGACATTGTCCAAAACCTCGAGAAGCAGGGTCGGAAGGACATATTCAGTACACAAGAATGCATGAGTTGACTTGTTGTAGATCGTGCTGCGCAATCAGCTCTCTCCAGAGCCCATTCGACCACCACGGCCAACAGTCAGTGAACAATTCTTCCTTCTGTCCTTTGTATTTCTGGCTACTAAGACGCATGGAAACAGTGCCCACTGTGATCAAATCTGCTTCAGATCACATTGCCAGCGAGATCGAGACGGTTCAGCAGCTGTCGAAGGTGGCGAGCCAGCATCCATACTATCGCTTCAACTACGCCTGGTCGAGACAGATGGAGAGTGTCGTATGGCTCAACGATGACTACGATTGCTGCAACACGTTGCTGACGATCTTCCAGTGCTTCTCGATACTGCTATGCGGTTGGCTTGGGGGATTTGGAAAGAATGAGGCCGGCCAGCTCTTGACTATTGAGGAAGTTGGCCAGATTCTGCAGAGTATGTTCTCTTTTATAATGGCGAAGACAGCCATGCTAACACCAGCCAAGTCCCTGTCAACGTCAAGGACCGAGACACCTTCCATCTGACCATCGAGGAGTACCTGCTCTCACTCATCTCTCTGCTCGATGAGCTTGTAAGTTCTCCCTATGAACTGAACGAGGAGATTCATGTAGCTAACATCTTGCAGTCCCGCCTGGCTCGCAACTCGGTAACTCTTGGAGATTACCGCAGACCACTCCAGATCAGCCAGTTCATCAAGGATGTCCATGCTGGCTTCCAGATCCTCAATCTCAAGAACGATTCACTCCGCAAGCGGTCTGACGGGATCAAGTACAAAGTCAAGGAGGTCGAAGATGTAGTGTACGACCTCAGTCTCAGAGGCCTGCTGCCCAAAGACCAATAGTCGTCTCCATGAAAAGCCTTTCTGGGGTTATGTAGAGCAGAGAAAAGAGTTTTCTTCTCACCAGCGAGTCCGTAGCTCGCAAGACCCCGAACGCCCCGCAATGCTATCCGCCTCATGCCATATCCTGCTCTACTTATACACGCATTCGAACTGCTCTTTTCCCTTCTCATCTATCGTCCCAATCCTCCCATGCCGCCTTGCTGTGCCATCGCCGCATTCTGCTCCTGGAATCGCTCGCCTAACCGCTCCGAGCTCTTGAGGAACTTGTCCACGCATCGCATCACACAGCCCTCCTCCTTGCTGGCCAAGCTCTTCGAGGTGAAATCGCTGATGCAGTCGTTGAAGCAACGTTGGACGAGGTTGGAGTACATCTGAATTTAGGTCAACTCGATGCGCCGTCATGATAGGCTCGATGGTCGCGGATGGCGTACGTTCATGAAGTCTTTCATCTGCTTCCTCTCCATGCGGCCCTGCAGCTCGCGCTGCTCGGCGGCGTTGAGCCTGAGGCTATTGTTAGCAAGATGCTGCTGCTATCGCGGCAGAGTTGATGGAGGGTTCGTGACCTACATGTCCATCCCGCTCATGTTGGGCGAATGTGCGAGTTGATTGGCGTGGAGGTGATGTTTATTGGGATGATATGGTTCTGCGTGAGTTTCAGAAACGCCAGATGATGTCGGATACGAGAAGGAATCTTGTTTCTCATGTGAACCGCATGTAGCGACGAAGCTACGAACGAGGAGTGGCACGAGCCGCCGATGGATATCAATCAAAATTTGATGAGATTGATTAAGATCCAGCGATTAGCCCCTAGCGATGGCTATTTTAGTTGTTTGCGGAGCAGTCTCGACTTGTCGCCAACAGCACACCTCGTACACCTGAAACCAGGGCTGTCGGCTTCATGTTGACAGCTTCCACACTTGACATCATCTAACTGTCGGTTCCTGTTGTTGCGGCTTGTTGCTGCTATTGTCGACGTCGTTGCTGCCGCTGCGACAGCGCCTACCGAAAGGATCGACCGTCCACCTCGCCTATGAACGAAAGAGCCTCATCCAACGCTCATCATTGCCCTGCGAAACGAACGCCCACGCCAGCCAACACCCTCGCACATGACCTGTCGTCGACCCTGACCGATCAGCGCGAATTCCGCATCTTCTTCGTCGTCGCCGACATCCATTATCCTGCTCTTTCGCACTGCCCCAGAGCGCCCACGCGCTGCGTCTGACCAACCTCCACGCTCGTCCGCGCCCGCGCCGCATCGCATCGCCGCCTGTCGACCCGATACTGACACTCTGCGCATGCTGTAGCCGGTCGTCGCGACTGCGACCGCACCACCGCCAGGCATGACCAGCAGCGGTCCCTCTACCGCTCCAGCTGGCGCCGGTGGACCCAGGCCACTACCGCAGGCGGCTCAGAGCGAGGCTGTGAAGGAGAAGAAGGACTTGGCCAGCTGGTGGAAAAACTTCAAGAGGAGCGACAAGAAAGGGCAGGATCAAGGTACGCATGACCGCTGAAGAAGAAGCAAGTGTTGGATCCCTCAGAGCGATGGCCCTCCCACCCCGTGCGCGTTTAGAGGCGAGAAGATTGCCCCTTGACGCGTGAAATGTATACACTTTGCGGTTGTTGGAAAAGCTGCCCTCGGAAACTTGCTTTGGACGCATTCCTTGGTGTATAAAACCCGTTCTAACCAGGACTGCACAGTGGCGCCCCAAGGCATATTCGGCGTGCCACTACAGACTAGTATCCGTTACGCCAATGTCGCCATCAGCCTTTTCAACGAAGAGGGCCAGAGTTACATCTATGGCTACGTACCCATCGTTGTGGCCAAATGCGGAGTGTTTTTGAAAGAGAAAGGTGAGTCGCTTGTTCATACGCATCGTTCGCCATACTAACTGGGTGCGTAGCGACCGATGTTGAGGGTATTTTCCGGCTTGCTGGCAGCGAAAAGCGCATCAAAGAGCTTAAGGCTGCCTTTGACAGCCCAGATCGCTACGGCAAAGGTCTTGACTGGACAGGCTATACCGTTCACGATGCTGCGAACATCCTCAGGCGATACTTCAATCAACTTCCGGAGCCAATCATCCCACTCGAGTTTTACCAACGATTCCGTGATCCGCTGCGGAACCATCAAGCACAGGCTGTGGGAGCCATCGAAGCGCAAAGCCCGAGTGAGGGTGAGTTCGACCATGAAGCTGCCATCAGAGCTTACCAGAACTTGATCACCGAGCTCCCGCCCTTGAACCGCCAGCTGCTACTCTACATTCTGGACCTCCTGGCTGTGTTTGCAAGCAAGTCGGATCTGAACAAAATGACAACCCCCAATCTTGCGGCCATCTTCCAGCCTGGTATCCTCAACCACCCACAGCACGACATGGCACCTCAGGAATACCGACTGAGCCAGGATGTGCTGATCTTTCTGATTGAGAACCAAGACAGCTTCCTGATCGGTATGCAAGGTACAGCAGCAGATCCAGAGACCGTTCGAGACGTGCAGGGTGGTGGTTCTCCGGCAAAGCCACCGACCACTCCCACAACCCCTAACAGGTCCAAGACTGTGATCGGCAGGTCAGGATCTAACTCGAGCGTGGCGGCAGAGAGCGTCAGGAAATGGGGAAGCATCCGCAGAAACGTCTCTGTCTCGAGCAAGCACAGCAAGCGATCGGAGAACATTGCACCTCCAGGGACGCCAACGCCTGCCACCCCGACCAGCGGTGTCCATAGGAGCAATACCGTCCCGTCAAGGAGGGGCGGTAGCTCAGCGCAGTCTCCTCGGTTTTCGCAGCATAAACACTCAGACCCTTCGACGCCCAACCCATCCACCACCGCAACAGGAGCTACGATTGCGCCTCCTGGTGTTGTGGAGACGATTGTCCAAAGACCGTCGACGTCCGAGAGGCACAGCTCGATTCAGAACACACCAACCGCTACGACTGCGCCTGCCTTCCCCGCGCCTATCGAGGTCACGTCCGCTTCGTCCAGCGAAGCAACGACGCCTCTGGCTGGTATGGGAAGCGAAACATCATCTGCGGTCACTCGTGACTATCAGACGCCCAAGAAGGATACAACACCATTGCTTGCACCCGGTGGTAGCCATGAAAAGTCCGGTGAAAGATCCACATCGAACACGCCGTCTGCTGCTTCAGGTCGCAAAGGGTTCCTCGATATTCTCAAGCAATCTCCAACAAGCGATGGCGAGGGAAGGAAGCCTAACAAGCTTCAAAAGAAACGTATTCCCGGATCAACACTATCCAGTGCTCAATCGTCGAATCATTCTCTACATGATGACCACCAGGACATACAAAGATCGCCAGTCTCGCCAAAGTTTTCGACAGTCCCGCAATTTTCGGCTCCTGGACCTGGACCTACACCAGCACCAGCGCCAGCGCCAGCAGTCGCTCAAGGACCTGCTGCTGCGGCTGCTGTTGCTGCAGTATCGGGACCAACTGATGTTGAGGGACATTCAACTTATGCCACGGCTCAGAACACACCAATCGCAGAGCAGACGCCATATCGATACCCTACTGAAACTACTTTGCGGCCAACTGTATCACCGTCGCATTCCTTCCAATCTCACACAGATACTTCTGATGCTGATATGGTGGGAGACGACATGCCAGCACAATCTGAGGAAGAACCGAAGGAAAAGAAGCGGCACCGCTGGCGCTTCTCACGAACACAGAACAAACTTGAACAACCAAGCACTCCAGGCAATCCAATGAGTGCAAAGGAGCACGCAACGTCACGATCAACTATCGGCAGCGGCGGCTCGCAACCCCGGAAAAGCTTCCAGGAGCCAGCGCCTCTTGGTTCTGTTAGTACCGATCCTGTCATTGGCGGTGTTCAGCCTTCAGCGACTTCGGATACGGTATTCTCGGACTCTGAGCGTGAGCGAAGAGGACCGATGTCGTGGTTGAAGAACAAATTGCAAGAGAGGAAAGAGAAAGACAGCGAAAGGCGATCGCACACTCCCGAGCGCGGTCACGAAAGATCGAAGAGCCGGCAGGACGTCCAACTATCCGCAAACGAAGGACTGCCCGTTCGGGGAAAGTCGTTTGAGCAGCCAAGAGTCGTATCGACATCGACAACAACATCGACTGCGCCTCCCGCAGCAGCTCAGCAAGCTCAGCAACCTGTGGCAGGCTCCACAAGTAATGCAGCAGTAGAAGCCGCGCAGATCGCAAGCACCAACGGCGAAAAACACAGCGAGAACATCGAACCGAAGCCCGAATCGAAGGCTGAAATTTGACGTGGAGGATGAAGAAGGGGAAGGGGCGCGTGATAGCAGTGATGACATTCATTCACAGCCACGGCGCGGCATTTGCAACCGAAGTCGTCTGTCTATAGAAAGTCGCATTCGATGGCCAGTGGTGAGGAAGAGCTCGACACGAGCAGGCTATCCTCGGATGACGATGTCTTTCTTCAAGAATAGACGACGCTACGGTTTCATGTGTCAGCGACGTGGCCCCAGCAAAGCAAAGAATGCAGGAGATGTAGAGGTATGGAGTACCTCTCTTGATCCGGAAAACAATAGTATGTCTGTAATGGGAAAAATGGAACGGGGAAAAAGAAAGTAATTCTTTACGCACACACATGGGTCGACAATTTTCAAAATGAACAAGGAAATGGAAAAGGAGATGGGATCGAAAATGGTTTCTCTCCGTGTAGAGAGTGAAGACGGACGGATGGATGCACGTCTTTCTTTTTGTATATACGCGACACCGAATCGATGGAGTGTGTATGTCTCGCCACTGCATCCTGCGAGTTCTGTGTGGTTTCATGATGATGGCTGCCGGTGGCGTGGCAGACACACCCACCACCTCGTGTAGGTACATGCAGATGTGCATACGTGCTGTCCGCATACTACGTCAGAAAATATCCCTGTCCGTCCTGATGCATACAGCCTCACAAAAAATAGAACCTCTTACTTACCTCTCCACCCATCAACGAAATCCATCACACCCTCGAACTCCACCCCTGAAAGAACCCCAACCTCATCCCCTCCCCCTCAACATCCACCTTCGCCCCATACACCACTTCCCCCTTCTCCCCCTCCACCGTCTCCGCCTCAATCCTCCCATGCACCATCAAATCCCTCCCCGACTCATCCAGCGCATACACCTTATCCACATAATGCCGGAAGAACTTGAGCGTGCGTAAGAATTCCCAATCCGTGCCGGACGTGGCGAGGGCGGCGTGGCCGACGAAGGCGGCCGAGGGCGTTTTCCAGGTTCCGGTGGGGGTGAAGATTTTGGTGAAGGTTTGGGAGTTTTCGGGGTGCGTGGGGAGGGAGTCGACGGTTGAGAAGAAGGTGTCGAGGAGGTGGATTGTGGGGGTGGGGAGGGGGTGCGAGAGGAGGGTGGTGGGGTGGAAGGCGTGGAGGGGGGTGGTGTCGATGGTGATTTTGGACATCTTTTCGTTCGAGGTTGGTTGGATTGAGTGGTGTCGGTTGATCGATTGGCCTTGCGCGGAGATGCAAGCAGATGGAACTGCAGGACTTCGAAGATGAAACGCGAGCTGCGTCTTTAATAGATGTACCTACCGTATATGTGCGGCGACTTCGCAGAAACCCACTGATCCGATCCGCGCTTAATACATCGAGGATGTAGGTGACTCCTATAAAACTTTGCAGGATAGCAAGCAAAATCCATTCCTTCAATATTGCTTCGTTGGAGGAAGTATTCGAAACTTGCTGGAAATGATAGCGAACACAGGCTTGGGACAAGGGAACAGTTGAAAGCCGGCAGCCGGCTCAGCAAGCGATGTTCTACGAGAGCATCCGTACGCGGTCCTCTGTACGGGACGCGAGAAATATAGAAGCGATGTTGCTGGTTCTTGGTACTCGAGTGCCGTGTACACCCGTCTTGGCCGTGCGATAGGGTTGGTGTGGTGGAGAAGAAGGGAGGCTCTTCCAGACTTCCGCGGCAACATGTGAAAGGAACGGAGGATGCGTCGAAAGGATCCTGCTTGTTTGGAGTGCGAGATGCGAGAAGGGCCGGCATACGCGATTAGTATAGGCCTGGGCCAGTGAGGTGCCAAGGTGGATAGGTAAGTTGAGATGCGACGTGGTTTCTTGGAGTGTCATCACTTGCAGGTGATTGATGCAGCTAGTAGATCGGAAGAGGATTGAGGGGTTTTCTTCCTTTGCTTTGGTCTCGATATATGTATACATGTGTCTTTGCTCGCGCGGGACGAGGGAGGGGAGGGTATGGAGAAGAAGGTTGTTACAAGTTACGAGGTTTCGTCGTGGATGGACATGGGTAGATGGGTAGGTGTGCCGCCGCCGCGCTCGAGCACCCACGATCCGACGGCCAGAGCTCTGGAAGGGAAAGGAAGGCTTCTCGATCTTTGGGTTGTGTCACACCTGACACGGCAGGGAGAATGCATGCAGCGTGCGCGAACCGTTCTCGTGCAACAACCACATTCTTTATCTTTTCTCTGATATCGTTCTGCACGCTGCTGATGTCGATATGATATGGGTGGGTGTGGCGTGGAGATAGCAGTCGAAAAGCGCAGACGGTGAGGCCAAGAGCAGCCAAAGCATCCGTTTTGAGGCTCATCGGCGACGATCTGCCGCGCGCTAGTGCCCTTATACGAGTTTCGAGTCTGTACCAGCCTCTTCCTCGACATAGAGAACGGGCTGCGACCAGACTTTGCTCGTGGCCACTTGCCGAGGAACTGTTGGCGAAGTGTTTTTCGATGCGTGTGCGGTGTCCTTTCCCTACTTGTTGAGAGCGTTCGTTGTGTATGTTTTGTCCTTGAGCCATGACATGAGCGATTAGTCTTACCACCTCGTATTGCTGGCGTAAGAGAGAACAGACCATTGCTGGGACCAGTCGAATCCTTCTCGCAGCGCCGCGGCGTCCATTGCGACTTCTGGGCCGCCACTGCACGTGGCCCGCCTACCAGGTCATTGGCGTGTGCGCCGTGCACTGACACTGCTGAGGTGGTGAGTGATGCTGAACTCCACTTGGCCTGCTACTTCACCCTCTCGTCTCCATGATGATGCTTCCGTCCTCTGACATGTCTGCTTGAACGCCAGCCCGGACCAAAACCCCCCAAGTCATTCGTTTCGCTTGCGAGCAGGTCTCTGCACTTTGGCCCTCTGGATCGATCGACCTCTTCACTGCGTACCAGTAGCAGCAGCAACAAGATGCCGTCCCTACGATCGATCTTCCTCCTCGGCCTCCCGCTGCTCTCGTTTGCTCTGCCAGAGCCGCGAGTTGAAGAGAGCGAGTTTGATCCCTCGACTGTTGCCGAGTGGGAAGAGATATTGAAAGAGTTGCCTGGGGATTCGTTGAAGGCGGCATTGGAAGGCAACCTCAAGCCAAAATACCGGGATGGCGTCTTTGAAGACGGCCACGATGCGATTGATGCGGTCCATAACGATGATCCTGAGCTTGCGTCGAGATTAGTCGATCTTGCCAAACAGGATGCTATGGTGAAGGAGTATCTGAGAAAGAGACAAGCCAACAATTCGACCACGGCTCCTGATACAACGATCACTTCGACGACGGCCATTGTCGTCACGGACAGCTCCACAACAGCTGTGTCGTTCACAACCGAAACGACTACACCATCGTCGACGCAACAATCAACGACTCCAACAAGTCCCACTTCGACCGAAGGTCAGTCCTCTTCCTCTACTCCCGAGAGCTCTTCGCCGGTTGAAAGCTCCACCACCACCACCTCTCCTCCCTCTTCCTCTCCCTCCTCTTCACCAACAAGTGTGGAGCCGACAAGTACTCCAGGTGAGACTACTCCCACCCCCTCGTCTACCGAATCGAGCGTTAGCACATCGAATGTGGTAACCACCTCGGACGATACGACGATTTCCTCCCCCACGTCGACTACTGTACCAGTCAGTGTCGATTCGACGAGCAGTAGCAGTACCGTCGAAACGAGCGATCAATCACCCTCCTCCCCGTCGACCGTTCCTCCTACTTCTTCTACTTCTCAAGAGCTGGGCTCACAAGCTTCTTCTGCAGCTGCATCCATCTCAGTGACGACCACCAACAGCCAAGGGCAAACAACGACGACGGCGGTTCCTGTGTCGTCGACTGAGGAGGCTAGTTCCCCAATCACCGCACCAACCGTGTCCGATGTACAAAGCACACAGACTGGCATCCTCGTACCAGTCCAAGTCACCTCGACCAGCGACGGCACAACGGTCGTGCGAACTACGAATGCATTCGACACAGGTTCCGCCCCAACGAGCGTCATGATCGACGTGACTACCACCAACTCCCAAGGCGAAACCGTCACCATCTCCACCGCAGCCCCAGCAATCGCCGTCACCAGCACCGACTCGCAAGGCAGCGTCGTAACCACCGCGATGCCAGTCTCAAGCGTCGCCGTCGCCCCAGGAGGCAGCGTCGTCGCGTCGTCCGCCTCCTCCGCCCCGTCAGCGTTTACCACGTCGGACAGCCAAGGCGACATTGTCGTCCTCTCAAGCCCCACGCCCGGCGGAGTCTACACCGTCACGGACGTCAAAGGCCAGATCGCCACGGTGACTTATCAGGTCGGCGACGGCGTCGTCAGCCAGCTCCGTGTGCAGACGACGACCCTCCCCAACGGACAACGCTCGACTATCACCTCGTTCGCGGAAGTCGGTGCTCAGACGGGCGATATCACTCCACCGCCTTCTGGTGGGCCATCGTCCACTGCGACACCCAGCTTGCAGTCTGGCGCTAGTGTGTTGCAGACCTACTTTGCTGCTCAGATCGCCGTGGTCTTGGGCGCGGTTATCGGTATGGCGGCGATGATGCTGTGATTGAAGGCCGAGCAGATCTACGACCAGTATATATAACAGCAAAGGGAAAAAGGACATAATGGCAGGATAAGACGAAATCACGACGGTGCTGAACTAGGTAATGTACATGTTTCGAGACGAAAGAACGAAGGACAAAGGGCGTAGAGGAAAGTTTTGCTGTTTTATTGCATAGCGTGTGGGAAAGGGCTGGGATATATGCAAACGGCCGGGTACGAACAGATACGGCTATGAACTGAGTGAGAGAGATATGACACGAGTGTGTGAGAATTTTTGAATATACTTCGTGCATCTGACTTCTTCAATCATCATCCTCCTGTACCTAAGTACTCGTCCCGTCGGAATTGGGGTACTCAGTGTCGTGCGACTCCGTCAGAATCTCCCAGCTTCTCGAGTGTGCATCCTCCATCGGCATGGCGTCGTAGATGTAGTCTGGGTCGGCTTGCTCCATCTGTGCTTCGGGGCTCATTGGCCTGTGATTTTCTGCTGTGGCCCGTGGCATGTATGGTTGTTGGGATGGCCTGTCGTGCTCGGCTGCAACTGGCCCGTGGTAAGTAGCTGCGCCAGCATGGCTGTTCGCTCGTTGAGAAGGGCCATCCGACCATCTTGAACGCTGACTGAAAGCTGATTGATGGCGTCGTCTGAGACCCGCTGTGCTCGGCCGGCTGTATTCCAGCAACTCTGGGATCATGGATGGCGGTAGCATGCCAGAGTATTCGATCTCTGAACTTTTACGCTTTGGCGGTAGATCGGTTTCGGGCAGTTCGAGATGCTGTCCGGTTTCATTGTATATCCGAATGCTTTCTTCCACGAGTCGCTGTTCGATGTGACGGACGGGATAGCGGCGCCGGTCGTTCCAGAAGATCTGTTCATTGCGTCGCCGATTCAGCTCCATCCTTTCGTGAAATTCTTCCCAAGTTTCAGGAGGATCCGCTGGAGGCTTTCTTCTTTCCTTCTTGGAGATAGCTTCTCGAATACGGTCATGGTAACATTTACGCTCATCCACGCCTTGACCATCGATATCGTCCAATTCTATGGCCCAGCGTTTGGCCAGCCGTGACCATTCCCAACGCTCATACTACGGTTGCTGCCGACGCAAAGCCTTCTGAAGCCGCCGGGGGTCCACCGGAGTTGAGCAATCACGATGCTATTGTATGGACAGAACGGCCTTGAGATCCGGCAGTGAGGTGTGGTCGACAGTGCTTTGCATGATGTGCAACCACTGGAGCTGGCCCTGTTGGAAGAGCAATTCGCCTCCATTCTGGTCAGAAGGCCCGGCTTTGCCTAGCAAGACAGATGGACCAGACTTGAGGGCATTCCACATGGAGGCAGCCACGATGTTGGCGAATGAACGGTTGGAATACGTCGGAGATTTGCCGCTACCTGTGAGGGTCTTGACCATGGAGAGCTTCTTGTAAAGCGTCTGAGTCGGATCGCAGTAGATTGGGTAGGGACAACCAGTGCGTTCGGCGTAGGACTGGATGAACTGGGAATCGCCGCAACCGATGACTGTGAGGACAATGTTGTGTTCGGCCAGGAGGTCGAGTGGGAGATCTTTGGTGACGGCTCTGATGTAGTCTTCGCATGACTGGAGACATTGTAAGCCACGACTTATGGTAATTCAAAGATGGTACTTACACCACAGAAGAAGTGGCGGATGAAAACGATCAATTGACGTTGTTCCGCAGGTTTGTCGGTAAATAGCGAGTGAAAGGGCACCTTGTTGCCGTCCTTGTCCTTGATCTCCAGCCGTCCAGCTTCTTGGATGATCTTCTGGTCGAGCAAAGGTTCTTTGGTCTCTTGAGTGCCGTTCGTAGCCATGTTGTAGCGATAGTATAGCAGTGCTGTCAAAAAGATGTGTGTCTGTGTGGTAGGGAGAGTAAAGTTGTGTATCGTGAAAGATGAGGAGACAGGAGGAGGGGAGATGACAGGTACTTCCTTCTTGTATTGCAGCAGCGGAATGGACAACTTCCGGCAGTCGCGCGTACAGCAGGAATGAATTGCTTGGCCGCTGACTCTCGCCTGCTCGTGTGATTGTTGGTGTCACATCGCGACGAGGAGCTGCATCGTTTGTCCAGCTGGATGCGAGAAACCTTGCGAGTGCAATCCATCTTGGCACGTGATCGCGGAGCTCGGTCGGCTGAGGCTCTGCTGCAACTTCGCCATTGTGTCACGAACCGAAGACCCTCTTCCTCCACCACCACCACACCTCGCTCCTCTTTCCCAACACCTATTTGACCGGCCGGGAGGATATCGTCGCCGCCGCATGCGATGTTCTCCAACAAACTCACCCGCGCCGCCCACCGCGCCACAGCTGCCGCCATCAACTCCTCCACCGCCGCATCTCGCTCAACCACCTGCATAGCCGCCCGCCGGACCCATCAGCGAAGACACTCCAGCAGCAAGGCATCATGTCCGCCAGATAGCAACACCAGCGGCGGCAAGCCTGCTCCGGCTACCAAGGCTTCGAACGTCGAGGAGGACAAATCTCACATCTCGCCCCCGACATCGCAGCAGAGAGGCGGCAAGCGAGTATCACGACCGAAGCGTTCGCGCAGCGTTGGCAGCGCCGATAAGGTGGAAGATCAGTTTGCGGGCCTACCAGCAGTGCCCGGCACTCAGCACCTCTCATACGCAGGTGATCTGTGCCCTCTTATCTATTCTCATTTGAACAAAGCTAACATGATACGCCCAGACTTCTCGGTCTCGTCCTTCTTCTCCCTCCACCGCCCTCTCTCACTCTCCTCGACCATCCCACCTTCTGCTACGACCGAAGCATTTGATAACATCTTTGAAAGTCGAAAAGAGGTCGACCCATGGGAAAACGGCAACTCTGCCGAAAGGCGGCCCGAGGATGTCGTCTATGCACTTGGTAGCCTCTTTGACAACATCGACGGCGCTGCAAACGAATCGCAAGATGATGGTGTGAGATGGGAGGTCATTCAAGAGAGTCCCAGCAATCAGGACGGAGCTGTAAAGCACCTTGATGGGCCACCTCGTGTGAAGAGTCTGGATGAGCAGATCGCCGAGTTCAGGCCCTTCAAGGCACCTCCACCGCCACATCCGTTTCCTCAGGAAGAGCAAAAGTCTGGCGCTAGCAAGCGTAAAGCCTCCAAGCCAAAGCAGCAGAGCTACGAGATGAGGATCATTCTCACCGAGAACACAAACTCTAGCGGGGAGAGGACGTACACCGCGTCCTCCTCGCCAATTATCCGCATCGAAAACCCTGAGCAGCAGAGCAAGAGCATCCAAGAGCCTGCGCAAAAAGGCCAGGCCAGGCATCCCTTTAAGGAGCGTATGCAAGAGCGACAACGGGCCTTTCAACTGCGAAATCAGGGCAAGATCAAGGCCATGACGAACGCACAGCCCATGATCAGAAAAGCGCCGAGTGCGAGGAGGGGAAAGATGCTGCTAATCTCCGTGAAGAGGCAAAGGAAGTTGAAGATGAAGAAGCACAAGTACAAGAAGCTGATGAAGCGGACGAGGAACTTGCGAAGACGGCAAGATCGTGCTTAAGAGCGATCGCATCTGCTTTTCATTCGACGGCATGGTTTTAGCATGATTGAGATTTGTCCTTTGTCTGCTTCTTAACGATGCATAGCCTGGGCGTTCGGTAGAGGGTTGGAGCACGTGGGCTCCTTTTCCCTGTTTGAGCCGGAGTCTAGGACACAGTTGTTCTACAGTGTGGATAGCATTCTCAGAAGTCACAACTACATTAAATCTGTTATCACGGCCTTAACGTACCTTGATCTGAGCCTGGGACTGAATCCACTTCTCGTGAGGAGAGTGAAGTCTCAACCGTGTCGAGGTGGAATCCACACCCACTGAGAAAGTCAGCGAACACTGAACCCTCGAGTGATGCTGGTAATGAAAGACTTCAAGCCACAAGATGAAGTCGAGTCTGAGGACGACGGTGATTGCAAAAGTGAGCCGAGAGCTGCCGTTAAGGGCATCACAAGAGTCGTTTCATTCACTTCGTCACTCACTTCGTCACTTTGAGCCTGACTAGTTCGAATCAGTGGACTACTCACTTAAAGAATGAGGGAAGTGAAGCCTACGAAGTGAGGTCAAGACTAGCGCGGTGTTGACGAACATGTGACTGAGCCTGAGCCAGCCTGGCCAAAGGTGGAAGAAGAAGCAGAAGGGGGATGTTGACGGAGTTCGTCGATGAAATGATTATATGTGTTTCTTCACAACCAGGGGTGATCACAAACAGGTCATTTCCTAAGTTCGAGCTGTCTTCCCCGTCGTGGTTACGCCGTCGGGGCAGCAGATAGTGTTGTCGATCGGTTGCACAGAAGCGATAGTATGGGGATAAAGGCCAATATTGAATAAAGGCCGTCTTCGTCGATGATATCTCATATACCTCGCGTCACTTCTTACGGAGGTGTCCAAACCCAAGCTGCATTCCATTGTAGCCCTCACTTCTCTCCTGATCAATCCTTACTCCATCCTTCACTCTAGATCAACCCCCGATCACTCGCATTACATTGAAGGTTAGAAAGGTTTTATTCAAGAAACCACTTCGGCACCTCAGGTCCCCACACCGCAAGGCTCTCATCGCCCGCCAAACCCCACCCAACAGGCGTATCTTTGTTCACCAAGTCCCCGTCCGCATAGTGCTCGATCATATTACCTGTAGTGTCGAACCAGTAATCAAATATCTGCGAGCCCACTTTTGAAAGAGTCAGTCTAAACACGGTGCAAAACATAAGTGGATGTGTGGTCAACTCACGAATATGCCTCCCGATCCCCCACACACTCGTATACCCCTTTTTCGCCAGCCACTGATGCCCCAGCTGCTGCGTATCGTAATCATGGACTTCGAAACTCGCGTGGTGGACGTGGCTCGTCTTGTTCGTCGACATGAAGAACGTGTGATGGTCCACCGGATCGTCGCCCCTATCGACGTGCATGAAGACCGCGACGTCCTTGGTCGCTTTATTGTCGTCCACGGGCACGTACAGGAAATCTGTGGGGACGAGGTTGAAGGTTCGAGAGTACCATTCGACTTGCTTGTCGAATTGCGTTACGCAGAGACCGAAGTGGCCCAGTTTGTGTACTGCGGCCGGTCCTGGCGTGAATCGGTTGAATTTTCGCACGCGGGGCTTGTCCGTTTCGTCGTTGTAGATGATTTTGTCGGGTAGAGAGCCTTTCGTCGTGGGAGTTTGGCCGTGGATGAGGTTGATGGGGTAGCCCTCTGGGTCTGTCAGGGTGATGATGTGCCCTCCTCCTGGCGAGTCTTCAAGGGCCGTTATGGGACTCGCTCCAGGGATTTGAGAAGCCTTCTCGAGATCGGCGTACGATTCCACCTCAAACGCCCCTCCCAAGAACTTCTTCTCGCCCTGTTGCGCGTAGTAAACGTACTGATCCGTGCCGTAGCCGCGAAACCAGATCTGCGTGGGCGTCTGCTTGGCAATGTGCATGCCAAAGTCCAAAAGAAACGTCGTGATCTCTGCCAGATCCGGATGTTGATAGCGCATATGAGCGAGCTTGACGATCTTGATCTGTTTCGACGGGTCGATGTTGTTGCGCTTTTGCCAAGAGATTATGGACTCTGAGTTGGGACCGATGGCCTCGATGTCGGAAATGGTGGCGCCATGGTTGGGTTTGACGGTGATGGAGTTGTCTGCGTGGGCCGTGATGGTTACGGGCCTGTCCTGGCCGAATTGTGTGGCGGTTTCTGTTTGGGTCGTGGACATTTTGGCCGGATAGTATGGAGACGAGAGTGTGAGAGTGGATGTGCTTACTTTCAGCTACGAAGAGACAATGTTATATTACTGCATGACACCCGGCAGTGGAGCTCACACGAAGGATCAACTGCCGACGAATATAGGGTGAGGTCGTGGAGCCAGCACTCGCTCACAAGGGCAAGTGTGCAAGCGGAGACATTGCGGGACCAATTGTGGGGAAGGATCGCCGGGTTGCCCACGTGTTTAGCGCGTCCGCCAGCAAAGAACATCACCAGGAGCTCTGGAAACCACCATCCCATCCCTCTCAATCGCAACAGCGAGCTCTTCCAGCCAAGATGAGCTCGAAACAGCCCTCAACCAAACCTCCCGACCCGCAAAAGCCGCTCAAACACGTCGACGTCCTGCAGAACCAAGCCTCCCTCCTCTTCGCGAATCTCCATCCCGTGCTGCTGCTCTCGCTCGTCCCGTTCAGCTTCAAGAGCTTGGTCAATGACCCCGTCAACACGCTCCTGGGCCTCGCGCCTACAGTCGCCCTAGTCCAAGCAATCTACTGCGTCGTCTGCCTCCCCTCCACAGGCCAAACCCCTCCACCCGCGCATAAACCAGGACAAAAGAAGAAATCCGGGAAACCAGTCCAAGATATCTGGGCCAGGGTCGTGGTACGTCCTATACATAAAATCCTCACAGAACCTCCCCACAACAAAAGCTAACATTTGTTCCTCACAGCCCGCCCTCCTCTCCTTCCTCCTCACCCTCTTCCTCACCACGCCCCTCCTCTACATCACGACAATCCTCTTCGGCGCCCCCCTAATCTCCCACCACCTCCACACGATCCTCCTCTCCCTCCACCTCGCCCTCCTCACGACGCCGCAACTCTTCTACGTCCACGGCCTGGACCTCTCCACCTGGCTGCGGCTGGTCAGTCTGCAGCAGCCCGTGGATGAAATGTACGGGATGAGTTTGGGGACGTTTGTGGGCGCTTGGTTGGGCGCGATCCCGATTCCGTTGGATTGGGATCGCGAGTGGCAGCGGTGGCCGGTGACAATTGTTTGTGGGGCGTATGCGGGTGCGGTGGTCGGGAAGGTGGTCGGTGGGTTTTTGTTTAAGGGGGCGAGGATGAAGATGAATTGAGGAGGAGGGATTTGATTTAAATGAGATTGAACACGAAGGGATATGGCAGGAGAGGACGACAGGAAAAGGACGCGATAACGAAGTTGTTGTCTCGCTATGCGGCCAAGGACGACTGAGGGCACCCCCGAGATGTCCGTCAAGGTGAATTGCCTTGACTGCTGGGCGCGGTCGTTAACCAGGCCGCTGGAAGCACGACGAGAACAACCGGCTAGCTCGATGCACTCCACGTATATCATGTAAGATTGCGGCAGACCTGTATAGAATCTAGAGAGCAAAGAGCCGAGAAATGGCTTCGCAGCCAGCTGTACTGCTAGACGAAATTGTAATGGTGGCAACTTTGAACATGTTTTTGATGGTGCTATAGCTTTTGTTTTCTTCCTTCGCCTCTGCAATTCTGCCACTCTGACCCTTGCAAGTCTCTCGTAACCGGACCGCCCACCGCGTACGGCTCTTGGATATCTGCGTGCGCTGGACCAGGCGTCTTGTGCATGTGCAGATGGTTCTAGCAGGACTAAGACGATTCAAATCAGAAGCAACGTCGTCCGTTCGAACTTCGTTGATCACCTCTCGCCCAGCTTTTTCAATGCCGCCGCACCTTGCTCTTCCCACTCCTGCTTCGAAACCCACATATTGTCCCTCTCCGACATGATGTTCGCCAGAACCGCACCACCAAGGAAGACCATGTGTCGTCTTCGCGGCGGGTCTTCTATCCGCACCTTGAACTTGTCCAAACGTTCGGGGTTGCCGTGCAAGACCTTCGTAAGCCACAACTGCTTGATTTCTTTCTCCATACGAGATGGCAGGCCAGGGTACATGCTGCTTCCACCAGAGAGCACAATCGCCTTGTAAAGTGATGATCGAATGTCCAGGTCGGCGGATTGAATGGTGTTGAAGAGGAATTCGGCGATACCAGGTTGTTCGACGTCGACTAGATGGGGTTGGAAGAGGCACTCTGGAGCCTCGAATCGCTCGCTACCGACACGGATCACGCGACCATCAGGGAGGGTGTATGACTCGACTAGAACAGTGGTGTCTTCGCTTAATCGCTGATCCAAGGCCAAGTCGTATGAAACATAGCAGAGCTTCTCTTTGATCGCGCGCACGGTTTCGAAGTCGGCCGTTCTGTTGAGAGCATAGCCGCGACGCAGAAGGAGCGAGATGAGATTACGAGTGACATCTCGTCCAGCAACATCCAGTCTCCGTGTCAGGTGGTTGAGGACAGTACTCTCGTAGACTGGCACAATGTGTGTGACACCATCTCCCGAGTCCACAACCACTCCCGATGAGAGACCCTGCGCGTACAGTGCCAGCACTGCCTGAATCGCAACATAGACTCCGCCAAAGTTGTAGCGCTCAAACATGACCTCGCACATCTGCTCGCGGTTCCTCAGCGGGTTCATGGGTGGCTCGGTGAGGAGGATCTTGCGGCCGGTGGGATCTATTCGCATCTTCTCGAAGAAGGTGTAGTCCCAGAGGTGTTGCATGTCGTCCCATCGCTTTACGATTCCGTTCTCCATCTAATGAAATGCTGTCAGCGCCTGGTCTGTTTCACACCTCCTCCTGGTGTCTGCCTACAGGATATGTGATTTGAAGCATCGACCTCGCAGCAGCGGCCTCGTCACCGCACATGATATCCTTGAGCTGTATATCACCCGGTGCCTGCTCTTCCGTTCGTAATATCGGTCGGCCTACGATCGATGGGTATTGGTGGTCGGGAAAGTTCTGAAAGGTACCACATGGTCAGCCTGACAGTCCTGCTCAACACGTTGATTCGGAAACTCTCACCTGGCCAGCATATCCGGCCTTGAGGAAACCGGTACCTCCATCGAGCACTGCCAGCTTCATCAGCGAATGTAATGCGGTCAGACATGATGGACTACGTACCAATTGGCGCCTCCGCCATGGTTCAAACCGTAGGCCGAGGAGTAGTGTAGAGGTGGAAGGGTCGCAGAGAAGTCAGGATGCTGCGAGTGGTGTTTGCGACTGAAGTGAGGTGTGAAGCGTCGAGATTCCAGTTGCCTTGACCGCAGACGACATTGTGGGGCTGGCAAGAAGGGCAGGAAGCCCGCGTGGCCGCCGCCAAGCTTCCTCTCCCATCAACATTCACGGAGTCCTTCACATGTGAACATTAAAAGAGAGAACGATTCATTTCGTCAGACGCGCGAATGTCAACATTAAAAAAAAAGACATTATGTACAAGGTTGCAACGCCATCGCTCGCTTCGAACTAATGAGCCACGTAGACCATCATACTGGCAAGTCCATCGTCTTAGGCATTGTGCTCCGACCTCTTTTGTCGCAGAGGCCAAAAGATCCCGCAGAGCATATACGTCTCCTTCGCGCGCGCCTCTCGAACAAACAACAGCGACCAGCAGTAACAGACAGGCTCAGCTTCCTCCATGCCACCGCCGCGCACCACTCTCGAACGACACTGGTACAATGAAACGTACAATCAAAGGGAAACTCTGTGAGCTGATGAATCGTGCCATTTGCTCAGCGCTGAACCCGCAGTGCGAGACCGGAACACGAGTTGGGGATCAGATGCTGATGCTAATATGCAGATTCGTCTCTGAGGGCGCACATCGATACGCCCTCGCTCTCGCTCGCGAAAAGCTGGACCAAGGGGGGTTGAAGATGTTGGGTATCATATACAGGACGTGCCGGGCCGTTCGTTAGATAAAAAGCGTTCGAGCGGTAGTGTGTGCCGTGGCGGGATTGGTGAGCGCCGTCTGCACCGTCGCTACTCTTCGTTTAATCAGAGAAGACGAACGTGGCCGTTCCTGAGCTGATTGATACCTGGTAAGATTGTCAGTACGAATTCATACGCGGAAGATGCTGGTATGTGCTTACCGTGCAACCCGTGGTCCGGCTGCACTTGTCGTAGCCTTCGCCGCTGCAGTACTCGCCGTTGGAGTACTTGCAAGTGCCGCTCATGCCGTGACCTTGGATCTCAACCGAGAATTGAAGCTTTGCGTCGGTGGTCGGCGAGTTCTGGAAGATGGCGAGCCATGCAGCACCGTTGCTCCAACCAACACCCAAGTTGAGAGGAGCGAAGTTGCCCCATGGGTTGGAGCCGTCGCCCCACTGGCAAGCATCACTGACAGGAACACCAGCTGGGTTGACGTAGTACTGTGCAGACGTCTTGCCGCCTGACCAGGAGTAGTACTTCTCAGAATCAGGGCAGGTGAGGTTGCTGGAGCCGCCTGGCTGGACGTTGACGGGGACGGTCTCGCTTTCGGTACCTGGGTAGTCGGTACGGCAGACGGCAACATTCTTGGACAGCTTGTTCTGGACGAGAATAGTGACCTGCTCGGCGCCGGTCATGCAGAGCTTGTTGGACAAGTCGGGGTTGGTCAGGTGAAGCTTGCCGCCAGTGCACTTAAGCCCACCGACGGACTGACCAGTCGAACCTTGGGTGGTTGGCCATTGAGACTTCTGGTAGCCAGGGGGGCAGGCGTAGGAGCAGTAGCTGCCCTCGGTACAAGATCCTCCCGACGTGACGGTCATGATGTTAGAGTAGCCACCGTAGCCAGAAGCACCAGGAGATTGAATGCCGGTCCATCCACCGAGACCAGTCCACTCGACTGGAACCGCACCGTACTCAGATGGGAAGGTATCGCAGCTGATTTCGCCGTCCGGGAACTCGGAGTCGACACCGCTAGCATCACTGCCCCAGTCGCCGCTGTCAGAGCTGCCGCCGTAGGATGGCGCAGATGGAGCGGAGGCTGAGCTGGATGGCTTGCTCCATGGGATGCTGAAAGATGGCTCGTGGAACTTGCCTTGCTCGGTGGAGGAGGAGCTGGAGGGAGCTGCGGACGACGAGGCCTGGGTGCTTGATGGTGCCTCGGTCGTCTTTGGTGCCTGGTACGTGGATGGCGCAGCAGACGAGAGCTGGCCGTTCTGGGCGAAGACCAAGGATCCGTTGTGGATGCCCTGCTGGACCTCATCCTCAGAGATTGACTGTCCGTTGAGGACGTAGACGATTGCCGTGGGCCCTGGGACCGAGACATAGTCAGGTGCTGCCTCTGGGTTGCGCTTCTCCTTGTGGAGATGCTGGTGTCCGTGACGGTGAGGTTGTGCAGCGGAGACCACGACGGCCGCGCTGAGCAGCGCGAGAGAAAGCTTCATCATTGATTAAGATTTCCACAGGAGACAGTTAAGTATTGGTTGTGCCGAAGTGAAGGTCAGCTGAGCCGTGAGTGGATGTGTGTTTCCGTCCGTTCCAGTGAAGCCACGATAAGAATATCGCGTGGTTGTTCGAAGTCGAGCTGGGTTCACAGGAGCGTGATGTGGTCAGGCGAAGGTGCGGCTGTCGAAGGCGACTGCCGATTGTGCGCTGAGCAGGCTAGGCCGCGCGCGGTGTGAGGCGTGAGGGCTTGCGGTGGTGTTGTTTGGGGTCGGCGAGGCTGGTCGGCGCGAAGCGAGCGGAAGAATGCAACGGACTCGTGGGTGGTGGTAGTGGTGTCAAAGGCTGGATTCCAAAGAGTGAATACGACCAAATGGCCGTGGTGGAATTGAGTGGTTGTCGAGGGCGAACGGACGATGCTTTCACAGCATCTGCTGACAATGACTGAGACGCATGCAAGCAGGCAGAGGTCAAAGCGGACGGCGAGAGAAGATGGGGATCAGAGAAAGGGAGCAGGGTGAGAGCTCCCAATTTCGCTTATGCCACCAATCATAGGAGGTTAGTGCGCGGGCCTTTTCGGTAGCGCCAGTTCATTTCCCCAGTATGAACATCTCTCATTCTAAAGTCGAATCGTCGCCCTCGTCGCCAACTCTGTTCTTTTTAGCGGACGCATCGCCGCCTCCAGAGCGCAGGCGATATCGCGGGCAATGGCTGCCATCACGCGCTGCTCGTCTGTCCCGCGGTCGCCCATCACACGCTGCCATCTCCGCCTGGCACAGGAATAATAACAACAACAGACACGCGCCGAACGGCAGTCTTGGACACCCAATCGCGATGGCGGTCGCTCTCCGCCCCAATTTCCTCGTGGCGAGGTGTCCTCCCCAGTCCCGCCCTCTCCGCTTGGCACCTGCGCGATCAGGTCGTCGACGAGCATGAGCTTCGTGGCCGCGGTGGACTCTCACAACACCACCCGCAGGGATATGTAGACCTTGTTGTGATGAACAACATCTGGGTACAGGCATTGTACCTGCGCTAGCCTCTCATTGGCTTTCACTAGCGTCGAGCTTCTTGACCTTCTTCACACAGCATTCCATCTCGAATACCAAAACAAACACCACCGCGGCATTTTGCCAGGCGCGGTGCTTCGAATGTTTGGGAGAACAAGTCACGCCACATTCCCGTGACGCTGCTGTGTGCCGATGATCTCATCATCGCGACCCAGAATCTCTCCATCGAGATGTCGAAACGAGACGGGTGCCAACAAATCTAAATCGGGCCCGGCATGCCGAGGCCTCTGAAAACTCGAGCGCTTCCGATAGCTGTGCACACCGTGCGCTCCTGCCCTCCTCTGTACAACGGTGATCATCATTATTGCGTGAAGCCGTCCGGCCTGACCGATTATGCGACACTTGGCCGTGATGCACGCGACACTCCGGCATTTACTCTTTCCCCGCCTCATTGCTCAGGGTCTTCAATTTTCATGCTGCTGGTAGAATCTCACTTCATCTCGCGGTAGGAAGCTGGTTTTCCAGTTCCCCTGTGCCTGCTACTTCTGATGGTCATGGATGCTGTTCCCCATCCGCAATCTCACGGCTTCGTCGTCCTACCGGAGCCGCGTCACAGGTACTACGTGGGCTTCACGAATTTTCCGCAGCTTGTGCCACGGTTGTGTGTGGTCCGCCGGACTGCACCTCCCTATCTGTGTTATCTATGGCGACAATGCGACGACCTGCCAAGCTCGCCATGGATGTACAAGATCACAGCGGCTACGGCGTGCGCTGCACGTGGCGGCTAGATGCTGGCCGTCAATATCGTCGCCCTTGCAGAGCGGTCAAAAGCACCACGAGCCCTACTCCGTGCAGTGAGTGTTCAGACGCTGACACGGACGAAAGCTTCCATGTCCTTCACGTGTCATGTCATAAGCACCGGGCACCGCATCATTCTCATGTGAGGTCAAATCAAGGGGTGATCGCGCGCTAGTAGCATTCAATGGCAAGGCAAAGTCATGAAGTGAGCTTGCGCTTCATCGTTGCTTCCGTGCCCGATCTTCAATCCATATCATTCATGATCGACGAGAGCGCCTGTCTCTTCATTCTTGTTCTTCTACCGTGCACATCAAATCGCTTTGTTATGATGAAGTTGAACCTTGAGAGTAACTATACTTGTTGCTGCTTGATCGATTGCTTGCCGAATACTGGCCTCCCTCACCCAATGTACGGCTACCGGCAGCAAGTTTGACTTAACTCTTCTGCTCGCCAATCTCGACTATGCAGCATCTTCCAAGCCCATCGCAGCGTGTCCTTCCCACCAAGCTCTTGCTCAGCCTGAATAGTTCTTGTCTCTTACGCCACACCATCTCGACCTCGTTGTGCTTCCGATGTGAATCATGCGCCTCCTCCTTGGCCCTGCGATTCCATCTCATACAATCCTCATCACAAACCAAGCTCAATGCCATGCTCGACGCCCTGGTATAACTCGTTCTCCTTCCCATCCATACCAATCTCCATCAACTCCTCCGTCTCGAAGAAAGGCAAGTAGTTCCATTCCTTCGACACCGAAGGCGATTCGATGAACAGCCCCTTGAGCTTGGGCAGACGGCGACAAGTCTCGGCGATCTTGAACCATTCGTCGTGCGATGGCCGCTCTGCCAACAGGTCTCCTTCAAGTGCAGCCGGGACAACGCATGCATGAGGAAATCCAGGGAGCGTCGCAGCTCCCACTCCACCAATGTTGATATTGGACAGTTCCAACGTCTCGAGGGTGACGCTGTGCGCTTCGAGTAGAGTGCAAAGGCCTTCTGAAGACTCGAGCCACATGCTCTCCAGGCGCAAATGCCGAAGGCAAGGGAAGAGGGTGCTGCCGAAAACGTCATGTATCGACAGGACTGTGTAGGAGAGCATGTCGGCAACGAAAGCGACGGAGTAGAGGCGTATGTGTAGCGACTCGAGCTTGGGAAGGCTCGCAAGGAACTGTGCAAGGCCGCCGTTTCCAGTGTTCTCGCGGAGCGATTGGTTTTGAGGACGACCTTTGATGTTCTGGTCGCCAATATCGAGATGCAGTGTACGGAGCTTGCGTAGAGGCCACATTGATTGCTGCAACTTCAACGGGTCGGAGGCCATCCAGTTGAAATGAAACTGAAGGCCTGGAAATGTGTATTGTTTGGCACCCTCCTGTCCGAGAACCGTCTTGGGGGTGGGCAGGGTTTCGAGACTGGTGAGCTCGCGTCCCGCTCTTGCAAGAAGAAGTGGCAGGAGCATGGTCGAATATGCTTGGTTGCTCTTTGTGGCGCGTGCGTCGAGGAGGGTCTGAAATGGGGGCGGCATGAAGTCGTCTTTTCCAAGGAGAGTTCTGGCACTGAAGAATTGTAAGTCATCTCGTCGCCATGATGTTACAACGACTCGGCGTAGGCCAGTGAACGACGACAGGGCGGCTTGGACATTGGCAAAGAACCAAGTGGCGGTAATGAGTTCAGCTTCATCAGCAGCCAAGGCGTCCATTCGTGCTGTCGCAATTCTCAGTCCTGATATGAATTTCTTCAAGCCTTGGTCGTAATGTTCCGTAGTCAGGTCCAAGCAATCCAGTACCTGCTGCATCTTGTACGGGCTCTTTTGGTTCTGATATGATGCGGTCTCCCAGACGATTTCCCGAACACCTTTGCTGAACTTTTCGTTAGCCGCAATACGTCGAAGCCGTCTGAGGTATCTCTTTCGGAAGCCGCAAGTGATGGAGGTGAACAAGTAGTGAGAGGCAGCGGGCTCGAATTGGCGATGGCATTGGCGGACGCTGGCGATGTCTTGCTTTGAGCAGTTTTGAAAGATCTCGTGTAGCAGGTCCTCATTCGCAAACACCGAGGCCGCCATGTTGAAGATGGCGCATCCGCGGATGTCACCGCCTTTGCTGTGGATAGTGTTGCGAAAGATTGAGGTTGAAGGTGCGAGAAGAGAATGCTGTTTGTCGTCCAGGTGAGAATTAGCTAATCCGCATTCACTGGCGGCGGCGATTCACATGCGACCAAGTGAAGGAGGGGTAGGTCTGCATCGTTTGCATTCGTCCACAGTGGAGAAGAGTATTATACGCACATTCCCATGCTATGCCTTGACTTTTGCCATGGCGCCCAGGTCATCATAAGGTATATCTACAAGTGGCGCCTCCGTCTTTCATCCCTAGCTTTTTCCCGTTCCCCCTACGACCTCAGACCGAGCAAGAAGTTGCCCTTGCCACCGCTACCTGATCCATCTCCGCTGCCTCCAGGCAGGTATGTTACGTTCGGGTTGGCGGCCAACATCTGAGCAACATCCTTCTGGGTCTCGATTCTTCGAATCTGGATCAAACCATCACCACTCTTCGCCACAGCCTTCGAGATGACCTCTGCAGCCTCTGATTCACCCTCTGCTCGAATAACGTTTGCCTGTCGCTCTTGCTCTGCCTTCTCCACGATAAACCTCGCCCGCTCTGCCTCTTGCTGCGCGATCTGCTTCTCTTCTACAGCCTTCGTGAACTCGCGGCCGAAAGTCATGTGTGTGATGCTGACGTCTTCGAGGGCGATGTTGAATTCGGAGGCACGCTTTAGAAGGTCTGCACGGATGCGATTCGAGACAGCCTCTCGCTGGGTGATGAGCTCGGCGGCATCGAACTGGGCGACGATGGCTTTGAGGACTTCGTTTCCGATGGAGGGGAGGACACGCTCGTCGTAGTCTTGGCCGAGATTCTTCAAACAGATCAGCCCGTGTACAGTAATGGATCTGTATTATTCGGTATTACCTGGTATATCTTGGGCAACTGCTGCACCTCCGGTCGATGCAATACCCTCAGCGTCAAGCTAACCATCTGCAAGTCCTTGCTACCAGTCGTTGTGCTGATGTTTCTCGGCTTTGTCCGTACATCGAATGTGATAGCCTTCTGTAGCCATGGGATAAGGAAGTGTGTGCCTTCGTTGACGACCTGGTCAGAAACACCCTGGAGACGGTCGAAGATGACAGCTCGGGTGCCACCCTTCACATCGTAGATGGATGCAGATGCCAGTGAGAAACCGATTGCAGTAGGGACCGCCCATCGATAGACGGCGTTAAGTGCGTTGGCCGCCATTTGGAAGGGTCGTAAGGATGGTAGTGGCGGTGGATGTTGAAGAGGAAGTGGTCTCTGTTGGCTTGTTTCTTGGAGCTAGGTTGTGGTGATGTTCTCGAGATGTGACGTCACGTGACTGCTGACCATTCGGGCTTGCAGCTTTCAACATTCACTGTCTACCTCAACTCCGCCATTGCCCGACCTCTCGCATACCAAAAGACCTCCTCTTTCGCAGCGACTGATACAGCGACACAATGAGGCCATCCCAGATCTTGCGCGCCGGTGGCGGTGAGAAGAAGCCCGGACAGTGAGTTCTCCCTGGACAGACACCACAGGAGCCGAGCACTTTTGTTACAGGCACGGGTTTGAAGATTGACATGCTGATACGTATTCAGATACTTGGGCCCATGGGGCGCACTAGGTACGATTCCAATGCTTCCACCGATTCCTCTCTGGAACGAGCGCACGACACGAGCCTTCCCAAACCACATACCGAAACTCGAGGCGCTACAACCGGACGAGGAGGCTAACCGTGATATCCAGGCTCGATGCCACAGAAGGGCATCGTACACTACGGCCTCGCGCAGAACCGACAGAACCCACTTGCTGGCATAACCCGCGCCGCCGTTTTCAACACTTTCCGACGCACCCGCAACCAGATCCTGTACTGGTCCATTCCGCTGCTCGTGGGATACGAAATTATGCAATGGGCAATCGAGAGGTGAGGATACAACACAAGACAAGTCTGCGTAACCAGAAGAGCGTGATGTTGACTATGCACAGGAACGAGTATCTCAACTCGAAAGCTGGACGTGCCGAGTTCGAAGGCCAGGAGTAAAAAGTGGAAGAGGATTGGGCATTTGTGCCTTTAGCACCTCTCCTATGTGTACATATTGCAGCGATGAGCGCATAGAGGCTGTATAACACGTCTAGATGAAAATCCAGCGCTAAACCTGTCATGCTGATCACAAGGATTCGTATTCATGAGAGCTCACGAGAAAGAAAGAGAATCTTCCACCAATCGAAGCCTATAACCGAAAACTGTACGCCGCAGCAACTCATCCTGGAGCCCGTCAGCTATCATCAAAATTACAGCATAAGCAAACTTACCCCACGATCTTCCTCAAACATCACTTTGTCCATGACTGTCTCCAATATCTTTTCAACTTGAAACCCGCCATCTCGTGCCAGGTCGAAGAATGCGAGATCCTTCTCGAGCAGCCAGGGACGGTAAGGCGTGAAGAACACCAGTGCTTGAGAGTCGGCGTCTTTCTTCAGCGTCCGCTGTATGCTAAGCAGAAGCTTCGAGTGTTCTGAGTGATTGAACAGAAGATCAGCAAGGATCAAAAGATCGAAGCCTGCTTCTTTGTCCGCAGGCGGCAAATATGCCCGCAATGACGAGGGATCTGCACCCCAAAGGTAGCCCTCAGCATGGATGTTCACTGGCTGAGGAAGAAGAGAGCAATCCTTGATGTTCAGTCGCAGATTTTCGATGAGTTCGGCGTCAGGATAGTCAGTCACAATGACCTGCTTTGCTCCATTGATGGCGGTGATGAGGCTCGGTAGGCCTGCACCTGCACCCAGCTCAAGGACAGTCTTGCCGTGAATGAGACTTTGCTTGTGCTCCTCCAGGTAGTCTGATATGATCCTGCCTGCCTGCCATAGAAGGTGACCCTGAATGTCTCATTAGCTCCCTTGCCAGCAATCAGGTCATCCACTACAAAGAGAGATATTGACATCAAAACAATATAAGCCATCAAAAGAGATGATCTATAAGAAAAGAAAGCCCCATATACGATCGACAAGACCTGGACCCTTACCAAGAGTCTTCATATGAGATTTCTGCATTAGGAAGTAGCGGGATGCACCTACCCACAAAGGATTCTGGCCCACCAAGTGCAACGTCAAAGTTTGGCCATCCAACGTCCGATGTTGAACTTGCGTGGGTTCTTTCTCTTTTTGAAAATACCCCTCGGGCTCCTGGAACAAATCTATTGTTTCCTCGTTGTCTGAGTCCATCAAGGTGGGCTTTGGTCGGATTTGGGTGTGGGAAGTCGACTGTTTGACGACAACGGCTGGATGCAGCGCTAAATTCAGGGGCTCACGTGCGAAAGTGATCCACGCGGTGACAGTGTGCAGGAGTCGGTCTTCTAATCTTCGTGATTGTTGTTGATTGAAAAATAGAGACTCCAACAGATTTCTTTCATCAGATGCTGAGAACTAAGATTTTAGTAAGCCGAGACCCACAATAAACTCTCGTCCCTGGTCCCCTGTTCGTACTTCACACGTGGGACAGTTGCCTCTCTCTTTCAACCTAACCGCTCTCACGCATATATCGACACCCTCTTCGACGCCTTGGTCACCCGAACGCCGCCGGGGATGGTCATGACCAGCCCTTTGTACTGAACCCATTCTCTCAGTCCAGATTCGCCGATAGCGCCGCGATCTGGTTAAGCTTCGAAACTTGCTCAGTCGAATCCGTTTTGAAGATGTGAGTATTACCAACGCTTTTGACCGACCCTGTGTACCGTTCCTGGCAATGACGCATGCCGCATTGCCTCTACTCGCTGGACCTCGAAAAGGAGCCATCCCAGGGGCATTCCTATTGACCTAAATCCCCAGCACGCCCATGGACCAGGGATTTCGATGTCACGGCGCAAAAGCTGCTGAACGATCGCTGACACCTCTTCCCAGCTCTTTTGGAGTCGCCTCAACGGTGGGGTCTCGGACAAATCCGGCAACATGGAGCAGGAGAAGCCCTTCAAGACCATAGAAGTCATCGACTCGCGGACAAACCAAACATGCAAGGTGGCATGTATGTCCTGTATCCGCGGCCACCGTACGACCTCTTGCGGCATCCCAGTTTGCCGGACTAAGATCTTCTGGACTGTGAAACGACCGGGTCGGCCCTCCAACTCGTGCACATGTCGATATGGTGCTACAGGAGGCTGCAAATGTGTGGTCGCGAGATCAGCTTGTCCTCACAAATCCAAAAAGGGCGAGAAGCGGTCGGGCGAATGCCGATGCGACGAGCAGGGACGGTATTGCTGTCTCATCGAACCGGATCACTGGACTGCTCTGCTATCACTACAGAAGCCGGTCGTTGAGTTCCACGCAACTCGAGAAGCACTCGAGGCCAAGCAAAAGGCCGCCACAAATATGTCACTACCTCAGACGCCGGCATACTCGTCGATAACCAGTCCACCGTCTACAAACAGCATGCCTAGTACCCCAGCACCGCAAGGTCGGATGCAGCATATCCACATACTACCGAACGCCTACAATGGCTATCCTCCCCCATTGCAATCATCCACACTCACGCCGCGCTTCGGCATGATGGGAATTGGAGCGCCCATGGGCGACACACACAACCCACCTGATCAGCTGGTCTGGGAAGGCCAAGCTCCGTTGGCTCCGCGAGAACTTCCACCTCAGCATATATACGAAGAGCAGGGATCCTGCTGTCAAGCATCAACTCCATCTGCTCAAAGCGTCCGGTCTCCAGCGCCGAGCTTTGACCCTTCTTTCTCTCAACCACAGCAGATCGGATCTAGTCTACAGCCCTACAATGGAACACACGACACCGTCAGCTTGCCTCAGATCTCACCAGCAGCGCCCGCCTTCAACTTCGACAAGCTACAAACCGACTACTTCAACTACCAATTCCCGTCGGCGATCTGCCAGAATTGCGGTCTCAACGGCTGCACGTGTAGAAACTGCCCGCCAGTCTTTCAAAACTTCGGTACGACCAGCTGGGCACAATGTTGTGGACGAAAGCACGCACGAGATGTGCAACCCGCACCAGCAGAGCCGTCAAAGGTGGCGAGGACGGAGAAGTACGATCCAACACAAGGACTACACGCCCAGACTCCAGCAGTGGCGACACCGCAAACATACCATCCCTCCGACGAGTTCGCGCAATCGCTATCATTCGATCCGAATGGAACACGCGCATTCGGAGAGGGCTTCGAAGAGATGGAGTTACCTCCTATACCGCCGGCGTTCGACGACTTCGACATACCCCCCGACCTGCTGCTGAATGGGAACGATCCGATCGACTTAAACGAGTTCTTAATGTCGGATCTGGATCGAATAAATCACTCGACAGTACATACTCCCGCGGAAGTCCAGCCTTCGCCAGCAGGAGGAGGAGGAGGCGGAGGAGGCGGATGTTGCTGTTCTGGGGACTGACGATAAGATGCGATGATGGAGAACCACATAACGACCTCAAGAAGGTCGGCTCGCGAATGATCACGAACCGTGGACACTATCGAAGGACCACCCAACAGCTCGGACACTGAAAGAGCAGGGGAGACGATGATGGCAAGACACAAGCCAGTGACATGATGATGAGGACAGATGAAGCTTCCAGGAAGGACAGGAGGCGTTCAGAGGATAAGCAAACGGACGATAGAGGGAGGTTTTGGGGTTTGAGACAGTCCAACTCACGATGAGACTTTTTTTTTTCACGAGACACGACCACATGCACTGAAACCGCCCACCTTTTCGGCGGCAGGCAGCGCAGCTTCCCGTTGAATGAAGAGGCGACGACGTAGGAAAGGATAGATAGAGAGAAAGAGAGAAAATTCACCACAACCACACTTCGACATTAATGTTGTTCACGAGGGGAAAAAGGTCGACGGGGGGAAGACAGGCTACTACAATACCACTCGCTCTTTCTCTCTCTCACACACACACACTTCATTACACCCGTCTTCCAACTCTTCTTCCATGCCTTTTCCCCCTGCTCCCAATTTCCAAAAACAGAAGTCACTTTTCACAAACATTTCCGGAACCACACGTGCTGTACAATTATCTCTTGCTCTTTCTTCTCCGCTTTGGCTCTTCTTCTCTTCGTGTCTTCTCTTGTCGCGAAAAGAATAAAAAAGCGAGTGGTATTTTTGCGGGTAAAACGGGTGGGTATTGCGTACAATGTGGATGCGAGAGACAAAACGTACGCTCAAAAAGATACGAAAAAGAGCTCTGTCGACGCAAGAGGGTCTTTGCATCATCCAGAGCCCAAGAAATCGATGCCTCCGACGTAATCCCCCAGATCCTCGGGGTCGTTGGGGTCGATGTCGTTGGGAACGCCATTCTAGTTCTTGTTCAAACCAAAGTACAGACCCAGGACCAGGGCGAGGATGATGACGATGGCCAGACAGATGAAGAAACACCACCATTTGAGTTTGCGGGCGCGGCGGGCGGATTCGATGCCCTTGTCGAGCTGGACGTTGCCGGCTTCGGTGTCGTGCTTGACGTTTTCCGTGTGCATCTCGGTTTGCTGGATCGGTTGGTCTTGGAGAACGACTTGCGTGGCGAGGTCTTCCATGAGTTGTTGCAGTTCGAGCATGGTGCGTTCGATCTTTTGGATGTCGTTGTGGCGGGCGCGCACGGCGCCGAGGACCGTGTTGGCGGTTGCGGAGCGGTTCGTTTTGAGCTGTAGATATGTCAGATTAGATAGATGCCGCCGTAAGTGGAGAATTTATGACTTACAGCAGTCTGGAAAACGCCCTCATTTCCCCAATCCGCATCTGCGGCTTCTTGCACCTCAGCGTCCGTGGCCTCGGGGTTCACAATACGGTACTGTCGCGCGATTTGTTCCCTGTAGCGCTTCTCATAATTGGCCTCCTCAACCCTGTACTCTTGCAGCTGTTTCGTGAAGCTCGTCTTGAGCTGGCCGACCTGCGTATTCTTGACCTGATTGTCCTTGCTGCGCACCGCGTCCGCCTCGAGGAACTTGATCTGATCCTTGATCGACGTGTTCAGCACCTGTGTCTGCGTGATCATCGACTCGAGTTGGCCTGACGAGCTGCTGTCGGGCGAGGAGAGCGTGCGCTGGTGTAGGGACGCGATTTGGCCGACGTGCGTCGTCAGCGTGCGGATGTCTGCCTTGACGGCTTCGACGCGGGAGAGGAAGTCGGAGACTGGTAACACGGAGGGGCCTGCTTGGACGTATTGCACATTTTGGCCGGGCTGAACTGGCTGTCCAGGCATCGCTGGGGCAGGAGTCGGCTGGGAATAGCTCGATTCTTGGTAGGACTCCTGGTGTCCGAGGGTGGGAGCTTGCTGCGCATTGTATTAGCCGGATGGTCGCAGTCGCGCGCCGAGCAGTGCATCTCACGCTCTGTCCATCGTAGGTGCTGGTGCCATAAGGATTGCTGCCGGGCGGTTGCTCCTCGCCATAAGCTGTTTCCGAAGTCAGTTATCTCGCAGCGGCAGCCGACTGGGTGCACCTGGATCACACGTACGATTGCCGCCGTAGCCCTGGTACTGGTTATAACTCATGCTGGATGGATGTCGAGCGCAGAGGGTGCGCAGTCGGGGTGGTGTTGCGGACGGCGGTCGGGCTGTCGTCGACGAGGATGAGAAGAGGCGCCGGCAGGGTCGGATGAGCCAGTGGCTGGTGGTTATTACGGCGTGCAGCAGCGCTGACCTTGGGCGATGGATGAATCAGCAGTTTTTCGTCGGGCGGCCACAATCACCGTCGGTGCATGGCAATTGCGAGGCCGAATGATGGACTGCGGTAACGTGCGACAATGTTGTGGTAACGATGCTGCTCGTGGTGGTCGTGGTCAGCTCGGCGCATTGGCTTTGATCAGTGATGATGAGCTCTCTCGGCCGGACAGCTGCTTGTTGGTCGGTGCGCAGCATCAAGATTCCACGGCTGCCTTTCAAGGTCGTTGTTCCATACATGTATGTAAGCTACATACCTCCACCTCATCATCACATACATATGTCCCTACCGACACCCTTGGCAATCCCATCTATCAACCCTACCTCGCTAACTCACCGTGCTACTCCGCGTGCATCATCCTCACTTCGACGCTGACCAACAAAGCACGTGGCCCACGTGCGCTGCACTTACCCATCACTCTACCTTGGATACCGACCTCGAAGATCACACCAACGAGGCGCGTTTCGAAATATCGTCGTATTGTTGCCAACTCCATGAGTTGGATATGGGTAGGCTAATCTATACTCGTTACATCACAAATGCCGCCGATTGCTGGAAGACAAATGCTGCTGTCCCATCCATCCTTGCTCCGGTATCGTTGCTGCAATCAAAATGCTGTCGTCAAACCGTAGAATGTCATCAAATTGAGTGTCTCTCGCCGTCCACCAGGTTTGTGCGACCACTCCTCGCGTCGACTAGAAAGGTAAAGAGGTCGCCCTGGCGATCTATCCCATGTCCTTATCCATATCGACGAGACCCTGTGCGAATCGTCGAGCTGTTTCGCAAAGCTGTCGAGCTCTAACTTTCCCTCCTCACAGTCCGATATCCCCCAAATCTCTCGACAGGCATGCCATCTGCGCTCTCTTCGCTGCCTCGGCCAGAAGATTGAACTGGGCGAGGTGAGGTGCCGTCTCTGGCGCTCCACCAGTGTCGCCTCTTTGCCCCACATACGGCGAGGACACGGCTTGCTGTGCTTGGGCTGGTATTCGTTGCGACTGTGTGGGATGCGACGTCGGCGCATGTGACGATGATATTGAGCTGAAGTAGTTGTTCGGTTGGGCCATCGACGGCGACGGTAACGGCGCCGACTCTGCCATGTGTGGGTTGTGCGGCGCAGAGTTGAGGGACGACAACGAGGCCAGTGAGCTTGTGCTTTGAAAGACTGACGATGTCTGCGACGACGGCGACGCCGCTTGCACGGTTACTTGTGGGTATGGTGGTCTCTGGCCATGCGACTGTCTCTGTTGTCGTGGATCCATGTTATGAAGGATCGTAAGGCTGCCGTCGAGCAAGCAGTCGGCCTCAAAAGCGAGGTCGGCTGATGGAGCTGAGAATCGTGGTACTTCTGTACCGAGGGACGCCTCCGAGCTGCTGTACCGGCCTTGAAACGAAAGCAGATCGGCAGGATCTGGGGGAAGGTGGCAGTGTGCAGTCTGATAAGCGGTTTCGCGGCGGCGGTCTAGAAAGGCGGCAGGTGTGTTGGATCCCCAAACTCTGTCTCTCGCATGCAGGAAGAGAGGTTGTAGGAAGATACCAGCAGCTCGGTCTCAGTAGTCGCGAGACAGATCAAGAGGAAGGTCGGAGGCGAGACGTAACGGCTACGTCTTGTGCTTCCTTCTGGTAATAAAGTGGGCGGTTCCGCCGAGGCAGCACAACAGATCGAGGGTTTCTCAATCCAGGATAACCCGATGTGGGATGAGATTGCACACCACTCGACCGGATTCTTCGCCCCACCAAACAACCGCGCCAGACAGTCAGAGCCGGCTCGAGCGAAGAAGGGACTGACACGCCGAAGAGACGTCGATGATAGGCCACGCGCGAAGAAGGAGCCGCCAAGAGGAGTTATAGCCGTGCCGCAGAAGAAGTCAAACAGAAATCGCAGAAGACGGACAAAGACAGCAGCGATTTGGTGCGGGCGTCGGGTGTCCAGCCAATAATCGGCCTGGGCGGCGGCGACGGACGGCATTTCTCCAGGCTCTCCTCCACCTCCACACCTCCGTCGAAAGATCTTCGTGACGACGTCGTGTCGTCTCTCGCCTCGTGTCATCCTCCTCCACCAACAACAAGCAAATCCGAAGAACCCTGAGAAAAGGAAGGCTGCAACGGCTTTCCTGTTTGAGGTCAAGACGCTTGCTCGCTTTTATCCCGCCGGCGGATTTATGCACGAAGGACATGAGTGAGACACCTTAGACTTTTGCCGTACACGTGACAATATGCCTGTGAGTGAATGCAACAACAACCACTCCATCAAACAAAAGATATACTAACCATCTCCACCCCCAAGCTCATCCTAGTATCCGGCTACCCCAGCAGCGGCAAAACCCACCGCAGCACCCAACTCATCGCCCACTTCACCCAAAAAATCAGCACCTCCACCGACCCGCGCATCACCCGCCTCACCATCCACCACATCTCCGACGACACCCTCTCCCTCCCACGCACCGTCTACGCCAGCGCGCGCCCCGAAAAAGACGCCCGCGCGACCCTCTCCTCCGCCATCAAACGCCACCTCTCACGGGACACCCTCGTCATCGCCGACGCCCCAAACTACATCAAAGGCTTCCGCTACCAACTCTACTGCGAAGCCAAAGCCGTGCAAACCCCCTCCTGCGTCGTGCACGTCGGCACCCCGGCCTCCAAATGCCGCGAGCTGAACGCCTCCTCCCCGCACCCCTACGCGGAGGATGTCTTTGAGAACCTCCTCTTCCGCTACGAGGAGCCCAACGGCATGAACCGCTGGGATGCCCCCTTATTCACCATCCCCTTCGAGGACGCCGAACCCCCCAGCGAGGACATCTGGGAAGCGATGGTGGGGTCCGAAGGCAGCAAGCCGAAAGTCGTGCGGCCGAATGCCGCCACCGTGCTGAAACCCGCCGCGGAGCAGAATTATCTCTACGAGCTGGATCGGACGACGTCCGAGGTGCTGGCGCTCATCACGGCGTGGTTGGGCGATCATCCGGGGGAGGGCGGAGGGGAGGTGAGTGTGCCTGGGTCGGAGCAGACGATTAGTTTGCCCCTGAATGCGCCTTCGGTGCCGCAGTTGCAGAGGCTGAGGATGCAGTATATTGGCTTGAATCGGCAGCATTCGTTGAGTAAAGGAAGGATTCGGGATTTGTTTGTAGACTATTTGAATGATGCTTTTCAGACTTGACAAGCCTTCCATCCTTTCCCTCTCGAACGAACGACGATGTACCCTCTCAAGGCGAATCCAACATCAACTCAAACGTCGTTCCATCCGACAAGGTCACCCATTCCTTATTAGCATACACGCAATGCGTACAAGGTTCAGGCTTGATTCCCGCATCGAGACTCTCATGCGGACCTGTCGGTGAATCCCAGCTGTGGAAATGTTCCCCATGGATTAGAGACATCGTCTCGGCAGAGATTCCAAAAGGCCCTGCAATCACAGTCGGACCACGCTGTCTGGGAGGAGTAACAGTCGGTCTCATGGGTACTGCCCTGGGCAGAAGCGCTGGCGGTGGAGGTGGCGGCGGGATCGGTGCTCGAGTGCCATACGTCGTGAAGTCGATTTCCGTGTCTCCTCGGCTCCTTTCATGATCTGGAGCGGATGGCACGTTGCGCCTGGGGAGATTTCCAAAGGGACTGAAGTCGATGGATCCAAGCAATGGGCCTCGCGGTGTCATGATCTCGCCTACAGTTCCCCCTGGAGTCGTTGAGGCCACGACAGGTGTCCGTGGAGCGAAGTTGCGGTCGAGCGAGTGTATCGAGCGCAGCTCTGGGAGAGAGTAATGGATTCGACGATCGGTTGCTCGCGACATGGTGCCTGCTTCGCTACCCTCCTGCAGCGTGTAAGGCGTACGAGGCTGATCTGAGGTGGCGAGGACCAGCGAGCGAGGCGACTGACCAACAGCTGTCGAGCCCGACAGCCGTCCCAGTTCACACTCAATGCTGCACTGCTGATCGGGCGGCTGCGTGGGACCTTCATCTGGACTGCATGGATCCCATAGCCAGGGTAAAGCTCCAGGACGACTATGTGGAAAACGAGGTCCCGCTCTCGGCATCATGTCGAACTCCAGCTCCTAATGAGAACGACGCGGCGGATTCGACATTGAACGGACCGGCTGCGCAACGCTGGTGTCCACACGAATGCCCTGCTGCCGAGCCAAGCGTGCCACTCTCCCACGGCCTGTCTGATGCTCTCGAATTTCTTCCTGAACTCTAATAGCAACATTCAGTGGCAGTGCAGATCCGCCATGTGCAGCGGCCAGAGCCTGTCGAGTTGTCAATAGGGTCTCACTCATCGTCTCTAGCACCACATACTTCGTACTCGTCGCGTAATGCCCTCAGCTCATCCATGCTGTTTGAAAAGTTCTCCACTTCTTGGAAGACAGCCTCAGCTCTCCGCAGCATGAGATGCCGAGTTTCAGGAGAATGGCTTTCGATATTTTCCAGGTCAGTCCTTGCTTCTCTTAACTGTTCTTGCAAAAAATCGAACCCTGCAGCAATCGTGCTGTGGACGCGTGTTCTCGGATCTGGTGATGACGGAGCCGGCGTGTGAACAGCAGTGGTCCCAGACAGTGGCGAAGAGACTGCCGAGTTCATAATGTCTTTGATGTTCCTGCTTCGTCTCTCAACGCTCAAACGCCTCAGGCGCAACAGCAACAACCACAATCAAGCTCGCAACAATAAGCGCAACGGCGACCGTAGAGACAATGATGATAGTGCCTCGGGAAGCAGGAAATTTGCCGCGAATCACGTAGTGCTGGCTCTCGAAATAACGATGGAAACCCAGCATGAGGATCAATATCGCTTTGTTCTCAGTCAACACACATGGCCAGCTTTCGTGGTAGGAGTAGGGTTGACAACTTACAGATGGCTAAGAATGTCGCCCCAAGCGGTTTGCCCACAGCTCGAAGCTTCTTCGTCGCAGCGAATGATACTACGGCGTCCGGGTTGTTGGAGGCGATGGTGGTGTTGAGGCGGAAGAGCTGGGTTACTGCGATGCCGATGCTGGCGAAGGATAGGGACGTTCGTAGCCAGGCGAGGAAGGTCCTTTCTGTTGTCGACTGTCAGTCCTTGCAACGTATGTAGATCTATGAGTGAGGGAAGGCTCACCTAACGCAAGATGGTCGCGTGCCACACTTCCCTTGTTTTCCAACTCGACGCTGCCGTACTTCTCCACCAGCGATCTCCACCAACTCTCCTGCTCTGGCTCTTGTTCCGTCGTCTCTGGCTGAGCTTGTGTCTGGCCCTGAGCGGGAGTGTTTGTATTCCGAATACTCCCTCTCGACCGGATCGATCCACTCTTCTTCTTTCTCAAAACGCCCACACCTTCGAGAGCCCCATCATATCCCACCAACTGATCTTCCTCGTGATCAACTCCATTCGCCGTCGCTCCATATCCCGACTTGATTGACACATTGTTGCTCTTCTTCACAATCGCTGTATTCTCATCCGCACTACTGTCCCCCACTTCCTCCGAGTCCCTCCCCAACCGACTCCTCAATCCCCCAAGAGGACTCTGACCCGGCGAGGAGCTCGCTGCCATCCCGTAACTGCTCTCCCCAGAACGCTTGGGCGAAGCAGTCTCCGGCAGAAACGTCACAGAACGCTGCCTCTCGTCGCTCGCCCTCCCAGACGCGAGCAAGCTCCCCAACTGCCCACTCCCGTACGAATTCCTAGGGGAATCCCGCTTGATATGTCCCAGCGAAGCCGGACGAGGCCCCGTCTTCTCCTCCGGCGACGAAGCCACAGGCGGGGGGAGCGAAGGTCTCGAGAGGTTCTGAATCGTCCTTTGAGCAGGGTCGGCGGGGCCTGGACGAGGGGTGGTCAAGGAGTCATCGGAGTCGTTATCAGAGGTCGGGTGCGATTGCGATTCAGACGAGGCGGTGGAATTGGAGACGGGCGAGCAGGGCAATGGCATGCTTTCGACCTTTTTTGGGATCGGGCGCGGTGGAGCGAGGTTGCTGGGAAGCTATTCTAGTTTGAAAGCTTAAATGGTCACGGCACGTGCTGCTCCTCTTGGGGATTGTTTATTAGAAAAGGATATGTGATGAGTATGTTCTGAGGGGGAGATTGGGTGCAACAATCGCGTGGAGCTCTGTGACGCTCAGGCGTTGATGATTGAAGGCGTTGTGCTGAAGGTAATCCTCATGAAGCTGATGAAGCATCCGCGGACGATGGACTCGCTCGGCCTGGCCAGCGGATCCCGCGCTGAGGGTGCCTGCATGCGCTGGTGGCACATCCGATATCTGGATTGCTAATAAAATGGCAGTCGAATGGCGTGATACCGTGGCCGATTCGCGCGAGAATGTTGGAGTGAGGGCAAGCTTCACACGGCAGTGGGACGGGGGTGGCCGGGGATGAGGTCGGTAGGGTCCAGCGAACACTCGGTAAGAGAATATGCAAGACCGCCTCGCAGGTCATATACCGTCTACTCTTGGCTCCACTAACAGCTGACATGTAAATGAACTGCTCCTAGAGGAAGCCATATTCTGGACCCGAAAGATCAGATCACGGTCATGCTTGAGAGATTCAAGGGCGAGATTACAGCAGGAAAGTACAACATTTTGCAACGCTCTGTCACACTATCACACGCTCCATGTCAAGACACAAGTTTCATTAAAAAGGTTAACCGAACATGCAAGGCGCACCAACACATAGCAAGATTCTCGCAACCGCCCGTGTCGACTACCAGCAAGGCGAGTGCAATCTAAACTCTCCCCAAAGGCGCACACTCGAGCAAACCGGGTCCATGAGGTGTGTGGTTGTAGTGGGCTTGAGAGGATCGTCTACGGTGGCTGGTGCGATCTCTGGAACGACGCCGTTCCGGTCCATTTGCAATGCGCTCCCAAGAGAGCCTTCGTGCTCGTGGGATCCTGCCACCCTCTGAAGATATCGGTCCGAGGTATCGACCCTGGTGATCTTGGTGGCCGTTGGCAACAGCCGTGTTGACTACGGCTCTAGTCGACAGGTCGTTCCCAGCGGCAATGCGATTCGATGCATCAGCGCTACGGTGCGATGCTTCTGCTGCATACGTCGTGGCCTTGGCGGATCTCTTCGTGGCTTGTGCTGACTCCCTGGTCGCCTGGGTGGACAAGCTGACGGCCGCTACACTGGCGACGCTGGCAATGCTGGCGATGGTCGTCCAGAAAGTTTTCTTTTTGAACCATGGTTTCTCGGGTTTGCCTTTGTAGTCGTTGTCACGGGGAGACAACGATCTGCGGCGTAACGAAGAAGGCCGTGAACGGTCTTCCCGGTGGGGGCGCCAGTTTGAGGATGAACGACGACTTTGTCGTGGTCGAGATCGTGATCTGTCACGCCGGGCAGAGACCAATGAGTCGTTTGATTTTCTCGCACGCGGGCTATAGTCACGACCCCGATCGTCACTCTCAACCGCATCTCTTCCGTCGGGTCGCCAGCGTTTGTGATAGGACTTCGACTTGGACGCATTGTCTGGATAATAAGTGGTCCCAATGATGTCAGGGTCAATCGTGCTTGCCATCGTCGTAAGACCTCGCAGAGAGTGCGGTCAAGTAGTGATCGAAGTTCTGCTACTCACTGCAACGAGTCAGTGGCAGCTTAATAGTTCGAGCAGCAAGGAGAGGGTTTCGAACGGAGTGCAGCTGTCAAGACGTAATAGGTGACTGACGTGGCCGGAATGCCTGATAAGTCGCGGCCAGATGCGTCGAACATGCTTGCGCGGGATACTAGCATCTGCCGTCGTCGAGGCATCCTTGCTCGGCTAGTCGAGATGATCGTGGTGCTTCCTTGAACATAGCTTATTATGATGTACCAACCAACCAACCAATCCTTGGCAGTAGCATTGGAAGCTACTTCATTCGCAGATTGGAGCAGGTGTATCCCGGATCCGGATCACATGCCCAGAGTTGGACAGCAACGACGTGGCATAGTTCCTCTGCATCTTGACGATCTGCCTGGAAAAGCGATTCACTCTGCGCTGCGCGAGGTATTCGGATTTATTCGGGCGCTGGTGGCCCAAAAGCTGTTGGACAGGATCATTCGTCATTCGATGGTTCGTAATCTCTGCTGCTCCTGCGGCTTTTATCTATGTTCCGGTATTGCCGCCTTGACCAGGACGCCGAAGAACCCTAGGAAACGATTCGTCATGTACAGACTCGCTGGTCTGTTCCCGGGAACGAGAGTGGTTGACTGACTCCTCGGCGCTCCGCCCGATGTGACCGACAACAGTAGAGGTAATGATGAGGCGGACGACGCTGCGACTTCACGTCGAGTAGAATGCAAATTCGTGTTCCCTGCGACCTCCTAATGGACGAGACGCTCCTGCAGAATCAACGTGGGAGATGACATGAGAGAATGTTTGGGATGAGGTGGACTTTGTATGAGGAATTGTGGCTGTAATCTCCGATTCGCAGGCGTTTGGCGATTGAGGGCGGTGTTGTGGTGGAACGTCGCCCTCTTCGAAGCTCACCAAGCGTTGGAGGAAGAGGAGAAGGAGGAGAAGGAGGAGGAGGTTGGCTCGCGACCGAAGCGAATCCCGGAGTTAAAAAAAGCAGCCGAGCAGATCGGGGAGTGGTGTTTAATAGCGCGGCCTACGCGCATGCTCGCGCTTTGGGGTTCGTGACGGCAGTGGCATTAAGGGTTACATGTACTTAGTGTAAGTGCCGACGGCTTCCGACAGAGACAACCATTACTGTTACGATTAGAGTCAACTGAGCTTTCTGCAATATTGAAGTATTTCATCATGAGAAGGGATAGAGGTAGCTCAAGTCCAGTGGTCGAAAAACGTCGCCGGCTAATAGGGCACTTTGGGAACACCACTCGAGACTGTAGAGCGTGCTTGCCAATACACTGGGTTGATGAGGAGCCCCGTCAGACAGCGACAATGAACTCGCTGCCTTTTATTAGTGTCCACTTTTCTCCTCATCTTGCATCAAATAGTTAGGTACTTACTAAGGGTCATGTATGTACCTTGGAGCACCCGCTCGTTTGTAACGCATTCTAGCGCATACTCTCCAATCCATGTGTGAATTGTCGTGGCTCCTCGTCCAAGGAAACGCTCGGCCGAGTTTAACTCCAAGCAGCTCTCCTTCTATGTGTTCACGCTTGACCAGAGAGACATTCCCTATTTAAGCGACATGCTACGCTTCCGAAACAATGTCCACCATCTCCAGCATCCGAGCCACACGTGACTATCAAACTGCAATCGAGAACCAACCGAGTACGAGGAACCTGAATTCAGCCTGGAAAGGTCCAAGAGACTCACATCCTACCTCAAGCAGACTAGGAAACAAAGATGACCGCCCGTCTCCCACCAAAGCCTCGAGAGCAGCTGACTCCTGAGCAACAGGAGATGCACGATCTCTACGGGAAAGCGACTAAGACGGTCTTCGGAGAAGCCGGCGGCAGCTTTATCTTTGAAGAGGCCGATGGCTCCTACAATGGACCGCTACCATTCTTTGCGTATCTCCCCTCGGCCGGCCGATCGCTATTCGCGCAGATGTCAGCGATTGGAAAGCTTCCGATTCCACCGGACGCGCGAGAAGTAGCGATCTTGACGACTGGTGCCCATTTCAAAGCCGGATACGAAACGTACAGTCACATTCCTCAAGCCGTGCACCTTGCTGGACTATCACAGCAACAGGCGGAAGAATTGGCGGTGGGCAAGAAGCCGGATGGTCTCAGCGCAGAGGGCAGTGTGACATACGACATGGCGACTTATCTGACGAACATACCTGGTCCGCTGCCGCAAGAGATCTGGGACCGGGCTGTGAAGGTATTGGGAAAGGAGACCGTGGTGGGCCTGCTGCATTATATCGGATTTTATGCCTATGTCTCAATCGGTCTGAACGCCGTCGACGCTGCAGTACCAGAGTAATATTGAAGTTGCCATGGCTTCCTACGTACAGAGACATTACTGCATAAGCCGTCGACTTCAGTTCAAAGATACACTCCAAATCGTACGCATCAGCGCTGTCCGATTCCACAGCGTCGCTGTTCTACGTTCCTTCTGTATCTGTCAGCAACGGTCGAGTACAAATCCACACGCTTCCGATTAACGTTGCATCCGGAAGACACGGAGTACCATATCCATGATTCTTGGTCGCACTCCCACAGTCATTTGGAAGGCTGAAAATGCGACGACTAATATTTCTCCGCCATTGGTCCACGACCTCCATGAGTGAATCTCACGAGTGTAATACATAGTAAATATCCAGCTTGACAACTCGAGGCCCAGTTCACTCAGACCTCCCAAGATTCGAGACCTATTTGCTGACCTGAACGCCCAGCTTTTCGGCGGCACTTACAAGTCCGTACTCATGCTCATTCACCCATACATCAGGAATGCTCTCATTTCTCAATTCTTTATGACTCTCCTCATCAGGTCGCTCAACGTAAACAGTTCTGAGGCCGCATGACTTCGCAGCTTGCAGGTCTGCCAGATGGGCTGCTACCAGAGCGCACTGTGCGGGCTTCAACCCCATTTCTTCCACCGCCCTTAGGTAGACTTTGGGGCTCGGCTTGTACGACCTGAACATCTCCGCAGATAGGATCTGCTTGACGGGCAGCTTGCCATAGTCGACTAAATCATTGAGAAGGGCCATATTGCCATTGCTTAATATGCAAGTCTGAAAACCCTTGTTAAGCTCGGCGAATCCTTGTCGGGTGTCGGGCCACGGATCTAGCCGGTGCCATACCAGGCTCAAGTCTTGCACTTGCGCTTCTGTCCATAGCGAACCGTCGCCAGGGTTGTTATTGTCGGTCCTTGGGAACATCAGTCCTCGCGAGGTAAGGAGGGCCTTGAACGATTCGAGATGGTGCTCGTCAACAGTCTTCCATGGCTTACTCGCATCTTGCGCAATCTCTAGTGTGAAGTGGTAGTAGCCGTCCCTCCAGTCCTGCGTCCTTGTTAGTCCTGCGTCCTCGTCCGTGCTACAGGTTTTCTTGCGAGTAGTGCTTCTAGGAGAGATGGCCGAGGCTTCGTGGCAGCCCCGTTGCGCTGCTTCTGCTTGAAGATGTGCTGTATCTCCGACCTACTTAGCTTACCTGAGCGAACTTGCCCCAATCCTCACGTGTCTACTGTCGTTGTTAATGATGCTTTCTCCCTCATTGAAGTTTGGCCTACCATGTCAGTTGCAATGCTGCGCGCCCGGCTGTCAATCGACGCGGTCGCGGAACAGAGCGCATCTTTGGCTGCTTTCCACAATGTCTCCGTCACCGTGGTTCGCCAGTCGACGCAGGTTCCAAATGTATCAAAAAAGAGGCAGCGGACTCCGGAGTCTTGAAGTTTCGACATCACAGTTTGAGCTGGAAAGGAAAGATACAGTTGAGAGACCGTAAAGGATGATCGTGTAGATATTCATTGGCCTCCAGACCTTCCTACTACTGCAATCGCCGCATATTAACGTCTGTTGACTAAAAGCTATAAAATGCATGCACGCTCCGGCAAGCATGAAGTCAATTTAGTCTCAAAGCACAGACCATACTCGCTAAACCGGCCAATAGTAACAGGCCCGGCTACATTCACTTCGACAGCAAAGTTTTGAATCAGGTATAGTCAGAAAACCTTGCGTCACGCCAGTGGCCTGTGCTCTGAGGCTAAAGCCAATTCGTAAGCTGAACATATCAATGGTAGAGCTACATGTACTCTGCCTGTTTTGTGTCCTCTCGGCCGCAGCTACTGAGATCAACTACACTTATATCACCAAAGAGTCGATACGCATCCACCTTTCCTCTCTGTACTAAGCAACGGTTCTCGGTCTCGACAGGACTACTTGTTCGATAATGCTTGATCAGCAAACGCGTTTCTACGCATGACGACCGTTGTCATTACTACTTACTAGAAATGACGACTACTGTTTTCCTACTCAACCTTCACCAATTTGGCTCACTTTTCCAGTGAAAGCTCAGAACAGTACTTTGCACCATGTCCGAGATTAAGACAGTAGGCGTTGTCGGAACTGGCGTCATCGGAGCCTCGTGGACGGCGCTCTTCTTGGCTCATGGAAAACATGTCCTGGTCGCAGATCCAGCGCCAGATGCAGCCAACACTCTAAGAGCTCATCTTGAATCGTTCTGGCCACTAGTAGAGCAGATCGGACTTTCGTCTGGCGCATCCCTGCAAAATTATCGCTTTGTCGGTGCTAGCCTCGGAGAGCACTATGGCGAAGTGGATTACGTACAGGAAGTGAGCAGCAGCGGACCTCCACCAGCAACTACAAGCTGACGCCCGTGATTCAGAACGCGCCGGAGAGACTCGACCTGAAGAAAAAGCTGATCGCAGAGATCGATTCCAAGACTCGACCCGAAGTAGTCATTGCATCCTCCTCCTCAGGCATCCCTAGTTCACAATTCGTGACGAGCTGCAAGCATCCTGAGCGCGTACTCATCGGCCATCCTTTTCATCCGCCTCATATCATGCCGCTTGTCGAGGTTGTGGGACATCCGGGTAGTAGCGAGAACGCAATTGCCACCGCCATGCAGTTCTACACCTCGGTCGATAAACGGCCTATACATATCATGAAAGAGACGCCGGGTCATGCTGCGAATCGTTTCCAAGCGGCGGTGATGAATGAGGCGTTCAGTTTGGTGTCTCATGGGGTCCTTACCGCTACGGATGTCGGTGAGTTCTGTCATACCGATTCCATCTTCTCATCATACAGAGCTATCGGGAGCTAAATGCTGCATAGATGCGTGCATAACCACTAGTCTCGGGCCCCGCTACGCGCTGATGGGCCCTTTCCTATCGAACGTCAGTGGTGGAGGTGGTGGTAAAGATGGGTTCAGACACCTGCTCGAGCACCTTGGGCCTGCTGTGCAAGGCTGGCTGAAGGATATGAAAGATAAGCAAATCAGCTACGACGCAGAGACCTACGATAAGCTGAGCGAAAGTGTGAGGAAAGAGCAAGAAATCTTCGATATTAAAGAGGTCGAGAAGCAGCGAGATGAGCTGCTTGTGCGGCTATTAAAGGACAAGAAGACTGCCTCAGCGATAGTCTAGATTATTTGTGTTACGGATTAGCTACGTCGCGCATCTACTGCACTGTGATCGTAGACCGAGCGAGGAACATACTTCTTGGCTCGGACTCCCTCTCTCGAAGATCCATGGTGGAAGTTTCAGACCTCGGTGTACTTTATACATCGTCTCCACTCCATAAATCGGCAACCGCCAAAAATTGCTGTCGACACAGCTTCCGCCATTGATTCGATCCGACTTCCATCGCAGCTCTCGCCTACGCAGTGCCCGAGCACTGATCCTCTCTTGAGAATTGATAAAGCCGTACACCAGTACTACCGTCCTTTCGCCCTGCAACAAGACCAAAGAGTCGCACCATTCATCCCTCACGCTCCCGCCATGGCTTCAGCACCATCGATTCCCACAGGAGCCTCCCTCCGATCTCCCTTGGAATACTCGCGAACGACACGAACCCGATACACAGCATCCCCAGGCACACGTTCCAGCGAAGCCTCAAACTCCTCCACGCTTGACCCACCCTTGGGTCTCGACACCCACATGAGCAGCTTCTCGCCCACATAGAACTTGGACTCCGGCGTCTTTCCCGCCGCCGTCTTCTCCACCCCATCCACAAGTCGCTTCAAGTCCTCTCCAGGCTCCGTCGTCCTCACAGGCCTCTGGTAAATGTTCACGATCCTCTCTGCTGCTGCTGCCGCATCATCATTATCCGTCCCAACAACGATCCGAAACTCATCAAAGACATTCTGGCGCGCATCGTGCATGACCCGCAAATGCGTCGGATGATTCCTCCACCTCGCCAGAGCGGCCGCATCCGTGAATTGCGCGAAGAGACACTGCCTGTGCGGTTGCGTGGGATCTCCGAAGGGAACCTCCTCGATGAAGCCCGAGATGTTTTGGAGGATCGGTTGGAGCGTGCCGTAGTATTCTGCGCCTACGGCGGCTTTGCTTGCTGGCACGATGCCGGAGAATAGGACGTAGTGCATTGTGGACGGGTGTTGCCGTGATCGAGGGTTGGTTGTGGTCGTGGTTGTGTTGATTGTGAAATGTCTAGGTGAGATCTGAAATGATGGGAAGAAAGCTTACGTTCCAACACCCTCTTCAATGTCCTTTGTGAGCGCCTTGCAAAACCATCACCGACGACATCAAAGTCCTTATATGCCCTTGAGAAGCAACGCAGGAAGAAGGTATTTGATATGCCAAGAACGGGCTGAAGACATGCCCAGCAGATGCCGAGAACGTGATTCCACATGATTATAAGGAAAACCACGGAGAGCCATTCTAAAGGCCGAGTATGTGCGCCTTAGTCCCGGTGATTTAAGCTCTACTCGAATGTCGCTGGCAATGGTCGTTGCTATTTGGAAGGGATGAGATCGTTAGGGTCCAGGTCGTTCTGTCAAGCCTGAGACGATGAGGTGAATGACTACACATCTGGTAGGTAGGAATGCGATCGTAGATCCAGAAGGGAACGTATTCATGACTCACATCAATGACTAGCTAGTGGATGTCATCGAAGAAGGCATGGAAGAAAGCAGTGGACGATGTAGGTGCCATAGAACGTCCCTTTGTTCGCAAACAGACCACAGTCTGTTGTCCTATCTATCTCAAGATCACTTCATACTTCAGTCACTCCCCAGCGCCACGCTGTAAACGATTCCCTAAAAAACCTCAAACACACCCAATGCGATCCGCTCAAGGATCCGAGCCGCCGACGACAGCGAGCATGCCCTCGATCTCCTTCAACGCCTTTTGTAGAAGGACGTTATCTGTCCCATTCGTCACCGTCTTCGACCACCTCTCCTCCAGTGCATTCGTCGGTGTCAATCGCTCACTCAGATTCCTCTTCCGTGATAGTGCCTCCACCAACGCCTTCACTGCCTCCACGTCGTATTCGAGGGCGGGAATGTCTGCCGCATTGATGCCTTCCGCTGCTGCGCGAGCTTCATCTGAGTCGAGAATAGCCGATAGCATCGCCAGACTGTTCGCTTCGGCCACAAGGCCCAGCGTCACTGCCCCTGCTCTCGGATTGCGCGGCGATGGTGTCTCGTTCCGTAATGATCGCCCTGCACGGTGTAGTTGTTCTGAGAAAGAGTTAAGGAAAGCGCCAACCTCTGCTGCAATCGGCGGCCCCACGGCGTCCAGCAGGTTCAGACATATCGGCAGAAAGCCTTCGCTCCAAATGACGAACATGCGCTGAGGTTCATCGAAGGGTCCCTTGCCACCAGGTTTCCGGAAGTAGTTGGAAAGGTTGCTGGCCGAAAGCTGGGTGAGCGCGCCAGATAGTGCTATTTGCACTGCAATGGGAGGCACAGTCGACAAAGCCAACAGGAACATGACCGCTACCTCGCCGAATATCGGATCATGCGCTGTTGATTCTGCCAACTGATCGGACCACGAGTAGAGACTCAAAGCCCCTCGTATGAGAGAAGAGTCGGCCACAATGTCTGACAACCGCGTGTGGACTGAGCTGATGCCTGGGACAGATATCACAGCCTGTAACAGTGCAGTGAGCAATGCGAAATCCGCAGGTAGAGCCAAATCCGGATCAGTGTGAAGGTTGGCACACAAGGCGCGGAATCCAGGGGCAACGACTTTGCCGATAATACTGACCAGGATGGCGCTGATTTCAGGGTCCAGATAGAGAAGCTGAGTCTGGCTTGTCGCTCCACCTTGTTGAGCTTTCCCGACGAAGCCGTGAGGCAGAATAGTGAGGTACAAGACTTGAAGGAGTTGGCGGTAGTAGTTCACATCCTCGGAGACAGTCGCGATGTCGAAGTCAACCGGCGACAAGTTGACGAGTTCCCACGCAGCCTTCACGAGGTCCTTCGCCTTCTGGTCCTGCACCTTGAGAGCGACGACCTTGGAGCAAAGCACGAACGCCAGTTCGATCCGCTCGTTCAGCACGTCCGCAGCACCTGGCTGGTCGAGTTGTGGATCAGCATTTGCTAATAGGCACTGCTCTGCCACCTCAGCTAACACGGGATGTGTACTTGGCTCCTCGTCTGCCAGTTCGCAGATCGTGATGGCCACAGCCTTCCAGCTCGTCAACAGCTTCGTCTGTGCATCAAGGAGACTCAGATTAGCATTCGCTCGGGCGAATTCGTCTGAAAAGCCTTGACTTCGGCCCTTGTTGCCACCATGCCAGGAGACATCATGACTGAGCACACTGGTTGCGAATCCCCTGTCGTAGAAAAACTCGGTGCCGTATGTCGCAGGATTGACAGTCGTCCTCTTGAAGTCAGACAGCTCGGCCTGGGGAAATTTGCGTTTGAGGTTCTCTGAGAGGTTCCTGTGCAAAGATCGATTGTACGCGTTCACGGTGACCGCATGCTCACGCAGGAACGACAGCTTAGGAATCAGACTCTTCAGCACAGTCTTGTCGCCTGTCTCCTGACCTGCGTGTATGCTGATCGCGAAGATATTGCACAGGTACGAAGCCATCTCACACTCCTTGGCAAATATAATGGAGGAGCCTGGAGACGGATCTCGAGGGGCCACTCCGAGGGTATCAATCCAAGTAAGGGTGTTCTTGAGAAAATCCGGATGCGAGCGTATCTCCGTGTTCGCCCACACCCAGACCTGCTGCGAGGTTGCAACAAACTTGAGCATGCCATTGCCACGCTCCGGTGGTAAGATCGATATCGCTGCGAGTTGATCCAGCACGTGCGTCAGGATTGATTTCGTTTTGACGTGATTCGACTCATGTCGATCTACGCGCTTCTTGGGTAGTTGCCCAGTGAGGAGGAACGCTGCGAAATAGCTTTGCTTGCTGCTCATGACGGTTGACAAGAATTCCCATACTCGCCGCTCCACTCGAACATCACACAGTGGTCGATCGAGCTGAGTTGTAACCGACAAGAAAGCCTCCTGAGCTTTCGGCTCGAGTTGTGCCAGTATGGATGGTGGATCTTCGTCTCCCGAGCCGATGGCCTCCAAGACTTCGGAGAGCAGCGGGAACAAATCTGCCTTTAGGCTGTGGTCACTCACCAGGAGCGAGACAAGCGTAGGAAAGTGCTTGACCATGTCTGAAGCCAGGTTGATCGTCCGCTGCGTGGCAGCTTTGCTCTTCTCCTCTTCTTTAGTCTCCTTTTCTCCAGTTGCTGACAGATTGATACCTGCTTTCGCAGTGCGTATCAAAAGCGTGAGGAACTGGAATGATGATTTGACCTGCTCTATCAAGAGTCCGCGGATGTGGATGGGCAGACCGTCTTCAGCTATCGGCAGGCCTTCAGGTAGTAGTCGACCGAAAGTACTAACAACAGGACTGGAACCGCTCTGAGGAGCACAGACGCCGAGAAGCGCTTCCGCTGCTGGGGCTAGCACGTTCGTGAGTCGCTTTGAGGGATCCTTCGCCACATCGACTCCAAATGTGCACCTCAACAACTTGGAGAAGGCGTCCAGGATATTGATGGCGATACTGCATCTCTCCTGACGAACGTGAAATTTCCAGTGGGGCAGGTTTTGAAGGACATCCAGCAGGATCTTTTGGTACGAATTCAACACCGCGCTCATGGTGCGGTCTGGCGTGGCGTCGAGGTCAGCGCCTGCTTGAGCAAAGCGATGATTACTCTTCACAGCCACTGCCTTTCGCTTTACCAGTCCAGCCAGTGCATCGTCCAGCAGCAACGAGTGAAGCAGCGTACAAGCATCGAGGAATTGGTATCGGCCGACTGGTATCTCGCTCCCGCCCACGACAGACGCAAGCGACACGGCCCCATCTTGGACTCCCAAAAGGCTGCTGCGTACTAGTATTGACCATACTCTTTCCGGGTAGACTTTGACCAACTGGTTGAGAAATTGGATGCAGGACGTCACCACTTCCAGCGAGCCTTCTTGAACCTTTTGGTCAAGATGCGCCAGCAATTCCGACTCGAGCACCTCCGAGATAACGGTCACAATATCTTGCTCGTTACGTAGAGCAGCACTCAGCCGCCCGAGCAGATGAGTGGCGTTGTCATCGCCTGTACTCTGCTCAAGCGTTGCAGAAAGTAATGATGTGAACAAAGTCACAATCTCTGCAGCTGTGACTGGATCGAGGACAATGCCAGGGGCAGCTTGCCGAATCTCTGAGCTCGGCGCGAACGTGGACAGAAGGAGGCCTAGATACTCGAGTCCAGAATGCTGATGTCGTAGATGGAGGATGTAGGGTTTGCTAGGCTTGACGATGCGACCTGTTGTGCCTTCAGGCACAAACATTGCCCTCCACGCTTCTCCTGAGTCGCTACCGGAGGCATTTGAAGGCAAGGCTCGTTGGGTCGTCGTTTCGAAGAAGCTGTGTCCTCTTTCCACAAACATGGGCACATCCACGTTCAGCACGATCCCATTGTTGCCGTCTTGTGGATCTGACAGAGCGTACTCCGAAAACATCGTATGAACGATTTGTGTGTAGGCGGGCATCGAATCCAGCTGTGACACAATCTTGGGCAATTCGTCCGAGCTAGTTGCGTCTTCGACACCTGCAAGAGCTGTGAAGAGGCGAAGAAGTGGTGAGAGCTCGTAGGGGTAGCGGAGTAGCGTCTGGTCGAGGAGATGAGTCCGGAAGTTGCCATTATCGTGGTAGATCTTGCTGGCGAGTATACTGCTCTGCTTCACTGAAGTGCTGCAGAACTCAGCAGGGGTCAGTGTCGACAAAATGGCGTCTAGAACTGGTGCCTCGTATTCCGCAAAGTCAAGTCCCTCTCGTAGGAGGTCCAAGAGCGCTTCTTTGCAAATGAACCCAGTGGCAGACTCAACATCCGATCCAAAGAGAGCGTTGGCTTTGCTGCTGAGGATTGTGATCAGGTTGTTCACGTTCATGTCGTCGACGGCTGCACGTAGAAAGACTTGTGGCGTCGTCGAGTTGCCTGCTTCCCACTCACGAACGACGATGACCTCGCTGTAAAGGTGCTCCAACTCAGATCTCCAGTCCTGTGTTCGTTGGTCGTTGGCGGTATTGTTTGAGCTTTTCTGTGCTTCCTCGATGCCATTCTCGCGGGCGATCCGGTATTGACTTGCGACCAGACCCACGATCGAGGTCATGATGCTCCAAGCGTAGATGGCCGGAGCCGCGCAGACTAGCTGTGATGTTGCAGCTCGATGGAATGCTGTGGTCAAGAAGGACATACACTCGTTGTCCTTGATATAGAAGGCGCCTTCCATCGCGTTCGAACTAAGCAGTTCTACGCCCGCTACCCTCATGATCTCTTCAATGACAAATTGGAGCTTCAGGATCTCGAGCGAGATCACAGATGCCAGCAGTTGCGCAGCCTCGCAGTCAGCGAACAGGGCGGCAAAATCGTTCAAATAGTCGCAGTTATCCATGGTGGAGTACCATTTCCTTATCAGCGGAGCCGAAGGTATCCCGTCAAGGGCGTAGAGGTTGGCTAACAGAAGACGTAGCAAAGCGACGAGCTCGGTATACACCGAAGCAAGATACACTTGCGCTTCTTCCGAGTTATCCTGGAACCTCTTTGGCCATTTCTTGGTATCTCGTACGGTATCGAGCAAGGATCCAATCGATTCGACGGTTTTGGTGCAGAATGCCTCGTGCTCTGCTCTCTGCCCGCTCGAACAAAGCTTCTCAAAGACGTTCGTGGCCAGGTCGTCCATCCAGGTCCTCTTCGTATGCTCCTGTAAAGAACCGACATGCTGGCCTTGGATATCGCTCTTGCCAACAGCACTACGGGTAACGAGATCCGTGCTCAGCTTCAGGAGATGGTTCTTCTCACTCAGGTACACATCCACTAGTCGCCGTCGCCTAATATCCTCATTTGCAAAGTCGAGCGCCGGTCGCGAAGAATGGCCGGTCGTTGAAGCCGCAAAGTTGAAACTGCTTTTGCCCAAAGCAGAGCTCGAGAGCACGACTGGACCGGACGACGCACTCGGGGGGTTCATGGAGGTGTTGAGAAGCTGGTCTGCCGCCCTTTCTTGCCATTCAATAACAGCCATGCGCAGCGCTACCAACTCGTCGACCTGCATTTCCTTTGCTAGCCACTTGGTGTCCGCTTTGATCTCGTCCAGCTTATAGTGCCCATTGCTGTTCTGTGACACATTGATCGGCGCCGTCCTTGTATCCAACTCTTGCATGCTCTTCTGTGACGGACCAGGGAAGGGATGGAGTGCATTGCTGAGAAGCGCGACAGTGTCGTTGTCGGCGAGGAATTGTTCGAGGTTCGAGTTTGACAAGGCCGAGTCCTCGTCGCATAGCGCCCTGTATGCTGTCCTCCATGATATCAGGCGGGTCTCGCCTGCTAGACACCTGTCAAGCGGCGGGAAATAGGTGGTGTCTGCGATTGGGGCCATGTTCGTGGTTTTGATGTTTTGTTGCGGGATGCTGGTCGCGGCGGTGTTTAGGGAGTCGCATCCATTCGAGGTCCAACATCAAAGCCTATGCCCATTCTCCAGATTGAACCAGGTCGATGTTGTGAGTTGTAGAAAATGCGACGGGCGTCGACAATAGGATGGAAGCTGTCTATTCACTCACGGCTTTCTTCACGTCGGACGCGTTCTGAGCTCACGGAGACAGGTCCGCTCTTGGCGTCTCCCGCAGCTGCACCTCACCTCGTCCGCCAGCTTCAACGCCACGTCGTCGCGATTCGACTCTTCGCCATTGCACATCATGACGGTCACCGAGAGCATCAAAGACGCCGCAGAGACGGTCAAGGAGGCTGTCGGTCTCGGTCATGGCCACTCAGCCCCCACAAGACGTACGAATCGCCGCCAGCCAATGGAATCAGCTGCATTATGCAGTCAGGAACAAGATGAATGCTGAATGATATGCAATTATAGCTGCCACGCGCGAAGAAATGTCCGCGAACAAAGTCCCCCTACCGTACCGCGACTCCTGCGCCCACCTCCTGATTCCCCTCAACAACTGCCGCTACGATAACTTCTACCTTCCATGGAGGTGTATGGTATGAACCGGTACGAATGCGAGGATGCGAGGGCAGCCATACTGACTTTTTGGTGTGAAGGACGAGAGACATTCATACGAGAAATGTCAGTACGAGGAGTTCAAGCTGCGGATGAAGAAGATGGAAGAGATCAGGGCGGAGAAGAACGGAGCGCGGTCAAACTAGGGTCAGGGAGAAGGATATGGGACATGTCGCGAGCAGGAGACCATGGTCCAAGAGATCAGTTCATACCCAGGTCTCTAGTTGCTATTGTACATATACCAAAAGGAAGGCATGAAATGAGATCTGGTCTGCCCCGCTGGTCACATATCTCCTCGTAAGTCTCCACTCACGTTGCTGCTGATCCGTCTTAGCATCTTAGGGCGTGCCGCTGGCTCGGTTTCCTTTGGACTTTCTCAGCTTGCTTGGCGGCTCATCCTCTGAATCCTCTGGTGTTGAATCCTCGACTTCCTTGCGCTTGCCGAGACTCGAGTTGCCTGCAGCGAGCGTCTCCTTGTCGAATTGGTTGGTGAGTGCGCGTTGGGCGGCTTTGGCTTCGAGGCGTTGTAGTGCCGTCTTCGGTGGACGGTCCTCCTGCATGTCATCGCCGCCGACGTCTGCCAGCTTCTTGGACTCTTGCGTCAAGCTTGATGCGGCAGAATTCTCAGGCGAACTCATCCGACTCTTGTCCTCTCCGCCACGCTCTTGCATCAGTTCGGCTTTTGGCGCAACGTATCTGTACTTTGCGCCGCTCTCCTCCGGGCTAGCATTGGCTCGACTGGCCCACTCGACACCCGTGTACTCCTTAAAGATGTTGCTGAACAACCGAGACGCGGTGAGGAAGTTGCAGCCGATGCAGACGATGATGTTGTTCTGCGGCAGCTTTGAGGTATGGTGAGCCTTGGCGTTGAAGGCATACGTGGGCGGCTCGGTCTTGGACTCGTAGATTTGGAGCTGTTGTAGGCTGATCAGTATTTGCAAGACAGGTCAATCTTGCGAGTTTCACTTACAGAGACATTTGGTGGGTCGTCAGGACCCCCAGTCTTGTCGACAGGCTCCAGAACCACATCCAAACGGAAACTCTTGCCGTCGACGTAGATGTGATGCTTGTCGGTAATGAGCTCGTTCCTCTTCTTTGTGATCCCACGCTTAAACAAATCCTGAAGAATCTTGAGACTCTCGGACTCTCGCTGCTCCTTAAACGCCTCTTGCTTCCGCTTTTCGTCCTCCTTCCGCTCGTCTTCCTCCATCTGCCACCGCTTCGCCATCTTGTTCTTCGCAGCCTCCGAGAGAAATCCCTCGGTACTCTCAGCAAAGACCTGCGACATCAGACCCGCCGTGCTGCGTGGCTGGACTTTTGGACCTTTGGCCTTCATGGCCGCTCTGGCCTTCTTCACCCATGAGTAGCTGGACTCGGCCCTCTTGGCTTTGGCGTGGAGGCTATCGTCGAGCCAGTCGAACGACACGATGTGGATCTTTTGACTCTGCTCGCTGCGTTTGAGAGCATCTTTGACGACGGCTGGTTGGGTTTTCCACTGCTTCTCGGCGACGATGATGTGGGTGGTGTGGTCGGTGATCTTGGGTTGGAATGAGATCTTGCCGCGCGCCGCTTGAACCCAGTCTTTGATCTTGCTGTCTGGATGTCCGCCGTAGTTACCGACGGCGACAATGTCGCAGTCTTTCAATGCGCTGTGCACCATGTTGGTGGAGGTTGCTGGAGGTCGTGAGATGTGTTGAGGATGTCCGTTGGAAAGAGTGCAGAAGGAAGAAGCGCGAAGTAGTAGTAGTCGAGTGAAGTTGAGTGGTAATAAGACGCTATCACATGAGAACGCTAGCCTCTAGGCTAGGCGGCAGCTGAAGCTGAAGCAAGTGAAGACCGCTGTTTGCATGTGATCCTTTGCATGTGATCCGTCATTTGCGCATGCAGTAGAGATTCCACCAGGAGTTCGAATCAAGGCCAATCTTGTGTTGGTCGCACATATATAGCAGCTACATTCTACAATTCCACGCTTTTAGCTGCCTTCACGAATGCACGAATCTTGTCCAGATTTTGCTTTCCATCCACTTCCACACCACTGCTCACATCCACACCAGAGACTTGCGCCTTTTGCTCGCCCAACGATTCCACCGCAGCCGTGACATTATCAGGGTTGAGACCGCCTGCCAGTAGAATACGCAAGCCCTCATCAGCTTGCAGAAGAGTTTGCACACCTGATCCATCAAGTTGCTGACCGCTGCCGGCACCTGGATCCAGGAGAGGCAAGGAGTGATACCCACGTGTGGCGATGCCTGCCGCACCTAGTTTGAATGACTTCACCACCGGCACAGGAATCAGCGATGCCCATTCCTGTGGCTCAGAGCCATGAAGTTGGACAATGTCCAGGTTCAGTAGCCTCTGTTGCTCCAGAATGTAGTCTAGAGGCTGGTTCATGAAAACGCCAACAAGCAAGGCACGCTTTGGATGCTGGACGTGATGAGCTGCAGTGTGGGCAAAGAAGCTAGTCGCTTTGCCCTTCGCTTCTTCTGATGTATCAATGACTTGTGCGGCGACTTTCTGCGTCCCGTGCACAGCTTCTGAAATTTGCAGGGCTGTCTCTGTAGACACACAACGCTTCGTGCCTGTAACGAGGATCATGCCAATGAGGTCCGCGCCAGCCTCAACGGCTGTTTTGGCAGCCTCAGCGCTCCGTGTGCCGCAGATCTTGACGAGTAACTTTCGCTGGACTTTGGCCTTGATGGCGGCCTCGCTGCCTCCAAGAAGCTCCGAAATGAATTTGGCAGTATCTTGTGCACGCATCAACGCCTCGCCAACCAACACAGCACCTACGCCATTCTGCTGATAGGGAATGACATCCTTGGGTCCTGCAATTCCACTCAGAGCGCAGAGAATGGTCTCCTTTGGCACGATTTCCATCAGTCTGGTCGTAGTCTCCATGTCAACCTCGAAGTTGGTAAGATTTCTGTTGTTCACGCCAATGACCTTAGAGCCAAGATCGACGGCGATCTTCATCTCCTCTACGGTATTGACTTCCACCAGAGGCTCCATGCCAAGAGACTGCGAATACTTGTACAGTCTAGTAAGCGTCTCGGTATCGAGCATTTTGACGATGAGTAAGATGGTGTCGGCTCCATTGAGACGCGCTTCAAGGATCTGGTACTCGTCGAAGACGAACTCTTTCCTGAGCAAGGCTGGTCGGTTGGGCATTCGGTCAATCGCCTGTCGGACGCTGCGAAGATCTTCTATGCTGCCTTTGAACCATTCAGGCTCAGTGAGCACAGAGATGACACTTGCTCCCGCCAATGCGTAAGTGCGCGCTTGGGCTGGGGCGCAAGCAGAGAGAGAAATGATGCCCTTGGAAGGTGACGCACGTTTTATCTCTGCCATCAATGATAGCTTGAACGGCGACTGTCTCAATCGCTCAGGAAACGAGACGAGCGAAGGAGCCAGGTTCAAGTCATAAGCAGCCTGCAAGTCCTCGGGTCGTTGAGACGGGACTTTCTTCTGAGCAGCGACTTTGACCTTACGATCGTCGTAGATCCTTTCCAGTATCGAGGGTTTCTTGTCACCATTGATCGTAGTGCCGTTGGCTTGAGGCTTTGTTGCTGTAGGAGGAGCCTCTTTCTGCAGGCGATCGTTCTCTGCCCAAGTGCCGCCCTGCATATGAAGGAAGTTCTTCAGCATGACCCTTCCTTCTGCGGTGAGGATGCTCTCGGGGTGGAATTGCACGCCTTCAACTAGCAGCTCTTTGTGGCGTACGCCCATGATAACTCCTTTTGCGCCATCGGGACCCGCTGCAATCCAGGACGAGACTTCTAGGCATTCTGGTAGAGTCGGGTGGGTGCCAGCCAGTGAATGATACCTTGTCACTGGCAGGTCTTGAGTGAGATTCTTATACACGCCTTTAGCGTCGTGCCTAAGAGGGGATGTCTTTCCGTGCAAAATCTCGCCAGTCTGCTCAACCACGCCGCCAAAGACTGAGTAGATGCATTGCTCGCCCATGCAGACGCCTAGCACTGGTATCTTGCCACTAAAGTGCCTGATGGCGTCTTTGCTGATACCCGAGTCCGTCTCGGGATGGCCGGGTCCGGGGCTAACAACCAGCTGAGTGGGCTTGAATTCGATCAATTTGTCGAGAGTGATCTGGTCATTGCGGAAGACCGTGACCTGGGCGCCCTCGAGGACAAGGTATTGGTACACGTTCCAGGTGAAAGAGTCGTAGTTGTCTATTAGCACAAGATTCGAAGCGGTCGGGATCGGATCGGCTGGCGAGGGATGCTGTGGCGAGTGGTCGATGAGATCTATGCCCGACATCTTGAGGAAATTCGTGGAAGGCCGTATCTTTCAAACAAATTGATGGTTGATGCTCGACGCTGCAAATTCGATTCTCAGTCGTGGAATCGACGGATGTAAGCCGAAGCTCTTGAAAGTGTCCCTTTGGCCAATGTGTTCTGGGAAACCCAGTCTGACTCAAAGGTGAAAACTTAAGGTCGGATCCGGCGAAGTTCTGATCTCTCCAGAGCCAAATAGTATCCTCGCAGATCCACTCTATGTGCAGCGGCTCGGTCTATTCGAAGGCGAAGGTTTCGCGAAATATACCAAATTTCTGTTCAATGGGCGGCAGGTGAAGTTGTCTAGTTTAATGTCACGTGCTTTCAGATAGAGTTCGCTAGCTCTTCGCGTCACCTCGTGCACGGGCCTCACCAATTACGACCGCACGCGTCGAACTCCAGCAAACCGCGCCGACATCACCTCAACCACCCATCTGAGCAGGCTCACATCACCGACACCGCAGCCACTGAGCTGGCATCGCGCACGAACACCACCACCATTTACCTCACAACATGTCGCGCAACGCAGACAAGATATACTCGGCGACGTACAGCAATGTCCCCGTCTACGAGCTCGTGGCCGGCGGGGTCGCTTGCATGCGGAGGAGAAGCGACGACTGGATCAACGCGACACACATTCTGAAGGTCGCGGAGTACGACAAGCCCGCGCGAACTCGTATCCTCGAGCGCGAGGTTCAGAAGGGCGTACATGAAAAGGTGCAGGGTGGATACGGCAAATATCAGGGTCAGTCATGTCAGGCTGCTGAAGGAAATATGTTCGACTGACTTATAGTGACCACCTACAGGGACTTGGATTCCACTCCCAGATGGCAGAGAACTTGCCGCGAAGAATGGCGTTCTGGAGAAGTTGCGACCGATCTTCGACTTTGTACCTGGCGACCGAAGTCCACCGCCAGCACCGAAGCATGCCACCGCTGCTTCCAAGCCGAGACAGCCTCGTGCGCCAGCAGCAGCCAAGAGACAGCCTGGTAAGAAGCAAAAAACTCACCGTTCCGGTGCAGCAACTGAGACTAGCGCAGTCTATGCAGCTCAAGACTACGACCAAATGGACTTGAGCGTGAACGATGGCGGCACACCCGACGATATAACGATTGCGTCTGATGCTTACGATGATTTCGACAACTCTACCTATCCCGGATCTCGCAAGCGGAGACGGACTGAGGACAACATGAGCCAAGCTGACAGAGAGCACCGACTATGGGCCGAGGAACTCTTGGACTACTTCATGTTGCAAGAAGACCCGGAAGATCAACTTCCACAAGCACCACAGCCGCCACCGAATGCGGACCTTGACCGACCGATTGACGACAAAGGCCATACTGCATTACATTGGGCGGCTGCCATGGGTGATCTTGAAGTAGTCAAGGATTTGATTCGCCGAGGAGCCAACGTTGATGTGCAATCAACGATCGGACAAACGCCTTTGATGCGAGCAGTCTGCTTTACGAACAACTACGATCGTCGTTGTATGGATAGGCTTGCCGGGCTTCTGATCAGAACCGTCAACATGCAAGAGTGGTTCGGGCAGACGGTCTTCCATCACATCGCCAAGAGCACGCAGCGCAAGAGCAAATACGAGTGCGCTAGGTATTACATGGAGTGCATTCTGAACAAGATGCACGACGTCATGCCAGAAGATCAGATCGCCCATGTGCTTGACGTGCAGGACAACGAAGGGGACACTGCGGTTACGATTGCAGCCCGCAACGGAGCTAGAAAGTGCGTGCGATCTCTCATCGGCAGAAGCGCTTCCGTACAGATCCCGAACCATCAGGGCGAGACCGCAGACAATCTGATCATCCAACTCAATCACCGCCGACAAGAGCGGCATCAGCTGAACAACCGCCAGCTATCTTCCTCTCCTTTCCAACCGGACAACAGCATGATATCCATGGGCGGCGCAGTACAGCCGCGTTCAAATGGCATGAATGGCACTGCTTCAATCGACCCGATGATTGCATCGCAGCAGTCGTTGAATTCGGGATCCCACCTACTGGACAGTGGTAACGACGTCTACAAGTCAGAATCGGCGCTTGCACTCACGTCATCCATCATGCCTGTCATCTTCAACAAGGCGCGGACGCTTGCCGTTAGCATCGAAGCAGAGGTTGCTGAGAAGGAGGCAGAGCTCACAGAAGCTGAGCGTGTTGTTGCTATGCGTCGCCATGAGATCGACCTCCTCAAGCGACAGGCGGACGAGCTGCGAACAAAGGAGCAAGAGCAAATTGAAGCCGCTGACACGGGCAACGACCTTGCCGCAGAGCTCGACGCTCTTATGAGGGAATGCGCAGAGCTGACTGAAGAAGAGCTAGATGCTGATTTGAAGGACCTCATCGAACAGGAGGAACAATCGCAACAAGACGATACCATGATGGACGATGACGATGATGAGGTCTTCAGGCAGAAGGCCGATCTCGTCCGTCGTCTCCAGGATGTCGTCAAGCAACGCCAGAGTCTCTTCGAGACCATCGTGGAGAGCCTGTCCGTCGCCGGTTTAGGTGACAAGCACGCCGAGTACAAGCGTCTGATCACCGGCGCCCTCGGCGTGCGAGAGGAAGACGTCGAGAGCATGATGCCCGAGATCGTGGCGGAGCTGGAGGACGCGCAGTTGGAGAGTGTTGGCGGCGCATAGGCTGCGCGCAAGCAGCAGACTCCTGGCGCGCCTTCCGGCAAGCGCAAGTCTACGATCGACTGGATCTACAGCACTGGACGCCCGGCTCGGTGACCACCTCACGTCGACATTTTTGGAGTATCGCAACGCGAGGATGGAAGAGGTCGACGCGTACGAATGGCTTCACGATTGGACGTGTATTTTACGAGCGCTTCCGCTCATACTAACTTCGCTCCAGAGACATGTTGGAGGGAAGTGTTCTGCATCACAGAGCCTTCTTTGTAGCTACTTGGTCCGCTCAACTTCACTGAGCATCCATCAATACCTTGGTCCAGTCAAACTTGTCCCACTTCTTCCTGAAACTCTCCAACCTCCTGTCGTGCTTCTCCCATCGTCCCTGTTTCTTGATCGTCTCCGGACCCCTATCCAGCATCCCTCCAATGACCTCACGCGCAAACAAGTCGCCTTTCGGCCACCGCCGCTCGTCCTCGATCACATGTCCCATCCCGCCATCCAGCGTGTAGAAGACGTGAAAATACGGCATCTCCTTCACCATCGCCTTGCGGAAAGCCGCCTTCCCGTACCCCGGCTTCTGCACCAACGCGAGCGTGTCGATGATGGGTTTATGCTGACTCCACTGCTCATCCGACGCGAGGATCGCCTCCTTGAAATACGCCGGCGCGTTCTCGGCCAGATGATGAGGCAGCGGGATGGCGTTCAACGCGGCGTGGCCTTTGCGACTGCCCATGAACGCCGCGTTCTCGTAGAAGATGACGCTCTTGTCCTGGGCGTGGTAGAAGCGCGTGAGGGATTTCATGAAGTTGCGGATCTCCTCCCATTCGTCGTCGTCGCATTCGAGGAGGTTGAGGCGGTGTTGGAGGGGGACGATGACGGCGCTGTATTTCGATAGTTCCGGTTCGGTGGCGAGGGTCATGTACGTTCGCGTCGCGAGGCTGATGACGGGGGCGGCGGGTGGTTGATTGGACTCTTCGTGATAGCAGAGGGGGCAGTTTTCGAGGATCTTTTGCATTTTTTGGAAGTCGCCGATGGCGGTGTTGCGGAGGTTGGTTTCGGATTTGATGACTTTCTTGGAGAGTTTGCTGGCGTTGTCGTCCATGTAGTCGAGGTCGTTAATGAATTTGGAGTCTTTGGCGATGCGTTCTGCGAAGGCTTTGCCCTCGCCACCGTTGACCCCTCGGGTCCTCTTCTCTTGCTTCACCATATCCTCGATGGACATGTCCTCGTTCTCTACTACCAGTCCTCGTTCGCGGCCGCGCTTTCCAGAGACAGCTGTGACTTCACCGGATCGGTCGCCAGCGAGCATGCGGTTTTCCATATTGCTTAGTACTACCACGTCCGACTGTGCCCGGTTAGCAAGGCTTGCAGCTTCTGCAGCATTGAACTCTTCTTCCAGCTGGGCAGCATTCGCTGCGCCTCGTAGCTTTGCTTTCATCATCTGTGCTTTCAATCGATTCAGAGCCGTAGCATCCAAGGGTGCTGTCTTTGCAGGAGGTTCCACCTCGGCCATTGATTCGCCTTGTTGAGTGGGTGCCGCAAAGGCTTGCTCTTGGCTTTCCTCTGCCTCGCGTCGAATGCCAGCCTTCATCTTTCGCTCCTGGAAAAGCTCACCCGATGGCTTCTCGAGGCCAACATAGTCTTTGCCATACATCTTCCTGCGATCCATCTCGCGCTCTTCTTCTCGTGCCTCGTCAAAGTCACGAAGATCGCCGTACCTCTCAATTGCCACGTCTTCCACACTTTTGCCCGACTCCTCTGCTTGGCGATATACAGCCTTGAGCTTGGTCATTCTCCAGGAGCTTCCACTATCGCCGAACGTATATGAGACCTCATGCTGAGCCGGTCCATCCTTGACAGCTTCTCCTCCTTCGTCTTCTCCATCTGAATCGAAATCATTCTGTAGGTCAGCAAGATGCTGGTTGACGTTATTCTCATGGATCTTGAACTCGTTATTGTCCTTGGCGCCCACGAACTGACTGGCTGGTGCTTCGGGCTTTCTGCTCTGAACGTAGTCGATATCCAGTTCAGAAGGCTCTTGCATCCAAGCGTCTCTCTGAACTTTCGTCTCTTTGAGGTCTTGATCTCTCTGATCCAGTATGTTCTCTTCGGGTGGTGCAGCAGCAGCTTCCTTCTCTACCCAGTCGTCCTCATCATCACTGTCGAAGACCTTCAATTCCTTCTCCGGCTCTTCCTTCTCTGACTTGGGCGAATCGCTGCGATGTCGCTTTCTGTGCCTCCGCTCCGAGTCGTCATCCCTATCGCGGTGTCGCTTATGTCGATGGCGTCGTTCCTCGTCTTTCTCGTCGTCGCGGTGTCTGTGGGAGCGATGGTGGTGTCTGTGATGATGCCGTCTCTCGCCATCTTCATCGCGAGATCTGTGACTTCGGTGTTCTTTCGAGTCCCGTGACTTGCTCTGTGCAAGCTCGTGCTCAAACTCTTCGAGCCCCATGGTGCGTGTGAGAGTGTTTGTCGGGTTGTTTGTCGCGACTCGAGATGCGAACTAGGGAAAGCGTTCGAGGTTGCGTCACAAAAAGCTGCCCCTCAAAAACTTTCACATGCAATTCCCACGCGACTACCTCCACGCGACCTCTTCATCTTTGACTTTGTGCAATACTTGACCAGCTCTGCATCAACAAATATCGAGACAATTGTCGCGAAACAAACTTCGAGGCTGCTTCAACATCCGCCCCCGATGGCGTCCTCTACCTCGACATCTGAGCGGCCGCCTACAGCAGTCATCTGCGTAGGCATGGCAGGCTCAGGAAAGACGACATTCATGCAGAGAATCAACGCGCATCTACACTCATCCGAGTCACAACCGCCTTACGTTCTCAACCTGGATCCAGCGTGCGTAAACCCGGCATGGCCATTAAGAAATGAACTGATGGGTATGCAGAGTGCGAAGCGTGCCGTACGACAGCAACATCGACATTCGAGACTCAATCAGATACAAAGAGGTCATGAAACAGTACAACCTAGGACCAAACGGAGCCATCTTGACCAGCTTGAACCTCTTCAGCACCAAGATCGATCAAGTCATGGGGATCCTCGAGAAACGCTGCTTACCGCAAACCCCACCAAAACCGCTTCCGAGTCACATTATCGTAGATACGCCGGGTCAGATTGAGGTGTTTGTGTGGTCTGCGTCTGGCAACATCCTCCTGTCCTCTCTGGCATCGAGTTTTCCCACGGTCCTCGCATACATTATCGATACCCCACGGACGACCGAGAACACCAGTACTTTCATGTCGAATATGCTTTATGCGATTAGTATCCTCTACAAGACCAAACTCCCCATGATACTGGTCTTCAACAAGACAGACGTCAAGTCAGAAGAGCAGGCAGTGGATTGGATGCGCGACTTCGAGAAGTTCCAAGAAGCCGTGCGAGAGGAAGAGGAGGAAGAGCGAGAAGGTGGCGGATACATGGGTCCACTTCTGAACAGCATGAGCTTGGTATTGGAGGAGTTCTACAACCATCTGTCCGTGGTCGGTGTCTCATCGATGACAGGCGACGGTATCGAGGACTTCTTCAAGGCGGTGGAAGACAAGAGAACGGAATTCGAGAAAGACTACAAACCCGAGCTAGAACGGAGGAGGGCAGAAGCGGAAGATCAGAAGAGCCAGATAAGAGACCAGGAAGTCAACAGGATGATGAAGGATATGGAGGTGTCTTCCAAGGCGAAGGGCACTGGCAAGTACGCGAAGAAGGACGAGCCGGAGACCGTGAGTGACATGGAGGATGCTGAAGATGATGAGGACGACGAGGAGAGCGGCGGTTTGGTGGATCCAGATGGGGCAGATGAAGAAGAAGAGGCCAACCAAGCATTCGAGGAGGGGTTGAAGGCGAGGTACGAAGCTGCTCTACGGGATGGTAGTGCGTCCGCGTCTGCCAAAGCAGCCTCCTCTGCAAACTACATTCGAGGCAGCCAGAGATGATTGGGTAGGCAGTTCTGTGATCTGATTTTAGCGATGGCGTCTGGTGTTCATCATCACAGGAAAACGAGTCAGAAGATCAATGAAGTCAAAATTCAAGTCGTTCGTCCAATTCACATGTTTCAACAAACCCTTGGAGGACATCCCGTGTCTCTCTCTACTCCAAGCAGAACCACCTGCGAACACCAGCCACAGACCCACGATTCAGTGAACCTGTTCGAGGCGGACGATCACATCCCACTCTCGCACCTACCCACCTACCCTCGACTCAGGGCGCCAGGCAAAAAGCGATCGTCGCTATATCAATCAAAACGAAATCAATATCTCCTGACTCAGCCTCAAGAAAGAAAAGTAACTCAGCAGGTGTATATGTTTTACACGATCAGTGATCTACAACATGATCACGATCGAAGTTCCCCCTCCCTTTCTTTCCTTGTCGCAAAATGTCGCGAAGGCGTTTGGGTGAACCATTGTGAGATTTGTTTGGTACGAACGTCAAACACCCCCTCTATTTCCCCAGCCTCAGCCCGCAATGGCGAGATGCAGGGTCTGATGACGGGAGGCTTGTATGTATGGGTAGTTAGCGGGGTGAACCATTGGGAGAGAGGAAGGGTAATAATAAGGGAGCTTTTTCAAATAGCAACAAGACGGGAGAGTTCCAGTTACAGGAAGGGAGTTGTCGTCGGTGCAGGAGACCGAACAAACCCATCTGCAGACTGCAGGCGAACAACCACTCGCCGATCCCCATCCTTCCGCTCGTTCCTGTTCCTGACACTCGCGTGATCGAGCCAACGAGTCGGGGAGAATCTTCCACATTCCAACCACTCCCCGAACCCTCGATCGATGCGCACAAGTCCCCCGTCTCACACATGACGTTGCTGCATGGCCCTGTCCAGGCCCACACCTAACAACGCCTCGATATGCGTGGAGAGTGGGACCTGTTTAGCCCCAAAAGCCGCGTGAATCGCGAGCGAGTTCCGCGTGAGAAGTGCGGCAACGGCAGCGGCATGCCGATGCCGATGGACGAATCCTCGGCGGGGATCGACTTTTGTCTTTCGTATCGTCCGTGTGGGTAGTGAGTAGCAAGAGTGAGGTAGGCGGGTGATGAACGGAAAGGATTTGTGAAGAAAAAGTCAACGGGATCGGAACGAGACTCGGGGCACAGTCTCATGCGACACTTCGATAGCAGCGATCGAAAGCAATTAGATTTCGAAATGCGCTGCTGGGTGGGCTGGGTTGATCCAACTATATCGGCAGCGGCGAGGATATACAGCAGCTCAGCCGCCTACGTCAACGTCCCATACCGATACGGTGGGCGTGTGGAGAGACTCGTGGTCTCGAAAAACGACCCGAGTATCGCAATGTGCAGCCCGTCTGTGTTGGTGGTTGGGGGTTGTTTTAATAGTAAGTATTGGCAACGGGCGCATCTCGAAAAGGTGAACAGACCTGTCTGAAATAGTAATTCTGACTTGATTCATTGGTTGAGGATGCGATGATCATCAGAAGTGAGGAAGGGCCAGGATCGACTGAAAGACCCTGTGTCTTATCTCGACTTCACTTCATCGCGATCGAGAAAACACTCCTGCTCATGCATTGGACGAAAGAGAGTATTGAGCAACATTTGATGTTGTGTACTTATTGTTTTCAATTTTCATTTGATTGTATGACAATGGCAGCAAGACCATGCTCGCTTCGCACTCTTGTCAATCATTGGCAAAAAAGCCATAATACTCTTCTTCTTGAGAATCTGTGTATTTCCTTCCCGCCGTCCGTCTTCTTTGCGGAACGGCGCCATACTAAAAAGCTTTGCTTTGCTTTCGCTCGTAATCATGTCCGACTGAGCCTCGTCGTATACTGAAAACACGTCGTGAAGTCCTCCTAATCGTGACGACATTGGCGTCCATGTATCCCATCAAGGAACAACCACAACCCGTTCCAATGTCCTTGCTGTTGTTGGGTATTCCGCCCAATTCCAGCGCCTGAAAAAAACGCATTTCTGGGTATATAACATTCCGCTTACTTGCGCGCGAAAACACTTTGTGAACCCCGAATATTAGCACATGATTTGAAGAGAATCCGATTCTTCGATGTTTCGTTTCGATTAGGGTGTTTCTTGTGAAGGACTCTGTGATGATGACTTTTCAGACATCCGACGGTGCTCGCAAGCCGCCAGGGCCAGGGAGTTCAATCCGTTAGATAGTCCTGGAGACGGGTAGCTGTAGTGCAGAGTGTCTGGGTCCATCATCGGTGCTGTTGGCGGGACGAATTCCAGAGAGTTGGCAAAGCTCGATCGGTGAAGTGGTGGGCGCGCGGTGAGGTCTGGCATTGCCATTGGCAAAGCTGGAATCGGGCCTGGGTCGATGCCACCATTCAAGAAGTATGGGCCTGTCGCTGGGAGGAGGAGCGCTTGCTCGGCTGTCTGTTGTGGCATGCCATGCACTGGAAGAATCGGGGCGATGCTCTGCGATTGTGTTGCCTGTTGTGCTTGTTCTGCGAGCTGCTGCTCTACGGCTGCCTCGAGCTGTGGCTCCGCCTTGGGCACGCTCTTCTTGGTCGTCTGCTTCGTCGGCTTCTTGACCTTGGAGTCGTCGTTGCTGGACCTGGACGCGCCGCGACCGTTCTGGTGCGTTCTCCGGTGCTGTTCCATGTTGTCTTTGCGGGTGAAAGCCTTGTTGCATTCCGGGCAAAACGCGTCCTTCTTGCCAGTGTGCTTTTTGGCGTGTCGTGCGGCGTGACCAGATGTCGTGAAGAAATCGGTGCAGCCTACTTGCTTCGCCATTGGACAAGGGTACTGATTCTTCTTCGGTTGAGCCTTTTGGTTGGACTGTGCGGAGACTGTCGACACGCGCGACGGTTCAGACGAGGGAGAGGCGGACATGCGGTAGAGCTGCTGGGCGGATGGTGGCTGTTGTTGCATCGGTTGCTGAGGCATTGCGGGAATCGGGTAGGCGGACGGCATCACGCCAGTCGTATCGGGAATGGGTGGATACATGGACGCATTTTGGTCGTCCATCTTGGCGTAGTGGTGGTGGTTGGAAAGGTAATATTGCTGGTGATGGTGGTGCTTCGCCTGGGTGGCCTGCTCGAAGCTGTTGTACGAGGGCGTCAGAGGCGAAGGGCTGGCGAAGGCGCGGGAATCGCTCGAGCTGCTGCGACTCAGAGTCGGAGTCTGGGGACTGAGGCTGGGGGTGGAAGTGCAGCTCGAGGTGCGAGAATGTAGCGGGGGAAGCTTCGTCGGCACGGCCACGTCACTACTGTCGTTGAGTAGTGATATCTAGGCACGGGTCAGACGCATGAAGGGAGTTGGCACAAGCAGACACGACAAACCTTTCTGCCCGTGCAATTTCTACCGTCCATTATGTGGGAGCCAGCTTGTGACAGTCGTCGGTGAGGTCGAAGCGGGTGCTGCAGTGGTGCACTTTCACGTGTCAAGCAGGTCGTGGGTGAATGGATGTGGCAGGCGGTGGTGTTGGCTGGAGAGGGCGGTAGTAGTAGGTAGTCGTAGACGCAGTCAGGTGTTGTTGGTGAAGAGAAGGACCCTGTGCAGAGCGTGGGCGAGCGCGGGCTTAAGAAGAAGGCGACACAAGGTTACTGCGCGGCCGGTTGACGGAGGGTAAAGCGTTCACCATCCCAGACAGCGTGCGCCGAGGGAGCGTGTGGAAGAGAGGGTCAACCAGGGTCTACTGTCAATTTAATGCGCTGCAGACGCTCGCCCGCAGCAGCGCCCTCTTCCCTTGGGTGCCGGCGTGGATGACCGACTTGGATGCTGGTCGTTGTCAGATCGCCGATGGGTGCAATAAGGTTGGCGCCTCTGCAGGGATCCTGCGGCAGCCAGTGCCAAGCGAAGAGTTCGGCCGGCGCGCAGCTTTCGTCACGCTCGCGGGCTGCTCCAGCACAACACAGCAAACAACACCACCGTCGCACAGGAACGTACGGCGGCGTCGCGCTGCAACACACACAATGTGTGCCTGCCGTCGTCGCCGCGCCGCGATCAGAGCAGCGTGCAGCCGGCGCTGTGAAACGCGGCGCGCCCTGGTCGCTGACCTGCCTTTAGCGTTCATCGCGATCGAGAGATCGAAGCGCTGTGTGAGAGCAATTTTCTGCCCCTCGCCGCCAAGTGTGGCTTGACCAACAGGCCCTCACCCGACCATCTTGTGACCTGCCCGTTTCGCCGTCGAACGAGCTGGCAGCATCCTGCTGTTCTTACGTTGCGCAGCGCGTTGTGATTGCGATCCTCACGCGAGTGTCTATGTTGTTTGTTGTCGCTGCTCCTTTCCGGGCAGCCTGCTCTATCCAGCACGCGCAGCACCAGCATAGCCGCCGCCTCCCGGTGCCTCGCCGTCCAGCAGCCATGCCATGCGGTGGCTGCTGCTGGCGTGCTCTGGCCATTGACTTTCTAGAAGAGGGGTCCCCGACGCCCGTGAGACCGGAGCTGCGAAAGTGAAAAGTGATACCACTGCTCCAGTCTCACGCCAAACATGCGACTCACACCGGTGTCAGCCTGTTTGATGGCTTGTCCACCCACGTCCGCCGCTGAGTCGAGGCCATCGCATCGGCTGCAGTCTGGCTAATCCGCGAAACTCTCCGCGGCCGTGACAGCGTCGCGCACCCATCCCATCCCGCATCCCTTCCGGCACGTCAGATCAGTCGCAGCAGGTACAGGCTCTGGCAAGAATGATATGAACCCCTGCTAGTGGCATTCCTTCTGCTAACTATATATGGTTGTTATTGTGGGCCTGCTTCAAAATACGCTGTACGCGTCTTGATTCCTACATTCTTCGATACAGTAATACTAAAGAGGATATTCTTAGCCTTTAAGAAAGGCTAGATATAGGCCCTTTATAAGTATATATACTAGCTACTTTAGCGGATTACTAAGAAACTAGATACTTTAAAATATACTATATTTTAGGTTATTATATACCTAGAACGCGAACTATATATACTACTCTAATAAGGACGCTCTTCTATAATTATAACCCGTAAACGACGTCGTTTTATAAATAGACTAACTACTAATACCTATTATAGATAGCTTAGACTAGATTAAATTATATACTTTAAAAACCTTTTTTATAATTTCTAGACGATTCGAGTAGTACTTATAAAAGAAAGCTATTAACGATATATAGTAAAGAAAAAGCTATAGCTTATAAGTAAATATAAAGTAGTATAGCTATAATAGGTAAAAAAGTATATTAACTAGATAGATAAGTAGTAGTTAAAAGTTTTATTAACTAATAAAGCTTTAATTTACTATAGCTACTTTAGATAGGTCTATATAATAAGAATAGTTAATAAAGCCTATTATATAAACTATATTATACTACGTTTCTATAAGTACTTAGCTTATATAATTTAAAGCTATATATTAGTAGATAGACTAAAAGAATATACTATATTTAATACTAGATTAATTAATAGAGATATCTACTATTAGAAAATTGTTCTATTAATATAAGCTACTTACTAAAAGTAGTAATAAAAAGGTATTTTCTAATAGTAGTTTTTAGTAATATAAGATAATATATCTATTTATAAAGCTAAAGCTATATTAGCTTTATTTAAGGACTATTATATATAGCTCTTTATATAGCTAGTAAACTTACTAGATCTTAATCTAATTAAAAATCTTTAGAGTTTTTTAAAGTATAAAGTTAGGCTTTATTTCCCTATAATAAAAGTAGAGGTTATTTAGGCTATATAGACTAAATAGATAAAGCTATCGATATCTAATATATTAAAAATCTACTAGAGTATTAAAGAAAGATATTAAGTAGTAATCGATACTAAAGAAAGCTATTATAAAGGAATACTAAAAGATATTTAGAAACCTAAAAGGGACCGAGGTAAACCTTTCTTACGTAATAGTATACGTAATTCCCTAGTACGTATTTTATACTCGCTATATACGAGGATAGAGAAAGTAGAAGTTTATTCTACGCTTAACCTAGTACTAGGTTAATTAGAGTTCTATATATTACTATAACCCCCTATTATAGTTTAAACTTCTCTACTCTACGGTCGTAATCTATAGAACCTAAAAAACGACGATAGTTAATCTTACTAGCGCGACGTAGGTACCTCCTCCTAGCGTTACCTTCCTATCTCCTAACGATTAGTTCGAGTAGAACTTTTAGCCTAATATTACCGCTAAAATCGAGAAC